CGTAGGAAGGACAGAGTCCCTGCGTAGCAGTCTTGGAATGGCAGGCGCTTGACATGGCGGGGGCCGGTCTTGAAGGTCCACGCTTGGCGCAACCGGTCTCGGAAGTGCATGGAGCTTCTTGCCATACGGGGGTAATCAGCGTAATGGTCGCTCCGTCCGTGACGACCTTGTCTAGCACTTGTTGAATGGCGAGCCAAGGGGGATTGACCCAGCCATTCTCAGCGTCCCAGCAAATCTTGAAGGCGTCGTGAGCAATTGCATTGGTGTCCGTCTGGTCGACCGAGCAGTACCTTGAAACTTGAGCGTTCTGCTTCGTGGCGAAGAGGTCCACAGTGTGGCCGTGTGGGCCTCCCCAGGGTCCGTCATCGAGTTGCTGAAAGATGTCCGGGTGCAATTGCCAATCGTTCTTGTCAACCAAGTTGATCAAGTAGAGTTCTTTTTCGGGTGGCGGAGACGGGTAGCGTGTACGGTCAGGGTCCTCCGAGTCGGGTTTTTCTTCTCCCGACTTGGACAGGTGTTGAGGTTGTAATGATTTGTCAGCTGTCGTTAGTTCTCTGCGCGTTCCCCAGTCGCTTTCGGAGTCGGAATCACTGCCTCTTCTCGGTTCTGATGGTGACCGAGCAGGAAAGGTCAGACTTTCATCCTGGCCTTGAGGCAGCGATTCTCCGTGGTCTTTCTGCTCAAGAGCCGTCGGTTCCAGGACTAGGAGGCTCTTGGCTCCTAGCCCTGGCGGGGAAAATGCCGCTTCTCAGCATTGGCATGTCCGGCCTCTGGGCTTTGCTTCTTGGGGCATACTGGTTGCCCCGTCTCGCGGTCCACGTCGTCCTTGAAGTGGTCGCCTCCGCAGGCGTAACACTTTCGGTCTCCGATCCTTGGTAATCCTCCTGAGGACTGGCCATTGTGAATCTGCACCTTGGCCATTTGCGCGGCAATTTTGGCAACCGCTTTCTTGACGACTTCCTGTACTTGCGTACTGAGGTCGTTCTGCCTCTGCTGGCCGTAGTCGTTGCGTGGATATGGCTGGCGGGGGTATGGACCTTGTTGTTGGTCCATCATGTACGCCTCGTAACCGGCGTAATCATCCCGGTCATCGTCAAATTCCATCAAGTGTATGGCCCGTCCCATGTGTCCACGTCGGCTACCGGTCAAGCGGAGTTCCTCTTTGAACTTGGTTATCTCGTTCTCCGCCGCCTGTTTGGCTAGCTTCTCGAAGTCGGCGGTGGGCATGGGACTGGGCAGGGCAACTTGGACGGCCGTCTTCAGAATGGGCGACGGGGATCCTCGTCGCTGGGGCCGGAACCTCCTGTTGTTCTTCTTGTTCCGGCGACGACAGCTGCGTTCTTCTTCCGAGGAAGAACCAGAGGAGGAGCCACTAGAGCTCGACTCCAAGTCCGAGGAGGACAAGGAGGAGCTACGAGCGTGGCGCCGGCTTCGGAGCCGTTTCTTGTCGATTCTTTGGTACGCGTCTTCGGCAAAGTGGTCAAAGGTCACCGCCTTGTCGTACCAGTCCTTGCCCCCTATCTTGACTTCCTCGATCTTGTCTTGCTCACGAGGCTTGTGACCTTGGTACAAGGCATACTTGAGCTGGCCTAGGTCTAGGGGAGTGGTGCCGAGGCGGGAATTGGCTTCTTTCATCCGAATGGCGAAGTTGCGCGACATTTCCTTCTTGAGCTTCTTCATACTGGCTACTTTCGCCGAGCGATAGATAGGAGGTATCTTCTTGTTGTATTGAGCCATGAATTGTTCCTTGAATTGCTCAAATGGAATGTCGGTCGACGACAGACTGCTCCACCATTTCTTCGCTCCATCCTTGAAGAGGGGGCCGAACTTGGGCACCATGTCGTCGAGGTTTTCGAAGTACTTTTGGTCTACGGCCCTTTGAGCTTCTTGTCTCAGCCTCTCCAGGAATGCATATGCATCCTCGCCCGGCTTGCCTTTGAATCTCGCCGAGATGTCATTCTTCAACTTCCAGTGGGCTCGCTCAAATCCTCTTGCGGCCGCTTCAAGTACCGTGGCCGCCGAGGCCGCTCGGGGGACTCCTGCGGGGGTTCCGTCTGCCATTTCGGGATTCCTTCTCGCAACCGGCGTGAACCAGGTGTCCTCTTGCTCCCGTTCTTGGTCGGGAGTCTGCGCTCGGGCTTGTTGCTGTGAGGTCGCCGGGGCAACAGCAGCAGTGGCTGGATGGATGGATGGATGGATAGACGGGGGTTGCGCTGGAGGGTCCACGGGGGAATCCTGAGCAGGTGGCCTTGATACTGGGGCTGGTGGAGTACTTGGGAAGCCGCTTGGGAAGCTGCTTGGTCTTGTGGTTGTTTGGGACGGGTTCGCACCGGATGATGGGCCTTGTTTTGACGACAAATTCTCGGATGAGGATTCCTCAGAGGAAGATTCCTTGGACTGGGATTCCTTGGACTGGGATTCCTTGGACGGGGAATCCGTGGACTTGGCTTTGCCTGTAGTCTTGCGTTCTCTCTTGAGGAGCAGAGAACTTCGGTATCGCTCGTAGGCTGCTCGTTTGGCTGTCGCGCTGCTCGCCGCAATTGCTTGCTTGGTTGACAAGCGGCTTGAAGAGCGGCTTGCGGAGCGGGGACTGGCGATAAATTCTGCGTCTTCGGCCAGTTTCCCTATCTTGATCTTCGTGAAGATCTATCGACTGATCTTCAATCTCTGGTGGAGATTGGTGCTTCGCTTCTCCGTAGCGAAAGAGAGAATGCGACGCGTGGGTAGGTTTCTTGTAAGGTGGCAGATGTGGTTTGCCAATCCGATCTTGGAAATAACCTCGTAGATTCCTTGTAATTCCTTCCTTGTTTTTCCTTGAAGGTGGTCTCTCCTTGTTCCCGGCCGAGCCCCCAAAATGTGAAAGTGGTCGATTATTCCCTGAGATAGGTCCTAAATCGGGTCGTTCGCGGGTGGAGATGATCTACTAGTGGAGAGTGCAAGGTAAAAGGTAGAGACCAACTAAATCCCCATTCTCACCACACAAGTAGACACGCTTGGGCGTACTCCGTATATTGGCAACCCTGGACTGCTAGGCGTAGGTACGCTAGTCAGTTGGGTCAATTGAGCTCCTATGGTACAAACTTATGGTCTAGTCTATAGCCGGTAAGATGCTCCCCGGGCAATCTACGCCAGTGTTGTCCATTTTATGGTGGGGGGGGGGGGGGAAGGGGGTGTGTCTCTATCCTACTACTGATCACGCCTGGTCACGCGCGCACAAATACTAATCTTCCCTTGAATCTCCCCATCTCCTCGTACGCCGTCAACCTGATCACGTTCACACATCGCCCGTATCGTACGCGAAAACCTTCAGAGATCGCAAGATCAATTCGCACGTCAACACGACAAAGGTTGAACGCCAATCGCATACAAAATTGGCAACCTCGTCGATCTGAACCGACAAGGAATCAACCTAGAAGTAGACGCACGAAGTGGACTTCGATACTCAGCTACGTGGATCGGACCATTCAAAATCATCGCACTGGGAGCACATCCTGATACCTACGAACTCGATTTATCACCATTGAAGATCAGCGGCATCTGGCCCGTCTTTCACGTCGATATTTTACGACCACATCGCGAAGAGCAATATCCGCAACGTGCAGTTCCACAACCTCCTCCACCAATCGAAGAACGCGGACAACCTGAATGGGTTGTAGAAGACATCATCGACGAGCGACGCGCCGTACAAAATCTTCTAGTCAAATGGCTTGGTTATCCTGACCCTACTTGGGAACCCGAATCCGCACTTTGCTACACGCCTGCCTACAAACGATGGCAAAAAGCTCATCCACAATCTTTGTGGATACGGAGACAAACAGCATAGAGCATCTCATATCACATCACACGCGCGACGCCGCAAGAACCGCTCACCATCAATCACACCGCTGACAATAGCGATGTAAACTACATCACATCACACGCGGCGACGCAAGAACCGACCTTACATACACACATCACACACGACGTCAGCTTAGGGACGCCTTTGCCTCAAACACACACATCACACAGTGCATCAACACTATAAAATGAACAAGTGCGGCAACACTTTAAAATGAACATGAGCTCTCCCTTTCTTCACATATCCCTCGTAGTTCACCTCTTATTTATTTGGCGCCCTCCTCAGGATCTGAGGGAGGTGTCGGGGATATCTCATCTTCACTTGTATTTCATATTATACCTCATTACTTCTATTTGATCCGAGCTGGCCACCCGAGCTCTTGGTGATACATTTCATAAGGCGCCAAGCCTCACTGAAGCCACGCAAGCCCCACTGGCAACCCATATATAAAGCTGTCAGTCGAGCGGCCGCTGCGAAGAGCTTCTTACTTTTTTCTTCACTACAATACACTGCTCTCAGCCCTCTCAGAAGGGCCCAATATCGTCTACGTTTCCTCTGACGTTACACTGCGCCTCTCAGTCATTGGCAAATTGGTCTTAGTGACCTCTCAGATACACCTATATCAGCTAAGGTCTCAACAGGGTATGAGCCCTGAGCTTTATCATCACTAAAAGCGTCTTCGCCAATCTTATTCAATGTAATATTACCAGGTATCGGTGCCAATAGCTAGTATTGTCTATTCTGTCCTCTGAAAGAATCCTAACCTTCTCACTAGGTGCGGGCACCGCCCACTCCCTTTGCTTCCCTTTGCACTGGTCCCAAGCCACACAACCACCCCAGCGTTTATCCGGAGCCAAGTGAGCCCATCGGGCTGACTTCTGGTGACTCAATGGGCGTGCAGCGTTGTCCCTCCCATCTACCCCCATCTGGGACATACCCCCAGCCTGGGGAGCCTCCCGGGACAACTCCCACACACCGCTAAGTCCCCAAGCGTACACCCGCACATATGGGGCACATCATCACACCCCCCTTAGGATCGTGCGTGTGCGCATGCAATTCTCCCGTGCCGTGTGGGTTACGTACGGCCAGACGTGTGAGGCCACCGGCGAGGGATGACTGACAGCTCCTACACAACTCCGCAATCGATTTTCACATTTCTCTCCTATCCCCGAATGAATATACCGAATGTCCGAGATAGCAAAGTCGCTCCGCCGTAATCATCCTGGCATGTGGCCGTCGTCGATAGCGCAGCATGGGTACCTCCATCGATCAGTATCGTGATAGCCTTCTTGTGGGGTGAGGAGCCGGGGGCCTCGGGGTGGTGAGGCGGCGCATCCGACGTCTGCACAGGCGAAGGGAGCATTCCCAATCGGCTATAAAACGGGGGGTAACTGCTTCCCCCTTAGCCCCGCATCATTCGCGACCCACTCCCATAACACCATTCCCCACGGCTAACTCTCTCTCTCTTCTTCTTCGTACTTATCGCCCCCTTCCGTCACTATGGCGCGCCCTGCTCCTGTTAAGAGAACCCGCTTCGAACAAGCCAGGTCCCCTTCGGTGACCAACGTTGATACGGGATCGGAGGGTTTGTTGTTCATCCCTGAAGAATGGCCCAAACCAGCCTTGCTGGCTTGTTGTACCACCCGCTCAACTGGCGTTGCCATCTTGCCTGCCACCCGCTCAACTGCCGTTGCTGTCTCACCTGCCACCCACCCAACTGCCGCTGCCGCCTTGCCCACCACCCCTGCTGCCTCTGGCACCACCTTGGCTGCCAAGGGTATGGGCCAGACCATCACAGTCGTAGTCCTACCTCCCCCGTGTGATGCATCTTGACGCATCTTGGAAGGCTCTGAGATGTCTGGAACGTTTATCAGATATCCAGGCGTCAGAACTGCGCTTTCTTGAGTTCTTAGAGCTCAAGACCGGCTCGTCGTACCACCCGCTCAACTGCCATTGCCGTCTCGCCTGCCACCCGCTCAACTGCCGCTGCCGCCTCGTCCACCACCCCTGCTGCCTCCGGCACCACCTGTGCTGCCAAGGGCACGGGCCAGACCGTCACGGTGGTAGCCCCACCTCCTCCCGCAGCCTCATCGTCGGCCTCGTCCTCGACTGGCGCCTCTCGGGGCAAGCGCCCGAGATTGGTGAGTGCACTTGGTTTATTCGAACTAGGTTCGGAGCGAGGTTGACCATGGTTCTGCATGCAGCCCTCGGACGACGACGATGACGGCGGCGATAGACGTCACCCGGTGGCCGCCGCTTCCTCCCCCAGTGCTCCGCACACCCACCGCATGTTGGGTGTGCCGGGTTCTCAGGCCCGGCAATATGTTCCTTACTGCTAAATCCTCCGCCTGGTCACTGTTAGTCACCACGGTCTTCCTTTGGCTCACCCGACGCTGGCATCTCCCCCCCACACCCACCAACCTTCCATGGCTTTTCATAGCGGTGGCCCGGCCTCCTCTATCTAACCGATCTAAATCTCAACTACCCCTCTCCATGCACAGCGTGGGTAGCATATATACTTTAGTCTGCTGCCGTCCCGTCGAGTCCCATCAGTCATTTGGTTCCCTCTCCGCCCATCCTGCCCCGATTATGTCAGCAGAATCGCGTCGCCAGAGTCGCTAGTCGCGTGCACGTTGCACAATTCTAGGGCCGATATCGAAGACAGACAGTAGAAAGATATAGCGGAATTTGCATGTCCGACATAAGCATACCCCCATTCGTTTGGTAGAGTCCCATCACCCTAGGACCGCTTATCCCTCGTGAGCCAAGACGCCATGTCGATATCGCCACGAGCATTGTCAGATCCCACTTCGCCCATCCCGGACGTTGCACATGCCAACAACACTGATGGTGGAAGTGAACAGCAGGGGGCATACGGCGGAGTTGACCGCCGTGGCTCGCAAGACTCTTCAATAGACAGCGACCGACCTGCCTCTTTAGCTGCAAACGCCGAAGGAAGGAGATCGGCACGTAATAAGCCTGTAATGGACACGGTCACTCGTGCGAAGAAATACTGGGAGCGTTTGCGGGCTCACGTGGTATGGGCTGATAGTAGAGATCACCTGCTAGAGTGTTGCGTTATGATTTTGCTAATTTTCAATGCTGCTTCTAGCGACGGGGATTCTTTCATTCCCTCCTCAATACTCGAACAGGCGCCACGTCGGACTTCTTGTCCCTCGTTGATCGGTTATGGACTTTAGTTCATCAGGCCCGGCCGAGAAGCAGCATAGGTCCGCGTCAACAGCAGCAGCAGCAGCAGGCCTCGCAGCATAAGGGGCAGAACCAGCAGCCAGACAGTACAACCGAGTTTGTGATGGCAGGGTGGGCCAGAATCAAAGCTGAGCAGCACGCACTGGAACGACAGAGGGCCCGAGCAATCGATGCTGGGGTTGGAGGATTACCGGACACTCGTGTTTTGCAAAATCGCCGCGGTGGAGGGAGAGTACACAGTGCGGGTGGTACTGGAGGGGAAAACGCGGAGCACGGTTTCGACGGCGAAATGGAGGACGACCGCGAGGAATCCGGTGGCGTGACCATTGGAGGCCTGCTGGGAGGCGGAGGGGAAGAAGTCACGGGAGACGACGATGGAATGAGAGGTGGATCTGGGGCGTACACATCGGCGAGGACCCGTGGATACGGGCTGGAGGGACTGAGCTTGGACACCGTACCAAACGCGAACGTGACGAAAGAATTGATGCAAATATCGAAGGGTCTCCATGTGCAGCCCCTCGGTGAGTGTGTATTCCCGCAGTGTCGTGTGCTGAACACGTGCAGAGGTTTCTGATAGAGAGTTTTCTCACATCACTCACAACGTCATACATTGCAGATGAGGCGGATTTCTATACGGTTCAAGTTCATTTCAACCGCGGGTGGAAATTACTTCTTCTTGGTCTCGGGCAACAAGAATCCCTTGCCCGATACATGGCGATGGCAGCACTTCGTCGAGCTATCCCAGTGATCAACGACACTTTGCTGGATTCCACCACCAGGGAGGTAAGCGTTGCCAAAGTTTCCACAAGCACTCGGGCTTTCACCGCATCCTTTGCTTATCAGCGAAGGGCGTCAGTTAATGCTGACCATAATCTGTGCACGCATACGTGATAGAGTTTGATCCGGGTGTTAATCAACTTGATGGTGTCAGACGAGCGATCGGAAAATCGGCTGAAAGCTGTTTACTTGCTCGGGCAACTTGGGTTTTACTTGGGCACTGTGCGAGAGCATGATGACTTATTGATGACCGTATGTTTGCGGGCGTCTGGGCAATGTGGTTTCGTATCCTCTCATGCAATATGGTGGCGCTGTTCTTGACCGCTTTCTATGTTACAGGCGTTCAAAGAGCTCACCAAGAAGTTGCTCTCCATCCAGTATGAGGAGAAACGTGATCCGGTAAGTTTTTGATTCCTTGTCACGACGGACCACGGCGCTTGGCACCTCACTTACCAGGCACGTTTCCTTCCATACGACTTTGCGTCCATCCCCTTTGCGATTGGAAGGCTCGGGGTGCAAGTCGGTTCACTGCCCGAAACCGGGAGTTGAAAATTTACCTTCTGAACGCTATTGGCAAATTCACACAATGTGCACATAAACAGTCTCGGATTGTGGAAGACCTCCTGGTGTACATGCTGCATGAGGAATTCGAGAGAGGCGAATCTGCAACCGACTTGAGGAAGCTCGATCCCCAGAGTACCGCGGCGCAAAGTACTACGACAGCATCTTCACGCAAGGCGAAAAGTTTTCCGGCGTTACATGTCGTCCGCGCTCTACTAAGTACGTTAAACAACGAGGTATGTCAATTCGTTCAAGCACTTCGCGGAATTTCGCCCAAGCTGCACAGCGTACGACGTGAATGAGATTTTTTTTTGAAACCTTGACGTCTTTTCAGATGAAGCGAACGGATAGTAATCAAAAATACATCGGCGCGATTTTCAAGAAATATGTGCATCCTCTGATGAGATCCAATCACCAGACATTGCAGACAATGGCCGTACAGTTCATTAGGTGAGAAGGCTAGCCTGCATGTCTCCGCTCACGCCGAGCTCTGAACTAGATTCTTCTTTCAGCAACTGGCTCCCCATCATGAATGACGATGCATCCTTGCTTGGCATCGAAACATTGATCTCCGGTCTTGAGCATACGAAGAATTTGCATGTCCCAAATTTCTCCCGCACGCAATATGATGCTGAATACAAAGCGCTGAAAATGGTAAGCGGCTGACAGCTTCTTGTCACCCGGAGCTTTGCCACTGTCCTACTGACTGACGTCCGAACTACAAAGAGGACGCGCATCGAAGAATCACGTATGGCAATGCGGTCCAAGCTTCTTCGCCAACTATTATTGGTCCCGGGCAACTTTGCCAAGCTTGTTCCGGTACCTGGTCACCTCGGCTTCTTTGTGGAAGTGAATTCGAGCATGATGTACACGAAGGGCATCGTTGTGAACCTACCGATTCACCCGAAATCGAGTGTGACACTGAGTCGCCCTCTCCCAAATATTCCTGGAGTTCCTCCAGCAGTGACTACTATTCCTCCCGTCTTCATGGTACGTTTTCAAAACTGCGTTATCCTCTCGACATTCAAACGCATTGACTTTGGTTCATTCCAAGGACCCGTTGTGGGCCGAACGACAAAAGGCGCCTGAACATAGATATGAATATATGGAGCGCGCCGGGGAAGTGCCTGGAGTACCATATGGATACACATACTCTCCGGCTCCGTTGGTTGATGTTACCGAGCTGCTGAAAGGTGATAATCCGGAGTCGAAAGGTATCCTCCGGACAGACGGTGCACAACGTCTGGTCGAAGGCTCCGCTGGCCGAGCAGAAACGTTTAGCAAGGCAGGGGGAGAATCTGAGGAGGCCTTACCGTCGAAAGGGCCCCAACGCTCCTCCGTTCGCGCTAACCCCTCGCTGGATAATAACAAGAAGCCGGCTATCCCCCCGGGTCGTCAAACTGGATCCGCACGTCGCCCCTTATCCTCCAGCCGACCGCGTCGACCCAGCGCTGTCGATGCGTTGAGAGGTGCCTCGTCTCCAAGCGAGGATCGCGTGGCACTGCGGAGGGATAGTTCAACCCAATCCCTTGCCCGACAGAGACCGCTAGCCAGACGAAAGCGGCGGGATGAGATACCCCCAGGAACAGCACGCATCCCTCAAAAATCGGACACGATGCCGAGCGATAGCAGACGAATATTACCGGGGTTTCTCAACATCTGTCCGTTCCCTGGATATGATCCGGACCGCGTAGATCGAGCCGCTGTGCCCGTATCCGCGATATATGGGAAGCAGACAGGACTCAACCGCGCCCAAGTCACCGGTAATACTGTTTCTGCACCGATAAAGACTAAGTCAGCTGGTGAAACTCGACAAGGGGCCGATGTTCCGGAGGGGTTTACCACTGACAGACATCCAGTACTGTGGCCCAGTCGCATCCAGTCAGTACGCTTTGCATTCCGTTTCCGCCATTTCAACCTCTTCTTACCGCTCCCGTGTACAGAAATCTTCGCAGCGCTCGCTATCCCACAGACTTTCCCATCAATGCCCCGGTTCTATTTGACATCATCCAGCCGGGATCGACACACTTGCAACGGGTTATGACACGTGTAGCGAGTATTAACAAGGAGATGGCAGCTGTAAGCGTGCAGAGAGGATCAGATGAAGAGTAGGTTCATTTTCCCCGGCTGTTCTTTATCAATGCCTGACGCTTTTGGGGATCACGTAGCGAGTCACTTTCCACCGGAGCTACATTCAACATTTTCATCCGCACCCGCCAGTCTCCCAATGAATGGATCACGGTGAACCTCGAAGTCGTCGACGACGATTTCCAGGACGGTAACGTTGTGCTTCACTGGCTGTTTCTTCAGCTCCAGAGTGATGTCCTTAAAACCGTGTTCTTGTAGATATCTCATTTGGAAAGCCTAAATCCTTGCTGCAATCAAGCCCAAGCTCAATGCAGTCTCTTGTAAATATTCGTAGCGATAAGTCATCGCAAGATGGGGAGCTACGCTCTAGCGCCGTCAGGAAGACCTCGGGCGTGCCCGGTCCCAACTCCCAGGCCCCACAGCCCACAGTCGTATTCCCTATTCCAAGCGGGTTCACGACGCAAGGAGAGCCGTATTTTGCACCACCAATCAATATGACCCCATTCCCAGTGGGATACACGGCTTTTGGTGTGCCGTATTTTGGTAGGACTTCATCCATCAAACCTATTCCAATGGGAATGACGACTATGGGCACTCGCTTCTACTCGGTAGACGGGAAAGCAAGTACGGATCAGGGTTCTCGCAATCATCTTGCTGGATACGATAACGTTGGTCAGCCCTTCTTTATTCCGAGAGGCTGCACTGTGCCGCCCCCGGCTGGTTTCACCAACGATGGAATTGCCTACTACGATATCCCCTCTCTGATGCATCATCGGGGAGTGATGGTTATTCCGCCGCCAGCGACCGTTCGTGCTGCATGGCCCTCCTTTGAAGAGGACGATGATGAGGAGTGGGATGAGGGTAGTGGCTCAGTGAGTCACATAGAGTCTCAGCTCAGCCTGACAAGATCTGCTCGTGGTACGGCGAGGCGGAGGCCACCAAAGCCAATGGATCAAGCACAGATGACGGCTCAACTGGTTGAGAACCTTGAGGAAGCGCAGCCTCAGCTCAAACAAAACTTCTTGAAAGGTCATAAGCGCGCTGTGGGAACGATCCGGCGAGTCGCGGAGTTCAGGAGACTCAATGGGTTTGATGAGGGAGAAGAGGATCTTGGGGATGTCACCATGGAAGATCCCGAAGATATTGTAGGGTTCTTGCGGGACAGCGATGATCTTGCGTATTTACGGGCCAATGCCATTCGCGTTCAAATCGAGCCAGGGAATCTCGAGTTTCAAAGCGTGCATGCCCCCGTGTCGAAAGCAGCGGTACTGAGATACCGTGCGGGACGTGGAGATTACGGAGAACGTGACTTTTTCTTGTCAGTCGAACCGGTCGATGTGTTTGCTGTCAAGATGTTTCATCTCAAACTTCAGGGAGAAGGGGTCATGGAAATCTCGCTGACCTACTATCCGGATGCAATGAAGATTGATCAAGTGGAAGGGTCCTTGAACTTGATTGACGACACCGGGAAGAAAATGGCTTCTTGCAGTCTCGTTGCCTTCCGCAAAAGCTTTTTGAAGGTCAACCCAGTCAGTGTAGACGCCGGCTGGACTCTCCCGGATCGGCGCAAAGAGGTCCTACTCACCATGGAGAACATCTCTAGCTCGCCCGCTATCGTTGCTATTCAATTAGAAAGCGAATTGCAAAATGTGTCATCGAATAACGGAGAAGCATATGGAACCCAATCATCCACTCCACGAAAGGACGAGCACGGATCCAAAAGGCAAAGCGATCGAGACACCTCAGCATTCGTCTTACCCGTCAGGCAAGTGAAGCTGCAGCCGCACGAGTCCAAAAATATCCCCGTGTATTTCGAACCGACGAAACTCGGGCACTTCGCGGATGTTGTGGAAATCAACGGTCCGGGAGGCGATCTGATACATGTAAAAATTGCTGGTATTGCCGGAATACCTATCGCTGTCTATCCAGAAAACGAAGAAAATTCGCGGGCTGGAGCGGCCGAACTCACAAGGGAGCGATGCAACTTCATGCGGAAGTTCCGCCGTCCTGATCCGCGCAGCGGGGAGAAGGCTCATGTGGCCTTGACCGCGGATGACACTGCAATTTTGAAGAATATGATGTCCGCTACTTCTGATCAGGATTCACGGAAGGAAGCCCATACAATGGATTTTGGAATATGTCCAAGTGAACCTCATTGCCGTTTGCGGTGCCTCACCCTTATGAACCTGGCTGACACTCCCGTAACAGTCGGTCTTTATCCCCATCACTCCGCCATCAAGTGTCCGTATCTAGTACGTATTGCGCCCCGAATGGCGAATACTGTAGAGGTCCGTTTCGAGAAGGAAGAGAGCTCCACTTTGAGCGGAAATATCCTCACTGCAATCGAAGTTATCTGCCCAGAGTTTCAGAATATTCCCTTGAACATTCGTGCATTTGTTGGGCAACCCATCTTCTGTCCGATTTGGGAGTACGCCTTCTTCAAGCCTTGTCGCATCGGAGCAGAAGAGCATCTGACACTGAATTTCATCAACGTCTCCCAATATGAGCTTCAGTTTCATGTCGACGGCCTTCGGGTGGCAGGCGAAGATGTTTCTGAAAGAAGCGATGGAGAATCCTCGATTATGGAAAGCTGTATTAGGACCACACTTTCAACGAAATTCAATGAGCCGACCACCATTCCCGCGTTTTCCATGATTCCGGCCACGTTCACGTTTTCCGCGAAGCAGAGAGGACCCTTACTGCAGCTCGTTGAGCTGTGTATTGTAAAGCCTTTCAAACTGAAAACAATGGCGGCAATCATGGAGAAAAGTCTGCACCTTATTGGCATTTGCATCGAGCCCTACCTTCATAGGCCTGGGGGGATACCGGATAAGAATAGTGTGGACTTCCTGCGAATGTGGATGTCTCATCCGAAGAGGCTTCTGGATGAATATCCATCATCAGCTGAAAGAGCGCAGAGGTTTGACTTGGGACCCATTGCGAAGCCCTACACACCTGGAGCCCGACCCGAGTTGACTTTCGCAAAAGAGCTTGTGATGTTCCGTCCAGGTACGTTCTTCAGTTAAGCAAGCTCTCATGAGCTCCGTCGTCAACTGATGCTCTTCAACCTAGATTTGTCCCGGCCGAACACTTCTGTGGCCGACGCCAACATCAGGAGGTCACATGTTCAGCCCATTCTCATCCAGAATACGGGCAGTCAAAACCGGAACGTAGTGTTTTTTGCGTCTACCGGATTCAGCGTCGACCCTCGAGCAAAATCAATGCAACCAGCGGATGTTGACAATGTGGACGTGATTTTCTTACCCCCGGTCGATATAAGTGAATCTGCGACAACTTTCGGATTTGCGGCCGCCCTCACGGATCATGATCACACATTCCACGCGATACAGACCGTGGGGAAGCCTTTACACGACATTCTCGTTTTTCCTCAACCAAGTAAGGATGGAAACGCAGTGATTCTCGACTTCGGACGCGTGGAGATGACGGTGCAAGCCTTGGATATAAACTTGAAGTATATTCTGCTCTGCAACACCTACCTGACCAGCTATTCTTGGAACGTCAAATTTGTTGGTACAAAGCAGAAGTTCTCCGCTTTTGATGCATCCATGATGATGGGAGAAATTCAGACCATGGAAAGCTTTGCGATTCCCTTTCGATTCCACTGCGATACCAGCGGTACTTTCGAGACAACGGCGGAGATATATGTCAAGGAGGCTGTGGACCGTTTCGCCAAACCAGTCAAGCTGGTGAACGTTATTTTGCGAGGGCAGAACGTGGCGACGTCAATGACAGGGCTTCCAGACACGTTGGACTTTGGTAGCACGGTAGTATACCAAAAAAAGAAAAGGAAGATTATTATCTCCAACAATGGGTCTACGGAAGCGCCAGTCACCATTCTATCGCGTCCTCCTTTTGATATCAGTCCAAAGTCGTTTTATCTTCCTCCCAAAGGAAATCAAGAGATAGTGGTGACCTACTCACCAACGGAGTCCCGGACGAGTCAGATCAAGGTTCTAGCGTTCTCAAATCATAAGCTTTATCTTGTTCTTTTGACCGGCACTGGCGGGACAGCCGAGCTCATCTGCGAAAAGTACGAAACGAAAGACGTTGATTTTGGCTTTCAACGCGAAGGAACTGTCGGGTACCTATCTCTTCATCTCACCAACAAAGGGACCCTGCCGCTGACTTTGAAAGCTGTGACGGCTGATAACCTGGATTTGGTCAAATTGGACTACTTGACGATAACATCGACAGTTCCTTATGAAGTGAACTCGGGGCAGCGGGCGGGCCGCAACGCCATCGTAGTAAAGCGGGACTTTTGGAGCATCTTGAGGCGGAAGTTTTCGGTTTTTAGCGTACTGAAACAGTTACTTTCAGGTTCGACAGGGGTGAGGAAGGTGAAGGATAAAAACCGTAGAAACGAGGGTCCATCGGAAGAGGAGGGAAAATCGATTCGCATTCAGCGCACGGGGAAGCTCAATCTCTTGGATCACGCATCGCTACTACAACTACCGCAACTTCGCCCATTTTATTCGTATCACTTTCGTTTAGGCTATACTAGCAGATATCAGGCAAGGAAGGACACGGACCTAGTCTTCCATTATATGCCCATCACCACGGACGAAGACCCAGAGAGCTTGTCAGCTCTTTATAAAAATATGTCCGTCCACGTCATCGGTGGGGTGTATCGCACGCTTGAACTCTACCCACCTTACCACGATTTTGGCTTGGCACCGGCCGAAGCGTACATCGCACCTGACACGCGCAAGATGGAGCATCGTGAACTGCTCGACTCGTATGGAGTGATGAGAGAAGGACAGAAAGACGGAGTAGCGCTCCTCCAATTGGAAGTTCTCAACATGTCAATGGAGGCACAGAATTTGACGCTTCAGTCGATCAACCCGGAATTTACGATCAAAGGGAGGACATGGACGCTGCAGGCTGGCGAAAAGATCTACATCCCTGTGGAATTTCATCCTCCGAAGGAACAGGTTCAATATCATGGCGAGGCGCGTTTCCTGCATAATTACGGAACATCCATTGTGCGGCTCTCCGGAACTGGAGCTAGCGCAGATCTCTCCACGGAGGAAGCTGTGGATTTTGGAAGCTTGAAAGTGGGCTCGATCGGATCGAAAACGTTGCACCTGCACAATCGAGGTCTTCTGGCATGCAAGTATTTTCTGGAGATCGCGCAGACAGGTCAGGACTTCACGCTGTTGAGCGAGGATCCCTTCGATCACGAGGGCCTCATCGACAGCGGTGGCCTGGAGTCGCTTGAGATTGAATGCAACTGTGAGCGTATTATCGAAACTTCCGCGCAAGTCATCATCCGTTGGTTGCGGAATCCCATAGGAGCCTGGGAGGAGATCGTCATCCCTTTGTTGGTCCAGGTGGGGATGCCGGTGTTCCGATTGCAAAATACCGAACTCGACTTTCACACAACGTACATCAATGTCAATAAAGCGTTGAAATTTGTTGTCACGAACGACGGAAACGCCATGTGTAACTGGGAAGCCAGCTCGGAAACGCCATCGCTGACTATGGACCCGGAGGGGGGCACTTTGCAGCCCGGGGAGACTCTGATTCTTGAAGTCACGTTTACTCCTCAGGATTACGAATCACTCCATCACAGCATAACGTTTTTCACCGATGTTGGGTCCAAGATTCTCATGTGCTACGGAATTGTTGGTGTTCCCTACCTGCAAATTTCTGAGGATGACATGTTCATCGACTTTGGTATCGTGTGCATCAACAAGACTCACACCCACGGGATGGTGCTGAATAACACAGGCAAACGGCACATCGAGTTTGAGATCAACCTCACAATGGTGACAAAGGATGGGACCATCATGTCCAACGATGATTTTGATGTTTTCTTCATCAATCCCACGCACGAGATCATTGAGCCAGGGGGCTCATTGGTGGTTGATATGCAAACGATGCCCAGAGAATACAATGCCATTTATGCGGGGCATTGGATGATTCGCACACGAGACGGAGAGCAGTACAGAGGTCGTCTGATGGCCACGGGCGGAAAGGCCATCATCAAATTGGCCCCTCCGTCTCTGGCCACCGATGAGACGTCAATCAAGAAGCCAAAGACCGCGGAAATGTCTTCGACAGCAGGCCGGCTCACGTCCGCGGAAGAGGCGCATTTCCTTCCAAGTGTGATCGAAGCGACACGACTCAACTTACAATCACACTTGGATAACTTGCAAGAAGTTTTAGCGGGACTACGTTCTGCTGAAATGGACCAGTCGATGTTGGCGGACTTGGCAAAGACTCAGCAAAGAATGCCAATGCCTCCAAACGCCGAAGCGCAGCTTTCACGCTCCCGGCCTTCGACCGGGCGACGGCCCCCTTCGTCCGCTCGCGATGTACAACTGGTGGCCGTAGGAGACCAGAAGCAGCACGGACTAAGGGTCATGGACGGCTCAGATGTTCGGCCACAGCTACAATCGCGTGGTCGTCAAACACCGTCGGAGATGCTTTCCAGGGAGACGACCCCGAAAGTACCCACTACCCCATCATCCGGCGATGCAGACCTGTCTGCAGCCGTGCAATACATGGATGAGCTGTCTCAGCTGGAAAACGAAATAGACTTGGCCATCGGGCTGCATGACCTCAATGCAACCCCAAAAAGCGCGCAAGGTCGTGACAAAGCTGGTTCCCCAGGTCTGGGAAAATACCAACCAGGATCAGGCCGAAAGCGCCGTGAAAAACGAACTCGCGAGGCGGCGGTACGTGACTTCTTGTCCTCGAGGGATGGGCGAGTCAGTACGACGGAATCCCGACCCAATACCCAGCTACAAGAAGAGAAAGCTTCATTGGCCGGAGCGACTGGGGCCTTGAGGGAGCTTGAGGCGCCGATTGAGGTCCTCATCCAGCAAGCGCAGGCTGCAATGCCTGATGACGATGCAGTCTCGGATCCAGCTTTGCAACAAACTCTACTGACTGCTGCAAGTGACAGGATCCTAGAGAGCACACGGGCGGTCATGAAAGCTGTGCGAGAGCAGCTCGCTAGCCCTTGGATTGGGAACAGAGACTTTCTGACAGGTGCTTTGAGGCGGTTACAAGAAACGACGCATCTGATGGAAACTTTGGTGGAGGTGCCAGAGCAAGCGACCACAGGAGAAAATGATTTCAACATGGGCCTGCTGAGAGCAGGGGAGCCGAGCGCCCCAATCTTACTTTTCAATCTCCCAAATGTCGGCAATTTAGGCTTTGATTATAAGATTCAAAAGAAAGAGGGAGGTGCTCTCTTACCACCGGGGTTCGAGTCGGGTGGTGCAGACTTATTCACGCTGACGCCACCCGCTGGGGAAATTGCACCTCGAGAATCAGTGAACATCTCGGCGACCTTTCAAGGGGATGTGCCCGGGTTGTATCAGCAAGCGTATGAGCTAATATCGGGTGGCGAAGTGGTCTTGACGTTCACGGCAACAGCTAAGATCGGGGCTCCAAGGCTGGTTTTGAGCGGCAATGCGATCGACTTCGGTTTGATAGCACGACAGTGCGCAACCTCCCAAACGCTCACGATCGACAATGTGGGGTCTTACAAAGACTCATTCCGGATTGAAGCTGCAATTCCTGAGGGCGGACGGCCAGTGTCTCGTGCATCGATTGATTCGCTGCCTTTTGTTCTCAGTGCCTACAAGGGAGACGTGGACATTGGCGAGAAATTCCCATTGCAAGTGACCTTCACAGCACCACAAGAAGGGGCGTATTCTCAGGTCTTCAATGTCTTTTGGAGCAAGGATCCTTTATCGCTAGAGTGCAAAGGCATCGGCGGTGGATACCGTATTAAGCCGACATTTGCGGAAGAGGCGGATAAACTATTTAACGGTCTGGACTGGGGAATGTGCGTCGTCGGCGTCGTGTATGAAAAGATGTTCTCTTTGACGAATCTCGGGAACGTCGAAGGAAATGTGAATTTGGCTCACAGCAGTGATTGCTTCCGTTTCGATGTTGAACGCAACAGTTCCGGAGAGATTGTGGTCGCCCCGCAGGCGGCGGTGCCTGTGAAAATCGTTTTTTGGCCCTCTCGCTCGGAAACAATCAAGGAAGGAGTGCAGATTAGGCTACCTGATGGCAATGTCAGCGTCATTGCGTTGAAAGCTATATCCGGAGTGACGGACTGGAAGGTCGATGGTGCCTTGAGCTTCACAAACATGCCAATCCGTGAAAAGCAAACGGGTACCCTGACCGTTACGAACATCGGTGACCTTGACATACCTCTCGATATCCTCCTTGAGCCCGATGATAGTGATGCTCCGATCACAATGAACATTCTTGATTGGCAAGTGGGACAGCCCCTAAGCCCTCATCTTCCTGTGACCGTGAACATCATCGCGGCCCCGCTGAAAGCATCCGTCGTCAGCGGCACGTTGACACTGATCACCAATCTGGGGAAAGAGCCTATCCAGAAAAAGCACGAGTTCAGCTTCCGAGCGTATGAAGAACAGCTTATGATTGAGAGTGAGAGCGATGCTTCCGTCGGACGAATAATGGTTGGGGAAACGGCATCAGTCAAGCGTGGCCTTACGAACTTCGGTAGTACCCCTGTGCGGTATAGGGTCCGATTGGAAGCTGTAGCTGTACCAGACGATCCGGAAACTGGCCCCACCCTCGGTGAGGGAGAGACGGACGCCGTCGATAGCACCAGAAAGCCGTCGAGGAGGAAGAAGAAGCCAAAGACACCGCAGTCGGGCGAGAAAGGAACCACTTTGACGCAATTGGCGAGTTCGTGGAAGCTATTGGGCGCTACTGGTCCGTAGCATTGGAGCTATCCATCTACTTCTCGTCGAATATATCCTAATCAAGAACTCATTTCAGAGGGCGAACTTGTTGCGGATGGCACCGCTCATTTGGAAGCCGTCTTCGAATGTACCGAGGACGACGATGATTGGCAAGAGGCAAGAATGATTGTCGAAAAATACACGGTATGCCTTTTTTGAGTTGGAGAGGCTCTTTTCACTTTGATCTTCTGGGGCGGGACGATAGCGCAGAAGTTGCCCTGTCTCACTTTTTCGCTTTCCCGCAGACTGACGCACCAGGGAACTGGGTGGAAGTGTCTTCATTCCGGGTAGTGGGAGCAAGTGGCAACCCAAAACTGGTCATCTTGCCATCAGAGCTCGATTTCAAAGATACAGGTTTGGGCGCGAGGAAGACTATGAACGTACAGCTGAGTAATGAGGTATGTTTGCGAGGAATTTAGGATGCATCTGTCTTTTTGTGCGTTTACCGGTGATCAAGTATATCTTGTCCTTGGATTAACAATGTTCGCCTGGTATTAGGGATCAGCCACTGTCAACTATGAAGTCCTTCCCAACTGGGACTGGGAAGGAATCATTTCCATCCCAGAAGACTTTCCCCGGCAAGGTCGCATTGAAGCAGATCAGATTCAATCCTTGCCGGTATCTTTCCGACCCGACCAGCTCGTCCCGTACGTGGCAAACCTGCAAATTCGTACGCAAGCTGAGACAAAAACGCTTGTCGTGAAGGGTCAAGGTATGTGCTCCACTGTGAGCCCTTTGATTGCCTGGCAGCGAACTCATCGAAACAACAGGAGCTGAGTACAAAATTTACGACGCCGAGTTTCCTGAAGTGCTGGATTTTGGCATTGTCTACATCGGAAGCTTTGAGGAACGAAAGGTAGTACCTGCAACATTCGGAGGCTTGCGAAGACCATATTTTTTGATGCGCGATTCCGTTCACGTCAAAGTTCCCCATCTCGAACGATTGCGCTTATCAAGCGCAAGTAAATGCCAAAATGTTCACCGCCCCCCCGACCCACAATCAACCCGAGCCCGAAATCGCCATCGGCGTTCGCGTAACGCCGCCAACGCTTCTTTTGGCGGCAAATACAGACGCATCACAAAGGTGCGCACAGTCAGAGGTTAAGAGAAACTGGTTGTACATTTATCAGAAATCATACATTTTATGACTCCGTAGGACAACAGAGGAATTTACAGTGCGGATTGACGCCCCGCTTCCTCTCAATGATGACGGCAGTGTGAATGGTCAAAGTATAACGCATATGATTCGCAAAGGGCTCCGTAGTGCCACTTTCTGCATCCAGGTGGATGGTGGGGCAACCCATTTGGTACCTCTCGCCTATCGATTCGGACTTAAACAGCTGGCCACCATCATGGCTGGGGCCATAATGAAAGATGGGGCCTTCTCAGACAATCAACGACTGAGAGGCGTCGATTTTGGAGAAGTGGTGGGTTCGATACGGCGAGACACCTCATAGCTGATTACTAATGAGCTTCCTGACTTTTCAGAGTATTGAAACTGGTGCCTCCATCAGCTTCATGGTCCACAATCCCAATGGCTTCGGGGTCATTTTCACATCTACCGTCAGCGATAAGGTAGGCAGACACCACGGCATAATGCTCTCTCAAACATTCACTTAAGTCTGATTATGTTTTGGATCTCTTCGATATCAGCAATTTCAAATCACGCCCGATCATGGCAGCATCTCTCCGGAAGGGGTCCGGGAGTTCCGGTGCGAGCTCCTGCCCTTCGCCTTCGATCCAAAGACGACGGTACCAAACAGCGAGCCACATGATGGCCTCCTGGAAATATTCAGTGACATTGAGGCACACGAAGTTCTGTCGTTGAGCTTGAAAGGGACATTAATTGACGTAAGACACCCTCATGCAAAGAAAGCGGATACTTCCGCTCGACTTCTTCATTTTCCTTAGTTATGTATTCACGAGGCCTTCAAACTTCTTATATCAGGAACCTCTGCCACTTACGGCACCCCCTCCAGTTGGGTTCGGGCCAGTTCAAACAAATCGGAAAAAAGACATGTCATTCTCGTTCCGCAACCCTGTCCGAAGGTCTATCAATTGGAAGTTTCATATCGACCCTGCATACGGCGACGTTTTTGAGGTCTATGGTGCTTCTGAGGTTGGTATAGCTGAATGTTTACAAGAGACGGAGCGAGACTTCCCCTTTCGTCAACCCGGGCATCGTTATGGTGCTTCTATAAACTCGGCTCACCGCATTTTGATCTCCATTTCAGGGTAAACTCGGACCCCGACAAGAAGGGCAGATAAACCTGAAATTCAAGCCTCAAATTGCGGTTGGATACGCCGTCAGCGGATACCTAGAAACTGATGAGGGTTCCTTTTCGGTACAGCTGCAAGGAGCCGGTGTAGACCCTGCTGTCGAATTGGACACACGCTTCGCGGACTTTGGTGTGGTTGGCATCGGCAACCCTGAGTTCAGAGAGGTTGAGATCAAGAATCCTACCGAACTCACCATGCGTGTCGGGGCTAGAACAACCAGTGAGGCATTCACCACCGATGTCAAGTACGTGTTGCTTTGAGTTCTTCGCGGATGGGCATGCTTGTCGACGTAAATGCTGACGCGAGGTGGTTGAATCCTCCAGAGAGCTCTCTATTCCCCCCGGCGAGTCACGGAAAGTCAAGATCTTCTATAATCCGAGCCACACCGGAGAAGCGGCTAGCGGACGCATCGGATTCGTTAGTCTGGACCAAGTTGAGGAATTAGAGGAGGAGGACGCTGAAGAGGTCCAGGCCCGACTGGAGTTCGAGCAGCTTCTGAGAGCAGACGACCAGGAGGGGGCCGAAAGCGATGCAATGCCTCCGGCTTCAGTGGCACCGGGCTCGGTCCAGAAGCTTCAACCGCCTACGGGACGTGCTCCAAGCCGCAGAGCTACTCCGCGTACTCGTCATTTCACTGGTCACGAGCGGATTCTTGACCAAATCGAGCTGGAAGGTATCGCCGGACAATTTGGATTTACCGCCTTGAGTGGCGATGAAGAAGGCGAGCCACAGAAAGAAGTTCGACCCCAGTCAGCAGTTGTCGAGCTGCAGCTTGGAGCCGATGAAGAAGACGACCTTCGGGGAACCATCCGGCTGAACTTTGCTAAGGTTCCCGAGAAGCAACGTCTGAAGAAGCATTTTGAGGTGGAGAATGTGGGAGATACCCTGATAGACGTTCTCGTGGTGGATGAGAATCGCGTTCCGCTCGGACTTGCGGGGATGAGCGGTGGCTCAGAGAACTCCTCACAAGAGCTCTCCTCCATCCCCGGGGGAAACATCACCTTCCGAATCCAGCCGGCCGCCGCGCAAATCCAACCCAGAACGAAGCAAAAGTTCACTGTATATGTCAAAGGTGTGCGGCCCGGCGATGCAAAGATCTCGTTATTCTTGCGTACCCGGACGCTTGCAGAACCCAAAACGATACCCATACGTATTACAGCACGAGTGTTTGGCGCTATGCAGCTTTTCAGCGAAGGATTGAGAGCATTTTCACGGGCAGATAACAGCATCGAAGCAATGATCGACTATGCACGGCAAGAAGAGTTCACCTACGGAGGGGATACGGACGTCTGGAAGATCCTCTTGCCGATTGTCCGAGTTGGTCCGCTATTACCTAGCAGCGAGCTCCAAAGCGTACCTGTACCTGAGGTGAACTAGAACTTCATTTCTGGAAATCGGTGATGGAACTGTGTTGATCTAACTCTTGAGCCGGTTTTCCGAATCATTTCAGCCCGATGTGAAGCTTCCCTCCATACAGTCATACACTGTGAGGCCCCCGGCCATTCCTCGCGAGCTACCTCCTCGGGCCAAGAAATGGTATATGAACCGGGTCTCGATGGGATTGGAGCAAGGAGGTCGCGGACGTGGGCTATATGTTGATGAGGATCTTCAGCAACGTCGGCAGGAGGCCGCGGAATTCGTTCAGCCTGTGGAAAAGCGAGTTCAACTGGAAAAAACAGTGCGGCGATAATTTAGTCATAATGTACATTTCCGCTGTGTATGTGAAGAGGGTTCCGTGTACGTAATGTATATGTATCTTCCTAAGTAATATCATCGTTGGGTAATATCTTTATAAGTAATATCTTCTCGATGTTCAGTTTCGGCTGGAGTCCTGTTTCTCAGCTGTTCGATGTCGATACGCGCTGTCGAATTCTGTCAGGGGTCTTGCGTGTATCTCCAGACACGATGCATACCTTGACCTCATTGACTGCACGATTGTCGTGGGGTTTCTTCATGATGTGACCTGTAAATGTATGTACGCTCAATGCCAAAACCTTTGCTCTCGTGCGAGAGAGAGAGAGAGAGGAGAACTGCAAGTAGCTGAGTCTGTGATTGCGCACGAATCCAGATATGGTGTACGTTTACATCAACGGTGCTGCATTGAAATTCTGATGAGAGTTCATTGTTCAGTCCGTCTCGTCTGTCTTGCACGTGGGAGCGACGCGCAGCCGCAACCTCCGTCTCGCTCTGATGAAGGCTCGACGAGTGCCCCCCGCCTCCCAAGCGTCCAGACTCCGACAGTTCTTGCCCCTGTCTCTCTCTCTCACGACAGATCCCTCTTTCCCAGTGATTCCCACGGCAGCCCTCCCAGCACCATGGCCACAGAGCGACGGAGGCAACAGCCTGTCCATTCAGCAGCGACGTCAGACGAGCCAACCGTTCCCTCTCGACCGTCCCCTCCCGCGCACGCAAAATCACTAACCCTACTGTATGACGAGTTGGATCCGTGGCAAAAAGTCAGTGCGCCTGGAAAGAGTTGAAGAAGGCCCTGGAATGCACCTCTTATTTTCGCACAGGACAATTTTTTCATTCAAACCGGCTATAGGAGGCTGCAATACTCGTATCTAGGCTGCATCCGCTCTCTCGGCTACATCCACAATGAGACGGGGAACGTCTTTTCGCACCTTCTGGGAGCTTTGATTTTTATCGCATCCTTCTTCTTCACTTTTTCCTACGTCCTCGGCGAAGCAAAACTACTCTGGGGGGACATCATCTTCATTTCAATCTTCTTGTGCTCCGCCATCACCTGTCTTGGACTTTCGGCATTCTTTCATTTGGTGGTGTGTCATTCCCAGCATGTGTGTCGCATATGGAACAAAGCAGATTATGCAGGCATAGTGATACTGATCTGGTTAGCAAGATTACAGACGGCTCTTTCGCTGCTTGTCGCTCATACCTAAATCTGACGCTCTCACACCTAGCGGCAGCACCTATCCTTCCATCTACTATGGGCTGCAATGCTATCCAACGGAAAGAATAATATATCTGGTCGGGATTACCGTATTCGGAGCGGGAACGATGTATACGAGTTTGAGCAATCATTTCGCAACGCCCGAATATCGGATTATCCGGACTTCCAACTTTGTCGCTCTCGGTCTGTCGGCGATAATCCCAGTAGCTCACATAATGCATCTCCAAGGGGTACGATGCGAAATGCCGTGCAAAGCTCCTACTTTGGTCATGTGCGCGCTTCAGTGACTGAATCGGTCGTTTGTAGTTTACTCACACCAATTCCGCGGTGTCCTTCTGGTACCTTATTGCCATGGCGGCTTGCTACCTTATCGGCGCGTTCATTTACGCGAGTAGAGTTCCCGAAAGATGGTACCCTGGATCGTTCGACATTTGGGTAAGTGCCGCGCGGTGTCGTGGAGCGCATCATCGGCGCTTGGAAAACTCATCCGTCTATCAACAGGGCCATTCGCATCAAATATTTCACGTTCTCGTTGTGTCTGCGGCAATATTCCACTACTTCGGCCTCATTCGTGCATGCAAGTTCTGGCGAGAAACGAGCCCCACCTGCCCTTTATCAGGATGACATGGCGATTGACGCTTCCAGGTCACATTGGATGGCTTAGATAGAGGACAAGTATATTATCACGTAGTGAAGCCGTTATATAGATCGAAACAACGACTCAAGAAAGGCTTGTTGAAGAAACACACCCAAATAATCATGATTGAAAAGAATAAAAAACCGCTAATGAGAACATCCCACAATGGAACAGAAGCCCTCACAGTACAGCTTTATCAACGGTCACCGTTAGACGACCGTTCACGACATCGCTCACCGCGAGCGACCCAACAATGCCAGGAGCAGTTCCTAACGACACGGAAGTCTGTGACGAGTATACATCCTTTTTGCCGTCAGCCTGATTCTCGATCCGCATCGCTTCCATATATATCGCAAGGTTAGCCACTTCACTGGGCGCCGCCGCGACCGAAGAGGAGACCGCCTCACTCGGCTTGTGAGCTGGTTCTCGTGAGCTCTTCGGCCTGAGAGAGGAATCTTGCCCTTCAACAACGATGACGAAAATGTCGTCGCGAGCGAACCTTGGCGAGAACTGCGCGTCTATCCTCCACTTCTCGTCTGTTTCGGTCACGTCGAGTCGTTCGATGGGACATGGGATGGTCTCGATAATCGTCGATTTCTGCGTCGTTGCTTGAGCGCTGGTCTTATGCGCAGGCGGCTGGTGCGAAGCAGTCTTCACCGGACGTTGCGCGCGCGTTGCTGCTGCTTGATATGCCTGTGCATACTGGTCCTTTGACCTTTGATGACTTGCGGTGGTAGAATGTACCGGTGTCGGCGGCGACGCCATTGGATGCGACGCAACGTAACCGCCCTTCGCATGTGGCTTCTTGATGAAAGTCGACAACCGGCGAGAAGCCTGGAGATTCGGGTTCTCGGCTGCGGGTGCAGCAGGGGTGGACAGCGTCTGAAGCCGGGGACCGGAAAACTGAGTCACCGAGTACTGACTCACTTGTTGCTTTGCGGAAGGCATATGCATTGGGTAGGGATACGATGTCGAGTATCTACCGTATGAGCCTCCAGCGGCCTGGTGAGTCTGCGCGGATCGTTGTACCGGGCGCCCCATGCGAACAGGTCCATGCTGCGGATTCGTTGCGTACATCCCGTCCCTGGGCTGGAGCTCCGAACCCCGCGCGGGGGGTGGCGCAACCGTAAGGCAATTTGGAGCCGAGACCCGACGAGACATCAGGTAGTGAGCCGTTGGGATCATTTGAGGGAATGGAGGGGTAACTCGGCCGTATGCTGCTTCGAGTGACTTGCGCTGATCCGGCGGCAGCTTGGCTCCGTGGAGTAACGCAGGGACCGGCATCCAATAATGGAAGGAAGGAACGTTTCCGCGTATTTGGGGTGGGACTACTCGAGTTTGATCCGGATGCTGCTGATGTCTCGGAACCGATGGCGTCTGCTGTTGCTGCTGCTGCGGCGGCGGCGGCTGGTAGCTTCTCACATTTTGCTGTGGATGGCTCCGTTGTTGGTGGCTCGTAGACAACGGCTGCTCAACAGCCGTGGTGTTTGAGCGGGTGCCACGAGAGGAACTGACTCTGATTCCTTTTGCCAACGCCAGCTGCTCAGACTTCGCCGCGAGCTCGTCGAGGGTCAGCTTTTGGGATACTGGCGAGCTCAGCTTCTCAAACGGGGTATGCTTGTCGCTCAAGTTGTTCATAGTCGGATTTCTGCCAACAGAGGCCCTGGCGAGCACGGGTTGCGAACAGACTGGGACTGTCATGCCACTGGACTGAGGAGCTCGGTAGGAGCTCATTCGCAAGAATCAAGCGGAATGTACGTTCAATTGAAGGCGGGACGGGGTTTGCCGCTGTATTTGGGGCAGAAATCTGGTAGGAATACTGGCAGAAATAAGAGCAGTTTTGAAAGGACGGAAGAAAACGAACAGAAGGCCGACGTGGGCCTCAGAATATATGGGGCGACGTGCTGTTTACGGGAATTGGCTTTTTTTTCCAGGGCTGGGCGTGCTAATCTTGTGGGAAGGGCTCGGCGACGGATGGAAGCGTAACTTTAAATATGAAGATACCTTCCAGATGAGCCTGCTTTCACATTCCATTTCAGACGTCAGTGCTTCAGTTTCGCTGAAGCTTACGATGCTCCGCGGTTTCCGTTCCGATTGCCCCACCGCAGTAACTTTGCCCTAATCCCATTTGGCTTTCTTCCTGACAAATAAGCTCTGAACCTGAACGCGGCCAAGTCCTCTTGCACGAATGATGGATGCAGGTGGAAGAATGAGAAGGCGTTGCTTCACTCCAGTCCGGGGGAGCCGAAGACGACGCGCTGTCAGACGAAAACTCCGCCCACGCGCTGTCAAGATCTATCTATGACCAAACAAATCGAGCATACATCACATGCCGGAAAAGCTCGCCTAGCTCGCTGTTAATGAAGGGCAATTCTGGTGTTTGCTACGGAGTCTTTTCACAAGACCAGCTCTTTGCAGTAGTTCCCTAACCAAAATGCAAACCAGGTTCCCATAGCTCCAACGACTCTCGTGTCCTGTGTTCATGTCCAGATCCTACTGTAGTTGTCCGAAACACGCCTCTCGCGCATGCCGTGAGGAAATGACCAAGCCGTTCCCATGTTCCCCATCTTGCTAGAAATTTCATCTTTAACTGTTGTTAGCTGACTGTGGATATGCTCTCTGCTGAGGAAAACCTGGGCCGGGCAGAGGACAGCTTGTCCCCGCACTCGACTTTGCCGACCTCCGACGATGTCAAAAGGAGACACGACTTTAGGGCAGCCATACACCTCAGCGCACGGCCACGGCAAGACCAGCCCGAGGTGACGACAATTCGTCAACGCCTTTCTCTCCTAGGGCTCATATAGAAGCAGCTGTTACTAAATGTCTATCGAACCATTGTAGGCCCTGCACGGAGTAAAGTTTGGGTCACATCGACTTTGGACGCTGAGCCATGATGTTACGCATCCTGTGCGCGAACTGTATGGCTGCGAGAACGTAGTGCTCGCAACCAGGACACTAGATGAAACGCGAGGCGATGTAGGGTACATTCCCTCAACTTCTCTGCCTTTTCTTCGTTCTCATTCTATCTGTCCGGTCTCCCGCAGGTGTCTGTCCAACTCCAGCGAGTAGAAAGCGTCAATGCCATGGATATGAAGCTAGGCCAAGACTATGCAGGGGCTCCTAACAAAAACGGGTGCCCTTCTAGCATATCTTACAGCAGAGACCTGCTTTCAGGCATGTCGATGGACGAAGCGAGGTTAATGATAGCCAGAAGGATCTTTCATTCCTCTGTTTCCGACTAAATGCTAAACTCACAACAGAGAATTGATGTCTCTTTACTGCGAAGCTTTCGATCCCAGCGAGTCTTCTGCCCAAGCGTTAGCTCCGCTTTTCATTCGCGTCGCTCCCCCTGAGACGACAGAAGCATCCTACGTAGGGGTGCTGGGTCACGTTCGCGACGGTGCAAAGATATTCGTAAGCCACAATGTAGCAACAAAAGGTGTGTGGCGGGTTGCGAATAGAGTGGAAGTTATGCTGCGTTCTTCGTTATGCTCAGTTTTCTTCTCTAGGATGGGTGTCTCAAGAACCGGCAGAGGACTCGTCACAATTGCCCTCTTTGCAAGACGTAGTGGAGGACTATCAGCTATTCAGTGGAAACACGCAAGAGGTAAGATTCTATTGTCAGATATTCCCAGTGATAGGCCTCCTTCAATATATCCCTTGGCCTCATCATGATTGATCGATCGCCCAGACTGCTCTGAGGAACGTGGTTCAAGCAAGATATGACATCCTACGGGAAAGCCTCTTCAAGGCCGGTACCTTTCCGGCGACTAGGGACGTCCGAAGTGAAATCTGACAACGTATTGCTTTTAGACAACATCAGATGCGCCGATGAGTTCCATTGTGATGAATGCTGAGTGGGAGAATGCCGACAAGGTGCTGGGCGCCCCTCCGCCACTAGCTCGGATGACTTTGGTATGCTGGCTGTTTTGTAGCTTGCGACGTATCACTCTCTTATGCTCGACCTACAGAGGGTAAAGAGCGTGTATGGAGAGATCGACGCCGAAAACAACATCCCCACCAGCGCTCTTCGGGATCAACTTCTGCGGCTGGTGGAGTGGGATCGTGCGAGAACGGAGGATGACTGGAGTCCACCTACTCGGGGTACATCCGGTTCAAATATGGACGGAAGAATCACGCCCAACACGGTGGACGAGTGGCTGAAAGGTAGAGGGTGGTCTGTTCCTGTTGAAGCCTGCGACCCCTCTGATCATCTCGTACTGGTCACTAGATATCAAGGAGGAGGGCTTCACAGCACGTGCAACATCCTCCGACTCGAACGATACTACCTTTGATTTGGACGCATCCCAGACATTACCGCCACGGCAAGACCTTGATTTCGCGGAACGATTTTGGCTGTTCACGCAAGGTAGACTTTCTCACTTTTCGTTTCCTGAAAGGTCGCGCTGGCCAGGACAGCTGATCCTTTGGCAGGAACGACAACGTGTCGGGAGGACATCTTGATGGCCCTGAATGTGTTGATAGAAGAATTGGAGACGGGGAAACTCCAGCCTATGGTAAACCCGCATTTTCCACAGTGTCCGCGTTCCGCTCTGCTAATAGTCAACCCCAGGTCAACAAATCGAACCACTGCAGCTTCGCACGAGTCATACGAGACTGTTACAAGCTTCTTCGCATGCAAACCGCACCAGATTTCGACGAACAGAAAGAGTCGATAAGTCGGACCTTCGACTACTGGCTTGAACAACCGTTGGAACTTATGGTCGAAACTGGAATTTGGAAACTTAAGCGGGACTATTGCTTCCACTTGCTCAGTAACGAGCTTGCGAGTTGGGAGGAATTGGATGGTTATATCGACGCTGCCCTTCCTCTTGAGGATCAAGTGACGCGATTACGGCGCCTGCATCGGGTGGTAGAGCTGTTGAGTCTAGTGAAGGCCAACGTCTTGCAGATGCCAGTGGAAGCTATGCGGATGTTGATTCAGTCGTCGCTGCGGTATTACTTCCATGAAGCGTCCGCAGTGTCATCCGAAGGCGAGGAAATGGGAAACATCGATCCCACGACTACCGTCGTATACAACCTAGCTTTGCCACGATTTGCCAGTGCTGGATACAAAGCACTTTCTGGCATGGTTGCAGGGTACGTTGCCGCTGCCCATACTCATTTTTCCCCGATCTGACACATCTCACTCATAACGTGCGCAGGTTTGAGCCCTCCTCCTGGAAGATGACAACTGCACCTGTAGCAGCAGCAGCTCACAAAGGAAGCAAGCCGACCGATGTAACAACGACCTATCCAACGTACACAGTCCAGTTTGACCGCTCCGACACTTTGGCCGACGATGTACCATACGTCACAGGGGCCGCCGTGGGTAGTGTGGAGTTTGAAGAGCAGCAGCTTGAGGCGCTCACTGAGAGAATGTTAAGGCAAGGTAGCAACAAATGGCGTATGCTTGTCGCTACGGCGGTGGCATGCTGAGGCTTAGTGAAGCGCGGCGTAGACATCAGGACTGGGTCAGATGAAGCGTTGCTGTCGATAGTACATACTTCCTACAGAACCTTCAGCTCCATTTTTTAAACATCGCCGGTTTCGGTCCCGGTCCGCTATGAAAAAGACGCTCACCTCCCACGTTATTCACATTTGCCCAGTGGGGAATCTGGACATCCGACATCGGACAATGACTTCGTCGTTCATTGTTTGACATGCAAGCCCTCGGGGTCAAATGGATTCACTCAAGATAGGTCAAAAACATGAGAAATCTATAAGCCCGCCATGTATATATATATACGTACATTAGGCACCTTTGTGCAAAACTGTAGACCCACGCAGACATAGCAGGAACGTAGGGTGAGGCAGGAGTCGAAGGCGGCCGCATGGCCCCTTCAATATCATGCGGTAAAAGGATCATCGGAACCTCGCCCGGAACCGAGCAACTCCCTTACCCTAGCGTCTAGCTCCCTTATCAGGCGATCTTCCCTCGTATATACGCCAGTGCTGAGTAAGGAATCGCGCTCGCCAGCCAGTCGTTCCACCTCCGCGAGGACACCGGCGTCAAGCTTCGGCCGTGGTGGTGCGGCGGCGGCTTCTGCTGCATCCAGATGCTCGCGTCGATCGTACGTAGGTCCTCTATCATCTGGCCGCGACGAGCTTTGCCCTATCACGTCTTTGGAGCCTTTGCTCGTCCGCAGTTTCAGTTCCTCCAAACCGCGCTTGATGTCGCTCAGGATATCGTGCTCCAGCTCTGATGGTTGCGCACGGACGTGGGCAGGCTGCTGGTCTCCGCCGCGGCCACCGGAGAGAGGGTTTTCCTTTTGATCCAGGCGTCGCTCGACATCTTCCGTCCACCGCTTCCGGCACGCAGCAAGCTCTTTGAGTGCGCGAACCCACTGCCCCTTGTAGTATCGCCTGCCCCGTTTCTCTTCCGTCAGTTTCGCCTCGGATTGCGATAAACTCTTTTCGAGCATTTGCACGCGGTGTTGGAGAGAGCCGGGGGTGGGTTCCGCCATGAGGGTACGTTTGAGATCGGCCAGCGTCTCCTGGGCTTCCGCCAGCCGCCTTTTCGCCACCTGTTCGCCAGCTATCGCTTCGTCCCGTTGACGCTGATAGTCCGCCCCACGTCCCTTTTCCACTTGTAAGCGATGTTTGTACTCATCTGCTATTCTCCTTGCCCCGTCCCTCGCTTCATCAACCACCCTTCGCGACTCACGCTCAATCTCATCCCTCCTCTGCTCCCATGCCAGCTCAGCCTCCTTCAATTTGCGATCCCTAGTCTCAAGCTGCTCAGCCAGATCCTGCAGTTTCTGCTCAAACGTTCGAAACTCCTCCACTTTCCGCTTCACATCGCTCTCGCGCTCGCGTTCACGTGCGGTCCATTCGCGAGCGAGTTGGTCCAGAAGCTCCTTTTCGCGGGTTCGGAGGTGGATGCGGAATTTGCGCTCTTCTTCGGCGCGCCAGAGTTCGTGTTCGAGAGCTACTTTGTATTCCGAGGTGGAGTGGAGGGAGGTGAGGGCCGGGCTGTTGTGGCTGAGGCTCGGTGCGACGCTTGCGGAGATGCTGGAGTGGGAATAGGTTCGTGGTTTGCGACGGCTTGTATCGGAGGGCGTTGGTGAAACTTGGGGCGAACGCGATTCGGGAACCGCCGGCTGGTGTTGTTGAACCCGAGTCTCTGACGTGACATGTGCCTCATCGACCGGACCGAAGTCTTCCAAAGCAAGGATCAAGCGAAGGTCCGCAACCTTTTTGATCAAGCCGCCCGGCTCAGGCGATACAATCGCCCATTTGTCCAGACTCCTCAATTTGGCTTTCGCACCGATCCCGATCCCAATGCCAACCTCTTCCTCCGCTTCGCGTTGCTTCCACACTTCCGCAAGATCAACGTGGGCACTGCCTATTATCAAGTCCCTGGCGAACTTATCCCTCTCCCACATCTCAACCACTAGTGGAATCGCTTCCAAGTAGGTTTGCAGGCGGTCCGGGGCCATAACGAATTCGAAAGCGCAGAACGCGTGTGGTAATAAAATCTCGTGATGTGATTTGGCAATGGTGACGGGCGGACGGGTAAGTACCGGCGATGTGCTGCCGAATGGAGGATAGGTATATTTCAAATATATGCTGGAGCTTTTCAGTTGAAAGTCGCGGACTGAGCGAAGATCGATTGAGAAGCGGTATTGCTGCCACGGAGTTAAAGGGTCCAGCCCACTGCGAGGGCTTGCAGCGTTTGTACCACTGATTCCTAGCGTCCTCGCCGGAGAGGATTGCGGCCGTGCAGCTGGTTCCCGCGGACGACCAGCCGTACTCCGTATCGGTGGGCTGTGTGCAACTGGTCGTATTATGGGCGACATGATAGACATGTCTGGTGGTGCCGATCTGTCGTCGTGAGGTGTCGTGGCCCGAACAGGTGGGTCTTCCCCAACAAGAAGGGTATCTTCCTTCAAGCCCGCAAGATTTGTCATTGCGTTTATCTCATCCGTCTCTGCAGGCTGAGGGCGGTGTCCGTGTTCGATCGACATTGAAAGTCCCAAGCTAGGTCTTTTCCCCCGTGAAGACAGTGGTAGCTCCTGCCTCAGGCTGTACATATTGTACATTCTTTCCACTGTGCGGAAACTGCCCTCCAGCTTGGAATGCCCGTCGTCTGCACCTTCCTGTAATGGCCCCAGTGGAACGTCTGCAAAACCTAAAATCTGATCCCCACAGCACAGATAGATCGTCAATCCAGAGAGCTCCCGAATGAATGAACGAATATCGTCTTCAGACCCTCTCAGTCGCATGGAGATGAGCTCGGGTTGAATATTTGCTTCCCTCAGTTGGTTGAATGCTTCGCTTTTGATTTCGTCTCCCAAAAGGTAGAATGTGAAGTAGTATCTCCTGGCATCTCCAGTTCCGTCCAGCTGTTTCGTTCCGCCTGACCCTTCCCCCAATGCGACATTTTCAAGCGAGCGACTGTGTGAAAGTGCGTGATCTGGCAGCAGATCCAGGTTTTCAGCAAAAGCTATCGTGATGCATAACGTCCAGAGTGAGTCGCCGTGCCCGACTTGCCAGTACCCATCATCCGCGAGGTTCACACCTATGCTGAACGCCGGGGTCGGGGGTATTATTGACGATTTTGTCGTGATGACGGGGACTGGAAGGGTTGCCTTCTTCTTCTGCTCTGCTTTTGGTTTCTCCCGCATCCTCTTCGGGCTACCAGAGCCCGGAGGTCCGCTCATCCGCGGCGACCGCCCCTCCAGAAACTCTGCTTCGTCCTGATCCACTCTCGGAGCGCCCTTGGGCTTTACAGCAAAGATCAACTTGATCTCCGGCCTAAATGGGCCTGAGTACTTTGCGTTGACCAGTGGGTGCCACTCCTCTCGCTCCATACCGCTGGACGGCGCAGCTCGCAGCTCAAGGACAAGATATCCTAGGGAATGCCGCGCGTTTGTCGAAGTCACAGAGTACACTACCAGTTTCAGTGCCGCGCGCTGCGATCTCAGATAGCTGAGCGCCTTTGTATCTATGTCCCAGGCAAGCTCGGTGTCGAAGATTGGGTTGGTGGAGTGGTCGACAGGCTCGGTCGATAGGATTTCGTTGTTGAACTGACATTGTATGTAGACTTTTGCGTTTGGCTTCTTCATGAGATACTGTCCTAGAGGCTAATATTAGTGAGGGGCATGTGGCGAGGAAACCTGTGCTTTTTTACCTTCCAGAACCGTCACGACGACAGTGTGCTCTGGCGGCCTGGCCATCTTGACGCGTGAGACAATCCCCGACTTCTACCCGAGTTACAGGACAACCCGCTCGAGAGCAGAAGAGCCGATAGTGTGCAGACACACTGGGATGCGGGACTCGCCTCCGACCGACCAAGCGAGCGAGACCAACGAGTGCAGATAGTGTGGTCTTGGGGGGGGGGGGGGGGGGGGGTTTCGCCGTGTCGCTTTGTCGAACTGCAGCGAGACTGTGAGCGTTTGCACAAGCCACCCGCAGCAACGCAGAAGAGGCAGGACGCGACGCGACGCTTTTTGGACGAGAGGAAACCCGAGAGGAAACCACAAGCGGGACAGACGGACAGCATCGGGACTTCAAAGGCAAGTTGGGAAAGTGCGCCGCCCGCCATAATACAGTACGATACGATACAACCATGCCGCACTATGTCGTGGGCCTGACCCTCACTCCCACTCCCACTCCCTCCGCCAACTCCCTGCACGCGACGTTGGAGACCCTCTCGGGAGCAGCAGCAGCTTTCACACCTCCCGTGCAAGTTCTCGCCTCAAAGTCCCTGGACGACGTTCTCCTTCTCGAATGCACCGTGCCCTTGTCAGATGACGACGCCATGGTCTCTCTCTTCGAATCCCTCTCCTATGTCTCCGAAGCAGAAATCTATGTCACGGCTCCTTGTCGAGTTCCGATAGGGACGTGGACGACAGACTCACTAGTGGCGCGCGAAGACAGGGGTGAAACTGTAGACGCCTTTTTTGAGCGCACGGGCGTACTCGTGTACAAGGAAGCGATTCCGATCGAGCGTATTGACGCCGTGCGCGCATTCGTAGATACGCAAATCGAAAAGGCACACGCGGCGTTATCCAAACGATACCCGGCCATCAACGTGGGTGAAGAGCAGTTTGCATTCAAGGAGATTGGCAGCCGAGGAGGGAACCGCTTCGACTTGATTCTGCAGGCAGATGAAAGTCCTCTCGCTGTCAAGCAGATTGCGCAGGAGGGTCCATGGGTCCCCCTAGTCAGACGGGCATTACGTTTGCCGGAAGATGGATCGGACGTTCCGTGCTTGATCTCCGTCGTTTACTCCCTCCCTGGAGCTGATGCCCAGAGCTGGCACGCAGATGGAGTTCCCTCCACGCCACCATATGCAGTATGTGTGTTCGTGCCGTTGATTGATCTGGATGCGGATACTGGATGCACACAATTTTGGCCGGGATCACACAAGGACAAGGCCCTTCTCGGTTTTGGCGTAGCTGCCGAGGTATGCGGATCGACAATGGACGGAATGTTGAAAAGGGGAGGAGGATTGATCTATGACTACGGCGTATTGCATAGGGGGTTGGGAAACGGGAGTTATCTTAGACGCCCAGTATTGCAGATTGTCTATCACCAGCCAGGATGGCGAGATAGGAAGAATTACGGTGATAAATCTCTATTCCAATGCATATTGCCGGTTTAAGAAGGGATGTGAATCGTTTCCGAGAGTCTTGACCATAGAACATGGAGACTATGCTATTCTTCTGGCGTGTTTGATACTACGCCGCGTGCCAGCGTGCGTTGGCAACGACTTAGGATGTAACGAACATGCAATCCTTATGCCTGGACATGGACATGGCGCAGAGCTTTCTCTCCATGTGAGCCTGGCACCTCCCCCTCCCTCCCCCTCACACCCCGTAGCCCCTATAACACGACATGCCCTGCGAACAGATAGCGCTTTGGCTAAACCGGTTGCGATTGGGTATGGAGACGGTGGAAATGGCGAGCGGCGTTTGGTAAGTTGTTTTCCCGCGTCGGAGAAGGTCGAGAGGTCCTCGTGCAGAGTTCGACCCAACGTCATGTTCATCTTAAGTAGCTTCCTATCTATCGCTGTATATCTCTCCCCCTCTGATCAATCAGAGTGCGCGTATAGAAACGCACTACTCTCCAGCTCATCTATTCAACGTCTCTTGATCGCCCGGCTCGAGCACTACTTATACCGGGATTTCAAGGTTCCGTCGTGCCATGCTCCCAGTAATACTTGAGAGGTACGTATTCCAGAAAATTCCGACGAAGTTTATGTATGGCAACCTCCATCCGGCAGGGACAAAGCGGAATCCCAACACGTTAGCGGCGGGCCAGACCAGAGTTCCGTTAATGATGACTTCTTTGAACCGTTTCTGCAGTCGATCCACTGGCGGCTGTCCATCTAGTAGCGCGGACGATGAAAGGAACAGGAACACGAACGGTGGGAAAATAGTTACTTGTGAAGTGGCCGACTTTCGGATCGAGTTCCAAAGCGTTGGTTGGGGTCCCCAAAAGCGATCGATAGCTCTAAACCCGTAGAGAAAGTATGGACCATGGAGGAAAGCGCCCAGAATGGCGAACTTGCTTGTCCTCGTCCAATCGATGTCTACGTCCCGCCAGGTCGTCGGTGCATTCTTGTCGTCTAGCGACGATAGGGTGCTGACGGTGCTCGGTGCGGTGGGTTGAGGAACAATGTGCTGGCTAAGGAGGTCGCCTCCTGTGAACAAGACGCCCGAGGTCAGCGAGGCACGAATAAGGGGATGCATAGTGCCAGGTTCCTCAAGCTGCCTGCGGGCCGCTATTTCCGACGTGGAGAAGTTGGAACGTTGAAATTGAGGAGGTTGAGGTTGAAGCCAGGGTTGAAGCCGAAAGAAGACCAAAAGAAGACGAAGGAACGGAAGCCGCTCTGGAAGCCGCTACTCCTCGAGACTCCTCTAACCTGAAAACTCACTCCTTCGCACTGTACGTATTCAAGAAGACGCTTAGAACACACTCCAGTCGCTCCACTCCTAAGCCCACATACCGACAATGGCTTGGTACACATACGTCGGTGCCATGCTGGCAAGGTGAGAACAGGAGTCGTTTCAACTCTGGTGGAAGTTTCACGGCCTGCGTCGTTCCCTAACCCCTACTCCCCCTTATCAAGCAACTTCATGAGGCCCGGAAAACACGGCCTCAACGAGGAGGCCCTCCAGAGCTACGCTACCCACGGCGTGCTGGTCTGGCTCATGTACTTTTACATCAAGTATATGGAGGGAAAGGATGCTATCTGGCCGTTTGTGGGCGCTTTTGCCGCCACCGCTTGCGCGTGAGTTTCACTGGAAGGGGAGCCGGGAACCTGTGCAGCTACGGACCAGCTTCGAGGGTGCTCTCGTCCGAGTGCTTATGCGCTTTTTGCAGGTGGCTGGCTTTCAACTACGCTTTCGGTCTCGTGAACTTGAGGAAGGGCAACACTGAAAAGGACCCTGACTCGGTGACTCGGTAAGTCTCCGGGGCCGGCCTTTTCCAATCTCCCGTGAATCTCGCACATCAACTCACCCCCACTCCGCAACCAACAGCGCCTGGGACGACGGCCCACATCTCACCCCCGTCCAGCGCGCCATCCGCGAAGCCAGTTCCATCCTAACCGGCTTCGCGACACAATGGGCCCAGGTCCAATCCATCTACATCCTCGCATTCCTCGGCGGATTCTGCGTCGTTGGATATGGATTTTACATTGTGGAGTGCGAGAGAGAGGTTGGATGGGTTGAGATGATGGAGCATATCAAGGCGAAGGGGAATGGCATTTCGGTTGATGCTGCTGGTGGTCACAGTAAGGAGGGTGAGAAGACGACGACCGGTGGGCAGAAGGCAAATGGGAAGAAGAACAAGTAGGGAAGCTCGGACCACACTTAACATCTGAAGATTTTGGACAACGTTCGTTACCTACGACAGGCGTAGTGCTCTTCCACATTTTAGACTACTTTCCTTTTCCTTACCTCAGTTATCTTTACCGCATCATATTGCATTCATTAAAGCTTATCCACTAGAATAGCAATAGGAATCATAATCTGCAGGCAGTTATGACCCTTGGATTCATATTGCATAAATCGCGCCCCTGCCGATGAAGTTATTGTGCCGGTTGTACACGCAGATTGCGAAATCGGCGACTGGCATTCACGCAAAGTCCTGGTGTTTATATACATTCGCAAACAAAACTTCTATGTACAGTGCAAAAAGAAAGACGTTGCGCGGAGATGTCTACGCAGTTATCTGACCTGCGGGTTCTAGCCTAGATATAGATGGGTTCTATCAAATGGTACGCATGACGAAAAATTTAGACCTCGTTGACAGCTGTTCACTCAATCATGGTCCTCCCCCGAACACCTCAACGCAAACTCCGAAGCCTTCTTCATCCACCACCCCTCCCCATACCGATGCACATCATCCGCCGCCGCCAGCAAACGTGGCTCAATGATCTGGGCGATTCGGTCCATATCGGGGTCAACGGCCGGTGTAGCTGCAGCCGGCTGACTGTGCATGGACGCCTGTACAGGCAATACAGGCAGGGCCGGGAATGGGGCGTCGAGAACGGAGGGTGCGAGGGGGTGAGGTAACGGAGGTGGGTGGGAGCCGGAGTTGACGAGGGCTGTTAGCGAGGATTGCGGGGAGGTGGCGGTTGCGGAGAGTGGGGACATTGCTGTTGGGGAGATGAGGGTTGGTGAGAGTTGTTGGTGCTGATGAGGTTGGATGGGGACGAGCGAAGAAAGGGTTGCGGAGGAGTAACTTGGCGGTGAGATGACGGCAGGCGCGTTTACCGACGTTGGGTTGGACGATATAGCGCCAGCGGGCAGTTGAATGGTGGACGGTGCCGATGACATGTAGACGGCGTCGGATAGTGCGGACACCGGCGGCGGAACCGAAGGCGTCAGGGGCGGAGACCCGTATACCATCGCTGTGATTGATGGTGCGACCAGGGGCGCTTCCCACGTATACGACTCGACGTACTTCATGTACTTGGCGAGAACTTGACAAAGAGTGCGGTACTTGTCAAAGTTGATCAGCGGGGCTTGGTCTGGTATATCCTCATCGTCACCGCGCGACGGATTTCCTGCGGGTGTTTCGATGCCGTTGTGCTCCGGTGCGGCTTTCATGGGCGCAATCTGGTTCGAGGGGTCCATATCCGCGGAACCGACGAGGATACGTTCGACATATTGTGGATTTCCCTCGACAATGAAAGTGACGTCCTTCATGACAACAGGGAAGAACGGAACGACGCCCGTTCCGTCCGGTCCATCTCCAACAACCCCGTTTTCGTCAATAGCTTTACGCAGCTCCCGCATGTTTCCGCTAACGTCCAGCAACTTTTCCAGAGTCTTCAATTTATCCATGAGGTCTTTCGGTATAGCGTCCCAAGTGTGTTTCAATCTTTGCACGGCAGGTGATTGCAACGCGAGGAGAATGAACAAGGGGGTGTGGAAGTTCCGATGGGATCGGCAGTACAGGGCAACGGTGATGAGCTTCTCCAGCAACTTGCGTCGCAGCTTCTTCGGTGCCAATGTGCAGAGCTCTAAGCAAATCCAATTCCTGATCATATCAGACCGTTTGGCGAACCAGTCGATCCTTCGCCCTCTGTCCTCTCCCTTTCCATCCGCTACGTCCCTTCCCAAATGCAATTTGGCAACATAATCTGCGATCGTGATGCTTCGGAATGCACGGACATCCGCCATGGTGAGGTACTTGGCAAGCTGTGCCGCCTCGAAATTCAAAAGCGGCGATGTTTCTGGTAGCATCTGCTGCAGCGACGTGGGGAACGGGCTCGCCGAAAGGGATGGGAGTTGATTGTTTGCCAACATGATGATTCCGCGGGGCGCTTGATTCAGTCTCGTTGACAACGACATGGCCTGGGCCGTAGCCACCCTGCGAATCCTGCGAACCTCGCCAATGAACCCCTCCTCGCTCTCGACTGCGCTGAGGAAATCTTCCAAAGTTTCTCGAAGCGACACATCTTCTTCGAAATCCTCAAACCGCAGTCGTACCCATCTCGACAGCACAGAAAGCACTTTAACCCTGATAGGTCGTCTCCATGTCGCGCAGTAGTCGATCTCGAGCTCAGTCGCGCCTGGAGGCGCCTCGAAGTAGAAGCGGGCGATCAGATTGACCAGCAAGTCCCGAGATGGTATGTAAAACGGGTGATTCTCGAGGAACATGTCGACGAACTCCAAGTCTTGCGAGTTCTCCTCGGCTAATCGCGCAACGAGCTTTTCCAGTGTGCCTGCTGCGATCTCGAGCTTTCCGTTGACCATGTCCATTACCAGGACATCGCTACCTTCCTCGCACAACAGCAGCCGATTCCCACGCACAAGAATGAACTCCTGTGTGCCCTTGTCGACCTCCTCATCGGTCACCGGCGCAGACGAGAAGCGTCCTTGGTCGAGTACCCCAATCTGCGTGCCCGTGCTGTCAAACGTGGGAATGCGTTGAACAGCCCTATATCGCAGGGTCTTCATCGTCTGGAATGCATTGTCGAGGAGTCCGTCCGCCCGAGTCTCGGTCTGACTCTCCGAGCGGGACAAGAGTTGCTCCGTCGCATTGGCTTCTCCACCTAACGGGTCACTCTCCTCGGCAACGGCGCCCTCCCAGTCTTTCAGATCCGTCAAGGCAAGATTTTCCATCATTCTGGACCACCGATCCCCCTCCTTCCTCTTGTACGGTTGTTCCGGATCCGACGGTAACCTCGTTACCCACGTGTCTGACCTTAATCGCCGGGCAGAGGACATGGACGACCCGGATCCATGACGGGTATGGCGGGACCGCACGGGTTGCGAGGATGGCACTTTCGAGTTGGAAGGCTTGATCGATGGAACTGAAAATCCAGGCTCCGGCGGTTGCCCTGCCTGCGAATCCTTTGGTGGCAGTGGCGGTGGATCTATTTCCAGGTTTTCGTTCGTCTATTGACGCATTCAGAATTGCAAGTTGTTGAGCATCAAAGGCATGTATGCCGGAATGCCTATCGTTATTCTCACCTTCAATACAGCGAACGTATCTCCAAGAAGATCGGTTGTATCCAACCAGCCAAGCGATATTTCCGGCAACTTTGGGGGATCGGACCTCGACATTGACCTCTCGCGAGTACCCGTAGTAGACCGTTCCACCAAAGGTGTGAGAACGGATCCCAGACCATGATCGAACGAGCGCGATCGTGGGACGTCCACGCTGGAAAGGACAGACCCTTCGAAGCCGGGCCCATATGCAGCGTTAGTTTGGCGCCGCGGGGTCTCCACACTTCTGTGCCGTCGTTGTAATGTGTCGATTAGAGTGGAGGTGCGGAAAGGCTGTGGGACATCCGCTGCAGGGCCCAACATGACATCGTCTGTACTCGGGTATACGTAAGACGTGTGGAAGGAAGGACTGGAACGGCCCTCCTCGGCATCATCGCCTTGGGACGAATGCGATCCCTTGGTTAAGTGAGAGATGCGACGTATAAATTTGGCCCCAAAGGATTTTGACTTTGCGGGGGCATCGGAAGCATCTTTATTTTTCGTGAGATCAGCATCTTCGTCGAATTGATCCTCCTGCGAGACAGAATTGCGGGGCGAATCAGGCGGTGATAGGTATGACGAGTTGCTCAAGCGAGCAGAAGGATCTTCAGGTTTTTTTGGCAGAGTAAGTACAAATGTCCGACAAGGCACATGCGAAAGGCCCGGAACTCACCCTTCTCCGGTGGCTGTGGAATCGTGCCATTTTTGAAGTTCAGAAAGCTCTCCAACGCATCGACCAAGTGTCCCGCACTGGCCAGTACATTGGCATACCCTTGCTTTGCGTCCTGCCAGCTGGTACCGCCGGCGGTCGATTCGATCAAACGCTCGATTTGCGACACAATCGTTGAAGACGCTCGCTCGACTGCTTGAAGTAATGTTTGGGATGACGAAGGTTCTACTGTCGTTTCATTCTGGTTAGCGAGAATGCCTTCCAATAGAGCAGAGCACGTCAACGAGGCTTGTCTGAGTCGGGCAGCAAGCGTATGTGAGGCGGCGGGGTATGAAGGAAGTATAAGGAGGTGAGGAACGTGGACGATGATGGATAGAAGATTTTCTTGGAGTTGCAGTAGGGCGTCGTCCAGGGTCAGCCAGAAGCTGGGAACCACGTAAACAGACGGTGGACTGCCTTTTGCCTGTTCACGGATGCGCTTTAGGGCCGCGAGCGTGCTTTTCGCCTCGGACGGCAGGACCACTGGGATGTTGACGAGAATAACCTGTTCGTCGGTCCCCCCACTTGGCTCTATAACCTGTCGCACAGTCACGCTCGTTATGAGGCTGTTGCTGTCGACTATGACTGGGAGTGGTCGCGATGCTGAGATAGCCGCCGGCGAGGTGGCGGACATGCCTTTCCCTTGCGACTCGCGAGGTCGTATTCCGAGGGAGAGTGGGTCGTAACTAGTACCCCGCCTCAGACCAAACCTTGGTGGTCAACCGGCACTTACGGGACAGAACAGAGCGTGGGAAATGGTGATAGATACTGGGAAGTCGTTCGGGCGAGGACGCTTGCTCTCGTCCCTCTTGGTTTTCCCTCGCCGTGTCCAACGCTTTCGTGATGAATCGACTTGATGGCTCAACCGACGGCCTAAATCGTCCTTGACCGAGGATCCGGTCCTCCATCACTTGAATGAAACAGGAGGGTACCGAAACCCAAAAGGACCAGGCCCAAGCTGTGTCACACATGCAAATGACCACACAAAGAAAGAGAAAGGACGCTTTTTTTAATCTTGGAGTTGAGTCACGCGTGGCACAATTATATTCCGCTTCATGACATCATCACTCAGGTGCTGGAAATACGTCACTGACGGTTTCCAACTTTTCCAAACAAGCCGAAGCGCACATTGGAGGATGCCGAAACGACATCCACAGCGATCGAGTCCCAGGGAATCGGCGGTATGGACTGTACTACTGTATGATATGTACGAGTATCGTAGTGTAGGGAGGCTGATGAGCGAGGCCATGCGGAAAAGAGGGATGACCATGATTAGAAGGGGCAAGCCACATTTGGGGGGGCAGCGCATCATGTCCCAAACGGGTCGATTGACGCGTGCGGCTCCTCCTATTCACCACCCCAAACCAAAAACACACATAAGGACCTCCTTCCCTCCCGTTTCCCCAGAAACCTCAGAAACTTTGAAGCAATTCGTATTCGTATTAGGATAAGGGAACCCGAGAAAGCACTAGCCAGTTTAGCAGCACTGACCACAACCCAAACTCACAGTCACCCATAGAAGAGAATGACCACGGCAGCCGAACGCGACCTCGGGTCAGAAACCCTCGGCCGTACCCCAACCCAATTTATCAACCGCCACGGCGGCAATAATGTCTCTGAGACGCCCGGTTCACCTACGGGCAGCGATTCGGGGGCGTTGCCTCCGTCTCCGAGCGATATCCTCCTCGTCCGCTACGCAGGTTGGCTGACGCTGGTCCGCTCGCTGATCACCCAGTTCGAAGACCAGTCGACCTTGGAGAAGTACATGGTCCAGACTCACACAAAGTCCGTCAAGGATTGGACGTCTCACCCTTTGCGCGACATTGAATCGGCTTTCAACCCGGAGCAGACCGGATCTTCCACCAAATCAACCTCTGGTGTCCACAACCTTACGAAAGAGATCCGGGACTCCAACAGCAAACTGGCTTCTGATCACGACGCATTGTACAAAGTCCTTGCGTCGCAGACTCTCCCTGCGTTGAAGACGATTGAGAAGGATGTGCATCAGAGGATGGGAGCAATGATGCAGGAGGAGAAGGATCGGAGGAAGGAAAAGGACAAGGACGAGAGGGAATTGAGGCATCTGATCAAGGACTTGAAGAAGGCCCTCAGCGCAGCACGAGGCACCGTTGACATCCAGCCTTGGGCTGCCGGAGACCCGTGGTTGATCAACATTGCTATTCAGCGCCATCTTGCCGACGCGAACCTCAAATACCGCAGTCACACCTCCACTCTGGAAGGCATCGAGCAGAGCTTTGGTGTTTGGGAGAAGAACCTGATCAACAACCTCAAATCGGCTCTCCTCGCCTACACTTCTCTTGACCCGACCGTCATCTTGGCTGGGTCGGCTGGCCACACACAAAACGTTGCTCTGAGCCCCACCGCCAACCTGCATCGCGCGATTCAAGCCATCGAAGCCGAGAAAGAATGGGAAATGTACCGCTCAACGCAGCTGGCGCGCACCATCCCCCCAACCGGCGAACAATCTGCGACAGAGCGCGAGGCGTTCATGCACGACTACCCCGGCGCCGACGACCCGCTCGTGCAGCTAGTGAAGGAAGGTCCCATGCAGCGGAAATCCAAGATTCTCAAAAAGTGGCATGAGAAGTGGTACTGCCTCACAGCTGCCGGCTGGTTGCATGAGTTCGAAGACAGGCCCAACATCGACACAACCGCCGCCTCCTCTCACCACTCCCACCTCCACGTTCGCCCGCCGCCCAAGATGAGCCTTTGGTTGAGGCAGTGCACCATGACCGAAATGGGCATGGGCGGCAAAATCAGCGCTGCAGAGTTCCACCTCGCCCACGTCAACCCGCACTCCTTGGTCCTTGGCCGCAAACACCACACCTACAAGTACTCGACCAACAGCGTGTCCGACTCGACCGCGTGGTTCACCGCCATCGCCCCGCACGCCAACAGACGTCCCTCAGAGCCAAACTCGCACGGAGGGTCTTTCGTCGGAGTACCTATCGCGGCAGGAGCGGCAGCCGCCGAACAACCGGCCGCTACGTCCACTCTGGGCCGCAACAACACCGCCGCTCGTCGCCACTCCATCGCAACAACCTCGACCGCCTCCTCCATCGCTGAAGAGGAACAGCAGAGATTGCCCCGCTCATCTACCGTCAAGACCAACGAACCCTCGTCCCCACTTTACCCTACCGCCAACGACGAGCTGCCTGCTACCCACACGACCTCAGCAGGCGCTGCACCAACCCCGGCTATCCCTTCCCCATCCCCGGCTAGGAAGAGCCGCGAGCATCTCCAGGCGCCTTACGAACCTAGCGCTGCCGCTCAGCAGCCCGCGTATGCTACTACCGGCGCCGCGCCGGCGGCTGACGCCCCGCATGTTGAGAAGAGGGAGATGCCTGTTGTCGCGCAATAAGTGTGCATCAAAACCGGAGGCGAGCATCGTCAGAAAGGAATTACAAATCACCTCCTTTTGGCAACTCCCTCCGGAGTTCATTTGAGTTTTGTCTTCAGATCTTCTATCCATTTTTGCCCGTCGGCTGTTGGGAAAAGCTACGGCTTGCCAATTTTTTCCTCTTGTAGTTTACTTTGGAATGTACTTAGGAATGTATAAACAAAAGTTTTGCCACGCCTCATAAATACATTGAAATTTTTGCACCCTGCATCTTATAGACAGGTCAATTCTGGCTGTTCATCCACAAATATACGACACAGCTTACTGGCATTGGCTGTTATCTATCCTGCTAGCCTAGTCCATCTCAGCTGGGTAAGGAATGGGTGAATGTCTGTTTACTCTGCAGTCAAAATGTTACGCATGTCCTACTCCAGCTCAAACGCACAACTACAAAAATGGTGATTCAGACGCATCGAATGTTTAAGCAAACTTTATGCCCTGGGCCAAAGGCAAGGCACCGCTGTAGTTGATGGTGCTGTAGGTCGAGAACCGAAAAGCATAAGTGGAAGAGACGACGTAAGTACATGATGCAAAAACCAAGAAACAAAGATAAACCTACCAAGTCTGCCTCCTCATATACTGCTTCCACGCATCACTCCCCGACTCCCTGCCACCCCCCGTCTCCTTCTCACCCCCAAACGCGCCTCCAATCTCGGCGCCGTTGGTAGGGATGTTGACGTTGACGATCCCACAGTCGGAGCCTGAGGGGCCCGTCCACCTGAAGACGTTGGAGAGGGATTGGGTGAAGATGGAGGAGGAGAGGCCTTGGTTGACCGAGTTGTTTTGGGCGATCGCGTCGTCGAGGGAGGTGACTTTGATTGTGTGGAGGATCTGAAGGTTGGAGGATTAGAATCAGCGTCCAGACACGTCGGAATGGGGAGGCGTTCCCAAAACTTACGGGGACAAAGATCTCGTTTTGGACCACCGAGGCAGACCCGTCGATGCTCGTGATCGTAGGCTCCACGAAGTTGCCTTCCCTCTTCAAGACCTTTCCGCCCCTCAGAATCTTTCCACCCTGGTCCTTCACAGCCTCAATACCGTCCTTGAACAGCTGCACAGCGTGCTTGGTGTGCAGCGGTCCGCAGAGAGTGGTAGACTCAAGCGGGTCGCCAATCGGGACCTGGTCGTAAGCCTTTGTGAGACGCTCGATGAACTGGTCGTGAATCTTCTCGTGGAGGAACAGACGGCGGGTGGTGGTGCATCGCTGGCCGGCGGTGCCGACTGCTGCAAACAGGACAGAGCGGACGGCGAGCTCAATGTCGGCGTCGTCCATGACGACAATGGCGTTGTTGCCCCCGAGTTCCAAAAGGCTCTTTCCGAACCGCTCCTGCACGGTCAAGCCGACCTGTCGGCCGACGGCGGTCGAGCCGGTGAAGGACAGCATGTTCACGCGGCGATCTTTGGCCATGGCCTCGCCGACGTCGGCGCCACCGGACACCAGGGAGCAAAGCTCCCCAGGGAGGTTGTTGCGCTCCAGGACGCGTTCGAGGATCTTGGTCACTGCCACCGAGCAAAGGTTCGTGGTTGGTGCACCCTTCCAAACGACCGCGTTACCGCACACCAGACTGATTGCGCTGTTCCATCCGTACACAGCGACCTAAGGAAGGAATGTAAGCAATGGCCAGCAGAACTCAGTGTCGTCAAGGTGCGCTACTTACGGGAAAGTTGAACGCAGAGATCACACCGACGGTACCCAATGGGTTCCACACCTCCTTCATGAAGTGTCCTGGGCCTATGTTCATGTAGTGTGAGAAAACGATTCACCCTAGGCATACGTTCGTCAACAACCCACTCACGTTCTGATGGAATCACACTGCCGCCAATTTGCCGGCTGAGTCCAAGAGCATAGTCGCAGATGTCGATGTACTCTGGAGACGAGGGAATGCCGTTAGCATGGATTGCTGGGCTCAGAATTCTCCAGGTGAAGCTTCACACCCACCTTGCACCTCTCCGACACCCTCAGGCAGAATCTTCCCCATCTCGAGCGACACAAGGTACCCCAAAGCCTGCTTGTGTTGTTCAAGCTCCTCCCTCATTTGACGGACAATCTCTCCACGCTTGGGCATAGGGGTCTGTACACCACGTCACATCGATTGTTAGAAGTCCCCTACTGGCACACGCCCGTAAACTCCAGCGACAGGACAACATACCTCGCGCCATGCAGGCTTAACTTTCTCAATCTTCTCCAGAGCGGCTCGCAGGTCCTTGGCGGTACCTGTCCGGACGCTGGCGATGATTTTGTTGGTGGCGGGGTTGATAGACTCAACGACCTGGTCACGTAAACAACGGCGGGTCATTCTTGGGCTCTTCTCGAACTTCAACCATTAAGTCTTCCTTACCGGTCCACTTCCACCCCATTTTCCCGTAAACACGCCGTCGTTCTCAGCGCCGAGGCCCAGCGACTTGAGTATAGAGGCGTGCTTTGTGAATTCGTCGCCGTCGCCCTTTGTTGCGAAGGCGCGGGCGAAGAGAGCGTATGTGGGGCGGGACCGCAGAGGGACTGCCGCGGCCGATGTGCGGAGGAGGGACAGCATGCTTGAGAAAGAAAACGGTGATAGTGCGGGTGTGTTAAATTATGGACGACGGCTGCAGCGAGGGCTGTCGTTTTGAGGTCGGGAAAAAGCCCGTCGTCTTTTTTGGAGTTCAGACTGGAAGGTCATTGAGGTCATTTGAGACGGAAACGCGCCGCCCACGCGGTGACTTGATGACTTCAAACCCACGCCCCGTTTCAATCATGGCCGCCTTTTTTTTTCTCTGCCGAGCGCAGCTCAAGCTACTACTCCGAAGGCACAGGTATATTCAACGGCGACTATAACCGCGAGGTTCATGTACATATGGACATCCTATAAACAGATCTCGCCACGCCGTAGCGGACTACAGTGATGGCGGATGGGTCAACAGGGCGGCGCTTCCCATGCTCATCCACTGCTCCACTTGATGAATGGCATCTCCTCAGGCCAAGCGGCCAACATGTAGTGCGGCCGATCATCATGCACACTGCTGATGCAATCCGACCTCCTATGCTGCCGCCTTCGCTTTTTGCCCCTCTTCTTGTTGAGCCAACGCCGAACGCAAGTTGATCAGATCCGTGACATCTACAAAAAGGAGGTAGGATGAGACACCCTCGTTCGCTCAGTCTTGAACCGAGGGCTTTGGAATTCTACATCCTCACCATTCAGACGCTTGCGCCTGTCATTGATCGTCTCTTGCAATTTGTCCAGATTCGATTTCACATACTCCATCTTCCGCTTGTAGTAATCCTTTGCGTCTGCCACAGGCTGAAGAGGTCGTTTGGAGATTAACATTTCGCCCATCATATCCCTCCTAACCATCTGATCTCCCCCGCCGCCTCACCTTCTCCACATAGTATCCAGTTCCCACATCCATGATGACGTTATCGGTATCGTTCAGCTCGCCGGGCACGTACAGGGAACTTGTGAGTGGGACGAGAATGGTTTTGCCTATGGAACCGACGGGTCAGTTCTAGACTTCTTTGAAGCAAACCCTTTGCCATGACTCCAACGGACCTGCATTCTTCTTATTTACAAAGTTCAAGCTTTCCGAGCAATCGTTGTACTTGGCGTGCACGCTCTTCAGTTGTGCGAAAGAGTTTGTGAAAGTGTCCAGGTCCTGTGAGTAGTTACGAGGCGCTATTAGCAATGAACTTTCGGAACCAAGACGAAGAATGCGCAAGAGCAGCGGGCTGGCTGCCCATATGCTCATTCGGACGGTAGCGATCACCCTACCTCTCCTATTTGTTGGTGCATTTGCTTCAGCTGAGGAAGCGGAATTTGCATCGGGTCGATCTGCTGTGGCTGTTGTTGCGACATGTTGTGTACAAGGCTCAATTAAGAGGTCGACGGGGCTGAATAGAGTGGGTGGGAATAGAACGGCGTCTGGCGCTATGTACTGTAAATAAGGCTCCGTGATCTTCGACTGCTGTTGTGCCAAATTCCAATTTCGTTTCCAATTGTCTACGCGCCGGTTTCCTCGACTCCGTGCTTGACGTGGAAATCGACTCAAATGTGAAAACGCATCTTGGCGCAAAGCACTGGCCCCTGCACCTTCCCTTGAGCGAAGGGAGCGACAATACTGTAGTTTCGACCATGCCCTACTACCCGCAAATCTCCAGAACGGCTCCCAGTCTGTTACCGCGCAAGACCAATGCTCTTTGGTACCGGGAAGGCGACTCAGAACCACTCCGCAGTCTAGCTAGAGACACGGAGAGAACATTCGAGGCGAAGGTGAGTAAGAGTTTATCTTGACTCCAGAGAGAAAGCGGCATTGAGACTGCGGGCCGGTTGATAGGGTGATATGGTGCTAACCGACGTTCACTTCATACACTTTTGTAGCTCGAACGACTGGAGAAGGCGACCAATGTCCCACAAACGTTTGCGCAAAAAGAGGTGAAGGCACCACCGCAGCCAAACCCGCAACCGAGTTATCAAGTGTGTGTCGTTGTCCGGGTCATCCGACTGTGTATTGCTCTTTGGCTTCCCAAACCGATGTTAACCGATGTTGCTTTTTACTTGTCACGCGTGTTTAGGATGTGGACGACTCTGATGAGTATACGGGCGGATCGGAAAGGACGGATTCACCTGACCCTTCGGAAGAGGAATTTCTGTCAGATGACTAGTGGAAAACGGCGGATGTTCGAGAAGGATGCTCGAGACTACGAAGGAACTTGTCAATGGACGACGAGAAGAATCGCGGTGGTCTCAGTCAAAATGAAAAGACTTCCCTCATGCAGTGGGTTAGCAGCGGAGCGGCATTCGAATTGCACATCATATATACAACGGTAGCTACTACTACAAGCGAAGGAACAAATGTCTCGACTTATTTGCCGCCTAGCATCAAGGATTCTGGAAACAACGGTTTCCCACACCGACAGCGCTCGAAAGTATCGATGATATCGGCATGGTTCCGTAGAGTGGATTCGTAGAGCGCCACCGCCTCGTCTTCCGTCTCGTCGCGTATGTTTTGGAAATAAGAGCGCCTTTCATCGTATGATATCCATTCATCGTGGCCGAGCTCCCTCCGTGCCTCGTCCATATTGCTGTCTAGGAGCGTCTCATATGGGGAATGCTCATGTCGCACGTGCGCCTCTATCATAATGCCAACTGTTTCTTCCAGGGAAAACCGAGAGACTCCGTTCACATATTTTTCGCACATGACAGAATCTTCACGCAACTCGAGATGGACGGCTTCGAGGGCGGCTTCAAGCGCGGCGCGTCGTTCGTCCCGTTTGATGGCCTTCGTTCTTAAGATCGCCTCCGAACGTTTCTTTCCTTTTTCTTGTGCTTCCAAAAGACCTTCAGGGCCACCATACTTGTCGTGTGCTTTGGCGACGATGTCGCTCAGTTGGTACAAGGTCATGGCCGAAGCATTTCGGTAATGCGGATTTTCGACGAAAACGTGAGGTAGCCCAGCCAGGTCCTGGTCGTTGAGTTTGTACTCCTTCCGCGCCCTTGTAACTGTGATTTTCGTGTCGCTCTTGCCACAAGGACGACAGAGGTAGAGGTTCGATACGAAAACTGACGGCGACGCCTTCTTTCCCAAACACCGGACGCAACGTTTCGTACAGGAGGAGACGACAAGGTTCTTGTGAGATATTTCGCTGACCCGTGTCGATTTCTTCAGGCCACGCCGACGACAGCTCCTCTCCCAAAAGTCGTCGTTGTCTATGCTCATGTTCCAGTTTCTATCGACCATGCTCAGCCTTGCGAGCGACTTGACATCCAGTAGGTTGGCGATGGCGTCCTTCAGCTCCAATGGTAGCTTGCTCAGCAGGTTCGGCTCGTTGTACGTCGGCTCCACGTGAACATATTTGAGATTGCGCGGGCATTTTTTGCTGTTCCGGCGCTGGTGGTCAGTGGCTCCGCAGCTTTTGCAACCCATCTTGCGGTTGAGGTTTTGTGAGTGGCTCGTGAGTAAATTTGCGAAGATTGAAACACTCTTGTACAGTGAGGAAGCTCAACAAGTCGTCGTTACATATCTCGGTGGTGAGGCAGGTGGTGAGGAGCTGAGAAGCGAGGAGAAGGTGACATCAGCATCCCGTCTACTCCCGTGCTGCGCCACCCAGAAGCGTCTCCAGGTACTGTGCAGTACTGTACTTACTGTAAGTTCGATGGTCGCGACAATCGTCCTCCAGCACACACAACAGGACGCTCAATTTCAAGAGGGTCATGGCTCGCGGCGTGTGCTTGTAGCGGCGGTCAACACGCCGACGTGCTTCATGGTTCGTTGGACCAAGGGTGCCAGCAAAGCTTACACGGAATCACCGTCGACGTCCAGGATTTTGGCGGCGTTGTGCATTCTGCGGATCAACGGCTCTGTCGCTTGCGGAAACTCCCGTTGATTTTGGATATTGATGGGGCCCTTCTAAGAGCCGTAGGAGAGAAGCCGAATAACTGCGAAGTAGAGGATTCGCGAGGAGAGATCGAGGGATACCGGAGGAGAACAGGGTAGCAACATCAACAAATGGGCAGAGATGAAAATCCCCAGCGCCGGCGCATCCAGCTGTCTCAGACGAAATCTCGCAAAGAGAAGATACCCTTACAGAGCAGAACAACCAAAGCGGGGGGTCAATGGCACACGTAACGTCAGGAAAAACATAGTTTATAGTACATCTTTGCTCTCGACCACTGTTCTCACTCTCTACAAGCCGTTCGCGAGGGCATGCACAAATTCGCGATAATCTAGTCGTTCCAGAGTGGGAAGCGAAGCAAATTTTTTGGCGAGGACGGCTACCTCATCATCCTGCAAGTGAATCCCGATATTGCTCATGACAGAGCGGAGCTGGTTGGTGGTGATAGTTCCTAATAAAGTCAAGGGATTCAGCAAAGGAATATGATAGAACTTTTCGAGACTGGATTCACGGGGATCCCGGAAGTATACCTTCCTTAACCTTGTCATAGTCCTCGAGAAACGTAAGAAGCTCAATTCTCCTCACTTCCAGAACCTTCCTGACTTTGGCAAGGACGTTCCTGAGGGTGTTCGTCTCTTCTCCAGTCAGATTGGCACCCGCCTTCCTTTCTCTTGATGATGGCTCTCCAGGCGGCGGGAAGGCGTCTGGTTCACCCAATGGATCTTTTTCTAACCCTTTCTTTGTGAACACGGAGTCCACATCGTCTGCGAATCGTTGAAAGGAAACCATTCCGTCCTGTTTCTCTGAGTACAACTTAGACAGTGCCCTAAGCGCAGAGGCTTCCAACGCAGGGAAAAGCAGTTTGAGACTTCGCTGAAATTCACACGCTGTGATGCGGTGGTGCCGAAGAGGGTCGAAGTCGGACATGGTGTCCCTAATCCTAATCCGTTCGGATTTCGTCTGTGGCTACGAATGAGATTGCCGAAAATTTACGGTACAGGCGAGGCAGTACATATGTTCTCCTCTCACCTTCGTTTTGATGTCCATCATAACCCTCCGCACTTCGTTGAACGTCAAAGGAAGGGTTTCCCCTGCGGGTAGCGGGAAACCAAAGCCAAACCATGACTTTTGCGCCACAGGGAACATATCCGGGTCGGCCCTCTTGTAAATTGGTGGCTTCACTATCCTGGTGTACTCTGTGACATACTTTTCTGTTTCGCTTGCCGGCAGCTGAGCGACCCACTTGGAATCGGTAGGTACTCCGTCATGCTGGGAGGGAACAAACACATTGCTATTCCTGTTGGGACGGAACCTGCCCGACTGCTCTCTCATCTCAAAGGGCAGCCCCTCTTCGAGTTCTTGGAGAAACGCCACGTAACAGATCCGCTGGGAAGTGTTCTGAACATAGTCCTCAGTCAATGAATCTGATCCCAATGCCCATTTGGCCACACGGTCCAAGTACTTCGCAGGACTTGTTCCCTGTGCTGCCGATGCGGCCACGTTGTGGGCGGCTTTCAAGTATCGTCTGGACAAGATGCTGAACTCGTCCTCGGATATCGGGCATCTGATGTACGATAGGGTTTGGCGAAATTGGGCTTTCGTGACAAATCCGGTTCGCAGCTAACCACAGGAGGTTTATGTGCATTAGCGTTCTGACATGCTCCGCAGCATGACACCCAGCGTCAATCTATCTACCTTATCGAAGTCCTTGAAGAATGGTTTGACGGAGGTTTGCCTGACCAGAAGAAAGCCGCGAATCATGTTCAAGATTCCGTGCAGCTTACTTTCCTCGTCATATGTCAGAGAAGAGGAGGTCAGAAAGGGATCTGTATCGTTCAGAACCTGCGTTGGGACGTGCGACGGCCGAGATTCCAAGTCGGTGTCTCCAAACACTACGGAAATGGAGAATGAGTGCTGAGGCCACCCGACGGTTGTCTGGTGCTTGAAATCTCACCTCGTTCGATGTCTGCCTCAAACAGTTTCCATTTACAGCACCCAGATTTGTCTTTGTCAGCGTATGCGTCCGCTAGACGTTCAATGGCTTCTGGTGACAAAGATGGATCGCCAATCCGATGGATACCCCTAGCAAATTCTACTCTGGGTATGGAATATGAGCGAAGCTTGTCGATGTCTCGGAAACATTCGGACACCCTGATTCGGTGTCGGTAGATGTGCACTCGTAAGCTGTTCAATATCGCCTCAAGAGACGCTGTTCTGCTGGAACCCGGAGACGTTCCGTCTTTTGGACGACTGTCATAGAAGTCAATGGCGCTTGGAACACCTGGAACATTCGATGTTGTCGCCTTGACTGAGGAATACGCAAGATACGCTGCAACATTTGACTGAGTGTGCCGTTCGGGTTGTAAGTTGAAGGACGACGCCAATTGACTTACTTTTTGCGTCAATGGCGGTCAGAAAGAGGTTATAATTGATTTGATCGGGTGCCGAATGATCCTCAAATTTGGCGAAGAGAAGGTGTATGTCCTTGTTAGACAGATCAAGCTTCAAGCGGGAAAGCAGCCGCCGGAAATGGGAGCGGGAAACCCGCCCAAGGATGCACTGTCCCAGGCACTAGAAAGCGTTTATGTTTATTAGCGTGCTGGCGAGAAAGCTTCCTCAAGCACATTCAACTCACCATATCAAAATCCTTAAAGTAAGGTTCGAGCAACAGATGACGCTCATCCACTAGTTTTGACAATCGCTCCAGGAGCTGCTGGCAGCGAGCTTCATCTTCCTCCGGGAGTTTATTTGGCCCCTTCACATACTCCAGGTGAGCGTGCTGAATTGAATAGCTCGCATTCTCTTCTTTCTAACCTGTACTAATGCCTCACGAGGGATGGGACCGACTTCGAGAAGGGGGTCTCTTTCCAGTTCCTTCATTGTGAAAACTGGAAGGTGGTCTTGAGTACGATGTCTGCCGATATGCGCCCAAATGCGGAATGTTACCTTGTTCGACCGAATCGCAGAAGGCCCTATATTTCACTCGACCGTCAGATGTACTGTACGGAGGAAGCAGCGCTTCAATCTCCTTATGGTCTAGTTCTAGGGAAGCGCTACGAAGGCCTGCACGGAACTAGAGGAAGATACACCGGTGTAAGAATACCCACTGGAGCACCTCCACTAGAGTTTTGCGGAAGTGGATTTACCTGATGTTGCGTTACGAGACCGTTGTTATGGCGGTCATAGTCACGGAAGAACTCGATCAATCGGATTCGCTCTTTGTACACATCTGCGCGAAATTTATACCAGTATCAAAGACCTGCAAAGGATTCTCCGCCATAAGACACCGTCATACGAATTTTTATCTTGTCTTCAACCTCGTCCGCCGACGGTCCACGCGGCGGATAGGTGGCTCTTGCCGGGAAGATGAGTTCCTCGGTTCCTACGGGCACGTAGTGGGTTCGGTAGTCCGTATTGGGTTGTTGTGAAATGAGCCGTGCGCTATCCGCTTGGTGATGCCGATGCCCTGCCGACGAAAAGGCGTTAGACTAAGGTGTCAGAACTGGACAAACGGCCCTATCGTACCTCTACGGTTCACGTCTGTATTGAGTTTGAAATAGTTGACGCTTTGGTCGCTGCTATAGAGTTGGACAAGGAGATCCTGTTCTTCCATGGATAGGAGAGAGGAGGGGACCCCTCGACGAAACTGGTTCACTGTAATCAGCCCTGGAGGCAGATGTGCATGATTAGGCACTGAGGATATATCGGCCCAACAATGATAAGCTACCATTGTTGTGTTTGTCGAAATCCTTGAACCACGTCTTCACGTCGGATCCGTGCCAGTTTACATACGTCCGTAAACGTTGCAGCACGTTTTGCAGTAGTGTTTCTGAAGATGGCGAAAGAGTTCGAAACGGCTTCACCACTGATTGGACATTAATAATGCGCAGCCGTAAGTTTGCCGCGGAGTGCGTGGTGAACTTGCCTTCTTTAGAATCAGGTATTTGCTGTGTAGGATTTGATTCCAGCTTCTTCACACCAAAGACTATATGTATACGTATACGGAACTGTGAGAGGACATTCGGGGGCTCCCATTTGCTCGAGCCCTACCTTTATCAATGTTGTCCACAAAATTTGTATACTTGATCAATCGGTTTCCTTTCACGTCATAATAGTCGAGAAGTTCCTCGATTTCATGTTCCGCCAAGGGAGACGACACCCCTCTTTGCAATAGAGTCCCAATACACCGCCTGAACTGTGTTGCCGAGATATAGCCGGATCTTAGCTTGTCGAAATCCGCAAAGATGTCCGCGACTCTAATGCGGTGAGCGAAAACGTGGGAACGTAATTTGGCCTCCACATTGTTGATGTTCGCGTTGCGGAGGTTAGCAGCTCGTTGCGCTTTGAAGCTCGCCACATCAGAAGCAACCGAAGACTGTATCGCAATATCTCCTCGTTGACCAGCGGGCGGGGCTTTTGATGGAGTTGGAAAAGACCCGAGGTTCACCTCCTTGATATCTGGCTCCCGAAGAGTTGAATCCCGAATCCATCCCGAATCAGCGCCGAAAGGCTAGTCAAGTTTCCATCAGATCTTTGCACGAAAGTTATGTAAGTACGACAGCAGTTTACCTGCCGCGGCAAAGCGATGGATATGTGAGCCATTCTTCAGAGATTGCGGTAATGTGAGGATGCGGATTGGCAAGGCCTGTATAAGTTCGTAAATTGCATTCCAAGTGTACTGTACAGTACAGTATGCTGACGGCGTTTCCAATCCCAACTCCGACGCTGTCAAAAATGCGAACGAAGCACACACCGAATACCGACGACCCGGTAAACGGCCGGAACCGACACCTAACGCGCGTCTCGAAAACGACAGTTCAACAGCGAGTGCAAGTTCAGGCCAGAAACTTGCGAATTATATTTTACGTACTTGAACGTCGTCTAAACTACTGGCTGTCACCAACCAGTTGAAATCGATACCGCAGGTCTCAAGCGTGTCGGCGAACGCCAAACCTCAAACCGAATGGAATTGGTCTGATATAGGCAAAAATGAATCCTGCCGGGAGGGGCGATAAGTCCAGTACGAGAACTATTGAACTTTCGCTGGGTATCTCCGATTTTAAGTATTGAGATTGTATCCTTACGCAGGGCCTACGTCAAAAGGACAAAATGTGCACGAAGACCTCAACAGCGCTTCTACAAAACGAACGGTCAATGTGGGAGACCCGGTTCCCCAGGCGGTTCCGCTACCTTCAGCTGGAGATCCTATGAGAGCACCCTCGGCAGCCAAAGTCGGCGGTGCGGTTACGGCGGCACGTCAAGGCCCTCCAATGCCTCTCCCTCAAGAATCCCGGGCATCATTGCAGGATATACGGGTTTTGGAGGATGATTTTTACTACGACAAAGCAGATTTCGTTGTTGGGGATGTCAGCGCGAAACTCATGCCGAATGAAAGCCTGTCACTATTGTATGATACTACCTCGCGATCTGATTGCCGTTGGTGTCCTCAATCCGCTAACCCATTGCTTGCGACTGACAGCTATAGTTTCGGCTTCGAGTCCTTGCGGAGAAACAACTTGCATTACCTGACAGATACCATGATTGCGAGCGTCGTCGGGAACGTTTTGGTGTTTGTCAACCTGCGGACGATGGAACAAGACTACTTACCTGGATTAGGAAATGGTGCCATTGGATCTATAGCAGTGAGTTCTTTTCCTTTTATGCATATGCCGGTACCGCTGTCTTCTGAGAGGTGGCGATGTTGTAGGTTCATCCATCACGACGTTTCATTGCAGTCGGAGAGATTGCCGAGAGCTCGCCGAATATTTATATTTTCGAGTATCCGACAATGAAGCTCTATCGAGTCCTCCGTGAAGGAGCTGAGAAAGGGATCACAAATTTGAGCTTCAACACTGCCGGCGATAAGTTAGCGAGTGTTGGAATGGATCCTGACTACATGCTAACCCTGTGGGACTGGAAACAAGAGAAGGTGGTGCTGAGAAGCAAGGCCTTTTCGCAGGTATGAAGTTTTGGTGGGAGGCCTCGACTCTGTTGTGCCAGTCCTGAGACTTATGAGACAGGATGTCTATGCGATTGCTTTCTCGCCGGAGAGCGACGGCCAACTCACCACGTCGGGAATGGGCCACATCAAGTTCTGGAGAATGGCATCCACGTTTACGGGTCTCAAACTCCAAGGATATATAGGAAAGTTTGGGCTAAGCGAGCTCACGGATATCGTTACCTTCATCCAACTCCCCGACGGGAAAGTTTTGTCGAGCACAGAAACTGGCAACCTTCTGCTTTGGGACGGAGGAATGATCAAATGCGAACTATCTGGTCAGGTTCGTAAGCCTTGTCATGACGGACCGGTAGAAGTCATCCTACTCGTCGATGGGGAGGTCTTCACCGGCGGCGAGGATGGGTACATTCGGGTTTGGGACTTTGATACGATCGACACCGCCGATGTCATCTCTACTGGCGCACCATCTGCTGAGGCTGCGGGAGATGCTGCAGCACCAGACGGTGAAGGTCCTGCGAGCGGTTCCTCATCCAGCCCACAAGCACGGGTTTTCGAAATGGAGCCCTCTGACGAGTTCTTCATCGGCGAGGATGTCAAGGTTCGTGTTTCTTACCGTCGGACGCATGAGATCCAGTAAACCTGCTCATGGAACATTGCAGATAAGGTCAGTCGTACGGTGTCCAGGCGAGAATACCAAGTATCTCATCCAGGATCAGTCGGGAAACCTCTTGTCTTTTGATACGCAAAAGCGTGCCACCGAAAAACTGATGTCTTTCCACGCCGGAGCGGTAACTGGTGTCGATGCCAGCCCAGTATCGCATTGCATGGCAAGCTTGGGCGCCGGGGGCACGCTTAAGCTCTACGACTACATTTCAAAAGTTTCGGTGAACTCCGTGCGATTTGAGAGCCCGGGAACGACACTGTTGTACTTTCCGGAGGTGAGTGCTCAGTGCAGCTGACGAGAAGAAGCTTTTGCGAACTCCGGATAAAACATCTCATTGAGCTGCAGTCGCTTGATAGGTTGGGATGCACCATGGCCGCTGGTTTTGCGGATGGAGTTCTTCGAATCGTATCCCATACTCCGCTGAGTAGTGGCATCGACCCTCCAGAATTCACCTTGCAATACGTCTTTAAACCACACAAAGCTCCCATCACGTCCATTGGCGTGTCCGCTGACGGGACCTATCTCGCCACTACTGCCTCTGACTGCACCGCGTTCTTCTTCAAGATTGATTTGCCTCCCGACGACGATGAGAACATCGTTGGTTTTTCCAATACCACGGCGAAAATCCATCCGATCGGTTTCATCACGTTTGCATCTATTCCGTCCAAGATATCGTTTTCCCCTGACAACCATCTGAACATCGATGAGATCGAGCCGGTGGACGATGCGCGCCTCGAAGAGGATGAGATGCTGGGAGAAGAACTGGCGCTGAGCAAAGAGATCAAAGGCAAACGTGCATTCGTTGTGCTGGAAAACGGGGAACTCTTGTCTATCACTGTACCCGCACGCGAGACGGTGGATAATTCTGTCAGCTACGAGTTGAACAGTGACATATTTCGAATTACGAGATGGGTCCTGGATGTCCCGCCACCTCCTCGACCCGCTAAGCCGCAACCAAAGGAGGGGTCGAGTGAGGAGACTTCCAGCGAGACCCCGGCGGCCGGTCGTGAAGATCCGGAGCAAGAACCGGAAAAGACGCAAGACACGGTCAAGCCAGGACGAATGACCTCGGCTCTCCGGAAAGCGCACGGACTTGTGGTTGAAAATGCGTCACCAATCACAAACGTGCTCTACCTGGAAGGGGGATACTTTTTGATCTCGTTGCTGAATAAGGACGGCGAATTTGAGATTCGGGCGTGCAAATATGGGACGCCAAAGCAAAGCAGGTAAGCTTCACCGTCGAAAAACGCATTCGGGCTGAACTAGATATTGATTCACTACTTGCTTAGGCTCGTGTTGGTTTATCGGTCCAAATTTTCGGATATGCGCCTGTCTACTACTGGTAAATACCTGCTGACAGGAACGGTTGATGGCATGTCATGTCTCCGCAAGTTTCGCCTAGAGGACATTTTACTCTACCGATGGACTGGAGGTCACGAAGCGTACAGTCAATACTCAACCGCCTTCGAGGAGGAGGAAGCACATGCATCTGTGCAGAAGGTTTCCGAAAAAGTCGATGAAACGGACAGCCGTGGGGACTTGGACGTCGTGCCAGACGCACCTGGGCAATACTGGTTCGGCCATGCCCATAATGCGAGATCTGGTAAAATTACGAGCATTGTAACAGCCTTTGACGACTCGTTCCTGTTCACCGGAGGCGCTGATGGGGGGCTATTTGCGTGGAGGGTGACTTTGGAACATATCAAGGGTAGCGAGGTTGAAGTTACAGCGGATGCTCTGCCTCCTAGTCGCACCGTCGCCGATATTCTAGACCCCAATGAGTACACCATGCAAGATGCGAAACTGCAGTCCGAAAAGGACAAGGAGTACGCAGATGCCCAACGCAAGAAGCAGGTGATGCGGGAGTACATCAAAGAGCTGCGGAGCGAGTTTACCCGACTTGTAGCCGATAACGAGAGGGCGGCAGCGGAGGAGCAGCTTCCACGAGATGTTTTCACTATCGACCCTGATCTTCGATCCGACATCAAGAACGACACCGAACAGAAGGTCGAGCGAGTGCAAAAAGAGCTGCAGTGGGTTTCAGAAAAGGAATCCATCATCCCGATGAAGTTACGGAAGCGTTTCTTGGATCCTTTGAAGACGGAACGGGTTGAGATCCACGCATTTCGGAGCAGCCATGCGATTGCCACATTTCGAACCTTGAAGCCGGAACATACGCTTGATAATATATTGCAGCCTCTCGGTAGCTCAGAGGCACAGCAAAGTGTCGACCAAAGCAATGACGCGGAAATACGAGAACCTGATTTCGCATCCAAGAATGCTTCCCAAGAAATGAAGGCGAATGAAAACTTGGGTGCGGGTGCGAAGGGCGCAGGGAAACCCGTAGACGCGAGAAGCAAGCTCGAGGCAAGAAAGCAACTCAGGGCACAAAGAGCCATCAAGTGGAAGGAACTGATGGACACCAAGCCGGATGAAAACTATGAGGACGCTAGAGACATCTCCGCCATTCGATTCGCTGAACAAAATGTCGGTGATTACAAGCTCAAAACTGGGGAGAAGTACATCGTCCCGGAAAGCGAGCGTGTGGATGCCGACAAAAAACGTCGCCAGATTATGCTCCTGAAAGAGAGCGTCTTTTCTTTGAAAGAGGTACATGGACGGCCTATGCCGATTTGAGTTGCTTTAGAACCTCGAGCGGTTAGACTAATTCTCTTTCTCAAGAGCTTTAACGACAGAGTATGTAAACTTCGAGAGCAGAAGCGAGCTTTGATCGACGAGATCAAGACAGGAAATGATAGTCTGAGGGGAATACACGTCCAGATGCGAGCTCTCGGAGCATCCGTAGATGAGGAGCTCTGGACGCCTTTCATGGAGGTACGAGATCGCTTTCTAAGCCTCATCGGTACCTTACAGAATCTGACACTATTGGTCGTAGCTCTCTGCGCGCCCGGAAGTGCGGTATGAAGTCACTCCTGAAGATATTGCGAAGTTGCGCCAAGACGATCTCCAGGCAGCTAGCGATAAGAAGGGCAACCACGAAGAAGGGTTTGGAGGGTTTGGTGGGAAGCCTGGTGGAACGCAAGCCAAGGATGTTGCCGGCGGTCCTTCGCAGGAGCCCGCTCAGCAACCTTCTCCAGCGCATACCGGTGCTGGCGGGTCAAGAGTGACAACGTCTGGATCAGGTCCATCGATACTGGACGATTTGTTGCTGGACGAAGGACCGAAGTTGAAAGCGAGAGAAGAGGAGATGCAGATGAAGCGGCTCACCTATGAGAGGAATGAGATCCTTTCGGTTAGTGCCATAGACTGTATCTGAGCGTGATATTATCACGATGTTAACCGGATGTGTCCATAGGCTATCGACAGGGCTGTTGCCGACTTTGACAACTCTGTGCATCTCCTCGAAAAGGAAAAGACCTTGTTGGAAGGAGGTAAGGTAACGTTTTTTTACGACATCAGCTTGGATTCACAGTCAACTGACCACTTGACTTTGTGATAGACCTGAAATCTGTGGATATCAAGCTGCTTCTTCTGTATCGGGAGTGGGTCCTTCTAAAAGAGTTTGAGAAGCACGACAATTTCCTCGCCGATAAGCTGGTACAGAAGCGAGGCGAGAAGAAAGACATCGACACGAAGGTATGACTTTGATTGCCATGTATCTGCATGATGCGGATCTCATTGTCCTGCCCCTCCACAGATAAAAGAATGCCAGGAAAAACTCAATGGCAAGAAAGCGGATATCGAAGTGGTAATACAGAAAGAGCGCACAGTCCATGACGAGTTCCGGCAATTGCTTGGGGAAAACAATAAGCATGAGGAGTTTCTGACGAAGATCTTCAAGAGGAAAGTCAAACGAAGCAAGGTTCGTAAGCATGTGACTATTCGTTGATGAGCTTGTAGACCAACTGATGGCTTCCACGTGCACAGAAAAAAGCCAAACCAGACGGTCAAACAAACAATCATAACGGCGGAGAAGATGATCAAGCTGACGCCGATGAAGACGAAGAGGAAGATGAGGACATGGATGACATGGACGATGTAGAATCCATGACCTCCGATAACGATGGCGAAGACCTCGTCGAAGAATGTCCCCCAGAATTCGACGCGAGCAAATACAAGCGGATCCTCGAACTGCGCGAAGACCGCTTGGACCAGGAGGAGTGTCTCACGGAGATCCAGAAAGCCGTTGACGCGTTGAAAAAGGAAAACGACTCCTTCATCAAAAAGGAAAAAATCATTGATCAAGCGCTCAAAGCCACGGAGAATGAGATACAGCAGTTCCAGACGCAAAAGCAGCAGAAGCTGAATGAGCTGGATGTGGTGCTGCCCTTGAGACTCCATCAGATTCAGTACATCGACAAGCAGACCCTTCCAACGGATCTGTCCGGGGCTTTGGTTTTCATGCATCAGGGTCTTATCAGGTTGAGGAGTCGCATCAAAGAGCTGCAGCAAGTACGTGGATACAGTTGCGACCGTACCATTCACCGTGAACTGATATGTGGCGTCTCCTAGGAAAAAGCTGAAATCAGGAGACAGCATCGCGAACTCAAAAAGATGCACGTGAATCTGATCAAGAGCCGGCGGGAAAAACAAGCAAAAGTATGATTGAAGATTCTCTGCTTTTCACATGAACATTTGGATTAAGCCGATGCGTTTCGTAGCTGCATGAACTCGAGGCTCGGGCGGTAGATGTCCAGATGCTGAAGTTCGGAAAAATTATCGATCTCGAGAAACTCGAAAGAATGGGTTTCAATAAGAACGCCGACGAGCTTCGCGAGAAGCTCACTAAGGAGGATGCAAAACGCATGAAAGAACTCGAGGAACTTCAGGTCCGTGAAAATTGGCACCATTTAGAATCTGAGGGGTTTTAGAGCTGATATGGTTCCAACATTATCAGCTGCAAATCAACAAGCTGAAGGTCAGGTTAACGGAAGTAACCAGGGAGAACACCCTGAGGTTGGAAAACCTTGTGGATCTCACCGATACAAAACAAAGCCTGGAGGAAGCGCTGAACACCGCTCAGTCATCCGTGGTAAGCTTTCCCTTCTAGCCAGTGAGCGGCGCCGGCGAAACACACTAACCGCCTACACACATTAGACCGCCGAATACTCCGCGCCCCAGGAACGAGAAATCCTAGAGCGGCAAAAGATCATCGGCCTGGTGCAAAGTCAGGCGGAAGAGATTGCAGAGTTGAAACGGGAAATAGAGATCCTTATTAGAAAGCCGCTGAGGCAACTGCCACCGATAATGCACGATCGTCTGCATTCCGGGGTCGCGCCGACACCAGAAACCCCTCCACGAGTTGCATGGTGACATGGGACATTATAGAGGCGGTAAAGTTTTGTATATTTGGCGACTATTGTAAATACATTCGTGGTCGGGAACTCAGGAGAGAGGCCAAGCAAGTCGGACAGTATTGACACCACTTGAACCGAGAGTCCCTTCGTATAACCTGGTTATCCCCAATTTCTTCGGAAACCTGATAGGCCTTTGGCTACCCTCCCAGTCTCCGCGCCTGTCATCCAGCAATCGGCGGCTGTGCACCCAATCACAACCGTAGAGACCCCGCCATCTCAGAAGACAACGGTAACGTCGGTTACGATTGAGGGCGAAAGAACGAAATAGGTTCATCATCATTATGGCTGACCTGACCAGTGTATGCGCATATCCGATATCATCAACATCAAATCACCGCAAGCAGCTGTGATCACATCGCGCTTCTCTCCCAGAGCGATGTGATTTACTGGCATCCTGTGCCCTTCGCCGTCCCCTTTCCTTTTTCGAACGTGAGACTCCCAGAAGCATGTCCCCAGCGACTGTAACACTCTTATGATGAACTCTTTACGGCCGCACATCTCTAAACACAGCAACTGGACTCCGCGTCTGACCGTTGTTGTTTCACCAAAAGAGATACGAGCTGCCGTATCAGAAGAGCACCGTCGGCCAATTCAGGAGTGAAGCCCGCTGGTAGCATCCCGATGATGGCAGCATACGCAGTCTTAAGTTTCGTATATTGCGCCATGAGATCTGATGGCAAAGGATCAAAGATGGGAAAGAAGAATGTCCCTGCATTGCGGTGATCTTCCAATATCTTGGAGAGGTAGGTAGGAAGATCACGCCTTCCTAGGGTCTGAATGATATAGCTCCGGTGTTCCTCGACCAATGAATGCGTTCTACGATCTGTTAAGGAAAGTGTCCGGATGTCTTGAAGATCGAGGTTCTCCACAATCTTCAACTGCAACTCCACGGATAGATGTCTCCACATTTCAACTGTCTTGTCTCGATGATATCCACTGGGGACCGTGATAAATGATACAGGAAAGATGGGAGACGGAACCATAGTTTAGCTATGCTCCAACTAGGCAAAGCAACAGTGTCGTTATCGATAACGCGCTTGTCGCGTGAGCGCCCCCGAAAGCATGACGTCCCCAAAGGCGACGAGTAAACTAGGTTTGCTTGGAGTAGGAGCCATTTGGGGTCATTCACATCGATGTTCGAGAGCCGCTCATAAAAGTTGTAAACATAGTGTTAAACCAGTGTTTCCGTTGTGGCTGTGGAACGTTCCGAATACAGCCGAGAATGAAGGCAAAGTGTTTATCGTCGGATATAGAGTAATCAATGATACGCTTCTGAAGCACCACATAGAAAGCGGTGAAAACATCGATGACTGTCGTCTCAAGGAGACTGTCGCGTTGAATAGCGTCTCGCAGTGTGTTTACGTTATCCCGAATGATGTCCATTTTCGTCTCCTTTTTGATGTGCTCTACCCAACTCAATCGTCATGTCCATACCGTAGAAAAATAATATTGAGGACTAGTACAACGACATCCAGCCGCGTTCAACAACGCCCGCCGATCCAACTTTTTTCAACCACTACGGCGAACCAACCACAAAACACATGATGATGATGCTACCTACGTATCTTGCTGTTTGTCTTCCTCATGTACATACATGGCGTTCAACAGCAATAGTTTCTGGATCGAAAGAGACCGGGTGAAATCGGTTATCCAACCGCAGCAACAGTCCGGAGCGGGTATCATCAGGACCATACCCGGCCGGAGCTGTCCTGGATGTCATCCCTGCGACGCGGTATATAGAGTCCCACTATATGTACGCATTATCAGCTCCTCCTGTTCGCCGGGACGTGATCCTCCCATGGTAGCATGAAGTAAGCACATGGTTACTCGGTCACGTGATGTTTTTCTGCAGGAACTTCCGTATCGAATGATTCGAATCCGACGGTAACCGGGTGATACGAGCGGCACAATCTTAGGGTTGCTGTCGCTCTTGCTTCGACGCAGAGCACGTCTGAATTTGAAGCCTTTCCCAGTGCTCCTTCTTCAACTGACAGCCACTCCTCCTCTCACTGCGCCTCCCGCTATTCCTGCTTCCACTCCGCGCTACATGAAGGGACCGCAAGCGGACGTAGATTCGGACGGCGAGGACGACATTATTACGGGGCACAAGCACCGCCGAGCAGACACCTCCGCCGACAACGACAAGACGCAGGACCTCCCCTTTCTCACAGAAGACGTTTTCCTCATCATTCTCTTTTGGTGTGATGAGGCGGAAGCCGTCGTCAACCTGTTGGTTTCCGGGGCCATCAATTTGAAGTTTTTGCTGTTCAGAGCCAAGGCCCGTAGGATTATGGTCTTGTACGGGAGAGAGCGTTGGATACGAGCGCGACTGACGTGGGATGAACCTTCGCTCATGGACCAGTTGATCCGATACGGCGCGAACGTGCACGCCCAGGACGACTTCGCGCTGCAACGGGCTTCGTAGCACGGTCACCTATCGGTGGTCGAATGCCTGATCAAGCACGGCGCGAACGTGCACGCCCAGGACGACGTCGCGCTGCGACGGGCTTCGGCGTTCGGCCACGTCTCGGTTGTCGAATATCTGCTGAACAATGGTGCGAACGTGCATGCCCATGACGACGACGCGCTGAAAGGTGTTTCGTTTAGTGGTCACATATTGGTGGTGAAATGTCTGATCAAGCACGGCGCGGACGTGCACGCCCAGGACGACTCCGCGCTGATACAGGCTTCGATTGAAGGTCACTTATCGGTGGTCGAATGTCTGATCAAGCACGGCGCGGACGTGCACGCCCAGGACGACTTCGCGCTGCAAGGGGCTTCGTCGTACGGCCACGTCTTGGTTGTCGAATATCTGCTGAACAATGGTGCGAACGTGCACACCGGGGACGATGGACCGCTGCGAAGTGCTTCGGCGTACGATCACTTATCGGTGGTCGAATGTCTGATAAAGCACGGCGCAGACGTGCACGCCCAGGACGACGACGCGCTGCGACGGGCTTCGGCGTATGGCCACGTCTCGGTTGTCGAATATCTGATCAAGCACGGCGCGGACGTGCACGCTGCGACAGGCTTCGTTTAAAGATCACCTATCGGTGGTCGAATGTCTGATCAAGCACGGCGCGGACGGGCACGCCCAGAGGCTCCACAACTGTGGCGAGGTCTGGTAACAAACGCCGAGCTAGGCATACTGCGTTTCTCATGAACCTGTGAGGAAGGTACCTAACGAAGCTTTTCTCGTAGACACCTATCTTATCCACTGTCGGGGCAAGACATAAAGAATGCATATCGTTCAGATAGAAGGTCCCTGTCACAGCCTCGTTCATTTTGACGTATGGCAATAGGTCAATCGCCTCCCGGGCCTCGCCAGCTACGACAAACAGGAACACCCCCCGGTAGAGTATTGGGACGAAGCGATGCACACTCTTGTAATGGACGATTATCAGGTCATAACGTATATGGAGGGCCGACTCAGTGTGAAAAAGAATGTCACAGACCGACTGGGGATCTGCGATGCTCTTAGCGTTCAAGTAATCTATGTCTACAGAGGATGAGTCTGGTATACTGGAGAGTATCTCACTGACGTATCTCCGGCACTTAGTATCCACAAGAGTCTTCCTGACATTGTACACCGTCAGCAAATGAGGGAGATTTGGAACGCCCGACAAGCCAGCTGCATCTCCCACAGGGTTGTGTACCCGCATTGTTTCTTTTCTTTTCTGTCCTTGTTCTGTCCTTATGCGGATGATGCTGAAATTGATGGCTCCCAAATCTTTGATACCTTTGGCTTATCACCTATTTAAATGGGTCGGAACTCAACTTGGCATCCCAGACGCAGTATCAGAATGGAGAACTTAGAAGACAACTTGGATGGCCTCTGGGAGAAGTTCGCCACGGCTCTGCATTTTGAGAGAAGCGAAAACGTTAGTCAAGGGAATGACGGACATGAAGAACAACATGATGGGCATCTACATGACGGTGCACTTGAAATAGACTATGATGACGCTGATAGGAAGTGTGTTTGCGGGATTCGCGGAGGCAATCTAGACAAGCTTCAACAGGGCTTTGTCATATGCTCCAATTGCGGGGTAGCGAAGGATGTACTGTACACATTGACACAGGCGCGGAATGTGTACACCTCACGTAGACCGAGGTAGCTTACGCGTAATTCCGATCAGGGTTCGAGGGTTTCCGTCCTGCAGTCCGTGGGTGTACTGCATCCAGTGGCCGCATTCCTGCCCCGGTCGGAGTTGTGTCCGTGCGGTACCTCCACACCGTACCGGCCGCGCTTGCCTGGTCCAACGCGCGGCGAATGTGCTCTGACTCTCGAAATTAGAGCCGGCAGGGCACGTCTGGGGATTAATTTGGCAAGCGCTGGGAGGGTGGCCATTGGTTCCAAGTCGGCAATCAAAATTCGGATCGCGATGTTGGCGACGAAGTCCCTCCCTCACTCCGTACGGATGCACACAGAGAAAAATGCCCTGAAAATCAACAAGGCGTGGGCGCAGGACGGAAGGTTCTCTCGCCTCTCCCCTTCGAAATTTTTAGGTTGGCGGCCGGAATCCACCTAAGTGCCGGCCGGTTGCCAGTGTGTGCATGATGAGAGAGATACTATATTTGGACTTTCGGGAATCCCTGAAACGAGTTGAGTGTGGCGCCGCGGCGAGGAAGGGACCGAGGACATAAAGCCGGGTACCTTAACTTGTAATAGATAGGAAATAAATGGGCGGCGCGTTGTTTGACCTTGTTTCCCTCTTGTGGCCGCAAACAAATCACCGTGATGAAGAAAGCCCTGTTCCAACTTCCAGCCCGAGGTTCCAGGCGTTTGGGTGGCGATCTCACGCTACGGCGCCCCTGATAGATCAATTGTTGGACTAGGTTAAAGTAGACAGACACCATGAAGCTTAAAGAGGGATAGCGGCTCCCAAGCCCCCCTCCTTCGTCTGTTCCGGTCATCCGCACACGCAGGTCGTCGTGCGCAACAAACCGCTTGTAAGGTAAAGTGTCTTCGTCGTTCGTTGTGGTGTCGATGCGCGTGCCGGAAGTTGTAACATGGTCTTTTTGGTTTTGCAGAACCTCCACAACAAACAAGTAGAATGCCTTTCACCGACCAACAATTCCAAACACTGGCCTGGATTGGCAGAGTGTCGAGTTTCCTCTCTGTCATTGGAGTGTTATCCACTTTCAGTGTGAGTTTTGCCGGATTCGCAGGCTGTTCTCGTCGATGCGCACGTATTCACTCGGACATTTTGTGCGCATACCTTTAGTTCTTCTACAAGAATCCAAAGAGTGCTCGGAACCCTACTGCCCGCTTGATTATCTTCATGGCAGTCGGTGACCTGATGTCCGCTGTCGCAAAGTCGATGGGACGATGGTATGGTGGTTTCCCAATTCGCACTCCTGGAGTTTCGGCTGCTAATGTCTTTATCCATGAAGGCCAGTCTCTCTTGGGACCGACCAACCACTCTGCCAGTTCCAGGCAGTTCTCATGCAAGAGGGCGATCTGTCGTCGCTGACATGGACCGCCATCTTGGCAGCAAACCTGCTTTATGGTAAAGCCTGATTATCTCGGAGCGCTGCCCCAATAGTGAACCGAATCTAATCTTCTCCTCACCTCAGTCATGTTCTTTCGTGGCCGCACCACCACCCTCAGAAGATACGAGGTTCCGTTGGCCGCCTTCGCCTTTGGCTGGCCTTTGATCATTGCGCTGCTCCCTCTTGGGCTACCATCACCATATGGAAGGATTTATGGCGACACGACGCTATGGTGTTGGATCACCTCGAACTACAAACCCTACGAGCTTGGATTTTTTTACATGATTCTTTGGACGATCGTTCTCTTCCAGATTGGGGCGTATGCCCTGGCTGGCCGGTACATCTGGAACACCTCAAAAGCGCTGGAAACGTAAGTTATACCCTAGCCTGCTCAACCAGACGCCGTGCGTGATTCTAACTTGCCCTTGGTTTTCTCAACGCTCTAGAATGAACGCCAACACAAGTAGCGTCAACAAGTACCGCATGATTTTCATTCGCACAGCGGCATGTTACTTGACTGCGTCCATCGTCGTCTGGTTGCCGTCTTCAATCAACCGCGTCTATAGGATGTCGACTGGCGAGACATCATTTGGCCTGTCAACGGCACAGACGGTCATGTCGCCGCTCAGAGGCTTTGTCAACTTCCTCGCCTATTTCTTGATCTATCGCCTGTCCCAAAAGAAGAAGGGGGCCAGTTACTCCCCTGAGATCTCTACCGACCAACGACAACGATCTCGCTCCGCGGCGATGAAATCCCCATCCTACAAGGATAACGGAATAACAAGCATTGAACTGGCCCTCAGCCGGGGCCATGTCGCTCCGAGCGACCTCGCGGAGATCCACGCGGAGAACAGCAGCCAAACCTTGATGGTTGAGCGGGCATAGTCGATCACGAGTTTTACGTGATCATCGGACATTCCATTTCGTGCTTCTAAGTACAGCGCAGGCGTTATCCCACCCCCCATTTTTTGTAGTTCTGTAGATACTTTCTGTTTCTGGGGGTTAGTGTGATGGATGGTTTCGGGGGAAATCTGTAATCGGCGTAAAGGCGTTCATCAATACTGAAGTACATCTGTAATACATGACTCATGTTCGATTCCTGGCCATCTGCTTGTTCATCAGCACGGAATACATATGTTGCGGTGGGAGCTGAGATGGATGCGGAGCTGCCCAGTCGCATATGAGGCTTCAACGTCGGTGGAGGGTGTCCCACATCGTCGACGGGATGCTGTCCTATCAGCCTGTCAGTCTGTACATTATACAGTACATACTGTACGTCATGTTATTGATTATATCCCAGAGACTCCGGGTCACCCATGCATGCGTGCGCCGTGTATGATAGTACTGCATGTATGTACATAAACCCCTATTTCAGCCCTTGATCGGGGAAGTGGGTGGACTGGCAGTGTCTACATACAGTACAACACGACATGCTGCTGGAGCATCGTGGATTCGTGGTGCATGCTTCGATATTCAGAATTCAGGCCTGATTACGGTTGTACCACGGTACCGTTTCAGCCATGCAGTACCAGGAATGCGGATGCAGTTTGATAAGATTCGTGTCGGGAATGGGATCAATTCAGGGCCCCGGTATCATTACCAGCTTTTTTCGACAGGCCCGCTTGGCAGCTTGTCCACGCCGCTCGGCAACTGGCGCACGGGCACTGCAAATGCTATGCTCGCCGAGCCTCCCACTACAACTCTCGTCAGACCAGACACGGGCTGCAGTCCACACACCCCGTCTGCGCTGGTTCTGAACGTTGGCGAAAAGACTCGGAGTACAAAAAAGTAAGGTGCTCCCCGGGCCGTCCAGAAAAAAAGAAAGCGAAAAGAAAAGTCATTCGCCCAACGCCCAACGCCCAACGCCCAAAAAGCGGAGTACTGGACGTATACAGTACATACCTATTCTTATACCCAACCGTCACGCTTTTCAGTTCGTCTTTTCAGGGCACGAGAGGGCTGGAGAGTCTTGTTCTGTACAGTCAGATTTCAACATGGCCCCGTGGTGTGGTACTGAGTCGGTACGTGATCTACCCTCTAGCCAGCATATTATACGAGAGTCCAGCGTCACACCTTTAACACTGTACGTGTGGTAACGTTTCTAGGACAACGAGCATGCGACAGACTGCGTTCGCACGACGTATGTATAACGTCAGAACCTGTTGTCCAAGTTGCAGTTTCGTACCCGCTGATGTTTCCACTCTTCAACTCTGTAGTGTCATCCTTTCGGTGCTCACACTCCTCGCGGTAACACTCGCAGTTAAGGCACTGCTCCAGCACCTCCGATGGGTAAAAGAACATCGTCAATCCTACGAATATAGCTCCCTCGACGAGGAAGAGGTAGACGACGACGACGACGACGAAACCACCGCCCATGGGGACGGAGTCACCGCCGATGTGCCTTTACTTGCTCCGACGAACGAAGCGGAGGAGGTGGATAGCAAATGGACTTGGATCACGCTCCTCGCTTTAGCCATTTCGCAAGTGATTCTCGCACTCGTTGAGAATGGCATTCGTCTGCGCAAGGAGGGGGATGCGTACTGGAAACAAGCTCCTTTTCACTTCCTGGAACTAGGCCTTACCATCTTGCAATGGGTATAGTTGCATGCTGCCTCTTGCAACGTTTGTCCTTTCACCGTTCTGACAGCTCCACATCCAGACTTTCATAACTGCAGTCATCGCTTACCTTCATTGGTCGCCCTCGCCGACTCCCGGCTCCTATCTCTATAAGGCATATGCAAAATCCAAGCGCAGTGCTATCCTCAATCTCCTAGTCTTCGCTGCCGGGTTTGCAATCTTCCAAGTCTATACAATCGTTCGCATTTGGCTGCATGCTGGTGATCGGTTGGACATCGTGTTCAGCTTTGGCGCTCTTACACTCACTTCCGCGTTTGTGGTTGTCGGTCATTATGCTACGAGAGAGGCCCGACAGAGCATCCCCCGCTCCCAGGCAAGTAGTTGAGCTCCTTCTAGACAACTTACAGGTTCTTACCTTTGTACCGTATACAGAACGAGTCGGATGAGCTTCAAAAGCCTCTCGAGTTGGGACAGTCAATCCTTTCGAGAGCGTACTTTGCCTGGATTACTCCGTTGATCACGGTATGCTCCCTACCGTAGCGCGTAACCTCCTGGTCTTGTCATACTTCCTTACGCAGTCTCGTATTGGATAGGTGGGTTACCAACGACCGCTTGAAATGTCCGACATCCCTGACTTGATCGAGGAGGACAAAGCGGCGCGAAATGTCCAGCGCTTTGCAAAGATCCGTCCTCAGCACCCCGGCCTCATTTCCGCCATGTACCGTTTGGTCCGGAAGGAGTTCCTTCTGCAAGTGGGCTTTTCGATCATCTCCCTGGTTCTCAATTTCAGCGGCCCATTCTTCCTGAACCGCATCCTTCTCCACGTTGGACAACCAAAAGGCGAAGCATCGGCTTTGGTTGGTTTGACCTATGCTCTATCGCTCCTGGTCGCTGCCCTCGTGAAATCCATTTGTGATGGGCAAATGTACTTCCTTGGGCGCCGTATGGGTCTCCGCTTGCGTGCTGTCCTCATCAATGAGATTTACGGTAAGGCGCTGCGGAGGAGAGCTGTCGTCGGAACCACCGAAGAAGAGGCGCAAGGTGCCACTACGGGACAAATTACGAATCTCATGTCGGTCGATCTCGAGAAGATTTTCAGTGTCAGTTGCTACTTGATGGTGTACTGGTCGTGTCCGCTCCAAGTTATCATTTCGACGGGACTGCTTTTGGTTGTTATGGGATGGCCAGCTCTCGCTGGAATCGCCGTAATGGTGGCAATGATGCCCGTTGGCGGTGTCCTCGGAAAGGCTATTGGTACTATGCAGGACAATTTCTTGAAGGCGACCGACAACCGTATCAATGCGATGAACGAGGTAAGATCCGTTCTTCTCGAGGACCCTTTTTTTTTGGTTCGCAGATTGACCTTCGATTACTGCGTTTCCCAGGTTCTGCAAGGCATTCGGGTGATCAAGTTCTTCAGCTGGGAGGCCCACTACGTTAACAAACTCACCAAGCTTCGAATCATTGAGCTCGGAAAGCTCAAGTACTTCCTCTGGACGATGGCTTCTACCTACTTCATGTGGAGTGCAGCATCTATCGCCGTCTCGTGTCTTACCTTCCTCACCTTCACCCGCGTTGCGGGCCGGGAGTTGACGGCTGATGTTGCTTTCACCAGTCTTGCCTTGTTCACCACCTTGCGGTGGTCATTGCAAGAGATCCCAGAGACCGTTGTTCAGTTGATTGAGATGGTGGTCAGTTTGCGGCGTATTGAAGGGTTCTTGAAGGAGGAGGAGTTGGAGCGATACCAAGAAGGCTCTGCCGCCAGCACTCCTTCAAGTAGCAGTACCGAGGAGGATATTGGGATCAGCGGATCAGGAGCTTTTACCTGGGAAGGTGAAACGTCAACGAAGGCGAACGAGGATGGCACCTTCCTGTTGCGAAATGTGGATGTGAAGATTCCTGCTGGTCAACTCACTCTTGTCTGCGGTACCACCGGCTGTGGTAAGACGAGCTTGGTTTTGGCCATGCTGGGCGAAATGCGTCGCCTTGCCGGACATCTCCACCTTCCGGACAGCCGGGTTGCCGCCGTCAACCCGGTGACCGGGCTCACTGCCAGTGTCGCCTACGCTGCACAACAATCCTGGCTTGTAAACGGTACTGTTCGTGACAATATCACGTTCGGCGAACCGTTCGATGCTGACCGATACCGCCGAGTCGTCTACGCGTGTGCTTTGAACCGTGATTTCGAGACATTCGCAGGAGGCGATATGACCGAGATCGGAGAAAAGGTACTCGATGAAAATATTATATGTTTTTTGTTTTGATTGGGGGGGCTGATGATCTTGGTGATTTTTTACCAGGGTATAAATGTCTCTGGTGGTCAGAAGGCAAGGATTTCCTTGGCCCGAGTCGCATACTCACGAGCAGCTTACGTGCTATTGGACGACCCGCTATCTGCTGTGGATGCACCCACTGCCCGTCACCTTCTCGAACAATGCATTCTCGGTTTGCTCGCAGGTCGCACTCGTCTCTTGGTGACCCACGCAGTCCACCTCTGCATTCCTCGTGCCGACCACGTTATCATTATGGGCAAGGGCGTGATTGCTACGCAAGGCTCGCCCAAGGAAGTCATCGGCAAAGGACCCGGCAAAATCGACTTGGACACGATTTTGGGCGAGGATGATTTGCCGCTAACGTCTATTGCTGAAGGAAAGGAGGATTTGGATCATTCCGTCGTCTCGTCCGTCGAAAGCCGGAGGAACTCGAAGAGCGATGATGATACCAAGACTGGGTCGTCCGAACAGGAGGGGGATCACTCAACGCAGAAGCCCAAGGAGGAGAACACCGTTGTCACTCGCTTGACCGAAGAAGAAGGCAAAGCCAGCGGATCTGTCAGTGCCAAGGTGTACGGGCTGTACATTAAAGCTGCTGGAGGTGCATTGTTCGTCTTCGGAATTTCGCTCGCTTATGGGTCTAGTCAAGCCTCCATCGTTGGACAAGACTGGTGGCTCAAGAAGTGGGCTCAGGCGTATGAGGCAGTTACCTCAGTGGTGATGCAAATGGCAGTTGGTTTTACCGCCCAGAACATCTCGTCCGACTTTTCGATTCTGAAGAAGAACAAGCACCATGTCGATGAGCCTGCTCAGTCACCCTCCGTGGACGTAGATTACTACCTCATCATCTACGCTCTCATTGGCGGTATCAGTCTCCTCGCTATTCTTTTGCGTACCCTTGTGGTCAACTTTGGATCTATCCGGGCCTCTCGTGTCCTTCACCATGGCATGTTGACGACTCTACTGCGTGCACCTGTCAGGTTCTTTGACATCACTCCTATGGGTCGAATCATGAACCGATTCTCGAAAGATATCAGCACGCTCGACCAGGATGTTTACTGGATGGCTGGTGACTTCCTCAGAAACGTCGTGCAGGCCATTTCGGTTATCGTCGTCATTGCCTCTGTTACCCCCGTGTTTGTGATGGCGATGCTTCCCATCGCGCTCATGTACCGATATGTGGCCAAGCTGTACCTTCAGTCTTCCCGAGAGCTCAAACGCTGGGACAGTGTGACACGATCTCCTATCTTCTCGGCGTTCAGCGAGAGTATCGTTGGCGCGCCCACGATTCGCGCGTACGGTGCCGAGCAGCGTTTCTTGAAAGCTACACAATCCCGCGTCGACACGAATCACCGCGCCTTCTTCTACCTTTGGGCGACCAATCGATGGCTCAGCATTCGCATTGACATGCTCGGTGCTGCCGTCGCGTTTTCTTCGGCTTCCGCTATCCTTGGAGCTCTCCACCTTGGCGTGGACATCAATCCAGGAGCGGCGGGATTGAGTTTGAGTTACGCACTGTCCTTCACCGAAAACTTGCTTTGGGTCGTGCGTCTCCACTCAATGATGGAAATGTCGATGAACAGCGTTGAGCGTATTGGAGAATATCTTGTCATTGAACCTGAAGCGCCTTCTGTGATTGAAAACTCTCGACCTCCTGCTGGGTGGCCTACAGCTGGACAAGTCGAGTTCGAGAATGTGGTTGCGAAATACGCCCCTGACTTGCCAAATGTGTTGAAGGGCTTGTCCTTTAAGGGCAAGGCTGGAGAGAAGATTGGGATTGTTGGTGAGTTTGTCAAGATGAATGCTTTTTCGGAACAGCAACATCAAGCCTAACTGTTTTTCAGGGAGGACTGGAGCTGGCAAGTCGACTATTGCGCTCACTTTGTGGAGGTTCCTGGAACTTTCCGGTGGTCGAATTGTCATTGATGGCATTGATATCGGTACAATTGGACTGCATGATCTGAGATCAAACATGACTATCATTGCACAAGGTATGTAAGAGCGGACTGTCTGCACCCTTGATTCCATGGACTCCTCGGCACTCAATATTTGCACTTTTTCCAATTGTAGAACCGGTTTTGTTCGCGGGGACTGTACGGACCAACCTCGACCCCTTCTCTCAGCACACCGATCTCGAGCTATGGACAGCTCTCCGCCGAGCGCACTTACTTGAGGCTGAGGAGACGCAACCCACGGCGGTCCCTGTACCCCGGTCCAACAAGCTCTCCATCGGCAAGTCCCTCGGCGGCGTTGGGAGCTTGTCCACCAGTCTCGTGCACGATCGCGTCAGTGGATCGCTCGTTGCTCGGAGCATTGGATCAACCTCTTCCGCAAAGCGCCCGGCGCTCACCGCCCACAGTTTCGATCCCAACGGCGCTTTCGGCTCGATCTCTCCTCGCTCTATGAACTCAGTATCTTCCCCGGCAAACTCGTCGAACTCGCATGCGGATCACGCGCAACCGACCATCACCCTAGACGCGATTGTCGCTGAGGGAGGTGCCAATTTCTCTCAAGGACAGAGACAACTTTTGTGTCTCGCCCGTGCGTTGTTGCGAACCTGCAAGGTTATTGTACTGGACGAAGCCACTGCCAGTGTGGATCACGAAACGGATGCAAAGATCCAAGAGACTATCAGGACCGAGTTCAAGGGCGCCACGTTGTTGTGTGTTGCACATCGTCTAAGGTATGTCTGCTGCCCGTTACGAGATCAATGGACACTTTTACCTTACTTACATCTCCCCTTTCGTCAAACTGTGCAGAACTGTCGCCGATTATGACAAGATCCTCGTCCTTGCTGATGGACAAGCAGCCGAGTTCGACACCCCGTCCGCACTAATGAAACTCACTCCCGAAACCAATGGTGGCAAGGAACCCATCTTCCGCAAAATGTGTGAAGAGTCTGGCGAATTCGACCTTCTTTTGGAGTTGGCTCAAAAGGCGGATGAAGAACGGAACAGGAAATGATTGCTAATGAGCTTCACATTACCCTCATGCTCGAACACTAGCAACCATGAATAGGACAGGCGTACCAGCAGGTTTTAGACTCCACTATATTGCTTTTTCGCAGTTCACATTACATATCATCACATTTGAAGAACATTCCGCCTGGGGGCAGTCTATTGTAGCGTTCCATTTGAGTTCCTTTACCTCTAAACCGCCGCCGGACGATTGACAAAGATAGGTGCCGTCCCGCCGCAAATATCAAAGCTGTTATGAAACGGTGAATATCACAGTACGCTGTCAATGTGGGTGGAGTTTGAGGGGAGTTTTAGATTTACTTGGCCGGGTCATCCTTAACAGTAGTGTCGCCACGAAATCTCAAAGTGTATGAAATGCAACACAAAGTCGAACTTTGTTGAGAGTCCACCGGACTCGACTCGACTACGGAGTCGACTGAGGAGAATAATACGAAGCGGCCTCGTACGGCAGAGCATTGCTCATATTAGAAGCCTCGACGTCCTCGCTGGGTACATCTTTGCAAATCGAAATGCATAATCTGATTCTCCCAAACAATATCCACGCGGTATATATATACGAAAGATCTTTCCTCGCTACGTTCTATCTGGGCGTTGAAGACTACTAGGTATACGAATCTCCTACCCTTAACCTATCAATTTCACTTAAATGACTACTTCTGTCCCAGAATTTTCAACGCGAGCATTTCCCTGCTGAATCGATGGTGATAACGTCAATGTCTCGTATTTCTCGGTAACATGCCGAAGTGACGCGGGAAGTGTGCCGTTTTAAGGCGTCCTAAGGAGAAGAAGGTATCTCAGAACGGATACCCCGAAGAACACTACGTGCGCCCACCACAGCTCATTTTCATTTCTGAGAAAACTCAGAACAGACAAAACTCACCATGCGTGCGAAGTGCTTGTCGCATGACCCGCAGGTGAACGGTTTAATGTCAGTATGAATCGAGCGATAGTGCCGCTTCATGTCATGAGAACGACGGAAATTGGCTTGGCAGCCAAGCGCCTCGCATCTGAAAACTTTTTCATGTGATTGCGCTTTTTGGTGAGTTTTATAGGGCCCGGACTTTCGAGATGTGTTGCCGTAAGGGGCTTGTCCGCAAGCAGTATCATCCATATGGTATGGCGCCGTAAATATCCGGGTTTTGCGCCGAGGCGGAGGAGGTAGCGCCGGGATCACAAAAGGGAGAGGGTTCCCGCCGGTCCTCTGTGCTGGTAGCGGCTTAACGGATGCGACTTGCGTGGACGAGCCCGGGGTCACGGGCGTCGGGTATCCGTCGTTGTAATCTGGGGGCAGTGTTGGAGGGTAGGGCTGGACCGGTGGGTAGTATAGATTCCCAGCGGAATCATGGGTGAACGCCCACCGTTTCCCATCTTGATGGTGCGCGTAGTAGGGCTCTTCGGAGCGAGACAGGTCTCCTGCGCCGCCGACGGTTATGGTGGGCATGATGTCCTGGTGATCTGGTTCGCAAGCAAATGCCAGCTGGTCATTGCGATTATACTCGTTTTTGATCATAGCGGGTTGAATCGGGACCCCCTTCCATGTGCATTTTTGCTCTTGTGCCGAAGCTGAAGATGATATAGCGTCGGATTCCGAGATTGCTCGTTCCAGGTTCAAGTCAAACTCGCGGGCCTCTTCGTCAACGATAAAATCGTTGATCCAGCAGCCTGCTGGCGATGTGGTCTGTACGGTTTGCGTAGATGACATCGTGTGGGTCGAGTGTGTGAGTAGAGTTTGTGGCTCGACTTTGCTACGACTTTGTGAATATGAGCATGAAAATTTGGAGAGCACTCAGTGCTGTCTCTTCTCCCAACCTTCAGTTTCGGCGGTGTGGGCTGTGTGACGGAATGTGTGACGAGAGACTGGACGTTAGAACTCAAGCAGAAGACACCCAACGTCGACGAAAATAGGATTGGAGTCGGCATGTCTCACCATTTTGACAGGGGACTCTCGTCGCGCTGTCGATTTCTCAGATTTTATGTCATCATTTTGGGAGTTTACGCCCCGGGTTAAAGGTGCAGGTGTTTTTGAAGCATTCCATACAAGTTTCTACGTCCCAAGGTCAGTTTATGCAATCAGTCCAAATGTTCTGCGGAGGCAAGATTCAATTTGCTGGAGAAATAGATATTAGTGAATGCGCTAGTGAATTGGTGGGGAATAGTGAATTGGTAGCAAACGGAAAGACACCTCCTGCCCCCCTTTATCATTTCCCAATTCAATATACATTTAGCAGGCCCTGCTCAAATGCTACTATTCACTGAAACTGACTACACACGCCCTTCTGCGCTAAAAAGCAGCCAGCCTCCTCTCACTTGTTCTTTAGATTACATCCCGCTGTAAAACCTTTAGGAGGACGGCGTAGAGTATAGCCAGCGGGTTCGTCAATGTTGTATACACCGAAAAGTCGTGTACGCGCAATTGAGCAAGGTACGCCCTCGAATAGTGGATCAGTTTAGGCAATGCAACACGAGATAAAATAAGACAATCTCGTACCAGCTGATCGTCTTCCAGGTGGACAAGCTGTGCGAGTCAAGGTTGAAGTTTGAACCAGGCATTGTTGATTCGCCGGAAGGCAATCCAATGCCCGGGAGTGTGTAATCAGAATATTTGCCGTCCGTGTGACGTGTGTTCCCTCCTCCCAGCTGTGGAGGTTTCATTTGAAGGTCCATATACTGATGGCATGGATCAGTAACTGTACACTGAAGTCACCACAAGCACTCCCGTTTTGATTAGGGACGCCAAGCCATCCTTCTTCCTCGTCAAGGCCTTCTTCAATCGCAGTCATGGTGTCCTGAGAGTAGATGGGCGCTGCATGCTGGCCGGTAGTTCCCCCCCTGGCGAACGCTATTGACGGCTAGAGCCCACAAAGAGCCTGGAGCTAGCGTTCGTGGTATATGCCGTCAACAATACCGCCGGTCGGCACAGATGTCACAGAGTCGTTCAAACGGCGACGTTTGTTGGCTTTCGCTTGGGTATTGGCATATGCTGGGAGGTGGGACGTGGGCTTTGCGATGTGCTTGACTGTGTACGAGAGCTGACCGTCGTCGCTCACTTTCCGAAATGCCGCCTCGCATTCCTGAACATGCTTCCTCAATGCCGGATTGAACTCCAACTGTCGAGGGAGATTGGTCTCGGTTCAACTTGACCTCCTGCACGCGAAGCACTCCCATGTGTACGTCCTGCTCATGTCGAGATCTGGCTACAACTTGTCGTGTTCAATGGGTACCTCGATGTGCAGGTGTTCCTCGTGACTTTATCCACCCATCGGTGAATCGGTGGCATGCCCTTGAGATCCGAGAAAGCGTCGTTCGGCAGAGCGAGTGTTTGGGGCCTTCACGATGCGCAGGTACGCATGCATCATAAATGACACCCGGTGTATGTTGACGGTAGGACGGATGGGTAGAAAAAGTGGGAATCCCGTATGGGTTACTGATGCGCTGTGACTCATTACCATCTACTTAGTTTACGTACAAAGACTCTCAGAGCCCCAAATGCCTTTCTGCGTGCCCGGCGGTCATGGTTCGTATGTCGTAGTACTCAGGCTGACATGCGTAAGGGAGCGTGTTCATGCCACTATGGCCGTTTTGAATTATGGGAGGGTCAACCGCCACACCCACGTGGGCGCCCTCTTGACCTCGTACCGAATCTTGCGGCTCGTATGATGTTAATGCTTCGTGTTCGGATATCTTCGCCTCCGGGGAGAGGTCAAATTCGCGGGGGAGTGACTGGCGGGGTTGCTGCAGGGATATCTTTTGGCGAAGAGTTTAGGACATCATTGTGGACCGTGGTCAAAGTTTGACGGTGTGAAGGGGAGGAGAGATTCCTAAAATGACTTCAAAACTTTGTAGCGATGAGTACCGATGAGCATTGAATTTTGGATTTGTTCAATGCTGTTTCTTTGGTGACGAAATCTGTGTCGGCTTGACGTTGGAGCTCAATTATAGGCTTCGGGAGGACAAAAGTAAGCTTTGCCGCATAGGAATGTCTTCCGATTTTGACAGAAAATATCCGATATCGACAGCGCGAGGGATTTCTTTCCGTCATCATCGGACATGGCTGCCACCAGTGTCAGTTTCTCACACCAGAAGGTGTTCCGATAGATGCCCGTACAGTACCGACATGACATTGCCCATCCCGTAACCTGCATATGTCTGTAACGCCGAAAAGTGTTATCATAGCCTCAAATCCTGGATTTAGAGAAATTTATTTTTCAGGCCACACAAGTTTTTACATCTTAAGGTCAGCTCAACAGTCACGAAGAAATTCCAGACCGGAAGTTCATCTTGTTTGTTCGTTGATCGCTGGGGATAAAAGGAAAAGTTAACTCTGAACGAACAGACGGTTCCCGCCCCCTTTCTCATTTTCCCCTACCTGTAGCAGACCCAGTTCGCAAAGGCGGCTCTTTTTTCACAATATTTCCTTTACCGCTAATGGTCTGAGACCTTGCAACGCTTTGAGTTGACTTCCTCACTCCCGCCTCTGCCGGACTAGCTAAGATTTGCGCTGACCCTTTTCGACTAGGAGGTTTGGCTGTCTTCAAATCGCTCGCTGACGCTCGCCTATCCAAACCCCGGTTGATCTCATTAGTGGAGCGGCGTGCATCCGCAGCTGTCCCAACAGCTCCACTGGGACTCTTGTGGAGGTTATTGGTCGACGCTTTCCGAGAAGGAGGCTTCACTTCCGAAGCTTTCTTAGCGGAAGGGGGTCGACTGCCGCGAAGGTTGTGGGAACTGTTTGAGCGAGACCCCGTCTTTTTGTTTGCCGCTTCCACATGTTCTTGGGTTTTAATTTCATCCTTTGCAAGTGAAGTAGTGTTTCTGATTGTCTCGGCCACAGTGGTAGCAGAGTTGGACATAGTTGCCTGGTTTACGGTCGTGGTGGAGACGTGGATCTCGGCATCGTGCACATGCTTGGCTTCTTTGTTCAGGGATGCCGTGGACTTCTTGATTTCCTTTGCGACGTCTTTCGCCAAATTGTGTATACTTTGGTTTGCTGCCGCGGGAGGAGTAACCTCTGTATATGTAGCGACCGTGGCTCCGTGCGCTTCATTCAACTGGTTCTTTGACCCGTGGATTGGATGCAATACCGCCTCTTTGACGTCTTTCGCGATGTCCCGAACACTCTTGTGAGCCTCCTTGCTCGTGTCATTCGGCTCATGCTTCTTGACTTCGATATCCACATGAGTTTCGATAGTTGCCACAGCCTCCCTTTCCTTTCCTTCGTCGGAGTCCGAGGAAGCAACATTCGTCACGCTCGCCTTCTCCGCCGCCTTTTCTTTCAGACTCTTGCGGGAAGAGCTCTTCGTCAAGTTGCTCTTGGAGCTGCTCTTCTGAATCTTCGCGTCGGTCGGATCTTGCCCCGCTTGAGTAAGTGTCTTCGAGTGCTCTTCGGCCGGGTCTTGCTTCGTCAGATCAGCTCGAGAGGAAGTGCGACTGTGACTGTCCTTTGATTTGTGCACCAAATTGTCTAAGCTTTTCTTGGCCTCATGAGCCAGTTCTTTGATGCTCCTATGATGCTCATTTTCTTTCGTGGCAGGCACGACTGCCGCCGGCTGCGCCGCTTGGTCTTGGTGATGGGAAGTTGTGAGTTTCTCCACACTTTTTTTGGCATCGGCCGCAAGCTCACTCAGGTTGCGATGCTCCTCGGCAGTAGGTATTGGAACTGTCGTCTCAGAGGGAGGCACGAGAGCGGCTGTGTCATCCAAGGTGATCTGGTTCGGTACTGTGGTGACAGTCTTGGAGTCCACCTTTGCGCTCAGGTCGTTGGTGCTTTTCTTCGCAAGATTTTTGGCACTGTGACGTTCCTTCTCGCCTTTATCCTTGTGAGTCAAGTTGTGGAGGCTCTGCTTTGCATCGGCAGCTAGCTCATGTACGCTTCGATGGTCTTGGTGGGTTTTGGTCTCAACCACTGGCTTCTGAGCCGTCTCCGAGTCCGTCTTGAGAGCACTCGGGGCGGCCTGAATGTCGTGCCCTCCAGTCTGAGCATCAGTGTGGGGCACTACTGGTGCAATCACCACAGCGTTTACTTGCGCATCTGCATGTTTCTGCTCAGCCGCGTATTCAGCCTTCACGTCTGCTGCGAGATTGACGTTCGACTTGGACTTCTGCGCACTTTTCTCTGTGGCGAGTTGCTGCTGGAGGGTTTCCAAAGACTTCTTAGCCGTCGATTTTGGTTCCTCATGGACTGGCGTCGGTGCAGAATCGGCCGGGATGTTCGTGCTGGATGCCAGATTAGCCTTCGATTTGGATTTTGCTGCTCCCTTCTCCGTAACAAGCTGTTGTTGAAGGTTGTCCAAGGACTTTCTGGCTGTCGAATGCGAATCCTCATGAGCCGCCTTCGGTGCAGATTCAATGGATGTGTCCGCAAGACTAGCCTTGGATTTGGACTTTGCGGCTAACTTTTCCGCGGCAAGCTGCTGCTGAAGGTCTTCCAATGACCTTTTGGCTGTCGAATGCGAGTCTTCATGGGCCGCCTTCGGAGCGGAATCGGCGGACATGTCTGCAATGCTAGCCTTGGATTTGGATTTGGCTGCTAACTTCTCGGCCGCGAGTTGCTGCTGGAGGTCTCCCAACGACCTTCGAGCAGTGGAATGTGCATCCTCATGCGCCGCCTTCGGTGCAGAGTCCGCGGACGTCTCTGCAAGGTTAACCTTGGACTTGGACTTTGCCGCCTCTTTCTCCGTAACAAGCTGCTGCTCCAGGCGCTCCAACGACTCTTTAGCACGCGAATGAGAGTCTTCGTGGGCCGCCTTGGGCTCTGCAGCAAGATCCTTCTGGGAAGTCCGGTTTGGTGCCAGATTGGTTAAACTCTGTTTCACGGCATGTCCGTCGAGTGTGATGCTGGCGGCTTTGTTCAAAGGCACCCCTCTTTCGTTCGCGAGCTGCTCATTCAAATTCTGCAAGCTTTTTCGAGCGTTGGAATCGGTGTTCGAGGCGTTAATAGAAGCTCGAGAGCCGCTTTTCTTCAACAGTACCGTGACGCGCTTCTTTCCACCACTATCCTCAGTGAGATTCGCCTTTGAACTTCCGCCGGTCTGCTTTGATTGGCTCTCCTTAGGAGCAGCATCCCCCTCCAAGCTTTTCTTTGATCTGTTGCTGTTTTTCTTACTTTCTCGAAGTTCCTCCTGCATGTTGGTAAGAGATTTGCGAGCCGTCGGAGATAAGTGGTCCTCCTTCACGCTCTTCCGCGACGAGGACCGCCCCAGAATGATTTCGTTCAAGCTTTTTCTCGACCCAGCCTTGTCCGGTCCCAATGCATTAAGTGATGCCGTTTTGGTGATTGGGGCTTGAGCTACTGCGATGGAGGCGGACGACTTTGTCTTCACAGGCCTTTCAATAGCATCCAAGGCATCGTTCGCAGGCACCTCTGAGATGGCAATCACCGAGGCGTGGATGGCAATAGGTGAACCTTTTGCATCTGTTTCGATCTCGGTGGTGACCTCGATGCCTCGAACATTGATATCCTCCTGACGCAGATTCCCACCGCGAGACTTTGCGACAATTGCATCAATCGAATTGGCAATCTGATTTTGACCCATACTATCTCCGGCATGCTCGGACAGCTCCTTCGCCACAGCATTGCTGACGGCCTCTGTTTACGGATCAATGTCATTGGTATGTCTAGGTGAACTCCGAAAGCATGAGACTTTAAACCATACCAGCAAGGGCAACAGGAACGTCACGAGCTAAGGAAACAGCTTCTGAGCCATTTTCCGGTTTGGACTTCAGCGACTTCTTGCTTCCACTCTTCTTCAGCGCTAGGCTGCCCGTAGAAGCAGAGGTCGCAGGCTTCAGCTGGGCTTCTGAGGCATTGATTTCTTTTGTAAGTGCTGAGTTGATAGACTTCTGCAATTTCGCGGCGGCAAAGTTGTCGGCCGATTGCTTGCCATCACCACTATTGGTAACCTGCTGAGCTATTTGGCGACTCAACGTTTCGGCCAGTAATGTATTGTCACCGTCCGCTGGAATGGAGGCTGTGGCTTTAGCAACGACGACTGCGGTGGTGGTAATCTTTCCCGAGTCAGCGTCCTTGGCTGCAGCATTTATTTTAGCCTGCTCCAGTTCCTTTTCCACGGTACTATTGTCCGACTTTTTCTCCTTGTTCGTTTTCCCTTCCTGCTTCGTTTCCTTCCCCACTTTCGCCTTGGATTTCGATTCCTTCGGTGTTTTGGCCGGTCTGCCACCTTCCACGGTCACTACCGCATCGGCAGCGTTTTTGGAACCTCCGCAACCCATCCTTTTGATGAAAGATGTGCTTAAAAATTATCTCGCACCCCTGATATCCTCTGTGGTATGGAGGAGCCTTCTCAAAAGAGCTTTTGTATCTGCCAATGCCTCCCTCCTTCTGGTCGGAAGTGTCGGTCAATCGGCGGAGTTGCTTACGAACGGAGTCACGTGACCTGGAAAGCGTCTGGAGGCTCAGAGGCCGAGGATAAGAAAAGCTGTTGGCACTTGGCAGCTCGCCCTTTCGATCGCAAGAGCTCGCCTTTCGATCGCAAAGACTTCATCCACATTGCACTCAAATTCGAGTCGGTTGAGCCTACGAGCCAACCTGCTCGACTGATGGGTTTGATACAATGGTACCAGAGAGCGCATCGGTAGTCCCGCCTTTCGTCTGTTACTAGTCCCAGGTTTCTTCAGGTATGTATGTCTTATTCCCATCAGAGAGGAAAGGAGCATTACGAAAGCGCCGGCGATGACAAAAGGGATATGATACATATATGATTAGTTGTGAAAAGCATAGCTTTGTCACAATTGTTCCTTCTGAAGGCACCAGGAGTTCGTCAATGGTCGTAGCACCTGTGTTTTCAGCGTATTCATCGTTTCCCTCGTCTCCAGTTTATAGAGCAACGTCGCGAAGTTCCCCGTACTCTCGACAAGGCCGCCCCAAGTGGAGCAGCAACATCTCCGCAACTTGAATCGAATCAAATACGGCAAGGATCCACTTCGCTCGGAAGTCGGAACGCTGGGCCATTCTGGACCCTGAAAAGCGTAATGCCACGGAGACGGGGAGATGGCCATATCTCGTTCTCCCCCGTCTAGCCTTCTCCCTTTGCGGGCATACCCTTCATAGGACGTGATTCATGTATGAAGTGTCCCCGAGAAGAGAGAGGGTTGTGAAAGGGCGACATTCCCGTCCCGAAAGCTGTTCAACTAATCGACACAGTCTACTGTGCTTGAGTTGAACACCTTTAAGGGCACGGGAGTTACCTCTTCACCTTTTCGGTGGTTCCACTCGCCGGTCGGCTGCTTTTCTTGGGGCCCTGACCTGATTATTGCTCGGCTGGCTTGTGGAAGAATAATATTTGAGATATGTCATGCGGCTGTCGGGATTTTACGATAGTTGCATATAATTGCACTCAACACATCTTGGTTCAAAATATCAATACTGTACACGCCAGTGATCTAGCAAAACGCTTTATGGGAGACTTGAAGTGCAGTCTTGCAGTACTTCCCGTCCATGTCGTCTCTGCCACCTGCCCCGCGATGAATCTTGTTCTCGAATCTCACGAAACAATTCAGCTCCGTTCAAGTTTGGCGCAAACGCAAAGGAGACCCAGGTTGCTCAACCACCCGTTCATCATGCTGCCCCCGTTTTCGGAGGTCGTGGCACGTTATACAGTCTGCGAACAACCCGCACCTCGCACAGGGAGGTTGTCCGCCCCTTCGAGTTGATGTCCCACGTCACATTTTAATGTTACACGGACGAGCTGTGGCTCGTTCGTGCATTAGTACTGGTAACCCTAGGGCCCTAAGGGCAGTGAGGGGGGGGACTGCCATGTCAATGCATCTCTTGCATTCATCATTACAATCCTATGCATTGGTATGTAGGTAAACGTACGGAGATAGTGGCCACCTGGGCCACGGCGGTGCAATGAGGCATTCCAGGAAATGGACACAAATGTAATATGCAATGTTGCGACCGATTCCTCTTCCTTCGTTCAAATTTACACAAGGTTTTCTGTTGGCCCGGCATGCCCGAGGACGGATACGCTGATGGGAACACGGTGGTGGAATGGTGCTCCCCGTACGTTGTCATTTGCTCCCCCGCCTTCATTATCAACCGAAACCAAAATCGGGCCACTCGGACACGGGAGACGGAGTCACGGAGGCCTCATCAAAGATGCCAAGTGCATTAGTCGGTCTCCAGCCATCTTTGTGACAAAGCTTAGAGGTATGGACATCACTCGGGATCAACTATGGGGACACCGTGACTGCGGATACGACGGAGCCAAGCCGTATTTCATCGATGCTAGGAAATCAGGGATCTGATACAGGATGCATGCGGACGATTGCTTCGAGCGTTCCACAACATCCGTTGAGCAACGCATCTGGGAATGGTTCGCAGCAGCAGCATGGTCTCCATCGCTATTTCGTACGACAAGAGAAGATGCGTCCGGGAAATGAAGTCCAAAGGCATCGATCGTCTACATACTGTATTCATCGGCAAACGAGAGCGATGCCACATTGGGGATACAAACCATGCGGGTGAAGCCTACCTTTCTTTTTGTTTTTTCCTCTGCCCTTCGAATAAACTTGATTGAGGATTGTGCAACGCTGTACAGGTGAACATCGCACAACCTCATCAGCCGGGGAGCAGTATCGGCTCGTTCTGGACTCAAAACACGTCGTGCGACATGCGAGACTCCAAGAGGATGAGCGATTATGCGCACGAAGGATCATTGTGGGCGATACTAAGCGATTGTAGCGGTTGGACCGTTGGACGACATGGACTGCAATCTCGAGGTGTGGGGCAAGGACGCAATGTGCTCGCCTGGCTTCCACTTAGCCTGCACGCATGGGGTACAAACCTAAGGAGGGCTTCTCCATGAGCGATATGAATGGCGGAAGTATCGAATCCCGTGTGCCTTTAACTCGGAGTCGGTCGACGGACTTGAACCCGGCGAGCGGGCTACAGCGATGACAATCTGTGCAGAACTATGTTGCACGCACGAACACACAATCACTGTGGTACCAGACTGCCAGTGGTTGGAGGATCTTTGCCAATCTCGGTTTTGCTTCGACTACCAGTGTTTGTGGCCCGCGAACTTTTTTTGCCGTGGTGATTTTGCTAGCGGACCATAAACCTGCTTGCCACTGCTTCGTCCCTCCGAGAATGTCTCCGAGATGTCTTCGAAACGTCTATAAAAGCCGCGGCGTTCCCGCTTCCCACCCTTTGCCGACATCCCGCTCATCGCTCTGCATCCCGCCTACCGCCTCCAAACCAACTCTTTCTGCACAACCATGAAGGTGTTCGCCGCCGCCGTCCTTGCCGTCCTTGCGGGCTCTCAGGCTGTCGCCGCCGATGCTGTCCCCATCGACCCGAAGGCGGTCTACTTCAAGTCGATCGCATACGCTGGTACCGGGTGCCCAGTTTCCCCCCCGTCCGCTCAAGTCCGCCTTTCCGACGATAGGACTACCTTTTCTATCCTGTTCGACCAGTTCGTTGCTGAGGCGGGGCCGGGCATCCCGCGCGCTTCGAATCGTCGCAACTGTCAGTTGAACATCGGGGTCCATATCCCAGGAGGGTTCCAATATTCTATCGCCTCCGCCGATTATCGAGGCTGGGCGCAGCTTGATGCCAAAGTCAAGGGTATCCAGACAGCCAGCTACTATTTCCAGGGCGACGGACGAACGGTTACAACGAAGGCGGAAATTCCCGGCGCGTACGTCAACGACTATCAGATCCACGACGAGATCGAGTTTACAACCCTTTCCTGGTCCCCGTGCGGTGAGGACTCGAACATCAACATCAACACCTCGATCTTCGTTGACAACTCGAAGAACAAGGCTGCTTCTGGGTCTCTCACGACTGATTCCATGTATGTACCCGGGAGAGATGCAAGAGCTTTTTGGTTTGCAGCGCCTCGTCTAACATTCTCCTCTTCTAGCGACGGCAAGGTGACCCAAAAGTACGCCTTCGTGTGGAGGCCATGCACTCGTCGGGCGACCGCTTAAGCGAGTCCGGCGCAGGTTTCAGATTAGTTTACAGTTTGCGCATCTCTGTTGCGCGTGACGGCTGAGCAGGACGAGATAGCACATATACCTGATGTATTGTATAGACCATATGCTGGACCATAGAAGCTGAATATATCGTTTCATCCAAACCGTCCACCTGCGAAAATGTTTACATGTTCCAATGCCGGTTGACCCGATGTGTTTCCCCGGTTTTGACGGGCAAGAACGCGCTGTCGAAATCGCAATTGCCCATGCTTCGTCATTGCCCGCAAACCTCTTCCACTGCGATCTACTATAGATATGCATAGAGGGGTGGTGCAACATATACCCTCTGACCATCGGTCACCTTCGATATGTCTCGCAAGCAGGCTTCCACAAAGTCATCGGGAAAGTCCTCTGCCACATCGCCGACGGAAGTGACAAGAAAACTGGTCAGGAGAACTGGAAAGCGGAAAGGTGCCAAAACTAAGAGCAGCGGGGAAGCCGGGTTGACGCCGGATGACGCTTCCCGGCAATCCAAACAAATGTCCGCCCAGAAAGTCTTTTCATCGCTCCCAGACCTAACGGAATGCGTCGTGAAAGCGAACCTCCCGAAGATGTACGTCCGGTGTCTTGCAAATGGATATGTAACATGAAAACCGGAATTAATCTTTCTACATATTAGCAGCAAGAGTCGCGAGAGTTCTTCGGTGAACCTAGGTGGCCCAATGCCGCCATCATCTGCTATAGCGCTTCGCATTCTCGAAAAAATAGGAGAATTGTTAATCAACCCTTGGGCCGACACGAATACTATCAATGCCACCGCGGCTGCCATATCTGCCACGGGAGGGACTCTTCAGCTTCAGCAACCAGCATCTAGACTACCTCCTCGCCAGCCCTCTGCATCCATAACGGTGCGATCTGTCTCGGTATCTCGCCGCAAAGACGCGGCCTCAGCGCCGCCGTCTTGTTCGTCATCGTCGTCGTCACCTTCCCTAACCCATCATTCTGCTGCTAAGCACAAACACATCACTTCTACCAAATCCTTGAAGCATGGCCGAAAGGCCAGAAGTACGGGAAGTATCCCAAATCACCACGCAAAGCTCCCACCCGCTAGCAAGCACAGCATGGAGAGCAGGAGAGGACATAGCGATAGTAGCCTCCCGGACCTTTCGAAAGCAAACCCGTCACCGAAGTTCCCTAATGCGAGGCGACGCCAATCGTCACTTCGAGATGAGCTGATAGAAATGGATGAATTTATTGAACCTCTGCCGTCCAATGCCGCGGCTGGAGGAAGTCTGCCGAGATCAATACCCCTGGAAGCTTTCTCTCGAAGCGCTCCGACTACTCCTCCTCTTAGCGCAGACGCACGCAACATCATAGCTCGACAATGCTTGGCCCTCAAAAGAATCATCGACAAAGAGGGTATTCATGCGGGTAAACAGCTCATTCCCAAGGTCAATGTGATGGGTTGACAAAAGCTAACTCGCTGAGTTTGCATAGAATCCAGTATTCAGCGAACACTATTCTCCAAAGCGACTCCAAACATCAGCGTGCTCATCAAATGCCTTAGGGTAAGTGAGCATGCAGCATTGAAAGGCTGAGGACTATGAGTAATCCGTACCCTGTAGGTGCTTCCGGATCTAGACATCACCATTACCATCACAAATATGCTTATACGTCTTACATCCAGCAACAGCGATCTGAGCGCGTCCAATACCGCCAATGCAGCTCGGAAAAACATCTCCGTTGCCCTTTTGAAGTGCATTCAGAATGTTTTCCGGGAGTATTTGAAGGCAGACGGTTCGGTTCTCTTTGGTGCCGTACCGAACGCCGTCTCAAGGGTCGACGAGCTGATGGCAAACGTTTTCTCGTTGCTGACTCGAGTGGCGAAATATGACCCGAAGCTATCGCTTCTAGCTAGACTGCACGGAGCCGTCGCTCCCACGATCATTATGGTGAAGAAGTGGAATGAGCGCAAAGAATACGCTCTCGTCATCACGGGCCTGCAAGCGTTGCGGGCATTCGCGACGAAGAACGACAATAACGTCATCACGATCCACAAAGGGAGAACTCTTGACTTGCTTGCTTCGATGCTGAAGAACCCAATATCGGCTCCTATGCTGGCTCAAAACTCGGCGTCGTTGGAATGCGTCCTTGACCTGATGACTTTGCTGACGAAAATGAAGCATGGCGCTGCAGAGTTGCTGGCCAAATTCCAGGTTCGGGAACTCATAGCGCTCTTCCGAAACACCGCCATCGAAGCACTTCAGAAGTCTGTGTTGAAGTTATTGAAAACGGTTGTCGAGACCGAGGAAGGCAAGAAGTTGTTCAATGAGCACAATGGCGTCGAGTTCTTGACATCGGCTCTGGATGAAGTTGTACAAGCAAGTGAAGCCGGAACTCACCCAAACGGCATGCCAGTGACCTCGTCCAACAGTAGCAGCACAACCGCCATTCCGACGCTACTCGTAGCGGTTCTTCGGTCGGCTGTATCGCAAACCGACTTGCCTTTCCTGAACAGATACCAAATGCTGAGTTTTCCTCTGCCATCTGTAGAAGAGGATGGGGGACCTGACGATCCAGATGATGGTGTTGAATCCGACGATGAGGAGGTTGTCATCAAACTTGGTGTACGAACTGTTTCGGAGAATGTGAAACTTGGAATCCCATCGACGGAAAAGAAGAATGAGCCTAGCAGCATTGCCGAGAGCATCGCAGAGGAAAGTGATATGGAGCTGACAGACAAAGAAGATGATCTTGACATGAAAGTACAACTGCGAAGTCGGTGTCCCGAACTTGACATCGGGGTAGCATCGGAAGAAGATCCAGCGAATGGGAAGGCTCAGAGAGATCCATATACAGGAGACGATCTCGAAGTTACCGGTCAAAACCCATTCTCACATCAACCTGCGCTGCCTATCACGAACATTGAAGTGCGACATGTTCAGCCCATCACTCCACGGAGGGCATATGGCGTTCTGGCACATAAATGCATAGACGCCCCTGAACTCACGGTCAAGCGACATACGGGTCTTGTGCGAAAGCTGGTTTACGAGCAGATGCGGAGAGTAGTGCGGCCGGCGGAGCACGTGAACAAGCTTGTCTACGATGTTATGGATGAGTCCATTGGCAGTGAAGCTGTGGAGGGGTACGTTGCGTTAGATGAGCAGAAATTCTTGAAGCTTCGTCCTCATCAACTTTGCAGAAGTCTTCAGTTCGACTCGCGCTTCGAAAGTGGAAACCTGCAATTAGCTCTCATGGTATGCCCCTTTAAATGTGACCCGAAAGCTTTCGAGAGAGTCTCACATTGCATTCTCTCCCTCTTTATGCCATGCCAGATATCGGACTTCGAGTACGACCTCATACTGCAAACTGATATCAACAGCTCGATGGGCAAGCACAATCAGGTACATCATGTCGTCTTATTCATCATCTGTACTATACTGACCAAACCTTGGTGACAGTGGTTCTATTTCGCTGTGTCTCGCATGAAGCCAGGCATTCCGTACAAGTTCAACATCGTCAATCTCAGCAAATCGGGTAGTCAGTTCAATCAAGGTAAAATGGACATTCTGGCTCCGTCCAATTTATCGAACAGTCCAGCTCAAATGCAGTGCGTTTTTCTCTTCGCAAGGGATGCAGCCTGTCATGTACTCGAGGAAAGACGGGCATTGGCGACGTATTGGCGACGGAATATACTACTACAAGTAAGTTGCCCACCTTCCCTCGGTTATCTTACGATAGAGTTATTCTGACCATCCGTTGTTTCTGCAAAGAAATCATTACTGGAAACCGCAAGATGCCGGCGTGACTGATCCAGCTGGCGGCACTTATGCTACGCTAACATTTTCAATCACCTTCGAAACTGAAGGAGATACTTGTGCCATTGCCTACCACTATCCATACACTTTCTCGGATCTGCAGGTAACAATTCAACTGATATCAGATCCTACGAAAGCTTTACCCCTAACTTTTCGCTCCAGCGCCATCTATTTCAATTCCAGCTCGCCCCTACGTTCAATGACCGCTGCCGGCGGCAACCTCTTTGCTCTACTCTCGGTGGAAACGAGTGCGTGCTTCTCACAATTACGGATTTCACACCGTCGTCTACGTCCATACTACCTATCGCCGAAAGAATGTACATTTTGTTGAGTGCAAGGGTAAGTGAATGTAGTCTATGGGAGGATCTTGGGCAAAGATTAAACAGTTGTTACTATTCTCAGGTTCATCCGGGCGAATCAAACTCCTCGCACACCATGCACGGCCTTCTCGTGTATCTCCTGACAAGCAACGACGAAACCGCGACAACGCTACGACATCGCTATGTTTTCAAAATCGTACCGATGCTCAACCCTGACGGGGTTGTGAACGGTTCGCATCGTTGCTCACTGGCTGGAGTCGATCTCAATCGCCAGTGGCGTCATCCCCATCGGAAACGAACACCTACCGTGTGGTGGATCAAACGGTTGTGGAGCTATATAATTGATCATGGGAATAAGGTTCTGGTAAGTGTTAGGGGATCTATACATACAAAAAACGATTGCGTGGGTATCCTAACCCCCGCTTCTATCGTAGCTCACCTGCGACTTCCACGGACACTCCCGCCGCAAGAATGTTTTCATATTCGGTTGCGAGAACACGCCCGGGTCACCACATGAGACGTTGGAGCGAACATTCCCAGCTCTCCTGGCGCAGGTGTCGCCCACATTTTTGCTGTCTGCTTGCCGGTTTGACATCCTCCCGTCGAAGGAAACGACGGCAAGAGTGATATTGCGGCGCGAGCTCGGTATCGTCAATTCATTTACACTAGAGAGTAGCTACTGTGGAGCAGATTTTGGCGAGAAGAAGGTAGGCTCTACTTCAGGTCGAGCTGACCGACATTCGGGCATCTATGATCTCATTCGTCGAACTTTCCCTAGGGTATGCAGTTTCAGATCACCGACTTGCAGCAGACGGGTGTGGACTTCTGCCGTGCTTTGCGATCCCTCTTGGACGTTCCTCCACCTTGGACCACCAGAGGCGAGAACTCTAATGCCCCTGAGGGGATATCAGCGCTCGCTGGCACCGACCCAGTTGCGTCAATCGCATCATCCTCGTCAATCGTGTTCCAAGACTCCATGGGCGGCTTGGGTGGCGCACCTCTACCCGCCCGCCCCTTGAGACTCACCGCGTCCGCCAGAGTTGGCAGAACAAAGACATCGCGAGCATCTTCTTGTTCAAACGATCCCCAAGGCAATATGCATTTGCCGTAAATCGCTGCGGCCACATCACGACATAACTCTGATTCTCGCGTATTTATATAGTCTGCATATCTGTATATACACATCACATCTGTCCGGTAATCCTTACGAAAAACGCTTTGCTGCCTCGGGCGAAGCTCGCGTTCTACAACTCCTCAAGCGACGTCCTGATGACAGGAACGGGGCTACATTGCTCACAGTGCAATTTTCCAAAAAAAAAAAAATAGGTCTCTGAATGTCTGCCTCGGTTCACGTTCTTTGTCCCAGCACATCCAGCGTCCCTTTGTTTGCCTGCTGGATCTTTTGGAACTGGGATAACATCTGCAGAGCCCAGGTACGCGTCAGCCAAATTCCTGACATACCAGCGACAAGGAGTCCCGACAACCACGCATACCTTGCGCAAAGATTCATATCGCTCAACAGCATCCAGGACCGTTTCGCCGAGTCCTGAGTGGTGCTTAGATCAGGAAATGTAGACCGTAGGGTTTCTACCCGCAAGCTGAAGAACAGCATTATTTCATACCAGACGGTCCAGCAAATCCTTCGTGGGTGATGGCGCTCCCAAACCCGGCGTCGTCAAAGGACCCCTCAATACTTTGGATGTTTCTGTTCACTTGTCCGCAAAGATCGCCAACTATCGCTGCATCTTCTGGTGTGTACACATCCCTCGCATGCTATGTTGCAAATCCGGAAGAATTGGCATATGGATTCCTCTCGATCTCAGTCGGACATGAACCTACGGCTTTGATCAGAACTCCCAGCTCCTCATACAGATCCCCCAATGTCCGCTGATGCTGTTTGATCTGCACTTGCAGTCTTTGCGTTGCCCCTGAACTGCAGCAATTGATCAATCGGCTGATCGTCTACAAAAGTATGGACCTCCTCAAAAGAGAACATTGGCGGTGGCATCCAATCGCACACGTACTTCAGAGACCGTCGATCATTCCTGTTATCATCCCGGAACAAGTCACAAAGACCGTCTCTACCCAGCTCGAACTCGGTAGACGTAAGGGCAGATAGGCCGGCCTCTGAATCCAAGAACGAGTCCAGAAACCCACAACTTGAAGCGAAAAGGTAGTCGTTGTCTACCTTGTCGTCTTCGAGGTCAGAGGCTGGCGGTCGTCGTAAGGGCGACTGTTATTCAAGGAAGCAATCATTTGGAAGAGCACGAAAAGGCCGGAGGAAGACTCACTCACATACGTCGTGTGCCATTGCTGAGCGCCTGGTGGATGTGTCCCCAAGTGAGCCCACGTTGTCGTTTCCCGAGGATACTGCCCTTCTCTTGCCCTTGGGCTACGAGATGAGACGAGATGGTTACTGCCCGGACACGTTCGGACACGGGACCGCGTGATGGTTCAACTTTTTGGGCGGAACACCCAGAAACGGCTTTTTAGAACACAACATTGCGACCTGCCTAAGTTTCTGACTAAACACGTTCGCAACCTGACTAGTAAAGGCGAAGATGTTGCCGGCACCCACCCTTGTTGTGGGCATCATAGCTCTGGCTATCCGAGCCGTCTATCGCACGGGAGCCGTCGGAACTTCCTTGCAGCCAAACCCTCTTGCCCCTCCGGCGTTTGACAAAGTGAAAGTGAACTACACCTTTGCGCAGGAAACGCTAATCAAGGCCGTACGCATTCCAACGGTTTCTTCCGACGAAGGGCGGTTCCTGGAATTCCATCGCTTCTTGGAAGAGAGTTTTCCTCTTGTTCGAAACTCTTTTTCCTGGGAGACCATCGACAAGTACAGCCTGCTTTTGACATGGAAAGGCTCAAAGAAGGCTGCGCCAGTACTTTTCTCCGCGCATCAGGATGTGGTTCCGGTCAGCGATGCCGACCAATGGGACCAGCCGCCGTTCTCTGGGGCGGTGGCAGATGGTTTCGTGTATGGGAGAGGAACCTTGGACATGAAGGGCATATTGATTGCGGAGCTGATAGCCGTGGAAACCCTGATCCAAGCCGGGCATAAGCCAAAGCGAAGCTATTACTTTGCCCTTGGCCATGATGAGTAAGTAGAACGCATCACGACCCTTGGTGTGTTTCCTGCCGAAGCTAACTCACCTTCACCTTCGCCTTCAATTAGAGAAACGAATGGTGAAGGTGATTGCCTTCCAAGTTAGAGTCATGTGCAACGTGATCGCATCAACTGAAGCGGGAGCGCATTGAAGGTGCATTTGCAATCGCGAAGGTGCTGAAAAAGAGGAAGCTGCGCTTTGATTTTGTCTTGGACGAAGGGCTGCCTATCGCATATGGGCAGTTTCCTGGGATCAAACGCCCTATAGGTGAGTGAAAATTTCTAGTCCGAATGCCAATGCGTATCTCGAATGACCAACATATGGCTGCAGCTTGGATTGGAGTAGCCGAAAAGGGATACTTGGATCTAGTCATCACGTAAGGGAACCCCTCTTCATGAACCACGGGGTTTGGCGGATGCTGACATTTTCATTCAGTGCGAAATCGCCTGGTGGGCACGGCTCGATGCCATTTTCGCCGAACGCTATCCATCTTTTATCGACTGCGCTACATCGCATTTCCAGGTTCCGCTCGAAAGTCTCGATATCGGATGGACCCGTCCGCGATATGCTGGCCGCCTTGGCCGCTGAGCATCCATCTTTCTGGTTTCGTCTTTTGATGCGGAACCCTTGGGCGGTGAATCTGGTTCTTCCGTGGGTTCCAGTGAAATCCATTCCTGGATTAGCGGCCATGACGCGTACCACCCTGGCCACGACGGTCGTCAAGGGCGGCATTGCGCACAATGTTCTGCCGACGGTGGCTCAAGCTACCGTGAATGCGCGCATTCGTCCCGGGGAAACCGCTGAGGATGTGCTTCGTAAAGTCAGCAAACTCATCAATGCTGTGCCAGTCGCCTCTCCGGAAAGTAGCGATGAGCCGCTCACCATTTCGATGCGGCTAAGGTCTGAAGATACGAACCCTAGCGCGGTTTCGTCATCCACATCTTCTGCCTTCAATATCTTGGCTGGTACCATCAGGCATGTTTTTGCGGAGCATAAGGGCGCGAAAGACAAGGAACCTCAGGAGATTCTGGTCGCGCCATCGTTGTTGATGGGACGAACGGACAGCGCGTCCTACAGATCGATTGCGGACCACATCTATCGCTTTCAACCCGTGACACTCTACCCCGAGGACGTTGAAAGGATCCACGGAAGGAATGAACGGATTGCTGTCAAGGATTTCAGTAAGTTCTCTCACCGGCACGATACCCGGAGTAACTGCTGATCATTGAATCACTCACGCTCGTAGACAAGATGATTGATTTTTACGTTGCGTTGATGTTGAATACTGATAGTGCAGAGTAGTTAGGTCTGTTTCATCACCTCACTGACCGAAGTTTGATTGCGCGAATGCGCCGAATGCGCTCGAGGGTTTGAGCAGCGCAGTGGGGGTAACTGAGCCCCACTGGGCCAACATGTTGTACCTTGTGAACCGTAGCATTTTGCTTTCCCTGGTCGGGCCCAGAAGGTGGGCCAGCGCAATTTCCCGAGTAACTCAGAATCTCACCTATATTGCCCAGGGAATGTTAGTCCATTAGTCCATTTTTCAATCTCCGATCTGACAGATTTCAACAGCGCGGATGCTGTCAATTGCGAACTCCTGGGCGACCTGGGAGAATCTGGCCGTTTTGCGGGGTATTCAATCTGTCAGAATTGATCGGAGTTCGATGGAAATTAGGCTTTTTTACCACGCCAAAAAACTGTCAATTGACCCGTAGCTACGACGGGTATAAAAAGTAGCATACACCCTCCATGCCCTCGCTTCTCGCTCCGGGTGACCTCTCGCAATGGACAAGGACCAAATGCGAGCACCACGCCAGCGCCCTAGCGGGTTACCAAAAATGCAAGCCGAGTCCATACAATGCCGGGTGAATACTGCACATATGGTCGCTAACATATTTGGGCCGCATCGGGCCGAAGCCACGGCGGCTCCTGCAGAAGGTGCCAGTGTAAATTATGGGCCAGGGGAGCTTGTGTGGGTGAAGGTCGCTGACGGCAAACCGTTTTGGCCGGCGCAGGTAGATTTCGAACGGATTGTGTTCGTTGGACCACAGTTCCCGATGTAAATATTTATATCCCTCCTTCTTCGTAGGTCCTGGATCGCTTCACTATCATATCGACTCTCAACCCTGAAAAGCGAGATAACGATGCGACTTTGGTGCAACTGTTTGGAAAGTACGACTGGTATGTCGTTCACAGAAAAGTTACAACCTCCCATCTCGCACGCCTCCTGACTGTATTCGACCCTTTCGAGAATAGCGCCTACGTCACATCCTCCAGCATCGTCGCTTTCGAACCCAATTTGATCGCTCTCTGTTCCAAATGCAAATCCCGCCTTTTCAAAGCAGCGGTAGATGAAGCGCTAGTCGCCAATCGGAAAAAGTACCCAACATCGTCTCAAATTGCACCTTCCGCTCTGAAAATCGACACCCGCCCATCTACACCCAAACACCAGACCCCGGCACCCCCAACGCCCCCCGTAACATCCAACCCTCACCTCACCCCGCAAATTGTAGAAAAACGCCTGGCGTCCCAGACACCATTCCTGGGCGTAACATCAAGTTTCGCACTTCCCGCCACCCGCATCGTCACCCCGCCGTCGCTTCAGTCCACGCGATCCAGCTACATCAAGGCGGAGATTGACCCATTGGGAAGAATGACCGTCAGACGAATGACGGGTTTACCATCGCCGCAAGTCAGGACAGTGGCTGCGCCAGTTTCGCCGTCACCAAAGCCGGAGAATCCATTTGATAGGTTGGAGGAGCTGTCTAGACAGGCGGTGCTCGAGATTGAGGTGAGTGGATTGGTGCCGTTCGCTATGGGTCTGGCATCTGTTCTGACATTGTGAGTTTTTCAGAGATTGGAGAAATCTGGTCAGCGCTGAGCCATCATTCTCCGGTCAGGCGCTGTCCCCCTTCACTCTCCCATGCTGACACGTTTAGGAGCACGGCCCCATAACCACTTCCTCAGATCGGAATGTTATGCGTTCGTCGCCGGTTTCTGTATTTATGGAGCTTTAACTATACTTTGAGAAACCCGTAAACAGCCTTGGAGCGCGCCATGAATTTGGTATGACGGGCGGCCGGGTTTTGAATACGCCGTCGCACAACTTTGAAACATGTAGAAACCTAAACCCTCGAACGATACTGCGATGCCAGTCGCAACGACGGCACAAACAGCACGCAAGGATCCAAACCCCAACATTCAATCATATAGTTGGTATGGAAAGCTATCGGTATGCTTGCCTCGCCAGGTTCTTCCTGTTTCAGACGGCTCAGGTTCCCCTATAATGTTGCCGGTGAACTCGTCACCGCGTCGTGACCGCGATCGTCTCTCGAATCACCTTCCTTGATACCTAGTCGTTCATACCCATCCGGGATAATGCCAACCTCGCCTTTTTCTCAGCCCAATCAGAATTTCCCCACGTCCCCCACCCGGCCATGAAGCGAACCCAGTCGACGATAGCCCAACCCAACTCAATCTGTAATCGACTTAGTGTGAAGTCCTCGGCATCAACATGTAGTCCCCTGAGTCGGAGACACCTGCGGACTTCGGTGTTGTAGACAGTCAACAGCTCATACTCGGAGGTCTCGCTGAGTAATCGTGGGTGCACACTTGTCGCGAGAAAGTACGCCACGTCAACGGCGCTCACGCCATACCCAGCATATTGAAAGTCGTAAAACGCACAACCTGGCCCTCCGTCTTCCGCAGCGCCTTTGGCTTTAAACAGGATGTTTTCTGCTTTGGGATCGCCATGGAGAACGGTCCGATACCGCATACCCACTTCGTCCTCCTGCATCCGTGAAGCCAGCATTGTGGCGATAGTACCACCGTGCCTCCTGAACGGGTCCCACCGTTTAGAACGCGGTATGCTCTCGAACTCTGCCGTTCTCGTTCCCAGGTGCCAATATGAGCCCTCTTTCCATATTCCTGACGGCGATAGAGTGCCTTTTGCGTCGGTGGGGGAACGGGAAGGCTCAGAACCCCAGAAATGGGCATGAAACCGGGCCAGCCAAGTCAACGCCGAGCATGCGTCCGCAAAATCGAGCGAGGAGGATGAGCGACTATACACGGGGTGTAGGTCCGACATCAGTATTCCCAAGCTGAACCCGTCCCGATCCCCACTACTCATACGCACAGCCAGTGGCTCAGGGATAGGCACCTCCCCGACGAGGCTATTTTTCAGAGACTTTGCAAACTGCTCCTTCTCGTAAAACGTCCCTTCAACCTTATACGAGGTGACTTTCCGATTGTGACCTTCGTCCTTCGGGTCACCCCGATCGGCCTCCACAGTTTTCAGAATGTAAGACACTTTCCGCTTCGACGACGTTTCCTGGGCTGTGATCCGAGAGATCGTGCCGTAACCAGCCCACAGGCTTGCTACGACGGCCGTCGAAAGCACTTTTGTATATGGAGGGAGAATGCTTTGAAGCTTGGAGACCTGGCCCGGTTTCCGAGTTGATATGTCGGAGCCTGCTTTTCGTTTTGACATATCGGAGAGGCAATGCGACTATCTCTTGCGAATATGGAATGCTTTTGAGTGCCCGATGCGCCGGGTATGGAATCAGGTACAGTATGGAATGCGCACGCAGGGTGGTGACAAACATTTCAAAATGCTCAATTTGAGCAGCAGATCACGTGACCCCGCACTAGTGACAACGCGAAGCGGGTTTGGCGAGTTTGGTGGGCGACAGTCTGGGCTAGGGTTGTGGGTTACGCGCGGAATGACCACACTCAGCGTGTTCTTCAGTCACATCCGGTTTTAATTCCCTTGCTCTTACACCACTTTTCTCTTTACGTGCTGATAGAGTTGACATGATGTTTGAGTAGATCGTTACCGACAGTCCGTGCGGCATCCACGCTGTTGAGGGAATACCAGGGGACTGAGTGTCGGGTGGATGTGCTGGATTGTTCGCCGTGTCTGTTCAGTTTGACGCATAATAGTCGGGAGGACGGGGGTGGTGGGAGGGATGATGCTGTGGGTTGAGCGAGGGGCATGCGGTGATGACTGGAATCGTTCTCGAAATCGGATGTTTATCGAAAACATTATCGACCGTCTGAGGGACCGAGCTCGCTGTCTCAGCAATTGCGAGAGTGAGCAGTTCCTCAAGCCGAGACGTCCTGGTCGACGCGTCCTTCATTTCCTGCCTCCCAATATGATCATCACGCAAGCTGCCTAAAGCAGCAGCCCCGCCCGGCATGGAGATGTCCCACGGAGAAGCCCCCAGAAGAAGAAATGGCGTAATAAAATGAATGGGATACAGTTTAGGTACATACATGTCGTCGCATATCATTCAACCTCAATGACAAGCTCCTCCCCACCCCACCACACCCAATCCTCAGACAGGTCATCCACCTCCTTGCCCCGCAGTCCCCACCCCGCGTCTTCCACACACCACAAGAACCTCACGCGGCCCGTCCCTGTCACGACGATCGGGAGGGTGTACGAGCCCGTCTCTTGTGCTCCGATGGGCTTCAGGACTGTTTGCAGCGGGCCTGTGGCGACGACGTTCGATGCTTGGATGGCCGATGGGTCTTGTGTAGCCGTGGATGTAGGGTTGGATGTGGTTGTGAATGCGTCCGCTACCAGATTTCCTGGGTTAGCGGATGGCGTGGTTGGTAGGGGAGGGAGAGGTGGGGAGCGTGGTCGTGTTATGGAAGACCCAGCGCGGGAACCTGTGGCAAGTTGCGGATTACTTGTGGAGGTTATCGCAGGTTGCGATGGAACCGATGGGGTTGGATAGTGGGTTGGCAATACTCGCAAGACAGGAATCAATTGGTAGTCTAAAATTTTCAGAAACGGTCAAAGGCTTGGTAAACAAAGAGCAGAATTGTACGTAGAAATCCAAAACTTACCCAAACGATTGTGCACCGTCCACCGAACGACCACTGTCTCCCACAACGACACTTTGCACAGGCCATTAGCATCCGTCGTCCTGCCTTCAACCACAACCGCAACACTGATGGGACACTTTCTCACAACTCTGCCCAGCTCCTTAGTGAGCGTTAACGCGCGCCTGAGATCGACCGCCCCTCTCCGTCCGCTCGCAGTCCATAGAACTCGAACGCGCTTGAGGATTTCCTCCCTGTACCAGAACCACATTCTACGTTCGCGTTCTTCTGCAGCGGCGCGCTTGCGCGTTTTGCCTACGACGAACTGCTTCCATTCCGGTTGTGGGATGGGTTCTTGGGTTATCGAATTCGGAAGACGAAGGCGCTTCATCGGCAGATGTATCCTGAAATGGATAAGGTAGTGGTCAGCCCACGTTCAATAGTCTCCGCAACCGGCATTCACGTCTCTTACCGCTTCGTTGTCCCGGCGTGAACCATTGTTCGCGATTCGTACGACGGGACCCCGTCTATATCGCCTGTAACCGAGATCAGTATCTTAACGCGCCATGCAGGCCCGCAGAACGACTGAACCTCACCATCATAAACCTCAAAGCCAACTTCAAACACGCCTCTCCAAAAGTTCTTTAAATCCAGGGCGACCACAAAGTACTCCTCACTCCTCTGGACGCCAGCTTGAAACGCTCCACCTCCCTCTTGGACATCGATGATATCCACCGTCATCTCCTCCAAACTTAGGTTGCGTTCCACTTGCTGCTCTCCACTGACAAAGCCGTCGCGATTGGTGAGCAGCATCATGTCCATGTTGATGGGGTGTAGTGACTCGACGACGGTGAAGATGATCGGCTGCACCAACGTGCGGGTGTAAAATGTTTCCGAGGCGGGAGGCTCGGCAGTGGGGTCCTCGCCCACCGTTGCATACGAGACTGTGATGGTGCCTCCAACGCTGCAATGTGTTCGCATCAAGTTTTGTTCTTCGTCCATGCGCTTGAGAGGTACCCAATGCTTCAAACTGCACCTACCATTCGGTCTTCCCAAACAACCCAATCATAATCTCAATCTCCTCTCCAGGCGCGATGTTAACCGCAATCCTTTCCGCCACCGCATCCCCATGAGCGCGACCGACAGCCACCCCATTGCGCTCCACCCACAAAGCGCGGATATTCCTCCTATGTACGTCCCTCTCATAGACTTCTTCCGGATCCTCCTGACCGTCCGGCGAAAGCAGCTTCTCGCCTTGCGGTGCGTAGGACTCGATAAGGCCGACGGAGAGGAAGTCGATGGTTGTTTTGCCGATGTTTTCTAGTCGGATGGGAAACATCGTTCTGCATGCAGACACTTTGATCAGTTGGCTTCATAAAGGTAATTTGGAATGTACTGATGCAACCCACCGTTCCCCCTCGAATAGCATTCGAGACATGGGCATGGAAGCGTCTTTGATGAACCTTAAAGATGCTTGTGGTGGGATAACTTTTATGGGGAAGAACCAGTCACTTGGCTTGACCCTGCAAAATGATACAAGGTTAAGCAAGCGGACGATTCTCCTGTGCGACTGCAGCAACCCACCCAGCCTCCTTCGCCTTAACCTGCTTCCCCGCATCAGCCCTCTTCCCAAATCTCGACTTTTCATCCTGCCTTCGCCTCCGTCCATCCTTGGTCCTCAGTCGTGTATCCTCAAGGAGCTTCGAAATGCAATCGACTTCAACCTCAACCCCGCCGAAAAGCTTCGCCCGGATGCCGCGGACATACAACGTTCCGGCTTCAAGTGGGACACCGGAGAGACGGACACTGAAGCTTCGACATGACGAAGGGATGAAGAATGGGTAATTTGGAGTTGCTTTGAAGTCCAAATTTGACGTTCTGCGAAATGTTGAGGTTAGTATGTGGGACGGGTGAGGATGGCATCGGGCAGAGAGGAGACGTACAAGATGGTCAGATCCTCAATTTCCAGCTCGAAAGCAAATGGATTCGCTAGGGTGATATCAAAATGTGCCGCTTCCCCCGCTACCAGTACGACCTGGAAGGCACAAGGACATTTGCATTGTGGTCAGCACCAAAATAGCCGGCAGTGTTTTCGAAGATATAGGAAGGCACTTACGCTACGACCAAGGTCTTTCTTGTTCAATTTGCCTTTGTCCGCAAAAGGGTTGTACAGGAAAGGATCTTTCGCATCCGCATCCTGCGCGGCTGCAACTCCCCGCAACAGTGAGCGGGCGTGCGGGTACGGAACTTGTGTGGGGACCTGCCTAAACGCTGGTCAGGCATTGAAACGTCGAAGAAATGGAGGATGGGTGCTACTCCAGGTCGGTAACTGCGACCTACCTCACAACTTCGATCCGTCGGACAACGGGGATGCGACAAGACTCGGAAAGAGATTGTGCCTTGACTGGGTGAAGTTTGGCCTCATCCTCCAGTATCCGCAGGATGTCGCTCTGCTCATATTCATCTATGTACTTCCAGAAGCGCTGCAGGAGTCGCAGAGAGTATCTGATTACAAACTTGTGCTCTACAAGAAGAAAGAATCAGTTGCGAAGGGTCTCCGCCGTTTGTAAATGGACCAGTATTACCATCGAGGGACTTGGCAATATCAATGAGCTCAAGGAAAGCATCAATGCTCAAATCACTCCAACCACCGCGAACGCGTGAGATTGGTAAAGGCTGCCGCATTAGGGCAGGTTCGCCGTTCTCTGTATCCAGATCGTCCTCGTTGAAGAATTCGTCGGCCCAGTCCTCTGTATCATCATCGATGGTGTCTATAATATAGTCCAAAGCTTCCGACTTTACGGGCTTGTTGAGGTTGCTGTCCTCAGATGCATATGCCGCGCAGACACATCGTAGGCATTCCATCAACCCCGCAGTGTCAGGTACTCTTGCCGGCCGATCCTCCAGATCTTCAGAGATGTTGGGCAGGGAGCTATTTCGCCCAACTCTGCGTGATCCGTCTTTGTAGTGGGCAGCGAGTAGCAAAGATGTTTGTCGCAGGAAAAAAGCATGCTTTCTCCAATATCCTATCAGCGCATATGCGGTGGTGATGGACGTGGCGCACCGCAGCTGGTCAGCGGAACTCGAGTTTTCAACCCCAGATGCCCAAGCTTTCATGGCCCACGATGATACGTCTGCCCGCGAGCACCCCAGCCCTCCATGCAGGATAATTCTCTCCTTATCGGAAGTCTGCCCACCGACTGCGGCCCCAGCGGGCCCACCTCCACTTGCGCCGCCAGTACGTCCTCCAGCACTGGTGATCCCGATATTCGACGCAAGATCCGCTATCCCTTTGCTTTCGGGTGCATACAAAGCGATACCCGCGCCGTTTGTAACAGGCCCGTTGAATCTGGTCAACCACATGGTAGCGAGGAACTTTGACATGGTCAGATACGCCGATATGTGCAAGTATGGATAATAACCGGATAGCCCTGGTTGATATGCCTTCTCATATAACGACGCGATTTCACGGTACCGTTCCGGGATGTCGCAAATCAGCATTCGGAACTGAGGATGTGAGCGCGCCCCTTCGAAGATCACGTTATATGTCGGCGGGCCAAGCGGCTGTCTGCTGAAAGCGCCTTCTTCTTGTTGACCTTCGCTCGGGTCTGTAGGCTTTGCGAAATAAGACCTTGAGTAACAAGCTCACGTCGTCCGAATCTGCCAAAACATTATTACCCATGCGCCAGTCTTGGGCAGCAAGGACAGCGTCAGAGCACAGTAATATGACTCTAATGCTGACGCCTGCCACTGATAGTCGCCGGATGCCTTCATGGCTTCCAGAGCAGACGTGAAGCTGCACTTGTGAGGAGATGGTTAATGAGCAAGCGAGTCGTTGGCGAGCATGGGCGATCATCTTGTGGAAACCTCACCTGGCTATCGCCTGATCCAATGCGCCAGCCAAAAGAAAGAGATCTCCCACAATTTTCTGTGCTCTAGCTGGCGTCCTCTTCTTCGTCTTATCTGCTGTGAACAAGCTCCCCAACATCGATGCGGACGAGTCCTGTGTGGCCAAGGAACTAATGGACGGATCCCTGTTCATCGACCCCGAGCCCGCGACCGGACTGGTAAGTGACGCGGACGAAGCTTGGCCGGATATCAACCCGCTTGGTGTAAACGGCGAAGATGTTCCTCCCACAGACATAGGTGAGGATATCGATAATGCCCCTGGACTAAGTGCAGGCATTGCCATGATTGGTCCATTGATCATCGGTCGCTTCTCGGCATGTGCTGCCTGCCGAATTTAAATGGCCATTAGTCCACTTTCCACCAGACACCATCTCCCTCCTTCTCACGCACCATGTTGCCAAATGACACCAACAGCTCATTCGCGAGATCATTTATCTGCGTCATCAAGTAAAACGAGAGCTTCTTCGGGTCATCCGGAATCATGATACATCCACGCGTGTCATCTGCTTGCTGGTCCGCAGGCTCGAACGCAAAACATCGGGAGGCGAGGACTCCAGGGTACCGCGTCAGGATTGTTTGGAATCGTTTAACTCCGTCGCCTATGCTCTGCACTTCTTGGCAATGCATGATACCGATGACCTGAGGAGTTCCATTGGATCAGTTTGGTTATCTACAGACTCTTTTGAAGTGGACGATCGTGAAAGACCACTCACCGCCACGACCTGCCGCCAGACCTGCATCTCCTCCAGGGGCCCATGCTCTTTATCGTACGAAGTGACATAGTTCATGTGAATATATCCCTCCCGTTCATACATCTGTTCCGCATACTTTGCTACATGCAAGCCGGGAAAGGAAAACGCAGCACCCTTAGGTCAGAAAACCGCGTGGGAAAATAGGCAACAACTTGCCACATCACTGCAGCGATCAGCGCGGAAAAGGTCACACTGAACATACACGGGGTCTTTGTAAGGTCAGGCTTGGTCAAGTCGGCGGTCAAGATGACTGAGAACTGAGATATGATGTCTACATATTTCTGGAAGGTGTTTTTGCGAAAGGGACCCACGGGAGCCAGTAGGACCCGCACTCTGGCGGGCTTCAGGATATCTACGGGCACTTGGTTAACGACGGCTATTGCCTCGGTGGCAGTCACCGACCCTCTTTGCGTATCGGGCGGCATCTAGTGCTTTTCTATGAAATGAGGAACTGCAAGCCGGTGATGGGCCTGTCATCACGAAGCGTGGGAACGAAGAGGCCATCAAGAGAGGACCGCAATCAACAGCACACAGCGCGCTCACAGCTGTTAGAAATGACTGCATGGGATGTTAACTCATGGGTTCGAGTTGCGTTAGGACACCGTTTGCGCCCTGTGTCGATCATGCAAATTGCCCGATTGCGCCTGTGATGTGATGACCGACGGCTCCAAGAAAACACTCCCTCCCCTGCAGGGAATCTTGCCCAGGTTTCTGTCAAACGATAACAGCTCCTCAACCTCTCAGGACGGAACAGGCGCTTCTCTTCGTTGGCGATAGTTTGTGCTGCAGTCGTGCATCGTTAGAGTTCGAGTCGGTTGTAGTTGTGCAACCGTCGACAGCTGAAAAAACGTGGAAAGTCTCGGCCGTCATCTGTCGGTAAGGGAGCTCTTTGCGACCGGCGGAAGCAACAAAACGTTTCGGCATATCGGATAGTAGGAGTCGGGTTTCTTGAGGTCGCCTGAGAGGAGTCGAACGTTCAGCGTCGCGGTCTTCATTGGAGCGTAGCTGATGCTCACAGGATACCATTCACACCACCGTCCCTGTTGTGGTTTCACCTTCCAGGATGCACCCACCAAACCCCCTCACTGCCGTTAAAAGCTTCGCGAACTATCTTCGGAGTTTTGTTCGCTACCCGGTCAGCCAGGCCGTTTCCTCTCTCTACCTCCACGCGACCGCCATCCCCGCCCGTCCCGCCTTATACGCAACACAACAACCATCATGCGGCTCTTCAGCTCATCCACCACCATCCCCGCCACTATCACCTCCTCGTCCACGGGGCCAGCAACAGCGATACTATGCCCAGCATCGGTTTCAGGCTAGCGAGAGCTTTGCGGCAGCCAGCAGCCCGGGCTTTGAAGCTGCGGCGTCCGGCGGGTCTCCGGATATTCCTCGAAAAACTCCCCCTCGTCCACCACCACCCACCCACGCACCTCCCAACGAGTTGATACTTCGTCCCCCATCCCCACCAGGGTCTCGTGGAAACCGTCATGAGCAGCGGCCGCCGAGGCAACACATTTTTTCGCAGGAGAGTCTCACGACGGCCGCTGCAGCATTTGTCGTTGGTGGCCTTCACCACCCTGTGCATACGACAGCGTCCCGGGTTACGGCGACTATGAAGTTTCCAGCGCGTGCGTTAGGAATTCATAATAAGCAGCAGTCGAGACTGCTATCGATACCGGCGGTGGCCGCCCCGGCACCGTCTGTCGACTGGTTCAAAAAGAGCGATGCGCCGAGCATTTTTGAGCTCTTCGAAAAGGTATGCACCGTGGTCCGTAATGCTCGTTTATCCTTGAAAACTATCAGCTAACACAGAACGTTTATTCGATCGAAGGCCGTACCAACAACTCGCCGGACTTATCAATTCGCAAACGCAGCATCGGCCATGCCAAAGCGTAGGAGGGGGCCGCCGATGGGAAAGCCGCAAACGGACGAGAACAGCGATGGAGAACCATACCTCTCCGCCCAAGTTGGTGAAGACGCTTACTTTGTTCGGTCAGACTCGATGGGGGTGTCTGATGGAGTAGGAGGTTGGGCAAAGTATAAAGGTGGGTGTAGGCTTCCGATTGACGCGGACAATGGTCGTGAAATCTGACTCCTTCCATCGCTTCCATATTTGCAGAGGCCGACCCAGCATTATACTCGCGCAAGCTTATGCATTACGCTAGCGCTGAGCTGGCCAAGCTCGACGATTTTTTGGAGTCGGAGTACAGCGCTGATGATTACTACGCTGTTGACCCGAAGGAAGTCTTACAGAAGAGCTATGATCAAACGAATAAAGATGTTGTTGCGGCAAAGCTGCTGGGGTCAGCTACTGCTTTGATTGCGGTTCTTCGGGTAAATTGGTGTCTACGCCCATGTGATACCGGCACGTACAAGTCCGCTAACATCTTTTCTCTGGCAATCAGGATGATGAACTCCGTATAGCAAACCTCGGCGATTGCGGTGTCTTGATAATCCGCAACTTAGAGCCCCTCTTCCGCTCCGAAGAGCAACAACACTCGTTCAACTTTCCCTTCCAGCTCGGCACAGGCTCCCGCGATTCACCCCGGGACGCCCAGTCGTTCAGCGTCAAAATCCAAGAAGGCGATATCGTCATCATGGGTTCCGATGGGATGTTTGACAACGTCTTTGACGAAGACGTTGTGGATATCATCCGAAAGGTGCTGAAAAAGACCGGGTGCACCAATCACCCCAGTGATGTGGACCCCAAAAAGATCTCGGACGCGCTGCTGGCGAGGGCGTGGGAGGTGGCGGAGGATAGCCGGTATGGAGCTAGCCCGTTTCAGACGAGGGCTATTCAAGAGGGGTTGTATTTTCATGGAGGGAAGATGGATGATGTTACGGTTTTGACGGGCGTTGTGAGGTATAAACAACTGTTCTTTGTACTTGGGCGATCCATATATACTGACTTGGTATTATTTTGCATTGTAGACTCTCCGAGGATTCACCCGACCGACGCTAGTGTCCATTATGTACACCTCGGCACGTTTCGTCCCCAACGACATGCGCATGACCATCTTTTTACCCAATGCACTATATACCACGCCGTCATCATCAGCAGCATGACAGGCCTCAGCATCACTGAACCACATATCAGCAGCAGCTACCAGCATCACATTCAGTTACGCCTGCCTCTCAAAAACAACTTCGCAAAACAACAATTTTCCTCGGTTAGACACTTGCTCGATACGTATCGCAGAGTACTCCCTCGCCCGGCCTTCACCCCTCGGTTAAAGCCAGTATCACCCGTCTGAGACGGGCTATCTATACTGCGCACATACCGCATCCCCTCTTTTTTGGTTTTGGTTCGTATGGTTCTTTTACGAAGTCTGTTTGTAGCATCCTTTTCGTAGTTTACGGACCCCCCTTTCCGTTTGGGCAAAACATGTGCAATAACTTTCATAACAGAGACATGCGCAGCTGCAAAAAGAAAAGAAAACGTCCGTCCTGGCATACGGTCATGACTTGGCGGATATATGGAGGACGTTCCTTCGGCCAATAACGGAGAGGACGTGATCGGTGTCCATCTTGCACATATGGACAAGCGGTATGTTCTCTTCCATTTGGCCACTTTTCCCGCAGTTGATGTGAACTGTTGGGAAGCTGCCACGCGCCAACAGCGGCGTCATCAGAAGAAACCCTAACGCACCCGCTTCTCGCCCGCCCGCAAACCCAAGCTCTCGAAGACGCTCAGTTGGTTTCCATAATCGGGTTTGCAGTCTGGATCCCCAATACCAGTAGGCTCTCAGCGCAGCGATAGCATACACCATGGACACAGGATCAGCTTCAGGTCCAGGTGGTCTACCCCCACCAGCAGGTCTGCCTGCCCAAGCCGCCATTTTGCAAAAGGTCCGTCAAAACAGGCTTGGCTTGCACAAATATAATCTTGGACAGACCCCGCTAACATATTTTGCTTCGTTGCCTTCCCATAGAGGTTCCAACAACTGCTGGATACGACCGCGCCGTACACAATACCACGATGGACGTTTACAGGGGTCTCGCTTGTCCTTTACTGCTTGCGCGTGTTCATCGCTCAGGGATGGTACATTGTCACCGTAAGTACCCGTCTCAAACCCTCAACAACAAAAGCGCATACGTATAGTCCGGCGACGGTGTGGAGGAAATGTGGGTAGCTCTATGCACCTGACATTATATACTAAATCACCGCACCAACCAACAGTACGCCCTCGGGATATATCTCCTTAACCTGTTCCTAGCGTTCTTGACGCCAAAGTTCGACCCAGCCTCAGACGACCTTCTCGATAACAGCAGTGGCTCCCCCGGCGCCGATGAGGGTCCCAGTCTGCTCCCTACGAAAGGCAACGATGAGTTCCGGCCGTTCATAAGAAGGTTGCCGGAGATGAAGTTTTGGTATGTGGGTTTCTCACGCTGAGATTAGAGCGTTCAGGCAATGCGGGAACATGCGGCGATGCCTTGAAGCAATCGCTCGGTTTGAGATAAGCCGCTGACTGGGACTCTCTATTTACAGGGTGTCGGCAACACGGGCAATTTGGATATCGCTTTTCTGCGCATTCTTCCGCGCGTTCGATGTGCCTGTTTTCTGGCCTATCCTGCTGTAAGCATCGGCAGCCATTCATGCAGTTACACGAGAAGCCTACATGGAGTACTAACGTTCCGTTTCTGTACCTGCAGAATGTACTTCATCATTCTCTTCACAATAACGATGCGAAGGCAAATCCGCCATATGATCAAGCACAAATACGTCCCCTGGAATCTTGGAAAGAAGGTAACGAACAACTCATTTGAAGAACAGTAGTCGACGATCGTAGGCTAATCCATCCTCTTCCGCAGCGATACGGAGGGAAATCCGATTCCAAGTGATAGCAGCGCGAATGGCAACGATACAGGGTAGCTTAGGAGGGGGGAGGAGCATCCATGTGGACAATTGGATGCGAGATGCATTAATCGATATTATTTGAATGCTGATTCTGGAAAGCTGGCCAGCCCGACCTAGGCGCCCGGCAATGTGCGAAAAACATGACGGGATAGAACCGCTGATTGTTCTGTATCTGTTACTAAAAAGCTCCAGGCTGAATAGAATGGGCTTTTCCGGGGCTTTTGCTTGATTTAACGTTTTATAAGACCATCCTTGCGCCTTCATGTTGGGGATTGTTATACACAGCTCCCAAACGGAGACGCTCAAGACTCTGAGTAACAAGTCAATTGTAGATTGCTATTCGTAGGACGCGTTTGAAGCCATTTTTCCATCTCCGCATTTTCCGTCCCAGCTCATCCTCCCACAAACGCTCTCGAAAAGACAGCAGCGAAGAAACGGACACACACACACCCAATAAGGAAAACTCCAGCTATGGGCAGCCAGACCTCCAAACAGTCCGCCTCTTCCCAACACCGTGGCCGCCGGAACTCCCTCGGCAACCGGGCCCGCCCATGTCCACCCGACGCTGACATCAGCTTCCGCACATCCCGCAACAGCAGGAGCAGTGCCTCTGCAGGATGCCTTGCATCCTGGAGGTGTGGCACCGCAGGCCCAGGAGTCGGATGGAAATGGGACCCCTGTGGAAGACCCAAGGGAAGAACATAAACGGCTCCTGGAACACTACCAGAAGATGGCCTTCGATCTGAGCTCAGTTCCCAAACGGGAGTTCCGCAAAGACAACGAAATGCTCACCACCCTCAACAAACGGCACCTCAATGCCCAGCAGGACAGCGCTTCCCATGCGTCACTCTACGAAACCCGCAAAATCAACCCCACCACGCCGTCAACAACCCCGGAACCTACCGGCCGTCTCCCGACCTCCACCCTCACCACGCTCCTCACTATGCGTCGAACAATGCACCCCACAGAACTCTCCAATGCAGCCCTTGCCCGCCAGTTTGGATTGAAGGAGGAAATGTTGGAGGTGCTGTTGAAGCATGTGAACACCCCCGAGGTGGTGTTTGGCGGAGGTGGACCGGCCGGTGTAGGGGGTGTGAGTGGGGGTAGCGAGCAGTTGAATGCGATTTGGGTGCAGGATTTGGATGGATTTAGGATGGGGGAGGCTAGGGGGAGGGATGATTTGGGTGGTGGAGAGGGGAGATAGTCAGGGCGTTGCAGAGAGAGGGGCCCTCAAAAGGCCGGGATGCACATCGCGCAGATGGACATCTGAAGGAGGCAGCCCAACGATGAGACTCAGCTCTGAACCGACTAATGAGCGGAAACGTACTCAATTCTGTTCAAGGCAACACCACTCATATCGATACTGGAAATACCACCGACTCAACACAGATACCACGGTTTCCTCCCTTCACGACTGTTCCCGGTGGGCATATCTCATTTGACGTTTGGGTGGAACTCGACTCGCAGGAACCAGGCAAGACTGTCTGTGATCCGACCAGCCACCAGACTGTCTGTGAACCGACCGCCCGTCTCCCTGGTTATTGGCCCGAGTGGGGTCTGATGTGAATTCCAGGGTCCACGCCCGGACGCCGTAGATGTACAGTAGCCAGCCAAGAGGGAGGACGGGAGGAGCTTAGCTGTAGCTGGGAGAACGAAAGATAAGGAAGATTATCGACCTGTGTCAATTTTCGTCTGTTCAATACTTGGGCTTTCCAACAAACATGTACCCAGATATATATAGAATGCCATGAATTCCGTTGCATCCGCTGATTGACATCAAAGCGGTGCCGTTTGACCTTGCATCTTTTGTGCCGTGGTCGAAACAACTTCAGCACTTGAGGACGGACGCGTGCTGAAGGGAGGGTATGATCTGTGCTTTTTCCCGAGTTCCCGACCAGTAAGCTGCGACGTCGCCTTCCTCTCCCACCAACAACACACCCATAAAGCTTTGCAAAGCATGTCCTACGATTTCGCCGGGGGCTCCTTGAAGCTCAAGGGGCTGGACTCAGGCAAGATAAAAAAGTACGTACGTCGGACTTCGGGAGCGCAATGCTCGGGAAGTCCAGCGCATTTCGTAGTTCTGTAGCGCTAAGGAGTCATGCTCACGGCAATATTCCCACACCGCGGCTCGCAGGAAATCCAAAAAGTCCAAGAAGGATAAAGAAAAGCTATCAGCCGCAGTATCCGCGTCGATTCAATCATCTTCCGACCTCACCTCCTTCTCAGACGCCAGCAAAACCTCCACCATAGCTTCCAGTTCACAGTCTACTGACCCACGCCCACCTCGCACGAAAACAGCCGCCGAGTTGAAGTTTGAGGAAATTCAAAAACAACGACAACGAGATCGTATAGCGAAGACTGCGTCGCAGAGCCATAAGGAACGAGTGGCGGTATGTGCTTCGGTTGCTAGTGGAGCTTCATAGTGATTTTGACGCTGATGAGTTGCTCAAATCCACAGGAATTCAACAAATATCTGGAAAACTTGTCGGAACACTACGACATTCCGAAAGTTGGACCGGGATAACGTGCGAGGGGACGCAAGTCGCAATTTTTGGAAATCCGAGTTTGGTGGGAGGTTCATGCGGAGTATGGAGTGGGTGTCATTGTCGATTTGGCGTCAAAGCACTTGATGTCGAAGGCTTTGCACCACCAACAAGCTGCACCGACACTGCGCTTTTAGCGGAGGGTTCTAGCATCGGGAAGCGCTTACGCATAGTGCCAGATACTTTGCAGCAGCGTAGATTAGGCCCTGATCCTTTAGATGCCCTCCATGCTATCATCATAAGCACTTCGGATGCACTTAGCCGGGTTTCATTCATGTCGGTGGGCCATGAACACCTACTGTATGTACCGATGCATTTCCACAGCCTCAAGTTGCTTCCTTCCGTAATCTGAGCGGGTTCACTCGGAGGTTCACTTCCCGCCCTCTGCGTTTCGCGCGAGCGGCTTTGACGGACGGCGCGCGTGTCATGAGGAATCCGGCAGACTTCTTGAACTTGCTGGCTTTTCTGGCCTCCAAATTCCCAGGTTTCTGCTGCCAATACAAACCTCTATATATCCCCTTCCTGGCAGAGCGTAGTCCTATTCCTCAGGCCTTGACCTGGCAGTGCCACTTCTGCCCTCCTGTAAGTATGTTCAGCCTATGGCCGACGGAGCCACCGTCGACATCTTCCCACGATGACTTCTATTTCCTAACATCTCAACCAAGGCTTTCAGGGGAGTGCAGATACGTTTACGAGAGCGCTGGTGTCTTAAGGCGGAAGCAGGATATTGTGCTGCACTCCTGCTACGATGAGCATATTAGCGAGTTTTCTGCAGACCGAGCTGCTAAACTTGTCCAGCGAGGCCAAGCGAAAGAACCCGGAGATCAAGGAGGTGGATACTAATGGCTCTGTTAGAAGCTGGCCGCTGCTCTGATAGGCTATACTGAAAACTCTTGTCCCGGGCGGAAAGGCAGCAGAACGTGTTCTATACATCCTACGTGCGCTAAAAGAACGGCCGAATGTGCAACAGGCCGACAACGTTGACTATGTGGCCGTGGGTGCGTAGTGGGGACGACCGCGGTCATGCTGGATCATCAGTGTGGAGGCTAATCGGGGTCAGCAGAGCTTGCAAAGACGGACGATGCGTTAAAACCTTTCATCATGTCGTGCGAGACAAAGAACCCGAAACTTGTGCACATCGCCGTGCCATGTCTACAACGACTCATAACGCATCAAGCGATACCAGAGGTATGCCGGACGGATGTGCCTGTCATGAATGGTGCCAGGACTGACGCTTGGGCGGGCAGGAATCTATAGGTCTAGTCTTGAGAACGCTCTCAGATCTCCTCAGCAGCGGTGTTGATATGCAGTTGAAGATCCTGCAGACCATCATACCACTGCTGACGAACTACAAGTCGATACACGGATCTTTGGTGGCGGATGTGAGTGGGATTGGAGACACGAGTGGAGAGAAAGGGTTGGAGGCTGATCTGCGACCCCGAACCCTCCAGGCACTGCTGTTGTGTTTCCGGTTGCAGGAAACAAAATCGCCTATTGTCAACAACACGGCGGCAGCGACAGTGCGGCAGATGATTACTCTGGTTTTCGATAAGGTTGCCAGCGAGAACCTCGCAGCAGGTGGGAATGGGATCTCCGATCTAGATGCCGGGGGGGCTCCCGCTTACGCACCACCTCATTAGGAGTGCAAGCTACACCCGTTGATGCGCCTCTGAGCGAGTCCGGGAAAGATGCTTGTATGCTTTTCAAGGTACATGCGATGACTCCTTGGTTGCATATGACGTAGTTCCTGATCTTCTCTCCCTAGGACCTGTGTCTGCTCACGGGTGGTGAGTCAGCCGCGTTCCTGTCTCTGCAGTCCCTACCGAAAACTTTCGGTCTCGAGCTCCTCGAGGCCGTGATTGTGCATCATCCGCGATTATTCCGAGAAGTGAGTGCCAGGACGGTCTGGGAAGATCGACGCCGATGCTCAATCGCTCAATTTGCCGAAGCATGTAGAACTTGCGAATCTTTTGAAGGAAAGAGTGTGTCCTCTCATCATCAAATCCTTCTCGGATCGTGTCGATTTCCCTTTGGCTTGCCGTCTAATGCGTGTCGTACAAGTTATTCTGAAGCAGTATCACGACATATTGGTAAGGGAAGGAAATGTACCCTTACCGTTACAATTAGGTACTGAGCGTTTCGCAACAGGTTATGGAATGTGAGATCTTCCTATCAATGTTTTGCCGGCATTTGGAGCCGGATCACGCGCCATTGTGGCATAGAGTTCTCGTGATGGAGGTGTATAGATCCATATGTGCCGATGCCGACCTCCTCAGGTACTCTACAAGCGCATTGAGGTGCTGTGTCCCTCAAATGCTAACAGCATGTCTACTGATGACAGGTTCATTTTCCGATCGTACGATCAGAAGGAGCATACAACGAAGGTCTTCCACGAGATGGTAACAGCCATTCGTCGCATCATCGTAGCAGAGAAGCCTGCTTTGCTACTGCATCCACCACATACTGCAAATTCTGATACGCTCGAATCGATACCTGAAGACCAACAACACTCGCTGACAGCCACCGGTGCTCAGATCAAACTGCAATGGTACGCATGTGTATCTGGAGCGAGATTTCATTCGCTTTTACTCACCCCTTCGTTCGATCAGTTTGGACCAGCTCGACAAATCCGAACCACCATCTATCCCCGAAACTTACATCATTTATCTGGCGATTCAATGCATGAACCGGACAGTCGAAAGCCAAGCAGAGTTCACTTTGCCCTTGTTGGCCGAGGCCAATACGCCAACGGAACATAAAGACGATGTTATTATGGCTATCGAAATGGCAAACGCGTCGTGGGCTGGCACGCTAGCGGCTCTATCTTTCTTAGTCACCTCTTCCATCGACGACGATGTCTTTGCGATGGTGATTAGAGCATACCAGAACATCACGACCGTCGTCGGGCTATTAGGATTGACATCGCATCGGGACGCATTTCTGGCTTCACTCAGCAAATCCTGTTTGCCGCAGGGCTCTTTTCCGGAGAGTGGGGGATATGACAAAATGGCGTCGCCGCAGAGCTCCTATGCATCGGGCTCGCAGGCGGCGTTCCGGCCGGGCAATGCCGTTCTCACCGATCGCAACGTTCTGTGCATCCGAGCTCTGATTAATGTTGCTCAGTCACTCACCACCGTGCTGGAGGACAAGGCGTGGTACCAAATACTGGAAACCCTTCAAGTCGCGGACAAGCTGATAACGATGGGCAAAACCGGGAAGAAGGAGTCGAGTTCGATGTCGTTGATAAGCGACACCAAAGACACACGCTTGAGAAGTGGCTCGATTGTACCACAAACTCAAACTGTTGTTGGTGGACAGGAGAATCAATATGTTACGCTCCTGGTCTCCGCCAAAAAGCTTATGGAGAGCACATCGGTGATGGACGAGCGCAACCTCTTGGAGTTTGTGAGAGCCCTTTGCACGCTGGCTCGGACCACTGCAGCAGGAGCAGCTCAAGCGGCTTCTGGCTCCGGTGGGACAACGAAAGATTCGATGAAGCTCGCTGAAGAGAAATCGTTCGCTGTGGCAAAACTGCACGATGTGATTCTCTTGAACATTGGACGGCTTATGAAATCACAGGACCTGGCTATGTGGGACTTTGTCATTTTCGAATTGATCGATTTGGCTCACAGCCCAGCTTGCACGGGGCCGATCAGAACGCAGCTCTGTCTTACCCTCAGCGATGTATTACTCGCTGCTGTGCAGGTCGCAGATTTCAATGATAATGCTGTCGAGCTGAAACTATTGGGACCGTTGCGCAAGCTGATTCTCACGGAACCGGGGACTACGGCTCTGGCCAGTCCGACGAACGACAACGAGGACAGAGAGAAGGCCTCAAAAACCGCGTGGTTTGTCGAGGTGCAAAAGTCCGGTTTGGAGACTATAAATAAGATTCTCCAGACGAGCGGGCAGCATCTCAGCGCGGGGTGGCCTTTGATTCTGGAAGTCATCCATGCCGTTGTCAGCTCTCGGATCCGGAAGTCGCGTACAAAGGACCCAAAGCCGGTCACCGAGACCGAAACAGCGCAGGCCGCTGTGGTAGTCGAGGCCGCCATACCGAAAGCTTCCGGTCTAGTGCGAGTCGCTTTCCCATGTCTGCAACTCATTTGCACGGATTTCCTCTCGCTTTTGCAGCCAACCGTGCTGCATCAATGTATCGAAGCTCTTGGAAACTTTGGTTCGCAAACAGATGACCTGAACATCAGCTTGACGGCGGTCGGTCTCCTGTGGTCTATGAGCGATTTCGTTCTCACTAGACGGCAAGATCTGGAACGAGTGAAGACGGCGTCACCGGAACCTCAAGAAGTAAACGAGCAACAGGAGCAGCCTACGTCGGCGCCGGTCGTCGCGGTTGGAGGCCTAGCTCCACCGCAATCAAGTATAAAACGCTCAACATCCGCATGCATCGCCGCGCTAAAGGAGCCATTGTCGAAAGAGACGATGGACGCACTCTGGATGTTGTTGCTTGGCCACCTGTCGCAGCTTTGCTCAGATCCCAGACCGGAAGTTCGCAACTCGGCAAACCAGTCCCTATTCCGAACCCTGAGTATGAACGGCGCGAAGCTGAACTTGCAAGCGTGGGAACAGTGCATATGGAGCGTCCTGTTTCCGTTATTGGAAAGAGTGCAAGCGTCTAGCGAAGACGAAACGGCGAGACGGACAAGCGTGCCGTCTTCGGATACACCGTATTCAGCATCCCCAAGTACCGCCAAGCAGTGGGATGAGACGAAAGTCATCACGCTCTCCGGAATCTCCCGGTGTCTGTTCGATTTCCTGAACGTCCTTGTCGAATTAGGCGATGGCTTCGACCGGGCATGGTCACTGTTCCTGGATTACATCAAATCTTGGTGTCTCAATTCATCTCCGGAAGTATCCATTGCAGCAGTCAAGAGCCTGCGAAGCCTGGTTCAGTACCCAAAGAACCCACCAAATGGACTGGTACCTGATAACGTGCAGGGTCACCTCGTAAAGCTGATGAGGGTGGCATGGGATGTTTGGGCGGCTATCGGAAACGGCATCATCTCAAATGCAGATGAGAACCTGGCCCAAGCAAGTCTGATAGCAACCGGGAGCAGTACACCTCCCAACAACTCGGCGGTTAGCAAGACGACCCCAAGCACACTCCACGGTTCCTTCACGCAGGACACACTTACGGCTTTCATTTCCTTATTCGCGGATATATACGATGTCATCAAGGGCACATTTGGACTATTCGAGTTGAGACAGTTACTCAATATTGTATCAAACCTGCTGCTTTATCACACAAATCCTCAAGCAGGGGCGACAGCAAGTAGAATCCGCGCCGACTACATCAACGATCTCGATCACCCAACGCCATTGCAAGTTGCGGTTCTCGATCTGGTAGTTGGAGGAAAACTCGATATAGATAGCATCCCAGGAGCGCCCGAGTTGCTCCTTATAGATAGCATCCCAGGAGCGCCCGAGTTGCTCCTTACGACAGTAGCAGGATTCATCAGGCTACCATTCGCTCGTCGTGCCGCCGACAGTGCGCGGAGCCCAGGCCCGGCAACCGTCTCTGATCGACAACCTGCCGTATCCACCCCAACGACCGCTGCACAAGAGCGAGGTTTCACCTACATGGCCTTTGCAAAGAAGAGCATGCAGCATCTTGTTGAGCTGTTTGAGCGGTACGGACGAATCAAAGCGGTTTACTCATCAGGCCCGTTTGTCGACGTCATTGAGGCGTTGGGTGTGCCCATGAAAGCGAAATATGACTGCCCTAATCCGGGGAATAAGGACACGACGCCATTGTGGAGATATGCTGCCAACACTTGCATGACGATTATCCGTGTCGGCCTCCTGAATTTGAATGAGTTTGTTGCAGGTCAGTGACCGCGCTAGCTCAGAAAATGATTTCGATTTGGTCGGCGTACTCAACTCGAGCGCGCATCTAGATTTGCCCCAGGATGTCCTATTAGGCATATACATGAAGCTTTTGAACACACTAGAAGGCACTCTGCTGCCTACCAGGTGAGGCTTTGGCTTATTGAGAACATCCGCGTATGCATAAATTGCTAACCCACACTTGAACAGCAGCGAACCGCTTGCATCCCTTTCTCCCGAGGAACTTTCGGCGGATGAGGCCTTTGACATTTTCGTTCTCACCACTCTTGAAAGCGACATATTCCATCAATTTGGGCAACCCCACGTTCCAGAAGCCGTTCTGATCCGTCTGGTAGACATAATCGGAAACGGGTCCCGGAGATATACCTCTCAGTTGGAGGCGCATGGGTACAATAAGTACCAAGACGAACCGGATGGCACGATATTGAACGGGCTCCTATCAACTAGTCCCTCGCAACGAGCCAGTGTGGCGACACGACCGGAAGCGATTGCGAAGATTGCTGGGGTCCCTTCGTTTGAGCAGGCAAGTCAGCATGCGTTGGGCAGTGACGTTGTGCCTGTGAGACGAGAGCAGTTTGCGAAAACCTGTCTGGATACCGTATTCAGGCTGGCTGCTGATTCGACTGATGGTACGAGGTCCTTTGCGCTCTTTACTTTGATGCTTTCAAGGACTCATGAACCTTTTGTTCAACCATAGGAGACGTAGCGATCAAGAACCGCATCGCCGAAGTTGTAGGCCCAGTGCTGCTTACCAAATGCAGGAACGTTATTGTTTCTTATGCGGGCGACAAGAGGACGTACGGGCAATTGCCATTGCCGAGAGTGCGCGATGAAGAGATCATTGCGGTGATGCAGAGTCTGGAGGCACTGGATATCAGGCCCGGAGCGCTTGTGCGGTATCTCGGTGAAGACAAGCTTCGTAAGTCATTCAACCAACGACGATTTTCTTATGGAAGACGCGCTGCTGATATCCATTTCTGCCACCAAAACAGACCCACTACGATCACACATTCTCAGCGGAAGATCCGCTCATCTGTTTGCCCTTTACCCACTTCTCTGCGATCTAATCGAGGTGCTCGCCAAACACGGTCCACCGAAGAATGTGGACTCGATAGAAGACGCGACAGCGGTGATTGCGTCGGTCAGGTCGTGTTTAAGACGAGTAGGCAGGGAGTTGGGGATTGAGGTTGAAACTACGATTTCTCAGTCGCTATGAAGCGAGTGACTGTGATTTGCATACAATAGCGACCCGGGTGGACGGACGGAATTGATCTTATATCTATATCATTCTATCTCATGTGTGATGAGATTCTGCATCGGATTGGTACTTTTTCCTTTTACGCCGGACCCCTCGAAAACCCTCCACCAACGGGCTAACAGGCTACCTGATGGTCTATGATATGGCCAGCTCAACTAGCATTGCCGCTGCTACTTCTCAATGTCCACAGCAAGTATGCCTCCTGGTTCGACAGTCTCTTTGACATAGTCCACGAACTTCACTGCATTTATTGCATTTGGTAAGAAACATGTCATGTGTCTTCTTCGGCGCGAAGGAGCACTTGGAACTTACAGTGATCTCCATGCACGCTGTACTTCTCAAGACCCTGTGTCCACGTCGTGAGAAGATTGCAATTCGTCAGAAACCTGGAGTTGCCTCACGCCGCTCCCTCTCTGATTTTTCCAGCCCACTCCCGCTGCAATCTACCATGTCTACCATACGTACGTCCTTATCGGCAAAATCGACGACCAGCACTGGTCATTTGGAAGGCAAAGCGCACAGAAATCTGCATCAGAACCCATTCACGACATCTTGCCTCCTTCTACCGAGATTTCGCGGGGGATGGCAGGCACAGCGTCTCACCATGTGTAAAACCCTGCGCGCGCTGCGTATTGAAGGTGGGCCCGGATGAAAGCTGTTTATGGAGGAGGCAAGAGGGAGAAGAGGGTTCAGGGGACATAGTGTGTGCAAGATCGTCTTTTGCGAGTAGCGCGTGAAGATACCTTCTGAACGGTAGGCAGATCGGCAAGCTTCGCCATCCTGGACTCGAACTCCCCCGCGTTCGCTGAGGGCTTCAGCTTGAAGAGAACTTTGTATAGGTTGGAAGTGTACCAGTTAGTCATTGACCTTTCCTCCAACCGTAACCTTAACATAGACGGGTAAAGGTCGCCCGTCAGGCACGTTGGTGGGCGGTGTGGTGCGCTCTTTAATCCAGCTCAGTGGTGGCGTGGTCGTCCAGCGCAGAGTCACTCACCGACGTGAACAATGGTTCTGACAGTGGAAGACATGGTTGTGAAAGCGATTGACGATGGCTGGTGGGTTGGAACGATGGAAGTTCACTTGGCGGTTATGTGAGAAGCAAGTCTCGGTTTGTCACGACTCACGCGTAAACGCCGCTGCGCTCTCCCGTCTTCCCCGTTGAACATGGGCATCTTGCCCTCTTTTTATATCAACTTCTCGCGTTTGTTCCGTGCAGCACTGCTAAACGAAACCCCGTTGAGAACGCAGAAAGGCTGGAACCTGGGCCATATCTGGGCTTCGGCGTGGCCCAAGGTTCATCGACTTCACGCTGAACTCGAAGAGCGACTCAAGCGTCGCCTGTCCCTATCGCAAACATGTCACAACTACAACAAGACTGTTCCTCGCTGTTAACCAATATTGCAGCATTAGCGGTATATGCAACTGCCTTACGGGTAACAGACGTGGCCCGCTACGAACGAGTCTTCGGCGTCCCCGCCCCCTCGTTTGCTTTCGCCATAGACAACAACGCGCATTCCGTGGGGACCACGGACACCGTGGACCCAGTGGCCTTGACGACGGGCGATGCAGCTCGCGGGCAAGATGCAGCCGCCGCCACGAAGGTTTACTGGATGACAATATGCATGTTGGCTGGAGTCGAACTTCTCGCATGTATGGCGTTCTGCCTGTTAGTCTCGACTATCTGGATAGTGTATCTTTGCGTGGAACGAACTCAAAGAGCGGCCGATGATTTGAATCTGGGAAACTTCTCGCGCAGGGGTCGCACGCCAAACATGACTAGCGTGGGCATTACTAGCCCTAGCACAACGGATGCAGGCGGGCCGATTCGTCTCCCGGACACTCCCATCACATCGGCCGAGGAACTCCGCCAACGCAGAAATCCCGAAGAGGGTGAAGATGTGATGGCTTACACAATGGCGCATTCCACCGCTGGGATTTGCTTTACGACGATGTTGCACATCCTCCCTTTAATGGGCATCCACCCTCGCAACCCCCGGCAAACGGGCATTCCGAACGGAAAGGCGAGACATTTTCTAACGGTCATCATCAAGTTGTTCATGCTCGTTGTTCTCATAAAAGTGTTTCCGCAAGTGGTCGGGCTAGGCTATGTAGGGGACGGCGTTGGGTGGACGGGCGTTGTTGTGGCGGCGATTGCCGACATCTCCTCCTCCGTCACGGCCGAATCCGAGAACAAGCCCGCGCGCCGTACGACTTGATTGACCTCACGGGCGTTTCCTACTTGACACCCTAAACTTTCAAGGGCGAATTGCAATTTGAGCTAGCGAGACGATGCTATTCTTCAGTCTAATACAATATTCCACTTGCGGTATGCCGCAGTAAATAAGCGTCCTTCCTGTGAGGCTCTGCTATTCATGACCCACCTCCGAAAGCTAAGATGGCACCCCACGATGCAGGATATCTTTTTTTTTCTTATTAACGAGCGTTATGAGCCAGTTCGCCGCAGATTCCCGATGCGGCGCGCCGTTTTCGAAGGCAGGAAGGCCGTTCTTCATTTCGAACTTCATCACAGCTTGACGGTCAACTGTGTGGTTAAACAACTTACGGCTTTACGTCTGGCATGACGCTCAAAGTTTATTTCATCGGGAAGTTTACCGCCAGTACTAAAGTGTTGCCGAGGCGGCCCGCGGCTTTCGAAAGAAGCAAGGCCGGTCTTCACTTCGGAGTTCACACCATTTGAGGTCAAATACGGTTGAACTACCTAAGGAGACTTTCCATGTGGTCCGCCAGGCCTGACATGGCCGTTCTGACCGTTTCGCCGCAGATATCTAGTGCCGATGCGGTGCACCGTCGCCAGAAGAAACGTTCTTCTCCGATTCAAGTCTTGCGAAGATCAACGAAAATTAGAAATACCTATGTGCGGTCTATGCCATTTCACGCTGGGCCAGAACCCGTTAGCGCGGTCCATATCCATGGTAAAGCAATGTTACCAGGTGCCGGGCACGTGAAGCTTGAACCGAAAGCGCGGATCAAAAAGAAAAGCAGTGAAATTCTCAATTCCCGACGCCCATCTCTCAGACTAATATAACAATGCCAGTGGGCGTCGTGCAACTTGTCGTGTATATACAACTGGCCGCTCTATAGCCGCATTCAATGGTATATCGGTACAACTGGCCGCTCGACCGCCGAAAAGTCAATTTACTTCACGTCCATGTAAAATTCTTTGGGCAAGCTATGCCGTTCGACGACTCCCAACAATGGCATGTACGGTGGGCTAGCTAGCTAGCTGGCTACACAGGAAGGAACGAGCTACGATGCCGCTGAGGAACCGCAACACACCGCAGAGGCCGGCCCCGCCCTATTTAAGTGCCGGGAGCATCGCACAGCCCCACCGGCCACATCAAGCCGCATTCGCACTCAAGTTCAATTTTGAAGCCTCAACCATGCTTCTCAACTTGAAGTCCATCACCCTCGGCTTGGTTGGTTTGGCCACCTACGCCAACGCTGCCGGTAGGTTTGATAAATCTCTTCTTGTTCAAATGCACTGTCAATATCTCACATTCATCGCCTCTTTAGCCCTTGATCGCCGTGACGACGCACAATGTATCAGCTACAACAACAACTGCGGTGAGCTCCAAGCCGCCGTGCAGTGTGAAACCCGTACGCTTGAAGATTACGACTGCGGATGGGCCACGCAGAAGCAGGGAGGTGAAACCGTTACACACCGCATGGGTTACTGTGTCGCTTGCGATGGGAAGCAAATCAAAACCAACCACGCAATCCACGATGTGCCCATGTTTGACGTGACCTCCGCGTTGCATGCGCCTGAAGGGTTCATTAAGGCCGTTGAGAACGCCTGTGCAGCCGCATGTCCGCAGCAAGGATGGAGCATCAGAGATGAAAGGGTAAATGGACCTTCCATCGCGGGGTGCGCCTGCTTGCCCAGCGGCCGCTTCGCTGACTTGAGCTCGCAATTTGCGCGTCTCGGCTGGCACAAGGATGCCCCGGTCCAGAAACCTACGACGACTGCCGTCGAAGAGCCCACTACCGCCGTCGGAGAGCCCACTACCGCCGTCGGAGAGCCTACTACCGTCGTTGAGGAGCCCACTACCGTCGTCGAGGAGCCCACTACCGTCGTCGAGGAGCCCACAACCGTCGTCGGAGAGCCCACTACCGTCGTCGAAGAGCCCACTACTATCGTCGAGGTGCCCACTACTATAGTCGAGGAGCCCACTACCATCGTCAACGAGCCCACTACCGTCGTCGAAGAGCCCACTACTATCGTCGAGGAGCCTACTACCATTGTCAACAAGCCCACGACCGTCGTCGAGGAGCCCGTATCTACTTCCACTGGTGAGACCATCGAGACCATTGTCGTCACCGCTCCCGCACACCAGGATGAACCCGTCAGCGGTGAAACCAAGTTGGTTGCTGCGGCTGCCAGCATTGGCTTCGGCGTCGTCAGCGCCCTGTTGTTGATCTGAGATTGTAGAGATACCATGGACCCCGTTTGTTTTTCTCTTGTCCTAGTTCATTGTTATCGGCCGTAGTACTTTCGGCCGTGGGACCTCATTCGCTTAGAAGTGATCGAGATTGTGCATAGGAATGTTCTCAATAGATTGTAAGAGACTAGACCTTACACAAAATACATATACCATTCTTTGCTCTTCAAATGCCGTGGCGTTCCTGTGCTGTGGTCGCTGTCGTGAGCGTGTCGGAGTGTCCGTAGTATGAACAGCAGCCGTGCGCGCTTGCACCGCCATCACAGCTGACGGAGACGGGTAAGTTACACCTTAAAACCGATAACCGGCTCAACCCTGGGCCTGCCCCGCGGCTTTGTCATCAACACGACAGAGCGTCAGAAAACCTTGTTTTGAGTGCTGTATGGGCTATCCTCCGCATTCCATGTAAGTACGAGATCATTGCTTGCAGACAGTTGCACGGTCGGAATTAGGTAACCACATCAGATATTCCAATCTCAAAGATCTACCTAAATTCTTCAACAGTCTCGGGAACACATTAACACAGCCTGTCACGCTACTGGACATTCCAATATTCTCAGTAGCTACTATTGCACATGCATCAACTCTTACCGTCCCTTAATCTACATTCCACGGCTTTGTCGGCTCATAAACGCCAAGCGCGCGGTTCAGACCAATCATGAGCACCGCAGTATCCCCTACGACGACCGGACAGCAGCCGCGGGCGGCTGAAGGTGTGGAAGTGGGAAAATTTGTTGGACGATGGCGGATTGAGCGGACGATTGGACAAGGGACGTATGGGAAAGTGCGATTGGCGGTGGATCCTGTCACTGCAGAGAAGGTGCGTTAGTGATGGGCTGGTAGTCTCGGACCACCGATATGTGTTAGTGGTGAGCGATTGTAGGATCGTACGAGAGCCCAAGCGAGAAGGCATCGTCGGTGGCATGCAACAGCGGTCGCATCTCTGGAATGCGTGAAGTGATGGATATCTATGGCGGGAGACGAGCGGACTTGATGATTACGAGACGGCTGCGAAATCGCGTCGTGGGATGGACACTATTTCAACAGCAGCGTTTGCGACACTCGCCGTCAACCCGTCGATCTCGTCTCATCATACGTTTCTCATCATCGCCACGTTTCCCCACTTCTGCCCTCTCAGGTGGCCGTCAAGGTAATCGACAAATCCCAAGTTCAATCCAGCAAGCAGATCGCACGTCTGCAACGGGAGATCCGCTTCCTCCGCCTCCTGCATCATCCGCACATTGTCAAAGTCTACGATGTCAACGAGACGGAGCAGTTCATCCATATTATCATGGAGTATGCGCCCGGTGGCGAGCTGTTCGATTACATAGTGGCGCATAAGAGGGTGAAAGAGCGCGAGGCTAGGAGCTTCTTCAGACAGGTTCTGAGCGCTGTGGATTACTGCCATAAGGTTTGGATGCACATTCGACGGGCCGCACAAACGTAGTTCAAAGGATTGACAGCTTCGGTCTCATACAGAATGCAGTGATACATCGAGATTTGAAGCCAGGTAAGCTTACCTTTGGATTTGCCACAAACTGAGGGAATACTGATCGCATTTTACCTCCCACAGAAAACTTGCTGTTGGATGAAAGCAAAACGATTAAGATCATCGATTTTGGATTCGGCAACAATTTCACGGTGGAGGGGCTTTTGGACACGTTCTGCGGGTGAGGAATCGACGTATGCGGGCGAAATTGGAAGAGCGCTTGCTTACCGAATGTGGTGCTGATTATCCCCTAGGTCACCGTTTTACGCCGCGCCTGAGATGATCATGGGCAAAAAGTACGAGGGACCAGAAGTCGACATGTGGAGTCTAGGTATTTGCAGGAAGAAAACGTATTCCCTCGCGATGGTGGAATCACACTCAATTCCAATATTGGATGGCAGGTGTTATCCTATTTGCTCTGCTATGTGGGCATCTGCCCTTCGACGACGACAACATGAAAGAGTTATACCGGAAGATAGCCACCGGAACATATACGTGTCCGGACTATTTGATGACAAGTAGGTGCCTGGATGTGAGAAAGTGCTAGCAGGTTCGCAGACTCTCATCTTGAATCGCCAGACGCACGGCACCTCATCCGCCGCCTCATTCACGTTCACCCAAAGGAGCGTGCCACGCTTGAAGAAGTGTTAGCGCATCCATGGGTGAACGAAGGCTACGATTGCCCCCCGCCGAATTACCTCCCAGCGCGGGTTGAAATCCGATCTCCAGCAGAGCTGTCGAAAGAGATCTTGCAACGCCTGCTGGTCTTCGGATACACGATGGAAGACGTTGAAAGGGAATTTGGTTCAAACGCGAACCAGTCCCAGCCGAGTCCTGTGCGCGCGACGTATTTTCTCTTGGCGGAAATGTTCGCAAGGGAGGAGGCCAGGCAGAAAGGTGATCGGAAGATTGACCTCTTTGAGCAGCATCAGCAAATGAGGAGGGGAAGTTTGCCGGTCGATGCTGTGGGGATGCTAGGCGGCAGGTTCAAAGCTGCGAGCACACCCAATGTCGCGATGTCGAACCAGACAGCATCGCTTGGTCATGCGGGCAACCGCTGCGCCGCCGGAGACGGCCCCGGTTCTGGAGATAGCGGAGACTCTTATTCCAGGGTACGACGTGGAATGGAGAACGGGTCAGCATTGCCGGCAAGAAAGGACTTCCTGTCCATGCATTCGGTGGCCGAGTCCACCAGACGGCGCGGATCCACCCCCGAAGACTCAGCATTGCAAATTGAACAAAATTGTGGTGGTTCGGCTGTTCAAGCACCACCAAATGCCAAAACTCGGTCATCAGGCGCCCAATATCTGTTTTTCCAGAAAGGACATCGCCCTCAATCCGCGGGAACCGGAGAACAACGGCGACCATCGGGAAGTAACAGCAGTGGGCGTGCATCCCCTGAACCAACGAGTCCTCCGCTCTCCTCGTACCCTCGGCGTCCAAGCTTCAAACCTCCTTCCATCCCCTTACCTCCGACTCCCCAACCCAAGGATGATCCACATAACCCCACTGCTCCGGCGACTGGAAAACTCAGTCTTCTGCACTCAAACGTCAAAGACGCACCTTGGTTCCGCCGCTTCTCCATGCCCACTGCGTCTCTCTCCCACCCCATCCATCCGCCACCACGTGAGCCACAAAGTGCCTCATCCGCCACCTCCAGTCAGACTTTCGCGCCCGCGCGGCCTGCACAAAACTACCTTTCGGGCTCTCGCCGCGGTTCCCTTGCGACCGCATCGTCGGCGGCTGGCGAACGCATCAAAGAGGATTTCCGTGCCATCGGAGGGTGGTTTCTCAACATGTCCACGACAACATCTAAAGCGGCCGACCAAGTCCTGCTGCAACTCGTGTCCGTGCTACAAAAGTGCAAGATCGCATACACCGTCGAGGCCCAACATCCGAGTTATATGGAAAGTATGATGGCGTTGTTACAACCAAGTGGTGGCGATGGATCTCAGACTTCGGAAATGAACGCCGCGGCCGTGGCTGCAGCCGCTAGCACCGCTGATAACCACCTGGTGATCACATTGGCCTGCGAAGTCTGGCCGGATTCGTTTCCGCATGGCAATCGAACTCCCGAAATGGAGAGCAGCAACGGAACGGATCCAATGACCCTTTTGACGGAGTTGGAAAGCCGGAGGATATCCGTATCTTCGACTCTTCCAGCGACACAATGGGAACGCGAGCCTTCGACGGATTCCTTATCTTCCGCCTCCACATTTGGGGATCCGCTGATGCGAGACCGCTCGCAGGCATCAGTTGCGAGTACCGAACCCATTCCCATTCCTGACGAACTGGTCGATAAGTCACCGACGGAGACACTGCATGTCCAAGACCACGGCCCAGCGCCTGAACTGGCTGGTCACCACCCCACTTCGCCACCAACCCAGCTAGTGCAGCATATCCAATCTTCTTTGCCCTCGCTCCCGACGAGAAAACCGACCAGTAAGGAGATTGGGTTCCAGGTATCCATCTACAAGATGCCAAAGTCGGTGAACTCGACTGGCCTGCATTTCCGAAGGGTGCATGGAGGAGTTTGGACGTACAAAAAGGTCTGTAACAAGATTTTGGCGCAGATGAGTCTGTGATCCCTGGACCATACCCCCCTATTGCACAGCGCGACAAATCGCATTCTGTATTCCCTGTACATCTTTGTTTCCAAACCAAAACCGGATCCTGTATCATATCTTTTTCGTATTTTCAATAAGAGCCATTTTCCTGAAGATAAATTCAATGAATCCCATCGTTCCACCATGTGCCACAAACCAAGCCAGATTTTGACAATTTTCATTACACTAAACACAGGAAACTCAGCACGAACTTATGACTCGTCCAAAAACGAGAAGATCTTCAAGCCAACCAGGGGCCCAGCCTCTATTTCTCTCCGTTCTTCCATTCCACAGAAGGTCCCGCTTCTTAACCGGCCGTTTAGGCTTTCGCTCACGCTGACAATCCGGCCTTCATCAAACCCCACATACGTAGGACGCTTGATTTGGTCGAGAGATTCTTCTTTCTCGAATTGACGTATCCAATCCCTATCCACGGTCGATATGGGCTTTACAGGGTTGCGAAGAGACCAGATCTTGAGCCCATCTATCCCTCCAGTAATGAGCTTCGCTGTCACTCCGTCGAGTTCGAGTGCAGTAACCGCCGCATGATGTGCATATAATATCGTAGTGTGGGTGAGCTGCGCTCCGCTAAGAGTGTATACGTGGACGGTGTTGTCCCTTCTGGGAGCCACCAGGTAAGGATGGCGAAAACGGATCCCTGTAAATTCCGCGGTCATCGGCACTTTAGTTGTTTTCGGACTGAAATGCTTCGAGGAAATCAGTCCATCAGCGCGGGAGAAGGTGATTTGATCGAGGGAAACGTTCCATTCGTTTCCGTAGGAAGGTGATGCATACGCTATGTACAAAGCATATTTTCCGCCAGCACGGGTGAGGTGAAGATCCACTGGAGGCCAACAGGTACTCCCTCGTAATCGATGGATCAGGGTAGACTCCCAACGTCGTTGCGTATTGTCGCGCTTGAGCGCATTTGTAATGCGGTGGAAGGCAACATCAAATTGAGATGAACATGTCACAACGATGTTGTCCATCATTGTTACGGCGACCAGCCCAACCCTCTGTGCTTGGGTGACCGTGATCAGCTCTTTGCAGCCCCATTGGCTAAGCCCGTCATGACCCCACATCTCCCAGACTGTCCAGCTGCCATCGTCATAGCCGGCCACCACCCGTAAATGGGGATGTCCAAGTGCAGAACAGCTCTCCAGTTGGATGCAGCACACGCGAGGCAAAACCATCGAAGGCTCCACTGAAATCCGACTCAATGATCCGAGGGCGGCTCTGTGGTTGATGCTCCAAACTGCAACATCCGGTGAAGCAAGAGCAACCAATATTACATCCTTTGTAAACGCCGTTATTGGCGCTGTGCCCAAATGCCGAGATGTCGAAACTGGTAGCGCGCAATCAATATCCGTCGCGGTTCTAACCCCTCCTGGTTCCAGCACCGGCTCAGCAGCCACCGGCAGGCTCACATCGATGTTCGTCACTACATAGTTCCCAGCATTCCAGTTGTGTTGCAGAATGTACATGGAAAGGAAATCGCGCCTCTCCCGCATAATCGGGCCCGCCATTCCACTAGTCCTTCTCCGCACCCGAACTTCGCCCGCCGGTGGCGACCCAGCAGGTATTGGCTGCGCGAGACACTCCAAGGGAAACCTGCGCAGGAAGAGCCGCTTCCATAACGTTTGGTCGCTGGCCAACCTGTGCCAGGTGCGCGAGCAAGTCCCTAATCGAGTAAGATCCCTATGCGACAGGTAGGCGAGGATATGCAAAAGTATCTCGTCCGAAAAGACACCGCTAGCGAAGTCTGTGGGAGTCGGTGCAGCTCCTGCTCCTGTCGGTTCCGCTGTCCGTAACTTCTTGCGAGACATAATCACGAGAGCTTCCGGAACCCGTGCTGGCAGAGGACGACCACACTACCGTATGTACAACTGTGCCGTGAAAAGGCTGCCTCGCCTCTATACAGTATCTACTAGTTCGCAGGCGAAGTGCCTCCTGACTTTTTGACGTTGGGTTGTGGAAAGGTGCTGAGTCTATCCTGACGGATTATCTTCGTTGGGGCAAGTAAGGGAAGTAGGGGAAAGTGGGCAACGTCGCGACGTCCTGGCACTCCTTCCCAGACTCCTTCCCTCCGCAGCAACCGCTTCGCAACACGACAACTCGTTCCACCAGCTTTTGCTGATCTGTAGCTGAATTACATAGAGACTCGAAGAAAGGATAACCTCCAACGAAGATGGTCACCATCTTTATGCACCGCCAGGGTGTGTGCCTTGCTCGGAGAGCACCTACCGCTTCCCAATTCCGTCTCCCTTCCCCATTCCTGACTCGCCCCGCATCCTCCTCCGTCTCGTCACCGGGCTCCCAAAAGCGACCACCACTCCTAGGCCGCCACCGCACTGTACCCGTCGACCTCTTCCGAATCAACGCCAGCGAGAAGGTCATTCTGCGCGACTACACCGCCCAGAAGAAGCTAAAACGCACGTCTTATGACCTGCATATTCATGAGGATGGCCTTGTGTACCCGAAGGATGGACCTAACTTTGAGGGTATGCACGAAACTGTTCTGCGACCCATTCTAGGGGGAAAGACAACGTATATAGGCAGGTATGGTATGGGATGCTGACCTGGTCCATTCCGACGTTGCAGGTCCCAACGGAGCTTCGGTCCGGCCAAACGGCGCGTTCCTTCAGGAGGTCGTTCGTGGGTTCCGCGGAAAGAATACGACCATCTGGAGGATTCCCGCAGGTAAGAACCAAGGCTTCTGGAAAGCGTCGCAGTGTACTTCCAAGCAACTGACAAATCACACGACAATCAATACGGGACACAGGCACGGACCTTCCTCCGGATCTAGTGCTTCTCCACGAGCACACAGACCACCACTCGATACAGTGCACGCGGCCCATGACCCTTTCCGAGCTGAACAAAACAATCACGGCATTTGTGCAGAAGCATGGGGAGAGGATGACGAAGGATGAGTTTTGCGAGAAGTACCCTTTCACGGTGTAGAGTAAAGTAAGAAAGGGGAGGGATGGGAAGTGAAGGCAATTGAGGGCGGGAGGGAATGCATGAGGCCAATATCTCGCGACCGCAATCGAGGTGCAAGATGGAGAACTGATCAGGCATAGGATACTGCGAAATCACCAGATAGAGTAGATAGCGATCACTTGGAACCGAATCCCAATGGAGTCCGCCCACCTGTCCGCCTTCATCATTGGCAAGCTACATTTATGTCATCGGGGAGGTCGGTGTAGCTAGATGTAGATTGGGCGACCAGCATTCGGCGCAGAGAAATCTTAGAATATGATGAATTGTCTCAACTCCGCACCCACCATAAGAGGGAGAGAGGAAAATCTTCACATGACCACGAAGAAATCGAAACGGAAAGCAAATGCCAATATACATTATACGCCCTACGCTAACATCCTGAAGGGATAGGAAAGATGGAGGAATTTTCTGGAAATGATCGGTTGGCGTTGATTGGTGAGATTGGATGCACATCAGAGGAAGCTTTCTCAGCCGTCGATAGTTGCCGCTGGATGTTGGGATAGCCGCAAGCCGGTGGATGAGCGTGAAGCCGACCTATCAAACTCGACCTGCTAATGGCTGATAGCGAGATTTCCTACGGGCGCGTTGGCAATGCGTTTTCCCGTTATCCAAATCCCTGTATGTACTGTACTCACTTCTTTAAGAAGCTCGAAAACTCACAGCACTCTATGTCTAGATCTTGCCTATGCCCACGAGCCTTTGCTGTTACGAAAATCGATTGAAAAGCGCACACCGCAGCTTCACCCAGTTGTTCGCGTAGGGCAACCGATGGCCGGGACCGATTTGGGGGGATGGCATGCAAACTATGCTTGACTGATCCTCGCCCGGCGCTGTATAAGCCAAATACGGGTGCAAGGGAGGTGCGGTTGAGCCATTGGGTACGAGGTGACCCCCCGGGTTTCCGGTGCATCGTCGATGCTGCTCAATGCGGGTTCGGCGGGGTTCGCTTGTTTCGAAAGAACTACGACATGATACCGAAGGTCAATTGATACCCTCCATCATCAAAAACCGCCAAATCAGGCAGTATTCACTCACATTGGCGACCGCACCGACAACCATTCCAAATCCATTATGCTCCATCACTCCCGCGTCTCTGATCCACGCTGGCAGTTTGCTCTTGATGCGGCGCTGCTGATACCTGCGATCGAGAAGGACGATGGCGGCGTAGTCGTCTTTGTGTCGAATGGCTCGCCCTAGATATCCATGGGGTCAAATGTTTTGGGTTCAGAGATCACCGAATGCGCCGGACATCATACCGATGGACTGGTTGACAGCCTTCATGCAGATGTTCTCATAGTAGTCGCTCACGACATCCTCTTTCGAAGATGCTGCGGTCGACGCTCGTGATTTCATGTACTTCAGCTTTTCTTGGAGCTCAAGGGAATTCGGATTAGGGAAGGGCAAGCCGACCACTATCACCAATCTGAGGGAGGGACAAGCAAATGGTATTGAGCGAAGATCTCAGACCAAGACTGCGGGTGAGATCTCACCGGCCCATATCATCGGCGAAGCTGAGGTCGCAGCAAGCGTGTCAGCATCGCCCATTTTCAAAAGGCACCTTGAAAAGCAAAATGCATACTTGATTCCCTCACTCATCTTCCCTCCAACAACGGCGAACAAGATTCCGCCGGTCTGCTTCGCCTGGTAAGGAGTGCGTCAGGAAGTTCTCATTAAGAATCGAACCACGGAGGACACTCACCCCCGGCTTGCGCCCTCCTTCAATGCAGGTTGCATACTCCCGTAGGGTTGGTTCAACCATCGAGGATTGCTTGGGTTCCTTGAAGACCTGAGTGGGTGGTAATGGAAGAACGATTGTTCAAACTGCTGCAGTGACGGCAGTCTCACGCTAAGGAACCAACATCTTCCGATGTCAGGGAGAACCTACCTGTTTCTTGGCGCATATCCGCTTCAAAAGCCCTTCCTTCTCCCAATGCCCATTAACCTTGTCCATATAGTCGTAAGATCCGAAGAAGCAGACCACGCCACCGGGAACTACATTACATAAGTTGGCTATCGCAGCTCCCAGCTCATTCATCTGCAGTCACGTATCGTTAACCTGGGTAACAGTCTTAATCTGGTGTGCAGATGCAGCTTACCAGACTTGGTTCGCTACGATGTTCAAACGTAACATCAAACGGACGACCGGTCGGGCCAGTGGCTGCCGCGATGCTGAGGATGGACGTTGCAGGGATGATGTGTCCACATGAGAAAGGCGAAAGGCGGTCTTTTGGGACATATAGGAACAACTGTCACGTTTAAACGAAGGTGAGGACCACAGGTGTTTCGACCCGCTCTAAAACGTTGCATCTCGCCCCTTACTTCATCGACCAGTTGCGGAATCTGACGAGCCGAATAGCACCTCGTTAGCAAACTAACCTGTGACGCAGATACGCAAGACGAGAAGGTTTACCGGCGCCATTGTCCCCCCTGCCAGAACCACCGCCCTCGCTTCTTCCACGATCCGCCGAAAGGCGTTGGCCGGATTCAGCAGGAGGTATTTCATCATTGATGTTGCCGGATCATCTATGAAGACATTTGCTCTATCAGCCGGCATTCGCAGTGGCACTTGGCTGAGCGCGGACAACCGAACCCACCGGTAACAGAAAGCATGATTCGCCCCTCCAGATCCGCATTCGTCAAGCTCATGAGGAACGTGGATACGTTCTGTATCGTTGACATGTGCTTGGGTACGTATACTTCTGATTCGCCTGGTTCGTGGCAAACTAACCATTCAGGTTGCCAAGAAACACAATGGGAGAAGAGAAACCCTTCTCACCTTCGTCCATCCCCTTCATGTCGAACTTTTCGGCGAACCCTTGTAGCTATGCCAAGGGCGTTTACGATGTGAGGACTGAGACCACAGTTTGTCTTATGCCAGAGACACACTCTACCTTCTGTCCAAGCCGACTCTCCGCCAGATAATGTCCGATCTTGAAAAGGCTTCGTAAAAGTGTTGATGAGATCTCTTGAAAGGAATAGATCGCACATGTGACGCCCTCCACGGTCACTCACTTGATGTGATCAATGCTCAGCATATGAACGAAATCATTCACCATGACGACTGATCGGTCATCTATATAAGAAGGCCGGAATGAGCCGCGCGACCGTTTTCATTCCATCGCCCACGCAGGCACATGACGCACCTTTGGCTTTCGCAACCGGCTTTGTCAACGGCTTCTTCAACGCCCCGATGATGACATTCAATTGCCGGATGTATGCCAGATTACAACCTTTCAACCGTTTCTTGTAGCGTTGCAGGTATCCTTGCAATTGACGTGCCGCGCGTTCTAGCTGAGGCATTAGGTATATTTTGCGTCAGGTTACATACTTCACATGTCTCGGGAAGTGTGGGAATGATCATGACAAACACATGATCGTAACTTACATCTTGCAGGGTCAGAGACACGGAGTAGATGGACGTGATCGTATCAATGAGATTATGTGCCTCGTCTGAGTTGTTTCGGTCTGCGTCAGAGGATTGTCGAGGTGGAATTACGAAAGAACGCAAGTGCTGACCAATGATAACGACTTTGCCCTTGACATCGATGCCCAATGACTCACGCGCCGATGCTTGCAGAAGAAGGTTGTATGGCAGGGTGAGAACCTTCCGCCACGATCGATGTCGGATTAGCAGTGTCCCGGTACCGTGAGCAATAAGATGATTTTTACCTGTGATGGCCGAACAGCATCCCTAGCGGCATAGTACGGACAGGTATGTAATCGTTTGCCCAGGTCGACCATATCCTCAATGTCGCGGATCGCGGCATGCAGCTGGTCGGTGAATTGCACGCGTGTCGCTGGGTCTTTCGCTAGATACTCGCACCCGCCCTCCTCCTTCGTTGATGCTATGGGAATCGCATGAGAGCGTAAGGGTCCGTAATCGTTGCAGGTGGGAAGTCATACCACCTCACCTTTCATAAGGTCCAAACATCGATCATTCATCTTCGGCAGCGATCCCAGTTTCCTCACACTCTCGTTTATACACATTCCTTGTCTCGACCCCAGGGATACTGATTTGGTCGTGCTGCTATATGCCGAACGCCGCAGTTCTTTTACGAATTGAGAGATTTGCGAGTGGGTACGACTGCAGTAGATGATCTTTGTTTCGTCGGGGAGATCGAGGTCGTCTTCTGTGGGGTCTTCTGGGCCATCTAGGAAGGAACTCCAGGACGAATGGAATCCGAAATTTCTGAGCTGTATTGCACGGGGTATAATCCTCCTCACAATTCAACGCCTTACGCTTTGGGCTTTGAGATCTCGGTCTCACTGTCGTAGTCTACAATCAAACGATCTTCGTCGTCCTGGGAGTCTTTTTGCGCGCCAGCTGTTTTTGGCCGTTTGAAGCGATGTTTCGCCTAGATTCGACAGGTGTAAATCACCAGCGTTCAGCGAGATTCAAAGGGAATGCAAACCCACCTTGTCGTCCTCCTCCCCACTCAGAGCACGCCTTCGAATCTCTGCCAATCTTTCTTCGCGCTTCCTCTTCTTTGCGATGATATCTTGCACATCTTTCGCTACTTCCTCTTTAGCGAAGTCCAGCACCCATGATGGCTCTGGCAGGAACTATTTGAGCTACATCCGTCGTTCGCCGGATATATTCCTTTTATTCTCCTCACCATCTGCAAGCGGTGCACCCAAAGCAGCCCTTTCGTCCTCTATTTCCTGCATCCGCTCTTTCTCGGTGCGTTCCTCGTGGTCCTTTAGCCACTTTAGGCTTCCGCAAATAAGCGATAGCGACTTTCCCTAAGAAGGTTGAGCCGTGGCTTCTGAGTTCCAGCGAAGTGATAAGAACTATGCTTCGTCTGAACATACTGTGCCTGTGGGACTCTCCATGACAAGCACTTTCCCATTCTGTAGACCGTCATAGAGGTGGTTCATAAAGTCCTTCTGGATACTCCACGGGGTAAACGGAAAGTTGAAGTCACGTTCCGTTTCTAAGTTTGCGACCGGTATCATGCTGCTGTTGCCCTGGTTATGTACCGCCGATTATAAGGTTGTTCTGTTTCTCAACAGTCCTCCTGCAAGAAAGCGAAGTCAGCCTTGCGCTCTGCAGCCTGGTGCTGTGCTATGCCAAGCAGGCCATTGGCAAGGGTTGCGGTGTTCCAAACGGGATGTCTGGGATAGTTGAACTCCGGAAATTTGCGTCCGGCCCTTCCGGACAGACGCGTCACCTGAAGCCTCGTCACCGGGGAGGTACTCATTCCCCTTACAACGGCGATGTGAAACTCCGAGACATGCATCACACAGTACAAAAAGTTTGGAATTGTATTCCCTCTTTCCAAGCCTACTTGCGGGAGATCTTTCATTTCCTCCGCTCTCCGTCGTCCGAATCTCGCAAATTCTCTCAATGGTAGCGAGCTACATAGGAGGGAGGTACCTAGCTAAATCATACGTCCAATTTCATTCCTTCTTGGCCAGTACAAGTTCTAACTTCCTACGCATAGAATCCGGTACGTCCACTGGCCTCCCCGAAGCAGGATCCACACAAACATGCACAAACTCGCCCGTCACAAGACAGGTTAGATTGCCTTCGTCATTGCTCCCACTATTGTTGGCATGCGATGCACCCTCCTCACCCTTCTTATACACGGCTACATGGTAGACCACACTGCTACGCCCAATCTTGTTGACTGCGAGACCAGCCTGCAATCGATTCGGGTAAGACGCCGACGCGTGGTATCGGCAGCCAGATGAGACAACATAGTATATAGGTTTTGAGTTTGACGATGATTCTGCTTTTTCGGACGGTGCTTTGCGGATGGAGGATGGATCTAGCCCGCAGTTTCGTATCAGGTAGTTGTTGACAATCGTGTCAAAGAACGAATAGTATTCGACGCTAGATTGAAAGTTAGGCAAGGATACTGTCGGCAGAAGGCGGATGATGTCGTTACTCCTTGCAAGCCTTACTTGTTGATGTGTCCATATTGATCGTTGTCTTTCCATCTATATATATAGAGCCGTTGAGTCCACCTCAAACCGCGGCCTGCGGCACACTACTGTTGACGTTACCTGGTGGTAATGTCTTCCCAGAAACGATAATATGAAGGTGCTTTGCGTGCCTCTTCCAAGGCCTTGGCTGCAGCTTTAGCGTCGGCCTGCGTACCCGAAGAGAAGTTTGCATGCTGGATGAACGCTTCGCCTTTTACGCGCACATCTTGGGTTCGGGAGTGGCGCACTTGGGAAGCGATGAGGGCAAGCCGCCGAGTAGCAGTCTTGTGAAGCATTGCAGCGAAGTAAAGGATATGTCAGCTTCCCAAGGGTTGTTTGCTGAACAGGGAGCGTCGGCTGCGTCGAGGTTAAGTCAAGTCGGGGTGTGAAGGGCGAGGGTGAGACTGGTGAGAGGCTGGGTGAGAGGTGTGAGCAAGGTGACAACGTCTTGAGAGACTCGCAATGGGACGTGGGAGAAGTCACCTTCCACAACGGTGAGGACTTTCCTACAAGAAGATCTGAGAGAGCTCCTGACCGGTGTAAGCGCACCTCCTTCAGGCTTACTCAACTCTTCAATGCAAGACGTTCCACAAGCACACTTTCCTATTGGCAGGCCCTAGAAGCGTTCCTTTCTGGTTGCCAAAGTATTTTCAAGCAGGACGCCCAATGGCTTCTATGAACACCCGCACAACTACTCGAGGAGGGCAAAGTGGACGGGGTCGGGGAGAAAGAGGAGGACGAGGGGGACGAGGTGGTGGTGCGGGTGGCAACCGCCGAGAACCAGACTCGTCTGAAGTCCGCACATCCAAAGCCTTATCGTACGTCCTTCGCCACGGAGCCGAGAAGGACGGAATTCCCATGAGATCCGACGGCTATGTTTTGTTCACCGATCTGGTCAGTATATTCTTTCCTTATCACGGTGGAGCTATCTTCGATTTGGATCTAGGGCTGACAGTTCTGTTCCGGACTTCACTAGGTCAAGCACCCCCGCCTCCGGACCGTCACTCTCTCGACACTGCAAAGCGTAGTATCGTCCAATGACAAGCAGCGTTTCAAGCTCATAGAAGAGCCTCATCCGACACTACCGTCACAAACCGTCTATCTCATCCGTGCAAACCAAGGTCACTCCCTCACCACCGCCGAAGTCCAGCTGACACCGATAACCGAGGCCTCGCAGGCGCCTGTCGTGATCCATGGGACGTACAAGAACGTCTATCCGATCATAGCAAAGGAAGGGCTGAAGCCGATGAGCAGGCAGCATATTCACTTTGCCGCTGGTATGCCGGGAGGAGGAGGCGTCATCAGTGGGATGAGAAGCTCCTGCGATGTCGTGATCTATCTGGATTTGCAGAAGGCGTTGGACGCTGGGGTCGAGTTTTGGAGGAGCGAGAATGGTGTGATTTTGAGTAAAGGGGACAAGACTGGGGTCATTCGGCCTGAATTCTTTAAGGAGGTTGTCATGCGGTAGGAGCCTTCCGATCAGAACCGCGGCAAGCCGACAATCTCTCCAATGTGGAAAGCGTGTCGGGATGACTAAATGGATGACAATCGTCTCAGACGCAGGAGATACCGAGATGACTTTAGTCAATACAGCGCCAGCGCCGCCGAAGCGCGATAGTCCCGCTAGCCTCTCTCTTGCGGAGGAAATATATTTCCTGAAACGTCACCCAGATCTGCTGCGAAAGCGCTCCAAAAACGAATATGGCATACTTGCCTATTTACATACGGAGATCTCGAGATCATTGCGTCCAAGCATCATTCATTTATCAACAATCCACAGCCGAGTATTGGCGATGGTCCCTAAATACCATGTCGGGCTACACACATTCTCCCGCGACAGATTACGCCCTCCCCAACGCCCATCTCCCGACCTCAGTCGGCAAGTTACCAGCCTTCACCGCTTGCTCCACCTCCCTAACCCCAACACCCAACCTCACCATCCTCCACCCCTTGGGACACCTGATTCCAACCCCATCCACACCAACACACAACCGCAACACCATCAGTCTCTCGAACGCCTTCTGAGCGACATTCTTGCTCTGCAGCACCTTTCCGCCCACAGCCGCAACGCTGTTGCTGGACGAAGATGAGGCGGAGGTGCGGAGGAAGTCGCGGTACTCGTCGTACACCATTTCAAAATTGAAGACGGGGTCGACGGTGGATATTGATGTCGAGATTGTCGGTGCTCTTGTGAAGGAGGATGTCGGTGCAGCTACGGTCTTTGAAGTCCGGCTTATGGTGTTGGAATGTCTGCGGAAAAGCTGTACGCTTGCCACCAGCAGCATTATCTCCAGCAAGGAAAGGGATTGGATGACGCTCTGTTTCGGGGCGGTGTGTAGAGCTCCGCCGAGGGTTTCGTGGATGGGTATCGTTTCTAGCGTCGAGGCGGATGTATTTATATAGGAAGGAGCTTTCGGTGAGGATGTCATGTGAGTCGACGGGGTGGGGGGCGGGCTGGCGGGCGGGGAAAGCGTGCCACCGAGGTACGGGTTTAATGTTGAGAGCTCAGCTGCCAAGGGGTACTGCGTAGAAACTTTGTCAGGGTCTTTCTGTAGATCTCTGTGAGTGTAAACGGTGTCAATATATTCTTACCAAAAACCTAAACACCTTTCTCACATCTTTGCTCTGTTCGAAAACCGTCTTGATCCCGCGGAGAACCAGCGGATGGTTCAGGAAGTTGTCCAGCGCTTTCTCATTGAATAATGCCACGTATGCCGCATTTGTCACTCCGTCGTCGTCGGCCTCGGTGGCCTGGGCGTCCGAGTCTAACTCAACTTCGGAAGATGGCGATACCGCCAGACTGCAGGCCTCCTGCGCGATTGCCAAGAACCCCGCCATCGAGTCTGGAGGGTACAAGTCGACACGGCGATGCGAGAAACGAGACTTGACACGCTTCTCCAGCAAAGTAATGAAGTCCTAGAAAGCAGAAGGTGATGAGAATGAGTTCCACTGAAATCCATCACCTCGTGCTGCCTCCCCCTCTCAATCAAGAAAACCGCGTTCCAAACTTACAATCCGGCACGTAACCCCAATAACAGCCACAGGATTCTTCCCACTCTGACACATATCAAACAAATTGTACAACAAAGCCTGTTTCGGATGGTTCGCCAGCAAATCCACCTCCTCAAGCACAAAAATCACCGGCGTGCTCTTCAACGTGCCCTGATTTAAGCTTTCGAGGACGTAAGCCAGACACGCCGCAAAGGAGCCGGTTTCCAAGAGGGCTTCTGCGGAGGAGGACGGTGCGAGTTGCTGGGATTGGAGTTGCCGTACAATGTCGCGAAGGGCTTGGCGGTCGTCGGTGTGGAAGAGGCCGGAGAGGTGGACTTCGTAGAATGGCTTTGCGGTGGAGGCGGAGGATTGGAAGGTGCGGGAGAGCTTTGTGAAGGCTTTCTTGATAACCTGCGATTGTCGAAGTATCGGACGTGTCAGATGGGATGTATGAAGCAGTCGTTTATGGTACAAATGAGAGGAATTTACCGTGCTTTTTCCCGTTCCCCTGTTGCCTACCAGCAAAACGGAATTGCTCTCGCCCCTCCGGACCGTGCGTTCCATAAGCCCGTAAATCTTCCTATGAGGAGAACAAATGCCGTTTACTATCACACGCTCCGAGATGGTCCGTCCTTCGAACGCGTGCCTTCGAACTTACTGGAATTGTTCGTCCAACCCTATCAACCTCCTCGGACAGTTTCTCTCCGTCAGCCTCAGTAACACCGCTTTCCGAGCATTCGTCACATCCTCATCCGTCACATGCACGCTCGCAGACTTCTTCGCCGTATGCTTCACTCCTACAGCCGGGGACTTTTTGGGCGTTCCTGGCCCCTTCGCTGGGCGTGTCGGGGTCCCCATCGAAAGCTGCACATTGGCGACGCCAGGGCTTCTCACATTCTTCAGCAAAGCGGTTCGGCAGGGCGTACTCGGAATCACAACCTCGAGTGTGGCTCCACTTGGCTTCCTTACCGCAGCAGCGGGGCTTTTAGCTTTCGTGGACAAAGCAGACGCTTTCACTCCACTTTTGGGAGCGCGTGGTGTAATATCCAACCATTGTTCAGCTTTCGTTGGGGATGTCTGATTGCCAGCGGCACTGTGGCTACATCTCGTTTTTGTTGGTGTGCGAAGCACCTCCACCTGAGCAATCGTTTCTCGATCCTTTGCTAAAGCAGGTGAAGCGTAAGCCGCGAATGGATTCGGCCGTGCCGGTCCCTTGTCCTCCTCCATCACCACACGTTCGGTCTTCCGCTGTTTGATCTCACTGAGCGTCAACAACTCGCTATCGGATTCATTCGTAACAGGATTGTTCGCTCGCGAACTCCGTGTCTTCCTGTCGCTCGTAGGTACTTCGCCGCGTTTGCGCTTTTTCGAAGATTCAGGTTGCGGTGGTTCGTCCGCTTCATCAGCTGTATCGTCTTGCAGAGCCCTCAGGTTGGGGGGTAAAGCATGCCGGAAACTCAGTAACGGCGATTGTTCCTCATCCCCATTGCCATCCTGCTTTTTATCTCGGACTGGCGTCTTCGCTCTCGGCACAGGCTCCTTCTTCTCAGTTGCAGCTGATCTCGATGCGCTTTGCTTTCGGGGCGTCGTCCGAGATGGGGTTCGGGCGTCGGCCAGCACACTCGTTCGGCGCCTGGTGACGGGACCGCCGCCGAGCATTTTCGGCAAAGAATCTTTCGGTAGGAAGTTACTGATTTACTCAAATACTAGTAATTGTCTAAGAGAAACTTCGGACGGTGAAGAGTGCGGTGTTAGGAAGGCGGTCTCAGGTATTTTTCGAGACTTTGAACAGTCCAGAGCTGAGTCCAAAGGGTGAGCTTCTTGCCACTGGAGACTTGCCCGCAGGACGCGTGTTAGTCCGAAAGATGTGAATGCAGGTGAAGTCCGGAGCTCACGTGATCTGGAGATGTGTCCGAACTCCACTCTCTCCCGCGTCATATCACACCTGTCGACCTCCCGAAATCGTGGAGACCCCTCTCCCTCTCTGTACTGTACAAACATACTGTCCTACGCTCGCCCAGCTTTCGCCTTCGCAGTAACGACAGAGCGCCCACCATGTATCGCACACGCATTTCCTCACTGGCCGTAAGGGCAGCGCCTCGAAAAAACACGCTCTTCCGCCGATGTGTCAGATATCTCGCAGTAAGTATTCCGCTTGCAACCTCCTGGTCGGCCGAGGAAGCTGTCTCTCACCTGTCGCTCGCCCTACGAGACAGAGCCCTCAACAACCGCAAAACCAACCAACGCCTCGGCAACAAGGAACAATCCGTTCCCCGCCCCAACAGGTCCAGACAGCTTGGCGTTCCCGGCGACGAAGGCCTTTGAAAACGAACATAGTGTGACGGGTGAGGCGGACGACCTTGCTGCCGATTTGCGATACCAGAACTTGACGCAGTCGCATATGGGCTTGGCGCATGAGCCGTTTCCGAAGCATGTTACGGACATATTGTTGCGGGATATTCCGAAAGAGGATATTGAAGTGAAACCTGGTACGGTCATGTATGTGAGTGAAAACAATGGAGGTACTCACCAAGCGTCACTCTCCACAGATGGCATCCTCTATCTCCCTGAAATTAAATACCGCAGAATCCTGAACGAAGCATTCGGACCCGGTGGATGGGGTCTTATTCCGAGAGGGCCGCACACCATCAGCATGAAAACCATCTCTCGCGAGTACGCTTTGTTCTGCGACGGACGATTCATCTCCCAAGCACGTGGAGAACAAACCTACTTCTCTGAGGACGGGTTGGCAACAGCAACCGAAGGCTGCAAATCGAACGCGTTGATGAGATGCTGCAAGGATCTGGGTATCGCGAGCGAGTTGTGGGATCCGGTGTTTGTGCAGGAGTTCAAAGCGAAAGAAGCCGTGCAGAAGATGACGGTGAATACGTTCAATGGCACGAGGAAGTTGCTGTGGAGGAGGAAAGACCGCAAGTTTGCGTATCCGATTGCGGAGGATGATGGACCGGGGGGTGCTCCGAAAAGCAACGGGTTTGGCAATCAGAGCGCCGGTGCTGGTGCGAAGACGTGGGTCAAGAAGACCTGAGTGGAAGTCCGTAGCGTTGTCGGTCATTCCGCGATGCATTTCATTTTCGCGTCGTACTGTAATGGCGACCCGAGCGGCGCTTTGTAGCTTATTCAGTCTTACTGTAGCCATGATCATTTCTGTCTCGGCAATAGCGTTCCCTTGTGTACATATCACTATATCACGTAGTCAACTCCTTTAACATACCAATCTGTGGCACCCAGCAATCGTTCATTGAAAGGTAGAGTGAAATGTCCGGGCTCAATGAAGTAAAAATATGTAATGATTGAGAGACGCAGGAAGCAAAGAAAATTGCCCGAGAAAGGAGCCTTCTCGGAGATATAGGAAAGAGGTCGCAGGGACAGATGTTGAACAGACAGAAAGAATGATAACTATTATACGCTTCGGAATATATCGTCTAGTCCTCCACCTCGTTCTGATAAATGCAAGGACTTTCCTACAATGCTTGCTTGAAGAGGCCGGTGGCACCAGCCCATGAATGGTGGTCGTGGGGCCCGACATACCCACCCACCACCAATGTGATATGTCATGTTCCACACAACCCAAATCCAAAGTTGAAAAGATATATTTCCCATCCCAACCGCCACAATGGTTTGTTTTGTGCCCGAGAGCAAGCAGCTTTCATTCCTCGTCCTCCGCAGCCGCATCCCCATCCGTCTCGTAAAACTTCTTCAAGTAGTCTTCCGCCTCCTTGTACTCCGTTTTCGTTTGTTTCAATAGCGCCGTAATGCGCTTCAAGGCGTCTTCTTCTGTGATACTGCCGGATCCGTGCTCGTCTTTCATGTTCCCGTAGTGTTGCATCTTTTCGCAAGATGCTTTTACTTTCGTCAGTCCGAGAGCTGCTGAACTGCCCTTCAGGAAGTGTCCCAGTCTGGAAAGCGCGGGGAGGTCCTTCTCCTTCCTATAAATCATAACGCCATTAGCCACAGTGTTCTGATGCGGACCTCCAACCAATAAAAAAACCCAACGATTCTCCGCTACGTACAAAGATGTGTCCATGCTTGCGAATGTGGTTTCCGCTTGCTCAAAGTAATTTGTTACGATATCTCTGCTGAAGCTTCTGTCCTCATCATCCTCGTCCATCTAGAAGAAAACCAAGAGTGGCCGCGAAGAAAGGAAATCGATCGTGATGAGATTCCTACCAATAAATCAAGAAGCCCCACTCCAGCCCCAAGCAGCGGGTGCTTTTATCTACACCCGGCAAGCATGCGCACCTCTAGAAGCTGGTCGAAAATGTTGTGGTCTACAATTTCGTCGGACGGCATGATTGCGGCGTACGATGTGACGAAAGTCTAGTGATGGTGATGCTTGTGGGAAAACTGTGCAAAATAATCCGCAAAAGACAACGTTGAGCAAAGACGAAGACCTCAAGTGCCGGCAGGTACTCTTCAATAAGATATTTTGGCAACGATTGGCTTCGAAGATGTGGAGACAAACGGACTTTCCCACGGTCGAACGGGCGATTCCGACCATCCAACAATCCCTGGATCGCTGACTAGTCTCCGAAACAGCCGACACCCACCTCTATGAGGAGCGAGAGAACAGTGCGCTGTCCCAAGAATACGGCAGGTTCTTTGAGTATGTTTGTCGGGTGACTTTTGCACCTACTCCGAAGGTAACCGTTGTTCCCAAGCCCGCTGGCCAAATCAACTCTCTCCTTTGAGTCCTTTCCGAGTCCTTGTCACAGTCTTCACCCACATCCATCCAATAGAGTCAACGATAATAACACACGCCACTTATCCGTGATAAGTCCTGATTTTCTTCACTCAGAGTCACTCTTCGGTCTCATCACCGTCACTCAGCCCTCACTCTCAGGGATGACTTCATGGCCAGCGCTCCGCTACCGACGAGTCGGTCCGACCACCAGATATAAGACACCGCCTGCACGCTACGGCGTGTCCCAAAATAGGCCTTGTCCAGATTTTTAACGTAAATAATGTCAAATTTACGGCAGGATGCGTGTCGCATTCTCGCAGTACCGACTTCCACACCAGAACCGAATGAGATGACGAATATGATTGATGAGACCCGACCAGGAACATGAGATATCGCCAGACAAACAAGATAAATGAAGGTTGCCCTTACCCCACAGAGCACAACAAGACGAGACACCAAGAACAGTGAGCTCAAAAGAAAAGAAAAGGCTATGACGGACAACATTATCTGCAATTACGCCTCGATACGAGAGATCAGAGAGTATACGGCGAAAGAAAAGGAGGAACCATAACGAAAAGTGTACAGCTACGGCCTATGTAGAATAAGGATGATAGAAGAAGTTATGTAAAAGTACCGCGAATAAAATGCGATAGCGGTGGGGTGAAACTGGAGGAGGGGTAAAAGAAGAGCTTATGATACAAGATCGGGAACCCTTTTTCTCGTTAAACGAAAACGAAGGGAGAGAAGAATGCGAAGAATGTCCATAAAGGAATGTCCGAAGAAATAAAAGAAAGTCCATAGTGTCGTTGAGGCATGCCGGGTGCCCAGGTTGGACGGTCACACGTCCAAGTGTCCCGCGGTCTTCAACGAATCCGATCATTGGGGTTATGAGCACCGTCGTGCCCGTGCAGCTGGTTCATCTCCCGCTGGGTACGGAATCCAAAACCGCCCATCAAGTCCGCGAGATCCGAGGGTGGATGGGGAAGCATGGTGCCACTCAGCGGCCGGCTTTGCTTCATATGCATCGGATTGTTGTCGACGGGCGAAGGCGCTTCCCATCCGTTGGAGGGGACAGAGGGCGCATACGGCACAAAGGACGTGCGATTCTGATGCGGCGATGTCGGTCCCGGTATATGGCGACGCAAACCCGTGTTGGCGATGCCGGGTAGCTGTGTATTGATATGCAATGATGAATGATGGTTGTTTGTGGGCATGTGTTGTTCTTGAATGTAAGAGTGGGTATTATGCCCATTGGGCGCGCTCGCGTGCGGCATTACTGGAGACCGAGACGCCGGGGAAGGGTTTGCAGTGCTGGGAGGTGTTAAAGGAGGTTGCAGCCGAGGGCCCCCGACGTTGGAAGGCGATGGGCGCTCCGTGTCATCAAACTCCATGGAGTTATACGATGATGCCGTCAGGGTGGTGTTGTTGGTCGTAAACGAGCACTCGGAGTTTGCGAGCGAGTCCGCACGTGCTCGATGCCAAATAGGATTCAGAGTTGTCATGTTTGGGGCGCCGGGGGTGTTTGAACGCGGCATTGGTCCATCAGTATAAGGACCATTGGACGAAACGCCTGCTGCAATCGGGTTGGAATAGTATGTGGGAGGTGTTAGACCAGCGCTTGTGGGCGACGCTGTGCTCCACAATGGACTTCCTGGGGGCATCTGCGGGTACATGGAGGTGTTCATGAACGCAGGCATTCCCGGACCGTACAGGTCTGTCCGGCGACCGAATTGGTCGAGTGGGAACATGCGCAGTCCATCCAGGCTTCCGTCGGCATAGTGCCCTGGGCTTCTTCCGCGGACGACCAATGGAGCGGATTCGATGAAGGCTACTTTGTGATGGTGACCGTCTTCCGTGGTGGCAAAGAGATCTAGGTTGAGGATATAGTATTGTTGAGCAGCCCGTCTCTTCCCATTGTTAGCGGTGGCGGTCTTGAATTGAAGGCGCTCGAACGTTGCGACAAGGTTGTTGGAGCCTATGCCGCTATACTGATGAGGGTTGCCACCAGCCCGGACAGGTCTTGGCTGAGGAACAAGTTGTGGTCCTCTAGATACCCAAAAATCGACATTAGGAATGAAGTTTTACCCACCATACAATGAAGACAAAGATACATACTTATCGCGCTTGGGTGTGTGCTGGATAAGATCCACTGCCCGCTCCCCATTGCCAACCCGTGCAGAGATGCCAAGGGCAAAACCAGTGACAGTGTAGAGCTTGTTGTCCATTTCCATCATACATGGAAGTTCAACCTCTTGACCATGTGCATCGGTCGCCGAGAAGGAAGCTGACACTTGGAAGTAGTTGCGACGGTAGCAAGTCCAGTCGCTGTCTGCCAGGAAAAATCCGCGGTCAACCTTTGGATGGACGCGTAGGGTATATCTATGTCGCAAAAGATGAATAAGTATGCAGCACTGATATCAGTGTCAAACGAATCGCTCGCGTTCAAATTCCTTACAATCTTGCACGGTCGATGCTGCAGATGTTATGAAGTTGCTTCGTTGGCTTGAAGAATGGGCCAATGTTGACCGCAAATGGTTCGATTGGTAGGGTCCGACGACGTCCCGCTGGCGAATCCATTGGCGGAAGAGTGTAGAAAGTCGGCGACGGAGGGTCATATTCCACCTTGAGGTTTGTGTCAATGGAGAACTTGCGTTGCGACACAAATTCAGAGGGTATAGAGGTGGAATTGAAGCTCATCGCCGCAGCTTCTTCGGCAGGACTCGAATCATATGATGGCGGGCGAGATAACCTATGGGAAGAAGACAACCGATAAGCTATCCTTCTCCATCGGACCCCTTCACTCCTGCGTTCGTTCTACAGGAGCCAGTCATGACACGGAAACGTGATGTCTGAACTGAAATATACTTACGCGTAAGCTTGTTGCTGGCTTCCTGCCGACTTTAGCCCAGGACTGTGCGGCGCCGATGACGTCCCAAAGTTCGAAGTTGAAAAACTCGACAGGTCATCACTTGGCCTGTGGGAGGACGTCTGGGACTGCAGTATCGCTGGCTGTGGCAGTTGGTGGTGATATCCATGGTTCTGAGGGTGCGGGAGCGATATTAGGTGAGATTGTTGGTGGCCCTCGCCGGAGGCATGATGGCCGTGATGGTGATGGTGAGACGGCAAATGGTAATTGGGTTCGGCCGGGGACAATGGCCGAGACCGCTGCGGCCAGTCGTCGTCGGGACCAGTCGCCATGCTGTGGTACGGGAGTGGTGTGGGGTGGATTGTGGTATGCGGGGTGGTCAGGTTATGGTGGTGGGAAAGTACGGTTATTCGAGGGGTTTGGTGGTGTTTTGTGCAGGGTTCCCACGCGCGATTGGGCTCGTTTGACGGTGGAGAGCAAAAGGCAGGGGTTTCAGGCGGCGAGGAGACTTGAGCAAACTGCCGTAACATATACTATCTCACATACAGCAGCTACACAGTTGTGAGGACTGGTATGTATGTGTCGCGGACAACGGACGGTGTCGTCGTGCGAAGGTGATATTGCAGAACAAAAGATGGGTTGTCGGTTTCTCTGTGTTCGGTGTGATGAGAGAGTTGCAGCTTTTGCCCCGTCTTTTCTTTTCTCAGGGGAGTCGAAGGGAACGACGAGCGCTCTGCTGTGACTGGGGCCTGTGCGAATGCGTACGCCGTGCACCGAAAGCTTTGCTGTGGGTGTCTTGTGCGTGCTCGCTTCAGCTGGGCAGTTGGGAGGTAGCCGTAAAAGCCGCGCGGTGGTGATTTGTGACACCCGAGGCTCGCCCTGGAGGACCAACCCTGTGGGAAAGGAGTGGCGAGACCAGGCTACAGATAACTGTCAACCCGAGCGACCTGTGCAATGGGCGAGGAACAAATGTCGGGTCAGTCTTTATTCGCGAACAGAGCACCAGAGGTGAAGGAGGGATGAAAGACAGGGAAGGGTTGCGAGCCGCTTTCGATGAAGTATCGTAGGTCGAGGATGTGCGTGTCACCATGAAAGGCAAAGGCAGGGATCAAGTCTGTCGAATTTTCAGATTCAGGCGGGCTCGGGAGGCAGGCGCCCGATACAAAAGGGATGCCGGGAAACGGCGGGAAAAGCACAGGAGAACCCCATGCAACCCGAGAGGCGTGAACACATCTTGGACAGTTGAACTGTCGAGTCCGGGTGTCAACTAACCTTCTGCCACAGGTGCGATTCACGACTTTCTGATGACCGGCTAGCGTGGAATGCTTCGGCTTACACCGACGACGAGTTCGTGAGGGTGGAGTGATGGTTGCGAGAGGGCTGGAGAGAGCTGATTCTCCTGCCAGGAGAAAGCCTTCGCCGAGCGTTGAAGTCGAATGAACGATAAAACGAAAAGAACGGTCGTCGGTGGGCACCTTTGGGAGGCGGGACGTGGGAGGTGTACGATGTATATACCTTTGTTCCTGAAGGCTTTTTACGGACCCTTCGGATCCGGGGCCGGATAGTTGATAGAAAGCAGATGTCTTTGGAGCCTCTTCTCACCGTCAAATGGAGCGGAGGATTGATGAATTATACCAACACCAGTTCCCCCAGTCTCTGGAGGTCACACGATTAATCCTACGCACGCGCGGACACGCACGAGAGAATAAAGGCAGCAAAGACTGCAAGGGATAGCGGAGCGGAAGTATCTGCGAACACTTCCGCGTGAATCGCTAGCACACCGCTCGTTGCATAGCTCTCAACGGGCAATCACGTACAGGTGTACATATATTTCATTGCCGGTGCGTCGCCAACTGTTCTGGTCACCCACCAATCGCATCTCCATAAGCATACAACCCGACTTATTACAGACGGACCTCTTCAAATGATGCTCGCCCCGAAAGGCAACCTGTGAACCGATGAGGGACGGAATTATTATATCGACCTGCTGCCAAAATTGAATCAATTGATGATGATGAATTTACTCGTCGCGGGGTGCCACCGGAAAAGAAAAAGGTTTCTGCCTCAATCCGAAATCACACATGCTGGTTTGACGCCAACCCTCAAGTGACAGTTTCTGGGCGGTGTCCCTCATATCTGGGATTGGCAACGCGGGAGCGGCACCAACGTCCGGATTTCCGGTCATGGTGGTGCAAAGTTGAATGGGTGATTGTGAGGCCGCTGGCCGCATGGCTTTACCAATACCCAATGTCGTTGTGGTATAAAAGGGTATAAAAGCGGATCCGAATTTCCCCAGCAAGGCCTCGAACACGTGGATGTTGGGCCGCATGGCACTGTACGACGAAGACCCAGTCAAAAGGGTGATCTATAAGTGTCCGGTGCACGGGTGCTAGTTACGTTATATGAATCCGTAATACTACCGCATCCACGGTCTCGGATGCGCAAAACTCGGTGAGGAAATACCCTCACTGGTGATATACTAACCTCAGCTGTCGTTTCGTTTTTTCGTACGGTACGTGCAGTACAGCTGTCTGTCAGGCATGTGGGGTTTGATGTACAGTATACAGTATCTTCATTAAAATTCACGGTGAGCAGGGATTGTCAGGGATATTGCGTTTCATGTCCGCGGAAGGGCAATATTGAGGGAACCATGAATGCTACAATGCTCTTCGCTGTATCCTTCTTGTAGCCTTGGCATGTATCCTTGGTTCGGACCTCCCCAAACTTTGGCAAACGTTGGCGCAGAGAGAGCGGTAGAGGAACGGACGATAGTGCCTGTAAGCGCACGAGGCGACGAAGTGGACACTGTATCATCATACCTCCGTGACAGCGGAGATATCAAGGAATCTGGATCGTCGACGAAGATAACCCAGATAAATGAGCCTAGATAAATGACCACAACTGAAATGAAATGATTCTCGAGATTGCCACCGGAGACTCCGGGACACACCGAGTCTTCTCCGCGGAGTGGCGTGATTCGGGTGATCATGGCTGTCATAAAGCGCGACGGGAGCGTCATAGATCGAGACAGCATAGCCGCGCCTGTCAATTCGGGCTGTCTCGATCTGTACGAAGTTGCGACGCTTGGGCTGCGGTTCGTTCTAGTATCGTACGCAAGTGCCATCATATCCATATTGGACAGTGATATCATTCATGTGGGGGATACATGTCGGCGTAATAACAAATGAGCGGCAATGTTCATCTGCGACTCGGCGAGTTTGGAAAGTTGGGGGGCGCGTTTTTTTTTTCCGCTATTTCCAAGTCACCAAGTCACATCGTCCGGATTCACGCCACCAATACCTTCAACATCCATACCCTCTCTCATGGCGTCCAACGAGGAGCTACCAGCAGAGACGGACTATGAAGCGAGATATAAGCAGCTTAAAGAACACTACCGCTATGTGAAGCGGCAAAATGAGATGTAAGGCATTCGTGAAGGATTCATTCCAGTACGTGGAAGGTCGATGCGCTTTCGGAGACCTGGAGCCTACTGGAGTCGCCGGGTTGGGTCGGTCATAGATTGCCTTGGGGAAGCATGGGCTCGTTATAGGAAAGGAGCACGCTTGGCCTAAAAAGAGAGGAGAAAGCAATCAAGGCTGACGAGGATTCATTTGCCGCTCACCAGACTAGCAAACGAATGCGAGATCGCGGCAGCGAAGATCAATCGCCTGAAGGTAGGAGCACATACTGTTTGTAGGGCGCAAAGAGACACATGCTCACATCGCGTATGTATGTCTGCAAGTCTGGGAAAACATTGGTGGATGGCGCTGAGAGTGATCGTCCTGGGAATCCATCATTTTGAGATAGAGTGGGCAATGGGAAAAAGGCAACGTTTTTCGGGGGAAGTGCGCGAGAATCTGACGAAAGGGCAATACATGGACCGGCGATGGCAAAGAAGTACCCGGGTCGCAAGAGGATACCATTCAATATCTATGTAATCTATTCCGACGTATATATATATATATATATACTATGATACACATGTGCACGATCAAGTTGAACCGGCGGGATCTGAGTACTTTGATTGATTCCCAATTTGCTTCCCCATTAGGGCTTTGTATTCTTCCCAGGCATTGCGTCTGAAAAACCTGCTCAGCATACGACTTGGATATACTAATCAGCTGACCGCTGAGATGCGATGCGGTAGACTGCGTCCCATGTGAGGTCTTTCGAAACGGCATGCCGACTTCCGAGTGACAGCTCCGCGGCATGCATCCCGTTTCTCACCCAAGGCATGAGCTCCGCGGCCGAGGGGAAGAAGGAACCTTTGTTCGCCGGATTTCCGTGATAGCGGCTGAGGCAGGTTAGGAGGGTTCCAACCAAACTATCCCCTGCCCCTGTAACGGATACACAATCCTTCACAATCCGCATTGGTTGGATCTCCGTTTCCTTACTGGGATGGTGCACATGTACGCCTTCACTGCCGCGCTTCTCCAAGATAACCGGGATGATGTTGCGCAAATCTGAGCAGACATAGGTCGCTACGTTATCTGAGGAGAGTTGCAAAGCAAATATCAGCATTGAAACATACCTCCACCAGTCTTCTCCATCATGGCCACAAATTCGTTCGAGTTCGGTGTCGCGTATCTCACGCAGCCTTTGATTAACTCCAGGTCGACTTCAAACAACTTGACCGCCTTGGCTTGCGACGTAGGCTCGAACAGAACCGGTATTTGTTTTTCCGTACATGCTTTGAGAACCGTCTCCATGGCCATAGCCGACAAATTGCCGTCGATGCAGACTATGGTGGGTCTTTCCGCAAGAATCTTTGCGGCCACCTCCTTGCCATGTATCTGGTTATGGATCTCCATATCAGCAACCGCCCCGAGAAGACCGCCGTCTTCTTTGAGGAACGCATTGTAAATCGCTGTTGAATGGCCCCCCAAGCGTCGAATTCCATTGACATCCATGCCCACCGCAGCCATCTCCTGGATCAGTCCGTCGCCTGCGACGTCCCTGCCGACACAGCTGAGAAGAAGCGGGTTTCCTCCCGTTCTGTGGCAGGCTTCCGCAACGTTCCGACCCACACCTCCCAACGACTGAACACATTTACCCGGGTGGGACTCGCCAAACACCGGGGTTCCATCTGCGTTTGTCGCGCCTCCGAAACGCGCCGATATGTCAAGGACAGACCCACCAATGACAAATGGGCGTGGTCCCTTTGGTGGGGAGCCCTTGCGCTTGCCGGAGCTTTGCGTCTCTCCCGACAGACTTCTGGCAGAGTCTGCGACTTCCTCTTGTGTTGAGGAAGGTGAAGGTTCGGCGCTGACAATAGGATTACGCTGGTCGTTTTCGTTTTTGTTCCCTGTTTTAGGGTTTGCGGGAGGTTTTCGACGAGCGGCGTACGCGGCTGCAATCCGGCTGCCAATGCGGGCATTATTCTTCACCAAAGCGATGTTCGCCGTGAGCGAGTCGCCACCCGTTATCTGTTTCACACGGTCGAGCAAGAAGGGAGTAATGTCTTTCCCGCGAATCCCCTTGACTTTGGCTTCCTCCACAGCATCCACTACAGCTTCCTCTATCTTCCCTGCGTCCTTGGGTGCATCTGCCTCCGGGATCGGCACGGCGATTACAACTCCACTCGTAAGTTTCAACTGACTGTTCGCTCCAATGATTCTAGCGGCCTCTTCCGGTGTTTGAACGTTGCACATGCTCTTGACTCCACTCTTGGGCGTGTAGAAAGCCGGGAATTCGTCGCTTTCTCCGTATGTGGCCACCGTTACCCCCTGAGTTTCAAGGTACTCCAAGGTCCTGGGGATGTCGAGAATGGATTTCGCACCCGCACATATCACCGCGACGGGCGTGCGTCCCAACTCGGTCAGGTCCGCACTCACGTCCAACGACTCTTCTCCACCTCGATGCACTCCTCCGATGCCGCCCGTCACAAACACTTTGATTTGCGCCATGTGAGCTATAGCCATCGTTCCAGACACCGTCGTGGCACCGACTACTCCCTGCGCCAAGACCACCGCTAGATCCCTCCTTGACGTCTTCCGCGCTGCCAGACCCGTTTTGGCTAGCTTCTCAAGTTCTGCCGCTGTCAGGCCAACTTTGACACGGCCGTCCATTAAACAAATTGAGGCCGGAATACAACCCTCATCGCGGACGATCTGCTCGACGGCTTGCGCTGTTTCAAGATTCTGCGGGTACGGCATCCCTTTGATGGAGATTCGCGTTAGGACGTTCGCCTCGGAGTTTTTCGCGAACGAAGACTACCCCACGACCGCAATTTACCATGGCTGATAATCGTGCTTTCTAGCGCAACAACGGGCAGTTTATGTTGCAGCGCGTGCAGAACGCTTGGGTGGAAGTCGAAAAAAGCTGGCGGATTCCATCGTGACGTTCCTGGCCCCCCCGAGCCCTTCTTGCTGCCCTTCCACCGTTTTTGCGAGTGCAGTGCCAGCCTGGGTTGAACGAAGATCCCGCGAGCCTATTGGGCGGAAGTCAGGAAGTTTGTACTGGTAAACGCTTCAAGATAACCGTCTACGTACCAGGCAGGCCACGATCGCCCTGGCCCCGGGGGCCCGCAATGAAGTCATCGCTAGTCTAGTGAGATGTCAAGACCGACGGGACGCCGTCGAGCTTGAACGTTGTGTAAGGAAGAACTCAGACTCTTGAGGAGGTCACACTGACCAGAGCCCACGCGACTCGACGCGAATCAATTCGCCGGCCGGCATTTTTCTTGCAAGCCTTTCCAGCAGTTGCGTTCACCATCTCCGAAGAGCGCTGGAGAGCACTTGACTACCAATGCTACCCAGACAACGGGCCCCCCGGCAGCTTCAGTCTCCCTGCCTCGCCAGAGTACCGCGTACAGGTCGGCTTCATGCGCAAGCCCCATTATCACCACCAAAACAATTAGCACAGCGACAACAACGTCGGTGCTTTTATGACTGGAAAAAGAGAGGGTCAAGCAAAGCTTCAAAGAAATCCGTGCAGGAGCGCGAAAGTCCCGATCAGAACCTCGACGGATGGGACGTTGAAGCAGGACACATAGCCGTCTCGAAGAAACAGCCGTTCGCGCCAAATATCAACCACAAAAGAAAGGACCTGCTGGCTGCGTGGGACGAGGCGGCGGAAGATGGGGAGGTTGAGGAGAACTTAATTCTAGAGGGTGAGGTTGAAGAGGGGCAGACGCAGAAGATTAGGCAATCCCCGCAAGTTCGGCTAGGGAAGAATAAGATTGGGATGGTCACTGTACCGGACGAACTCCAGGAGGCCATTGCGACGCAGCTCAAAGGTAAGGAAGTCACTTGCAATCAGTCGAGGACTCCTGCGTTAACTGAGGGCATCTTCGTGGATAGGCCTGAAGAGATTGCAGCTCCTGAAGGACGTTGACCGCATCAACAACTCCCTCCTATCCCAAGGGGCATTAGCGAAGAAAGTGAGACATAACCGTGATGGAACAGTCGAACCATTCGTGAAGGGGCACAACATCCAATATGGAGTCGCCGAATCACAGGCTTACGTAGCTGCCCGGGCGGGAGTCACTTACGGAGCAATCACGAATGTATTGGCGCAGATAGCGAAGCGGTTACCGGATTTTAAACCGAAATCGGCTTTGGATTTCGGCACAGGGCCGGGGACGGCGCTATGGGTTGCGAATCGAGTGTGGGAGGACCAGATCGAGACAAATGTTGGGGTTGACATCTCTGAGCCCATGCTGAAGATGGCCGACACCATAGCCAAGAGCCCAGGAAGCAAGATCAAAAACTTCTCTACGCGCCGGTTTCTCGCTGCCACCGCCACCGCCTCTCTGAGTGACCCAGCTGCATCAACAAGTCTCCTGCCAGGCGCGCAACAGAAATACGACCTTGTCATATCGGCATATGCCTTAGAGGAAATCGCTACGGATCCATTACGAAAACAGACTATTCAATCGCTGTGGGATCGTACGGGTGACGTCCTCGTGTTGATTGACCGGGGGACACCGGAGGGTTTCAACCGGATCGTAGAGGCTCGGTCGATGATTTTGGATCAAGAGAATGGGACGAATACGATGGAGACGTATTTGAAGGTTCGAGGGGCAAAGGGGTTGTTGAGCAATGCGGAGAAAAACCAGGCGAAACAGGCCAAGAGGGAGGCTTTGGAAAAACAGGGCAAAGTCGGTGATGCTTCCGAGAAAGCGCTGGATGAAGCTATCGATGAAAAAGACACGACTGCGACACCTGACGCCGTGGCCGAATCCGATGCATCAGCGCTAAAATCAGAAACTCCGCACGAGCCTTCAGATTCACCGTCGGACGGCGCCCACATCGTCGCGCCTTGCCCACATGCCCGCACATGCCCAATGATCGAACAGCCCAGCTGGTGCCATTTCAGCCAGCGCGTGCACCGCAACTTCATCATGCAGAACGTAATGAGCGGTGGGATTACATCGAGGAGTGTGAACCACCAATTCACCAAGTTCTCCTACATCGTCCTGCGCCGCGGGCCCCGGCCTCCCAAACCAATCGATCCAGCAGAAGGCCTCAACAACAAGCAGCTTAAAAAGCTCTTGCTTGAGCAGTGGACCATGGACCCGCAGGAGTTCGTCCAGGAGGCGTACCGGTGGCCCCGCCTAATTGCCCCGCCCATCAAGGCCCGCAAACACTTTATGCTCGACTCTTGCACGCCCGCTGGCCGACTAGAGCGTTACACCGTGTCCAAAGCAAAAGCCTTTACCGACAAGGAGTACACCGCCGCTAGGAAAAGCAATTGGGGCGATCTGTGGCCATACAAGCCCAGTGGGGCTGTCGTGGTCAAGAAACCGATGGAACAAACCCCACACCATGACGAACAGGATAATCCGAAGATGTTGAAGAAGCTGCTGAGAACGGGAGAGGTCAAGCGCTCGGACCTCAAGATAAAGTAGAGTTTGGAAGCGGGGCGAGAACGAGGCGCTTCGAAACCAAGTACAGATGCGTAGCTAGATGGTCCCTGTATCGCGTGTATATCACAGAGCTAGGATGTATATATTAGATAGTCATAGCTATGCCGACTGTGCCGTTCCAATCCCACAACTGTGCTGTCTCTCTTTCCAAATTGCGGTGACAATCGTCTTGCACTTCGTTGTTGGATGAACGCGACAAAGCTAAGGTACAGTACAGGTTCCTTTCCCCAAGTGCCGTAGATCAGAGCAGCTTGACAGGTTCAGGGGACGTGCCCATAGAGCCTGAAGCCCCGAGTGACTACCGGATGATGCCCAGTGATGCCCACTTGCCAAGCCAATTTGTGGGCGTCGTTGTGCAGCCAAGCGGACGCCGAACCAGACGCCGAACGGAACAGAGGTGACGCAGGTAGGCTCCGATTTTGCCAATTAGCGCGCCTTATTCCTCCTTCCACCTCCTTCGGCCGGAATTCGACCTCCAAACCCACCGCCACGCATCCCAGTTCGCTGTCTTAGCTGTCTTCCGCTCTCGCTGACGCCAGTTCAGAACAGTATCGCAGTTCCTCTCAAGTCCAGCGTCCCATCATCCCCCACGGCCCTCCTACGAGCCAACTGAGACATTCACATCCTCTCCGCCACCGAGCCAGAAACAACAACCGATGGACGCACCAATATCCCAAACGAACCCCAACAGTGGGTGGATCAACCTCCGAGGTAAGTGTTTCTTCCTATCGGCTGTGGTCTCATATTGAAGAGGGATGTCAACCTCATGCTAACCGCTTCGTGACCAAACCAGGGTCATGGCTCACAAACTTGTTGATGATGGTGCTGATAAGACTGAGCATGTCGGTGCTGCCAGGGATATCGACGGAAGCGTCCTGGACACTGACGAACCTGATCTACAATGTGGTAAGTCTTGAGGGTCTTGTGGTGTGCCACCCGCCTGGAAGTACGCCGTCAGCAAAGCTGGTTAGAATTGAGGGTCTCTAGAGAGTTCTGGTCAAATGTGGCATTCATGAACTTGACTAGACTTTCTTTTCTTCCTCTAGTCTACATTCGTGATGTTTCATTGGGTGACGGGGATCCCGTTCAATCTGAATCAAAATGAGTACGAGGGCCTCACGTTATGGGAGCAGATGGACAACGGAGTGCAGTTCACACCGTCGAGGAAGTACCTTACCGCCATGCCAATCCTACTGTGAGTACTCTACGGTGTGCTCCACCAAATAGATATGTAGATCGTTTTGGAGAGCTCATCAATGGAACTCGTCATTTTTTCAGATTCCTGATCAGCACGCATTACTCGCACTACGATTTCCCAACATTCATGGTGAACCTCACCTCGGTGATAGTTGTTCTGATAGCAAAGCTGCCAGCGATGCACAAAGTCCGGATCTTCGGTATCAACAAAAGCTACACAGACTAGTAGATTTAAAAAATCGGCCGCCCAGTGGAGGGCGGAGGGACCGTTCTCGGAATGCAGTGAACGACACGCAACTTCGAAGCACATTTCAGAGAAGGCGAGACGGAAAGCACGGAACGGCGGTTTGTCTATTCCATCACCACAATTCTTCCGACACAACGTTACGGAATGACGTATTGACATCAGCAGCTTACCGGCGCTTAGTAGCGAAGGGTCACCATCACGAACCACAGTTTTGTACAGTACAGTATTACTCCCATTTTACCAACCTTTTCGAACGAATATATGTCATCTAGAGATAGTATTAGTCTCATTTCCACTAGGGTCCACCACAGCATCCCGTTGCCGAAATTCCGTGGAAGATGAAGACGCCGAATCTGCGCGTGAAAGTGTTCTCCTAACGCGTTCCGCAGCCGTGCACGTTGCAGCGCCACACCTCTCCGGGGCATCGATCTTGGGTTTTGTACGAAACCTCTCCGACATTGCAGCACAGTGCCGTGGCTGACCTCCACTCGTCCAAAAACCAGGTGTTTCCATCGAGTCACTTTAACACCGAAGGACCACTTCGACAAGTGAGACGTGCAGACGCGTGGTGCTACCCTCAAGATGGCCGTCATCTTCGTGCTTTGGCTGAGTGACGACGGGTCTCCAGAGAATGCTAGAAAGGTGTGGGAAAACGAGCCAGCAGCGGACATTCTCTGTGCAGGAGAGAATAGTCCCTGCAACGTACTGCAAGCAAATACAAAGTTGCTAACAGCATTTCTTGTAGTTCGTCCGTCTTCCGCCACCCGTGAGCACAAAGCCGTACACTTTGCGCTTTGTTCTGCCCGTCGGTGCGCTAGCGTCGCGACAACCGTTGCTGCATACGAACTATCCAATCGATGGGTTAGTGTGATTCGCTCATTTGCGTTCTTGGACGAGATGGAATCTTTCATGGGTTGGGAAGGGTCTAAAGGTGATGTTGCCACCTTGTAGAAAGACATTCGTGAGGAATCGATACCATAGCGTCGAGTAAGTTGGGTGAGATGTGCCCTAATAGTGGACCCGCAGAGGACAATGGGCGCACTCTGACAGCAAGTGTGCAGATTCAACAGCGATGGCATCACAGATCCCACCGCCGACGTCTACATCCGTCGTCCAGGAGTTTTCGAGTACTATATCGAATACAACGACTGGAAAACCGGCGACCGCACAAAATGCAAAATACCCGGTGCATTCGTCGTCGAACCTCGCTTGTACGTGCCGAATAAGAATGCAAACACAGACTCTGTCATCAGCGCACCATCGAAGTTGCTTTTGCCCTTGGACGGGATCTCCATGCTGACGGTGGTGCCAAAATGGATGCCACACGTGACGAACTGGTCGCCCTACTTTGACCAGTTCGCGAAGACGGGATACAATATGGTGCATTTTGCGCCGCTGAACATGCGGGGTAGTTCGAACTCGCCGTACAGCATTTACGACCAGTTGGCGTTTTCTGACGATTTGTTCCCGGAAAACACGCCGGCGGATGAGAAGGATGCGTTGTTGAAGAATGTCCTGGGGAAGATTCGAACGGACTTCGGCATCCTTACAGCGACGGATATCGTTTGGAACCATACTGCGTTCAACAGCGCTTGGCTGCAAGACCATCCCGAGGCTGGGTACAACCTGAAAACGGCACCGCATTTGCGGCCTGCTTATGAAATAGACGAAGCACTCCTTCAGTTTTCGGAGGACTGGGGCACAATCCCAGGCAATAAGGATACGATCGAAACCGAAGAAGATCTGGCCAAAGTACTGCATGCAGTCCGGTTCGACGTGCTTCCCAAACTCAGACTATGGGAGTTCTACGTTATTAACGTCGAGAAAACCATCACGGAATTGCGTGCGGCTCTCTCCGACGACACAGCCACCACTGGCAGATACAAATCCATAGATCTCAGGTTTCTTTCCATCCAACAGCAAGCGGAAATCCTCCGCAAAGACGCGTTCACCGATCGGGAGGATGGCACCCGGTTCGCACGCGAGATCGATATCCATGTTGCGGCGGAGTTCACGCAGAAGCTAGCAGTCGACAAGGGGTTGACCAACGTGGAGGACAAGATTGCGAGGTTCATTATGGCGCTTGATGAAATGAATCTGTTGTTTTATAGGGACGCTGATGCGGATTTGGCTGTGATTGTCGAGAATGTGAGCTCGAGGGCGAAGTACCTGAGGGTCGAGAAACATGGCCCTAGACTGGGCTCTTTGTCGAGGGAGTACGTATAGAGGGAGGATTGGAACAGCAGTATCATCGGCGATGGCTGATGGTTCCATCCATACTATATTTGATTACAGGAATCCCTTGGTCGACAATTACTTCACCCGCTTGCCTGTGAACGCCAAGACGAAGAACAGAGATAAGGATGAGCTGGTACTGGCAAACAATGGGTGGATCTGGAACGCAGACCCACTTGTGAACTTCGCAGCCGCGGGCTCCAAAGCCTATCTCAGACGGGAGGTCATCGCGTGGGGCGATTGCGTGAAACTTCGTTACGGGAGCAAGACGGTGAGAGGGAGGGATTGTGCCCGTTTCCAATGAGATTGCAATCTGACAAGTGTGCAGGAAGACAGCCCCTGGCTCTGGGACCACATGAAAGCCTACACCAAGAAAATGGCACGGACATTCAATGGCCTGCGAATAGACAACTGCCACTCCACCCCAATCCATGTCGCCAGCGCGCTTCTGGACGCGGCGAGGGAGGAGAATCCGGATATCTATGTCTTTGCGGAGCTGTTTTCGGGTTCCGAGGAGAAGGATATCATGTTTGTCTCGAAGCTGGGGATTCATTCGTTGATTAGAGAGGCGATGAATGCGTGGGATTCGAAGGAGTTGAGTCGGCTTGTGCACCGGTTTGGGGGCCAGCCTGTGGGTAAGCGCATCAGTCACGAATCACGACACTGCGCATGTGGTGTAAAGTTGACCTCGTTCCTGGGTTTTCGTCAGGATCGCTGACGCTCGATCCGGAACATTTGCCGCTGGAGCTTCTTGGCCATGATGTTTCCGACCGCCTCAGCCATGGGCATCTTCACGAGGACTTGTTTGTAGAGCTGAAAGGCTCTCCATCACACGCTCTCTTCATGGATTGGTGAGACTCTTCAAACTGAAGTTGAAGTTCCGTGGAGGTGTTGCTCACCGATTGACTACACAGCACCCATGACAACGAAACCCCTCACCAAAAACGCGTCGCGGCGGATACCCTCCCCAACGCCGCCATCGTAGCCATGACGGACAGCGCCGTAGGCAGCGTGCTCGGGTACGACGAGATTGTTCCCGAGCTTCTTAACCTCGTCCACGAGACGCGAAAGTACTTCAAGCCGGAGTTTGAGAAGGGTATCCATCCTGCGAAGGCTGTGTTATATAAGGCGCATGAGAGCATGGCGAGGGATGGGTTTTCGGAGTTGCATGTTAATCAGGATGAGGACGTAAGTGCTTCGCGTGAGCGCCCTTTCATGTGTGTATGCTAAGGTTCCTGCAGTTCCTCTCGATACATAGAATCCATCCCATTACCCACGAAGGGTATCTTCTGATCGCACGGTGCGCATTTCACAAAAACCATTCAAATCATGGTGGGTTTCCAGTCTGCATCTCATATTGTCTTTACTGCTTCGAATTGCTAAAACATCACGTCTTCAAGCTCACGCTCCAATCGTCCTACTCAACCAACGGGCGGGACTTCTCCTCGCGGCCACGTTGACTGTAGGCACCGACCCACCGGGGAACGTCACTCCCCAGCACAACCCATTCGACCCCCATGACAGGGGCAACGAATCGGTCTTGCCCGGTCAAGCTCCTCGGTCCATGTACCATGATCACATCGCCTTTGAATCCGTATCTGGACTTGCCGACAGTGTTGGTCGGATTTCAGTGCTACCCTCCAAGTTGCTATTATCAACCAACAAAAGCCCGTTCACATACGTAGAACAGGCACCGCATGGTGACGACGATGTGCAGACGACAATCACTATCGACCCCGTAAGCTTTGTGCCTGGAACCATCGTCTTGTACAAGACTTCAGTGGTCATGATGCCAGGCAAGACCACCGATTCTCCCGTATTGCCGGGCTTGTACACTCGCCTGTGGCGGCTGTTGGGAACACACGAGGCGTACCAGGGGTACAGGAGCATGATTAGGTTGGGGAATGATGTGTTGAGCACAGGGCACCTGTGGTTCACGGAGAATAGGTTGAGCTGGCCCCCCGGATTATGGGAAGCTACCGAACGGTTGACGATAAGTGATATCAATGTGGCTTTGTACCGGTGCAGTGCAGAGGAGGAGGATTGGAGCGGTAGGTGCACTGCGGTCAAGTTGGATTACTGGTTCTCAAGCGGCGGCTGATGCACCACCTTGCAGGGGACGGCGCATATGATATTCCTGGACATGGGAAGCTCCCATATTGTGGACTGCAGGGATTCGTCTCAGCCCTTTATCCCGTGGCCAGGAAGAACGATCTGGGCCATGCTATCTTCTCTCATTTGCGCAATGGGCCGTGGATGATAGATTACATAGTTGGCCGGCTTGACAAGTAAGTTTACCGAAAGCCTATCATCAACGATCATACCAATTCTTGCGCTGACACTCGATATCTAGGCAAGTGGATGCATACCCTGGTCTCTCGGACCTACGAGACTGGCTGGTTGACCGCCTCACGCTCGTCAAAGAGGCATCCCCATCGTTCCTCCCCAAATACTTCACCATCGTCATTTTCGCGGCGTACGAAGCACTGCGATACCGCGCCATCCACATGTGTGCACGCGTGCAAAAGACTGCTGCTTTTTCGGAGTCGCACAAGTCGTCAACGGAAGCTTTGTTGAACGCTTGCCTACTGATGGCTTTCCAAATGACAGGCGTCGTGAAATCTTCCGGACTGGTTCCGTCGACGTACCCAACGTCGCTGGTGCGAAACGGATCGTCGGAGACACTGGGGAGCGAGCGAGGTCTTGCATTAGCCGCGGGTCTGACACATTTCGCTACGCAGTATATGCGATGCTGGGGTCGAGACATATTCATCTCGGTTCCCGGTTTCTTCATCGAGCCCGGACATGACAATGCTGCAAGAGCGCACATCATCGCGTTCGGGTCGACGCTACGACACGGTCTAATTCCCAATCTCCTTGACAGCGGCATGCGATCTCGGTATAATGCCCGCGACGCCGCATGGTGGTGGCTGCACAGCGTGGCGGAGTATTGTCGTTCATCAAGCGAAGGGCACGCCTTCCTCGGAGTAAAAGTTGCGCGCCGTTTCGTCCCGCTCAAAAGATACAGGAACCCCGACTACCTATCCGTTGGCATCGACGACGACAACGACAAGGACGCCGACACATTCTGCGAGTATAACGATTCCGCTCGCGCGTTCGTGCACTCAAACACCATCGCCCAGCTCTGTCATGAGATTCTGGAAAGGCATGCGTGGGGTATATCGTTCCGGGAATGGAACGCCGGCACAAACCTCGATCACGCGATGCGGAGCGAAGGGTTTGACGTACGCGCGGGTGTGGCTTGGGAGAAAGGTGGAATCGTCACGGGTGGGAGTAGGTGGAATTGTGGGACTTGGATGGATAAGATGGGGGATTCGGACAAGGCGGGAAACAAAGGCGTGCCGAGCACACCTCGGGACGGCGCCGCGGTGGAGATAGTCGGGCTTGCCAAGGCAACGTTGAACTGGGTTGCCAAGGACGTGTTGGGAGATGGAAAGGGACGAGAGTGGTGGAAGTGGGATAGTGTTGTGGCTAGAGGTAATGGTTCTAGATGTTCTCCATGTCACGCGCAACCGCTGATGATCTCGGTTGTTTGTTTGCAGATGCAACGGGCAAATCAAGATCGGTTTCCTACGCGGATTGGAACGAAACACTCGGCAAAGCGTTTGAGGAACACTTCTACATTCCCACGCGTTAGTTTTTTTTCGTCGTTCCTCGTGCCTTGAAACATCCTCACACTATTCGCAGATACCGCTCCACGACACACGGCCGTCCCAGACACGCCCTCTAGAGGTGTACAGCGCAGGGGTATATATCGCGACACTGTTGGCGCGACACTCGACTACATGGACTATCAACTGAGGCCCAACTTCCCTATGGCGATGGTGGTGGTACGTACAGAATGCATTGGACGTCCGTGGAGAGATACTTGCAGCTGCATACTCATGTCCTCACATCAATGCACATGTAGGCGCCGGAGATGTTCGACCCAGATCATGCCCGGCACGCATTGGGTCTCGTAAAGGAGTTACTGGTGGGGCCTTTGGGTATCAAAACGCTAGACCCGGGCGATTGGGCATACAGAGGCGTGTATGACAACAGCGACGATGGCACGGACGGGGCCGTGGCACATGGCGCCAACTACCATCAAGGACCGGTAAGTTGCTGTCAGAAACCTCCGAGTTCCATATCAATGGTATTGGCTCATTAGCGTTTGTCAGGAATGGGTATACCCACTCGGATTCTTCCTCCGTGCATATCTGTACTTCTTTACGCAAGCGCCAGGACACGACCCATCAAAGGTATATGATTCAGATCTCATGCTCCGCAATCAAAAACAATCTGACATTGCATCATTACTACACACGTAATGCAAACCAGATCGACGAAGTCTATCAATACATCCAACATACGCTCCTGACTCACAAACGCCACATCCTCGACACCGCGGAGAGCCCCTACGCCGGTTTGCCCGAACTAACCAACCGAGACGGTGCATACTGCGGGGGTAGCTGTGCGACCCAGGCGTGGAGTGGAGCGGTGATGATAGAGCTTATCAAGGATCTGATCGATGGCGTCGGGAAGAGGGGGGCGGTGGTGGAGAAATCCAGGCTGGAAGTATAGAAGGACATTTTGTTGGACCATTCTTTTTCCATTTTCGAAATTCAAGCATCTGTGGACTTCAATTCGCATGAAGTCCAGGCTTGTCGCCCCGTCCTGATGATTACTGTTGGCCCGACAACTCGTTCAGGTGTCCAACGTTTTCGATTCGATTCGTTCCGCAGCTCTGTTCCTCGAAGCGCCGACCGCAAATCGCAACACCCAAAAAAGCGCTCTATTTCCAGCCATGGTGAGCTTTTCACTCTGTAGGAGATGGAGCTCGATCCGAGTGCACAACCGGCATATCTTTCGTCTTCCCATCCTTCACCCCGCGATTATCCGTTTTTCAAGTCACTCAAGCCAAACACCCTCAAATTCCCTTCCGGTCTCGTAGCCATCGCGTCATCGCCCGCGTACGCCAGCAAGTGTTTGTAGGGATGCCATGCGATGCTGTTCGTTGCTGCACTCGTGTGGATCGTGTAGATATTGTGGCCGGTTTCGACGGAAGACTGTTAGAGCGAGCAGTAAGTACATCGACATGCGAGGAATGGTGGAAACATGGTGATGCATTGTACGCACGATGTCGATTATCCGATCTTCTGATCCAGAGGCGATGAGTTCGCCGTCGTGGCTCATGCTGATTGTTCGGACTGGCCATCTGAGAAGCAAGTTGATATGAGAATCTCGATGCATCCCATCCCATCGGAGTCACAAATTCACGTACTCAAGAGTCCCAAATGTTCGTAAACATAGAAGGGAATCGAGATCCCAGAGAGCTACTAAAGCATCTGCACTCCCAGTGGCAAAATATTTTCCTCGTGGATCAAAGTCTAGACAGTACAGATTGGCGGTATGTGCGTACAGGTCGGTAACTTGTTTGAATCCCGGGAACTCCAGTATGCGCACCGTCCCTATTGTACTCGGTTAGGATGAATTCAAGGATTGTGACCAGCACATGACGCAAACATACCCTGTCCCGTGGTCATGAAGAACAGATCCCCGGCGAAGTTCCAGCTGATTTCGTTGATCTGGTTTCCCTGTCAGCACCTGTGCGTATGCCTCGCCATGCATCAAGAACGCGGGCCTCACCTCAACATCATTCTTTATCGTATGCCATATGTACTTCTTCTCACTTGTTGCATCTCCTCCTCCCCTCGGATCAATGAAAGCCACAACATCTTCCTTCGATACACAAAAGAGTCTCAGATGACCGCTCCCCTCAGCGCCATGTTCTCCTCAGCATGCGGAGATCCCACCTTGTTCCCCACCGCGATGTTCCTTCCATCGGGGCTCCAACATAGGTTGATGTTTTCTCCCGTGGTTTTCACTTTACAGATATACGGTGAAGTTTTTGATCTGTCCGCCGCTGTTCGAGGCACAAAAACATTGAGTGGACATTTGATTATTGCGGCTTCCTAGAACAAGATACATACTTCGTACGTCCCACATGATAATCGAACTGTCGAGGGATGCTGTCGCCAGTCTATCAGGGTGTGTCGGGTCCCAACACAACTGATCGACGTCGCCCGTATGTGCCTTCAACTCCAAGGCGTCTTTGCTATTCTGAGTAGAAGGACCGAAGACAATCTTACTCTCCGCAAGCCCATAACAGCAATGAGCCCGCAATACTCACTGTCCGCTCAATATTGGTATACACTCTCGCTGTCTTGTCGGCGGACCCCGAACCCAGTCTCCGGCCATCGGAGCTCCACCCGACCGTGAGCACTTTTTGCTGATGTCCACGCAATTCTTTGGTCGGCGCATTCGCTAGGGCACCTTTCAACCTCGTGCATAGGGATGTCATAGGCCGGTCCATGTTTGCTTCCGTTGCTGGTTTATTAGGACCTCCGTGGCGATGCCTTGACGATGGAGTGTTCCCTTTGGTTCCACAGGTCTCCACAGGTTTCGAAATGCTGAGGGCGCCAAATGTCAAAGGGGCCGTTCGCCTCTCGTCAAGTCGCGTCAAAGCATTCGGAACTACAGAAACGAGAGACCAAGCACGGTAGATCACCCGCCATTAACTGACGAGAACGTGAAGAATGGCGTCCAGGCATAAGAAGCCGTTCAGCCAGAAGGCGAAGAAAGTACAGTTGCAGCAGAAGCGCTTAAGGAAAAAGGACGACGATTGGGGTTGGGATGACGCAGGTAGGCAAGGTCGGCCACGACTTGGGTGTCATTTTGAGAAGAGAAGCTAATAAGTTTGCACCTTGCCCCAGGCAACGCTAGGGCCGCTTCACCGACCCAGAGAAGTCGCGATAGTGCAGACCGACCCCTAAGTGACTCGGACGCCTCCCACCATGAAGAGGCGACCCTCGTCCAACCTCGGAACGTGGTAGACGCAGCCTATGGCCACGGAGCCCTAGAGTCCGTATTCGCCAAACTGCCACCGGATGTCGTCGAGCGGAGGAAGAAGGAGAGCATGCAGCCGCTGGAGCATCTACCGGACGTGAGTACGTCCATCCATTCGACATGATGTCCATAATCTTTCACGTTTCTGATGATCTCCCTTGTCTGTGGCAAGTTAGACGTCTTTGGAAGTGTCATTTGAGGAGCTGTATTCCGCCGACGCTGTCATTGACATCCCGAAACGACCGATATGGTCGTACAAGGACTCGAGGTACCAGTTAGAAGTACGCGAGGAGGCATACTTCAAGCAGTGGATGGAAGGAGTGTATTCGAAGCATCGCTCGGATGAGCTGTCGTATTTTGAGCACAATCTGGATGTTTGGAGGCAGTGTAAGTTTGCGGCCTGCAATGACACCTCCAACAAGGGAGGGACGACTCACTGTTCTTCCCTTCTTCGTAGTATGGCGTGTTTGTGAGATGTCGTGAGTGTCAGATCATCACATGATCGATTGTTAGTTCACGAGCTGTCCGGCTGATTCTCCTTCCCAGCGACATTCTGCTCTTCATTGTTGACGTCCGCCATCCCGTGCTACACTTTCCGCCTTCTCTGTATGACTACGTGGTGAAGGACCTGAAGCGTAAGCTTGTCCTGGTCTTCAACAAGGTACGTTGAGACAGGGGGTTTCCGACGGATAGGGCAGGGGATTCTGACTAGGTCCCCGCAGATCGATCTCGTCACATCTGAAACTCTCGAAGCATGGACAATCTACTTCCGAGCCACATTCCCGGAACTGATTATCGCTAGCTTCAGTTGCTATTCGAAGAACGACTTTGTGAAGTCCGATGCTCCCGATGGTACGCAACCTTCCGTTATTCCCATCATCCACGTATCGACCATCTCACACAATCTATCCTCACAGTCGTCCGACCAGCCAGCAAGCGCCGCGCAAAGCCAGCCGTCCGCGGTGTAGGTGTCCCCGAGGTTCTCCGCGCCTGCCGCGACGTGCACTTGATCAAAAACCAAGCTGTCGTCAACTGGGACGCGCTCGTCGAACGTGCGGAGGTTGAGCAGCGACAGAAAGATGAAGAGGATCGGATCCGGGAGCAGGATAAGGGGGAGAAGAGGAGACGACAGAGGATAGGTGATGATGTACCGCCGGATGATGAGTCGGTTGATAGTGAATCTGAGGAGGTTGATGAGCATGGTTGGTAGAGACGGCAAAGGGAACTGTAAGGGCCGGGTGCTACGGTACTGACCATAACTTCATCCATAGATCGGTCGTCAGAAGCAGCGACGTCGGATGTGACGCACGAGGGGTTCGAACCTCATAAAGACTGGGTTACGATCGGATTCGTTGGTCATCCGTAGGCAGACTTGATAGCCTCGTTCTACATTGGACTCCACCGTTATCTCACATATTTCATGTTCCAGGAACGTCGGAAAATCCTCACTAATCAACAGCCTAATGGGCAAAAAAGTTGTCTCAACATCTCGAACACCCGGGCATACAAAGCACTTCCAAACCATCCACCTCACCGCCAACGTCCGCTTCTGTGATTGCCCCGGCCTCGTCTTCCCAGGAATCATCCCCAAACCATTGCAAATCCTCTCCGGCATGTACCGAATCTCGCAGGTCCAAGAACCCTACACCGCTATCGCCTACCTCGCCGCGCGTATGCCCCTGGAGAAGATTCTCGCGTTACAGCATCCGGACGCCGAGAAGGATGACGAGGACCACGGTCAGCGTCCCGCGGCTACATGGTCGGCTTGGCAGATTTGTGAAGCTTTCGCGTACCAGCGTGGGTTCCTCACGGCGCGCACGTCCCGTCCGGATGTCTACAGAGCGGCTAATCTGATTTTGAGGATGTGCGTGGATGGAAAGATTCGGCTTGTTTTCAAGCCGAAAGGGTTTAAGGAGGGGTTGTGGAATAGTAGCAAGCCTAGTGATAGTGATAGCTACGTAGTGCAAGATGGGGAGGATGCGTCGAGCGAGGAGGAGAGTGACGGGAGTGAGAGTGATGGAATTCAGGGTGGAGGTGCATTTGATTTGCTAGCTGATCTGGAGATTTAGGGATGTAGGAGGGGCGGGGATCATGGTCTACATTGTACTGTATATATATCACACACTGTAACTACATCACTAATGCATTGACTCTATCATCAACAGAGAGTCGCGCCCTACGCCCGTGAATTGTTACGCCTCTCGACTAGTCTACCTCTGAACCGGGAACTCCTTCCTCCAGAACTTTGCAATCTCCTCCCTCGTCGCAATCCACACTCCCTCTTTGCTTTTGACGTACTGCAGGAATCTCTGCAACGCCGCTGCTCGCCCTGGTTTGCCCACTAACCTACAGTGCAGACCAATCGACATCATCTTGGGTGTGCCCTCGACGCCTTCCTGGTAAAGCATGTCGAATGCGTCTTTGAGGTAGGTGAAGAAACCGTCCGGCGAGGAGAACCCTGGTGGGACGCAGAATTTCATATCGTTCTGCAAATGACAACATGATTAAACATCAGCGGTTGGACGCCTCACTTAGGCGATATATCTCCCTTTTCGAATGGTTACCTGGTCGAGGGTGTAAGGAATAACCAAATGAGGTTCGTCGTCGACCTTAACCCAGTACGGGAGATCATCGTTATACGCATCTGAATCATACAACAGTTCCAGTCCCAGCTTCCTGTATTCCCGCACCACCACGCCCCTGCTTTCCGGGCCAATCCGCCCGGTGTACCATCCACGCGGGGGTTTGCCCGTAGCGTTCCTGATGGCGGATATAGTTTTTCGACAATGATCCGCCTCTATCTCTGGCGTAACGTCGGAGCCGTGGTAATCGATCCACCGGTAGTTATGACTGCAGACCTCGTGTCCCTCTGCATGCATCTGCTTTACGGGCTCTGGCGTCAACTCCACGGCGCGTCCGACGGCGAAGCAAGTGAACTTGCTCTTGCAGGCCCTGAAGATGGAAAGGATGCGGTGGACGCCCGCTCGGGTGCCGTACTCGTACTGCGTTTCCATGTTCATGTCCCGCGCCCGCCGCGGCGTACCACCAGGGGTCTCATTGAGGAATACTTCGCTGGCGCGGTCCCCGTTCACCACCGTGTTCTCGCCGCCCTGTTACACTGTGTCAGACATAGTGTCCCTGTGTAAATTCGTTTTCGCCAATCCATTCAGCGCAATACCTCCTCGTAGTTGACGACGAACGACAACGCGATCTTGTTGCCGTTTGGCCAGCTGAATTTTGGCGGGTTTGCGCCATAGCCGGCAAGGTCCCGGTCGTTGATGTCCTTCAAATCGGCGTACTTTTGCATAGCGGAGGAAGAAGAGCTTCGTGTGGAACTTGTTCGAACGTTGAACAATGAACACGCCGGCTTACATGCAGCACACCTGCCGGTTGAAGAGCCTCGGGCATGAAAGACAGACGGACAACTGTCTTAATTTGTCAGTCGTCAATTCCCATGCTGTTATAAGAACGATCCCTCGTGGTCCAGTGGTCAGGATATCGCCATCTTTTGTAGGCGAAGGCCGAGGTTCGATTCCTTGCGAGGGGAGTTTGACCTTGTGCTTTTGCTTTTGCACTCCGAATAATCACCAAAGGAAAGTAGTCCGAAAAGACGGACATGAACATCCTTTTGGTGAACTTTGTTATTCGCAGACACGCACACATCGTTACCGCAATTTGTCGGGGTACGGCATTTGCCTGCACAAACAGGAAGTGCATAGGGCTCCCTTCGGTTGTTAAGACCGAGGCATCGGTCGAAGGCTCCCTCTTTGGCCGAAAAATTTGAGGACCTCATACAAGCGAGAAGAAATCGAGGGTTCGGCCCCAAAAAATAGACCGACCATGACCGTCCTCCTTGACAAAATATCAGAGGTATGTGGGCCAAAGACATGCAAGCTAGCTTTCGGAAACGCTGGTGACTTACCTGGCGATGCAAACAGGGGACTTTCGTGATACCCGCCCGTGACGGTGCTTCCGCTTTCGGGCAAGGTAAGCAGCGGGGATGGTGTGACTCCCAGGGCTTCTTGTAGCTCGATGACCAAAAGCACGGTTAAAACCATTGCACCGCCTCATTTAGACGCTGCTACATTCAAAGAGTCGGAAGGCTTCCAAAGGCTGTTCGTCAACAAGGAACGGAAGGACCTATGCAACCTTCGGCAAACTGCCTGTAAGAAGAGATGGAGCGCGATCAAGGGCGCTTTTAATGTGAGCTCTTCCGTGGCGAGCTTGGTCTCACGTTGTCCCTGACCGCTGACATTCTACAATGTGCTTACATAGAGTATCTTAGCTCGACTGCATGCCGACGGGGTTGAAGACATTGTCAAGTTCGTGCGGCAGCCGAACGAAGGTGGATCCGACCTGTATTGCGGATATCGAAGGTAAGCCATGTTCACTTAAGACAATCTGAAAAGGTCTTCAGATAACCAATGCTCCACTACAGCGCAAGAGATGCTTGCACCCAGATCCCCACCGGATTGATTCTGACAGGCATCAACACGCCGGATCATGAGCAACAGTTCAGCGAAGTGGCCTCGAAGATTTCGGCTCTGGAGAATTTCGCTGTGGCTACATTACCCGCAACGAGTTGCGACTCGTTGAGCTCAACGCTGAAAACTATGATAGCCCAGCTGGTGGGCTCGGGTGATGACGTGGATGATGAGATGGCTCAGGTGCCACGCGGTTCAACCGGACGGGTAAGTGGTATGGTGCGAATGCGCTCACACCGAAGCTTTGCCTCACGAACTTTAGTACTTCCAGGCACGAGCGAAATTGCCAGCGGACGACTTGCAGAAACTGACGGGGTGGCATAAGCGGAAAGGAGGAAACAAAACCTTGGTGGTAATCCTACCCGACTTGGAGCACTTCCAGCCACATATACTGGAGGATCTGGTTCAGATTCTGAAGTGAGTGCAACGGTAGATAGGGCCGCGTTTGAAGACAAAGGACACTAACGCCGCTCTTCCAGGGAATACATCTCCATAATACCGTTTGTCTTCTTGCTGGGGGTGGCAACGTCGACCGAAACCGTCAGACAGATGATCACTGAGAGAGCGCTCGGGTCCCTGCATATGACAACCTTTCGAACCCGACATTCACTGGAGTGCATGAATGGTGTTGTGGAAGAGGTATGGGCATTTTGACCGAGAAGACGTGAAACGGGCCGAGCCCGTTCCAACACTACGGGTCTCTGCAGATCTTCATTCAGCGACCCTCGGCTGCGGACGGCATGTCTGTTGGGTTCCACCTCGGGGAGGGCCCGTACAAGTTGATGACAGATCATTTCCTATTGCGGACACATTCCATCGGGACATTTGAGAGGACACTCAAGGTTGGTATCAACCGTGTACTGGCAATAGTCTTCTGCGTATCTGACCTCCGGTCGATGTCTAGTATGCTGTCATGGATTTCTATTATACGAATCCCCTGTCGGTGCTGCTGGATGTGTCGCAAAGCGAGGAAGATGACACTCTGGTCAATAAACTGGGAGAAGAGCATCTAGTCAGGATTCGGATGTTGAGGTCATTCAGGAGGTACCCTCTTGTCGCATCATTGCGCGTTCATGACGAGTCCGTATTGACACTCTCCATTGCGTAGGTATCTAGACCGATTGAAAGAAGACGACCCAGGAAAGGCTGCCAGCATCCTCATAAATGATGACGAGCTGAGATCGTGGCTTTTCGAATGCGTCGCCTTATGGGATCTTTACCATCTTCGGTATCGCGCTGGGCTGGCTTGCATCAAAGCGCTGCAAGCCACACTCGGTAATCCGAGTTTCAGGAAACCGATATGGGCATTGCACAAGGACGGTCTGAGCGGTGATCTCCTTGCGTCTCCCTATCTGGAAGGCTTGCTCAAAGTTCTCCTGTGAGTGTTGCCAAGAGGAGCAAGGCTCTTGGTCCATCAGACTGAACCGTTGTGAGACTGTAGGAAACAGAAAGTGTCCAAAATTTCGGAATGCCTGAATGCTTGTCTCCTGACATTGACACGCGATGAAAGGACCCAAGAAGCATGTGAAAACGAATCCGACATGCTGCAAGTCCTGATCGGAGACTTTGAGGAAGTGCAAGCGATGCAGTCCAACAGCGGTGACGAAGGTGATGCGCTGCAACCGCCGATGAAGAAACGCAGCTTGCGGAGCAGGGATGCGCCCGAGGCCTTCAAGGCCAGCGTGAATGCTCGCGAGGAGAAGCTGCAGGAGTACACCAAGGTCACCCGCGAGCTCTTTGACAACTTCTTTGGCGAGTGTTTTAGATCGTATCGCGAACTGCCTTTGCATGAGGTGTTTGTGTATTCGAACGCCAAGCTGCTGGAAAGGGTGAGTTTGAGGAGATCCGACGGATTTGCATTTTTCCCTGATGGATGGGATCGTGGTAACACTTCCCGTGTTCGTCGCAGGCATTCCACCCTCAGCCACGAGCCGCAATACAAACAGCCCTCGGGCACACGACCAACTACCTCAACTGCGCCTGCTGTCCTACCTCCGCTGGAGAATCTGCCATCTCTCATACCCTACAGGACACGAGCATCGTGTACCGTCTGTACCTCGAATGCGGGTCAATGATCAATCTATACGATTGGTTCATGGCGTTTTCTGCCGTTCTAGAGAAGGAAGTACCACCAGCGGCAGCATCTGCCGCGGAGAGTGACGAAAATACCCCACCGGCGTCGAATCGCGACGACGCCCAACTTCGATTTTTCGCTGCGGTTGCGGAGCTGGAGTATCTTGGGTTCATTAAGAGTACGACGCGGAAGACGGATCATGTTGTGAGGCTTACGTGGGGCAATGTTTGACGCTCCATCGAATGTTGGACGAATTTTTGGAGTAACTGGATTAGGGTGTATTGAGGTTTGCTCCTCTTTTGTATATTTTTTTAGGCTGCTTCTTTGTATATGATTCGAGTTCCGCATGTTTCTTTCCTGGCGGCGTACTGGCGGACGATGGCAACAATATGATAATGCTATGCATGTTTCAAACGGCGCCGTGCATGTATATGGAATGGAATATGAAAGCTTCTCGCAGCGAAAACACTATACACAACTTTGCCCTCCCTTCCTTTGCTAAACGATTTTGGTATTGCCACCGTTGATTTCGACTTTGCACACTCCCTATCTATATAAGATTATCTGAACTTGTTCAGGGAACTATAATCGCAATCAGATTCTTCCCAATCCACCAGAGACGTCCTTCCCATTCCAGGTGTGCTCCAACGCCGTCAAAGCCGCCTCCATCCTTTCGGCATACTTGCGCTCCAACACCCACGCGGTGCCCAAAGGTCCATTGGCCGTGACCTCGACTTGCAACACAATCGAGTGTTCGATGGGAGAGTCTGCGTTCGGTACGACGACAGCACCAGAGCTCGCTTCGGTGACTTCAGCGGCGGGTGGGGCAGGCTCCTCCTCGACAACTTGTACGGTGTGACGAACGGTGATGGTGGTATTGAAAACGGTCAGGGTGTCGACGATGAACCATGACGGGGTAGAGTCCGAGTCCATGCTCTCCTCCGCCGCGGAGCTTCCAGTAACGTTCTTCTTATCGGAGGCGGCGTTTTCTTCCTCGCCCGTTCGCCTGTCCACCACCACCCGCGCGCCCCTTGACGTCCTCGACCGTTTGTAGCGAATGAACCGGACAAAACCACTGGTTCGCTCAAGGACTTCGACTCCGAACTCTGATTGCCTAGTGGCCGGGTAGTACGTCTCTGGCTCTGCTAGGACCGAGTACAGTTTCTCTGCATGATCTCTGGCTCTGAACAACGCCGCAAAGGAGTGGAGCTGGGTGGTGGATTGGTCGACGAAGCTCCAGGACGCCGACAGCAGCTGTGGCGGGGGAATAGGAGACAGAGATGCGGTGGAGCCTGAAGGGGAGTTGGTCGAGGCGGGGCCTTGTTGTGGTGTCAAGGGGGCGGGCTTTATTTTGCGGGTAATTTTCTTCCTTCTTGTTGTCGGAGGGCCGACGAGGAGAAGGGCGAGCACAGCACCGACGGCGGCTGTGGTTGCTATTACTAGCGTCGACGTTGAGTAGGAGGAGCCTCGCATGCTGATTGCTTTGTCGTTTGCCGACGGTTGTGTTTGCAGAGCGTCTCAAATTCCAGAATCCTCAGCGTTCTTTCGGTTGGAGTAGGTTGGAGTTCTTGTCGCCTCCTCGAAAATCCGGCAGGGGCGGCGAAATCACAGTCAGTCATGAGTCTCTCAACCACAACGTCCACATTTATATATATACCGCACGGCGCAACAACTGCGGAGAAAGAACCGAGCACTTTGGAGGTACCGCCAGCGAAGCTCTTCTCACTATCGACGCTGCTATTGCCAGACCTCTGTGACTTTTGAACAACATGGCGACTCAAGACAACGCGAGCTCAACGTCAATGTCGGACTTTGAGGCATTCGAACGCTATGATTGGGACGCGGACGAACGCTTCCAGAGCGGTCTACAATCCATATTGGCAAAGGGGCCAAGCGCGGGAAATGCAGAGGCTGATGTGCAGAAGGCGAAAACGTTTTACTATTCCAAGTTAGTTTCTGGTTTCGGGTTCAGCACAGCTACAGCCATAGTTTTCAGCGTTCTAACAACCGGGCTTATCAGGTTTGTAAAGCCAATCGATCTGAATGCGTATCTGGCATGGAAAAGCATGCAAAGCAATGCTTTGCTCCGGTCGCCAGACTTCTCAACATCGCCAGCGGCCCCAATAGCAGCGTCAGAGAGTGGTCACCAGTTAGAAGCTTCTCCAACAAAGACACACGTAGATAGCGCACAAGGAGGGAAACCAGTGGACGGCCATTACCCGAGGAGTTTCCAGGAGATCTGTGAAATGATAGCAAAAGGAGAGCAAGTGCCAGGGATCCGAGACATCCCAAATAAGTTGCAAGAAGCACGGCCTAGTTCGAGCACGTTAGCACCTCGGAAGAAGCCTTGGGAAACACAGTCCGTGGACACCCTGGGTTCTGATAAGACGTGAGGACGGACGTAGGTTTGCTCAATAAATAGCGAAAGGAGAGTAGTCTGCAAATCCGGGCTCGAATATCTACCAGAATATCCTTTCGAACGCGCGGAATTTGGGCGTGAACGCGACGGGAATTCTACTGCAAATCGTAAACGTGCACTGTACATACATGGTGGGGAGGCTATAGGTGCATTCCTATGCGGGTAAAGCTATACTGCATTTACTGTCTGTGTTTGGCTTGGGTCTTTCCTGAGCGTGGGAACGAAAGGAGTACAGACGTCGAACGCGGGGCGATCAGCACTCGCCTGTTCTCAGTATCACACTTCACTGCCTCATAGGCGGGTCCAACAGACTTCAGGATGTCCGTGACAGCAGTCGAACAAGTTAGTACGGAAGTGGAAGTGAAGGGGAATGTTCGCCAGAACGCATGCGCTAACCCGTCACAAAGGCATTAGAGCAGCTTTATTCGCTGAGTTCCACACCCGATGCAAAAGCTGCGGCACAGAACTGGCTGCAGCAGCTGCAGAAAGAACCGGCAGCTTGGGATGTTGCAGCGCAACTATTGCGGTCACCGGTAAACTTTAGCAGCGCTCGGTGATTCCCTTCTTGGCGGGTCAGGTTGTGACATAGTAGGGCGGTTTTTTGGACAGTCTGCGAATGGACGATTCTTTGGAGCATTGACTTTCCAGACGAAGATAACGACCGATTGGTATGGCAGGGCGTTCGGAAGGGAGGGACACTCAGAGGACTATTACCTACAGACCCATTTTCCTTACAGGAAGTCTCTAACCAGAGAACAGCTTGAGACCCTGCGGGACGAGCTACTACGTTGCTTGCTTGATCAGGAGAATCCTCCATTCGTAACGAGGAAGCTCTGCGTTTCTGTAAGCAAATCATGCCTATTTGTATCTTTGTAGACCTAGAGCTAATAAAATGAACAATATATCACTGGTAGTTGACTTTGTTTGCTCTACGGGACGATACAAAAATATGGCCAAACTTCATATCCTCCTTCTGCGAGATGGTGGACGAGCGAATGCAGAGGACGGCTGACCAGGACGTGGCTGTCCAGTTCCAGATGATTCTGATGGATTTTCTGACGCTGGTGCCGGAGGAGGTTCTAAAGGCCAATCTGGACAATAGGCGAAAGTAGGATCAACGCAGAGGATCACATCTGGCGCACGGTTGCGTGTTAACATGAGTCCCAGGGCACATATTTCGCAGGAGATGATGGACAACACATCCCTCGCATTGGGGAAAGTGCAGGCAACTCTAGTGGCATCTGCACCTTCCAACCTTACGGATCCGTCGCTCTTCCGGCAGCTGAAGGCCAAAGCGTTGCGTTGCATGCTGAGTTGGGTCCAATATGAAGTACCGATGGGGTAATACCTTCAATTGCCCCGAATGTCGTTGGAATTATGCTGAGAATCCTCCTTATAGGCTGGTCGCTCCGTTAGTGCAGATTACGGTCCAAGCTCTGCCGGAACCGGATTTGTTCGAGACTGCCATGGACGTTCTCGCCGATTTGATGCTCTGCAAGATCGATCCGGTGCTGAAGTCATATCTGAAAGAGAACATGCTGCTGCTCATTACGACTGGATGGTTGCATCAACAGTTTCTGAAAGCTATTGAAGGTTGGTTGGCGCAGACGAGTCGGTAGGCGTGAAGAGAGCAACCTTGCTCAACCATCTGGAAACTACACCCACAGAACAAGACGACACGATCACCCGCAGCATTTGCCGCCTCTGCGTTGAGTTCGGGGACGGCTTGTTCACCTGCAATGCCAAAACGATGACAAGACCAGAGACCATAACATTTCTGAACATGATGCTACAGTTCACCGCGTACGGTGGTTACTTCGGAGCTGATCAGGAGGTCTCGTAAGTGCCATTAGCCATGTTCCTTGACGGTTGTCAGATTCATTGACCACATCAACGCACTGCAGTGAACTACCTTTGGAGTTTTGGGCCTTGCTACAAGAAGAAGTCGAAACCATCCAAGATACTTATGAAGATATGAGTGAGTCATCAGGCGTCCGGTTCGTTGAACCGGATGATCTCGACGTGCCTGTAAACCTGTCAGGAGTCTTACTTGAGGGCGTGGAGAACACTGGCCTCAGCTCAGGCTCGCAAGCAAAACGCGACCAACATGCCGCCGCGCTGGAAGCTGCACGGACGGTTTTTGGGAAGCTTGTAGAGATTCTGTGCCAGAAAATGACGTTTCCGCCAGAGGCTGAATGGACTGAGTGGCCCAAAGGTACGGCGTGATGGGGGCAATTCCGGGGATCGTGAGTGTATAAGGAAATGCTAAAGGAAGCTTGTCTTCATCAGATCTCCGAGAAAAGTTCAACTTCTATCGTCGCGATTGTAGTGATACCATTTTGCTGGCGTATGATGTTCTCGGAGAGGGAGTACTGGCGTATTGTGTACCCCGCGCAATCCAGCAATGGGCCGAAGTAAAGAGTCGGGTCGCCCCATGGCAGGTATGTCGCGAGGTTCATTGCATACCGTTCGACACCTGTGATTGATTAGGTGTTCCAGCCACTGGAGGCCACTTTATACGCCATCCGCTCGGTTAGCGACTCTGTCCACGACGACAAACAACAATGGCTGGGCCGGATCTTTGGCGCTGATTATTTGGCTCAAATCACCGAACTCGCTGCTACGACCATAGCTAGCAGCTCCAAGTCCTTCGTTCTTACAAGGCTCAGAATCACCACATGTCTGCTCATTGGTCGGTTGGCACATTGGTAAAAGAGGCTCAATGACTGGTGAAACTCATGGGTTGCGATCTAGGATCATATAGTGAATGGCTCAAGGAGCATCCTGACCATTTACGGCTTGCTATTCGATATCTGGCGACGTGCGTAACAAGTCCGGCGGTTGCGAAAGCTGCTGTCGACGGGCTTCTCACCATATGTGACGTGTGTCGCAAAGAGTTGGTTGAGGAGGTTGATCCATTGATTGAGCTTTGGTTGGGTGCTGGGCCGTCCTTATCGGTACGCTTGTGGCGATGCCTCAGGGTTGAGTGGGCTTGTCGTGCACTTACAATTTGTTCCTGCCGGATCCCCAGCTGATCCCGAAGTCTAGGCTGGTGAAAGCGATTGGGAATGTGGTTCAAAGCTTACCATCCGAGGCTCTGCTGCCCAGGCTATTGGTGCTGATAGAAAGCATCATTAAAGACATCAAGACGGCGCTAGAAGGAGGGCCCCAGGTGCGTCACCGACAGTTCACTCAGGCTGCCGATCGACTTCAAGCTGAAATGATCTCGCCAGGATGCCGACAAGGGTGAAGAGATCGTCATACAGCAGTTGACTTGCCTGAGATCCATATGCAAAGGTATCCAGCAACCGGACGACCTGGTGTCCTTGGTAGTATCGGAACACGACGCGCCGCCCGCTCAGGGCACTAGCGATCCACATCAGGCTATGGTGGCTAGTGTCATGTGGGATATGACGCAGGGCATTTGCAGGTCCTTTGCTGCTGATGCTGAGGTTATGAAGGTGAGCGTGGAAAACATGCGTTCTGGATGTACCTCCAGGGAGCTGTACGGTCCTAAACCAACCCCGTGTCGATATCAGGAACTATGTTCCTTCATCAACGAAGCATTGCGCAACTCCCTACCAATCTTCACTCTCAACCTCCGGTCTCTGAATGACCTGATCGTCCGAAACTACTCCGAACATTTGCATGCATGCTTCCTCGACACGGCTGCCGGCATCGTCACAGCATATGGAGGAAGTTGGGCCGCGGGCGAACCAGTCAGTGCTGACGATTGGAGTCTGGCGAGCCTTCTTTCCGAGCTGTGTAGAATCACAATCGCGTTCCTGCAGCAGCACGACGTGGTGGAATATCCCGATTTGGTGCAGTCTGCGTTTGCTATGCTCACAAGGGTAAGTTATCGGTTTTGCAACCATCTACATCTCCTTGTGCCAATGCCGCACCCGACTGACCTTGGTAATCTTCCTACTGCGGAAACAGTTCGCTGAAAAGTGCCCTCGGGCATTCCTCACAATTGACGCCAGCCTGACCCAAAGCCTTTTCGGCGGGCTTCTGCTCAGAGGCCTATCGGTACATGAAAGGTTCGCGGTAGAGCCCGTCGCACATTTCATATCGGTTTTTGTCCATCTCGACAGTGGCGAGTCGGATGTGGCTGCGTTCGTGCGAGGTGTGGTGGAGAGCGTGGGCGCCAACATTGTCTATGAATTGCTTCAGGTAAGAGAGTTTGGATATCCTACTAGCTCTTACGGAGTTGGATGGACGCCACAAATCTCAAATCTCGCATCAGCCTCTTGATGTCATGCCAACCTTTTTGCTCACCTCCAGAACATCGGTGGACGACAACCGCGTTCTATGGACGAAAAGTTCGCGGATGTTCTCTACGCGTTATTGGTGAAGTACCCGCAACCGATGCATAAATGGATGTACGATTGTCTGGCGCAGGGCGGATTCCCCTCCCATCATGCCACCGCCGCATACAAGGAGTCGTTTCTTAAGAACGCGGTTGGGTGAGTGCGCTGTATTCTCCTATCTCTCTCGGCTTTAGCTAGACCCTGATGACTTCCCTCCTCGCTTGAAAGCACGCGGTTCGTGAAAAAGTTTCGGGAAGCGGTGAAGCAATTCGGTATACATTGCCGGGGTTTGGCGTTATAGATTATGCATCGTGACGCAATCCATATATGAGGCAGTATTGGGACAAATCACAACTAGTAGCAATACGCCGTAGCCTGCTAGAAACATCTGATCTTCACAGACATTGACGGAGTAGTTCTTGTTATATTGGCCCCTCCCGAACACTCATGTAGATCCACTCTCACCGCAACGCTTCAAAATCGAGGGGAAACCGAACGCATTCTGCGCACTGGCTGACATTATGAGTAAGTTTGCAGCGGATGTATACCCCGGCTGAGTAACAGCACGCTGCCGACATGGCCACGCCTAATGGACGGAACGCTTAAACAGTCGAGCCCCCAAGCCATCCACCTAGTAGGGCGGTTCCTTGCAGTAGGTACTCTGGGACTCTGCAAGTCTGTTCTTGTGACATGCACTTGTCGTAGAGAAAGACAATGATTATGAGGATATTAGCGACGAGCAGATAAAGTGCAGAATGGGATGTTCATCTTTTGCAGTGTGCGTGTTCTAATGAATCTGTTCTTCGGAGTGCAGGCGTGCGGAGTGCGGAGATGGTTGAAACGCGTGACTGTTCACAGAACGCGTCGCTCACACCTCCTCCCTTTCCAGACATGGCCTTCAACAAGGTTCCTAGACATCAAGTACCTCCGACTGGCAGTCCTTATGGCCAATGGATCGGATGGATCAGAAAGCACGCTTGGGTAGGACCCATTCATCACGAGCTCTGCTTGTTGAGGGCAGAAGGCACAGTCACATACGGTATGCGTGAATAAGCACCCACACGCAACAGAGAACAATATCATAACACAGAGCCCAGGAAGCTACCGTCGAACTTCACGTCACCCGCTGACAATTGGATGAAACCCGTTCACACAGGGCTAAGGTCCCGCGGCGGGCTTTGCATGCTCTGTGATCCATCTCGGGCAAGCTCAAAGCCATACTGTCAGCAGCGTGACTTCTATTTGAGGAGCGCGCCGGAGTCACGCTCTGCATTTTGCCGAGGCTTCGGACTCACTTGAGACTCTTCAGAAACGCCAGAAATAGCAGCCTGTGCGAAAGGCTTCTTGCGGCCGCATACACCCGGAACCGTTTGGGGATATATAGGCTCGGCCGTCACTTCCATTCACTAATCATAAAGACGAACATCTCCCGACCACTTCGAAAACTCCAGACTTCCGATACTCACGATACACCTTTCTGTCCGCATGGCCTCGCTCTATCTACGCCCCCAGCACCTCGTCGGCAGCCGTGTTCTTTCCGCGTCTCTCTTGAACCGCAATGGCGCTGCGGCTGCGTTCAACTCCGCAGCGTTGAGAAACGTGGCGTCGCTGCACTCGGCATCAGCAACCCCAATAAGATGGTCGAGCAGCCGTCTTCCGCTTACGAACCCTATCATCCCAGCCTGCCGCTTCCTCACCACCCCAACAAGTCCCGTCTTGTTGCCTAATGCGACTCCGTCCGCAAAACCCGATACTAGCGGAGCCGAGCTAGAAGCGTGGATATCCGACCCAGCACAGTACGTCGTTTCCGTACGTTTCCCAGACGGTGCCGTGACGGCGTTCGATTCGATCTGGTTGCGGGACCACTGTAGATGTCCTGCATGTTTCCACCAGGTGACGAAACAACGGCTTTTGGATACATGCTCGATTCCAGCAGATATCAAACCGACACAGATGGTTGTCTCTGCGGATCAGACGAAGCTGGATATCTCTTGGGCGAATGATGGGCATGTGACATCTTACGACTTGGCATGGCTTCGTAAACACAGCTATGCGCCAAAGCTGCAGCCTGTTGAACCTGCGGGTCGCAAACGACCGAAACTGCTCTGGGATCGGGAAATTGCCCAAACCATCCCATCAGTGCGCTTTGACGACGTGATGAACACCGAAGAAGGCCTAGCGAAATGGCTAGAAAACACCGACATCTACGGTATCGGCTTCGTCGACGGCGTGCCCACGACCCCCGAAGCGACCGAAAAACTCGCCCGCCGAATTGCGTTCATCCGCGAAACCCACTACGGCGGCTTCTGGGACGTCTCCGCCAACATGGCCCACGGCGACACCGCCTACACCGCTATCGCCCTCCCCGCCCACACTGACACCACCTACTTCACCGACCCCATCGGCCTGCAACTCTTCCATATCCTCGAACACTCCGGTGGTGTCGGTGGGGAGTCCCTGTACGTCGACGCCTTCCACGTGGCTGATCGACTACGCACTTCACACCCATGGGCATACGACGTCCTCTCCCGCACGCGGATATCCGCCCACTCCGCCGGCGACGCCAACACCCACATCAAACCCGCGCACACCTTCCCCATCCTCAACCACGACCCAGCCACCGGCGCACTCTACCAGATCCGCTTCAACAACGACGACCGATCTCCACTGGTCGGTCTCTCGCCCGCGGACGTGCGTGAATTCTACGCCGCTTTGCGCGAGTGGACGAAGTTGATGCGGGATCCGGCTAACGAGCTATGGATCAAACTGCAGCCGGGTAGAGCGGCAATGGTGGATAACTGGAGAGTGTTGCATGGAAGGGCGTCGTTTACGGGGTATAGGCGGTTGACGGGGGCGTATATCAATTGGGATGATTTTAGGAGTAGGGTGCGGACGGTGCTGGATAAGGAGGACGTATGAGTTCTGGAGGCTGCGGCGTTTTTCTGATTCTATTCTTGCTATTATATGGAAGTTGACGCTTAGATAGAGCTTTCAATAAAACACATATTTGCATCCCAAATTTCTAAAGGACTCCAATCGCAAATGGATTCGGTTATGTAAACCCTTCCCAAGCCCTCATTACAGATAACTGGGCGCGCTTGCCGCGCACCTCTTACCACTATTTACTGGTCGCCATGCCCCGGGTACATAAATACATATGCTCATCGAACAGCCATACGCGCAACACACCTCCCCAACGAATCCCTCACCGTCTCCTCCTCGCCGAAGCAGGCGACTGAAACACATTCACAAACGACTTATCCGGGCTCAACCTGTCCACAGGAGCCGTCACAACCGGACTCGTCAGCCGTTCCGCAAACACCCGCTGCGGCGCCTTGTTTTCATCGTTCTCCCCTGTACCCCTTTCCAACCCCAATGGCCAGTGTCCGTTCCCGTTGACGGGCGTACCAGGCGGGCGCGGTAATGGCGCGGTGCGGTGGGCAAACATGTATGTTGTGTCGACGGTCGTTGTCGTGGTGGTGGTGATCCCGTTGTTACCGGTGTTCGAGTCCTGACCTTCGTCTGGGTCGGGTGCGTTTGGGTCTGACCAGGCTTTGGAGTGGGAGGTGGTGGATTCGACCCATTGCTCGGCGAGCTCTTGACCGGCGTGGTATTCTTTTCGAGCTCGGGCTTCCTCGCTGTGACAAGGAGAGTGGATGAGGTTATTGGACATTTATCATGTAAAGTTGTAGGATCTGCACACCCGATGTGCGCGAGCGCCAACGCAAAACATCGCTGACACAACCCGATACCTCCAATCCCTACCTTTCAAACTCCGTCTGCTCAATCACGCCCATCTCATCCACCGCCCCCGCATTAAGCACACTAGCCCGTCCCTCCAACCCATGCGTGATAATATCGAACTTGCGCGGTGGTGGGAAGTTTTCAAGCTGGTACATCGCTTGAGAGAACTCTGAGAGCAGCTGGCCCGACAAAATCTCGCGGTCGCGTATGACGTTTTGGTAGAAGTTTACTAGTGACCACGTCTATTGGACGAGACGGTGATGAGACGATGCGAAGGCATATTAGCCGAGGAACGAATGGTGCTCACTATTATTGCGCAAATGGCGGCCATGATAACAAAATACTTCCAGTTTTCGCTGTTGATGTTGTGCATGATCGCCACTTGGACTGGCGAGAACCAACTTTGCAACGCGCGAATAGGTATTCAGCCGTGATCCTTTGTGCAAGTAGAAGCATGGCGAAAGGTGGATTCGAACATACCAAAATAGGTGCTGCGATCCCGGTGAAGGGTTCCACACCTTTAGCCGCCACACCTGCCGTACGATCGGGGGCTGTTGCTCTGGGACCTTTCGCCATGATCTCCAGCTAACACAGTCATGTATAGTGCTGTCAGCATTGAATGCCCGCCAAGTCTTCAACACGCCATGCCGGGCGATCTCCTTACATGAAAGCAAACCATCGCTTGACTCGGCCTTTTCCCCCGTTCGCATCGTCCTCCCTCACCGCTCCCGTCAAATCCACCGAGACAAGCTCCGCGTTTGGACTTGTAATCATCCATGTGCGATCCTGTGGGTTATATGGGTTCGGCTGCCGACAATGTGGTTAATACCCTACACGAGAAAAACGGGGCATATGTCGTTTCCTCCTTCTTACCTTTGTGGGTTGCTTGAACAGCAGGTAACTCCTTGACCGGGTAAACATGTACACTGTATTTAGCCCGCATATCGCCCATATAAGAAATTCAGCTAATTGAACCTAGGAAACGGGCTGACTTATCAGGAAAACTGCCTGTGGCGCGCGATGATAAGCGATCTTCAACTTTGCCACCCACCAACGAAGGGTCCCAGGGTTCCGCCGAGTCCCTCTCCAACATTATATCGCCGTTCTGATGGTACTTCACGGCAATATACCCCGCGTTCAACACCACCACGATCGCATAACTGGGGTGATCGCGTCCGCATTTTCGTCAGTGGACAGAGGTCCGCCAAATTTCGGCAGTCAATGAACACTTCCCCTTACGGGAATCCCTGACATACCTCAGCTTTGTGAAAATCCCTTCCCAGTCGATAGCGGCTATGGACTCTTGTAAGAGCATCCAGGAGTCGAAAGGCGCGGTGGACGCCCGTTCTTTGAAGGAGACTCGTCGCACTTTCCGCGGTGAACGCGGCTGTGGCATCTTTGCCGCAACTTATCTGCTGAGGATCGGGGCTTGATGAGCTGACTGGCGCGAGAGGGGTTTGCCAGTGGTGAGTCGTGATGTAGTATTGCGTTTTCAAATTGCGCTTCCGATCGTGCGAGAGAAATGAAGCTCTGCGCTTTTCCCCGTTCGGATGCATCTCAACGGGTGGCTGTGCTACTCCATATCTGATCAAACTCTCGTAATCAGGGCCTCACGCGTTTTTCTCTCACGCGTCGATGGAATGCAAATATGCAAGGGTCCCGGTCATAACGGGGTTAGCGGATTTCAACGGCAGGCCTATTCGGGCTCAACCATTCGAGGGCCCGACTCTCGCTTCCTTCGGCCGTCCTTTCCCGTCTGCGAGACGCTCCACTCCCACTTTCTCACTTTTTTCCACAATATCCATTCTGAGTTCCCACCGCATATTACCGACACCCATGGCTTCTCGGTCAGCAACCTTCACATTTCTCGCTCTTCGCCAGTGCCGATGTACTCCCGCAAGTTCGCCCCTTCAGAATCGGCGATCGGCAATCTGCTTTATCTGGCTCGCTCTGGCTACATTCGTCCTCGGCTTCTTTCGTCCATCTCGCCGTCGCTGGTTTCGCGTGTTACGCTACCAAAATCATCACGAGTTCTTCCTCCAAGAGCTCTGCCGGAACGTCTGCAGCTTGCAAAGAACAGGCTAACGGACGGTATATACTGAGCATATATATTGTGCATGTTTGAAAGCGAGGAATTCAGATGTGTTATCAAGTATATTCGTATATGTACAAGTCTATGAATAACATCTACCTCACCGGCAGTCATCTAATCTACCCGCCACCCAAATACACCGTATGTCAAAAAACACCACTCAACGCCTACGAATTAAACCCGCGACACCAAGCCAACATCTGCTCATACACCAAGAAATTGATCGAATGCACGGGAAACGACCGCAGCAGCTGCGGGCCGATGCCGACGTAGAAGCCGCGGATGCCTTGTTTCGCCCAGCGCGCGCGGATGAAGTGCAGGGAGGATTTGTATTTGGGTTGGTCGTGCAGGGCTTCGCGTTGGATTACTGATTTCGTTCTGTGGTTTTGCGAGATGGGGAAGGGAGTCAGACAGGTGGGAGGTGGAGTAAGAAAGTGATGAGATGAGTTCAGACTTACATGTCAATAGGAAACAAAACAACCCACGAACAGGTCCCCGCCAGCCCTCCAGCAAGCATATGCGTCAACGGCCCCGCGGTCGCTCCCGTCGGGGTCATAAGATGCTTCACAGTCTCATACCCACAAAAGTACATCCCCGTCCCTAGCGCGTCGCGGAGGAGATGCATGGGGAAACCGGAGTAGAGGCCTTGTGGGCCTTTGAGGACTACGATGTGTTTTGCCCATTGAGCTGTGGATTTGGTGGTTTGGGGTGAGGAGGCAGGTGTTGAAGGTGGGGAGGGTCGAGATATTATTGGTGTCGATGATGTTTTGGGCGGTTGTGTTGATGATGATCCGTGAGATGAGCCGTGGGATGGTCTCCGTGTGCTCTCTGCTACGGATTTGGGATCCACGGTGGTTGCGCCTTCGCCTAGCCCTGCTGCTGCTGTTGGTACGGACTTTATCGCTTCTTCGGCGATTTTCGTTGCTGCTGCATTTGATGGTGTGAATGATAAACGTTCGAGTTGTTTTTGCACCTGTGAAGTGAACCGTTTTAGCTCATTTGCCGCAATCTGCTGCCGCGGCGCCACTGCCGAATCCTCAGTTCTCCACCTCATACCTTAATGAACTCAATCGGAGCATTCAAAGTCGCCAGCACCATCCCCGAGAAACTCCCCGACAGCGAGCTCTGTATCATAATAGCCGTCAAAGGATCCATCCCCGACGGCAGGAACCCCTTAATCTCCGATTTCCCGCTATTGTACAGCGAAAACGATATCGATCGCAGCACAGCGACGGAGGTGGCCACGGGAACAACTCCTCTGAAAAACCCGGCTATTCCTTCGGCGTTGTATGTCTGGCGCACGCAGGCTATTGTTGAGGGATATCGGAACGCTTGCATTCGCGTTTTAATCGAGTCGAACTGGATGTATGGAGGCATGAATGTCAATGTCAATATCAACCTATCAACCACCATCAATCATCAACCACCATCAAACATCGAGCGTCAACCATCAACAAACTCCGCTCGCGACGAGGATGTTGGGTTGCGGTGAGCAGGAGCATAGCTCGCTTCGCTCGCTAAAAGATCTGACGCTGGCTGAGGCTCGCCAAAAAACCGTGATTAAGGGAAGCATTGCCCCTTTGGCGCAATGAGCCTCGCCTACGGGCTCGCCTGCTTCAAGCATTCCTGCGCCTCGCTTCGCTCATCGCAGTCGCTGGCTATCACTCGCGGCTCACGGTACCTACAGGAAACCCAATAAAAACACAAGTAATGGCAGCAGAAGTAGCGGATATGGTAACCGCATGTTGTCGTACGAGACTTGCAAAGTGTTCTTTTGTGAGGTATCGCTCCACTGTCCCGCCGCCCGTCGTCGTTGTTGGTGGAGCAGTGGAGGCCATGGTGTCCGGCCAGGCCGCGTTACTATGTAGGCAAAGTCGGCCCTCAGCGTCTCCACACAACCCCAGGTTCGCTTTTTTCTGCCCTTCGTGGCTGTATCGCCGTGTAAAGTAGTTCCAGTTCTTTCCCACTGAGCTATTTGACGTCGGCTATGTCGGTTCGCAAGAGCCGATTCGCTGGAGAATGTCGTTCGGAGGACAAAGTGCGAGGGTATTGGGTGTACAGCTAGCTCTTTTGCTCTACCTCCTGTAACTAAGTACATGTACACAATCTAGGCGCAATTTCTACGATGCAGATGCTTCATAAGGCTCGGAACAGCCTTCGCCGGAGGGGAACGTGAGCGTCAAGTCGGGAAAGAAGTCTTTTTCGCATGTGCCAAAATCGCGTGTGAATTATCGCCCTCCCATCTCTCTCGTCTCTCCTGCAAGATCGATGACACGCTCCTAACCCTTAACCCCCTACATGTCTCCGACGACGAGGCCCTCCGTTGTTTATGTGGGAACGTGGATTAAGTCCCACGTTGAGGCACATAATTAATTGCCTGCTGAGGTCACACCAAAAACGCCTCCGCCGTCACTGCCGTCAATCGCTTCCGCTCCACGCTCACGTCAAAAAATCTCCCCAAAAAGAACCTTGCCCCATTGAAGCTTGGGGATTCCACATCTCGTCGACGTCTCCCTCAGACTCGTCTCTCTCGCCCTTGCTACCTCGGGTCTGGGAGGGTGCAGGGCTCCCGATATAAGACCCCCCCCTTCCTACTACACTCCATTCCGCAGCATGTTACTTGCAAAGTTCTTCATTGCTCCTTGGAACTTTACTTCTCTCGCTCGACTATAGTCATCTTTTGGGCTTCATCATCGCCGTAATACGCTCAGTCCTCCTTCGATCGACTATCACGTCGAGCCTGCTGACCACCATGACCAATACAAGCGTCACAAACCTCCTCAACTACCAGCATCAGCACCAGCAACGGCCCCGCAGTGCTCCTGCTCAGAGCGCTCCTCGCCGTGGCAGTGGTGGGTTGGGCTCGGACGGTGACCACAAACGCCATAAGGTGAAGGTTACCAGGAAACTGGTGGTTGAGCTCCTCGAGCAAGAGGCAGAGACGGAGGACGACGAGCCGTGGTTCAAGAAGGTGAGCTACCGAGCGGCAGCGACGGCGACGTGAGCGAGAGCGAGGGAATCCGGACTGCGGCGAGCGAAGCGAGGTGCAGGGATGCTTGAGGCGGGCGAGCGCGAGTGGAGGTGCCCATATTGCGCCGGAGGCGCAATACTCCCCTCAGGACTTCCTTAGCGAGCGCCGGCGAGCGTTCCACATTTTGTGAGCGACGCGAGCTGCGACCGCAGGGAGCGATCTGGTTTTCTTAAGGAACCTCGCCGCACGACTTCAACTTATCTCGTTGATGATTGATGTTCGATGGTCAATGGATTCTGCCCACCGACCACCCGCTGTTCGCACTTCGACTTTTGATGATGGCGCATTCATCATTTTACCACGTTATCGCCATCTAATGCACGACTTTTTCATACAGCGGTACAACCAGTATGAGTCGGAGGGAATCATCGGGACTGGCTTCCATTCCAAGGTCAAACAGGTCCGCGACGTTGAGACTGGCATTGCCTATGTAAGTATCGCACATCCTTCTTCTTTCCTCACCCACAACATCCAATCTCGCACATCAGTCTCATCAAGGTCATCTCCTCATTCCAACAGGCCATGAAGGTCATGAAAAAGGCCCCCCGGCAAAAGTCGTTGCCGAGGTTTAATGCGCCGGGTGGGTCCGACCCCCACCTGGAAAAGATCTACGCGGAGATCGAGATATTCAAGTCCCTGGACCATCCAAACTTGATCCAGCTCCACGAGATCATCGACGATCCCGAAAGGGATAAGATTTACCTCGGTATGTGTTGAGGCCTTGCTCTTGATGAATGCCATGGCTCGAAGGCGTCCGCTGTGTGTTGCTAACTTTCCGCCTATTTCATCGCATCTGACAGTGACGGAGCTGATGGTAGACGGAGCCTGGGATGAAGCCGCCAAATACCATCAAATCCCCATCAGGACCGTATTCATCCAGATCCTGCGTGGCCTTGAATACCGTAAGTGTCTTCTCCTGCATGCATACGGGCATGCAACGTGCTACCATTGGGTATGCAAATTGCTCACAAACCGAATTCCCTCCTTTGTCCCACGCAGTCCACTCAAGAGGTATTGTCCACCGGGACATAAAACCGCAGAACGTTCTCTGCAACGTCATCGAAAACGAGTACAAGCTCGGCGACTTTGGGTCAGCCGTACAGCTTCGTAACGGTCCAGGCACCGCCCCCAACAAGTCCGACGCGGCAGAGTACACAGAACAATCCCACTCCGCGATCGCACCGCGCCCTCCGTCTCTCCACGACGACGATGACGACCAAGAGACCAGCAACCCCTCTGATCTCGACAGGAGGAACGAGGCCGAACTGGCTGCCACTACAGTTGGCACGCCCGCATTCTTTGCCCCGGAGATGATATCGGCGTACGAACATGCCGATAACGACAGCAACAACCGTCACCGTCACAACAACAGCAAACGTTCCCTCAATAAATGCAACGGCCTAGCAAACGGGCGCCCCTCACATGAAGAAGATCCTCATTCGACCCCCAACATGAGCGACAATCCCCTACCACACCTAAAACCCCTCTACCGCCCCGGCACCCCCTCCAGCCCGCCCATCGGCCGCGGAATCGACATCTGGGCCCTCGGCGTCAGCCTCTACATGATGGAACACGGGTTCCTCCCCTTCAGCGGCGCGCGCGAGTGGGAACTGTATAACGCGATATCGAGCGATGAGCTGAGGTTCCCGGAGACGCCCGATATTATGCCTACCGAGGAGTGGGAGGAGATTGTGGAGATGAGGGATTTGTTGGGGAAGATGTTGCAGAAGAATCCGTTGAAGAGGGTTACTTTGCGTGAGATTAAGGTGCGTCTGCTCGTTTTGACCCATTATATGATGCATAGTCTTACTCACTCATATTCTCTCTCACTCCCTCCTTAATCCCACAGAACCACCCCTGGGTCCTCCGCGGCGAATACCGCACCGACGCTCAAAAGAAAGCCGATCTCCGCGGTCACGCCCATTTCGACGAGAACCCCGTCCGCGTGCAATCTTCCCCCACCGTCGTCGATACGACTGTCAATACCAATCCCACTTCAACACCCACAAGCCGGAAAGGATCACAACACCGTTTGGATTCGGCTGTTACCGAGCTGAGGGGTAATTCGGCTTCGTTGGGGAGACTGCCTGCACCCGATGCTGTTGTGGCTGTTACGGGACCTGATGCGGAGAAGGATAAAAAAGATTTCGCGAGTGATGACCACCATGTCGAGGTTTCGAACGTTGCGGAAGATGCGGCGACGGCGGAAAATTCGGCGATCACGGCGGCTTCTGCAAGTGCTTTGGCGCCGCCTACCGCGCCTAAGAAACCCGCTAAATTCCAAACGACATTGCGTCGGCTTTTCTGCTGTTTCCGAAATCGTTGAATGTGACTTTCCCACCGCACGGCCGCGTCACGTTTCCTCCAACTCCTTCGCTGGCATTCTACACGCGCGGAACTCAAACACGCACATACAGACCTCATACATACAACCCCGCACGACATTATCTTGGCCCTGCATAGCTTCGCGCTCTTCTACACATCGCCGCATTCACCTACTTTTTTTTTTGGAATATCTAGCCACTTTGCCTCTATATTGTCTGCGACGGGTACATTGACTTTTCTGCGCCTTTTCCTTTTTGTTTTGGTTTTTGTTTTGGTTTGGGGGGCGAAGACACATTTGGAACTATACCGGCGAATTTGATGGGCAATATATTTGTGTGTGCGTGGGTCACCAATTATTCGTAATGGACGGTCTTGGCCTCATTGATAGATGCCTTGCCGGGATTCGCCTCGACTCGGACCCCTGTATCCTTGTACGTCAATAATGATACTACAATTCGCACCATATTGGATCGCCCGGGATATTTCCGTCATCAATTGTATACACTGAGGAAATATCCCCAGACTCGATATCCACCGGGGGAAGTCGCGATGCTGAGATGCGGGGGATTCTTCAATCGATTTCTTCGCGATACGCATACTTCCAGGTCAATGTTTCATGCTTTGAATATGGATACACGTATCTTCTTCAGTGGTGAACACCACTCCTCTTTATCCGACTAACAATTTGCATAATGTTACTACATATGTGGAACGAAAAATGATGGAAAACGGGCGGTATGTACATGTGATTGGGTTGACGTTTGTGATGGCCTGTGTTGTGCATATATGCTCCGAGGAGCAGAGGCGATGCTCCGGTGGGGATCGGCGGGTGAGAGGACGAAGACGGGGGGACGAGACGGGATGCAACGGTGGAGAGTGTCGGTGTCATGTGAACCGAAAATGATCGGAGCCGATGAAATCTGATGTATGGCATAGATCAGTAAAATCGAATGTGCCACATTCCGAGAGGGAATGCTATCTCAACATTTCTCCAACCCCGGCACTTACATTGTCCCTTCTGGATACTCGTCACATCTGGACTCAGGACAAACACTTGCGCGAAAGCTTTCGTTTGCGCTTGCGCGTGCGCTCCATATTTGACTGTACCTAGAATCAGCGATTCTATGTCAGAGGCGGCCGTAGCGGTAGAAAACAGCCATTGGGAGGTTGGCTTACCGTTTACTGTGACCAGGATTTGGCCCCGGTCTGCGGTGGGATGAAGAGACGATGAGGAGATTGTTGATCAAACAGGGTAAAGAGGAAGCAAGCCACAGATGCCGCAACTGCGTGCGATACTTACCGAGAACTGGTTGAGCGTCATATGTGTGAATGATGTGATCTGGCGAAGAAAGAGGGTGAGAATGTGCCGTTCTCCAAGCTGACTTGGTCCGATGCTCTCTCCGTTAGCGTTCCCAATCCTCCTTGCATGCCATACAGCTGGGCCAACGTGATCCCTCCATTTGTTTGCAGCGATCTCCGCCGCCTCAACTCAAATCGTCGTCGTCGGGGTCATATCCTTGACCCAAAACTCCAACAGTCACCGTCTGCGAAACACCACCCCCGCCTCTCGCCCTATTCACCCTCCTCCTCTAAAACCCCTCTCCCCCGTCCCTGACATCCTCTCATGCCCCCACTCACCCGTCGCAGGCAACTTCAAAAAGAACTCCCCGCAATCTCTCCCAGGCACAGGGTTCCCGTTCCAAAGCAACGTGGAGATCTCCCTGTAGAATTGGTGCATCAGGTGTCGTTGCCGATCACAGACTTTGTAGTAGGCGGGTACGAAGTTGTCGGCGGCTCGTGCGGCGACGAGGGCGGATTCTGCTAATGGGTTGGCCATATTTGTGTGGGACTTTGCTGGGTTATGGGCCGATTCAGTGGGTGCAAAGGAGACTCGTCGGAGTGCGACTTAGAACACTGCTCAACAATGTCAACCTGTGCTCACAAAACGCGGGCATTGAGTTTCACTGGCCCAGCTTCTTTTGAGTATCCAGCACGAAAGCAATGGTTGGGAAGAAGAAGAAGACAGCACCCGCACCAGCGGGCATCACCCGCGGCGTCGCAACCACAAGCACGCAAAAGAAGCCCGGCCCAGCCGACAACAAGAAGCCGGAGCCGGATCCCGGCATTGTGGCGAAGAAACAGCCACTAAAGCAAAACATAGGCAAGGAGCCCCCACCAGAACCGCCAAAGAAGCTGGGAACTCCCACGCGGCCAGGCAAGGGAGGTCAAACAGGGACTGAGGACCAGGAGGAGCAGTTGGCACGTGAAGCGAGCTCTCGTGTGGCAGCGCTGAAAGTGGAGACGGAGTATGGAAAGGACGAGAAGAGGAGAGCAGCGGTGGCCGAGGACGCCTCCATACCTACGTTGAAGCTGAGTGAGCTCGCTCAGACGCAGATATGGAAGTCCGTGCAATTGCAGCAACTTGCTTCGAAGTTTGGTAAGTTCGGGTCTTTGTCCGTGTAACTGCCGTTATAAGTCGACTTGCGGTTCGGTTGCGATATACCGCTTCCCTGACAAAACTGGACTCCCATTCGTTATGTCACTTCTTCTTGAATCGACAGACTGGTTTGGGGCTGAAGTGGAAGAGGAGACATCACAGAACCGCCTGCTCATAACATACCTCACGCTGGAGAAGCTCGGCTTTTCACCGGACAACATTGAGAAGGCGATGAAGGCTGCTGGAGGGCAGAACCTGACATCTATCTTTGACTGGGTGAGAATCATGGCCCTTCCTTCCCGTCAATCCCCGAATGCCTATTTAGACAGACGTTTTTCCAATGATTATGTAGTTGTCGCTTACTGTACCGCTAGAAGAACTCCCGGAAGCGTTTAGAGACAACGCTGCACTCGGTGAAGGTGTGTATATTAAAACAACTTCAAACAAAGAGGAATGGAGAAATCATATTAAGTCATGTGTGATAGAAACTACCGTGAAGCTGGCTAGGGCAGCAGCTGTTAAACCTAAACCCCTTGCCCCGCCGCCGAGAGCACGGACCCCTCCTATCAGATGCCCGCCGATAGAACCAACGACAGCCGAGGAAAAGAAAGCTATACAAAGCTATCTCGTGGATGCGGCGGAGACGTGGACCGTAAGTGACATATAGAAACGTGGGTAGAGAGCATTCTGCTTACGCTTCAACCGCCAGAGTCCCGAGGATAGGGACATGAAGGCCTGGATCCTAAAACAAGCGCGGACGTGGGATGTAGGTTGGCGTACGCACTGGGTATATGAGGTTGCCAGCATTGCCCTTATCATAGATTGATTGTGTAGGAGCCCGACGAGCCAGATGCCGAATCGCAGCCAGAAACGGTCAGACTCTCACCCTCCGAGCTGTACGCCAAGTCGTATATGGACAGCGAGGAATATCGCCAACTCGCCGCGGATGCAAAGGCCCGCAACGACAAAGAGCAGCAACGACATTACGAAACAGCGATGCGGACGGCCAAACAGGACATGGCGCTGGCGCAAAGCGAGAAGAAGTTTGATTTTGGACATGCACGAAAGCTTATTGATCAGGCCGTGCGGGCCAAAGGGCCCGTCGAGAAGAAGCCTGCTGAGAAGGCTCCGCCGGAGAAAGCTGCCCCACCTACTCCGAGTGTGGACGCGGAGGACGACATGGACTTGCTGAGCAAGCTCTTCGACGAAACCGAGACGAAATCGGAAGAAGGAGAGATCAAATTCAACGCTAAAGCGCCTCCGCGAGTGCTAGACCTGTCCATCAACAACTGGACGGGCAAAACGCCACGGCAGTATCTCCAACAGTGGATCGCTAAGAACATCAAAGGGGCTAAAGTCAGGTACAACGTCATCAAAGAAGATCGCTACGGCTTTCGAGTCGGTGTAAAGTTCCCTGGGGCGACAGGCAAGGCTGTGAACGAGAAGACCCGGTTCGAAATGGACGCCAATGACCGTTGCCAGAATGTCCGAGAGGGCGAGGAGTACGCTGCAACAAAAGCGCTTTACACTTTGGCAGCGGGGTTGTCCCTACACCGCAACTTTCCTCCCCCTTACCGAGACCTGTGGAAGGAGTGGGTGGATGCCATTGAGAACGCTGCAAAAACGCAGGTCAACGCCAGCGATGATCGGCGGCTGAACTTTATACGAAGATTCGTCGAGTTCCGCGAAGCCCGTGCGAAGAGGTATCTCGAGAAGCGGCAAGCTTCGCAGGCGGGTGCACAGGAAGAAATCGAAAAGGCAGCACAGAGCGACCACATGTACACACAGCTGGACCCCCAACAGAACAAGAAGAAGATGCAACAACGGACTTCGATGGCCGCTTACAAGAAGCTGCAAGCGCAACGAATGAGTCTGCCAGTTCACCAAATGAAACGCGAGATCCTCGAAGTTATCAGCAAACACCGCGTGGTAGTTGTGTCTGGGGAGACGGGGAGCGGAAAGAGCACGCAAATACCTCAGTTCCTGGTAGAAGACGCCATTGCGAACGGCGACGCCAAATGTCGCGTTGTGTGCACCCAGCCTCGGCGGATCTCTGCCATCTCAATTGCATCGCGTGTGTCAGAAGAAATGGGCGACGTGCCTGGTCGAGTGGGCGGGAACGATTCTTGGGTCGGGTACCAAGTTCGGTTGGAGAATCGGGTCGGAAAGCAAACCATGCTCACCTTCTGCACACTCGGTATTCTGATGAAACGCCTCGAGGGTGACAAACGCCTGCAGCACGTCACGCATGTGGTGCTAGATGAGGTTCACGAACGAAGTTTGGACTCGGATTTCCTGATTCTCATCTTGAAGCGGCTGCTGGCAATCAGAAGCGATCTGCGCATCATTCTTATGTCGGCGACGGGAGATGCGGATAGGTTTTCGTCGTATTTTGAACGGATACCAGGCGTCGGCCATGTCCCTTGTCTCCACGTACCGGGGCGAACCTTCCCAGTTCAAGCATTCTTTTTGGAAGATGCGATCGAAGCCACCGGCTTTGTCGTGGAGAACGGGCTGCGGGAGAAGACGAAGGATGTGGGGTCCGTGACCATTTCCGGCAAAGGCGGCTCAAAGCACACTGTTCGACTGCAATATGACGAAGCTGCGATAAGGAATCAGGCGCCAACGCAGCAGAATGCCACCATCAAAATGGCCAGTCGCCCAGGGCCTACGGATGTGGAGGACGACGATGATGATGAGGATGAAGAAGCGTCGGACTTTGCTCCAGACCTCACTCAATCCTCGCCGACAAAGAATGTGACGTATTCTCCTGAAACCCTTCACGCGCTCTCACTCCTAGACAGGCGGCGAACCAATTTCGACCTTCTCGAGCAGCTCATCACCCACATTTGTCAACAAGACCAGGAGCGCAGCGTACAGGACCACGGGAGCATCCTGGTCTTCCTCCCGGGAATCGCGGAGATCAAAATTATGATGGACCGGCTTGCTGGTGTGAAAGACATGTGGACGCTAGGTTTACACAGTAGCATGGGTACAAAAGACCAAGCCAAGGTGTTTCAAAAAGCACCGCCAGGTCAACGCAAAATCGTCTTTTCCACCAACATCGCGGAAACCGGAATCACGATACCCGATGTGACGGTGGTAATTGACACGATGCGTGCTCGCGAAATACAGCTTGACACAAAGCGTAACCTGACGAAATTGAAGGAAGTGCTGATCAGTAGAGCGAACGCGCTGCAGAGGCGTGGACGTGCCGGTCGTGTGCAGGAGGGCGTGTGTTGGCATCTGGTAGACGGCGACCAATGGGGCCGCGTGGCCCATCATAGGCCGCCGGAGATGGTGAGGGTACCGCTCGAGGAGGTGTGCTTGAGAGTCCGGACGTGTGGATTTGAGGGGACGGTTGCGGAGGTACTGGATGGGTGCGTTGATGCGCCGCCGGAAAAAAACGTGGATAGGGCGGTCAATAAACTCAAGATGGTAATGTGCTTGGAGTTGCTTGCGATCTATTGCGCGTGCGAGTATTGACATGCACAAACTATCAGATACAAGCTTTCACATCCGACGAAAAGCTAACACCGATGGGGCGGAAGCTGTCCAACCTCCCACTCGACACCGGCTTAGGCAAAATGCTTCTCACATCAGTTGCTCTACGATGCCTGGACCCGGTCCTCACCATCTGTGCCGCCATTAGCAGCGGCAAGAGCATGTTCCTCAGCGGAAGCACGGGAGAGGTCTGGCGGCCCTTCTTATGGGGTCTAAGCGACCTGATGATGACCGCAAAGGCTTTCGAAGCCTACCGCGCCGTCAACGGGCCGATGGGGATCCGCCGGCGATGGTGCGAAAACCGGGACTTGAGTTTGGAGGTGATGGTAGCCGTAGACGAGCTTCGCGGCCAACTCCTCAAAGCTCTCTTGGACTGCAACGTGATTAGCATCGACCGCACGAGCGAAGCCGTCAAGCAGCAGAGAAGCGAAGGCAAGAACGCCGTCTTCGCGCTCCTCGAAGCCGCATACAGCGAGAACGCCGCCGAGGAAGAGATTGTCGCCGCGGCTTTAGCGAGCGGCGCATGGCCAAGTCTGTTCGTCATGGACCCGCCGCCGCTTGCGTTGGGACAGGTGGACGTGGCCCCGGTCACGGTGCACATTCCTGGGGAATCGTTACCGTATAGATTGCATAAGAGCAGCCCGTTGGTGAAGGCTTTAGGCGTAAACAGGGTGAAGGAGCTGGGGAAGGAAGGGTGGTGTGTGGCGTACGGTGTGCGCGGCTCGGACGCGGGGAGTGTGTTGAGTTGCTGGGATCTGACGCGTGTCTCCGGTCTTGCGACGTGGTGTTTGTGTGGAATCGGTGTCGAAGCTCAGGTAAGGACGTTTTATCGCCTTTCGAAGAAGCATGATTTCCATTCAATTGATCAATCCAATCATTCCTTGCACAGCACCGGCATGGCACGATCCAGTTTGCATCCCCAACATCCCAGCCTCTATCTCTCATCGCGCGCTCTTCGCCAAGAATTGCGTCCGCGGTCTCGGTCTATGGCAGTATCGTGCGGGAAGCTTTAAGAAAACGGATGATCGGCATGACCGCTGACGAACAGGAAGAGAAACTGTTTATGCATTTCCTATCTGTGTTGCGGCGTGAAACGCTCTTGCAGGGGTAGACGTAGATCATGATGTAGCCTACGTAGGTGGACTCCGTCTCCCGCGATCACGGTGGCGTGGTGTGGAGAGTGATAGTATTGTGAGGATATCTTCCATATACATCTATCTATTCTACTGGGCCCATCGGCTCGGTCGGGTGACGTTCTATTTACTTCCCATCGGGAACCCCACCGCCCGCAGAACATCCACTGGTCCAACTTCCACGGTTCTGCGCAAGCCTTCCTCCGACTTGACGAGCATCATTCCAGCAAATGCCACGGAGTTCAAGCTGAGCAATCCTCCAATAGCTTTCTCGGCTCTACGCGGTACAATCAATAGCAGCTCCTTGGTTAGAACGACGTTATATGATGGTTGTGCTCGTCGATCGACAGCTGCATCGGCACCTTCATTACTGTCAGGCGTGAGCGCAGTATCGATTTCAATTCCCGCATTTGCGAAAGCGCTGGTGAGCGTGTTGGTGTAGATTTGCTCCAGCACGATCCCGCAATCTACTGGCGAAGCAGGGAGAGGAGGAAGGACGGTAATGCTGTGAGCACAAGGGAAGGCGGGAAATGAAGTTGGCGTGCCTATTGACCCTCGAGAGCGATCCTCCTGAAAGTACGAGAGGACGGAGTGGATAGGAGGAAAGACGATGTCCTTATCCTCAGGCGATTCCGGAAGGAGCTGGAGGTGCTTATGTGGTTGACTTGCCCCTGAGTTTGCTCCACAGTTGAAGAAGCACATGTACCGCGGCATGGCTGGGCTCTGCAAAATGGAATGAACGGCCGCAAAGTCGTCACGATTCAGCGGAGAGAGCTGGCTCTCAAAGTCCTTGGTTGTCAGCAGCACGTGTCCTTTTACGATACTGAACTTGTTCAACAACAAATTGTGTTTTGGCAAGTATAGCTCCTCCGTATTCACTTTCAACAGGGGATCATACGGCAGGAACGGATTTGAGCGTAGCACTTTCACCTCTCCGGCTCTCCCATCTCCCTCCTTCGCAACAACGACACTGGGCAAAGAATCGATAGGCGGTGCAGCGGCAGGGTTTGCTATTGGCTTCTTTGCGAGTTGCGGAGCGAGGCGTATTTGGAAGTCAACGGTGACCCCTGTCGGACTGGTGGTGGGAAAGTGGACGGGTATCGAGTGGAGTGATGTTTCTGTCCACGTTACTGCATTTGTCGAGAGCGCTTTGTTGAACGTCGCCAGTAGCTTCTCGTACAGCGGCATTTCGGCAAGTTACAAGGGTTACGCCGATAGTTACAGGCTTTGAACTCAAGCGTTCAACAATCTCGACGGGGTAGACACTAGCCCTAGCACCTTTGTGAATCTCGACAGGCGACGACCGGAGCTCAGGCGATGACGAGTAGATGTCGATGGGGCGCGATCTTCCAGGCGATCTTGGGGAAAACAAGCAGACTTGGTTCAGAAATGAATGTGAAAAATGTAATAAAACCGGCGTAGTGGCCACACACGTGACTGTAGCATTTCCAAAACTTGGTCTTTTGCCTGTACGCAGAACTATTCCCTGTGATCGAGCCATACCCCCTCTAAGGTTTCCGACACATCTTTGCCCCCTCTCCTGATACAGTATTGCTTGACGACAGGCCTAGACTCGCCTAATGCACAGAGGTCTCGGGGTACGCGCCGAGAGAACTCATGGAGGTTTCCAATCTCACGGGCCCAAAATTCTTCCGGGACCTAAAGGAATATTCCTTGCGCTGCCTTTGATGTATATGCAAGCTCGCCATCGAGTATCCTTATCCTTTTGTGTAGACGTGAGACTTGGTTTCCGAATCGAGGTGTTTCCTGAACGCAACGTTTGCAGGGTCCAATGCATGCAACGTGAAGTGCCAGGTAGTGCCGGATATCAGCGGGAAGCGAGAGACTTTTGCCTCTAACAGTTCGTAGTTCATAGAGAGGCTTCTCTGCGTTTGAGGGAAGCGTTGTTCGCCTTCCGACTCACCATACCGTGTGTGAGAAAGCGAGGCATCCCCGCGGGCTGTCGAAATGGTGTCAAAATAGCAAGCAGCCCCTTTTGCGGAACGCGTCTGAAACAACCAACCTCCGTGGACAATGGACATTGACGACCAAGAATTCTTAATTCTGGAAGAGAACATACTGCGGCACGCGTCACGGAGCGTGCAGAGGCAAGCGTTTTTTTCTCTAATTGCGCATAACCATCACATTGATGACATCCACCGTCCACGGCGCATCCATCAGAAAAGGAGGTGAAATGAAAACAAACATCAGGACGCTGCACCGGAACAGCTCATCTTTGTGTTGCTGTTTCATCTACCATGCGGGGACTCTGGACATCAGGCATGCTGCAGGATCCGGGAAGGTGTATGGATTCTATTGCAATTTGAACGTTGCGATGCGGTGAGGTCTGTGCCCCGCATCGCAACGGGCCGCAGATAACCCTGTCCATTCTCGACCGGATTTGGATAAAAAGAAGCTGCTGCCGTGCTCAGTACCGTCCCCATTTCGATCTCTATATATCACGCTCCCAACATTCCCACGACAACCACAACATCCAACCACTGCAACACCAACACCAACAAAAACGATGATACACCCCACCATCCCCGCCCTCTTCCTCCTGGCGGCCATCCCAGCCGTGTTAGGACTGGAGGACCCCCGCACAACAAAAGTGAAGCAAGATCTTCTGGAATTCTGCAGCTCCCTTGGTGGAGCACAAGGCGCCCAAGGTCAGAACTGTTTCGACATCTCTGGCAAGTTTGCGTCTGCAACCCTCGCGGCCAAGGCCAAAGCACCATGTGAGCGCACACAAAGGGCGCAAGAGATTCTGGACAACTTCGGCAACCAGCCAGGGGCAGCGACGATTGCTGATGCTATGGGTGAGTTGTCTCTTGCAGGCGTTCCTGGGCTATGAAAGTCGGATTTGCAAGTCTCATCATCTCTTTTGATCTGAATCATCACAGCCACCGCTCCCATCAACGTCCTCCCTCCAGCGGAGCTACCAGGTCTCGAAATCGCATGCGACACCCCTCTCTCGGGCGGTCAAGACGCTGGCGCTGCCGCACCCGCCGTTGATCAAGGTGCTGCCCCCGCACAGGAAACCGCTGTAGGGGCCGCCCCCGTAGAAGGTACAAACACGGATGCCGCTCCCGCGGCCGAAAACACTGCGGTCGCGAAGAAGGGCAAGGGCAAAGGCAAGAAGGGCAGAGGCAAGAAGGGAAAGAATGCCGGTGGTCAACGTGCTGGCGCAGCCGCACCTGCCGTTGATCAAGGCGCAGCCACAGCCGCACCCGCAGTTGATCAAGGTACTGCCGCTCCCGCCGTTGATCAAGGTGCTGCCCCCGCAGGAGAAACCGCTGTAGGTGCCGCCCCCGTTGACGCCGCCAACCCCGATGCCGCCGCCGGAGCCGACACTGCCGTCGTAAAGAAGGGCAAGGGCGGAAAGGGTAGAGGCAAGAAGGGAAAGAAAGCTGGTGGTCAAGCCGCTGACGCAGCCGCAGCCGCAGTTGATCAAGGTGCTGCCCCCGCAGCAGCAGCGGAAATCGCTGTTGGTGCTGCCGCCGCTGACGGGACAAACCCCGGTGCACGCGAACCCGGTGTAGGCGCCGTCGCCGTCGACCCCAATGCCGCAGCCGCACCCGCCGTCGAAACCGCCGTAGGAGCAGCCGCCGGTGACATCGCCACGGCAACCGAAGCAGCTGCAGGAGCTGAAAACACCGCCGCCGCAAAGAAGAAGGGCAAAGGCAAGAAGGGCAAGAAGGGAAAGAACGCCGGTGCCAACGCTGTCGCAAAGAACGCCGCCGCTAAACAGGCCAAAGGAAACAAAGCGGGTGCCGCTGGCGCCGCCGAGAAGGCAAAGGGCGCGAAAAAAGCTAAAGGAAAGAAAGCCCAAGCTAAAGCAGCCCAAGCCGAAAACCAAGCAGCACAAGCCGCAGGGCAAGCTGAAGGTCAAGCAGCCCAAGCCGAAGGTCAAGCAGCACAAGCAGCCGGTGCAGCCAAGAAAGCGAAGGGCGCCAAAAAGGCCAAGGGAAAGCAAGCCGGTGCCGCTGGAGCGGCGAAGAACGCGAAGAACGCTAAAGGAAAGAAAGCCCAAGCTCAAGCCGCACAAGATCAAGTCGCGAATGCAGAAGGACTAGCCAAACGCGACCCGGCGCTTCCCTGCCTCGACACCGAGCCCGCGATCTCTACCCGCGGTCTGACCCGTCGCGGTCGACACAACCGACGCGAGCTGGCGGCCGTCACTGAAACGGCACAGGAGGTTCCAGCTGCCCAAGAAGAACCCTGCGATGAAGCCGAGAAGAACAATCTCGACGACCCGTGCGAAGACGACGACCAAGCCGATCTCGCTGCCCGTGAAATGGAGGAGCCCTGCGACGATGTCGCCGAGAATCTCGTTCAGCCCTGCGACGATGACGCCGAATGAACAAGTCACTCTCCCCACACATCTGTTTCACCCACATCCCTGTAAATATCCATCGTTTTGGTGCCATTTTCCATCTCTCGGTCGTCCTGTATATATTCATATCTAGACCTAGAGTGGTTGGGCTTGTATATACAAATCTCTGACGGCGTATTCAATGAAAACTCCCTTGTACATACTACTCACACATCGGTCAGACTTTTGGGATTGGCGCCGTAGCTGGCGGAGTGAGACTTGCGTCGTGACGTGAGCGCGTTTCGTCCAGCGTGTTCTGCAGTGGCTCATAGAAATTTGAAATGAGACCTTCTTCCCCGCTTCCCCATAACTTGAACTGGCACAGTTTGGCGATTCGCAGCTCGGCATAGCAAGAACGACTTTCCCGCCTCAAACACCAACAAAGCTCAATCAAACATGGGTTGCGATGGCGGCTCCATTCCCAAGCGAGACGAACTCGTCCGGGTCAAAAAAGCCGCCGAACGAGCCGACCCACGCATGCAACTCATAGTCAACTGGTTCTTCTGCGCCCTTTCCAAACAACCGCTGACCCAACCCGTCGTCGCCGACGCACTCGGCAAGCTCTACAACAAAGACGCCGTCCTGGAGTACCTCCTCAACCGCGGCGGGTACGGCGACGGCGACCTGATATGCAAGCACATTACCTCGTTCAAGGACGTCACCACGCTCAATTTGACCCTGAACGAGTCGTACACGGCCGAAGCGGATCTGTCGAAGAACTCGGCGACGGTGTTGGGGAATATTGACGAGAAGCCTATGACGTCGCGGTTTGCGTGTCCCATTACCGGGAAGGAGATGAACGGGAAATCGAAATTCTCCTACCTGGCGACGTGCGGGTGCGTGATGGCCGACCAGGCGCTGAAGAATGTTCCGACCAACAACTGTCTGAAGTGTAATTTGCCGTATACGGCCGACGATGTAGTGCCGGTGAACCCGACCGACGAGGCTGTCATTCAGGGGCTGCGGGATCGGATGGAGTTCATGAAGGAGGCGAGGGCGAAAATTGCTGAGGAGAAAAAGAAGGCTAAGAAGGAGGCGAAGAACAAGAGTAAGAGTGGGGAGGGGTTGGATATCAAAGCAATTGATGCGAACGGGGACGCAATTGCAGAGGCAGCAAAGACGAGCAGCGGGAGTGATGGGGATGACAAGCACGCTGCGACCAAAAAGCGGAAACGGAGTAAGAAGAATCGCCAGGACGGCGCTGACGATGACGACGACGAGTATGCGTTCGGTGGGCAGGTCAAGAAGGCGGCGAGCAACATCAATATGGCGCTGCCGAATCTTAACGATCGCTCTGTTTTACCCAGTGCCATGAGGGTGCAGAGCGCGGCTATCAAGAGTCTGTACAGGAAGGATGGCCCAGTTGAGGAACCAAACTTCCTGGTTAGGGGCACGTTCAACCGTTTTGCGGCTGGTTTCTGAGAGGCTATTCCCTCTCCATTGTGCCTTAGTGGCTTACGCTCCATACCATCATGTATACTGTAAATACAATTTTGTCTCGGAAAATTAGAATAAATCGATCATCTTTTGCTCAAAAACCTTGAATGCCGCTGATGCAGCCTATCCCCGCATCTTGAAGGAACACTCACATCGAGAAGCATTTTCTTCGTGTACGACTCTCAATTGCGATGTAAAGTACAGAATGGGCCGAAGTTGAAGACGCGGCAAAGAACGGGGGCTACATAAACTCATCCGCAAATCGAACGAACGTAACGAACGCAGTAAAAGGGGGGGAGTCCATGCGACTGTACAAAAATCCACGAAATGGGATTTCAAAGAAGTTTCTCGTATGATATTTTGTAATGATGTTGAAAAAAAAGGCTTTCGCATTTCTGCATCTACTTGCTCATCATCATCTTGACGAACTCCTCGTAGTTGATTTGACCGTCACCGTCGACATCGGCTTCCCTGATCATCTCGTCGACTTCCTCTTCCGTGAGCTTCTCGCCCAGGTTGGTCATGACATGCCTCAGCTCGGCGGCGGAGATAAAACCGTTGCCGTCCTTGTCGAAGACCTTGAAGGCCTCCTTGATCTCCTCCTCGGAATCCGTGTCCTTCATTTTGCTGTTTGGGTAGAGAGTATCATTGGAAGAGGGGAAACATAACACAGTTAGGCGATAATTCGTGATAACAGCGTTAAAACGGTAACTCTCCAGTAAACTCAGTCCAGCTTTCCAGCTTCCACTCCCCGTACGCAGATGCCCCCCTCCCCCCCTCTGAACAAGAATACACGTACCGAGCCATCATGGTAAGGAACTCGGGGAAGTCGATGGTACCGTTACCGTCAGCGTCCACCTCGTTGATCATATCTTGAAGCTCAGCCTCGGTGGGGTTCTGCCCAAGGGAGCGCATGACGGTGCCTAGCTCCTTGGTAGTGATCGTGCCATCGCCATCCTTGTCGAACAGGGAGAATGCCTACGTAGGCGACAGATTGGCGGTTAACTACTATATCAAGGAAGTGGCCTCTGAATTTGTAAGCTCACCTCCTTGAACTCTGCAATCTGCTCCTCGGTTAATTGGTCTGCCATTGTGGTTTGTGGTTTGTGGTTGGGGTGTGCGGTGATAGACGTCTGTGAGGGATGTTGATGTTCTGCAAAGTGTGGGAATGCGGGCGGGCGAGGGGCTTACGCTTTGTGCTGCAGCGGCTTGTGCTTCCAGTTAAGACTGCATCATGGAGGTTTTTGCTCGATTTGATCAGGACTTTGATTGGGAAGGATGATCTCGCGCAACGGATGATTAGCCACGCAGGGACCGGATATAAGGACGCCAACGCTCCGTGTAACAATCAAAGCGCGTTTGAGTTCATTTCAATGACATCTATTACGTACAAACGAAGGGACTTGGCGCCGAGGGCACTCCGCTTGCCCCACTTTCAAAGGCTCCCTGGATCTGACTTTCAAAGTCGGGATTATGGAAGGTTCACTATTTACAATACGCATCGCTAAAGTCTGGTTCTAATTGTTTGTCACCGACGACCGGTGAGTTTGATAGGGCAACTAGTTGGTACCGTGGTGCTGTTCGCACGTTTATGCGACGGAATCGAAGCGGTATTTGAGGTCTGCGTCGAACAAAGAAGCGATGAGCGACAGTGTCCTCCTCAACTGCCGCACTCTACGAAGAACTGACACATACCTCAGGCTTGATGCCCAACGCTCTTGAAACCTGCATCTGCCGACTCGCGACATTCCACGCCTCCAAAGCGGCCTGCGTCTCTGCTTTCGCCACTCTTGCTCGCTCTTCCGCTGATGGTGGTTGTTTTTGGAACGGGAGGAACGCTGGGGCAAGGCTGGCGTGCCGGATCTGTCTCAATAATGAGGAGCTCAGGCGAGCGGACGTGGAGGTGGAGATTCTTCGTGATAACAGCGACATTTTGAATGTTATGGATCTACCGACTCTTAGTATGCGTATGATGATGATGCTGGCTGGACTGGGGCATGTCCACCCCAGCCTGCTGTTATAACCGTCCACGAGGGCCATATTCGTCTTTCCTGCCCATCCAATAACGGCAGCCTGGCCATCACGGGTGTGGTCTGCGGATGCAGTTTTACGCTCCCAAATGCGGATTCCGCATGGCTGTTTCACCTTCCTCCCGGAACCGTTCCGGCCTCGCGGGATGCGTCGACGCGTTCTATTTCCGGCGCTGTCGAATACGGCGCACCTAATATGCTTTTTGACAGCGGCCGCAACCGGAACGGCGTCCAATGACAACAAATAAGTAGAGCCCTACTGGCCATCGCTCAACCTGCGGATCGCCTTAACAGATATACTGCGAGTGAGGTGGAGTATGCGACATGAATTGGAACCATACATACATCAAGAGTGGGCGCTGGCTGTTCAACCATGGGCCGTTTGAAAGACTCCCTAACGCTGCCAAGGCCCCGCCACGGAAGTTGGCATATATCCGTCTTTGCAATGGACTCGGAAACCCAACACCCATCTAGCGCATCGCATTCCATTGAGGTTTGGCTGCACGTACAGTACGTACTGTGCTTCGCATTTTTCAATGAGGCAAAATACCTTGTAAAGGCCATTTCGTGCGGTTGAATGACTGCAGCCCTCGAGTCCTACGTCAACAACTCGCATTACATATGGACACCGGCGTGTGATTTAATTCGCGAGGCGAAAGGCATTGAGGCAAGCCGCGCGACTTGGCATAAATGTTGGCTCAGTCGACGGCGACGAAAGCATAAAAAGCGCTGACGTGAGGGGCCATTCCGGTCGGAGTTTCCGCCTACTCTGCACGTACCGTACAAACTCGCTCGCCTACCCCCCCTTCAACACCAGCTTCACCCCGAAACCCTCCATAAAAATGCCCCTCTTCGGGCTAATCCCCCCCCGCGAAACCCCCGGCGGCTACGTCGGCTACAACATCCGCAACGCCTGGGTCTCCAACAACGACGCCACCTTCGGCCGCGTCGTCAAAGAATTCACCCTCAACAACGTCCACGCAGTGCACAACCCCCAAACCAACACGCTGGTCGTGGCCGGCGCCGTGAATCTGTTTGTCAAAAGCTACCTCATCGCCTACTTCGTCGTCGCGGAGGCTAAACTGCTTCGGGAGAAGGAACAATCTGTCATACCGCGGGAGGTCAACGGCCCCGCGACGGAGTCCATCTCGCGCGACCGGGATGTTGGTGCGGTGGTGCTGTGGAGGCGGGACCCGGCGGGTGCGATTATGCGGCCGGAGAATGCGTGGAATTTGCATAAAGGGCCCGTGAACTGTTCGCTGGATCCGTTGGATTATGTTTTGCCGTTCGAGATTGTTTTGGGGGTGCCTGAGGGGTGGACGCCGGGCTCGGACCAGAGGGTGTTTGTGCGGGCTACTGTTCAGCGGCCTAAGTTGGGTTCGGATGGGAATTATGAGGTGAATATGGTCATTCCTGTCGAAGGGGATGTTTTGCCGCCTTATGAGGGGTGAAGATACAGACTGGAGGGTCACCAGAGGAAGCATGTTCTTTGTGGACAGTGATGGTTAAATAGTTGGGGCGATTTTGCTTTTGTTTTTTTGTACATAGTCTATTCTGCGGTTAGGAATATCACACATACATAAGTGACCTGAGACAAAACCCGTTTTCAGAGGCGGTCGGATCTTTCTGACATTTGGACAGTCCGACGCGCACCATTTTTCGAGCTGTTTATGCTGTGTGGCAGACGTCACCTTCGCAGTAAGACTTCGTTCAATGGCAAATTATTGCCCACCAGCCCTGGAAATGATGGACACTGGACAGCTTGCATGTGAAGCGGCCCATGAAGGGTCAAGACGGCCGTCGCCGTGGTCCTGGCGGAGGATCCAGAGATCCCACCACTTTCGCTCTGTTTCGTGCCTCCTCGCTTTTAACATGACCGTTAAAGGTGGAGAATGTCGTGTCTCGTGGCGATTTCCCACTTGCAAAATGAACAAGGCGGTTCATCAGGCGCTCATTTTGAACCAGTCCTCTCCCTTTTCACCAACATCCATCCATTCTCTCCCCGCAGCAGCCAATCCCAATCCCGAAGCTCTCCAAATACCATGACCCCTCAAGGTACCGACAAGATTGAGCGAAATCAACGCCTTATGTACAGGAGTTTCTTTTTATTGTTTTGTGTCAAGTGATATATTGGACAGAAGCGCGGAAATCTGCAACCCAACGCGACCAGGGGGATGTCGGACGATATGATGCAAACGCTTAATCCTTGACCAAGAGACCCTGTGAAATTGTTTTGCGATGAGTTTTGAGAGACTTAGGTAAAAGATTGCAAACAAACGGGACAAAAACTTACCCTCTCCGACACGTAGATACCGTCCAAGAACTTACGAATATCCTTGTTCTTGACAGCGCAAGATTGTTGGATGGAAGCAGCAGATTGGGAGACGTTGTCGAGGTCGTTTCCGGTGAGGATGATCTCGTCCTTTTGAGCGGTGGAGTGCTCAATCTTCACACCTCCCAACATAGGAATACGACGAACAATCTTCTCGCCGAGGAAGTTACGGATCTCAACTTCCTTTCCGTCGTTGACAACGTTGACGTTGATGGGAAAGTGAGCGTACACAAAGCGCATCTTGTACTCGAATCCCTAAATAAGTGAGAGTCAACATCGTCAGCCTTCTGCATCCTCTTTCTGCCCGGAAATTATGGAAGGAAACCCACCTTGGTAACACCCTTGATCATGTTCTCGATGTGGGACGCAACGGTACGGATGCAGGCAATGTGCTTGCGGACACCGTGCCACACCTTGATGCGAATCTTGTTCTTACCAACACGGATGATTTCCATGTTGACGTGCTTCAGGTCCTTGGTGAGGGTTCCGCGAGGACCCTTCACCCGGACGATGCGGGACTTCACATCGAGAGTGACTGTAAGGAGAAAGTCCAGGCTGTGAGACGTCTTGTCGAATAAACGTCAAACATTCTCTCCTTTACTTACCACCCTCGGGGATCTTAATGTCCTTCTCCTGGATGATGGACTTCATCTTTGCTGATTTCCGGCCTGAAGGAACAGAGGTCTGTCAGCAAAGCCTTTCCATGACAGCACTTCGTCCTCCGCTCCCGCAATTCTCTCGCTGCATGTGATGCACCCATTCCCAGAGCGTGTGTCCCCTCCCTCTCACATGTTCGACCAGCCAATCGCCGCCAAATCAATGCCACCTGTGCCTCTCAAGACCAGGTCGTGTTCGTTGTTGCCCGTCCGTCGGGTGCCGAGAATTCGGGCATACGTTCGGAATGATCCTTTCCTCATTCGACCGTGAATGGCGTCCAACTAGGCGGCGTCGACAACAACACAAGCTTTCCGCGTCATCGATCTTCTCAGCATATCCTCCATCTTTTCGCAGGAGGTCAAATGTCGAACCTCATGTAGTCCGTCATTCGCCATTTTCAACCACCCATCCTCTCCCCAATCCATCCATCCATCCATTCGTTCGATCTGCCCCGTTCTTTTTCCCTCGTCCATTCGTAGGTCGAACCTTCGTGCTCCTGTCGTATGTTCGGTAGCTTCAGTAACGTCAATACTCACCAGAAGTTGACTAGTGGCGAATCGGAGTGTTGGGTCGTTCCCAATGTCCAGCGACGACCGCCTTGCAAGACCGGCCCCAGCGAGCGCACCCACCGCAGACTCTGCCTTGGTGAGCGATTCCAGCCAATCAGAGCGCGTCGATTTGCATAAGCAAATGACTGATGAACAACAGCGGGTAAACAGCGGGAGGTTGGATAAAGAACGGAGGATTGTGTGACAGAGGACAGCCAGCACCAGGAGAGAGCAGCGATCCATGGAGCGACGCGGCCGTCAATTCCACAACATGTGAAACACGTCCCAAACTCCGCATGCAATATCCGTTGCGCGACCGCTTCCCACCAACAGCTGCACAAAGAGCCACCCACACTTGTCTTGCATCGTCTATACCATCCAGCGGCCTTCCGTCCTTGGTCAAGCCATAATAACGCATGAACCCAAAGCGTATCCGTGGATTTGGTTGTGGGAGCAAGAGACCATCCCTCTGTCTCTCCTCCTCCTCTCCTGAGCGGCGTGTTTATGCCAACTTTATTTGTCGTAGTGTGCCGAAGGAAAGAGTCTTGCAAGTGGAACGACGAGATCGAGAAAAGTATAAAAAGGGAGCTTCGTTTGCGGGATGCCTTGGGTATACGGCATTTTCTTCAGACCGCTCGTCAAAGGGCTAGCCGAGGACATAACCCGCACTCTTCCCGCCGTTTCCGTCAAAGGTCATCCACCGTAAACCCTATCCTATAATATCACCTTTTCCATAATCCACCAAAATGAAGAGCCAACGATCCGCGCTTCTGTTGTCGGCCTTGTCCATCGCCTCTGGAGTTCACGCTCACATGCACATGGTAAGCATCTGAACTGTTCTCGTTCGAATCGTCTCTCTGACAACAATTTTCTAAACGATATCGCGATTGTTTTAGTCCAGCCCATCCCCTCGTGGTGACCCCAAGGGCACCGTCGGCACGCCGGACTTTGACATCAACAGCCCTTTGGGGCCCGGTAGACCATTCCCTTGTCAAGGGAAGCCGGCAGGACCTAGTACCCTGTCGGTAAAGCCCGGAGACACGATCCCCGTCAAGCTCGAAGGAGGTGCATCGCACGGCGGTGGCCACTGCCAGTTCTCTCTCTCATTCGATGGGCAGAACTTTGCCGCCGTGAAAACGGTTATCCGCGAGTGCATGCGAAATGGTCCCGAGACCATCGACGTAACTCTTCCCAACAACCTTCCGTCTGGGAAAGCGGTCTTCTCCTGGAGCTGGGTGAACGCCATCGGTAACAGGGAGCTGTACCAGAACTGCGCTGACATCACCATCAACGGTGGCACGGCGTCGTCGTTCACCGGCCCAAAGATGCTGGTCGCCAACCAGCCCGGATTCCCCCAGATTCCGGAAATGACCAACGGTGCTGATGATGGAAGGGCTCTGTACGGTCAGACCGGGTCCATCACCATCTCCCCAGGAGGTTCTTCTCCCGCTGACCCGCCTCCGCTCACTACCACCAAACCTTCGGGCGGAAATCCCACAACCTCAACACCTGACAAACCCGCCACAACCCCCGTCGACAAGCCCACTACCACAAAGGAACCCTCAAAGGAGCCCACTACTCCTACTCGTGCCCCAACTCCCGCCCCAACCGACTCCACGGGCTGCTCCAATGGCAGCAGCTTCATGGAGTGCGACGGAAAGGACTACCTCGTTTGCTTCCCCGACAAACCCTCCGTCCGCATGCCCTGTGCGCCTGGCACCGAGTGCCGTGCGTTCGGCAAGTTCATTCAGTGCGACTGGCCGCAAGGAAAGAACTGAGAACTGAGAGTACAACGGCGTATTGAGTACTGTAACTTACCTGACACTCTCCAACGAGTTTTGTTTTTAGCACTACATTTCCCCGTCCTGTTTTGCATATACACTAGACACACCCCAATCTGTACACTCCCGTGACATGCCTTGAAGGCATTGCCTTTGCACATACCGTAGAAATCTTTGTACATTTCCGTTAAGGCGTAACTGTTTCTTAGATTTGTATTTCGTTACATCATACACAAGCCTATCATCTTATGTACTTCAATACCACTTCGTATTTCACAACCCCTAAGATCGATATCTTCGCCGTGCAACACGACTCAAACTCCTCGTGCAAACCGCACCATCTCCATGAGCCTTCCATCCCTAATCCTCCAACTTCTCAGCCGGCCTACCCCCCCTCACATAATCATAAGCCTTATCAACCAACCCCGCAACCGGATGCACAACATTCGCAAACGGGGCCCTGCTCGGCCCCGTATCCGGGTGTGGATACACAGGCGCATTCTCCCACGCCGCAATCAATGCCTTATAAACGCTTGGCCTCTCCTCCGCACTCAACAACGCATCCAACTGATCCAAAAACTCCTCCTCAATACTCAAATGCTCCCTCTCAATCATCCGAAACTTATCCACGCTCCGATCAAACAGGTCGCCATCCCGCTCGCTCCGCATCTTATGCAAGAGGCTCAAATATTCTTTGTTGATCTGATCATCCGACACGTTCCGCTCGTAAACGATCCCGCCATTCGGCAACCTGTCCCTGATCAGAGGGTAGATGACCCTCTCCTCCGCTGAGGCGTGTTTGGAGGTACTGCGGACGAGCTCGTCGACGAGGGCTTCGCGGTGGGCGTGGGAGGTGGCGGGGAGGATGAAGAAGGTGTCCATCAGGTGGAAGAGGCGGTCGTGGTCAGCCTTCAGCCATGCGATGGGGGATTGGGCGGTTTGGGCGGCGGTTAGGAGGGAGGGAGTGGAGGTGTGTTTGTAGCGGTCGGCGGGGGGGTAGGGGGTGGGGGTGGTCATTGTGCTGGAGGTGGGTGGTTGGGATGGGTGGGAGAGTAGAGGTGTGCGTTGAAGGCGGAGCTGGGATGTTGGAGAGTAGTGCTTTGATGGGGTTAACAACCGAAGACTAAACGAATTTGATGCAGATTGGAAGAATGGTCTCAGATTGAAGAAGGAAACTCCGTTCGCTGCACGCATGGTACAGTACATATATGATTGCGAGACAGGCGACCGTCCATTGCCTGTCAGCCCTTTTATATGGTACGAGCTATTGAAGTTCTTTTCTCCGTGAGCTGGGCTCGATATAGGGAACGCGCGTCACTGGCGCGTAATTCGCTGACGCGTGAAGTTCGCGTCACGGAGACTCACAAAAGTCCAGATTTCGTTTTCTCCCAGAGCGATGGATACGTCTATATATTCGCAAAAGTCCTCACACCCGTTGGACGTGAGCTAGCAATAAATAGGACACGAGGTAGAAGTCTAAACAAATGAGAACAGGTTACGCAATTGGGCACCCTTGGCAACTCAACGCGAGATGTATCCCCATGATGGCTCCGACAATCAGGACGGAGTAGTTGAGAGCAAGGCCGATGGCATGACCGGGTCCGTGGCCTTTGGGGGCAAAGATGCCGTCTGGTGAAATGAATGCCATAAGTATATTTGAAGATGGAAGACAAGGGAAGGAAGGCGAACACTCACATTCAGTCTGAGCAACATTCCCCACCAAGAACCCCAAACTCAACACATGCAACAGCGGCCTGTACGCGCCCTCCAACTCCAACGCGCCAAGCAACACCAAAAACAGCGGCACCACATTCGTGAACGCCCTGCGCGCGTCCGTGGCACGTAGGAGCTGCTTGATGCTTTTGACCCGATCCTCGTCTTCGACGTGCACGGCGGTGGTGCGTTTTTGGGCCCGGCTGGGGGTGATGGTGGTTTCGGAGACGAGGACGTCGCGGGTGGCTTCGGTGGCGAGCTCGTAGGAGCCGTCACCGATGAAGATCTTGGTGCGGTTGCGGGCGAGCCAAACGCGTCTGTGATTGTTCCAAGGTTGAGTAAAGGTTAATCATGCGGCGAGAAAAACACGGAACATGCGGTCCATACCTAGCAAGCCAAAGGAACCAAAGCGTGCTCAAAGCCGCATAAAAAGCCGTAACAGGCACCGGATTCGCAAACGGATGTGCCAGCGGCCCTCCCCACGCCAACGAGCCGCCAGTATGGTGATGGTGATTATGATGGTACACGCCCTGCGTCCTCGGTCCTTGGATGCCCAAACACTCTGCAGCTGATTCGACCTTGTGGTAGGCTGATTCCGCGCCTTCTTTCACATGCTCGATACCGTGATGAACGTGTTCTTTGACGTCTTCGGCCTTGTGTTGAATGCCTTCTTTGACGTTGTGAGCGGCGTCCTGCACGCCCTTTTTGACATTATGCGCCGTGTCCTGCACTCCCTTCTTGACATTATGCGCCGTGTCCTGCACTCCCTTCTTGACGTTGTGCGCGGTATCCTGCACTCCCTTCTTAACTTCGTGCACTTTGCCTTGCACTCCCTTTTTGACGGTGTGCGCTGTGTCCTGCACCCCTTTCTTGACATCATGCACGGTGTCCTGAACCTTATGCGCCGCATCCTCAACACTCTTCTTAACAGTCTGCGCAGTCCCCTTAACCCCCTCCTCAACGTTCTTAGCCGTCTTCCGCACGCTCTCCGCCGCCTCATCAATCTCCTCCTTCACGCGATGAGTCGCCGCCTCAACCCGGCGCTTGACACCGTCCGCCGCCTCCTCGACGCGGTGGTGGACCGTTTCTTTGGCATCAATCACGACGTGCGCGGCCTTTGCGGCTTTTTCTTTGACGCTTTGGCTCGCGGCGTCTGCGGCGGCTTTGGCGCGTGCTGCTGCCTCTGCGGCGTTCTCCTGCACCTTTTTGATACCCTCCTCGAAGCCTTCGCGGACACGTTCGGCGTCATGAGTCGCTCGCTCTTTCGCCTCTTTGTACCGCTTCTCAAGTTCAAGACGCTTTTTGGCTTCTTCCGCCTCGTCCTTCACGTCGTGGATTTTTTCTTTCCCCTTGTCCTTGGCGGATTTTATGGCGTCTTTGACGGAACCTTTGAGATTCTCGGCTTCCTTCTCGGCGTCGTGTTTGACTTTGTCGTAAGTTTCTTCGGCCGTTTTTTCGGCTTTGTGGCCTTTGCCAATCAGGTTGTTGACACCGGTCCTGAATCTGCCTAGAAGACCGTCCGCCTGCACAAATTTATGCCCGTTGAGCATCGATGGATCACAAAACAGCGCTGACGTAAATCTCACTCACTTTCTCCACAGCTTCATCCTTGGCGTCCTCAGCACGGCCCTTTACCTCCTTTGCATCTCCCTCGACTTTGTTCTTGAGATGACGGGCGTCGCCTTCGATCTTGTTTTTCACGTCCTCTGCGGTATGTTTCACATTGTCTTTCGCGTTGTGGGCCGCGTCTTTCAGCCTGTGCTCCTTGTCGCCGACCGTGTCGTGAATGCTCTCCTCGTCGCTGTCTTCGTGGGTCTGTTGGAATTTGACGCGTTAAATGACATCCTGGCTCTTACGCAACATGGAAGTAACCCACAAACCACAACGCACCTTATCAAGTTTATGAACCTTAATCACCTTAATCTCCTTCTCAACCAAAAACGAATCTCCCTCCGCAGCCGGTCCCAAAATCATATGTTTAAGTTTCGCAACAAATCCCGAAGGTGGTTGTGATCCATGCGCGTCGTGGTGCGCGTGATGGTGGTGATGATGGTGCTCCGAACCGCCGTGCGAGACACAACCGTCGTCGTTGCAGTCGAAATCTTCGTCTTCAAATTCTTTGATGACGGTACGTTCGCGGTGTACGTGGTGGTGTGTGTGTTCGTCGGCCATGTTTGCTGTGATCTGGAGAACGAGGGACGCGTTTTCGACTTCGTTTTGCGTGGCGGTTGAAGAAGGAACCGGTTCAAGAAGCGGAACGTGTGTGCTGCTTAAAATAAGATAACCGATGGGGAATACGACGGAAGTCACGACCGGCAGGTGTGTCCTGCTTTCGTGGGCAGTCTTTTGATGCGGAAAGTTGGGCGTTGAGGAAATGCAAGGCAGCGAAGGGTTGCGCAGCTGCCCTCGCCCGAGAGTTATTTTCGGAGGCACGTGACTTGTCCCCCCGCTCTTTCGGACGAGGTTTGTGGTCTCGACTCTCGATCCCAACAACTCTCAGCATCCGAACGTGGACCCAACTACTGCTTATGTACTGTACAATCAGCATCCCAACATCGACCTGAACTACTGCTCACAACGCGACGAGTCAGCAGGCCTCTCCAGTGTGTACTCGTGCCAAGGTCTAGTATCATACTCGCCCGCAGTCGCGCCGACGGCGCTCCGGCGGCACTCTCTGGAAGTGTCCGGCTTCACGCAGCGCGGGAAGTACCGGGTCGAGTATGATACGAGACAACTTGGTAGTACCGGTCGAGGAACCTACATAAACAGTACATACTGTACAGTTTGCACAGAGCCATGTGGGGACCGGTGTTGTACGATGGATGTAACATGAGAACACGCGCGGTGCGGACACTTTCAAGTGGGGGCAGCCAGCGGCAGCCAGAATTAGGTATCGAATTGGGTGTTACGCTTTTAGACGTCAAATAAACTTTCTGGTGGTGACGCTGGCATCGAGGATACAATAGGTGGAAAGCCGGGAGGCCTCCTCATTGCCAGCGTAGGAACATTGCTCCCTTTGCGTCTCATTTGCGTTCCATTTCTGCACCGACACCGTGCTTTCCTTCCAGGTGCTGAGAACGTATACTCTCTTCTTGACTGCTATGGCGTCTCCACTTGCAAGAATGTCCATGACCAGCCGCATTATCGCAGCTATCCTCCTCTCCGCTCTATGTCTGGCACTTGTAATCACCGTACGGGGGTCGCGGGAGGTTGAAAGCCCAGAAATTGAAGATATCACCATTCTGAAAGGCTTCCTGGGCTCCATCGGCTCCCCGGGCTCGTTTCCCAGGCCACCAGGGGTGGTCGGGAAGCCTGCTTGGACAAATCAAGGAACGCACGTGGGAGGTGGGGAGGCACCTGAGGCTGGAACGCAGGCCCATATCTACAATGGGAGAGATCCGCGGCATAAGGGCGCGGCGTACCCGTTTCCACTGTTTTTGGAGGATGGCCGGGACGGCAAGGATGAGGAGATGATGGAGAGTGTCAAGGAGGTGAGAAGAGGACGGCGGCACCCGTAGTCACTCATCGGTCAAGGGAAGCAAGGGGGCCGATAGGCCATCCTCACATTTGAAAACGAACGCCCTTAGATGATGATCCACGCATGGGACTCGTACGTCCAATACGCCAGCCCGGACGACGAGTTGCGGCCCGTCAGCGCCCGCGGGTTCAACTGGAGCACGACATCCCTGCTCGCGACACCCGTAGACTCGCTTGACACGCTGCGGCTAATGGGCCTCGAGAGCCGGTATCAATCTGCCAAAATACTCGTCCTGAAGGAGCTGAAGATCGACGCGGACATCGGCGTCAGCGTATTCGAGACAAACATCCGTATCCTGGGCGGGTTGCTCAGCGCGTGGGAGTTTGATGACGATCCGCGGTTGCTGGATCTGGCGGAACGGTTGGCGGTGCGGTTGATTCGGGCGTTGGATACTCCATCGGGAATGCCGGACAGGACCATCAACCTCAACTCCGGTGGAGCCGAAGGGCCGCCGGCGACGCTGGCGGAGTATGGGAGCTTACAGTTGGAGTTGCAGTATCTGGCGGATGTGACTGGAAAGCCACATTATGCGAAGAAGGTGCGTATGGTGTTTCCTTCGTCCTGTCACGTCTAGCTCCCGATGTCCGTCGCGCCAGGCCACTGATTTAGAATGGTGATTACGCAGGCACTCAGGATATACGAGATCATCCAAGCGAACACCACAGTCAAGGGACTATATCCGAAAGGTATACGGCGGCCATCAAACTTGAGGAAGGCACTGCTCTCACACCCATTTATCACTGATAGAGCGCGGGAAGGAAACCTTCGGTATCGGTCCGAATGCCGACTCATTCTATGAGTATCTGCTCAAGATCTGGATGGCGACTGGAGATGCAAAGTTCCGGACCATGTATGACGAGTCTGCTGAGGTAAGGGAGGGGAGTGATAAGACATGTCGCTCTACATGACGCCGACGAAGCACCTTCCTCCTATCTGTCCTCCTTTACATCAGGCCATCAACAAATATCTGGTGCACCATCGGAACGGGCGCACGTACGTCCCGGACGCTGACCTGCGTCACGATACCAACACGGTGGCAAAACATACCACCTCGCATCATCTGGTAGGTCCGCTATGAGTTTCATGAATTACATTGCATTGAGCTCCCGAGCATCCGCTAACGATGGTACCACGGTGCACAGGCGTGTTTCGCCGGCGGCATGTTTGCAACGGGGGCCCTGACGCGACGAGAAGATAACTGGGAGCAGTTCTTCCAGCTCGGGAAGCAGATCACTCAGACGTGCTGGGAGGGGTACGAGAAGACGGCGACGGGGTTAGGGCCCGAACAGGTCGGCACGGCGTTCAATACTGACAGCGATGGGCGGTATATGCTGCGGTAAGGGCTTGTGATATGCAAGTAGGGATGTCTATAGCCGGGACATGTCCTTCCCGTACATGCACGCCCTCAACCTCCCTTCTTCCCTGACCAGCCCCGAAACAATCGAATCAGTCTTTTACATGTGGCGCCTCACCCGCGAGCCCATCTACCGCTCCATGGGCCGAGTCTTCCTCACCTCCCTCAACAAGCACTGCCGCACCGACACCGGTTTCTCCGGCCTGCGGAGCGTAAGCACCCTCCCCGCCTCGCTCGACGACGTGCAACCCAGCTTCTTCCTTGCCGAGACGCTGAAATACCTGTATCTGCTCTTTGCGGACGACGATACGATCCCGTTGGAGGCGTATGTGTTTAATACTGAGGCGCATCCGTTGAGTGTTAGGGGGTGGGGGAGGAGGAGGGGGATACCGAGGGGGGATGTGGATTTGGGGGTGGGAAGGAGCGCGGGGGAGGAGCTTTGAGCGGGCGTTTGGGTTTTTGGGGCTGTTTAGGAAGAGTAGAGGCCGACATCCTGCATTTTTTTGGGGCTATAACCGGTTAGGTTCGACCGTAGATTCGAACCATGTACAGTAGCATTCAGCTTATGAAGATCAGCTTGGGATTTCTAGCATTGATGGGAGCATGTAATGTAGCATTTGGCAGCTGAATATAAAGCTTGCCGCGGCGACTCAATTCGCAAGAGGTTCAGCGGGGAAGGGGCAAATAGTATTTGGCAATAAAAAGACGAAAGCGAAAGATATAAGTGGGATATGAACATAGGTAAGGGATTTCGTACGAGAACCGACGACAATGGTTGGAGAAACGGGAAGAGGGGGGAAACCAAACCCCAGCTGGGGTACCTGTGGAACTACATTTTTTTCTGGCGGGAAAGGAAACCCCCCACATGTCATCCTTTTGGATAGTATGAACAAACCCGAAAAGGAATGCCACAATTGCCGACATCGGTGCTTGAGAATGCGAGAAGCGAAGCGGTCCGTCCGTCCGTCTAGCATAAACGATGACTCGTAAGTAAACGGAAAGCGTCCCTCGGTGGCGGAGGCAGCGGCAGACTAGGAGATGGGTCTATCGGTACGGCCGGCTCGGGCATAAATCCAACTCAAAAGGGCGTGCTTCCCGCAAAGCACTGTTGGGCAAATGCCCGAAAAAATCCATATACGCCCTGCCGCTGCCTACGTCTTTTCCCTGCGTCAGCATTGTCGGCTTCCGTAACAGCGCAACGACCCCCAACCCGTTCACCCGTTCTCCTGATGTAATCACGCCGGCGTATTCGACACCACCCTACAGGTCGTGGATCTGTTTGATCAAAAACGCCTTTTCGTCGTTGAACTGCTCGTCGTCTATAGTAAACCCAACTGTGAGCTTCGGCCGCACGAAGGGATACATTCACCGCACAACAAGCCCGTACCCGATCGATCGTTATGGAAATTGGACAAGAAGGTAATAAGTTTATCCCTGTTCTTTTGTAGGATGTCCAGTATCGATTTGTGCTTGTTTGGGTTTGCCACGAACACCTGATTTCGAAGGACACCCCGTTAGCACTCATGAATTACAGCATAAGGGTGCTCCGCCGGTCTCCATTTACTTTGAACACATGGAATGCCTCGAACTGGATGTTTTTGCTCTTATCCCGTAACAGGTTCATCATCAGCTTCAGGTTTTCCGCGTTGGAGATGTATCTGGACATGATGGTGAAATTCGTTCGATCCAAGAGTAACTCTCCCAGCAACTATTCGGATTTTCCAGAAAGTGAGAGGCTGTTTCCTTCGATGCCGCTGTTCAGGCTGAGATCTCACCTTCAACGATTGCCGCTTGGTGACGTAGTTGTTCGAGTTGAGGAGTTTCGTGTATTTCTCGAAGAACTGCAGCAATGGGAGAATGTGAGTCCAGTACGCCATAAATCGCACATAGCCCACGCATACATACCGCGTCATAGTTTCTTGAAAGGAAATCCGCTACTAATGGCTTGTGTTTTGTCAACAAATCCTACAGTGCGTGTATTTGTGAGAAAATGTTCCATTTGTCCAGCCCGACCGATATGCAGGTTTTCCAAGTATCGACAAATCCAACACCAGCGCACAACTGACCTTGAACGTAGCAAACGCATCCGAAGCAACATCGAAAGTCGACAGCTCCACATAATCAAAGAACTTCCAAAACTGGGGGGACTCCAATATCGATTTCGCCAAGGACTCATGCCGGATGCATTCCCGGAGAATCATGCCGCAGTTCAGCGCAATCTCCTGGTTCTCGTAGCCATGTATCAGCGCTACGAGGATGTCCTCGCGTGTGCCGATGTATTCTGATGTTGGGAAGCGGGTGCCGATTTGCCGGCGGAGGAGGTTGTTGAAGATTTGCGCTACGTCCTTCTTGGCCTATGTAGAATGCGATTGGGTTGAGCTTTCTGTCGTGGATTTGGAATGCACTCCCGGGCCTCACCTCAAACTCAAAGCGGGCAATGTTTTGTATCATCAATGGTAGGAGGTCGTTGTTGTACACTTCTTGTGACAATTGTGCAACTTGTTCTGGAATTGGATCACTATCTGCAAAGCAGAAGACACCGGACGACGGATGTGACTTGATCAGAGACCGCGAGTAGGAGTCCACCAGACGTTCCACGTATACCACATACCTCCGTCTCCATATAGTATCGTCTTCATCAATATGAGGTTTTTCGAAATCTCTTCGTTCGCCTGATGATAGAGTAGTATTGTCAGGACAAGCTCAACGGATGAGAGCACCGCTCGGGATTGAGTGAGCTTTGCCAATAACAGCCTCGACTCCGGCAAGCGAAGTGAATGGCCAGCCGCATACCGCCCACACCAGCAGCCTCGCATGTCAGAAGTGAGTGAAGCAGTCGACTCCAATGCTTGCATCACAGTACACCCCCTCACAAGCAGTGGCAGCATTCTCCCACTCCACCTAAACCCCTCCCCTCGCAGCCTACCTTCTTCCGATCCCCAAGATCAAGCTTTGACATCGCATCCTTCGTGCCCTTAACCAGCTCCGCAGGCGTGCGCGGGCGGGTCTTGAACAGGAAACTCATGGCGGGCCCAGTCCTCTCAGTATGAAACTTATCTGCGCAGGACCCTTTATCCCAGTCGCTTTCGTTCGGTGTGAGGGATTGGCAGGACGTCGAGTGGGGCAGGGTTTCTCACGCGAAGGCTGTCTGGAAAGGTCTATATGGCGATCCGCCTATGGGAGAGAGAGGATACCGAGTAGTCGCTGGGTCTGCTCGTACGCTGCCTGTCTATGATGAGGGCAGATGCCGTGGGAATTTCGAGGACGCTTTTGTTGTGTTGTGGGGGGAGCGCCGCATGGTCCGAAATGACACAACAATCACCTTCAAGTCGCATTTCGTAAACCGAAGCGCGTTCCGTCACCGCGACGCCCATCCCACATGGGATCCATACATACATTCCCATGCACAAGCGGTCAACCTCATCAACAGTAACGTGCCTTATGATCTCGTACACTTCGCATATTGGAATGTTGCCAAGTTGCTGATGAACGCTCAAGTCATGTACACTTAGTATGCAAGCAATGAGAAACACAATTTAAACATTCGGCGAACATCCCGCCGCACATGGTTTGCTACATACATCATACATCAACTCCCTTGAGCACCGTCACCACCGCCAAGGGAAGAGTCTAACACTGTGCAACCCCCGATGCTACCACACACATATTTACAATGGTTGGATCCCCTGCGCGTTGACCATCATTCCCAACCGTCTGTTTCCTCGTTCTTTTGCAGCACTGGTCTTATCGGCGTTCGTCGCTGGTATATCTGAAATGGACGTGTTCTTGCCGTCACCAATTGTACTGCTGCATGCTCGGATGGGTGCTCGCAAACGCAACCAACGGCGGAGTTGCTGTTGTCGGTCGGTTCGCATATTGAGGCAAATGCTGCCTGTTCACGTTCATAGGCGGTGGATACTGAAATTGGTTGGGAGGGTAAAACGCTTGCGGTGCCCATGTGTGCCGCCTGTCGTTGTATCGGCTAGGTCGGGTGGTAGGCAGGTCCGGCACGGGGGGTTGTTGCCGCGACCCGTTGTAGGTCGGTTGCTGGCCTGCGACTTGAAGGGCGTGGTAGCTCCGTCTCTTCAATGCCCTCTCGCGGACGGTATGAAGAGGAACATCTTCGTCGGTATTGGATACCCCATTGAATTGAACCAGTGGGAATGGCCGCGTTGCTGCGACGCCGTTGGGGACGGTATCTGTTGGAACCCCCGAGCGCCTTTTGGGCTTGTCGATGTTGGAATAACGCTTCTTGGGCCGAGCGGGATGAGGGGACTGGCTTGGCTCTCGAGAATTGTCGAACGTTGACTCTTTCTTCGAAGGTTCCCTGATGTCCGCAGCGCGCTTGTCGTTTCCGGAAGGAGAGTCACGCTTCATGTGTCCGTTCAGTGAAGCTTTCAGATCTTCTGAGCTTTTGTCGTCTGCGGTCTTGGGAGGAAGAATCGAGGGCCGACTTCGAATGATGCTCTGCTTGACTCGCGCCGAATCGAACTCACGGACAAGGTCTTCTTCCACGAGTTTGTCCTTGCTCTTCGTAGACCTGAGACCAAACAGATTCGAGAATCTCTTCCGCAATGAAAGCGTAGCGCTACTGGATGATTTCTTCAATACCGAAGGTTTTCCCGAGTCGGTCTTCAACGAACTCACGGATGACCTGGCAGGCGGCGGAGAACCGGTTTCGGTCGTTGCCCGTTTGCCTGGCTTCACTCGCCTTCCCGTGTATGCAGGATTGGTGTCGTCGCTTCCACCCGAACTGCCAACAGACACTTGCGACGGTGTGCTTTGGACCACCGAGCTACTGTTCGAAAGGGTGTCGGAACCTGAGCTGCTGATCTTTTCAGGGTATATGGGTGGTACGAACACGCGGGTGAGCTGCGATGTGGGCGTGGGCGAGCCGGTGTATGAGGAGCGCTTGCGGTGGATGTTGGCTGAGGCGTTTGATGAGGCTTCATTGATGCTGCCTGCTGGACTGGCAGAGGGTTGCATTTGCTGCGGGGATTGCGATCGCGTTGGAGAAGATTGTTCCATGTGCTTAAGCGATAGGAAGGCCGGATCCTCGTTGAGAAATGAATGTTTCTTCCGCAACTGCATGTTGCCGTCTTCTGGAATTGACGCCAAGAAGGATCCCTCGGGACTCCCTCCGTCTCGAAAGCGTGCGAGATCTAAGCTCTTGCTTTTTCGCATATGCATGGTGGTTCTGGTCGATGCCATGTGTGATGTACGCGATGAGGCGAGTTTTGGGGATGCAAGGAAGGAAGGTCTGTGCGAGGCGATAGGATCCCACCCGATGCTGCCGGTGACGCTCCGCCTTCTGATCTCCCCGGTTCGAAGAGGATCCGTCTCTGAATCCTTTGAAGAAGAGAATGACACCTGTTTGGTAGGCGGTGACGGTATTTGGCTTTGAAGCGACCTCAGCTTTTCCAACTCCAATTGTTGTTCGTTGCATTTCGATTGGTATATCGCTGTGACGGCGCGTCCACGGACGTAAAGAATGGCGAAGAGTAGCGAAGAAAGCCTACGAGTAGATCGATGCGCATAGGATGCAATATCAAGGAGGCCCGCGGAGGACCTCTCTTCGGAGTTTTCTTCCAGTCCGTCATGTGAAGAGGAGAACGTCGCCGTGGGAAAGCCTGTGAATCGTGGGAAAGTATGTTCAGGACTAGCTCAGAAACGGAGACCTGTCAAGAACCGACAATCTTACCAAGGCAGCCCAATACCGCAAGAAGCTCTGTCCATTCGGGCTTGTCGTTGCCATTCCAGCAGGCTTGCACGGTTCGCAGAACTTCGACAGTCTTTTCCATGGCTGAAGCTTTGTCGGTAGCAGTGCTGGACATTGTCACCTCAAATAGCGACTTCCCCACTTCTGCTAGCTCGAGTTCGGAAGGGTTAGGCTGGTAGCTGAGCTGCAGATGCATAGGCATGGTCCCCGCGGTAAGCTGCTTCACCGACACCGGGAATGCCGTAGTGGTTTCGCCCAACATTGAAGATTTTCCCCACGACTAAGCGGTGAGAGAACTCGATTGACCAAACCACAAGCGATGACGATAGCGTGGGTAAAGGGGCTTCCCCGCCGTGTCCGTTGGGAAAAGTCGAGCTGTCGAATTTGGATGACTTGGGAACGCGAAAGTCGAATGCACGCGAGATCGTTAACGAGCTTTCCCGGTTGATACCTTCTGCGGCTTCCTTTCGACCGCAGAATATGCCGAGACCGGTTCAAGTAGCCGATATTGGCGACAGCAATGTTTCTTCGCGCAGGTTCGTTTCGGTTTTGGAACGGGACCGTGACAAGCAAGCACGACACGCAGGCCATCCATCATCAGCGATTCATCACGGCACAACCAGCACAGCACACACACGACGCAGCACGCGCACATCGATTATCCCATTCCAGATCCCAGTCCATTTCCTGTTCTTCCGGACGACACCGCGGCGCAGAAGAGAGGGCAGAAGAAGGAAAAAGGAAAGAGATGTCCGGAGCATGCATCCCTCCATGCGCTGATTCTCATGTCTCCTGATGAGTCCTGAAGTCCTTTTTCCGCTTTTCCGCGTCAAGGTTGCACGTTGCACGTTGCAAGGATGACGAGAGAAAGGGGATGGGAGACGCGGCGCCTCATTTGCAAATTACGCGCTTGCACGCGTTGGATTCGCGACTTCGCCTTTGCCGGGCATTCGGTTTACGCTCTGTCATGTGAAAACCGCCGGATCCATACAGGGAACGCTGTCACATTTCCCAGCTCCAATGCCGTCAAAGTCGAACTGTACAGTACTACGTAAGGTTGCGATCCAGGAAGCGAGAAAGTTCCAATGTTGCTTTGAATCACTGCTGACTAGTTGGCAGGTGATTGGAGCAATCGCAAATACGTGGCGACAGCGGGATGATCCTGACTTGGAAGCCTTTCTTCGATTGAGGCAGTCGTGTGCTTTACAGCATCAAGTAGGGTTTCGGATGCGGGCCATACATGCTAAATCTCCTCCCACAAAGGAAAATACCAGCCTGCACCGCTTGTCAACATAGTAGCGGTTTTGGACACCGTCTTGCCCTGGGACTTGGTCGTCGGATGCCCGTTGGCGATGCAGACCGGGTAGAACGCTGGCACTGACCGACGGGGACTGCATTCAATAACCTTTCCACAGGGATCTCGAACTTGCCACTCTCTATGGCTTCGAAAGGCTGCATGCGAGGGAAAGATGATAAAATGCCTGTTGTATCGGCTTAAAAAACATATAGATGAACCCAGAAGGAGGCCGCGAGATCCCGGTAAACCGAAACTCATGCAAGCGAACAGTCGTAAATACATGAGCGAAGATTCGCCATGAAGTGCGTTGTGTGATGTCGGAGGAAAAGTGTGCTCGCAAACGACAGATACGTCAATGGACGGATGGTAGTGATGTCTCCTAAATACCTCAACTCTCGTTGGTTTTCTCATTTCCCAAATTTCATCCTATCAGCCGAAGAAAGATTAAGTGCAGGTCATCTTCATGCATAGGCAGCAACTCTCAATCTATTGTCGGCGGTTCCACCGCACCATCGGACGCCCTTTTTGCGCGACCAGGCTTGCCGAAACCTCTTTGAGAGCTATGCAGCAGACATTGTTCTGACTCAGAAAGATGTTAAGATCCTCCCATCGCATTGAGGGCAAGGCGTTATCGGGACGGCATGCAGCGTTAGACGAGAACTATTTGGACGACGTCCGGATGAAGATATAGGCGAGAAGTGGATGGAGGTGAACGGGCCATGAGGTCTTGTGGACGGCACCGTATCAAGGACAAGGTTGATTCAAAAGAATAACAGGACTATGTAGAGAGAGGGCTGATGGAATGCACCCGCTCCATGACCAGGGAAGGAAGTGGAAAACACCGCCATCAACAAAGAGGGCATCTCTTGACGTGCTAGGAGGGTCTGGCACGACGCTTGCAAACTGACACTAAGATTGACCGGCTTTCTACTCGTGCTGAAACTTCCACCTTTCATCTCGCGGAACATAACTTCCTCATACACCAATTTCAGGCATAGCCTCCCAGATCAATCCAGAGACGTCGAGAACTTCAGCAACAGGACCTCCACCAGAAAATACGCGCTGGAATGGAAACCTTGCCAACGAAAAGCGAAGCCAACCTTTGCATCGCCAGAGCCGGCATCGGCAGCGATTCCAAGGTAGGTATGGGTTTGCAACAGCTTGCGGACGAGGAAGTTCGGATGGCGGACCGGGTAGCATGCCGGCATACCTTAAACACGACGGGACGCACTTCGGGAGCTCTTGGGTATCCACGCGTTTGATCGCCATTGATGTGAACCTTTGTAATTGTTGAGAGTGTTTTGGAGCGGAGTGTGTCCAGGTCCAACTGTGCTTGTTCCCTACGCGCCTGTGGCGGAGACGCCCTTTTGCTAGGACGCCTTCGGAAAGGTCAATTCAAATTTGGAGTGGCGAAATCCGTTGTGCGATTCATGCGTGTCTTCAAACATCCGTACATTCCTCTTCGAATAGGTCATGTACCAGATGTCACCATGACACGGCACACCACGTCACAGTATAAGCTCAGTTGATCGTATGTTTCGTACGACTGGTTTTCTGATTGAAAATGTAAATATACATCTCGAGAAACCAGATACAAGCCTGTCCTATTTACACCTTCTCGTCTAGATATGATACGTAGAGAAGCATCAGTATCGAAACAGCACGGACGCCCAGCCGACCAACAACGCAAGACAATCCACTTACAATCCAGCTTCGTCTCAAGCTTCTTCGACTCTGAAACCTTGCGAACGGCCTTCATGAAGTCATCCTGCACAACGTAGTCGCGCTCGTCGCGAATGGCAAACATTCCTGCTTCTGTGCACACGTTGCGCAGATCGGCGCCGTTGAATCCGTCTGCGAGCTTTACAACGGCTTCGTAGTCTGGGTAAAACAGGGGTTGTGAGGAATGGCACACCTCAGAGTGAACAACTAAGGTTGATGCAGTCGCTCAATCGTACCTATTTCACCATGTTTGGTGATCCCGCTCGCGTGAATCTTCAGAATCTCCATTCTCCCGACTTCATTCGGTAAAGGAATCTCGATCTTCCGGTCAAGTCGCCCAGGACGCAAAAGGGCGGGATCAAGGGTATCAGGTCGGTTCGTGGCCATGATGAGCTTCGTTTGCCCAAGGTAGTCGAATCCATCCATTTGGTTGAGAAGCTCCATGAGCGTGCGCTGGATTTCGCGATCGGCGGAAGTTCCTTCGGAGAAACGACGTCCACCGATGGCGTCGATTTCGTCCATAAATATGATACATGGTTCGTGCTCTTTGGCGTAGCCTAAAAATAATGGTCATTTGATTACATCTTCACTTTGCTTTCCAACAGGGGTACCCCGCGTGAGAGCGGTATCAGTACACATACCGAACATCTCCCTGATCAATCTAGCACTCTCCCCAATGTACTTGTCTACAATGGCACTGGACACCACCTTCAAGAAATTACACTCAAGCGTACTCGCTACCGCACGCGCCAAAAGTGTTTTCCCAGTTCCAGGAGGCCCGTACAGCAGGACACCTTTCGGCGGTTTGATTCCAACACGGATGAACAGCTCAGGGTTAAGCAATGGAAGCTCGATCACCTATCGCAAACAGTCGATAGTGAGCCTTCAGCATTTGACCCGCACATCGGGCGCTATGGCAGCCGTACCTCACGCAGCTCCCTGATTTGGTCATTTAATCCTCCAATACCAGCAAAAGAGATGTTTCCAGGGTCCTCGGTCGACATGTTATACACGAGAGGATCGACTTCGCGGGGAAGAATCCTCATGATAGTTAAAGTCGTCATGTCAAGTGAGACACGGGTCCCTTGCTTCAGTTTGTCCTTCGGCACACGTTCTCGGCAACCGACGACATAGCGTGGTCCACTGGAAGCTTTCACTATGACTGAAAGGGTGCCGCGTATCAGTCAGACGCTAAAGCGACGAGGGCTTAATAAAGTAATGTCTTCTAGGAACGTACACCGCTCATCGTCCAGCTGTTTCAGCACTTCGCCGATGATTTGACCAACACTCTGTAATGCCTTGATGTCATCCTCGGTCTTGTCGTAGTCCTTCTCTAACTGCCGCAAGCCAAGCCGCACTGTATAGATCGTTAGAGTTTGCTGTTGCGACGCAGTTTTTGCATGCAAACATTCCAAAACGCACATTCTTTGACTTTGCCTTCCAATTCACGGTGCTGTAGTAGCTCTTTCCGATAGTCCGCCAGGACTTTAGTGCGGCGGTCGTCTGCACTTGTGGTTGCCATTGTTCGGAGCTGTTTTTGATGTCTACTAGATGACCACGCGATGTAAATTGAACCAGCAAACCCCTGGAACGGAAGACTACAAGCGGAATCCGGCGCTTTGAACGGAAAGAGAGAGACACCCAGCTACCCTTTTGGAAGAAGCAGTCTCTTCCGAGCTTTCCGGCTTACCTCCTCTCCCAGTGATGCTATGTTGTGTGTAGTTGTGAGCAATGCTACCAAGGCGGATACAGCGATTGCAAGAACTGGAAGGCAGAAGACGCGTGGCCGGTTAGAAGTCAGTTAGAAGTTGGACGCTGTTCGGCAGCGGGTCATCACCTACGCCCAGACCTACGCCCAGCCTACGCCTCGCAAGCCTCTTTACCCGGTCGACCAGCTGGTTCCACTTTGTCTGCGTTCGTTCGCCGCCACGATACTTTCACAGTGGCCAGTTCTTCCCGCACTAAAACCGTCCATATCTCGAAGGGATACATATACCGCACATAAAACCCCACGGTCGCGAGCAAGCCCAATCGCTCCAATGACAACTTCCCCCCTCCTCGGCACTCTAGGGAAAACAGCGCAGTCTCTTGCAGTCTATCTAGCGTCTGTCCTTCTTCTATGTGTGTGCATCGCGCTAGGTAAAAGCAGGTCATTACGCGTCCCCTCTGCTTCAACGTCTCCTCTCACAACTTGCCTCTCTTTCGTCGCGCCATCCGGATCGCAGCATGGTTTGTAGCATGGAAACTCATCCTCCATCAAGTTCCACTCTTCCGTGACCTGGCCGCTTTTGCTGGTTTTGTGCCGAAAACGTTAAAACAACCGCGAAAGGGCGCGAGAAGTGGGAAAGGGTACGCCAGAGCTGCGATAGGGACGAGAAAGGCGGCGGAGACTGTTGATAGGGAGGGAAGTCAGGAGGCGATTGCGATGGAGATGATTGATGGTCTAGATGATGCTGCCGAGAGTGAACCTTCTTCGAGTGTGAGGAGGACGAGGAGGAGAGTGTCATTTGAGGAGAAAGTTGCCGATTGAACGCTTAGATGTCCTGCCACGATTGTCTCGAATTTGAAAACACATGGCGGTGAATCATTCGGTCATCAGGAAGAGGTATATAGCTGTAAATAGGGGAATCATGGACGGGATGCTGCTGCGATGTGACCGGCTCCTGTACATACGAATTGGAATATCATGGCTAGCCGCGGCTGCCTCCGGGGAGCACCGGCAAGCCAGTCGGTGATGCTGCAGCGTTTTGCTTCTCCTCCTGACCAAATGCTCTGCAGTACCATGACTGCTCCAAAAGGAGATGCACCGCTTGTGCTCCGCTGGCTTCTGGCAGCCCGGTGCCACTGTGTTTGCTTGCATTGTTGAAACGCTGCATGAAACGGCCGGTGAAGGACCGCTCGTTTATACCGTAAACATCCCGAACAGGACACATCAGCGCTCAAAGAATCAGGCGAGTAAATGGGATATGCTCTTGAAACGAAACGACGAAGAAAACCTCTGTCTAAAAATCGATTTTGCAGCTTGTTGTGCTCTGGCGTCGGCTCGTCCTTCTCGCCATATTGGTGCTTGACTATAACGTTATACAACGGATTTCGCGCAAACCAGGACTGTTGCGTGAGCCAGCCGAGGTATTTGGTGTCCGTGACGAGCTCGGAAACCGGCTTCCCTTTGTGTTTGCCGAATGTCACCAGTGCTTCCTCCATTGTGCTGCTATACTGAGTTACCTAAAACGACCGTCGCGCTCTGCCTTCATGAACGTCCCCATGTCAATTTCCGCACCCACCATCTCACCACTTGTGTACCTCTTCTTTCATCATCGAAAACCACCGACAGCCCGTGCGGTGAGCCCGCTGCAGTGTTTTTCTCAAAATATTCGTCTACACAAGCCCTACCTGGGTGAGTCGACTTGCGGTTATTTCCGTGCCTTCGTTTGTTTTCTAACTTTGTGTTTACAGGACGGGCGCTCATAGAGAAAGAAAGAAAGAAAGAATGTACAAACAGTTGACCTCACCTTCGGCGCAAACCACTCAACCGACAGTTGCGTCGGAACAACACATCAAACCGGCGTGTACGTTCACGCAAGTCACACAGCAACTCTTTACCAACCCCACGGCGCCCCTTCCGGATCTTGCACAGTTGTGGTATTGGGGGTTCTCTTCTCGAAAGGATTACTTTGAGTATTTACGTCGTGAAGAGTTCGGTGGCGAACCCGTCACCAAACCGTCCGACGATCCTGACGGCACGTTGGCCAAACTCGTGGCTCAACTTGGAGTGCCACGGAGGCAGCGAAAATGATACTGAGTTGCACGCCGCCGGAGTTGGAAAAGACACTAACCCTCCGTTCTCGGGCAGCCATGGGCAGCCCCGAAAGCCAGGCGTCCACTGGGCGTCGAAGGCTAGGTGCATCCAGCTCCAGCACCGGTCGTCGTCCTGTCACTCGGAGGCGCAACAACAATGGTGACGGAGCCGGCGCCGCTTCGGGAGAAGGGGGCGGTGGAGGGACCGGCAATGGCAATGGCAATGGCAATGGCAATGGCAACGGCAATGGACGATACTGCACCTGGACGATAGTGAAACATCTCGACAATCAAAGGCTTATGGCGGTCAAGAAAATGAATATGCAGATTATTATTTTTCGACCAGGATTTCCATCTATATCGATTATTCTACATACGCCAAAACCGTCCGAGGAGAGGGTGGTATGCGGCAGAACGAAGAGGAGGAAAAACGCCAGCCAACAATCAAGAGAAGAGTACGATCTAGATCACCCGCTCAACGCGCAACCTGCACAATAGAAGCAACGCTAGGAACGCCTGCGGAGCTAATAGCGAACAAATAATAGTACCCGCTCGTGACAAAGGGCAAATCCGCAGTATACATCGCCGCCGTATCGCCAGCAGCGTTCCTCGCGCTGGTCGTCAATGGCACACGCAGCTGGTCGTTCGTAACGCTGTGCGTAGCACTCCCGAGACGAAGGAGCTCGTACGAGCATCTGCTGCCGCAGTTAGTCGCTTGCACGGTGATGGGTTGGCCGATTTTGAGGAGAACGGAGTTGTAGGGAGCTGAGGTTCCTGTGCTGACTTTCGTGATAATTGGCCGGGTTTGGCCTTGCGAAATGTATGGCGGTGTATACACTTCTACATCGAAATGCACATCTTTCGTGCACGGGGAAACTCCCGGGGTGGTGCACTTGTTCTGACGTGTGCCGCCACCGCCGACGAGCACGGTCCCGTCCTTTGTCAGCAGCGCAAAGGAGTGGTAGTTGCGGGCTTTCGCCATGGCGGGAAGCAAGGTGTACGTCCCCGATGCCGGGTCGTAAAGCTCTGGAATCAAAACGCCCGTCGTATCCTCGAAGATGTGAATATTAGTCTGTCCGCCGACAATGAAGATCTTGCCTCCGGGCAGAACAATCGAGTGCGAGAACGTCCTCGGGTAGTTCATATCGGTCGTCCTCTTCACGGTGATGGCCCCACCAGTCGGAAGGTCGGCAAACTTGATGGTGAACGCAGCCTTGGCGGCAGTCAGACCCACACTGCTGTTCGAGTTTCCGTACGCAGTTGCACCACCGGTCTTGTACACCCGTCCCGGGCTCCAATGCACAATATTGCCGTTCATGGAGTACACATCCGTGCCGCGGGCCCCGAGCGACGTGATTGTTCCCGTGACGGTGTTGATGGCGTGCATCGTTGGGACGGGGCCGAGGTGGAGGACCATCGCTTCTCCCGCCGAGTTTTGGTACGCAACTAACATCGCGTGGTTGTCGCTGCGGTACAACCCTTCCGGGTCAGGACTAGGCTGCCCATTCTCAACTCCGCCGATGATATTACCAGCCTTGGGGTTTGAAATAGCCCACGACCCAAGCCCACCGTTCACACCGGGAGTGAACAGCTCGCCATCCCGTCCACCGGTACCGTATTTACCGTACTTCCGCACAAAAGACCCGCCGATCGTAAACACTTTATTCGATGTCGTCAGGATGTTCGCTTGGTAACCCCTCGGCACGTTCATCTGACCAGCCGCGTTGAATTTTTTTGTTGCAGGGTTGTACATGACGGTCGAGATGGGCCCGCTTCCGCCGTTGACCATGATGGATCCGTCAGGGAGGTTGGTGGTTCCCGGACAGAACATCTCGGTTGTCTCGGCTGTCTGCAGCGTGATTGGCTGTTCATTTAACAGCTGGGCCATGGTGATGACTGTGTAATATGTTCTGTTTCCGCCGTCGTTGGTGTAGAGCCAGCCTCCGGGACTGTTGCCGGAGAACAGAAGGATCTCGCCCGTAGGTGAGGCGGCGGCGGAGAGCGGGCTGAGGGGAAGATTGTACACCTTTGACCAGGTGCCGGTTGTTGCGGCGGATAGACCTGCGGCTTGCTAAAGAACAATATGGGTCAGAACGGACTCGTTTGAAGTAAAGTGATGTGATGTAAAACTTACAGGAACAGCACTGACAATGCTGGCGCACCCAACGAGGGTTATCAAAGCAGATGCAGCCCACATTTTCGATGGTGTATGCTCAAAGTATGAGAGGGTATTTCAGTGAATGCAGGTATCGAGGATGTGCCACATCTCCCATTCCTTTTATACATTTCAGATCCTCCGTGCTGCAAAGTTTCCGAAAGTGAGAGGAAGTACAGTTAGGATGTTCGATGCAGCCCGAAATAGCGAGCCCTCCAGGAGAAGGGTTACCAGCGGTACAAAGGCTTTTCAGACCAGTATAATGCTTGACAGGTTTATCCCCGATTTCATTTTGGCGGGTTGCACGTTGAGCTGCCCAAAATAAAGAAAAGGCACCACCCTATGGGTTATTTTTGGCAACTCGGTGAAGCCCTGGGTGTCGAAATGCGGTGTCGAAAAACCGTCACAACAACCATCCGAACAGAGACATTCTTACACTATTGATGGACTGTAGACTAGAAATACGGTAGAGGTTTTGCAGATCCTGGGTTATCTTCACCCCCAAACAAGAGGGTTTTCGTTGTGATCCCCCATTTTCTAGCCATTGTAAAGATGAGACCGCAGAATCCAAACTTGACAAGCGATGCTCGCCACAACCCCTTCCAGACCTTCTTTTAATGTTCGCTATTTTTGACCTCGATACTGCTGCGAGAGTGGCCGATTTTGCGCGCGATGAGGGCGACGAACACGCATCGGGAATGCGGGATGTCGCCGATGAACGATGGGAGCGGACGCACGCGGGAAGAGTTAGTGAGGTAATCAGGGCGCAAAGGAAGGACGACGTAGGAGGGTGGGTGACAGCGGGAATGGGAAGGCTCGTTATTCCTCAGGGTCCTCGTGCCCGAACCGCAAGCAGCGCTAAGTCTCTCAGGCAATCGAGAGGCCGAGATATTGGCAGCGCCGCCGCCACCTCGTGTCTTCGTATCTAGGTGCCTGTATGTACTGTATGTGCTGTGGAAATGTGACAGGGTTGGTGTCGCAATGCCGGGGTTGTGAAGCCCTGTGTGTTATGGAATTTGCGCGTCGGCGTAGCATCTCCTCCCGTATATGGGCAACAGGCTGGGCAACAGGGCAACCTCGACTTGCGAGCGAGCGGTTGATGAGAGAATAGAGTTTACAACACAGGCAACATGGACTCGTTCATTGAGGAGAAGAAAACTCGGCTCAACGGTCTTCCACCCGCCGCCTCGGACGCCCGCCAAAACACCCGCTCCTGGCCCAGAGTCCAGCGTTGGCTCCTCGCCGCCTGCATCCTCCTATCCGTCATCTGCCTCTCCCACTTGACACTCAATAACCATGCCAACCCGTCGGCACAGCATTCTCCCCGTCTCCGACCATGTCCCCTCTCCCCACCCACATCCAATCCCCTCCCCGCAAACCGCAAGCGCCTGAACGCACTCTTGAGCGAAAAATTCGGCGGAAAGCCTTTGACATTTGCCCTCCCCACCAGCGCGCGCACGCACCGCGATGACAGCGACATGGAAAACTCAGGCTGGAGGACGTCGTCGAATGTCATGTATATCCTGGGGCGGTTCGGGATCTCCGACGCCGTCGTCATCGTCGACCGTAAGGACGATACCGAACTGAACGTTTCCATGTTTCTCCCCGAACAAACAGAGCGCCAGATGATCTTCGAAGGCGGGTTTGCCGACCCAGCGGTGCTCGCGCGAGAATTCAACGTGCAGCGCGTGGGTAGGATCGCAGACGTGCCCACCTTCTTGGGAAACCGGACGGTGTTGACGCTGTGGCGGGACGAGTTGACCGCGACGTTGGGCAAAGAGGCCGAGAAGGTTGACATGGTGGAGAGTGAGGAGCTGCGGGAGGCCTTCGAGGAGGCGAGGTTTGTGAAGAACGAAGCGGAGTTGGAACATATTGCGTATGCTGGTCGCGTGGCGGCGTGGGTGCATCGGGAGGTGGAGAAGGAGATTCGGCACGGAAGGCATGTGAATGGTATGTGATGTTTTCTCGCTCGTATCGGCCTCCCTTCCAAACCTATCGCGAGACCTTTGAATCCCTCATACGAAAATCTCCTCATACACCCCAGAAATCACCCTCGCCTCCCTCTTCACCCACCTCTCCGCAACCTGCTCCTCCCGTCTCCAAGCCTATCCCCCCATAGTCGGCGCCGGCACCCACGCTTCCGTCCTACACTACCGCACTGGCGAAAACGAAACAGCCGGCTACAACCCCATAACATCCCACCCGAAACCCACCTTCGTGCTTATCGACGCGGCGGGCGAGTACCGCGGCTATGCGAGCGATCTTACCAGGACGTATGCGAGACATGGACGGTGGAGTAAGGAGATGAAGGTTGTGTACGGGATTGTAGAGAATGCGCAGAACGAGGCGTGGGAGACTTATGGGGAGGGCGTCGAGTTGGAGGAGGTCAATCGGGTGGCGTTCAGGTTGGTTCGCCAGATGCGCGATGGGGCGGTATGGGGTTGACGGGCGGAAGGCCCTGTGCTCATAAACTATCGTCCGCTCTAGGTCGCTCCTCACCGGCCTGAGCAAGCACGGATTCTTCAAACCGGAATTCTCTGTGGATGAACTCCTAGAAGCCGGTGCACTATAGTACGTCCGCCCCCTTCACACTCGCAATTCCCTCTCCGATCACCAATTCTCACCCCCATTCCCCCCGCAGCGTCTTCATGCCCCACGGCCTCGGCCACCCCGTCGGCCTCGACGTGCACGACCCCACCCCCTCCAAATACCTCAACTCCAGGGCTTCCACCCTCACAGCCCCACCCGCCTTCGTCACCCTCAAATCTCCACAAGCCAACTACCTCATCCCGCGCGGGCACGTCATGACCATCGAGCCTGGGATCTATTTCATACCAGCCCTGTGGGAGGTGTTGAAGGCGCAAGGGGAGGCCGGGCTGGGACGGTTTGTGGAATGGGAGGTTGTGGAGGGCTTTCGGGGGGTGGGTGGAGTGAGGATTGAGGATGTGGTGATGGTTGATGGGGAGGGGAGGAGGAGGGTTGTTACGAGGGTTTGAGAGGGGGGTTGGAGGGTGGTTTTGGGTCTTTTGGGCGTGTGGCAGTGGCAGCACAAAAACGGTGTATTCTAGATACAGTGAAACTGAAACTAGCGTAGTGGAACGTCTTCCGTACGCCAAAGAAAAGCGTCCCTCAAAAAACAGAAGTTCAATTACATGACCAAAGTCTCTCAAAAGAACCTCCAAAGCGAGTCCGCAGGCGTCCCAGCCTTGAACCGTCCATACCGCTCACAGGCAAAGTACAGCACGACCAGACCTGCCATCCACGAGAGCCAATACCATGGGTCGGGCAGGTTGCCTGCCTGGTCGCCCCAGCCTGTGCCGGGGGTGATGAAGTGGAAGAGGATAAGGAGCCATTGGAAAGTGCGGTAGACGTAGAAGTGGAGGATGTCTATGGGGATATAACGGAACGAGTGAGTCAGTGCGTCAATGTCCGGGCAAAGGCGTAACCGATGTCGACACTCACAAAAGAAAAACGCCGACCTCCCAAACACAACCAACACATTCCCCTCACCCCCCCACCACCCTGTCCCCCACCTCCCTTCGGCGCTCACAAACCCCGCACACACCCAATGCACAATCCCCATCGTACAGCACGTATACACCACACTCGGCGGATACTTTGTCAAGTTGAAAAAACTGATCACACTCTCCCTGGGTGACGGGTGCAACTCCCCAGGGTTGATGTTGCCAAACCCTTCGTTCAACCGCAAGGGGATGAAGATTACCCACATCAACGTCCCGAGGACGGCGTGCACGAGCCCGGTTGTTCGGGCGGAGAAGTTGTAGGTTGAGATGAGCCGTTGGAGCCCGATGCCCCAGAGGACCATCCCAAGCCAGGGGACCGGTGGGTACATGCTATACAGCCCGTCCGCCGCTTTCGACGGTAGGAAAAACAATCGGAAGAAAGGGTTGAAGCTATCATCGGCGTGGGATTTGGCAGGGGTGTACCAGCTGGCGAGGCAGGTGATGAGGGTTGCGGCAAGGGCGTAGAGTGTGATGCTAGCCGTTGTAGCGCGGGTGGAGGCGGTGTCGGATGGAAGGGAGCGTTTGAGGAGGAGGGTGGTGAGGTACGTGGTGGAGGTGTGTTCAAGGGCGAGGATGAGGGCGCCGAGGAAGATATTGATGCCGAGGGCGAAGAGGACGGTTGTGACGAGGGAGGCGAAGGCTGGTTCTGGGGTTGCAGGGGTGGAGTGTTCGGATTAGTTTTGGCACGATGGGGGATGGGAGGGTGGACTTACGCATTGCCCAGTTCACCACCACCAGGACGGCCCCGCGAAGGAAGAAATGGTTCAAGATTTTGGACCAGGGCCAGTTCAGCCGCATCCTGCTGTTGCTGAAGAGAACGATGCTCATGCCTAATCAACGGGAAGGTATCAGGCTCCCGATACCCACACTCAGTCAACTCCCAGTTTGGTCGTAGCTTACCCATCGTCAGCATGAATCCTGAGAGTGTCAATTGTAAACAAATCAGCCCATATTCAGAAACGGACACCAGATGTTCACCGCAAACGCACCAGGAGCACAAATCGCGGACAATCCGCGAACAAGCAGGTGGTAATAGCTCCCTTGATAATCAGGCATGTTCCACCATTCTTCATGCGGCAGCGAGATCCGCGACAGGAAGTATCGCGAGTCTATTCCGGAACAACACCATATCCATGACTGTCAATTTTCGTCGTTCTGCGACTGGGAAATCCCACAACTTTCAAAAAGTGACCAGATGAACGAAACTCACGATCAATACTCTGCAAAACCATCAACAACCCCCGAACATGATCCAAATACAGCAAACGTGGAGATCTCTGCACCAACTGAGCGTCCGCCGCTGCCGTATTCACATCGTTGACCACCGGAACTTCTATGGCAGCAGGTCCCAACGCGTGAAGCAGCGGAGTCCGCTCGCTCGCTCGGCCGGATTCTAGATCCCTCGGTCGCGGTCTTGCGGGGGCCATTTTCTGTTGGGGAAGTGGCGGATATGCTACTGGGCCTGGTGAGGGAGAGCGCTGGGGAGTGTGCCTTGCCCTTTTTCAACGCCTGCCTTTGTACGCGCGAAAGTGGGGTCGCCCGTCATTTACGGATTAGTAATTACAGTAGACGCAGACAGTACCGGGGGCACGTGGTTCCTTCAACTTCCGCCGGTATTGGTCCGTATGACTTTGGCCGGGGACATTCGGCGCGCAGTTTCCATTCAAGCTCATCACGTGGCGCGGAAAGTGACAGCGCGACGATATCTTACATAAGCCAGCGTCCCGACGTTTGACAGGGCATCGAAGCGGGCCAACAGGTCCATGCACAAGCGAAACATAGAACGATCGACGTACATTCCGTACATTCAGAGAAGGTGTGCAGTAACAACTTTCAGACCTCCGGGTGGAAATGAACCTTCCGAATGGGGGACAAGGAGGCGTTCCGCATTCCGACGTCATTCAATCTGCATCGAAATGCGTGGAGTGTGTTGGCCGCCGAGCGGCGGCATAAAAGCATATAAAGAGGGCGAGACGAGTCCAAGAGAACCTCGGAGAAACCCTTTGAAGTAATGTGAGGAGGCATCGCAGCAAAATTGTAGTTGATGATCTGCATGCGCCAGTGCGCTTGCTTACACATCGATGGGAACGGGCGGTGCTGCTTCAGTTTCGTATAAGGTTTAACGTGCATGTGTGAGCCTCTCCATCAAATGGTTTATTTGATCGATTGGGATGATCAACGTGCCCTCGGCATATGATGAGCATCATGTTTAGGTTGTGGGAAGCCCTCTAGGGGCCATCCGGGGGAAGGGGTCGACGCCCCCTTCGCGTCCAGCTTCGCGTCCTTACAATTTAAGGCACTTTTTGCGCACGCCATTTGGAAGAGGTTAAACGCAACGCAGTATCTCGCATGCCATGCCAAGCATGCTTTTCTCTGGTCCAATTCATTGCGTCATTCGCGTACGAGCAGCGTACCGTTTGATCTGCTCATTTATGCTCGCGCTTGATGCGCCATTTCTTGGCCAAAAACGCCGCTTTCACGTTCATTTGTGCATTTGGCGAAACAGAAAATGGGCGACGATGGCGCCGATCCTTTGTTCTTGCACTTCAATAGGTAACCTCACAGTGCCCGCACCTCACCTTCCCTATGGCGAAGTCGTTACGAATGACACTATGCGCGCTATTATGCTTCAAGTGGCTTTACCACGGCACGGTTCGGGTCCTCCCCTCCATTGAAATGTCCGCGGGCGGTCCGTCACTCACAGGGCGGGAATGATGTCAGGCACATTGAAGGCCCACCTCGGTCCCTACGCTGCAGGTACGATATGAGGCGCAAAGGAGCTCGGCGTGGCAGTATATAAAGACAGGGGGGTCGCCATGCCCCCCCGGCATCGTTTTTCGATATTTTCCAACTTGCGAACAACTCTGCAATCAGACGACGACGTAGTAGCAATCAGGTCTAGCGAACCTCTCATTCACCGTACAGCAGCACTTTTCGCGTCTTGTCGAACGAACACATCTACCTTTCCCATTTCTCAACACTCATCGTCAATATGAAGGCCGCCGCTGTTATCCTTGGTCTCGCTTGCGCCACCGGTGCCCAGGCCGCGCCTTTCTTCAAGCTCGGTCGTCAGGTTGCCGCCGTCAGCTCGGCCGTTGATGCGGTCGTCACGCCCGTCGCCAATGCCGTGACGCAGGCTGCCACCGCTGTCCAGGCGGCTGTGACCAACGTGGTTGGCGTGCAGACTATCTTTGATACTAGGATTGTTCCCGTTGTCCAGTAAGTATTTGGTGTTGGATTTCATGTTGAATTTTTTCCCTCATCCATTTGAACATTTGACTGATCGGTGTCCTGTTCCCTCCGCTTCACAGGCAAACCGCAGTCCCGGTCGCCGCATCCGTCGCCGTGACACGCGAGGTGCTGGCCACCACCGTCGTCGATGTGAACGTTCCCATTCCAACGTTCTTCACCTCGCAAGTCGCGGTGCCCACCGTCATCATCGAGCCCGGTGCGCCTCTCATCCAGCCCACCAGCACGCTGGAGGTGCAGTACGGTGTCGTCACGCGGTACACTCAGACCGTCTACCCTACCGTTATCACTCAGGTATGTTTTTATGCTCATCTTGCTACTGCTCCTCGCAGTCTCTTTGCCTGACAATGTTCTGACTCTCCTATGTGCATTCTCTCTCGGTCCACAGTACATCACCGAGCAAGTCCCCTACACAGTCCAAACCACCCAAACCGTCGAAGTGCCCGCCACCGTCGTCGTCCCGCAAGTACTCACAATTTCCTCAGAAATCCTCGTCCCCACCGTCGTCCCCGGTACCATCGTCGAGGCCCGCCCCTCCCAGACCCTCGTCGCCACCCAAGTTGTCGAGATCTCCGCAGTGGCGCCTGCGCCTCCTGCCCCTACCCCTGCCGTTTAGAGTACAAGCACTGTCATGAATATGTGGGATGGAGTCGCTTCCCCCTCACCCTCATCTTTGATTTGTTGAATATGTTTTTTTGGGGCTCGGGACTGGGCGGGTAGTCACTCATATATCTTTTTGACACTTTGATTGCTCTTTTCTTGCTCTGTGTTGTATTGTGTTGTTTTGGTCACTACCGTGTTTGTTTGTTTTAATATATAAGAGACGTAAAACATATCATCAAAACAGTGCATATCCACTCTGATACATTCCGTCGGCTGTCTATTCTGCTCGACATTATCTTTTCGTCGACATCCTCAGGCTGACATTGCACCCTCCTTCGCTGAACGCCAAAGGCTGTCGGCCGTAAGTGTTCGATGTTTGCGGCGTTTCCGGTAGCCTGACCTGGCTCAAACAGAATTCATACGGCAATCTGGGCTACTACCCGTAGTTTGTGCGAAGTGCATCTGGACTACTGGACCCCCCCAGCCTCTGGCAATGCAGATGTGGAACACTTCAACGCTGCAACTATCAACATGACAACTGGGATGTTCAAATGCTTCGAGTCCTACTATTGCACAGATATCCTCGACCTTGCAAAGATGACCGTACGTCCTGCTGCACAGATCTCGCCGAGCTTCATAGGCAATGACATGTGAGAGAAGACAAGAAAGGCCAAGAATGCCGGGCGCGAACGAATCGCCAGATCAATGGACATATGTGGGAGCCGTTGACATTGGACATGACGAAGTGGAATCCAAAACTGTATGGAAACGTGCACTAGCCAGGCCCGGGTCAATGGAGATGTGGAACATAAAACCCAATGCTCCAAGCCTTGACCCTAACCTCGACACCGCAATCAAGCGTGCGTCCGTCTGGCTATTTCGCTTAGATTTAACAGTGGCCAATGCCAGAAATGACCGGTTTCTCTATTCGCGTCGGACCTCCGCCGTGGTCATTGGTGACACTCTTCCTTCGTAGCACAGCTTTTCAGAGGTCGCCCGGCATCTTCTCCATGGAATCTCCCAGTCTAAGGTCTTCCATCCCATCCGCATGTGCTACCCGCGGGGCTTGCGTCTCAGTTGTGCACGATCATGAATGTAACCGCGAACAAAACAAGCCACGCTTACGTTAGGACGCGTTTTAGCGTGCTTTTTGAGGGCATTACCCAGATATCGGAGCGCCGCGAAAAAGTTCCACCAGTTAAGCGCAACCTTGCGAGGGCTGGTGAGCGTTCCGAGCGTCCCCAAGCCAGTCGGCTATGAATAGCCTTTTCATACCGCCATGGCCCTGCCATGGTGACTCGCCACTGAAATATCCCGGTTTTGGGAGGCAAAAATCCTTATGATCACGACCGAAAAACCATAACGACACAACAATCCCGCCATCGTGCGGTTTTTTGTTTCGAGATGGTGAACGAAAGATATCTGATGATTTAAACATAGGCGGAGGGGAGGCTGAACTGAGGTGTGCAAGTGTTCGATGCTCTTCTTCCCCCCTTCGCTTCCGTCGAAGTCTCCGTTGGCAAGTCTAGTCTCTTTTCGCCAGCTAGATACTCTCATTAACCGTAGATATAGCAGGTCTCTCTCATAGAGCGTATATACCGGCTTCAAGGAAAGCGAAGATCCCAAACTGCTGAACAGCCCACCCATAATGGCCTCCCTCCTCACAGGATGTCCCGAACCCTTCGTCCAGGCCGCCCCGGGCACATTTCTCAACACCACCACCTGCGTCAACATCTCGCCAACACTCCGGTGCTGCGTCCCCTGTCCCGTCGCCAACAGCTTCTACCCCACAGGCTACCTCGACCGCCTCATGGTGCTCTACCAGGTCATCTTCTTCATTTCCTTCGTCTGCGGCCTGTTCCTGATGATCACGCATATCATCCTCCCCAACCGCCGCCGCTACCAGGGCATCCTGATCCTCCTCAACAATTTTGGGCTGACGCTGTACACCGGGTCGTCGCTGGCAGCGTTCCCGAATGTGAAACGCAACGTGCAGTGTGCTCCTGATGGGATCGCGGCGGCGAATTGGGATAATAACTCCGCGTGCGCGGTCCAGGGTCTCTTATTCGTGGGGGGTGTGCATCTGTGTCTGTTTGCGGCGTTTGCGATCGTCGTCAACTTGCATTTTAGTGTCGTGTGGCAGTCGAGACATATGGAAAGGTTCAGATACGCGGTGTACGCATTTGTGATTGGGGGCCCGGCGACGTTGACGGGGTTGGTTGCGTCGGGGAGACATATTGAAGCCCAACCTGGATTTCTGTAAGTCGTTGCTGACTTCACTCTTCCTCGCACCCACTGGGGAGGGCTGTTTGACTGACCCCATCCCCCTATCAATCAGATGCTCCGTTTCAACCGACAAAGCCAACGAACTATTCTTCTTCGTGCAAGCGGCGCTTGTCGTCACTATGCTGGTCCTCCATATCATCACCGCGATATGGATGTACATCGTCACCAAGCGCGCCCACAGCAGTCAGAGCCAGAAAATGCTTTCGGAGCAGATCAAGATGCAGTGGCGTCCGGCGCTGTTTACCTTTGTTGCTCAGGTTGCTTGGTTTGCTTTCTACGTAAGTGTCTCGTACATCCAACATTCATTCATCCCCGAGGCCATCATGACTTACAACGATTGATTCCCACAGCTGGTCTACACAAAAACCTACAACTCCGTCAAAGAACTCCTCGCCTCCGACCCCACCAAATCCTCCTGGGCCGCCGACTGGTTCACCTGCATCGTCAAATTCTCCCTCATCCCACCCTCAAACGCCTCCTCCACCAACGCCCAAGATTTTTGCGCCCCGCTCGCCGAACCCCACCTTCCAAACATGAACCTCGTCGCCTTCGGACTCTGCATCGGCCTGTTCGTTGGGCTATGGAACGTCATCATCTTGATATCCCCGCAGGTTATAAAGGAATGGAAGGTCGCGTTGGGGTTAGAGCCAAAGACTGCTAGTGTGTCGTCGGCACCGCTGAGGGGACATTCGGCCCTGCCTAGTATGGACGATCTGCACGTGGATCCGCAGGCGGACGTGAAACGGCGGCCGTCGGCGCATTCGACGAAATTCTCGTACGCCAGTATGCCCAAAATGTCTCCGAAACCGGACTACGTGTTCCCCGCGCCCACTTCTCCGCCCGCGGCGCATGAGCCTGTCATGCGGGCATCGTCGATGGGAAGGGTCTCGCGACGCTCAATTTCGCGATCGACTGGGTTGGGATACCATCCCAGCACCGAGATGTTCGAGGAGGAGCAGTACGTGCATGAACTGCCTTATCGCAGTCCGCGCCCGCAGAGCCCGCGGACGACGCACCAATCGCGGTATGATAACGCTGACGTGGGGGCGGATATGACGCCGAACGGGCCGCCGATGCACCGGATGCCGCAGGCGCGGTCGAGCCCGGAGCAGCTTTATCAACCCACCAATAGTATCTACAACAAATACTACGAGTTCCCACCCCGCGGGTCAGTGCAGCATGTCACCGAAACCACCTCCGGGCCGAAGGCGGATTCTTCGTACTTGCAACTCCATGTGATTGATGATGCCCGAGCCGCATACCACAGCGCGATATCCCACGACAGGTCGGGGCACATCACCAGTCCCTACCCTCCAAGCCCAATAGCGCAGGGCGCAAAACGGACGACATCAGTACCCGTCCGGTTATCCGCGTCTACATTTGGCTCGCAGTCCCGCGGCGGCGAGGAAGGGTCAGATGAGAGCTCCCCAAGCGACCTTGCCTTGAACGAGAGTTGGGCGAGGAATGGTGGGGTTCTGCCATCGCCGCCGCCGCATAGGCCAACATATGGAACTCCTGTGCCCGAGATATATGATACTGCGGCTATGGAGGTGCGGCAGGGTTTTAGGCCGGCTTTTGAGTATTCGAGTGGTGGGGGGGATCATGGGGACTATGCCCCGCAGATGGTGCTGCCGCCGCCAAGAAGGAAGGAGTCGAGAACTGATCGGTGATTAGGGGGTGCTTCTAACGGTGTATAATTGCGTCGGTGTCTCATATGTACTAGAATCCATGTTCAGGTTAGAGTAATATAGGTAGACGGTGAATCTAATTTGATACGTTTTGGTCGGTGATTTCAATCTATCACGAAGGCACTTTGATCTAAGATCCATCCTCTGGCCTAATGCCCACATGTCTAGGCTACCATTTGGAATGGAGACCTAGTACGCTCTTCGCCACGGCTCTCGGAAGAGCTTGCACCGGCGAGGAAGCATCTCGTTACGCCTGGCTTTGGACGGCTAGAGCCGAGCACCTGCGTGATGCGGCTCTAACGAAAGCCGTTCTGGTGCATAACGATTTCTACAACTATCGGTAGGGTAGCGTCCGTCCTCCGCACTTCCGGCAAGTCGCACACCCACGCAACCTTCATGCTGCCCAACATTCGACCATCGGCCAACTTCGTTCAGTATCCATTTCTCACTTCTGATACTCCTCAGGCGTCTTTGTCGACAACGACAGCGCATGCAAACCCTCCTTCAGCTCCTGTCCCAAGATTTCGTACACTAGCTGTTTATCGACATATATAGCTGTATCAGTTGACAATACTTTGATGAAAAAGAGAGCGTCGCTAGTTGTACCTGATGCCTTTGTACGAGACGCTTGCCTTCGAACTTTGACGAAACGGCCGTTACCCTATATCCCACGGGACGAAACATGCGTTAACAGTCAACCATTGACCATCAACCCACCGACCATCGACCAACCCGTCGACCCAGCAACCGTCATCCATCCACCACCCATCGACCTATCAACCATAAGCCACACATCAACCCATCCAACCATCGACATTCAATCATCAACCCACCGATGATCACTAAAAACCAGTAAGAAACGATCGTTCGCTTTCGCTCACATAAGGGCCCGCCATCGCTTAAGAACGACCGTTCGCTATTACTCACAGGTATTGCGCCTGCGGCGCCGCTTCGCTCGCGTAGGCGTTCGCTCTGGTCGACCTCATTGACGCTCGGTTTTCCAGACCGCCGAACCAGGGCTCGGCTCATGGCTCGCCTGCCTCAAGCATCCCTGCGCCTCGCCTCGCTCGTCGCAGTCGCTCGCTTCGCTCGCGAAGGCGTTCCCTCTGGTCGACCGCCCCTACGCTCGGTCTCCCAGACCGAACCAATTCCCTGCTCGTTCACTCCGCTATTCCCACCTGAAGTGCGTTTCAACTGGCTTCAAACCCTTCATAGCAGCATGACCGGCATGCTTATAGCTCTCGTCTACAATCTCCAGAACAGTCGGCTGTAGTGCCTCCGTCAGCTTGGTTTCGATGCTCGAGTAGACTGGACCTGCCATTGTTGCGGGTTTCGTCGCAAAAGACCTGGAAATGACGGGTGTGCGCGGGAAGGCGACGTGGCGCAAGAGAGAGGGGAGGCGGAGGGTGGTCATGCGGGTGTTGATGAAGAGGGAGAGGCTGATGGGGCTCCGTATTTATCTACCAGTGCAACCCTATTTCTCACCCAAAATCCCCAATCTTACACCGCCGAGCTATGCACGCCTTAGTCCTTCAAGTTAGACTCAGCTTAGGGGGGGGGGGGGGCGATTGGCCACTTCTGTTTAGGCGCCTAATCATTTGGGGCAGTTTTTGCATGTCGTTTTGATTAGCGTTCGTCAAAGGATCTGTCTGGGGGATGAAGATGGGAGGGTCCTCGGTTGCGGGACACTTTCAAAAGTCATCGACCGGCAGACGTGCAAATAACCATGAAGGGAGGCGATCGGATTCCAAACAATTTGGCGCGTCGCGTTCTCCGTAAGCTGCCATGGGAAGACGCGTTTGCTGGCCACTTCTTTCCTCACAAACAACACGCCCAACAGAGCTACGTCTACTGTACTTTCAGCTGTCCAGAGCAGTTTCACCACTCTATCGCTGTCTCGGCTTCCTCTCTCGCTCAACATTCACTCGCTGGCACGTATCCCTTCGGCTTCGTCGTCGCTTATCGCCTGCACTTCCCGTCTGAAACGCGTGCAATCTATGATCGTTTCTGTATACATAACGCCGTAATAAAAACGAACATTCATCATCACATTTGCTGTTCGCTGTCGCTCATTACAATGGTCATTGGTTCACACCGGCTCCAACCTTGAATACATCCACACGAACGGGCGACGGATGATTGGGTGGGTGGATGGGAACGACGGGCAAGGGATGGTTTGATAGTCGAACGAGTAATGACGACGACCGTTCGCTGTCGCTCACATTTACTTGCACCTGCAGCGCGGCTTCCTCCGCTCGCGCTCGCTGTCGCTCAGAGAGAGGAGTGTTTAGGAGGACTGTCATCTGGCTTGTCGGCGTGGACGCGGTCGTCTCGAGGCAGTATTCCCCGTTCGGTGGATGCCACCGAGAGGGAAGGTCGACTGTGGCACATGATGGATGTGAAGAGCGATGCGTCGGATCGCTGGACTCCAATGTCGGAGGGATGGGACGATGCGGTGCTATTCGTTGTGGGACATTGAACAGATCATTCGTAGGACCTTTCCTTTTGATGATCTCCGCGCCGTACACTGGCGGGTCTATCTTCCATGTTTCTATTAATCTATATGCTACAAACTATCGGAAAGGGGAGTACTATCACAGGACATACGGCGCCGCGATGAATATCGTCGAATGCAGGGGGCTATGACGTTACTGAGAGCGCTGTTGAACATACGCCGCCGCGACAAATGTGAGGGAGGGGTGGTTTCCCGTCCAATACGCCATGCTGATGCCACCGGGGAAACTTCGAATCTACCCGCTCGTCTGTCCGCCCAGTCCCCCCTCGCCGGCTGCATGTCCATCCATTCCATACGATACCACCCCTCACTTAACAGCATACCGACTCGTATAAAACGTCGTCCCGCCCACCCTCGAAACCCTCGCAAACTTCAACAATACCGCATCCAATTTCTGCGCAGTCGGTGCCAAATCCTCAACTACCAAAAAAAAATCACATCCCATAACATCATCAGTGAGAAGTTCGCCACCCCAAAGCAGTATAACATGATACCCAAACTTCACATTACCGTAAGGCATAATCTCCGCCCCACTCCACTTCTTCCTACACCTAAACAGCGTTTCGAAGCGCGATTTGGCGTCCATTGGTAACAACGATTTAGGGAAGTATTGGATGACTGTTTTGTTGGGTGATTCTTCGAGGAGACATAAGCCCTGCGAGTGAAGCGTGTGAGGACATAGAGCGGGATATAGTGAGAGAATGGGGGAAACAGCAGCCACCTTCAGCATTTGTATGTCGATTGAGATGTTTTCGGGTACGTGCTCGCGCCATGTACGCATGAAGTTTGCGAGGGGGGTTTGGCGGAGCTGGGTGGCGGACAAGGCGTGAGAACCATCCTGCCAACCATAGAATGCGGTCAGGCGCGAATAGTTACCTCAGCGGTCGCAAGCAGCTGCTCCCCGAGATACCGTCCAATCTTGTCCTCTGACAACTTGTAGAACACTTCTGCTTGCATGTCGTAAGCCATTTACTCTCCATACGATAACAATCCATTTGAACATACCTCCATCCCTCTCCTCCACCTCATTCGCAAAATACCGCAACAGCTGTCTCACAACACATTCTGGGACGCCTTCTTCCTTCATCAACGCTACGCAAGTCAATTCCGGTAGGCTGTCGATAGACATGTCTTCGGCGATCGCGGATATGAGGAGGTATTTGAGGGTGGAGGTCTTGTAGCTTGAATCCAAGAGCCGCCAGCGGCCTGTACAATGGGGCAATATACAGTGAGCTGCGACGTCAGGGATCCGTAAAACGGGCTGGGTGGCCTCGCTTACCATCCATCAACACAGCGCCCACATCCTCAAGCCCCTTCTGTATCTCCGCATCACTAGCCTGGATCATATCCCGGAAGTCGTCCGTGGTATAAAGCTTCATCTCTTGTCCATCCTGTTTCTATATCTCCCAAACATCCCGTCAGTACGCTACACCCCAATGCGTCTTTGGCGACACGCACCTACCCGTCTTGCCCTTATCCCCGCTTCCTCCCCGGGCCCCCTATACATCGCCTCCTCCAACAACTGCCTCAACCGATCCAACCGCGGCTGACACGGCACCATCTCCTGGTAAGTTGTCATCGCTTCGTGGATCTCGTACAACCGTCTTGCTTCCCCGCCAGTGTCCATCTCATCTACATCTCTGACGGACTCACGGAGGAGTAACATGGTGTTTGATGTCTGGACGCTGCGGAGGGCGTAGGTCGTGGTGGGTGTGCAGAGGACGGCTTCGTCGGATTCTAGGCCGCGGATGACTAGGCTGGCGTGTGATACACTCAGTTATGACACTGTCGACCCCCCAACTGCACAAATTTCGTTAAAGCTGCACCCACCCAGTCCGTTCCCCCAACACGCATCCGCCATCCTCCTCAGCATCTTCCTTGAAATACCGATCTGCAATTTCTTTCGGTAACTCGAGGAACGTGAATTGCGTGTCGTCGGCGTGCATATTTGGACTGAAGATGATGTCCGCTTGGAACTCCTCGGGCGCTGCGTGGGAGAGCATTGTGCTGTGGCCTGACCTGCCAACGTAGCAAAATTTCAAGTGAGACAATTCAGCAGCGTAATGAGCGAGGCGGCTGGGTTTTGTAGGGGCTAAGGAAGACTTGTGAGGCCAGCGGACGTGCAGTGGGTGTTTGTTATGCAGCGCCGTAGCAGTAATGAGTGCATTGGCTCAAACCTGCTCTTTCGGACTTTCCGAGTGTTTCGGACAAGTCACGCGGCGACGCGTTATTTCGATAACCCTCTGCTAGGAATGATATGCGCCCTGCTGGAAGAAGAATGTATATCACGACCCGTTCCAAAGGCTGCCGTACACTCAACCTCTGCATTGTGTGATATCCTACCCAGTGTACCGTACGGTAGTGTGACAACCCATATCTCTAGGGCCATCGAACCGCCCCCCCCCCCCCCCCCCCCATCAACCCATAGCTAGAATGGTGCCATGATGTTCCACGTACACTGCTGTACAAGAACCATTGACCTCCATGCGGTTCACATTACTGTTACCCAAGCCATATGGAATTCCAAGACGCAGTCATTACCGGAATAGAAAAAACCAACAGCTTCTTCTTCCGCCCGCTCAGACCTCCAACTGCGGGGCGGCAGACTCGGATCGCACATCCATGGGCGTAAGCACCACCACGGTCGGAGATTTGAGCGAAGCCTCATACGCTCAGTTGCCCCCTTACCCAGTAAACTGCGAGACGCCCGGCATTCAGTATGTCTGGAACTTTGGTCAACGCAACCGATTGCCGACTGGATTGTTGAACGGCCCAAGATCGGGGTGATGATCACATTTTCGTTGTAGTGGCCGCTCTGGTGTGCGGGATGACGAACCCGTCGGATGGCGTTGCTTCGAATGGTCATCAGATCTGGCGGCTAAAAAGTCTTCAACCACTGCTCTCGAGATTGGGAATTGAGAAACAGCGTTGATGGAGACGACGTCTCAATGGTAGCCAATGTTGGTTTCGAGCTAACGTTCTGTTCAACTGAAAGCCTGGTGAGGGTCAAACCCTCATTTTGGTTTGCTTTGGCGACTGGCGATGTTCAGTAACACTCCGCCTTCCTCCAAGATCATTTCAAGGCGTTGTATGAATGAGTCAACGTGCGTAAGAGTGCGCTGTATGTCCGAAAGTGTATTTGCCACGAGAACCAGGTCCGCAATGGGGTTATCCTCCACTTTTACGGGCAACTTAGCGGCTGGGAGGAAGACAACGGCCGGCAACGCGCACATCAAACAGGCGTACACACCCCCCTGCGTGTGTTTCTCAACAGCCAGTCGTACACCTCGTTGTTGGTGGGGCCGACGTGCTTGGTGCTGATGTTGTACGTCACCGCTCGAAAAAAATAGGGCGGGGTGTCGAGCCAGTTCCTTCACATCAGCTCCACTAAGGACTCGGGGTGCGACCGAATGTACTGTACCTCTCAAACGCATCTGAACTCCATCTTCCGTACCGCTGAATCGTCTGGAATGGGTTGCCCTAATAGACGTATTCAGGTAGCTCCTCCTGCTCTCATTCTTTTGCCAATGGTAACACCGATCCGCGCCCACAACGACGAAAATCAGGCCAACATTTCACGTGCGAGGCGTTGTACGCCCGGGGCCCTTCTCTCTCAGCGTGCCTTGCGTATAGATGCTTGGTCGTTGAGCGAGGCGTCCACGCACGAAGCTCCGGTTGGATAAAAAGTTGTTCAGCGTCTGGAGAAACAGCCGACGCTCCCGACGACGAGTTACATCCCGCTTCCAGCGCGTTGTACACGAGTCGGTTGCCATGTCCAGAGACACGTACAGCTCCGCACTTTACTTCCGTTGGGCGATACTCCACCCACCCTGAGGTCAAACTGCATATGTTCTGAAAGCATACCCTCCAGCATGAAGCGAATATAATCAATCGATGCATCGCTGATGGTTCCGTCTGTACCGAAAACGATGCGCCGTCTTATTTGTGCAATTCTCAGTGGCGGTTTAGTTAACCCTTCCCCATCGCCCGATCTGTAATACCCTACCCAGCGAAGGGCGTCCAAAGTGTGAAGCTCGGTAGGTGTTCGGTATGGTGTTCCATATCGCTATCGGGTTCACTTGTATGTAAACGATTGTAGTGGATAACCCTGGCCGCTGAGTATAAACCGATCGCCGTCATCTGAGCTGAGCATTCCCTACTTCCAGGCGCCGTATCGCCGGTGAAATTAAAGCTTCCCACCGTCCTGGCGTCTGCGGAAAGTAGTCCGAGTCCGCAACGATAATGGACGGGGCACCGCTATCAGCCGTCGGTCTTAGATTAAAATGGTTCGAGCTTCCGTTGGCGTCACTCAAGAGTTCCTGCTATTCGGCCGGAGCCGGTCATAGCAACTGCACTATCAGCTACACCAGTACTTTTCCAGTATCTGCTTTCGCTCTTCCTGGAGGAGCTTTCGCCTGAGTCTATATCGTCCGTCTCTTGGTTCCACGCACTTCTCTGATATTTCCATCAGGTGACGCTTTGTTTGGCAGGTGGAGGTGTAAGAACCCCCTTCGGTCGCGCTGATCTGGATGGGATACTTAAGGGCGGTTTCTTGCGGAGACGGACTGGTCATGGAGCCAACGCGCACGACTATCAGCCGATGTAGCGAGTTAAGTGAAGGCGCATAGACGAAGGGCGGGAGACGGTTGCTCGTAGCCTATGCCGTTTTGTGTGGAAGGTGAATGGGAACGGCTTCGGATGAGGTTTGCGATACCATCTGTGAAGGTTTCACACCTCACTTGGAAACTGGAGCAACAAGCCTCAGCGAACTGGAGAACACGCGCGGGCGGACGACTTCTCTGCTCGGCTTTCTCGGCCCTCTCAAGCAGGCTTGCTCCTGTGCTCAACTCGATCGAGCAGCCGAGCACTCCTTTTGCTAACCCCCGTAGCTCACGGCGAAACCGCCCTTCCACTTATACAGTACCTCTTAAACGCATCTTGCACAGCCAAACAAGGTGAGGTGCTTCGCTGTTTGCCACCACGTCAGGAACGGCATATCTTCACCGAAAGCACACCTCCGGACAGCTTCCCAATGGCGGACCCCAGCAATGCCACCACGACGACGCAAGAAGCGGTCCGCCGACCACCCCGAGTCCACGACGGCCGAATCAAACGCCTAATGGAGCTCAACTTTCCGGTGGCAGCGGGCAACCCGGAGAAGCGAGAGTGCCGGTGGTGCGGAGGGCTTTACAGCGTGGGCACGGGCAACACGACGCTCCGCGGCCACCTGAACAACAAACACGCCGGCTGGGACGGCTCGGAGGGCGACCCAAACGCGTTACACTTGGGCTTGGGCTTGGCTTCGAGCAGCAGCACACCTCAAACCGGCCATCAGCCCTCCAAACGCCATCGCTCGCCATCGTCTTCATCACAACACTCACGCACACATAAGAAACAATTCACAGGAACAATGGCAGACCTCGCCCACCTCAGCTCCACCGCCCTCTCAGACCTCACTGCAAAGTCCCTCCAGCACTTCACTGCGAAGGAGTTATGTCAGTTGTCGGAACTGTCCGCCGACGAGTACCAGGCTAGGTTGAAGGTCATCCAGAACAAGAAGGTGTGTGCGAGGGTTGGGGTGGGAAGTTATGGGGGACGGCGGAACGAGGCTTGAGCATGAGCGGGCGCAGGGCTGCTTGAATTGGGTTCTCTTCTCGGTGCCCTAGCGGTGGCAAGGGCGACCAGGGGCGACCGCCTTCGCGAGCGAAGCGAGTTCCGTTGCGCCAAAGGTGCAACAATATGCCCACTGCAGTTCTTAAGGAGCTCCGGCGAGCGTTGATCTTTGGCGGACGGAACGAGGTCCGTCACCAGCCGCTCGAGCAGGGATCGTTCAACCATCGCGTTCCATCGCTTCAGTTCAACCATCAACCGGGCCTGGAGGAACAATGTCTGAGCCCTCCGTTGCTAATCCTTCATCCATTACTTCACCGTCATTTACGCGTCGCTTGATCCATCCCTTCGCATTGCAGGGCTTTATCATCGACATGGACGGCGTAATCTACCACGGCAACGTCCTCCTTCCCGGCGTCAAAGATTTCATCCACTGGCTCAAAAAAGAAGACAAAAAGTTCCTCTTCCTCGTAAGTCCCCCTTTGCTTTCCCCCCTCTCCCAGCCACCCGCCGCTAACCCCTCCTACTCAGACAAACAACTCCGCCCCAACCCCTCGCGAGCTCTCCTTCAAGCTCGCCCGCCTCGGCCTCTCCGTCACCGAAGACCATTTCTACACCTCGGCCATCGCGACCGCCAAATTCCTGCAGAGCCAGAAACCGAATGGCGGGACGGTTTATGTTGTTGGCGAGCCGGGGCTTATATATGCGTTGTATGAGGTTGGGTTCAGTATGAATGAGACGGTACGTTGTGGTATCATAGTGGTGTGATTGGGGGGATATATCGTGCACGGGTATGATGTTCCTGACATGTGAATCTTTGCAGAACCCGGATTACGTCGTGATAGGCGAAGGCAGCAGCCAGACCTTCGACAAGATCTCGAAAGCGGTCAACCTGGTGTACAAGGGCGCCAAACTGATCGGGACCAACCCGGACGTCAATGGGCCGACGGAGGGCGGGATCGCCCCGGCTACTGGGGCGTTTTGTGCCGCGGTCGAGTTGGCTTCCGGCCGTAAGGTTCCGTGGCGAAATCTGTGTGCTTCATAACCGCATCCCTCAACGCCGTATGCCCTCCCTAACTCCACCAACTCCATCTCTCCTACCCCCCTAGGCATTCTACCTCGGCAAACCCACCTCCCTCATGCTCCGCTACGCCGCCACCATCCTCGGAACCTCCAAAGACGAAACATGCATCATTGGCGACCGCATGGACACCGATATTCTCAGCGGTGTGTACGCCGAGATCGACCCCGTCTTGGTGATGAGCGGGGTGAGCAGGCCCGAGGATGTGAGGAGTCAGGCGTATCGGCCGTGGGTGGTTTGTAATGGGGTGGGGGAGGTTGTCCCAAGGGAGGCGTAGGATGGGGTGTGTTGACCCCCCCGGGGTTTAGGGAGCATACCCCACTTCCCATGTTGTTTGCACCTCCGGAACTCTTTGTGTTTTGGCTCTGCCGGGTAGATGAAGCTGGAATGTACATAGGCACTTCCCCGACTAGTTTTTGTAAATCTCATCAATCATCATGTTCTGACATGGACTCTCGAAAATCTTTGGAGAAACTGAAGGTGCCGCCTGGAGCCCTGCTCATCTCCCGAGATATGGTACCGCTCAAATCACCAGAGAACCATTGACAACACCCAAACCTTTTTTTCGGAAACTTTCATATTTTACGTTAACGTCACTACACTGGAGGGGAGTTCACTTTCAAAGCCATCTATGTCTGTCACGAGAGTCCGTCCCATGCCACGTTCCCTTTCCTTATAACTGCCGCTCCCCCAATAACTAATCTCGCTCGCTTATAACTCTCTCTGGGGGCTGTAACTCTTCCGCGGGGGTATAAAAACTGTTGTGTGGTTCTAAAGATGACGCTAGTGTGGGGAGGGGAAAAGTGTTTCTGCCGAATGTCAAAACTGTGGTGGGTCGCTTGCCGTATGTTGCCTCGTCGTACCGTATAACGTGTTTGTGTGTCTGTGTCGTACCCTCGCAGTAATTTCCCATCTAACCCCGATGGCGTCCCGGCGTCGATATGTTCATTAGATGTTTGTTGCGTGTCGCTCGGTGATGTTGTTTTGTAAAAGATGTGTCGTATGGTAGCCGAGAGTCGGAGGTGAATGTGTGCAGGGGAGAACTCAAGGCTCAAAAGGCCGAATTCCATCCCGCGCCGCTCCACTCCACCACCTAGTTCCCAACCGCAACCCCAACAACCCTCTTCCCCATCACTAGCACCTCCTTCATCTCCCGTCTCTTTACCACCCCAACCATCGCGCCTTCAAGACCCTCCACCCTATGCACACCAACCGTAATCTCCACCGCACCGGTCAGGTACATGTTGGCGCCTTCGTCGATGTTAACGAGTGTTCCGGTGATAAGGGCTTGGGAGCCCGCGGAGTCCGTTACGCAGATGGAGAGGTTGCGCGGCGGGGGTGTAGCTGCGATGGTGTCTGAGAATGGTTTGGGGTCGATGGATGGGTCGTGGTGGAGGAGGTTTGGGAGCGTTAGCCCTAGGACGTCACGGATGGTGGCTGTGGGCTTCTCTAAGAGTGTCACATTCGCGTCCAGATCAATGACGGTGCCCGTTGTAGATAGGCCCCAGATTTCTGCAGATCTGGGGATGCTTAGCCGGCGGGGGTGGTAAGCACCGTCGTTTGGTAGTGCCGCCGGTTCATGGGGTGACTCTTTGGGCGCGGGTGGCGTTGCGTCCTTTGGTGGGGTAGCCCGACGAGAAGCCCTTGGTGGGGTCGTAGGCGGGGACTGGGACTCGTTCTTTGCTTCATCATCCATGCGGGGTCGTTTGGCGTTTCTTTCCGGTGTTTTGGATCGGGAAGTCCGTTTAGATTTGGCGAGGTTTCGGTAGTATCCCCTGGCCTTGGGTGGGTCCCGAGGAGGGCACGGCTTCCAGCCCTCTTTCAAGTCGCGGGGTACTGCCCGCTCTTGTATGATCACCTTAGGTGCGCAAGGTGGCGACGCGGCTTTTTGGGGCGACTTATCGCCGGTGGTGGTGCGGCTTCTTATGTAAGGCTCGCGTTTGCTGCTTGCACCACCGCCGCGACTAGATCTGGCCGGGCTTGGGGTCCGCGTTCGTCGACGAATGTGAACGTCGCTGCTCCTATCGCGTCCGCGTCCTACTGGGCTTCTCGTGTGATCTCTTGAGCGAGACCGCGACCGGGAACGTTGACGGCGGCGGGGAGGAGTCGCCTCCCGGGCTCGCTTCTCTGTTTTGACGGCTCTAAGTTGTGTTGCGGATTTGACCACCGCCGCTGGTCGTCGTGCTGGGGATGCTGGGCGTCGAGCGGGGGAAACCGCGCGTCGCGCCGCGGGCGATACTGAGCGGCGGCGGTCTCTTGCATCTCTGCTGTCTCGAGACAGCTTCCGTACCCGGCTTCGGATAGGAGATGGAGAGCGGTTACGGGGAGGTGTACGAGACCGCGAATGATTTCTGCGGTCGTTAGTTGAACGAGATGATCTGTCATGGCCGGGTGACCAGTGTCGTGCTTGTCGCGATGATGACGGTTCCCAATGATCGATTTCTTTCGACTTCTTCGGAGCCTTCTTCTTTTTAGATTTTTGTTTTTTAGGTTGATTCGGTTTTTGCTCTGCCGGGGTTGGTGCTGGAGCCGTCCGGGCTTCTGGTCGTTCGCGGACAGGCGGAGTCGGTGGAGCTTCGGCTGTGGGGGCGACAACCGGTTCCGGTTCGGGTTCCGGGTCCTCCACCGGTTTTGGAGGTGCAGGTTTCAGCTTGAAACCGCGCGCTGGTAATATTCTGCCATTGATGTGGGCTTTAGGTTGTATCGGTGGAGTGGCCTCCTTCGGCTCCGACGGCGCGACTCCACCCATAGGTATTGCTACTTCTGCCATTTCGTTCCTTCTATGGATGCGCCATACGAAAATCGCTGTGGTTAGCAGACGGGTTCTACAAATGTGCAAGTCCCATTTCACAACGTCTTTCGGGACGATAATCCGGTGCAGCCGCCTAAGGCAACGTTCTTCAAATGTTCATGTTCCATTTCACAACGGCTTTCGTGACGATGTTCCAACGTAGCCGTTAAAGGCACCTAGGAACGCAGTTCTTCGGATGTGTATGTTCTATTTCACAGCGGCCTCCGGTGCGCTGGTCCGTCGCAGCCGCCTAAGGCGACTGCGAGGAGGGCATCTTCAAAGCGCTCCGAGTGCTACACCATGCGGACAAGATCACGGGCATCTCCCTCTTTGATGCTGCCCAAAAGGAGCTGGACAGAGCTTTGCTCCGGGGCCAGGTGCCGTCTGTGCTGTCCGCCGCTTTGGTCGACCACGCTCATACCAAACACACCAAAGCGCCTCCAGACCAAAGAAACTCACCTAGACGAAAAGCGCCCTTTCAACACTGTTGCTAGCGTCTGCTGCTGACTGAGTCTACTCGCTGCTGGTGCTGACACTTATTCTGCTGTAAAATAGTACGGTGTTGTTGCGGTGTACTCGGCGAATTCGATTGTATGTTTGGTTCAATTGCTCTGTATCGGTTCTGCTCTGGTGCTATGAATATGGAGCCTCTATTCAGAGGGTCTTTACCGGGTTGTCTCGTTGTGAAGAGAAAGAAACGAGAAGGGTGGCGGACACCCCAGGGTCTCTATATAGTGTGCTGGCAAAAGCAGGCGGTGCCCCGAGTCAGCGGGCGAGTGGGAGCTTACTTGAGGGACGTAAATCTCCGGGCCAGTAGCTGCAAAGCGGGGTTTGCTCTAATTGTGTATGTGGATAGACTTTGCGGTGTGGATAGTATGCAATGGTATGTGCAATGTGTTTCCGTACAGTGGGAAAAAGTACGCTTATTTCGTGCCTGGAGCTTCTATAATGCGGGAGATATTGAACTCCCGTGAGTGAGTAGGCAGACACCTACTACTATACGTACAGTACAGTACAGCACTACGCCGCTCATCATTACTCCCACTATTACTATACCGTGCAGCACTGTCAACCCAAACCCTCGGGACACATGATCGCTACGCCTAAATAAGGGAAGGGTAGTGGCCTTACTTTCCACTTATGCAATGGGCCAATGGATGCGCTTGCTGAGCTTTCTGGGCCGGCTGGTCCACCGGAGGTTATTCGCTGCCTCACAGATGCCACCGTCATAAGTGGCTTCTTAGCTCTCTCCGGTTATAGCGATGCAGAGTGCGCCTTCGTTCAATAATCTGAAGGCAAATCCTAATCGTCGCTCTCTATACAGCCAACACCTCGCAATATTGCAGTTTGCTACATGCAATTTTTGAGCATCACACAAATCAAGAGACGGCGTCCACCGGAGCTGTAAGGAAATCAAATCGAAAGCAAACCTAACCAAACCATCTCGTTGCAAAAGAACCCAGTCAAATAGCCCATTGCCCATACCCGTTCTGGATGGAGATTTTGTTGGCCTGGCATGTTCAGCTTCAGGTCTACGCACCCGTAACGTCTTGAGCTGATAAAGCTCTTTCCCTGTGAGGGAAAGAATGTCAGAAACGTGCAAACTGTCAAAACCGCAGAGAGCAGGATTAAATATCCCAAGTAGTCACGTGACTTATGCTGAGCTATTGCTGTGCTTTCCGGAGAGCCTCTAGCCTGGCTCATTTTCAAACGGCTCTAAGGTCATCAGCACCCCGCCGTCATCACTCCGGCTTCAGATCGCCCACGTCACTTGAAGGACAGGAAGGTAGCACTCTGTTAGGCAACCATGGCTGAAGAGAACGGTCATCAGTATCCCGGTAAGTTCCCCACACCTCACTCCTTCGCACGATCTCGAAAACTGTGCATGATCTGACCATCCCACCTCCCCACGTCCAAAAGTACAGGCAAACGGTGCGACGAACGGCGAAGCCGCACCCGAATCGCAAATCTACATAGATACGAAAGGCGGCGAATTTCCCGTGGACGAACAGCCTCCGCAGTCGGAATGGGACAGGTTATGGGATGCAGTGCAGAAGGTGAGGCAATCACGCATAGCACCACCCTGTAGACGCGGAGGAACTCACCTTCAGAAAATACGGCTTTGATCCCGCAGAATCCCGAAGACTTCTCATCCTGGGAAGCACTCCTCGACGCGGCGGAGAAGGAAGAGGGCGGCCTGACCAAAGACTCGTCCGCGGCAGCGCAGAATAAATTCCGCACCGTATACGACCACTTTTTGGCCAAATTTCCGTTATGTTTTGGGTACTGGAAGAAATACGCGGATAAGGAGTTTGTGCTGGAGGGGGCGGAGAAAGCTTTGGAGGTGCGTGGGAAGTCACGTCGGATGGGCAATTGAGCGGGAGGCTAATGGCCATCCTGTGGGAACGGACAGGTCTACGAGCGTGGAGTTGTGTCGATTCATAACAGCGTAGAATTGTGGGTGCAATTCTGTGCATTCAAGATCGCCAATTTCCCGGATGACGAAGAGGGCATCAGAGGGTGAGTTGTCCTGTCATTGGGAGTCAAGATGGGCGAAGCCGCGGCAGATGGGTTCAGCGGGCTATGTTTTCCCGTTTTCTTTTCCAATTTCCGAGTTGGTCGTTTGCCTGCGCGGCTGACTGGATCTCCCAGGCGATGAACCCTCCACGTGGATGAAGCATATCCAGGAATCGAAACGGCACTAGCGGTGGTGGGGAGATGGAAGTGGCGGTGGTGGGGACGCACTGATGGGAGGGGAACAGTGGCATTGGGGACGTCGCCCTTAGACGTACGAGCACGCTCGGGACTCACGCCATCCAACGGACCAAACCTGCTTGTAGCAAGTAATATTTGGGGACTTTGCTGCGCTTTTTCTGCTTTTCCGATGTTCTCTCCTAAGGCAGTTGGCTGGCAATCACTAATCAATTGTCCGCGCTTCCCCGTTTATAGCATCTTCGAACGCGGCGCAGAACAAGTAGGTAACGACTACCAAAGCCACTTTTTCTGGGACAAATACCTCGAATGGACCGAATCGAAGGGCGACCGGCTCGCTATGCTCAAAGTCCTCGAGCGGGTCATCACTATTCCGCTGCATCACTACGCTAAATACTTCGAAAAGTAGGATCTGACATAGGATGCAGGGTGGGAAAGGCGATGGTTGACAGTTACTGGTTTTGTTCTCTGTAGGTACTCGTCGGTTTGCGCTAGCTTGCCTGTTACGGATTTGGTTACGGAGGAGGAGTACGCAAAGATCGAGGCGGAGATCCGTAGCCAGCCGAAACCGGAAGGCGAGGAGGCCACTGCAGAAGCATCCGTTGAGAAGGTACTTACTTCATATGTTCATTTCCATCCGCAAAACCATGCAACGCCGTAATCTAACTCCGTCCACCCTGGTCCATCCCACAGTCGGAAGAGCAACTCGAACCCCTCCTCCGCGCCAAAATCCACGAACTCAAAACCCACATCTACATGTCCACCCAGGAAGCCGTGCACAAACGCTGGGTCTACGAAGGCGAGATCAAGCGCTCCTATTTCCACGTCAAACCGCTCGACGAGTCCCAATTGGCCAATTGGAGGCGGTATCTGGATTTTGAGGAGGCTGAGGGGGTGGAAAGTAGGATATATGTGCTTTATGAGCGGTGTTTGGTGCCTTGTGTGAGTGACTGTGGTTTGGGTTTTGGAGGTGTGCGTTACGGTGGGAGGGAGCTAATGTGGATTGGGATCGTGCAGGCGCTTTATGAAGAATTCTGGCAACGGTACATACGGTTCGTCTTGTCGCGGAATGATCCAACGGGAGTCAGGAATGTGTTCATTCGGGCGACGAGCATCTTCGTACCAGCGGGGTAAGTCTCAATATATTTCGCAATGTCTCTAGCTCGGGTGCTTATCAGTTTCATTGTTTCAGGCGTCCCACCGTCCGTCTGTCGTACGCGGCCTTCGAGGAAGAACAGGGACACATCGATGAGGCGCGGGCAATATACCAGACTTTGCTTCAGAATGGTTAGTAGATGTCAATTCTATCATACGCGAAAGCACATAATTAATCATTCTATTCTACCAGTCCCCGGCCATCTCGAGACACTAACAAAATACGCGCACTTCGAGCGTCGCCAGAGCGGACCCGACCGGGCGCTGGAGATATTGAGCGAGGCGGTGGAAAGCGTGACGAGTGAGGATGCGAAGGCGTATTTGGAGGTGCAGAGGGTTAGGGTGCGGTATAACGTAAGTCACACAAGACCAAGGTAGTGGTGAATGATGTGATGTGGATGTTTACGGATGTCTTCTGGGTGACGCTGTGCAGGTAAATCAGAATGCGGAGGAAGCTCGAACTGCGTACCAGGAGGCGGCGGCAAAGTATGGCAGTAGTAGATACTTGCTTTCGGCTTATTTGTCGTTTGAGATTGAGCAGCGGGGTATGTTCCAAAATCTCGCTTTATCGACATCACCCGACGTTCACTAAACCACCCTTCTTCCCTCCCCCAAAACAGACGCCAAATCGATCCACCACACAACAACAGCCTGGACACACATAAAATCCACCCCCCTCCCCGCCGAAGACAAACGTACACTCGGCCTGCGCTACCTCGACTACCTCACCGAACACCCATCAACAACCATCGGGCAGATCAACGCGGTCGATTTGGAGGTGCATCGCGAGTTCATGGATAAGGCGGGCGAGGCGAGCAGGAAGAGAGGGTTTGAGGGGGATGATGTGGAGGGGAGGCCAATTAAACAGGTTAGGGGGAGCATTGGTGGTGGGGTGGGGGGGTTGGGAGTGCAGAGTCCTGCGACGCCGGTGGGGTATTACCCGCCGACGCAGCCGGCACAGCAGGGGTATGGGGCTTATGCAGGGTATGGGGCTCAGGTAAGAATCATTCCAAGGCGTTCCTTTACCGCTATCTTGCGAGACTTTGACATTCGTTCTTCGTTCAGGCATATGGAGCAGCATACTACGGCGCGGCAGCAGCGACACCCGCGGCACCGCAGGCGTGGGATTATTCGCAGCAGGCAGCTACTGGATACTGAGAGTGAAAGCCCCACGGTACGCTCGAAGATGAAAATGCCGGATGTATGTAGCCGTGTATGTTTTATGTACATGATGTATAAAACGATTGAATGCGAGACGGGTTGTGTTGTCCGATGGGAGTGCCGCCGCTGGGTGGACAAAGTCCCGACAAACGCGTGTGGGGGGGTTGACTCAGGACTGACGGGGAATGCGCAGTTCTGTCCAGAAGTTGGGGCGATCCTTATCTCTCGCGCGTCACCACATAACACAATATGGACTGCATGTGCGTAATATCGACCGCTTTTCCCCAACGCGCAACATGCAAGGACCCTAGTGAAACACGGTGCATAAAGCGACCCGCAACGACGACTGGCGCTTCTTCAACGCTCGTCGAATACAGTCACAGCAAGCCGGCCTCTCTGCGACTCCTACCGGCTCAACGCTTCGTCACGTTTCGGTCCAGCCAGTTTGGGGAAAGGGAACACCCTCCTAATACCTACAGATAATTCTGTCGACCCCTTAGAACCGCTCAACCGCCTAGCTGGACGTAATAGTGCTGCCAATTCACAGAAGAAGCAGCTGGAAACCCTCACCGAAACAGCAATACCTGCAGCGTCAACCCACTCTCAAAGACCCTTTTAGCCGTTTGCGTCGTTCGCGAAACGAAGAATGTCTGCTATGGCTCCCAGCTGCGCATGGCGGCCCACCACCACCACGATATCAACCGACAACAACAAACCCTCAACAGACCTCGTCCCCGCCTCCACCCGCTTCCCACCCTCAGTCACCTCCGAACGAAGAAGCAGGAAACCCTCCCAGTCCGCCGTGCTGTGCGCGCCATGTACCGTGACCGTCTCCTTTGTGCCGTCTACTGAGGGAGGTGAAGGGGAGACGATACGGAGGTGTCCGACGGCAGAGGCACGTAGGGCGGCGCTGTTCCCGAATCACACCTCCCAACTCCAGTACTCTATCCATAAACCGGGCCGTCATCTGAGGAGGGAGTTGGCGCTCGTCCTCCCCGACGCCCTCGACAAGAGTGCTGGGGGAGGCACCCCATTCCCAACCGCAGCGCAACTCCGCCCCGATCTACTAGTGATCCCCCTCTTCCAACAATCCGCACATGAACTAGTAGCAGTAACCCCCGAAACCAACTGGGAACGCGACCTCCTCCTCGACTACGTCCACTCCCTCGCCACCCGCATCGTCGCCATCCTCTCCGCGCGGGGATACTGGGCCGACCTCACCGACCCTGCGTCCGGCTACCCCTCCTTCAGCTCCCGCGGGACGTCGTTGTACCCGGATGTGGATGGTGCCGCGAGCTTGTTGAGGTATGCGACGGTGCAGGCGGGGTGTTGTAGAGTGCTTGTGCATCCGAAGTGGGGGACGAGGAGTTATCCGAGTACGATGTTTTGTGCCGCGCCGGTGGAGGTTGTGAGTGAGGTTGTGAGGGACGTTTGCGGGAGGAAGGTGCCGTTGGTGCAGGTGCGGTAGAGGTGGGCAGAGGGGACGTGCGTGTGTGTGGATGGGGGTTTTTTTTTTGGGATGTACTATACCGTTGGATAATCAGTGGGAGTGTAAGGGATGTGTAGAAGGATGTTATTGTTATTGCACATTTGGCAAAGAGACTGTGAATGAGACATCTTAGTTGAGCAAAGTGGATACCGCCATGGTTCTGCTCCTTCGTCGCATAGTTGCATCTGGTGGCGCCCATATTTTTGTCCCATCAGAAGAAACGGTTTCGCAAGTACTGTACATGCAGATAGATCGACCTCCTTTTGGACTGTCGGCGACGGGATGGCGGAGTTGATGCGGTTGATGCCAGTCGGTTTTGGCCAGCATCTCTAGCGTTACTCACGCCCGAGCCTTCCATGTCCTGATCGGCAGGCAGCACATGAAGAAAGCGTCACATGAGGGGCCCGTCTTGGGATCATTGGGATGTCAGTCTTGCACGCGCGTCGCCCGTAAAATCATCTGTGACCGATTGACCGGCCGGCTCGACCCGTTGCTTCCCTAGGGGGTTTTCCCAGAACCTCTTTATATCCCTCGCTGCTCAGTCCCCGAGTCGCTCAGTCCCACACACTCTGCACTGCATTGGAAGTCACTCTCCTAAACACCCTCGCTCCTACTCAAACAGCGCAGTCATGTCCGATAACGTTGCTCACGCCCTCGCTGGTATGTTGTGTGGTTCCTGCTACTGTATTTACGCGCCCCGAGATGGGTGGTTTTGATCTCGGGGGGGATGTGACGAGGGCGGGGATGGAGAATTGAGACGGTGGGCGTGGGAGCTGGGGCATGAATATTGTTCTCCCGTTTCGGGATGTTTGGGAGCGGGTGAGAGTGATTGGTGCTGACGGTGATTCTCGTTTTGGGATTTGCGTGATCTCTCTTTTTAGGTGCCGGTGGTGGTATGGTCAGGTAAGAACCGGTCCCTCTTTCCTTTTCCGCTATGCTCTGAGAGGACTTTTTGCTAATTATTCCGCCCCCTTTTCAATCCCGTTGCGTACGTCGTGAACTCAGTATGGCCTTGACGTACCCTTTGACCACGCTGTCGACCCGGTCGCAGGTCAGCAAGGGCGGAAACCGGCCCAGCCAAGCCGATGTGCTGAAAAAGGTCTTGAAGGAGGAGGGGCCTAAGGGTCTTTACTCGTGAGTATTGATAGCGTTTCCATTGCCCACAAGCATCTTCATTTTAAATGAGCGCCCGTCCCGTATTTTCAACAGCGGCATCAACTCCGCCATGTTCGGCATCGCCATCACCCAATACGTGTACTACTACTGGTACGAGTTCGTCAAAGCCGCCCTCGAGAAAGCCGCCGACAACAGGTCTCTCACCATCGGCGAGAACATGCTCACGGGCGCCCTCGCGGGAGCCGCCACGGCAACGCTCACCAACCCGATCTGGGTCGTGAATACCCGCCAGGTCGTCAAGAAGAGCGATGATGAGAGTGGGAAGACGGTGGTGAAGAAGTTGGGGACTATCCAGACTGCTAAGAAGATTTTGAGGGAGGAGGGGCCTAAGGGGTAGGGTTTCATTTCGAAATTGGTGGCCTTGATTGCCGTGGGAGAACCACAGACTAACAAGTTTCCTTACTCCGCCCTGAATAGATTCTTCCAAGGCATCCTCCCCGCCCTGATCCTGGTCATTAACCCAGTGATCCAGTTCACGGTCTTTGAGCGTCTGAAGGGCTACCTCCAGAAGCGCAAGCCAGCCCTCAGCGGCCTCGATTTCTTCATCCTGGGCGCCATCAGCAAGCTGGCCGCAACGTCCATCACATACCCTTACATGTAAGTCTGAACTTTCCACGCGGTCTCACCGCCAAGGCAAGTAAACTAAACTATGTCTCACCTCCCAAAAACCCAGCGTCGTAAAATCGCGCATGCAACTCAAACAATCCACCGACGACAACCTCCGCTACAAGTCCGTCCTCGACGGGTTCCAGAAGATCATCCGCACCGAGGGCGCCAAAGGGCTGTACAAGGGCATCGAGTCCAAATTGCTGCAGAGTGTGCTGGCGTCCGCGTTCACGTTTGCGTTCAAGGAGGAGTTTTTCAGCACCGCTACGTGGCTTTTGGTGCTTTTGAGGTTGAGGACGGGGGCTTTGCCTGTCGGCGTTGCTGGGACTGATAAGTAGCGGGGGAAAAAGAGAGGAGTGCGGGGAATGGTGGGTGGAGCCGGGAGAGCGGAGAAGCGGAATCGCTGAGAAGGCAGATGAGGCGAGGGTTAATGCTTACGCCGGCCGGTGGACACCCGTTTTGACCCTCCCCGTCCGCCCGAACCCCACCACCCCCTCAGAACAATGTGTACATCATAGCCCTCTCTTGCTTTGTTTCTCTTGGTTTGCTTTGTGTAATTTTCTTCGTGTTGGACCGTACCTTGGTTCGGTTCAGAATTCTTCATATATTGGAAAAATATGGTCAACCTACTATATGCTATGGGAGTGCGCTGCCAAACCCGATGACATCTCTACATACGCTCTTCCCTTGCCTACGCGTCCTATCCTAATTCAAGCTATTTACAAAAAAAAAAGTCCGCGACACGAAATCCTGATTCCTGTACAGTACGTTCACGCCGAGTTTGTGCTGGGAAGCGCCTGATAGTTCAGATACTACGGTCGCTGCATTTCACTCAAGTACGGGTGTACCGCCTCACTGAATCGAGCAGCAACCTTAACCCCCCCTCGGACTCTCTGAACAACAGGCTCGGCAGCGGGGCCCCGACCAGGATCGGGTAAACATGCACACAGCGCGGTCCCCTGATGAACGTAAACTCGACTCCCGCCTTCTTCAATCTATCGACAAAGGTTTCTGAATCCAGGTAGAGCATGTCGTGGGTGCCCGTGATCAGCGTGACCCGAGTGCCCGCTTTCGCAAGGAACGCGAAATCGGGCGCAAAGAGCGGGGACGCCAGCGGGTGTTGCATGGCTTCCAGATGTGCGTCCGTGCGCGCCTTGGGCGGCGAGTTTGATTCCAGCAGGAACTGGTCCATCGGGAGCGGGCCCGTGGCCCAGTAGGGCCCGAGGCGGTGGGCGGTCTCGAGTTTGAGCCAGGGGTCGAGTTTCGCGTACCTTTCGATGTCCGGGTGCGATGCGGTCAGGTCCAGCCAGGGGGCGATGAGCACGAGTTGGTCCGGGAGCGGGGCGGTGGCTTGGTGCAGGGCTAATGTGAGGGCGACGGAGAGACCGCCGCCGGCGCTGTCGCCTGCGACGATGACCTCGTGGCCGTGGGTCTTTGCTTGGGCGTGGACGGCGCGGAACACCTCGACGAGGTTGGGGATCACGTCGTGGACGCCGCCGTAGGGGATCATGGTGTACGTCTGCACGACGATATCGGCGTTGAGGTCGTTGGCGAGGCGCGCGACAAAGTTCCAGTGGACGGGAGTGAGAGCATTCTGGTAGGCACCTCCGTGGAGATAGAAGACGGTGCGTTTGGTCTCCGAGGTCGGGATGCGAGAGCGTCTGAGATGGAGGGGTGTCCACTCCGTGAGGTGGGTGGCGATGCTGGGCGGGTGCGAGCCAAAGTCGTAGCGTGTGACCTCTACGCCGAACTTGTCGGAAAGACTTTTGGGGATGGCCTGGGTTGCATCGTGAGGAAAGGCACCCGTTGACAGCATGCCTTTCCGACCACGGGCAAAGAGCCTGACGATGATGCTCGTGATGAAGGTGGACCACCAGGAGGTCGACTGGGTCAAGACAGTCGCGGTGCCAGCCATGATGGGGGATTACTTTGGGGGCGGGAGTAGGTGCTACTAGTAGCTAGCTAGAGCGGTGATGGAGGAGGATGTCGAGTGCACGCTCCTTCCCGCTGGCCGTGAGAAGAAGCGAGGCGAGCAGGTGCTCCCATGACATGACAATCAGCCGGCGCCTGACCAGCGACCCGGAGTGCGGGACAATCGCCAGAACCGGCGGTACTAGCAAGGCGACATATTTCGACAACTTCCGTGCATATTGCGGTCGTTGTTGGGGACATGAACCCACTTCCTAAACGAGCAAGGACACCCGTGTCCCAACCAGTGCGGAGATGGTCCGTGCAGCGACGAACTCGGCGGCTCACTTTATTGGAGGTTACAACGGGGTTGGGACCAAAACATTTTTCGTTTTTGGATACAGAGATGTAGAAAATATATAGTCACTGGGAGCACGGACTATCACGGGCCTGTTCTCTAGATCATGGGAGCACCTGCTCGCCTCGCCTCTTCTCACGGTCAGCGGGAAGGAGCGTGCACTCGACGAGAGAAGAAGCGAGGCGAGCAGGTGCTCCCATGACATGACAATCAGCGGGCGCCTGACCAGCGACCCGGAGTGTGGGACAATTGCCAGAACCGGCGGTACGAGCAAGGCGACATATTTCGACAACTTCCGTGCATATTGCGGTCGTTGTTGGGGACATGAACCCACTTCCTAAACGAGCAAGGACACCCATGTCCCAAGACTCCCAACCAGTGCGGAGGTGGTCCGTGCAGCGACGAACGCGGCGGCTCACTTTGTTGGAGGTTACAATGGGGTTGGGACCAAAAGGTTTTTCGTTTTTGGATACAGAGATGTAGAAAATATATAGTCACCGGGAGAACGGACTATTACGGGCCTGTTCTCTAGATATCCGTCGCACCCCGGAAGCCCCTTGAATTTCAAGATAGATAGATGCATCCAAAACCAATAACCAACGGGGGCACAAAGATCCGTCGGTTGCATTCAATGATTTTGTGTATCGTAAGCTTGTATTGAGTTATATACAGAAAGAAGCAGAACTTGTATTAAAAGCTACAGAGAAGAGTGTCTGGGCATAGCAAGAAAAGTAAAGGAACAAAGACCGAAACGTCCAAAGTACAAAAAAAAGTCCCTATAATAATAACAAAAAGTCCGTCAAATATCCTCAACACTCTCCACCACATCACCACCATCCCCATCCCCCTCCGCCCTCCTCCTCGCCACGTCCCTCAACAACCTCGCATTCGCCGGGCCCGTCGCATCGGCCAACTTCCCAAACAAACTCCCCTCCCTACTCAGCAGCACATGCGGCGCATCAAACTCCACCAACACGCCCGCATCCAGCACCAGCACTTTATCGAAATCGGCGATCGTGTTCAACCGGTGCGCGATCGACAGCACGGTCGTGGCTGCGAAATGCGTGCGGATGGACGTCTGGATCAACGCATCGGCCTGCGCGTCCACCGACGCCGTCGCCTCATCCATGACCAAGATATTGGGCCTGTTCAAGATCACGCGGCCGAGACACAGGAGCTGGCGTTGGCCGACGGACAGATTCTCGCCCTTATCCGCGACGGGGCTGTCGAGCTTCAGCGGCAACGACGCGACAAAGGTGTTGAGGTTGATGCGCTCGAGCACGGCCCAGATCTGCGCGTCGGTGAACTCGTCGCGGAGGTCGAGGTTGGACCGCAGCGTGCCGGAGAACATGATCGGTTCCTGCGGGATGATGCTGAGCCGCGAGCGGAGCGTCTCGAGCCCCAGCGTCGCAATGTCCGTGCCGTCGATGGTGATGGACCCCTGCGTCGGCTCCACGATGCGGAAGAGCGCAGTGAGGAGGGTGGATTTGCCCGAGCCTGTGCGGCCGACTATCCCGATCTTCTCGCCGGGGGAGATCGACAGCGTGAGGTTGCGGATGACGGGCTTGTCGGGGACCGACGGGTAGCGGACCTCGAGGTTTGTGATCTCGATCGCGCCGCGCGTGGGCCACGTGCCTGCGGCGGGGTCGGTGGGGAGGAGCGCGCGGGCTTCCTCCGGGGTATCGTTCGCGTACTCCTCGAGGCGTTCCACCGAGTTCATGTTGGATTCCAGGAAGGCGAACGCGCGCAATAACATGTTCAGGAACAGCGTGAGCGGGACCGCGTAGTTGAATGCGAGCCCGGCCGCCGCGGCGGAGATGACGTGGTTGACGGCCAGGAGGGCGAGCATGAAGACCAACAGACCCGTGAAGATCTCCAGCCGGATCCCGATCCACACCGACGCGGTGTACATGAGGTAGTACGGCGAGTTGGACGCATCGAGCAGTCGGCGCTGGCGATCGACGAAGCGGCTTTCAGCCTTGTACGCGCGGATGGTCGGGATCCCTGTCAGTGTCTCGCTGAGCTGGGCGTATAAGGGTGAGCGGATGACGCTGTCGAGGCGTTTGAGTTCACGGAAGGAGGCGCGGTAGAACCGCAGCACGTAGAAGAAGGTGAGGCCGAACGGAAGGAAGCCGAGCAACATGTACGGCGAGACGATGGCAAGGAGGATGATACTGCCGAGGATGTTGAACACGGCCACGCAGGTTCCAAAGATGTTCCCCCACAACCGCTGATCAACCGCCTCCACATCCTTCGAGAATCTGTTCAGCAACCTCCCAACAGGCTGCGTGTCAAAGTACCCCATCGGCGCCCTGATCAAATGCTCGAACGCCCTTGCATGGATACTCCTCGAAATGAAGTAATTCCCAATCAGCACCGCCGCCGTCGCCGCCGCGATCGCCACCACCTGCCCAAACGCCAGCATCGAGTACCCGATCAGATACTCCCGCTGCGACAAACCATAGTCGCCGCGCGTCCACCACGCCAGCCAGTACGCCGACACCTGCTGCACGGCCTGCACGATGGCGTACGAGCCCAGCAGGCCGACCGCGTACGGGATCCCGCCGGCCCCGCGCATGTAGGCGAGATACGTGGACCATTTGACGGCCCCCTGCACGCGGTCTTCGGCGATGATGAGTCCGCCGTCGCCGTCCTTTTTCTTCTCGACCTCGTCATCGACGTGTTCTTTTGCTTTCGCCTCCTCGTGCTGCTTCTTCTCCTCCTCATTGTCGAGCTTGTACGATTTCATCATGTCGGTGAACACACCCCCGCGGGCGAGGAGGTCGCTGAAGGTGCCTTGTTCGGCCACGACGCCGTTTTGGAGGACCACGATCTTGTCCACGTCTTGGAGGTGGTGCAGGTGGTGGGTGACGAGGATCCGGGTCTTGCCCGCGAGTGCGTCGTGCACGCAGTTCTTGAACACTTCCGCGCCGACGTGGGCGTCCAGCGCGCTGATGGGGTCGTCGAGGAGGTAGATCTCGTCGTCGTTGTAGACCGCGCGGGCTAGAGCCACACGAGCTTTCTGGCCACCGCTCAAATTCACGCCCTTTTCTCCAATCTCGGTGTCCCACCCGGCGGAGAACTGGTTGAGGTCGGATTCGAGGGAACAGACCCGCAAGGCCCGCTGGAGACGTTCCTTGTCGAACGGGGATTGGAAGAGGATGTTTTCTTTGATGGTTCCGGATTGGATGAAGGCTTCTTGCGTGCAGAGACAGACTCGGCCGGTGATTGTTACCTGAGGAGAGCATCGGTTTAGAGACCGGGGCCAGCGATTATAGTCGCAGTTCTGAAAAGAGACCGGCTTACCTCGCCCTGCAGCTTCGTCATCTCCCCAATAATAGCCGACAACAACGAACTCTTCCCCGCACCCACAGCACCCACCACAGCCGTCAGCTTCCCCCGTTCAAAAGCCAGGTTCAAATCCTTGAACAGCGGCTCAATCTCCTTCTTCTCTTCCCCGGTTGTGCCATCAACAAGGGTATGCGCACTATCACCCGTCTTAACAATCAGTTCATCCGCGTTCTTCCCCTTCTTCTTCTCATTCAACGCCTCCTTCGACGCAGACTTCTTCGCCTTCTTCCCCTTGGCTGGACTCTCATCCCTCACCTCCTCCCACTTGAACGTCGCCCCCTGAATCACAACCGCATTCTCGACGCCCTCCCGCGCAGGCGAGATCTGCACAGGCTGGGTCTCGTCGGCCATCAGCATGGTCTTTATGCGTTTCCAGCTGACGAGGGCGGAGATGAGGGTGGAGAGACCCTGGGGGAGGTCGAACATGGGCCCGATGAGGGAGGTCATGTAGAGGAGGGCGGGGAAGGCGACGGCGGCGGGGAGGTCGCCGTGGACTTGGGTGTAGACGGCGAAGGCGGCGATGGGCATTAGGACGGGAGTGAGCTGTTGTGTATGGGAGGGGTGGAGTATGGGGGTTCAGAGTCGATCAGGCGGATGAGTTGTAAAGACCAAGTGCTTTACCTGTCCTAAAGTGATCATAGCAGTCCAAGCGCCATACCCCCGTTTCCACTGCTGCGTCTGTTTCTCCCTCAACCCCTTGATCTTCTCCGCCACGTCCTTCTCCAGCGCCCTCACTTTGATGATCTTGATCCCATAGATCGCCTCCCTGATCGCCGCCATCCGCGCATCCCCAACCTTCAACCCCTCCCTCGTCGAATTTTTCGCGGTCTTCATAACCGGGACCTGCGCGATGAAGAGCACGAGCATCACTCCCAATGCTGCGAGGACGGGGACGGCGCCGAGGACGGTGATCAGGAGCCCGATCTCGATGATCACCTGCACGGGGGCGGCGAGGGTCATGTTGAGGAGGAACACGGCAAGGGAGATGGATTCGGCGTCGACGTTGATCAGGGACATGATATTCCCGGACGTAAACTCGGTGGCCGCTTCGCCGCTCAATCTCAGACTCTTATTGTACACCGCGTCGATGCAGATGGTACGCACGCTGAGCATGACGGTCCGGCAGATCTGTTCGGCGGTCCGCCCAAAGATGGAGATGAAGGATTGGGTGAAGAGCACGCAGAAGGCGAGGGCGAGGCCGTTGCTGATGGTGAGCGAGTCCCGCCCGGGGGTGCCGTCGGGCGAGGTGTAGAGGATGATTTCTTTGATGATCAGGGGGGACACGACTTCGCAGGTCATGGCGAGGAGTTGGCAGGTGAAGGAGAGGAACCTGGGACAGGGACATCATAGAGTTCGTTGAGCATTCATGTGAATGGGGGAGGTAGAGTGGGGCAATAGATTCATGTGACACACACCATGTCCAGAAAAACTTCCGGATAATCAACCTCGTCAGATTCGGCGGTTCGGCCCGTTTGCCCTTCTTGTATTCCGCCAGATCGTTCCAGAACGGGTCCAGCGTCTTGGACAGATGTTCCGCCGAGTTGTCTGGCGGCAGGCGATACAGGTCCTCGACCTGCAGTGGGCGCTTGTATCCCAGTCTGTGAAGCTCAGAACGTCAGTCTCCATAAATCTACCTTGGATCTTATATCCGTGATCTATACCTCATTAATGGGGTGAGCCATGATACGGTGACATAGGTCCATATATTCTTGCTACTCTGTAAGCCAACATACAACAACGACATATCAGCAATTGAACACCCCTCATGACGTCCATGCATACTCCTCTCCGATACCAACCGTCTTGACATATCTAGTCTCAGAAGCCGTCGGCTCAGCTTTGAACTGTGTCATTCTCTACTATGCTTGGCCCTCCAAGTTATGTTATTACAGGGTATGTCCGTACTGTGAGTTTCAAACGGAGCAGCGCGGAGTGGTCTCCGACGTTTTTATAACCGGAACACCTTTGTAATGGAGTCCAAGCACCGACTCGTGGGTGTACACTGTACAGTATGTCTGTAGCTGCGTCGCTTTCGTGGCCAAGAAGGAGCGGCTGGCTGGAGGGTAGACATATCATATATGCGGCGGGCCATTTCGTGAGGCCTGTGGGGTTGGTTGTTGAGGGTGGTGTCGTGGAGCGGGGAGGTTGTTTTGCGTGGGGCGTTCCGTTTCGTGTGAGCGAGGAGGGGTGGGTTCCGCGTCCGCGTTGAGCAATAATGGCAGAAGTTGGCGTTACTAGTAGGGAGGGAAGGAACGGCTCGTCCACCCACACGCTTGCAACAGTCACCCACCCACCAGGTGTCCCCACAGGCGGCGGAAGTCGGGAAGTCGGGAAGGTGTGCGCAATCCCGGCCGGTATCGAAGAAAGGCCAAGACCCGACGGTCGTAAAGTGAAGCGTCTAAACCGATTCCCGCCCCATCGGAAACGAACAGAAAGCCAGTCGTCAGAAATTAAATAGAGCCCACGAACGCGCACTCCCTGTGGTCGATGGCAGAGCGTGGGAAGCCCATGTCTTCGGCCCCTGGAAACCCAAATGGGGCGTGCACAGCCATTTGACCGTATTTTGACAGTTCAAAGCACGGTGAGGAGCGCGACCCGCCTCTCGACTCACAGCGTACGAAAACCCCAAATGTACATTTCGTATGTATGTACATACAAAAGGTCTTTTGGCGCTATGATGACGCAACTCCCCATCGGAGAGATACGGCGGCTGTCAGATTCCCGTCACAATGACTCCACGAGTGTGGCCCACAAACATTGGCGCTCCACAGAATGGTACAAAGGATCAAAGCAAAGGACCGGTTTCCGCAGTCAAGAAACTTTTCTGGAAAACCCATCCCACATCCCTTCACTGAAACCCATCTCCCTATCACTCAAAAACCCAAACAGGACAGGAAACAAAATAATCCTCCAGCCATGTCTCACCAAGACCCCACCATCGAGCGCTACGGCTTCACCGCCGTCCCCCGCGACCCCGACGTGCTGTTCAAAGACCATCCGACCGCCTCAGGCCCGCATCCCAGACAGGATCCGTTCGAACTCGCGGATTTCCCGATCCCGGAGACGCCGTTGGCCAAGGCTGTGCACGAGTTTGTTCAGGTACCCGTTGATCGGCGGGGGGGGGGGGGGGGCGGGGGAGTCGGTCGCTACTACGAGTACTGAAGTGTCCCCATCTCAACTAAATCACTATCGTCCCGGGTTATCAAAACAGAAAGAGCTAGACCCGCCCACCGTTGCGCACAGCCACCGGGTGTTCTTCTTCGGGCTCGCGCTGGTCCGCACCCATTTCCCGACGTGGCGCCTCGACGCCGAGACGTACTACCTCACGAGCCTGCTCCACGACCTTGGTCTTGCGGCTCGGTTCCTGAGCAGCACCAAGCTGTCGTTTGAGTTCCGCGGGGCGATTGTGGCGCGGGATGCGGTCTTGCAGTTGGGCGGGGACGGCGATGTGGCCGACGCGGCGTGTGAGGCGATCGTGAGGCATCAGGATGTGTTTGTCAAGGGGTGAGTTTGCGTTTCCGAGGCGGGGGAGCTCCCCTTTGTTTGGATTGGCACACTGCTTGCTCAGACGAATATGCTTGATGTGTTTCTAGAGGGAACATCACCACCCTCGGCCAGGTCCTCCAGCTCGCCACCATCCTCGGTAACGTCTTGCCCCACACCCCCGCCCCTGCTCTCACCCACGTGCTCAACTGTGGATTACCCCCCCCCCCCCCCCCATCGCAGACAACGTCGGCACCCTTACCTCCCTCCTGCACCCCAGCTTCATCAGCGCCGTGACAACCGCGTACCCCCGCAAAGGCTGGGGCGAGCATTTCGCCCGCGCGATCGAGACGGAGCTCGCGCTCAAACCGTGGTGCCATTCGACCACGTTCGAGGTGCCCGGGTGGAGGGAGGGCATGCCGAGTCGGTTTGCGGGGCTGGTGAGGGGGAATGAGGCTATGAGGGCTTATGAGTGAATGAGTTGGGGTTGGGGGGGAGAGGGTATGCGGGTGTTGTCTAAACGGCGAAGAGCGAAGGGGGCGGAACAGTGATATGTGTATAGCGCCCGAGATGGGCGGGTAGTGTTGCAAAAGTCCGCCCAGTTCAAGTTTGGGGGAGGCCCATGATGGGTCCTGCGAGATGCACGGCGGGCAGATCTCCGTGGCAATGTATTTGGATCTCTCAGAAAGGAGGGTGGAAGGGTATATCGTCGCTTTTTTTTCCGAGGAGGAGGCACAATATGCCCCACCTTGTTTTGTTTTGGGGGCTGATGAATGGGGGTAGTACGAGTGAAATAAGATTTTTTCTGATGGCCCCCTTTCAGAACGGCCAACGATGTCGACTACTCTTCTGTATCTATCGTTGTGCTTGTGGGGGTTGAGAAGCGCTGCCTGCAGTGACGGGGTCTTTCTTGGGTTGCCGTCATCCGAGTGCGCGGTCTGCGGTACGGGGTGTTCCCTTGGGCCACGAGCAACTACGCGGCCACTACGGAGAGGGAAGCTGACGGGTTTCTCCAGTGCGGTTTCCCATCTGTTTCCATGGCGTGTTGGAAGCTGGATGTGTTTTAAACCGGACCCACGGCGCAGACGGACATCTGGCCGGAGCGTGCGTCATCATCCGTGGGCGGTTGGTTATCATAGACGACAGGGGACAATAGGAATAACAATGGCAATGGGATCATGATGGCAGGGCCCAGTTCCAACCGAGGTCGGGCCTCCGCCATTCCCTCAACCGCTGAACAGAGACTGCACTCTGGGCTGGACTGGCCTCACAGCAAAAGAGAACGCCCCCTGGGTCTCGCTGCTACCCACTCTGACAAACTTGTTGATGCTGTCCTATTCCTTGGCTGGTTCCAACGAAAGAGAGAGAGAGAGAGACAGAGAGAGAGAGGGCTGGGCCCCGTTTATATACAGCACTCAGAAAAATCCATAAAAGAACACTCCTTGCGCCCCAGCGAGATGGCATCCCCGAGCGATAGACCCCTCATCGCCCCCACAACTGGAGCACCCTATCCGCCAGCACCACCTGTCGTCGCACACCACCCTCCTTCCCAGCCCCACCACCACTTGCTGCCCCCACAGCAGTATCAACGACTTTCACCCACACACGCTGCCCGCGCCGACCAGGTGACCCATCCTCACCAAGTTTTCGCGCACTATACTACCATGCACCAGCAGCAACAGCAGCAGGGACAGCAGGGGCATCCCCAGTATCAACAGCAGTCGCAACAACAGTATTCGCCCTCTTACCCTCCACAGCAGGGGGGTGTGCATGTGCAGCCGATGCAGGGATCTTCATACCCACCACAACTAACACAACAGCCGCAACACCCGCACCACCTCCCCCCACCCGCTCAATACTCTTCCGGAGGATACAGTTACCCATCGCATCACCCACAACAACAACAACCAGGACCGACTACCCAACAACATTATCCCCATCGTCAACAACCGCAACATCACCACCAACATCATCAGCAAGCATATCCGGATTATCCTCGCCCAGCATTCCCTTATGATTATCTTTCGGATGGGAGTGGGCAGAGAGTTGGTTCTGGTGGGGAGAGGCAGCCGCCGTATGATCCGATTGAGCGGAGGGCTGGGGGGCACGATACGGTGGGAGAGCCGAGGCCTCCAGCCCACCTCCTTCGCGAATTCCAACCCGGCCGCCAAATCACCATAACTCGCGAAACGATCCGCCCGACCTACGAAGCCTTCATCAAAGCCTTCCACAACGAGCCCACGGACAAATGCAGCGTCGAGGAGCATGTCGTCAAGTTCATGCAACCGCCGAGGAACCAGAAACGCTCGTTTATGCCGTTTGATTTGTTTGAGCTGGTGAAGTTTTATGGCGGGGTTGATAAGGTACAATGTGCTTCATTTGGAGCCCAACGTTAAAAGGGAGATCCGTGCTGATATCCTTTAAACGATGATTTGCAGCTCCGATCATGGTCCGACATAGCCCGCAGCCTCGGCTTCCACCGCCGCGGCACCAACATTGCCGTCCGCATCAAAGACTGGCTCACCTGGCACCACATCGACGCCTACTTCGACTACCTCCTCGGCATCCCAAACAGCTTCTTCATCACCCTCCCCGACTCCCATCCTTCTCATTCAGGCGCATCGCCCTTCCCCAACCCGCGCACCAGGGAGTCTAGGAGATCCAGCGCGCAGAGCGATGAGAGTGGTGGTGGTGGTGGTGGTGGTGGACGCGCGACGAAACGGGCTAGGAGGGGGAGTCTGGAACATTCGAGTGCGATGCGTGTTCGTGAACTCTTGTCCTCCTCCAACGGATCGCCGAGACGCCGGGTGAGCAGACGTCGGTCCTCTACCCGGGAGTCGGCCGACGAGGAGGGCGGAGGGCGGCATGATGGGTATGCGGACACCCATATTCGGGTGACGCCCCGGACGGCGAGTTTGGAGGAGAGTGAGAGTGGGAGTGAGGAGGTGGGGAGGGAGTCGGGGAGGGAGTCGGGGCCGCAGGGGCTTGCCGCGATGGTGTTTAATCAGGTTGTGGAGGGGTTGGAGGGGAGGAAGGAGGGTGGGGGTGGTGGGGAGGGGAGGACGGATGGTGGGGGTGCGGTGCAGCGACTGGGGTCGGTGAGGAGTGAAGGGAGTGCGGATGGGGATGAAGAACAGCAGCATGAGGATACGGCGGCGGGGATGGAGTGGGACCAAGCGGATCCGGCGCGGGAGAAGGGGAAACAGCCGGCGGCTGTTAACGCCGATGATGACGACCGCCATTCAGCACGAATACCACCATCACCGGCACAACGTCACCGCTCCCTCACATCCAACACCATCCACCCACCCTCACCCACGCGCACCGAAACCTCCCCCTCCCGCCTCCCCGGCTCCGACGGCGCCGGCTCGTTCCCTTTCACCGCCTCTGAAACACCACAACCAGCCCCACGATCTAATTCCGACCCCTTCCCCTTCCCGTTACGAACGACTATACCTTTACGGCGGCCCCACCTCGCCGCGGAACTGAACGTCGTGGATGATCAGATGGACGTTGTAGCGCCGGCGAATCCGTTCTTTGACGATTTTGTCGAGTCGGCGCGGCCGGAGTCTGGAGCGAGCTCGACTGCCGGGGCGCCGAGTGAAGGGAGGAAAGAGGTGCCGGCGGTGCCCCAGGAGACGAGCAGCGGGAGCAGTGGGGATTCATCCTTCCCTGCGCCTCCCACCGCCCCAGCCCCCACATCAACAACAACAACAACAACAACAACAGAACCCCACCAGCCCCTACCACCGACCCTCCCACCCCCGCGCAACACCTCGGGCTCATCCATAACAACAGCCGCAACAGAAACAACCGAATCAACGCTCCTCGCCTCCATCAACCCCGACCAACCCTCCCGCAACACCACCGGCGGCACGACCACCACAACCATCTCCACCGTCTCCAACCCCTCCTTCACGCGCCCGCCCAACAACCCGCCGAACAATGCGACATCGCACCCGCCGGTGGTCGACATGCCAACGCTGCAAGCCCAGAACGGTGCGTTGGCGGCGCGGAACGAGTTCCTGGAACGCCGGTGCAGGGAGCTGGCGGGCCTGCTGGGCGAGTGCAATGAGATGGTGCGGCACATGCGCGGCGAGCTGGCGGCGCTGAAGGGCGTGGTGGGACGGGTCAGGGAGCTGAGGGCGTTGTTGGAGGGGTTGTGTGGGGAGTTGGCGGGGGAGGCGGGGTTGGCTGGGTTGTGAGGAGTAGACGGGGATGAGTGGGGATGGGGAGGATCCTGACGAGTTTTTTCTCTTCTGAGGACGATAAATATACCCCCCCCCCCCCCCCCCCCGGTACTCATACCGGTACCGGAAAGGGGATTGGGTTTGTTTCCTCGGCTGGGAATAATTAGAGAGTGAAGGCGGTCTGGTTGCTGTTGCTTCATTCGGTGATGCTCTTGTCAAATACGGGCAGGTGGCTGTGCACCCCATTTGAGTGTGTATGCTAAATGGGTCTGGGTCAGCGTGGTTACCGCCGGTTTGTCGATGGACCCGCGTGGATTCCCATCCGGACCCACGGTGCGCAGATAACCGTCACGCGACTCCTCCGTCCTGTGGCCTGAGTCGCCTGACGGACTGCGGCGGACTGGCTGAGAGAGGGACTGACGGGAAGCGCGCGCGATGGATGGCCCGATGTCCTCCTGCCCACGCACTTTCGCAAGAAGAGCACACCTCGCCCTTGTTCCCCACACCATATCCATATCCCCGCCATGCACGCCCAAGCCGCAGACGCAAGTCGCAGACGAGGAGTCCTTTATATCCCAAGCCCCTCCCGACTCAGTCCGACCCCTCACCCCTCACACCTCGCACTTTCGCACTGCATCCCTAGACAACCCCCGTAGTCGCAGGACTGAATTGAACACATCTCCAGGCGACGCACAGAGCCGGGTATCCGACCTTCCAAGTATCGCAAAACAAACCCTGCGACGAAACCAAATGGGCAGGTCAGACCCACCCCCCCTGCGCGCAACCGACCTCACCCGCTGGCGGCTCCGCAGCGAGGACGGCAGGCAGACGTGGCATTACCTGGAAGATGAGCGCGCGGCGAGCGCGTGGCCGCAGACGCATGCTGATAGGTATTGGCTGGATCTTGATATGGTAGGTTTAGTGGATGGAGGGGTGGTGGGATTGTGCACAAGGGTGGGGCGGGGGGGTTTGAGTTTCGATCGAGGGGGGGTTACGTGAGTTCCCCGAGGAAGGAATGCGATGGACAAAGCGAGGGGCAGGAGGAGTTGGAGTGGGCAAGTGTGAGTTGCTCGAGGGTTCTGCGACCGAGCGACGGTGACGCGCAGGGTTGCTTGGGGTCGGTTCTCCCGCCCAAGTTTCGATATTCCCAGCAGGATGTCCTTGATACGATACTCCGCGCCCGTCCCACATCCCGTAGGAGGGGTCGTTTTCATTCATCGGTCCAGCGCACTCATACTCATTTCGTTTTGGTCCGCCTCCCCCGATAACAGAACGTATCCACCCTCCCCACGGCACGCACCCCTCTCGAGTCCGCGCGCAACGGTCTCACCTTCTTCAGCAAGCTGCAATGCGAGGACGGCCATTTCGCCGGCGCATATGGCGGCCCGCATTTCCTCACCCCCGGATACATCATCGCCATGTATGTCTGCAAGCAGACGATCGACGAACCGTCGCGGATCGAGATGGTGCGGTACCTGTTGAATATGGCGAGTAAGGAGGACGGCGGGTGGGGAATGTACGTATGCTTGTCGTATGTGCGGGGGAGAATGTTAAAAAGGGCCCCCGAACTCACCGTGCCACGTGTCTGATAACCCCCGCCAGCCACACGGAAGGCGTCTCGACCGTCTTTGGCACCACCCTCAACTACGTCGCGTGCCGCCTGCTCGGCGTGGACCGCGACCACCCGGCCATGATCAAAGCGCGCGCCACGCTGCACCGGCTCGGCACCGCTCTCAGCGTGCCCTCGTGGGGCAAGTTCTGGCTGGCCGTGTTGGGCGTGTATGAGTACGAGGGGATGAACCCTGTTCCGCCTGAACTCTGGTATGTGTGATGACACAATGCCCTTTGACCCCCCCCCTCCTCCTCAAACCAACATCTACCTAACCCATCCCCACCCCCCCACTTCAGGCTCCTCCCCTACGCCCTCCCCATCCACCCCGGCCGCTGGTGGATCCACACGCGCATGGTCTACCTCCCCATGTCCTTCATCTACGGCCAACGCCTCCGCGGCGAGATCACACCCCTGCTCGAACAGCTGCGCGAGGAACTGTATGCGCAGCCGTATGCGAGCATTGATTGGGATGCGCAGTGTAATAACATTGCGGAGGCCGAGGTGTTTTATCCGCATACGAGGGTGTTGGATGGGTTGAATGGTGAGTTTCTTCTTTTTTGAGGGAGAAGGGGGCGCCAGGAATGGGCAAGCACGGGTTCTCAACTCTTATCCCTCCCCTGCCAGTGATTTGCAAGCTGTACGAGAAGATCGCCCCGCGCAAAGTGAGGCAGTGGGCGGTTGATGAGGCGTGGAGGCAGCTTGAGATGGAGGATAAGAACACATCTTTTGGGAATCTTGCTTCGGTATGTGACACACACAGGCACGTTTGTGTTCCTGTCAGGGGATCATATCCGCCCCACGATCCGCCCCGGTCTAACATCTCCCTCCATGATTCGCATAGGTCAACAAGCCCATGAACATGCTCTGCACCTACTTCAAACTCGGCCCCACCCACCCCTCCTTCCAGGCCCACCTCTCCCGCTGCGCCGACTACATCTGGCTCTCCCCGCAAGGCATGCACTTCAACGGCACCGACGGGTCCCAGGTCTGGGACACCGCCTTCCTCTGCCAAGCCGCCTGCGAGTCCCAGCTCGCCCTCGAGCCCGCCTTCGAGCCGATGATGCGGCAAGCGTTCAGCTTCCTGGACAGCCAGCAGATCCAGCACAACGTCGACAACCACACCCGCTGTTACCGAGACAAGACGAACGGCGCGTGGCCGTTCAGCCGGCGGATGCAGGGGTACACCGTGTCGGACTGCACAGCGGAGGCGCTCAAGACGCTGCTGTACATGCAGAACAACCTGCCCTACATGTCCTCGTCCTCCTTCCCCAAGATCACCGACACGCGCTTCCGCAACGCCGTCGACATCCTCCTCCCCATGCAGAACGCCGACGGCGGGTTCCCCTCGTACGAGCGGCGGCGGGCCCCAACGCTGCTGGAGAAGATCAACCCCGCCGAGGTCTTCGGCGACATCATGGTCGAGTACAGCTACCCGGAATGCACCACCGCGGTCCTCCTCGGCCTCCAAGCCTTCGCCGCGCACGACGCCCACTACCGCGCCGCCGAGATCACCGCCGCGACCGCACAGGGCGTCGCGTACATCCGCAACACCCAGAACCCGGACGGATCCTGGTTCGGAAGCTGGGCCATCTGCTTCACCTACGCGACCTGGTTCGCCGTCGAGGGTCTCGCCGCCTGCGCGCGCGAGTCCTACCACTCGTCCGCGCGCGTCCGCAACGCATGCGAGTTCCTCGTCGCGAAACAGGAAACGGACGGAGGCTGGGGTGAGACCTACAAGTCCTCCGAGACCGCCGTCTACCACCCCGCCGAGACCAGCCAGGTCGTGCACACCGCCTGGGCCGTGCTGACCCTCCTCGCCGCAAAGTACCCCCTGGGAGCCGCGGGGGGGGAGGTGGTGGAGCGCGGGGTGCGGCTGTTGATGCAGCGGCAGCTGCCGACCGGCGCGTGGGCCCAGGAGGGCATCGAGGGCGTGTTCAATCGCAATGCGATGATTGCGTATCCGAACTATAAGTTCTATTTCCCGGTCTGGGCCCTGGGGAGGTATGCTAATGCCGTGAAGGAGCAGCAGGCGGAGGGGAAGAGGATCGAAGGGGTGCAGAGTGTGGAGGTGGGGTTGGAGGGGTTGAGACGGAGGAAGCCGGTTTTGGTGGATCGTTGAATGTGGTGGCCGTTCGAGCATAACGTAGATAGTAATGAACTTCCCCTTAAATATCTCCCTTAAATATCTCTCTCTTCCCTAATTCCCCGATTTCGCACCGTTTGTTGTTTTTTGATCATTGATTATGCATATACAAAAAAAAAAAGGCACATTGCGACAACAACGAAACACTGATGGGGAGAGGAAGGGTGGGACGGGATAGGGACAGACCATGACGAAATCTAGCCCTAGTATTTCATACAAGAAGTGGGATGAACACCTACGGGGTTGGAGGTTGAGATACATGCTCGCTAGCATCAGAAGGGGTATGCGGAATGTTGGGGTGAGATAATGCAGAAGTCCTGTGGGGTGATGCGTGTAATTTCGCCGTTCCACCATCCGCCATCAATCCGAAACACATCCCAAGGGGGGTGGGGACCCGGCGGGCGCATGTGTTTGTACACGTAATGAATCGAAGTGTACTTTGAGCTGTATCGTTTGCGTTCTCGTTCTCGCCCGTCCGGTAAAAGCGCCTCATCGTGATCGCCCCATCGTGTCCCTTCCTTTTTCCTCCGCCGCCGCTCGCCATTTCTCCCCCCGGGTTGTCTCCAACCATTTCTGCCCTAACCCGAACTCGACGTTGGTCCGTGTTGACGACACGGCAATCGCATAGGTATTCCATCACAAACTTCGCACGACGTCCGATCCCGATCCCGCCTCCCACACTGCCCATTCCTACTCTCGCTTCTCCAATCCCCCCTTTCCCCGCGTCCCGCTTCCGGTTCCATTCCGCCCGCCCTAATTCAGCCAAGACTCCTCGACAGTCTCCCTAACCCGCTTATTGTAATCCTTCTTATTCTCTTGGAACAACCGCGCGGCTTCGGCGTTGGCGGGGCTGTTGGGGTTCGGGTCGTGCAGAAGCGATTGGATCGATGTGAGGATGGCTGCTACGTCGTATGTTGGTGACCTGCATTTGCGAACGAGGGAGATTTCACAGTTAGTGAACGGGTTTACGTACTGGAATGTCTCAACTAAGGAATGCGGTCGCTGGGGGCGGTGGGCAGTGGGCGGAGCTCGCTTCGCTCGCAAAGGGTCCAATGCTCGTTGAAACTCGCGTGTAAATATGGAGATTGCGCCTTTGGCGTAAGGAACTCGCTTCGCTCGCACTCACTGCGTTCGTCCTCCCTCCACCAGCCGCTCGCTTGGCTCGCGTGAGGAATCGGCCTCAGGTCGCTCTCGCTTTCGCTCGGGCTCTTACACAAATCAGGCTCGCTACCGCTCGCCGCCGTCGCTCCCTCTACTCACCACCTATTCTGCAGTATATCCAAACACAAATCCCCATTCGCATAAACATTCGGATGAAACATCTTGCTAATAAACTTCACATGCGGCGGCTTCGTCGGGTAACTCTCATCAAACGTCAACGCCAACTTAAACGTGCCGTCCTCGAACGGGGTCTCCTCGGGCCCGAAAATCACGGCGTTCCAGAGAAGCACGTTGTCGGGACAAGGGGCGCCTGAGACGCCTTCTGGGGGGTCGGTTTGGAGCCGCTTGAAGTCGCGCATGAGGCGGCGTTTGGAGGGGGTGGACATCTTGTGGGCGGGTGGGGGTGGTGGGACGTTCGGGGTGGTAGGCTACGTTAAGGGCTCTTTTATGGGATGTGTGGTTCTGACAATTGACAGCACCCCTGCGTGGGAAAATCGATCGACCCCGGTGCTCTATGCTTTCTTCCAATTGAGCGCTAAAATTGTTAGCGGATAAAAACTATCGGTTTGGAAGAGGTCGCCCGGTGTGAAGGGAAAGGTTTGGTCCCTGCTTCGCCTGGGCTTTTAGTTGCGAGTGAGTGTGGCTCGAGGGCCGAGGTGGCGTGCCGGTGGGTTGGCGCTGGAGGGGTGGCGACTTATGCGGGATGAAAGGAGGATCTTCCCAGCCCTGATAGTTGGAAAGTGGCGCGAGTAGGAGGGGAACCTATGAACACTTTGAGATGGGGTGGTTGAGCGTTGCTGGCTGTGCGTGATGGGCGGTAGGACTGCTTGTCCTTGGCAAACGGGACTGTTTGAGTTGCGAAGTACTAGAGTCTAGGGAGTCGAGGCTCAGCAGCAGGCAGGGTGCGGCCAAGTCATCCTGCAAGCCATCCAGCCCACGCATTCCATTACTAACCGCGATATGGGCCCCCCCGACTTCAACAGGTCCCGTCAGCAGGGTTTGATTCCCAACTTTCCGCATCCACACGCAGACCACATCCAAGTAATCCTCCTTCCTTCTCGTTCCCATGCATAATGCAATGCTGATTACCAAAACAATTCATCAACTCAACTCATACCACCCACCAAAGCATAGGAGAATGGTTTCGGCGTTTGGCGACATTCATAAACAATACATATCTCATGAGCCCCTCCCCCCTTCCGACCCTTCCATCCATAGCATTCCACAAGTTCTAGGTGGTCCCACATCTCTCCGACTCTTGAAGTTCCTAGTCCTGTCGTGGACGGGATCTGCTAAAGTATGGTGAATCGCATCCCTCCAGTGTCACACCGGGAGCAGACGGCATCGTCCGGATCTGTGCCCGTCGATATGCGAGAAAGCCCTCACCCTCGCCGGGAACAAACAAGTTTTCACGCACATTGACAATCTTACAGAAAGCCAAGATCAAACACTTTCATTGCGAAATAAACAACGGGTTTATCTACGTACATTCGGAAAGGTTGCGTCGCCGGCGAAGTTTTGCGCTTTGCCGCGGAGCTCGTTCGGTTATGCCTCGACATGGCTACTCTTGGTTGAGGTGCTGGTTGGAGGGGTCGGATGAAACGTGCGCTCGTCGTTGTTTGCTGTTGGCAAAGTGGGCGAGGACGTGCGACGGTCTTTTGACACCGCTAGGTGAGCGTTCCCGTAGTTGATGACTTGGGCATTCGCTTCCCTCGCCTCCATCCCCTTTGCCGAGAGCGTCCAGCGGTGGGGGACATTACGCGCGACGGCGAGAACGTATCGAGGTTGGGCGATCGAGCTACCCCACAGCGGACGCCGAAACGCTGGGAGCGACGGGTGCGGGTCTTGTCCATGGACGGCTGGAACGATCAAGGCATCAGGGAATCCGGCGCCGGCACTGTCAACCATGAACGTCTCTGCCCTGATGGCGGCCATCACCCGGGGCCGACGGGGTTCAACACGTACTGTACATGTAGAGCACGAACGACGAGTCCCTTCCACAGCGCGCGATCAATCGAAGGCGGGCACTGCAAGGCTTTCTTGCTCGGAGTGCCCGGTTCCGAATATTCCACAACGAACATTCGATCAACCTATTCGAGCAGCTTACGTCATCCACAAGCAACATCGACGGCATAGCGGTCCCCCAAGGCAAGCCTGGCCTTGTCTTCGCCTTGGGATTTGAGGCGCTCGACAGTCGACTGTCTGAATCCTACCCGCATAGTTCACACCCTTCCCCGCCGGCCCTACATATACAATCATTCGCGGCCGGTCATTCGCGACTTTCCCGGCCCACCGCGCTGGACTGTACTTGCGGAACGCACAGCTGGATGTAAACAACGATCCCGCGGGGAGGGGGGGGGGGGGGGGGGCCGCGAGGGGATGTAAGAAGTTTTACGCGAATGGAGCCCTGCAAAGCCAGAGAGATAGCTCCAGCTCCGATTGGTGTGCAGAACGGGGCCGGGAATGGGGTGTCCGGCCGCGGTGAAGAGGGGATGGGGGGCGGTGTACTGTATAACTATACTCCTGTGCCCAAACACTTTAAGCTCTACATGCAAACCAGGGTTGGTGTGGATAGGAGCCAGCCAGACCATTGCCGCATGACTTTTGGGTTTCATTGACAAGCAGGCGGCCCCCAGGCGCATAGTCCAATGCCCGCAAATTGCAGCACCGCCAGGTGTGAAAAAAAAAACGCAAGTTATATATGATACAAACACACCCCCACACAAGGAGAAAGGAGGGAGCGCGCAAAAGAACAAGACAGGTTCAGTCCGTATCATCCCCCCGCTCTGCCCTCATTTCCCGTTTCCCCGTTCCTCCTATATGTTCAATCGAGACGAGAAAGGGGTTCACAAGCCAGCATCGCACCGCTTGCCCCATTCCCCCCCCCCCCCCCCCCCCCCTCCTTCAATAACTAACCCCCCCTCACATCACCCCCCCCCCCCCCCCCCCTCACATAACAGAGGCGATCCCCACATCCCCCCACCATCTACACCTCCGCAGCCAACCCACACGCCCCCAAACTCTCCACAAACTCCACATTCGGAAACCTCTCCCCAATCACCGCCGCCGCCAGAGCCGCAGCCTCAACCTTCGCATCAAACAGATCCGCCTCGTCTTCCGTATCACTCACAGCAGGGAGATGGATCATGTCCCCATGGCTATGACTCTGACTATTATGATGACGCGACGGGTGCATGTGGAAGAGATCGGTGGCCTCACTCGAAAGGGGCAGGTGTTCGGCGGAACAGACGGAGTTGAGGTCGAACGTGAGTGTGGGCGTGCGGGAGAGGACGACGCCTGCTGAGGAGGGGCGGCGGGACATCGGGGCTGAGCCGGCCGGGGTGGGGATGGCGTGGGAGGCTAGTGGGGATGTGCCGGTTATTCCATTCGTCGAGGGTGTCGGCAACAGTGGGGTGTGCCGTAACCCGGAGGCTGAAGCGCTGGTGAGACCGCCGGGTGCGCTGGATGTGCGGCCGGAGAGGGATGCGCCGCCGGAGAGGATTGGCCAGGTTGGTTTTCCGGGAGAGGTGGAGAGGGAGGGGAAGCGGTTGTGTCCGGATTTTGCGGTGTTGAAAAGGTGGGATTGGGGGGGTGAGGATGCCTCGCTGTCGGATGCGGCCACGACCTTTTTCTTCACTCTCACGATACGTTGCACGAACGGTGCCAGTTTGGTGATGACGTCGTCGTTGCTCTCGACGTGCACCGAGGGCTCGATGTGTCGGACGATGTGGCCTTTGCCTTCTTCTGTTGAGCAGAAGACGACGCGGCGCGGGTCGAGGCCGAGGTTGTAGAGGTTGGAGGATAGGAGGAGGGAGCGGACTTGGGCTTCTTCTTCGTCGGAGGTGACGACCATGATGAGGTGGATTTGGTTGCGCGGGTTTGAGACGAGGCTGGTGAGGAAGGGGAGGGCGGATTCGCGGAAGGCGTAGATGGGTGTGGTGGGGTCTGGTGATGGGTTCCATACCACGATCTGAGGGTTGAAAAGGACGTAAGTCAGTGAACATGGTTCTCTCCTATCCAACACCCCTACACAAACAATCAGATTCCTACATTCTTCATCGAGATCGTCATAACCCTCTGCCCCTTCCACGTCTTCTTTGCCACCGCCGCCGATGCCGCCAAAGCCTCTGCCGCACCCCTCACAAACCGCTCCCCAACTCCCTCAACACTCCCACCCGCACCGCCAGATGACGGCTTCCGCCGCGCAGCCCAGATATAATATGCGCTGCCGAGCAGCGATGCGATGGCTATTGCTGCGCTGGCGCGGGCCCAGGCGTGTGATGTTGACCGGCGGGTTGCTGGAGATTGCATGGTGTCTGGTCTATGTGAAGGCGTCTTCCGTTTCGATGCCAGTCGGGGTTTCTCTCTCGGATTCTGCTCGTTGGTGATGCCCCTAGCAACAGTGTTGGGTATTACGTCCAAGATTCTCTGTGGTCTGTGGTATATATATCTCTCCGGGCGAAGCTGGAACGCTCTAGGGTTTATGGTCCAACACTCAAGCGGAGTGCGTCGGCGCAATTCACCACTCGTGTTCGTGTGAAGTTGAACTATCAGTTCAGGGGGAGAAAACGAAGACGAAGCACACAGTATTGTAAGTCAACGTGTCTTTCAGCGTTCAAGGTTGTGAGAACCACCACCCTGCTATCGGCATCCCTGAGCGGAGTGCCCTGCCTGCCCATTCCCCAGAATGGCACGGGCCGATGGGGCGAGAATGCACGCACTCTTTTCCCAAGGGTCCGCTCGATATTAATATCACTCTGCGCAGGGCGTCAGCGTGCTAGCGTGTGACGGGCACGAGTGGTGGGAACACCAAGCATATGCCTGAAGCTGGGGCCTAAGCCGGGAGGGCGCACGAAGTCCACTCACACACACTCACCTTTCTTGTTGGGGAACGGATGGCTCTTTCTTTTCAAAACCGGTTATGAGAGCGAGCGAGGGAGCGAGCGAGAGAGAGAGAGAGGGGAGAGAGAGGGCGCACGCATCCACGGAATCGTCGTAGCCAGCTGTCCGCCGTGGGTGGTGGGGCCTTCCCTGGTCCGTCCTGTGCGAGACGAGAGAACATGGGACGATGATCTGCCACGCCCTCTCATCATCTCTCTCTCTCTCGGTCTCTCTCTCGTCCGGCCCCTCGCTCGAGTCGCGGCTCGCGGCGGCCCCCACCTGACAATGGCTCTCGGCAGGGGGTGGGGAGACCGGTTCTTGGCGCCCTTGGGTCCGGTTCGCCGGTTTTCACATGTCAACCCCCCACAACCGCATGTTGATGATCGGTTATTACACGTTAAACAAACGCGTCAGGAAGCTTTCCTGGGCTCCTGTCTTTCACATGAGGGTTTGACAACGAACGGCGTCAGCCAGAACTTGTGTAATAAGTGACTTCATCATCAGCAAGGGAAATTTACCGACATGCGCATGCATGCGACGACCAGAGGCTTACCGCAGTGGGACATGGCTCTGGCTTCTGGGGCATCGGTTTGGGTGATATCGGCGATCCAGATGGGTATCGACGCCTGTGCAAGTGTTCTCTCAGCTCTGCATGTGAAAACCCGAACCGGCCTGCAAATTCACGTCCCGTGGTAGGCTGATCATCGCTGATGAGGCTGATGCGCCTGCTCGCGGCTGTCGTCGAAGTTTGGCTCGAGAGAGATTGACATCGGATAGCTTCATCGCGACCGTTCGACCAGAAAGGATGGCCAGCAACGTCTTACCCCCCGGCTGTCGACGAGCTGTTCCATGTTGCAGCGTGCACTGGACAATTGACAATCGAGCTCCGGATTTGGACATGTCCGAGTGCACCGAGACAAAGTCCGAGCTCCATGCCATTTCGACCAGAGAGGAACGCGTTGGGGGCATGTGAAGAGCCGTCCACAAACCTGACTTTCTGGCGCATGCATCACCTGGCGCATGCATCACCTGGCGCATGCGTCCTTCACCACCGCCCATGGGACCATGCGAGGATTGGCAGGAGCTGATGATGATTGAGCCCTGCCTTCAAAATTCACATGGGATTTGCACGTGCGTGGGCGAAGCGAGCAAGGGAGGAGAGACAACAGATGACAACAGATGCATCGGCTTTAGTCTCGCCGCTGTCTAAGCTTTTGCGAGCTGCTGCTGCCGTTTTCGCGTGGTTGGCAAATGAGTGATGCCGACATCTCGACGGCATCCCGGACATCTGCCCAAGCCAGCCCAACGCTTTACACGTACGGTTGCATCAATGGAGGTAAACACATTGCCAAATAAACCCACCATGTCCGTCACGTGCCCCAATAAATCGACCAAGGCTTTTCACTGACATCACAACCGCATGTGAAATCGCAAGTCACGCGCGGCCTCCATCGCCGATCCCTCCATCCTCATGTCACACCACAAGGACTTACAGAAATAAGGCCATCCAAGCCCCTCCCGCGCGTTCGGCTTCTTATCTCGCGTAACACCGAAGGGGCCAGAAAGCTTATCTCTGGGCGGTCCCGAGGGCCGACCGTCCGGTGCGGGGAAAGGTTGGAGGTGGTTCGGCCGTGGGTCGGACCCTATATCGAGATGGTGGAGCAGTTAACTGATGTGTGAAACTCGGACAGTGCCAAGTCAATTTGGGAGGACGGGATGCAGAAGGGGATCCGCTGTCTGGATGAGAGCGAGAGCGTTGAGAGCCCGGGGATAGCGCCGAGCGGGCGTAGAACGGACATGCATGCAGGATTCATCACCCCGTCGTCCGTCGTGGAGGCTGGGTCATCGTTGCGATGAATCGCAGCCATGCACGCTCCTGGCAGTGCTGGGGCGAAGTGGTCCCTCGTTCGCGTTCAGCAAGGCCCAACAACGCGCTGCCAGAAAAGTAATTTGCCCTGAATTCGGAAGAATCCCCACAAAGTGACAAAACTGACACGTCTCTGTGTGGGGGGGGGAACGACAATAGGCAGCGCACGGCACACGTGGGGTCGGTGACATGTGGCATTCTACATACGTTCATCGCATGAGGACCGCCCCCCGAGGGGACCCCACATTGGGGTGTGTGCGTTATGGTAGATACTGTGGGAACCGGGGCAGTGGGTGGGCCGTGGGTAGCGGAGCGTGTTACTCCGACATTTCATAATAACCGCATTGTGTTATCATCATCCACCTCATCATCATCATCATCGGCGTCTCAATTTACCCCATCCCTCCCTCCCTCCCTCCCTCCCTCCCTCCCCACACACACACGAGTTCCCTCGGTACTTATTACTGTAAGAGTATACGAGAAAACATGACAAACGCCCCCGTTCCCCGTTGCGCGCGCGCGTGCTGAAGAGAAGGAAATAATTGGGCGATGGGCGTCCGATTAAGAGGGCCCTAATAGGAAAAGTTTATGGACAGTAGAGGGGCGATGGATGTCATGGAATGGATGGATGTGATTGTGATTGTGATTGTCCGTTTCTCTGGTTGCCCCCCCCCGAAGGAATTGTAACCATACTCGGCCATACTCGGCTGCCCCACCACCACGCAACTAAGCAACTGCCTCTCGCTCCTTTCCCTGAACTGCTGAGAAACTCCTCATACTCTCACCCACCCTCTCACCCTCGCCCTCACTCACGCTACTCCACTGTTCCACCTCCGTCGTCTCAAATATCCCGCTCGGCTTGGGAACCTACGTCGTCGCCACACTTCGCTTCTCGGCCATTCCCCCCCATTCCGAACACCACGCTCCTGAACACCTCGCCACTCACTTACGGACACGCATTCTCCCTACGAAAAAGAACGACACCCCCAGCATTCCGTCGTGCCTCACCTTCCGGCAACGCCACCTTGCAGTCAAGCCTTTTCAACTGGTGAGTCCCACCTCTTTTTGTCGCGATACCTTCGCTCAAAGCTCCTTCTTCGCGAAGCCTTGGACGTGTTTTCTTCTATTCTAAAAAGCCTTTCTCCCACCCCCACCTGCTCTTCTGCGCAGATAGCGATCTGTTGATATCTACCTTATCCATAGTCGGATGTACTGGTACCGCTGCGATAACTATCCGACAGTAGTCACCCTCAACAAGCCCGTCCAACTGCCTGGCAGCTTGCTCACTCCAAAGGAATACGCCTTTGATAACTATTTCAGCGCAGATATAGAATTACTGAATAACAGGTCATTGAACCTACTCCGTCCGGAGATTCCAGTGGAGCCCGCGGTCGCTCCCCGTATTGAAAAGCTGCGTCGAATCTTCAAAACGGGTTCTCCAGTCGCAACAACAGCAGCAGGGCAGCAGCACCAGCAGCAGGAAGAGCATCCTTCTGCTCTTGCCCCTAGTGCAGAGGACTCTGTAGCGCAGGACGGGGCGGGGCATGAGATGAGCAAGCATCACTTTGGGGGAGGAATTCAAACCGCTACACCACCACCGCACCCCCGGCCGCAATCCCCACGCCCCCCAAGATCTCCAGCGCCTGCATCCCCCGGACATGATTCTCAGGGCTTGAAGAGTCCCATCTCTGCTTCTAACCTCTCTGCTAGTCTGGCTGCCGCCGCAGCTGCGTATACCTGTAAACAGCAGCAACAGCAGCAGCAGGCACAACGGCAGCCATCTCAGCAACCACAGTATGGACATGCTCCGCAATCTGCTAACGTGGTGCCGGGAGGCTATTCAGTGACTTCGCCAACCCGCGATAGATACTCTTCCCGAGGCTCCCCACATGCCGCACCGAAAGCGTATGGGGGCAATGGCTCTTCTCACACCTATCGGTCTAACAACGACTACTTTGGGCAGAAATTTACCACAAACCCGCACGCACCTCACCCCTACTCGCTCGCATCCGCCCAACCATACTCTACCCCATCCCCCTTACTCAAGGCGTACTCAACCCCAGTCAGCATGCCAGTGCAGATACCCACTGGCGGAACCCACTCCCAGCGCGACCTCCTCTCTTCCAGCACATCCACCCCTTCCTCCGACGAATACACGGGATCTGCGACCGAAATGGACAAACTCAGCAGAGCGTTCAGCTGTAACGCCCGGATGCGGGATGAGCAGATTGGCATCAAGCGGCCACGGCACAGTCTCTCGGTCAACATCGTCCGGCGGCGAGGCAACTCCCTCGACAGCTCGCCCGTCACCAGCGGATCCTACTCATCCTTGAACCAATCCCCCGCCGTCTCCTTCCTGGCCGGTCTTGCAGACAGCTCGGTTCGTCGCGAGGCACCGCCGGGCGACTACACCGAAGGCGACCAAGTCGGCGACTTTATCCTCGGCCACCAGATCGGCACGGGCGCCTTCTCCCGCGTCTACGAAGCCGACGTGATCGACGGCCCGCACAAAATGCTCGGTAAAGTCGCCGTCAAGATCGTCATCAAAGACCCCGCCCACATCGAAGCCGAACAGGACCTCCAACGCCTCATCAACCACGAAACAACCATCTGGGCACGGTTACGGCACCCCCACATCCTCGAGATGCTGGAACTCATGGACGCCGACGACGCCGTGTTTGTCGTATCCGAACTCGCAGGCGCGGGGAATCTGCTCGACATGATCAAACGCCACGGCCGCTTACCCGAACACTACGCGTGCAAGATCTTTGGCCAGGTCGCGTCTGCGCTCAGATACCTCCACGAAGAGATCCAGGTCGTGCACCGCGACGTCAAATGCGAGAATATCCTCCTGGACGACGAAGGAAACGCCAAGCTGGCCGATTTCGGACTCTCGGCGGAAATGACACCTGAACATCGCGGCGGCGACCCCCTCCACGGCGGGCCCCCCACCACCACAACCAATAAACCCAACGAACCAGTCTACCTTATGGGCTCCCTGCACTACTGCTCCCCCGAAGAGCTCCGCCAAACCACCCTCTGCTCCCCCGCCGCCGACATGTGGTCCCTCGGCTGCGTGCTCTACGCCATGCTCACGGGGACACTACCCTTCAACGACGGGTTTGCGCCCCGCTTGCAGATGATGATCATGAACGGAAAGTGGGATGAAGCCAAGTTGGACAAAGTCGGCGTCAGCGAGGCCGGGAAGAGCGTCGTCAGGGGCCTGTTGAGGGTCAAGGTGGCCGAGAGGTGGGGGATGGGTGAGTTGTGGAAGAGTGAGTGGCTCATGGCGCCGTCCGAGTGATGCTTTCCTATCCTATCCCCATGCGCGCTTTTTCGCATCCCTTATTCGTTTTGGAAACGGGGGGCCCGGGGGGGGGGGGGGGGGAGGGGGAGGCGGGGAGTCGGTTTTTTTCTTTCTTTTCCTTGCATGTAGTTTTAGATACGTGGGGGAGATGAACCCCCATAGCATCTCTGTCTATCCATTATATCCACCCGTTTTTTTTTGTCCCCGGAAAAAACAATCACACTCTCACCATCCCCCTAAACGTTGTTTTACAACACAACTGGTTTTCCTTCGGGGTGCCTCTTGTTTTTTTTGTTTTGTTGGATAGATGAGGCGCCGTTTAAGGATGAGGGAATATATGTGCATTGGAGGGGATTCAGAGAACGGGCGGTTGAATGTGGGTTTGGGGGGCTGCGGGTGAGGCTGCGGGGCTGGTTGATGTCACTGCATCGATGGGGACTTTTTGTCCGAGTAAAACGCGTGATGACCCCAAAGCAAGAGCACACCAAACGCGTTTTGGCCGGGGGCCACCGCGCGTTCCAAAAGCGACATCTGCTCTTTTGAAACGCCCGGGGGATGGGACGACGACGATATTGGGGGTGGGCGGGTTGGAGAAGAGGGATGTCAAGAAGAGGGATGTGACGAAGGGGAGTTGTGAATGTTGGAACGGGTCGGGGTTGCGGAGGCGAGGGGAGGAGATAAAGAGTCCATGCGAAACCAAGGGGATAACAGCAAAACCCCCCCGGCTCCAAGCCGTTGGGGTCAAAGGACATGATGGCGAGCAGTCAGTCGCACCGCATGAAAAACGGGCATTGGGAGAGAATTCTCTCTATACGAATCGCTACCCTACCCTACATTCCCAGCTCCTACAAAGCTAAAGTGCTAACTATACCGAGGCCCATCAATGATCCCACCTTCGGCCCCCTCAACCCCCGGCCCCGGCCCTCCTCCCCCTCGCCAGATTCTCCCTATAAGCATCCTGCACAGGCCCCGACACAGCCCCCCGCGTTCCCGGCCTTGATCCCCCCGCGCTAGCCGTTCTCGGACTCGCGCGCGCAGAGCTTGGACGGCGTGGCGGTGCGAGCGGGTTTGCGTGGGGTGTTGGTGGTTGCGGGGTCAATGTGTAGTGGGGTTGTTGGTGGTGGAGCCGGGCGGCGGAGGACGGGCGGGAGGTGGTTGGGCGGGCTTGTTGCTGCTGCTGCTGCTGCTGCTGTTGGTGTTGTGGTTGTGGAGAGGCCCAACTCGGATCCTCGTCCGGTTGTTGGTCTTGTGGTTGTTTTCGGCGGGTGGCTTGGGGCCCATTCACATCAGTTTCATACGTTACGACCTCGAGGGGGGGAGCAGGATGATCACTTCCAGGCATTTACCTACCTTTCACAGCCGCATCCGTATCCCGCACCGTCCTCGTCGACGCCGCAGCGGCCATGTATCGATCCCGCTGCTTTTTTAGATGCCGTTCTGCGAGGTTTATGAACACTAGCGAAGGGGTTCCGAAAGGGCGAAGTAGTCAGCGCTGGCCCAGTTCTTTTTTTCACACCGAAAATCAAAGGAAGACCCCCCCCCCCACCCCCCCGCGCCGTAACTCACTCTCTTCAACATTAATCCAATCCTTCACCGACACCCTATACAACGGCACCTTCATGCTCCTCGCAAGCCCTTCCGCGTCCTTCCTATTCTCAAAATAAACCACCCACATCGTCAGTCCCCACAGCCCCACACCCCGCATCCCACGAAATCCCCCCGAAAAGACCAAAACTTACGCTTCCACCCCACCACTCACATTACTCAGATCGATCTTGTTCTGCACGAGCACGACGGTCGGCGGCGATGTGAGCGAGGAGGAGGTGATTTTGGAGTGCCAGGAGTGGATCGTCGAGAGGGAGGTGGGGTCGTCGGTGGAGAAGGTTATTGCGACTGCGTCGGTGTCTGTGGGTGGTGGGGGGGATGAACGGCGAGGGGGGGGGGGGGGGGGGGTGAGAGTGGGTATACGGTACGGTGAACAGAAGCGACAAATGAACTGTGGGGACGTACCGTTGTAGTACTGCTGCGTTACTGCGTCGAACTCTTCTTGCCCTGTATAGTAATGGGGGGTCCAGATGATGTCGGTGGATGTGATGACGGAGAGCATTAGTCAGCGGGAAGAAGACGTGACTTGTCGATCGAGCCGGAACAACCCGAGGCGCAAAACTCCCGGCATCTTCTTCCCTTCGCCCGTCCCCTCCGAGCCCACCGAGCCCGCCCCCATCTTCCATCTCAATACCATCCTTCATCATAATCCATCCCCCTGTCCCCCCCCTCATATCGCCACTCACCAGCCGTATCCCACAACATCAACACCACTTCGCCAAACCCCGGCACCTCCACCTCCTTCTCGAGGTACTCGACCCCGATCGTCTTCTTGTAGTTGGCGTTGTACGCCCCGCGGCAGAATCGGCGGATCATCGATGATTTGCCAACGCTGCCTGTGCGGGGTTATCATTTCGTTGTGTGTGGGGTGTTTGGGTGTGTGTGCGATGAGATGAGGGTGATTGTGAGAGAGGATGGTCGTTAATGCCCCAAGGGGGTTAACGAGAACATAAGGATGGTTTTGAGGCTCCCTTTTTTTACCGTTTCCAACAACGAGGATCTTGATCGTCGGGAGGACTTCTTCGGCGGCGAGAAAGTCGTCGGCCATTTTGCGCTGCCTGATCCACACTTGGAACAACGGAGATAAAACTCGCGAAGGATGTAGACACTGTTTTTTTTTCTTCCGTTTTGAAATGTTGGGAAGGGGGATGGATGGGCTCGCGGCGAGAAAAGAAGGTTTGAGGCACCTGCGTTTGAAGCGAACTAGCTCCCCGGGGCGGCAGTTGGTTGGATTCGCGGATTGACAGGATGGCTCTCCGCAAATTCGACAGCGTGACAGGCCTGCCCAAGAACTCCCAACCAGTGCTCTCGGGCCCCACATCCCAAAGCTGAGATCGCTCTTCGTCGATTGCGAGTGGGAATAGCTGGCAATCCTCCAGAATCCAGAGAAAACTCCCAACGTCGAAAGGAAACCGCCTGCCGATGTAAGCCCAATTTCGCTCAAAGTCACCCCCCCCCCCCCCCAGCTCCCCTCAGTCAGTATTTACCTCTATTGCAGACATCCATGACAGAATTCTGCGTTTTCTTGCAACGTATCTGCTTTCAATCCGCAGCGGTTGGGGTTTGCCTAACCTCCCATCGGCACATCTTACGTCCTGGTTCCGTGAACGAGAACTGTCTGGCATCACTCTACTTCTGCATATGCATCACCCAAGAAGACAACCGCTCAAACAAATCCCATGGATATATGTGGTATATGCGCAGCGAAGGTGATCATGATTGCGCACAGTATACAAAGAAACGGGGATTCTCATTACCATAAAGCACGAGATTAGCACCACTTCCATTTTTTATTTCCAAAACAAAGCCAACGCTTCTTCAGAAACGGCTATCCATCATCATCATACCCATCCTTTCCATCACAGAACGCCAGCCAACTATTGGTGGAAAAGGTGATCGGCCGCCCCGCCCCGCCACCCCACCAATCAACCCCCCCAACAGCATCCCTCAACACATCTCAGGCCTTAACTTTCCTAGCCGTAGTCTTCTTCGGGGTCGTCTTCTTTGCCGTCTTCTTCGCCACAGTCTTCTTCACAGGCGCCGCCTTCTTAACCACCTTCTTCACCGCCTTGACCGCCTTCTTCGCAGCGCCCACAGCCTTCCTGACAGCCTTCTTCGCGACGCCGCGGGCGGTCTCAGCGGTCTTCTTCTTTTTGGCAACAGCGACCTTCTTGGCCGTCTTCTTCTTGACGACGCGCTTGTTGGCGCGGGTCTTGATGAGCTTGCGCTTGGTGACGGTCTTCTTCTTGCGCTTGACGATGCGTTTGGGCCTGATGGCGAGACGCGTGGTCGTGTCCAGTTGTTTTCTGAGCGTGGCGATCCCGGCGTCGCGTTCGTAGGCGTCGCGTTTGTCAGAGTAGGAAGAGTAGGCTCTGTCGTATTGTTCTTTCAATTTCTGCGGGAGTGAAGGAAAAGATTGGATCAATTGAGTGGGAGTGGTTCAACAAGTAGTGATGCATCAAAGGGCTGAGAAATCGGGCGAAATACACACCTGTCGCTGCTCCTCGGGCAAACTCCTGAACGCAGTGGCAATGACCTTTCCAGCCTCCCCAAATGACAAATCACTCAATGCCGATCCAAAGGCTTGGCGCTGGCGGTCGGGGCTGAGTGCATAAGCCTGTTTGGTGAATGAAGCGTAGATGTTTTCGGGACGCTTGGGGGCGTCCGTGGCCGGCTTTACGCGCCTGACGGTGGTGGTGGGATTCAACTTTTTGTTGAGGAAGTTGCGCTTTTGCTCGATTAGAATGTCGGCAGCGGAGCGGCTGGAGAGGTATTGTTTGTACGCTCGCTCGTAGTTTTCGCGTTCCTGTTCGGCTTTGCGTGCGTATCGCTATGCATCGCAATTGTGGGAATACAATATTACGCAGGTCAGATGAACGATGTTCATGTCAAAGATTTCCGCTCCACCAACGCACCTGCTTCTCGCTAGCATCCAAAGCTTTCCACCGCTGCCCAGCAGTGCGACCAATGTACGCAATCCTCTCAGTCGGGGGAACGTCGCTTAACGAGCCACGGATCGACGGGACCTGGTCGTTCGCAAATAGCACGTACGCGCTCAACGGCCTCTTGGGAGGGACCGCTGAGGGTTTGCCGATGGCTTTCAGCTTTTTGCGGATGAGCTGCTTGGGGTCAACAGCTGTGGTCAATGTCGCTTGGTTAGATTGTCGGCTGGTTGGGTGCAAACTCCACTCTTTATACTTTCTCCATACGCAGACATACCTTTCTGGGGCGTGACAGACACGTCACCGGCGATAGGGGTAGCATGGAGCGATCTGACGCCAACCGAGGTCCAAGTGACGGAGAGGGGCCGCCGAGATGACCTACTGATAAGGTTCAACATTCTCTTTTGGGACTGCTGAGGGAACGGGCGCGAGAAGGAAGGTGGGGAGACGTGTTAGATCTGGGATGGGGCTTTTCCGACGCGCTGGAACATCTCGGCCTTCGGACAGAGTGGGCTACGATTGAAGCCATTCTGGGAGAGACTTACAAGTTGAGGAAGTGGTGTGAGAGAGCAGTTGTGACAGAAGACGGACTGCCAGAAGTGGACAGGCTGTTTCGTTGGGGTCCTTTGAGGTTGTGGATAACAAACGAGGGAACAAGGACGTTGGCGACAGGGGGCGAGCGATGTCCGGATGGATGCGTTGCTCCCCTCCACACGCGCAGCTCCCGCATTTAATCATCCACGTGACTGCAATGATGGGTTGTGCTGTCACTTCTACGGGGTGCCCATTTCCCACAACCACTCTTTTCCACCCTTTTTTCTCGAGATATCCTGTGCCTATTCGAAACGACCATATCGTCGTTTCTCTGCTGCAATCTCGCTTGTTTGTTCGGCTGAGCTCATTATTCTCTCCGTCCCCCGCTGTGTCTTCAGTCGGCTCTCTGCGACAGAAGCCCTTCGGCCAGACGTCTCGTTTTCGGTCGGAACACACCGGTGTGCTGAAGGAAAAGGGGAGACGGCTTCGGAAACTCCCTCTAACACACAACTCAGCACTGGTTATCTACAAAAGAAAGCCGCAGGAAAATGAACGGCGGCGAAATGTCCTACTCCAGGGAAGACCCCATCCCCGGCCCACCGGCCTTCTACGCCCTGCCACCCAGTATGTCCAGCCCCCACATCACCCAGCCCCTCCCGCGACCCAGCAGCAGCGGAACCACCATACCAGTCAACCCACCTCGTCTACCCTCGGCACTCGTCGTTGCCAACCCCGATGCGTCTGAGAGCGTGGTGCCGGTCGTGACACCGAAGCGGAGCCATAAGGCGAGGAAACCAAAGGCGAAGATCGAGAAACCGACCCCGGTGCCGGCTGGGACTGGGGCTGGGAGGGGTTCGGTGGAGGTGATGGGGAGGCGTGAGGAGGTGGAGTTTGAAGGTGGGTCTCGAATATTTCGCGGTTTGCTTTTTTTGAGGTGCAAGTAGTGACACTTGGGATGGTTTCAGAACCACCACTGACGAAGAAAGAGAAAAAGCACAAGGAAATGATGGATCGTCTAGAGAAGCTCAACAGGGACTTTGTCAACAACAAAGAGAAGTACGTACAGTGCATGCTACGCGGGTCCCCGATATTTTGTGCCAAAAACTCACTATATCCCTTCTTCGTAGAATCTTCGCAGACAAAGTCATCGACTACAAAGAAAAAGCACAACAACTCTTATCCGGCACGCACCCCGAGTTCGACGACGTCATCAAGCGGCTCGAAGACGACCGGCACCGATCCGTGGCGAATGCAGAGTCGTTTCGAGATTATCAGATGGAATGCGCGGCGATGCTGTATAAACATGAGCATGATACTATTATTGCGGAGTTCAAGGTGGCCTTATGCGCGATGTGTCTTTTTTGAGATGGGAAAGGTTGACTCACGCGTGGGTCTCTCCCTTTTGCAGAGAGACAAGGAAGCCGTGAAGGAGAAGATGTTGGAAGCGTTAGAAGAGAAGAAACGGAAGATACGCGACGACCGGGCCAACTTTGACATCAACCAGAGTAAGCTTCCCAAAGCGTCTATCATTTCCTATCTGCCGAGTTATAACACTTGCCCCCCAATTCAGTACTCCAAGACACAACCCTAGAAGACCACCGCACCCTCGGCACCCGCAAAGCCACGCGTTCGCACGCCGCCAAAAACCCGGAAGAAAAGAAGGAGAAGAGGCGGAAGATACAGGCTCTGCCGGGCATCATTGTCCTTACGCCGGATGAGGTGGCGTTGGCGGATTTGAGTCTTATTCGTCGGGTATGTTATCCATCACCTCTCGTCATGGTCATCTCACTTTCATGTATTTGCTTACACTCGCTGTGTGATGGTCTGTAGCAAATACCCGTACAAGCAAAGAAACCGCCAGCGATGATACCGAAGCGGCGGTGAAAATCCCACCATCTACCCTTGCGTTCTCTCGGGAAGCGCCAATACATGCACACTCAACCTATACATTGGGAGAGCGTGGACGCACACCACGCAACGCCACGCGATCAACCACCACACAGCGGCTGACTGTATATAGATACCCCCCTCCCTTATGCTTTGGCGGGGATGTTAAACTTTTTTGGGAGAATGGATGAAACTGTGAACGTACTGAGAGGTAGTGTGGGTAGTGTTGTGTGTGACAACTTCTGTATGAGGGGCGTGGTGTGGCGGGCTTGGGAGTGGGACTAAGTGGGAGTGCGCGCGCGTCACAAGCCATATGGGCAAGTTGCTGCAATTCCGTGAGGTCAGCAGGGGCCTGTGACACATAGCATGGAACTTTTCCTGCCACACTTCCCCTCTGCACATTGCGGGCAAACTTGCACTTGCTGATCTCAACCCAACCGTCTGGACGCACATAAACGCAAAACACCCGCTCCTCAGTGCTCACTATCCCACACCGCTCCAAGTTCTCGAACTCGTTTTCGGAGCAGTTGTCCTTAATTCCCACTACCCATCACAAACCCATCGCCTCCGTTTCCATCCCCATTCCCACGCCTCAATCATGTCAGACCTAAAAGAAAAGCTCGCCGAGTTCCTTCCCGCGAAAGTCTTCAAGCCCACCAACGCGCAGATCCTGTTCCCGGAACTGCATCGTGAATTGGAGGCCGACCCGTCGCTCGCAAAGAATCTGCAGGGGTTGTTTATTGTTACGGTGCTGTTGAAGGGAGTTAAGAGGGATGAATGGTAGGTTGAGCTGTTGGGCTGGATGCGAGTTTGGGGTCTGGGCTGCGGGTGTTTGGCTGGGAATGCCGCTGCCTCATAACATTGCACCGTAATCCGACCTCTAACCCCTCTTTTGTGAAAATCTCAGGTACCTCCTCTTCAACGGCCCCAACAAAAAGCCCATCATCTCGCAAACCCGCCCAACCCTCCCAGCGTTCACCAAATCCACCTACCCCGTCGTGCTGGTCGAGATCGAAGACGCCGATATCCTTAACTTCGCAACAGGCGGTCTGCCGGCCATCAAAGCGTACACGACGCAGCGGGTCAAGATCGTTGGGGATTTGATGCTTGCCCAGCAGTTGGAGGAGGTGTTTGCGAAGGCGGGGGGCCCGGATAAGGCTGCTGCGTATTTGCAGAAGGTTAAGGGGAAGAGCTTGGGGAAGAGGATTAAGGCGAGTCTTTAGGCGTTGGGATAGCGGAATTTGTATGGCACGTCTTGGTCGGTTTAATCGAATACCAGTTTGTTTGTTTGCACATCACATTGGGTTCATACGGGCGAATCAATGATGACCTCCGATGTTGGAATGAGCCGTGATTGCAGAGGGGGCAACATTGGCCTGCTCCTCAGACATGAATGAGAAGGACCTTGAGCCGAGGTGCATCGGTGGTGCGTAGCCTCCTACCCTGTCTGGCAAAAATCTATGGAGCCGATGCCTTTCCTACCAGCATTTCCATTATAATGTGAGCCATAGAAGCAGAGCCGATAAGGACCTGTTTGCTGTAATGTCTACGACGTATTTGGTATACTGCCATGTCAAGAACCATATGATTTGCTCCCTCGATTTCAAGCTTTTCAGGTCCGATGGTGGAATATTCCACGGGTCTCGCACCGAAAGCTGCCCAACAGACATTCCTGCACCCTAGTGTCCATCCGATCTTACATCTCGCACCCTCGAATCTTAACTTAGAAGCGGACTCTGGTCCTCTCAGGCCTGCACTGTAGCGAACTATCGAACGGGCTCATTCTACTGCTGCACTTTGTAACATTTCAGAGAACCCGCGCAACAATGGTAAGTCCGCACGATCAGCCCGGAAGCTGTTTATGCCTAAGCTGCCCAAATCGCTTACCTCTCTCTTCCCCACAGGACGTCTACACCCCAACGCTAACAGAAGCGCACGACTGGCGCCACGAAATGCGGTGGGAGATCCAAGAGATCATCCCCGGGCTATGGCTCGGACCTTACGCGTGCGCGCGCAAGAAGGACATGCTGAAGGCGAAGGGGATCACGCATATGCTGTGTATCAGGGACCAGAATGAACGGCATTTGGTCAAGGTGTTGTGGCCTGACGACTTTGTTTATGGTGTCATGTAGGTATGCCGGGGGGGAATCAGCGCGGTGCTTTTGGGGTCTGATTGAGGATCATGGGGACAATTGTTGTCTAACCACGATTATACCCCCTTTTTCCTCCACCATCTATATGATTTAGCGAAGTCTCCGAATCCCCCCTCCAAAACCTGATCCCCCACTTCCCCGCCTGCCGCTCCTTCATCGCCTCCGCCCTTCACAAACCCGGCACGGGCGCAGTGTTCGTGCACTGCAACACGGGCATGTCGCGGTCGCCGGCGATCGTGGTGGCGTATCTGATGATGGAGAAGAAGATGGCGTTCCAGGAGGCGTATGCGGTCGTGCAGAATCGGAGGTTCTGCATGAATCCGCAGGAGGGGTTTAAATTGCAGTTGAAGGTAGGGCGGAATGATCCATCTTCCCGCTCCCATTCGCGCATCCAACATCTTGGGCTGGGTGTGGATCCATACATCAGTGGGTTTTGGCACTTACCGTACGGACAAATTCATATAGGAATTCGAACCAATATGGAAGGCCCAACTCGACCCCCACCTCCTCTCCACGCAATCCGGGTCCATCAACCCCAACGGGTCCGCGTCCATGTTCCCCGAGACGGAATACACCGCACAGCAACAGCGGCGTAAACGCAGCGATAGGGACGATGACGAGTTTGCTGATCAGAGTGGTGGGGGGCATCCGCATGCTAGTAGTGCTAGGAGGAGGGATGATGGGATGGTATGTGTTACGTGGGAGGGTTGTTGTTGGGGGGTTCGTGTGGGGTTTTTGGGTGGTGCGGGGTGATGGAACTGAGCCCTTGTTTCTTTGGTGTGTGTAGGAAATTGGGGCGTGAAGCAATGTGCGCTCGCCCCACCGCAAAAAACACGAAAGCTCTACATTTTTGGATCACGATTCTACCCCCGCCCCTTCCCGGCTTCGACCTCCCTTTGCAACAGCCCCCCCTTCCCGCCTTGTGTGCCCCGGATACCTACGAAAACCCCCTGCAACAGCCCGCTTCCCGCCTCATGTGCCCTGGATACCTACGAAAACCCCCCAACGACACGCGTTCCACGACCGGCATAGAGATTGGGGTGTCTATCCTGTCGTGTCTGTTTTTGTCCTGTGGCAATGCCCCGCAGACGTCAGCAAGCCCTTGTCTTTGCACCTCTCTTCTTGTATATGAACCTTTTCCTCATTCTACGTGTATTGAGAATGTCATCGAAAACTATGCAGATGAGAGGGAGAAAATTGTACAGTGGGAAAAGGTAAAAATAATTGCTACAGTAAGTCTAAAAGACCGGTTCAGGAACCTCTACGCCGCAAACACGACCCCAACCCCCCACGCCACCACCCCAACCGCCACGCCCACACCCGCCATCCTCACCCACGTCCCAACCCCCTTCCCCGTCTCCTTAACCCGATGGACCATCTTATGCACCTCCGGCGGCGCAGGAGCGTATGGCTTGACACCCATCGCCGCCGCCCACGCGGGGGGAGGCAGGGTGGTCCGTGTTGTCGGATACCCCCCGTTCAAGTGCACGGGGAAAGGGGGTGGGGCGCAGCCGAGGGCGAGGGCTGCCAGGAGGCCTGACGTGCATCCATCTATCAAAAAGGCCCAAAAAAAAAGTTGAGGAGTTTGAGTGTGCTAACTGGTGTATGAGTGACAGTGAAGGAATATGCGATTTTTTTTTTACCTTCATGGAACCCATAATTCGTCCACGCGCCCGCAAACGCCACCCCCGCGGCATTCTGAACACCGTTCATCCCCTCCTGCGCCCTAATCGTCTGCGGGCTGTACAGCGGGTGCTCGTACTCCCACTCTCCCAACACTTTCCGAGCGTCCGGTTCGTAGAGCGGGTTCAGGGTGGCGAGGACGGTTCCGCAGTCGTGTTGGGTGAGGTGCGGTTGGAGGGTGTTCATGTAGTAGGTTAGGCAGACTGTTGGGGAGTGCGCGGGCCCGGTGGGGGAGGAGGAGGAGGAGGTGAGGTAGTTCCAGGCTGCCCAGGCCGTGCGGGTTTTGGGCATTAACTGTTGCGTGAAAGAAAGTGTGAGGCCATCTAGGCATAACGAATGCTGGGACCGGCGACCGTCGACGTTACCTCCTCATCCCGATGCAAAACCAACCGGTTCTTCACATACTTGATGCCCCCCAACACTTTGCGTTCCTCCACCGTCGCTTCCTCGCCCAGGATCTTGAGCGCCTGGTCCGTATGCGTCGCGATGATGACGTGGTCGAAGACTTCCACGGCGCCCTTGTTGTCCGTTAATGTGATTCTGGGGGAGGTGGGGTTGGCGAGGTCGCGGTGGAGGGATGTGATGGCGGTTTGGAGACGGACGTCGGGGAGGTGGGCGAGGATGCGGTTTACGTAGGTTCGGCTGGAAGGGATGCGTGTTTATCAGCTTGCCCACTTCTCACGCAACTTGGATAACCAAAAGATGCGAACGCACCTTCCCTGGTTAACAGTCATCCACTTCGGCCTCCCCCCAATCTGCAGCAATTGATGGTTCCGCATGAACTTGAACAGCGTGAGCACAGGGAACTGGTCGAATGTCATGTCGGCGGGGGTGGACCAGATGGCGGCTGTCATGGGCACGATGTAGTTTTCGTAGAAGAAGCGGGAGTAGTCGCGTTTGGCGAAGAAGTCGGCGAGGGTTTCGCCTGTGAGTGGGTGGACTAGTGAAAGAGATGGGTGGGCAGGATGATGTGAGCACAGTGTAGTAAAGATTATGCAGAGAGAAACCATTGTTCGCTGTCGCTCACAGTGTCGCGTCGCTCGCCTCAAAATCCCGACTGTTTGGTCGCCTTCGCTTAAACTTACCTTGGTCCTTCTGGGCAATGTCCGCCAGGGGTTTCCCACTCTCATCGAACGTTTTCAAATCCGCCTCCCTAGCAATTTCCTTTGCCTCCTTATGAAACCTCAGCACATCATAAACCATCCTCCACACCCCACCATCCGTAAACCCTTCCGCAAACGGGTTCAAATTCTTCGCGTTACAAAACACCCCCTTCAATCCATCTCCACACCATTCAAACTCCCCCTTGTTGCGCGAGACCGAGAAGCTCATATCCGTCTTATCGAGTGCCACGTCGAGCTCGTCCATCAAGGAGAGGAAGTTAGGGTAGGTGACGGGGTTGCAGACGATGAAGCCGGTGTCGACGGGGACGGTTTTGGCTGGGTCGTCGAGGGTGGGGATGTCGACGGTGTGGGTGTGGCCGCCGATGTAGGAGCCGGCTTCGTAGAGGGTTACGGAGAAGGAGGGGTCTCTGTTGAGGAGCCATGCTGCGCTGAGGCCTGAGATGCCTGAACCCTGAATATCCGCGATGGTGAGCGTTCCATGGGAACTCTCCGAGCGAGTGAACGCAGCACTTACAATGACAGCTATCCGCTTTGGGCGGGCCTGTGGGGCGCCTTGAACGTCTTCGACTGTCATGGTCGTAGTGATATCGAACGGGTATTGAGAGTGGGAGCAAGGGGGAGGGGCTGCTAGTTCAGTCCCCGTATAAGTAAGTTTTAACTGTTGCAGGGCAGAATCCGCAGAGGGATGACTCATCAGCGCGCGGTCGGAAGGATCGGATCGCAGTCGATCGCCCACCCTCGTACCGTCGTACGCTGCATTAGTGGAGAGAGTGGAGTGGTGGATCGGAGGCCGCTGAGCTGAGCGTTCCAACGAGGGCTCAGCACTTGGAGTCTTGGACACTGGGGCATTATTGCGGTCAGGCACTCGGCGCTACGTCTATCCCCCTCAACCAGACGGAAAGCAGGTTCTACCGTCTCCACACCCACCATGCCCGCCCCCGGCCCATTGCACGATATTGGCGTGCTGCTCAAGAAGCTCGGCAAGAAGCTCTTCAAGCACTTTCTCAACCAACACAAGAAACAACAACAACAACAACAGCAGCAGCAGCAGCAGCAGGATAATGCCGACAAGCAGCAGGCCGGCGGTGCGTGGGCTCAGGGGCCACCCCAACACAACCAGCAGCAGCAGCAACAGCAACAGCAGAAACCCAACCAGCAGCAGCAGCAGCAGGGATGGTGGTCGCAGCCACCCCACCAACAGCAGCAGCCGCAACATCAGCAGCAGCCAACTCACGGACCGGCTACGACTAGCTCCGCAAACATCGCTGACCCGACTTCCGCCGAGCTCGCCAGTATTGCGGACGCCGTCGCAAAGATGTGGGATTTGGACAGTAACAAGCTTGTGCCTGGCCGGGACTTCCAGCTGAACTTGCAGGCGCAGACGAAGGTTTATGGAACGAGTAGGTTGACGGAGTGAAGAAAACGAGGAGATCTCCTGTCATAGATGATATTCACGAACGCATTTCCTCCTCCCATTTTCACCGCACAGCCGACCAAGCGCCCGAACCCCTCTTCAAAAACGTCTCGCCCGCCCTCTTCTCCCGTTTCCCTACCTACGTCCACTTCACCGCTCTCCTGAACAACTACAACGCCCGCGCCGGTACCGCGGAAGTGCACTCGGCCGAGGAAGTGCGGGAACAGGATGCGTTCATCAACGAGATCTTCAAGACGGGGCCTATGATGTATGCGCACAAGTGGTTGGCGAAGAAGGGATTGGCGCCGGCGTCTGAGGCGGAGTTTAAGAGGGTCGTGAAGAGTATTTGGTTTGATGTGAGTTTGGCGTTGTATTTGCGTGGGGTTCGGGTAGGCCCTAAAATGTGACTCAAACCTGCCTCTCCTGTTCCCTCCAGCTGTACAAACGTGAAGTCAAAGACGATTCTTCCGCATTCGAACACACGTTCCACGGCGAGATCCGCTCCGGACAGGGTGTCATCGGTGAGTTCACCAAACCCCTCCCTCCCTCCATTCCCCACCCCATTTCTCACCTCCCTCCCCCACCCAGGCTTCCACAACTGGCTCCAATTCCTCCTCCAAGAACGCTCCGGCGCCGCCGACTACCGCGGCTGGATCACCCCCCGCTCCCGCCGGCACGACACCTCCCCCCAATCCTCCTCCATCCTCTCCTTCCAGCTCGGCTGGCACGGCGAGATCAAGCCCGTCTCCACCTTCTTCATCGGCTCGAGCCCCGAATGGGAGGTTGCCACGTATACGCTGGTGTTTTTGGCGGGTGGAGAGGATAACCAGGTAGTTTTGGATGGCGTGGAGGTCAATTTGAAGTGTCATAAGTTTCAGAGTCCGAGGGGGTTGAGGTTGGGGAGTGTGTATCCTGTGTCGGGGTAGGGAGTTTTTGTCACGGGGTTGTTTTGTATGCATATCGATAGACCATTCGGTTTTGGGGTAGAAATTCTCACGACAGACATAGATAGATACGCACAACTACATTGTGGACACTTAGGTAGCATTACTTTTGCAGCAAGAATAGATAGAACCAATCGTAGACACATTTCATCATCTTTTCCTATTCTTTTTCACTTGAATTGTGGAAAGTATGTCTGGACAAATGAATTCTTTTCCCCGGTTCTGCATCCATGCCCTCTCTTCGCACAGCATAGTGAGGTTTGGACCGACAACGTTTCGATTTTATGTCCCTCCTCCCGCCTCCCCTGGAAGGATATGACCATCCTACCTCGGATACCACACAACGACCCCGCTCATCGCACACCTCATCACCTCCTCAAAGGCGCATCGGTCCTCAGACCGCCAATCGCGATGAATGTCTGCGATCAGAAGGCGATCGAAAGCGGGGAGGTTGCAGGCCCAGCGTCCCATAGTAGTTGAGTATGATTGCACTCGTCTGCATTCACCTGATTCCAAGGCCTATCTGCCCTTCCAGCGTCCGTGTGGGTGCAGCCGCACTGTCTGAACCACTCGGCAAAGGCGGTGGCTTCTCATGTGGGATGGGTTTGACCGATGCGGACGATGGATGATGTGCGAAGGTCCCGCGTCGAATCGAGGATTCCGTGCAGAGACTGCATTTCCGCCAGGTGGATTTGGGATTGAGATGGGAAGTAACGTGTTGGTTGTGTAAGTGGGTGTGTGTCTCGCAGAGTTCCGGTGTGTGGGAGGCCTCTCGTTCGGCTTAAGGTGTTGATTGACCGAGGTCCTCATTCGGCGGGCCTCCCCCAAGCGCCTTTTTCGGTATCGCCCAACCTCCGTGACCACAAGCCGGCAAACCCCGTCTCACTCATCATCCCCAAACGACAACACCCTCCGATCCTTCACACTCTTCACATGTTTCATCGCACTCCGTTTCTTCTGTTTCGCCAGCGCCCGTTTCTCATCCCCCACCGCCGCCGTGCCCCCCGTCGTTGCTCCCTTCCCTCCCCCTGTCGGACCAGCGGTCTTCCGCCGCTTCTTGAACCGCGGTTTCCCATCGGCCGTACCCTCCTCCTCCTCCTCAGCCTCAGCCTCCCCCCCATCCACGTCCTCCCCAGCTCCACGTTTCGCCGTCCCCGCATCCGTCCCCGCCCCCGTCTTGCCCAAAAACCGCTCCGCCTCACCCCCACTCACACCCGTCCCCAACACAATCTGCGGCGCCTCATCATCCCGATCCCGCCCACCAGCATCCCCATCCCCATCCTCCTGACCACTATCGTCATTGGGAATGGGATCCGGGTGTGCTTGACGCCCGGAACCGCCTGATTGGAGCATTTTCAGGAAGTTGGGGGTTTGCGCGGAGAATTGGAGGGATTGGCTGCGGATGAGGGACGGTGAGTTGGGACTTCCGAGGGAGGGACGGGGAGGGGATTGCGAAGGGCTTACCGGGCGTTGAAGTTGAGTTTCTTTTCTGTCATGATGGGCGGGGTTAGGTCTGGTGGGGGGGGGGGGGGGGGGGAAGTCTGTCGTTGAGCAGGGGGGACGATCTCGTATGTGTACTGATCCTAGGTCGCTGGGAAACGTTGGCCAAAAAAGTGCCTATCAACTTCAGACGGGGACAAAAACATACTCGGACCCAGGATCGAACTGGGGACCTCTGCCGTGTGAAGGCAGCGTTATGACCACTAAACTATCCGAGCTTGCTTAAAATGCTCTCGAAATGCTCATTTATTACTACTGGTTTCTCTTTCCGCCAATTCGCCATCCCAGTGTGATACCACTGCACAGCAATGAACCTATGTTGTGGGAGGACCGGTCGCTATAAGCAAACACACTGGCGTCCATGGCTGTCCTCGCTCTCCTCGCTCGACCGGGAGAAGGACCCACCATCGGAGGGCCGCCCGCCTCTACGAAGCCCAAATCAGACGGGCAATGAACCCAACATCATCAATCGGTTGGCCCCTGTAGCGGGTTGTCCTCTTCTCGGTCCTACTTTCTCGAGTAACAGATACTGTCTATAGTCCCAAAAAATACTGTACAAAATACAAGTGCAGATTACAAGAGCGGCCTGAACATGAGATCCCCCTCAAAAACAAGCATCCCACAGCACGTTAGCATAGTAATATCGCGAGAACTTGTCTGCAAACTCCTGGATGTAGATATCTTTTTCCGCGCTGTTTGGTTTGCCTGGCGGACATTAAATCAGGGAAGTGTTAGGACCCGAATGAGGTGTTTGACCGAGTGTGCAAAGATGGTACTCACGAACTTGACACTTGACAAACTTCCCCATAGCGTCCTTCTGCATCTCGATCCCCAGGCCCCGGAAGATCGTCAGCAACAACCTATACCCAAAAAAGAAACCTCATCAACACCCGCATCCCGCTGCCCAAAACAAAAAACCCCCAAAAAAGAGAAACATACTGCTCCCGACTGGGCGGCACAACCCTCTCGTCCTCCTCCTCCCTCCTCAGACCCTCAACCTCCCCCTCCAACTCCGCCAACTGCGCCTCCAACCCCTCGATCGTCTCGTCTAGCTCGCCCGCCTGCTTGGCGAGCATGGATTTGGCCCGATCCATGCTGATCATTCGCGCGCTGTGGGTTTCGGTGGTTGCGGTGGGTTTGGGGAGCGCGGTGGACGCGGTCAGGTGGGCATGGTGTTTGCTGAGTGCTGGATGATAATCCCAATTCGACATGTCAATGTTCACTTACAGTATAGTCGGAGGAATTGGGAGATGATGACCGCTTACCTCGTAACGTCCCCTTCATACTCTCTTCAACCTCGCCCATCGCTTCGGCCGCTTTGGTGTTCAGGCTATCGATGTTGCGGATCAGCGCCGTTTCGTGTGCCGGGTTCAGGCTCTCGAGGAGGGTGGCGACCAGCGCGTGGCCTTCTTCGAAGGCGGGGCTCATTTGGGCGTGTAGGTGGGACATGGTGGACGGTGGGTGCGGTGGTGAGTACAATGTGTTGTGGTGAAGTGCTTTGGGAGTGGGGTGTGAGATGCCGGACATGTGGCTCTCACTCAGAAGAGGAAGAGGGGAAAGTGCAAGTTCGGTAAGTGTGCCTTTTGTCCAAGAGATGTCCGGAACACGCGCGCGACCAAGTTGCCCATTGGGGCAGTAGGGTCAGGTCTGCCCTGCCGACAAGCTTGTAACGCGTTCCTAGCCCTGTCGACGAGACGGAGTCGCAACGCACTGAAGCCCGAGCGTACGAGACAGGGCCTGCCCTTCAAGGAAGCCCACCGCGGAAAACTCGTACCAATGACCGTCATCGATAAAGGACTCTAATAACATAAACAGTTCCAAAAATCATATGATACAACAGAGGGAGCGGGCCACATAGCCGAGCTTCCATGTGCGACCCACTCAATGAAAGGTCCAGGTGTGCGGATCGAGAACCCCATCTTCCACGCCCTCCTCCTTAGTCACGCTACCCCCTCCCCTTCTCCATCGCTGCCCTAATCTTCGTCTCACACATCTGCGCCGCGTCCAATTCCGCGGCTAGCGCCGCGAGATTTGCGTTCGGCTGTTGTTGTGTTGTTGTGATCGTTGTCCCGGTGGTAGTCGATGACGATGAGCTTGTGGTCGCCCAGGGTGTGGGGTCGGTGGAGGGTACGCTGTTGGCGTTGATGAGGTCTATCGGCAGCTTGTTTTGTGCGTCCTGGAAGCAATCATGTATACATTAGCACCCGCACTTGGGGATGTCAGCTTGATGATCGCCCCGAAACAAACAAACCTTCATAAACACATCACACCCCTTCCGCACCAAAAAGGCCACCGCCTCCACATCCCTGAACATCGCCGCGTAGTGGATCGCCGCTTTGCCCACCAGGGTCGTCGTATCGACCCCACTACCTCCGGCTTCGACACTTTTGTCTGTTGATAAAGGTGTTGGATCCTGTACAGCGGCCGGCGAGAGGAAATGGTTGATAGCGTTGATATCGGCGCCGTTTTGGATGAGGAATTCCGCTGCTTTGAAGCGGGCTGCGACTGACGATCCTGATGGTGTAGTGGATTTGGTCGGGCTTGCGGGTATCGGGACCATGTTATCCGACGACGGCTGCGATATACTTATCGGTGGTATCTGCACCGGTACAGGTTGATTCCCACCGCTTACATTCCGCCCGCCCACAGGTATCGAACTCTCCCTCGGGGGCGGCGGCGGCGCCGGCGCGGCTGGATATCCCAAGGCCCTCACCACCACCGCACCCTCATTCGGCACATTAGCGACATTCGCGCCACACGCCACCGCTTTAAGCATCACCAGCACATCCCGGGTGTCTATCCCCCTATCCAGCAACTCGTACGCGTCTTCGGTTATTGTCCGATCGACGTATTTCCGCAGAATGTATTTGTTGCGGATGAAGGCTTCTTTGACGTCGCGGGGGTCTTTTGGTGTTGGTTTCGTGTCGTTTGGTTGTGATACCGGGGATGATGGGGTGGATTGGGTGGGGGGAGGGGAGAGGCTGGCTTCCCAGATGGAGTTGAAGCGGGTGTTTCCGATGGTTTTGAGGACGGCGATGAGTTCGGGGGTCCAAGAGGTTTGATCGAGGGTTAGGGAGCGGATCTGGGTGGGGGACGATGGTTATGTCAAAGGAGTTGTTTCATAAGTGGAGGAAAGTCAGGGTGGGGACGCACCTTTGTGATGTGTGTACCCAGATTCCGATGTACGCCGGAGCATTCTGTTCCGTGTTGGAAGGAAGTTACCACCAGCTAGGTTTGTGAGTGTTTGTGATAAAGAAATAAGCCTTCAACTCACCTAGACAAATGACACAGCCTAGATTGATGCTCATCCATTCCGGATTTTGCATTCCGCATTCGGCGCACACTAGTGGAGAATAGCGTTAGTTCGCCAATATTATAAAATCAGCGCCCATCAATCATCTCCAAAACCCCACCAAAAACCCTGCTCCAAATCCGGCTATCCCTATACCTACCAGAATTCCCCGGATCCGCCTCCCTCATAACCTCCAACAACCCCTGCTCCCCCGGAGCCACCACATGATCGGGCGCAAAATTCTCAATCTCACTCCTAATCCCCGTAATCTGCGCCTGTATACTATTTTGCAACACCGCCATCCACGCCTTCATATCCTCCGCATCGGTAGCCTGGTACAGCCGCCGCGTTCCCGTCGCGCCATTGATAAGCTCAAACGAGAACCGGCGGTCGACGTTGGTGGAGGAGCGGATGGAGCAGAGACGGAGGTTGGTGGAGTGCGTTTCTTCGGGGTGGTTGCGTTTCAGGTTGTATTCTTTCAGGTGACCTTTTTGCAGTACACACCACATCTTCTTGAGCTGGCCGCCGGGCCCGCCTTTTGGTTGTCCATGGGGAAGTCGGTGGTCCCCCGCGTTCCCGACCCATAGGTACCCTTTCCTTCGCCTCCCCATCAGCGCCAACTCTGGGTCATTAGTCTGGCTCAGATCCCTGATCCCTTTGAATTTTGCCGTGGCCTCATCCTCCTGATCGCTCAACGCCGCGTCGAACCCGACCCCGCCCTCCACATAGGACTGCGCTTTGGACTCGATCAATTTCCTGCGCTCCTCACGTTCCCGGCGTTCTTCATTTGGACGATCGTTGACTTTCCATTTCTCGGAAAGCGTTGAGAGCTCGTCGGATTTCTTGGCGAGTTTCTCCGAAATGGATTTATAAAACGTGAGCTGCTTCTCGCCGAGCATGATCAACTGCATGTCGACGATCCGCCCCGTGTGCAGGCCGTGCAGATCTTTAAGGTGACAGTAATAATCCAGCCGTTTCAACTCATACGTTTTCTTCTTTTCCTGCCATTTCATGTCCACGTCGGAGAGTTTGCCTTTTTGCGTTTTGTTGATGGAGAGGTATTTGTGTTCGGATGAATTGAATTCTTTGAGGTCCTGTTCAAAGATCTTTTTTTGCCGCTCGGTCTCTTTTATCCGATCGTAAACCGCGTCGAACTGCACGAGGAGGAGGTTCTCGACCTGCTGGAGCATAACGTCCATCTGCCGCTCAACGACGGAGGACACGTCGTTGAGGACGTTGACCACCGTGGGATCGACGATGGTGATATGCCCGATTCCCTCGATGAGTTCATTGCCCGTCTGCACGAACGCGCGGCCGGCGTCCATGTATCCCAAAAGATCCTTCCTCGTTTTCTTGACGGCGAGTTTAAGCGCGCTCGTCTTTTTCTCGAGCGTTTCGAGGGTGTGTCGGAATGCGGGCTCATCATCGACCTCTTCCAGGTTTGTCATTGAGCCGGCGGAGGTGCTGGAGAGTTCGCGGCGGTGCTGTTGGAGGGTCACTGCCGTCGCGGTGGGTGGTGCGCCGTTCTGGGGGTGGTGGTGGTGCGCTGGCAGGGAGGGGCTGAGGATGACGGGGGACGAGAATGAGGATTGTGCGGAGAGTGGGGACACGCCGGACCCAGGTTCGTGTTCTTGTCCGGGGGCGGAGAGTGGGGAGTTGTCGAACAGGCCTGCTGATGATGGACGCCGGTGGAATGCCGAGTCGATGGTCATGGTGGAGCCTTGGCTGCTTTGCCGTAGGAAAGGGGCTGTGACTGCTACATAATGGTCGGCTACAGGTTTAGCGATCCATGTGAACCGCTACGAACCTCCCCATACATCGTACTTACAAGAAATGAAAAACTCAAAGACGAGCAATGCGCGGAAATGCTTGGTATCAGGCACACATTCCCCTATCTGGAGGGTCGACGATCTTTTAGCATCAGGGAGGTTACCCACTTCCTAACGTTCCCCCAATATCTTACACAACAGAAGTTCTTCCACCCGCCCGTCGGCGGTAGCAGCTCGCTCTTGACGTCGCCTTTCCCCGAAGTCAGCGGCGCCTCGTACCTCCAGTGCCAGTCCAGGTACTGGACCCCATCCTTTGCGTCGTCGCGAGGTCGTAGCTCAGGGAAGATGACGCTTGGTGATGGAGCCTGCGATGGGCGGTTCACGTCAATACGCTGCAAACCAAGCGAAGCAATGCATCGATGGAAGACGGCGAACCCACCCCCGAGGCCAGCTCGTTGGCTCTACTCATCAGATGTTGTCTCTCCGCTGCACAAACACACGAGCGTCCGTCAGAGCCCCCCATCTTCGCCATACAGTCCACACCTCAGTAACGTCCCACACACCTGCACTTTCAGCATTCAAAAACACCAAACCCCTCGGCGCCTCGCCCGCTATCCTGAACGTCACATCCGCCTCCAACACATCACTATAATCGATCGTCAGCGTCAGATCCCGTCCCTTCAACCGGTTTATCCCCGCGGCGCTGAGCCGCGCGAGAGACTGCACGGATTTCCATTGTGTAGGATTGGCGGGGTCCGGGTCATCGATGAGGGAGGCGAGCTTGAAAGTTCCCTTGGGGGTTTGTTGGGCGGAGACCTGCACGGTGCTTGTGTTGTCGGGGGTGGACGGGAAGTGGAGTGTGATGCTGTCGGTGGCGTCTTTCAGGCATATTTGGTCTATCGTTACTGGAAGGAGGAGACGCTGGGCTTTCAGCAGATCGTGATGGGAGTACCATTCATGCAAATTGACTCACGCTGCTTGGAGGTTGGTTGCAGACGAGAACTGCCGTTGCCCATTCTGCTAATTGGTTTTCCCACCTGAAATTGAAATGGGAGCTGAATGGCGCGTTGGAATGCGTGCAAGAGCGACAAAAACTGCAACTGACACTACAGCTATGTATCCAGCGAGTCCTGGAATAGAGGAGGCTGCGTCGAGAGAGCTGTTTATGGGGGTTAGTCTCTGCCGTCTGTTTAAGCGAGAGCAAGAAGGAGCGTCTCGAGCGAGAACTGATCTGGATGCGAAAGAACACCTCGCGACGCGTCCGACAAGAAACAAAGACGTGACGTGAGCGGCCCCAACTTCGACAACGATCGAGAAAGGTCGGGCAGGAAAAGCCATGTTCACAAACCCCAAACGAGAACATCATTATGTACAAAAGGTTTAGTTACCCCCTCCCTCCCGGGCTCCCAGAAAAGCCGCTCAGGTTGAGGTCGAAAAACGGAGGAAAAGTACCTATAAACATATATACACACCCCACTGCCATCGCCATAATCCACCCTCCTTCCACCCTTCACCTCAAACGACTCATGAATTGTCCCGTGCCCCCTGGTGGGATAATCCGGATTCCGCGATGATGGTCACCCTCACGATACCGGTACTTCCGTCCATTCCCGTCCCAATCATCAATCCGTGGGTTCGAAAAGATAACGTGCCCAGGCCCTATGTCGTCGTCGTCCGTAGGTTTCGAAGAGCTTTTCTGTTTCCCATACGTCTTATTTTTGATCTCCTCCACCTTCTCAGCTTTGTCTTCCTTTTGGCGCACTTCATTCTTCGTCGTTTGGTCAAGGACCCACGCGAAATTGTTGGGATCCTTTGGTGCCGGTGCTTCCGCGGGTGGAGTGGGCTCGACCGCCGGTGAGATGCTATCAAAAGCCGATCCATACAAGGACGCCGTATCCTCCTTCACCGCGTTGCCAGTCTGCGCAGGCGCTCGTTCTCCCCTCTGTCTGTGCCGCGGGGGTTCCACTTGGGGCTCCACAAACTCCGCGTCTTTTTCTGTGAGACGGACTTCGCGCGCTTTCGCTTTTCTTGCGTATTTCGTGGATTTCGGTGGAGCGGACGCGAGGGGTGGTTGGGTCGACGACGACGATGACTGCGTTGCTTGTGCCGCCTTCCATTTGGCAACCACATCGCGTGTCTGCGTAGAATTCGCACTCGTTTCCAATTTCCGCTCGACGGCTCTCTTTCCCGCAGTCCCAACCGTCTCCCCCTTCCGCTCGCCTCCACCCGTCAGCGATCCTTTCCGCGCATCCCCTCCCGCCTCCTCCTTTTCCACAACCTCCACGCCCGGTCCCGTCCTCGGGTTCCGCTCAATCTTCGGTCTGGGGCCCTTCGTAAAGCTCGCCACCGCCTTCACTCTATTGTAATACGTCTGCAACTCCTCCTCAGCTTCATCTTTCGTCGCCGCCATCTGCAGCCGGATCCGCGCACTGTCCATCGCTTCCTTGGCTTGCAAGAACCGCAGGTGCGTCTCATCGGCATCGCTACCCTCCCTTTTCTTCGTCGCGTCGCCAGTGACAAGCGTCGCAAACCGCGGCCCAAGTTTCTGCTTAAGTGCCTCCCGCTCCCTCTCCTGCCTGAACTTGTCCTCCAACACCCGTTTCTGCACCGCCAACACCCCCGGCACCTCCTTCCCAGCCCACAAACTACCCGTGACCCCATTCACGCGTTTCCACTCCTCAACCTCCTCCACGACCTTAAACACATCCACGCTCTTCCCCGGCGCCACAGGCACCGTATTACTCGGCGTCACACAATCCATATCCACCTCCTTCCTCAACACATGATCCACATCCACCGACGAAAAGAACGCAACAGAGGACGGCAAATCGCGGATCCCGACGCTCTCCGCAAAGATGGCGCGAACCCATAGGTTGGAGATCTGCAAACACAGCGCGGCGAGCATGGCGTGCTCGTCTTTAACGAGGAACCGCACCTCGTCGTGGATGGAGAGCATGAAACGTGTGGAGATGTTCAGGCGGCGCGTGAGGTAGGACATGGAGACGAGGACGAGGTGGAGGTAGTCGACGCCGGAGGATTGGACGGCCCAGTTTACGCGGGATGTCATGTACTATATCAATCGCAAAGAAAACGAAAAATCAGTACACGACTGGACATCACTCCAAACACAGCAAACCCCTTACATGCGGTCCCACAAACTCCGGCATCAAACTACTCGGAATCTCACACCCCAACACCGGCGTCTTCGGCCTCCTTGACGTCCCAATCCTTTCCAACTGATTGAACATAAAACTCTCAGTCCCGCCATGATAATACTGCACACTTGTCTTCGCATCATCCACCTCCCAAATCTGCCTCCCTTTACTCCTCAACCCCTTTGTGGACCTATACAGCTGCTCTGCCTTTTGCAACGCAACGTCCTTGGCGAGCCCGGGGGAGGCTTGGAGGAGGAGTTGAACGGCGTATTTGATACCTGCGCCGTAGATTCGGGAGTAGTTGAAGACTTTGGCGTTGTCGCGCGAGGTGCCGAGGATGTTGCCCGTGACCGTATGCAAGTCCGTCTTGTTGACTTTACTCCCTTGCAGAGTCATGAACCCGATCGCGGTCGCGCCGTGCATATTAAACTGCGCGTCGCCCAACAGACTCGCAATCCACAGTTCCTCAGAGTCCACGTCCGCGCCAACCATCTTATACCCGGGCGGCGCCTGCACCTGGCACTTCAACTCGGTCCCGATCCGATTCTTCTTGGCATTCGCAGCAGTCATCCACGTCCCCTCCACCGCACGCCTGGTAACCGTGCCCATCGTAATCGACTGCGGTAAGATGACCCCATACCCCTTCCCCTCCGGCATCTTGGGCACACCGCCCGGTAAACCCTTCAGATCCCGTTCCCAGATCACAAACTGCGAATTCACCCGCTGTTTCGCACTCAACCAGTACGTGCACTGCGAGCTCAGGGACAGGATATGCCGCGCCCCCTCGTACGTGCTCGTCAGGGTCCCGTTCTCAAACGCTGTCATGAACGATTTGGATAACGGCGACCCGCAGTTCGCGCCGTCGCCGCCTGGATGCGGCACGCGGAAATAGTCGTGCGTGGTATCATGCGACGCGCGGGGGTCGTAGGTCCGCTCGCCGGGCTTGTCCGAGAACCGCAGCCGCTGGGTGTCCTGCCCGCCGTCGACCACCTCGCCTTTCGGGACGACGTATGTCCACCCGAATGCGGAGATATAGTACAGCGGATATTTCTTCCACTGCAGCGCGAGCAGGTAAGGCGTGATCCGTGTCCGCAGCGAGATGTTCAACGAGCCGGTCTTCTTATCCCACAGATCGCTGTACCATTTCGGTTTGCCGGGTAACCCCTGCTGCCTCGCCGGTTTCCCCGCCTTTGTAAACTTCGCTTCCTGAATGGTCCAATCCAACTGCGACAGCCACGGATCACTCTTCCAACTCCCATCCTTCCCCTTCTCCACCGCCTCATCCACCAACCGCGTCAACCGCACATGGATATCCTGGTGAAACTCCTGGAACTTTGCCTCCGAGTCCCTCACGTACTTGTTCCAGTCGTCCGAGATGGGGAGGTACCCCTTCCCCATATGCAGCATCCCGGCAAACGAGGCCGGGTGCGGGCACTTGGCGCGGAAGCGCGGCATGATGGCTTTGAAGAGCCGGTGGGTGACGTCGACGTCTTTAGCGCAGTAGGACATGAGTTCTTGGAAGTTGTCGATGACGGTGCGCGGGTCGGTGGTTTCAAAATCTTTGCGGACGGACTTGTCGACTTGTTCGCCGAGGTAGAGTTCCGCGATGTGCCCCATGTTGTTGAGGGAGGAGACGTCTTCCCAGGACGTCGTGGTCGTGCCTGGTTCCTGGAATTCTTCCAAGGTGGGCATGTCCGGCCCAGTAGGCTTGAGTACCCCTGGGCGGGTGGTGGAGGGTCTCGGTTCCTTCTTCGCTTCCGCCTCCTTCCCACCATCAACACTCTGCGGGGCCTCTCCAGCCTCACCAACGTCCTTCTTCCGGCGTTTCCCTTCCGCCGTCCCTTCCGCCTTCCCGCCATCCCCACCCCCAACCTCCCCGCTCGCCCCATCAAGATCCCCCTGCTGCAACTTCGCAATCCTATCCTGCTGCTTCCTCATAATCCATGCGGGCCGCTGCTGCGTCGACAACCCACCCACCGCCGAATGCATACTCAACGTATCCACGAACCCAAACTCCGTGCCCTCCAGCCTATACTCCTCCAGTATCCTCGCGCGATCATACGCAACATGATGCCCCACAACGATCCTTTTTCGATCATGGGGTCCAAGCGGTATCAAAGTCCTCGGCACGAAATTCTCCGGATCTTTGCCCGAGAACAACCCGGGCGTCGTCCACGCATACCAGTACCTGCTGGACGCGGCGACTGCAATGACGGGAAAGCCGCCAATCTTATACAACACTTCGGTATCAAACACCAGCGCGTCGTCGTCGGGGTACGGCACCGATTTCGTCACGTAACTTTTCTTGCGGGTATCGTACCGCACCCAGCCCTCCGCTTTCGGACCTTGTCTCCACGTCTCGGGTAACGGCGGCAACCCCTCCCTCATAAACCCCTCCGCCAGCCTCAAATACCCCGCAGCCTGCTCCTCACCCAACACACGTATATGCTCCTTCATATCAGCCCCAACAAGCGGGGGCAGGTCGATGTTGGGGTCGGGCGTGACGTCGAGGGCTTTGTTGAGCAGGTTGTGTGTGCTGAGGTGCTGTTGGGCGAGGGCGAGCTGCCAGGGTTTTTGGGTCGGTTTGTGGGAGGGGAAGAGGGTGGAGTGGAGGTAGTGGGAGATCATTTGGATGCCGATGCCGTTTTTGCGAGGGGTGGGTGCTAGGGGGGGGAGATGGGATCAGACTTTTGTTGGCTCCTGAATGGGCAAGCAGACACCTACCATTTTCATTCCCAACCCCGTCCATGGTAGCAAACCCCCTTCTCGCCCTCACGCATTTCGCCAACGACCGTCGCCAGCCAACCGGCCGAGGCAGACGGGACAAGGACAAGAAGCCCCGGGGGACTATCCTGCTGTCCATCGCTGCTAATGTTGTTTCCGAACAGGGGTTGTGTTCTTTTTGCGGTGTTGTCCTCCAAGGTGTGATATCGAGTTGTTGAGTGAACACAACGGTGATGCGATATTGGAAGACCTGGCCTGTGAAGGTACGCCGGTGCCAGCCGGGATTAAGTGTGTATTTACAGATCGGTTCCCTTGCAGAACGACGACGGTCCGCAGTCCATTCAGAAGTGTGATTGTGGAGAGGAAGGGGAGAAGGGGGCAGTTTGTCCGAAGGTGTTTCGGACGCGTTCTCCCTGCTCAACATCGACCAACACACCCCAAGGAACAAACGTACTGCACACACCGCATGTAAATAGGAGACTTATTTCATTTTTAGACCAGAAGCCCAGACCCAGACAGAGACGCCGAGAAAAAAGATAGTATACAAAGAAGAAAAAAATGGAATGCAACATGCGAGACAGCTCTACGATATTGTAGGGGGATGAAGAGATGGTCGAGTCCAATAGTGGGAGGAATTGTGGGGAGTGGCGTGGTGGTGGCGGTGGTGGTGTGTGGTGTGGTATGTAAGGCTTATTCGTCCTTGGACTTCTTCTTCTTCTTCTTCTTTTCTGTCTTGTCCTGTTGAATCCAACAAAATGATGTGAGCATCTTCATCGGAAAGCGCAGAAAGTGGTACGGCTTCCCCATAAACGTACATCATCAGCATCACCCTCAGCATCCTTCTTCTTCTTCTTCTTCTTCTTCTCCTTATCATCTCCCTCCGGTGATGGCTCCTCCTCCTCCGCTTTCCTCTTCTTCGACTTGACCTCCTCAATCAACGGCTTGGCGGGAGACGCCGGCGCCGGCGCCGAGACCGAGTCAACCTTCGGCTTGGCCGTGTCGACTTGACCAGCGGAGTAGTCAACAAAGTCCTTCTTCCACGTCGCAGGCGTCGTCTCATTAGGTCGTCCAAACTTGTCCAAGTGTCCGTCCTTGATCAGCTTCTTCTTCTCCTGAGCTTTCGGTCCCAATCCCCATCGTCGCGGGTAGGTATCGCGCTCCATGATGACACGCTTGATCTTGGCAACGACGCCGTGATCGCAGGTGGCCATTTCGGCGGTGGACATCTGGGCGATGGCGAGGGCGATGGCTTCACCTTTTGTGGTCATGAGCACGACCTCCTCGTTGATGTCGACGCCGGACTCGAAGCGGAGGAGACCGGGGATCATGAGCTTGGCGCCGTAGCAGATGGCGTTGACCGCGCTGTCTTTTACGACGATGCGCTTGTAGGTTGTCAGGAGGGACTCGAGGGGCCGGATGGCGCGGCGGAGGTAAGATTCTGTGCATATGAAATGGAAAGGTGAGCTGCCGTACTTGCATGCGTAACCATACATTGAGAATAGTGTTTCCCTACCATCCTTGGTGTTATCGTACACCCACTGAGCGTCCAAAATATCGTGCATTGTCACCAAGTTGTCATGCTCTCCCGTAGCTCCCGAGCGTACACGACGCAGTTCCTGCATGTGACCTCCCACACCGAGCAAAAGACCCAAGTGCACACAAAGGGTACGGATGTAGGTACCGGCCTCACAGCTGACCCAAAACACCCCGAGGTGGCGGTCGTTGTCGAACTCGACGAGCTTGAGCTCGTGGATGGTACGGATACGCAGTTGACGCTTGACGGCGGAGATCAATGGGGGACGCTGGAAGAGGGCTCCCGTGAGGGTTTCCAGAGATTGTGCCAGCTTCTTTTCGGATTCGATGGCATCGTGGAGACGGAGGACGGCAACATACTCCTTTCCTATGGATCATGAGCAAACGTTAGCCGAGGTGATTCCCCGCATTTGACGACGTGATCCTGGAAGTAACGCACCAGCACCCTGTTGCGACTTGACCAAACGAGTAGCACGGTCAATGCAAACAATCAAACATCCCGTAACCTTAGGGTCAAGGGTTCCAGAGTGACCGGTCTTTTCGGCCCTCAGAATCCTACGAATCCATGCGACAACTTCGTGGGACGATGGGTTGGCGGGTTTGTCGAGGTTAATCACACCGTATTTGACGTAGTTCTCAATGTCACGTTTCAGTGGCGAGCAACCGTTGGGAATGGGGGTGTAGTGTCCAGTGCGAACATTCAGTTTGTCGTAGTTCTAGCGGGCGTGGAAGGGAAATTAGCCTCCTTCACACAACTCCTCCCTTACTCAAAATCCCCAACGAGTTGCTAACCCACCTTGAGGAGCAAAGGCCAGTCAGAGGTGTCCAGCGCCGGTGTGACGGAGGAGGGCTTGATCATATAGTCGACCTCCTGGGGTTTGGTTTCTGCTTTCGACGACTTGCCCATTGTTGCGACTGTGTTGTGATAACCAGGGACTGTAGATAGACCCGCTTATGACTTTTCTGTGGGAGGAGTACTGGAGCCTTGCAGGTGGGCACTATGAGTCCGTATGCGGCGGTCCAATGAGTCTCCAAGGGGGGTGGGTGGGTGTTCAGAAAACTTCCAGCCAGAAGGGGACCGCACAGAGCGGGAGGGCGGAAAGAGGCGAAAGGGAGAAACAAGCCACAGCGAGTGGCGCGGGCGTGGCGCATGTGGCACACGACCTCGCATTCAATAGTGGCTCCCCCCTCTCGATGATGGCCTTCGCAACAACCCCATCTCAGACCGATCTACGACCGACTGGCAGCCATAGCGATACTTCTCCCTCTATCTGAACACCCTCTCGACCGGGAGAACTATAGGGAGAGCTCTCCCAGACAACGACCCCACGAGCCTGTTGCTCCTCTTGGAAACACGAGCCTCACTCTGCAACTTTCGACAGGTGTCAGTCAATAAAATTCATCTACATCGGGCGGTCCATCCAACGTTTCTCCGTCCTCGCTGGAGAGACCCATTACAATATCTCTCTGACCGCTCGCCATGACGCAGCGCTCCTACGGTCAATTGTGCGATCGATCGGGGCATCAAGAGGTTCTCGGTCGAATATTCCTCAACCAAGACTGTGTCCCGCTTTGTACGCCCGTTGGCACACTCCATACCGACAGGCGGATGGCCTCCCCTTCCAAGCACATTCTGAACTTCAATCGGGCTGTCTGTTCCAGCAACAGCCAGCGGCTGAAGCTATGCACTCTCTCCACCACGTCTCAAGCGCTACTTCTCAAGCGCTTGCAGCGAAAAAATTGGTGGGGACAACGCGGTCTAACAACTGCAAAAAGCGTTCTCTTCCCCTGGGCCTTTGATACCGCATGTCATGAGTTCCACCAGTCGCTTCCCTCCATAAGCACTTCCTTACACTCGCCATAACACTCAGTATGGCTCATACTTCCGCTGCTACCCCCACCACTCTTGCCACGCTCGCAAAGGGGAAGGGTAAACGAGCCGCTGGTCCGACCACCGGTCCTAGTTCAAAGGAAAAGGAAGAGCAACGCTCGGTAGGCACGTTAGTCGCGCATAAATGACCTCACTTGCCTCTAACCGAATGCTCTGCCTACTCAGGAGACGCCGCCCCTTCATGAGGACAGTACCCCCGAGCCAGTCGCACCGCCGCCGCGCCCTTGCGGTGTGCCGACGAAATCGAGACGCCGTGAGGTCTTTCATCATCGCTTCGGAAGACATCGCGACCATTGGTCGCCTTCGCGGGAAGTGCATCCGTTCGCTCGCCAACTTAGACGGAGACACATTCAGCGAGCTCAAACGTTACATCTCGCATCTGACAAAATTACGCCTCCACAAGCTGATGACCCACAAGCAGCGGGAAGCGTTATGGGAGCTTTTCGGCGACAACTTCTGGGCACTTTCCACGCTTATCGGTACAGGCGGCGATGCTGTTGTGAAGAAGGAGCGTCCCTGGGTATGTGCCAGCGATTCTGCGAGTGAGTCCGTCTCGGGTTGCAAATGCAGGACTCGTCAAGCAAGCGCAGAAATATCTGAAACTTGGCAGAAAGAAAGTTTCCTGACTTATGTGACCTCGGGAAAGGTTGAGCCCGAAGGGGAGGTATGGTACAAGTACACCGGCATCGTCTTCCCGTTGCTCGAACTGGCTTTCCTCGGTCACAAGCTGAATTCGGTCATAACGGATCGTTACCTCGGACACCCGCCGATGTTGGAATTGCTCTCGTGCCCAGTGATCCGTCAGTGGATCACATTGACATGGTCGTATATTCTCTCAAGACGCCCTTAAGAGTATCTTCACACATCGACCTGGCACCTGCCGATGAGATCCATGCGGAGTCTCCTCGTCCCAGGTCATCGCTTTGTGAATCTAGGAAGGTTCTACAATCCTGGGCTCATCTGTACCACGATGTGGTCATTACTGAGGGAACATCAGGGGCTCCGCACAGCGGACTTGCAGGCGGCTCGCAAGAAGGAAACAGCATTCACAGACTTGGAAATCAAGTGGATGCCAGACCCTCAGAACATCTCGAGAACTTGCGGAACCTTCGTATACTCCACGGTCGAGCACCCGGGCGTGTCCTTCCAGGACACGGTTGTCGAGGGATTTCGTTACCCTTCGTCCGAGGTCATCAACGAGGACGAGGATATTTTCGAGAACAGCGACAGATGGCATGCAGCGATGCGTTCAGTGCAATAGCGACATCGGCCTTCCGCCCACAGAGCGAGAACAGTTACCTCAGTACGCATATCGGAGCACCACGGTGTTCATGGCCAACATCTCAATCGCTCACGTTGTTACTTCATAGGAACGATCGTCGGACGAACTTGGTCCACCCAGGAAACGGCCGCGCAGGGACGATGGTCAAAGGCCCGACGTCGTGCAAGGGCTCAGCACTAATTCAACCAGTCCGACCATAGGCAACGATGGGCTTCCGACACCCCAGATGTCTTCACGTTCGTAATCCAGCGAGCAGCTGATACAATCAGGGAGCAAATAGCAGAATATAAGGGGGGGAAGCTTACGCACGACACGGACACAATCAAGGGGCAGGGCCCGTTGCAAAGCCTGGACACCTCAGACAGGCCGACCATACCGAGTGGGGAGGAGAGACATCAAGGAAGTCATGCTCCCGAGCCGATACAAGGATAACACTCCCCCGACTCGAGCTGTCCAAAAGTCAGGCTGTCCAACTCTTCCACTCTCGTCCCCATAACAGTCAACTTCACACCCCTCTTCTTCAACATCCACCACACCGACAAAATGCCCCCAACCTGTCCCGTGTGTCTAACCAACCCCGGTAACCACTGCGGTCGGTGCGGGCACCTCTACTGCCGCACGTGCATCGTCCAGGAGATGGTGACCTTTTTGCATAGGCAACCACGCTGTGCCATTTGTCGGTAGGTGTGGCGAAGGGGTAATCCAACTGATAAACGGGTATTGACTGTTTCTCTTAGGGACCGCTGGCCCATTTACTTCAACCCGGGACGCAGCAACCATAATTGTTGCATATGCGGCACTTGGATCTCGTGCCGCACTGTCAGCTCGTGTGGCACCCATCACATATGTAATGGGTGCTTCGTATCCCTCGTTCGAATGTTCTGACGACATTCGGCGAGGGGGGAGGGCCGGCAAGCCGATCTGAAGTGGACAGATGAAGACAAAGCGAATCACCCGAATCTATTTCAGCATGGAGAGCTGGGCCATCTCAAGATCACCGAGCCGGATCTTCAACTGATCAATCGGGATGCGGATTTCACACACGCATCTACCTGCAATTATTATGTATTCAGGCTTGCACGTATGCAAACTTATGATCCAGGATGGAGGGGGGGGGGGGGCTTTGGGTTAAAAACGCTGCGCTGAAGTTCCCGAAAACCCAATTGGAAGTCGATCGTTTCCCACCTCTACCTCCCACACCTACCGACATTCGGCAGCAGGAGGCCCGGATGAGCGGACGGAGGAAGGTTAATTCTGAGGATGCATTCCTTGGGGTTCACCTTCATCCTTTCGCTTCACTGTGTTTGGCCTGATGTTGATTCGGAGCGGGGTGGGTGACGAAACCCAAATCGATGCTGGTGAAAGATAATCTGTCTTCACACCCTCCGACCGCGTCCGCCAGCGCTCAAGCTGCGCTGGCTAAGACACTGCCCTCCTCCACGAGGCACAGCAAGCGGCAGAAGAACGCAGGCAATGGCAGGCGGCTGAACGTCGCGCCCGTATGCACGCGATCCGTGAGGAAACTCTCCGCCTGCTAGCCACGGCGGCTGAGGTTGTTCGGTAAAAATCTCCCCTGGCGCTCGTGTACTTCCGCACCATGGTACGGAACCTCGGCGGTCTTGTGGAGGACAAGGTCCTGACCATCCTGAACAAAGTACGGGAGGAGTGCAAGCGCACAAGGAGGATATCAAGCAAGATTCAGATGATTTCGCCACCCACACATCGAACGAGAAAAAGGAAATGATAAGAAAGATGGCGACGAGTGCCGCCAGGATGCTTGCGGCGATGGAATCCCTCCGGAACCAGACCAAGCGGGATTTCGACGTGCTGACAATGAATACTACCGAGCTGTTGGCACAAATCATCGAAAACAAGAAAGAGGTCCTCGCGGCGGTGGATCAGCTCCGGGCCTTTGCATCCTCCGACATCATGCAGACCTTCGCGAACATGACCAGCGCCATGCAGGAGCTTGGTGAACATGACCAGCGCCATACAGGAGCTTGGTGACAACCTGAAGGCCATGCGTACCGATCAGGAGGCGATGAAGAGGGACCTGACGATCATCATGGAGCGGAGGTCGTCGCGGAGGTCGTCGCGGAGGTCGAGGCAGAGGAGGCTTCCAGAACTTGCTATTCCAAGACAATGAAGCACTTGGAAGGTGCCCGATGTGCAAGTAGGTGGCTGTCGAAACATTGACGTCGAGGTCGCGGGGGTCGTGGGGGTCGTCCTTGTCGTTATCGTCTGGAACTCGTGAGTATCCTTCTGCTTTTGTTTCTTTTGCTCCGATTTGAAAGCGAAAGCAAGGCATCTCATTTTCCGTCTCCATCAACCTGTTTATCAGTTGCTCTACGGGAAATACGGCAGCAGCAGCGCCGAACGGAGCCCATTATCCCGCGGGCTCCATTCGGCCGTCTTGTCCGCGAACTTGACAACAATGTGAGCTTGACGGACCCGCACATGTGGCAGCCGGGGGCCCTCGAGGCCCTTCAGGTGGGAGCGGAAGATATGCTCATCTCGCTGTTAACGGACGCCTGGCTGCCCATGTTCCATGCGGCACGGCAGACGCTGAGGGTAACCGACATGCGTCTTGTACGCCAACTTCAGAGGGATCCGAGAAGCAACGCCTACGACGTCAGCGACCCGGCGTACGATGTGGGCCGCGACACCCCTCTCGCCCCGCCCCCGGCATCCAAGACGTACAAGTTCCGCTGCCAGCTTATCTCTTGCATTGTTCCCAAGGGAATCAAAATTGACGGCGGGACACGAGTCTTGTATGAGGAAATCAAGAGGATCACCTTGACCGACATGGACGTGCTGTCGCAGGTGTCCATGGACAAGCGTGACGATTGTTTCGGGATGGGCGGTATGCACTACGCCACGAAGGCCATCATCCGTCCATACAAGACCCCGAGGGTGCTCAAACGGAGCGCGTGCCCATCACTTTGTCCTTTACTGGGTCGACTTGGTCAACGGAAACCACTTCTTTTACGATTCCAACTGACATGCCTATGAGGCCACCAGACTGCAAGTTAAGGTGGAGGTGTTCCGGCAAGGCATCCCCTCTCGTGTAGCACATCTGCAGCAAATGTTGCCAAGTTTGCCACAACTTTCGCATCGTGCGCAACTCAAGCATAAGAGACTCTACTGGTCAACAGTACCTCTGAGTTGCTTCGGATTTGGATTCGGAGTGTGCTACGGATTACACGTCGCATACCGACGTCCGCCCTTCACCGCACTCATGCTGTTGAAGGAAATGTCATTGGGGTGCGTGGCGTACTTGACAAGCTATTATGAGCCATTCGAGCGAAGTGTGCTGCAGACGCGGTGAGCTTTTTTTTCCTGGCAGGTGTATCCGCAGTGGGGTTGACATGTAATCGGAGCGGAAGTGGAGGAGCTATTTTCTGCGACTCGTCGGTTCCATTGACCAGCTGCGTCGCGAACCTTTGATGTTGAGCGGCTGTCCCCTCCGAGCAAGTTCGGATGCGTCTGTTGCCGATCATCAAATGGGCAGTATGATTAGTGAGATGCATACGGTTGTTGTGAAGAGACTTAAGATTTTGGATGACGAGAACGCAAAGGTAAAGGAACATACGGAGAGACTTAAGATTTTGGAAGACGAGAACGCAAAGCTAAAGGAAGAGATAGCTGAACTGAAACGAACGGCGTGAACGACGGAAGGAAGTACGGACGATGCTGAGCCATGAGACGTTTATCAATAAGCCGTTGACGTCATACTTTTCTTCCTTACATGAAGCTCTGGCCCGCCACCGTGACCCGGAACGAGCTACAGTTGGCCAGATATGCCATCGGCCATGTCTTCATCACTTGCCAGCAACCAGCGCATTATGAGGTGTTGGATTCCTCCTGTCAGGAGCAGCAGCAACCACGTCCCCCACCTCCTCCATCAACAGCCTGCCCCAATAAAAACCCGAAAACTACCCGCGCCGCCAACATCGATGTCAAGGAAACCCCCACCGAACAGGGTTTTGCCAACGTCCAGTCGCAATAAAGCCCTAGCGACTGGACACCACACGCTCCTCTGGGCCTCCTAACCTCGCAGCTACTGCAACGGGAGAGGCCGCTTCCCTAGTTCCCGAATCCGTCAGCGAGCGCAAATGGTACGCACTCGACGAGTACCTTGCCGGAACGTTCGAACGTCACTCCTCCAACGGGGGCGGTATCAACACTAAAAACTATAGGAATACGCCCCATGCTTTCACTCATATGACGTATGAGTTCTCGGGCCAGGAGGATTTGGTCACGGATTTGCAGGGAGTCGGCGACATCTGGACCGATCCTGTCATCGTCAGAGCCAATCGTAATCACACACGATTCAGACCACTTCGCTCCGGTCTACATGGGCAGCGGGGCTGTCACAGCAGAAGACCTTGCTGAGACACGCCAGCGATACGATGAACTGCGTCACAGCATTCCCTCCCTCAAAACAAGCCTAGAGCAACAGGAATGCAAATCTGAACGGGAGCAGGTCCAGGAGCTCCGCGGTAGACTGGAAAAGGAGATCAAGTTGATGCACAAACACACCGCCGACTTCCTCGCCAAATCTGACGTAGTCATACTGTCGAAGTTTGACTTCCACGTCTGGGTCAAGCGAAAACCTAATCCATTGATCCCAATGAACAAGCGAATTCTGGTAGCACTGACGCATGCACAGTTTCGCAATGTGTTGGTTCACCGGATGACAATTTACGGTGGACGGATCCTGGCCAACTGGGAGGAGAACCGGATCCATGCCCTCAACAGCATTGCTCCAGACTCTTACGAGAATGTCAAAGTCTACGGGATGCCCGGTTATGAAGAGGACGGGCCCCCTGTGGAACCCCATGACACAGAAGTCTCAAAACTCGGATTCTACAACTGCAAACACAAGAAGAAGTGGATGCGCCGTCACAAGCAACACACAGGCCGTCACATCCTGCGCCGTACCGCTTCCTTGCCTGCGCTTCGGCACAACGGGCACACCCTCCTCGGGCCTCCATCCGATCAGCACTCGGACACGCCCTCAGCTCGTCCATGAGTATGGGAAATAGCGCTATCCTCACCGACGTAAACTCGTACGCGCGTTTCAAACAAAGCCGATGTGAGCTGCCGTCGGCCGGCATCTACGAGGGAAGAGCTGTCCAAGTACTTGATGACGTGTCCACACACTGCGACGCTACTACAACCTGGAGGATGAGGACCGTCCGGATGATGAGCAGTGGGGGCTTGTATCCGGGGGCAAATGACGGCGGCCTGGGGGAAAGTCTATAAAAGGCGGGGTGGTTCTCTCAGTTCCTCTTCTCCTCATCCGATCAGTACATACATCAATACATCATCTTACTTGACATCAACATGAGCAATAACGTCCACCACACCAACGACTCCGAGGCCGAGGCTGCCGCCCTCCAAGCCGAATTAGAGCAGGTCACCCAACGCATGGCGGAATTGCGAGAGCAGGCCGCCCGTGAGCAAGCTGAGGCAGAGGAAAGACGCCGGGTTAGGGCGGCTACAACCCGCGCTCTAAAGGAGCGCCTGGAGCAGGAGCGTCGGCGAATGGAGGAACTGCAGAGGTAAAGGGCATATGAGAATGCTACCGGGACGGCGGGCTTCTCCAATGCTTGGATGGAGAAGGCCTAGTTTCATCGGCACCCGATTGCCAGAAACTCGCCAAGCTTTTCTGGAAATTCATCAAAGACCGAGGCTTGATGGGACCGCTTCAAACACTGCAGGAGCGGTTGCTTAGCGCAGAGTCCATCGAGGATGCCTGTGATCTCATTGAATCGTACCTTGGTTTCCCGTTCGCGACCCTCCTCACTTCCGCTGCGATCGCTACACTCCCCGTTTCACATCCCCTCTCCACCGCACCAACCCTCACCATGGCTCGTCCCACCCCTTGTAAGCGTACTCGTTTTGAACGGGTCCTGTCCGACGAGGTGACCAGCGTAGAGTCAGAGTCGGAAGGCACGGAGTTTGTTCCGGAAACCTCCCCCGAACCGGTGTCACCAACTCGCCGGACCACCAGGTCGACGGCCCCCGTGACCTCGCCATCTGCCAGCAGGGAAAGCGAGCTTGGGGGGTCAACCTATACCCCCAGTGAGGATGACGAGGCCGAGGAGACGGAGGAGGAGGAGATCTCCGGCATGGAGACAGAGGAGGCCAGCTCGCATGGGGAGACGGAGAGCGGCGACATCACTCAAGGAGAGGAGGGGGCGTGGGGTGCTGACGATGCGCTGTTCCCGTCGTCTATACGGCAGGTCTGCCAATGGTCTGCGCTTTCTCCGATCACGCCCGACTTGTGGGGGAAAGCGTAGACCATCGGGAGCGATTGTCGAGGATCCTGGCGGTGCAGACGACTTTGCAATCCCGAGGAATGCCTAAGGACTTTGGAGAGCTATGGAATCTGACAACCAACGTACCGTGCTATGGTCTTTGCAACCCCACTGAAGTGCCGGGGGCTTTGCAACACCACTGAAGTGCTCTGGGCTTGCAACACCACTGGAGTGCTGTGGGCCCAGGCGACTTCTCCGCTGCGCTGCAGGCCTTCCAGAATAGGGTTGTCGAGGGGACAGTAAATGCAGCCGGTTGGTACGCCTGGTATAGCACCCGCCCGAACCCAAGCATTCGAAAACGAGTTAACCGACTACACGGGAATAGGCTTTGATCAGATGGAAAGGGACGAGCCTGCAACCGCACGTCGAGGACAGGGTTTACCACATATGGAGTGGATCATCACGACGCCGGCTACTCAGCTAGTCGATGAGGCACTAGCGGCTGGTATGGACGACGGTGGCGACGGAGACGACGGAAGCTGGAAAAGAGCACTGCCACATCGGGTTTTAGGAGCACGGGGAAACAGACGGGCTTTTATATCAATATCAGCAAGGCGATGAAGGATCCAGCCCGATCTCGATCTCAACTGCTCGCTGTCCTCCTGCATCACTTGCTACATGCATACCTCCTTATGGCAGAAAAGAAGATGTCGGTGAGCTAGCTCAAGTAGCCACCGCCGTCCCATATCCCCAATTGTGCTAGATACCGGCGAACAAGAACTCTCAGCTCTCGTTAAATGTGAGGATTTTGACATTACGAATCATAAGAACCATCCTGCTGTTCTTTTCACCACATCGACGACGCACGTATTCCGAATACGATCCCAATTCAGATTCCGAAGAAGAGCTCCAGTTCAAGGGCTGTGCCCGCTTGCACAGGACCATACTCAACCCAGTCATATTCCCGACCACTTTTACGGCTGACGTTCTCCAACAAAACAGGCCCCAATGTTTGGCGAGGGAAACGCCGCAAGTATAAAACAACAGACGTCTGACAGTCGCCCCAGAGAGCTAAGACCAACGTTCCCATACTCAACTCCAGTAACCCAGACAACCAGTCGATACGCGAAAGTATGGCGAACGGTGGCAAGAAAGAGCGGGGACGGCAAAGACGGCAAGAAGAAGCAGACAGCCCGCAAGACTCTGAAGCCGAGCTTTCCTCCAGCTGTACCACCGCCGGGACCCTCGAAACCAACTACGCGCTCGACGCGCGCATCCTCCGCTGCAGCCGCGAGTGACTTCCCGACCGTGTAAGAGAAGCATTGCGAGTGGCGACCGAGATTGCGACGCTGCGGTACCGGAAAGACAACCACAAAAACCTGGCAAAGCATCTGGCGACGACGCAAGAGAGGTTCTCGAGATCAAAGAAGAAGAAGGGGTCTTTCGAGGCGTTGATGGTTAAGGCGGACTACCTGGGTTGCAAGGCAGTGTCGGAGTCGAGGTATAAGAGCAAGAGTGTGTATCGAAGGAAAAGATGAAGGAAGCAAAGCGCCGCAGCGACGCGGCCGAGCGAAACGAGAGGGATAAATTGAAGAAACGACTCGCGTACTTAAAGAAGCACATGGAAGAGTCGTCCTCGGATGAAGAGAGTGACGGTGACGGAAACGGTGGGGATGCCGGTCCAGGTGCTCCGCCCCGTGGAGGCGGAGCCGGAGGAGGGGGAGCTCCCGAGATTCCTCACAACTTACGAGCACAATCCACGATCGAAGCCTCATTGGCTGACCGTTCCGATGATTTACTCTGATCGCCAAAGCTTGATACATCTGCAAGCACAGCAAGTCATGGTCACCGACATCTCGAACAGCCACTCTGCGTCATGCCATCTACGCGACAGCCAGGACCGTACACTGCCATGGTGTCCACGCCAAATCTGATGGAACGATTCTTCAGCGCCCATTGCGACATGGACGAAAAGCGGTACGGAGCCTGCTTGACCAATGAGCTAGCCAGATGGTCTGCTGAGACGCAGATCTACGTGAGCAACTTCAACGTCAAGCGCAATCTCTGCAGGAAACCCACCGAAGCAGATGGTCTCCCCGCGGACGCCCATCTCCGCACTAACGCTGAGGAGGACGCCCTTGGCTACCGCGAGGTGGCCGGAAATATCCTGGTGTACGGCCACGAAGAAGGAGAGCTAGTGCCCATTCTGGCCGTCTTTCAACAAGGATACGGGCTTTCCTCCGACCAGCGAAAGGATGACCCGCGTTCTCCGCAAATGGTACGCTATCGACATGGCACGACCAAAAGTCCATGGACCCCGCGCTCGCCGACGGGTAGAAGACTTTGCAAGAATTCGACCTCACCAACCAGTATACACCAGGATGGCGGAATCACATCGCTTACGTCTTCTTACGATCAGAGCAATCACCCCCCCCCCCACTCTCTTTCCGGGAGCGGGGGAGGGGGGGGGGGGGGGGCATGCTTCTTCTTCGGCCCGGTGAAGAGATTCTGCACCCGATCGCGGGATTAAGCGCTGTCTCGGTCTCGGTGCCTTATGCACTCATAAACGACAAGCATTGCCTTTATCTTACGTGGCTTTGCAGCCCCAAGATTGCGATCCTCTATGGACCCGGGTACATGATCTGGGCTCGCATCAAGGGTCGAAGAATATGAGGACGACAGTCCTGCGCGTGTTAAAGAGGAGGGTGATGATAAGGAGGAGGAATTCTACGACGGTGATGAGGAACAGCCCGCCGAGACCACCGCCTTGGTTCGGAGGGAACCTCGAGCCATTGCTCGCCGCGCTGAGGGAGCCTTGGCTATTAACCCTTTTAGCGTTTCCTCGAAAAAAGGGCGACGGCAGCTAACTGCCGAAGACTCCGAAATCGAGAGGAAGAGGCGCGAGAATGAAGCCCGTCTCGAGCGACTAGCTTGGACACTTCAAGCGGAATACCCCCGCATCTACCTCAAATCCATCAAAGAAGCGCTCAATGACTGCGGATACGACGTCAAGGACACGAGAGAAATCCTACAACAGTGGTCCGACTTTGCGGACGCAATAATTCACGTCTCGGCATTTAAACCCGAAACAGAAGGGTAAGCAGAACTTTGTGGTCAACAACTTCAAGTTTGTGGTGGAGTTGCTTAACATAGTTTCTATTCAGCACGGGCCATGCGCAAAGCAAGAGCATTGCTGCCCAGGAGAAACGCTACTCTGAACGCTACTCCACCTATTTGATCGATCACCCAGATTGCGGGATCGGGAGATTGGATGGGGTCGTGCTCATCGGACGACGAGCTCAAAAGTCTGATCAGCTCCGCCAAGAAAAGGGCTCTTACCGTGGAGCGCGAGCTACGATACTGTCCTCTCTGCCACAGCGCACAAACTCGATGTTGTCGGAGAAATTCCGATATGCAATGTGGCCGCCAAGCCCGAAATGCAGCAACAGATCGTCCGATTGGGGAAAACTTGTGGTGCGCCTGGGGCTGCTGCGACACCTGGCGGGCCAGCTAGTAGGTCACAGCGGACGCTCTTATTGGACCATCCACATCGGTACCGAGCTTCTCCTGAAGCGACATCGTTCTCAACTGCCGATGATCTATACCTGCTTTGATAGCAATGGATGGTCGACACGGTCAGAGCATCTCTCAGCCTTGAGCGAAAGGGGCCGAAGTCCCCCTGCACTCGCATAGCTCAGGCTGCACCCGCAACGATCACGAGGCCGGTAACGACGATCTTGACGGCTTCCTCGTCAGGGAAACGAGCGCTAGCTAAGAAGACGATGCAAGCACAACCAACCAATTTACGGCGATAACCAATATTCTACACTTGTGGATGTCGATATGAGCTCGATCAAGTTCTAGCAAGGATGAGAGCGCGGCCGTGTTGATGTCATCGTGCGAGGGAATCTTCCTTTCATCAAGGTCATCTTCAGTTGACGAGACGAACGGGACTTCACCTTTCAAGAAAGGTCATTATGAAAATCGTTGGCGAGTTCTTCGTCAAGATACCATTCTCGAGAGCGCTCCCATCCGTCCAGTATAACATCAGCGTTATCGAGAGAAACACTAAGCTGAACGAGCATGGATGGTTTGTGGATCGCGCAACAATGTTCATCATGGATGATGAGATTCCCAACGTCGATCCATCCGAGCCCTATTCATACGAGCCGTTCGTGGCCCAAGCAAACAACGGTCAGATCATCGATATTAACGCCATCGATAGATTGCAGATTGCCGAAAAAGTGCCTTGCCAATCGCCATGACAATGCGCTGCCCATATGCGATGCTATTGGTGATCAAGGCGAGAGTTCTTTCCACCATTGACGCAGCTATGCCCCAGGATGTCGCAACGACCTACCCGACAGCCCACACCTGGGCCGTGTTGGGCAAGAACATCGAAGACATCGCCGTGCTCTGCGCAAGCACGGAACAAGGGCTCGTCACCCAGTTTTTCTGCACATTCTTCAGCGATCCTGTCGAGGAAGAACCCGGTACACCGGCGGAAGTAACAGCTGCAACCACCCCGGCGAGATCTCCAGCAGAGTTATCAGGAAACGTTCGTTTGGTAAAGTTTGATGTGATGTCTGTGGATGGCTCGAAGCCGGGGAGAAGTTTCCTTACAATTGGTGGGCCAACGAGGAGTTGGATACGACGGCGGAATGGGACCTGCTCATGGCTGGCCTGCGCACCGCCACCACGAAGCGCAAGGGGAAAGGGAACCCTCCTCATTACCGTGGTGATGAGCGCGACCTTGCAGAGGGCCCTGGACACGTTGTGAAGATTATTTCCGCGACGGCTGTTCTTTTACGCAACCGTTGTTCGATTACGGGGCGATCCGCACAGGATATCGAGGCAGTACGACGACCACTGCCGTAATCTGACGAAGAAGAAGAACAAGGCGCTCTATAACGGGCGGGCACTTTCAAACGCTATCAAGGTACTTAAGTGTGAAGATTCGTACACGCGGAAAAGCAAGGTGGACGTGCCCGAGCTGCGATTAGAAGTCTTTATGTTCCTTTGGAAGCCTTCAACGATGATGGCAGGGTTCGCATCTGCTTGAGCTGAGATGATCAGCGCCACGCACTTGGAACGCTGGCACATTGCCCTCTTTGTGACGGTAATTTCCCACCTCAGAGACAAGCATTGCCTCACGTAGGCATTGCAGATTGTTCTCAATGTGCGATACGATCGAACACACGCGGAGTAGGGTGTCTGGCAGAAATCACATACCCACATTTGGAATCCGACAGTTGATTGCCACTTCGATGTGGAGGACAAGGGTTTCACCACTCAGTACACCTTTGGCGACTTCGGCGATGGGGGAGATTTTGAACGCATCGATGCAGGTGTTGTTCTGAAGCAGGAAGTGGGTACCTTAACCCTGTTCCGAGCCGATCTTCTTCATCATTCAGTGACCGACTACTCGAGGGGCAATCGTTATGTGCATTCAATGTACATGCAAAACAAAGTACGGGATTCTGTAAAGAGGAAAATCGGGGATGCCGAGTTGTAGATTCGATCAAATATCGCTCTCCCGAACCACAAGGAAAAATCTGGATTTCTACTCGCTATCTATTCTTGCATAGGGCCGCTTTCGAAGGGTTGGCGATGGGGTTGCTATGTGCACTACTGTACAGGAATGTATGCTTGCTGGAGGACGGTGGCGAAATGTCATGCCCTTGCCGTGGCTTACCTCATTCCGCCTTTTTCTCTCGGTTACAAACAACATGCGAGGAGGAGCGGATCCCGACGAGCCGGAAGACGACCACGATGATCAGGCAGATGCGCTTACTACGATGCAGGAAACCATTGTATCGGAGCTGGGACGGATATGCAAGACGCAGAAACTGCCACATTCTAGTTGCTAAAAGAGCTCGCAGCAATTGCAATCACAATCACGCAACTCTTTCCTGGCATTAATCCGTGCCTTGACATTTTTTGCGCCAATGCGGTGATATTCATGGACCAGAGCGGGAGACCAGAGCCGAAAAGTTAACTACGGATGTTCTCCCTGCGCCAAGGATAAGATGTTTGATGAGGACGGCCGGCCGCTGCGATGGAGAGGCGCCCACAGTAAAGCGTCGCTGGTGGCCTCGGCCGTCGCGACCCTAACGAGATTGCGGCAGCGGAAACGCTTCATCACAATAGCCCTGTGGGGGCCGGTGCCATTGTGCCGCGGTCGTTCATATGCCGGTATTTTAAAGCCGGCGGAGCTAACGTCTGGGTGAACGAGAAGAAGACAAGCGCGCCCAGGTGGTCAATGGACGCGACCGACATCCTGCATCAAGCTTGCCTCCACCCGAGCTCTTACGTCTGACGTGAATGTGGCCGCCGTCCCCGCTGGGAGGGAGACCATCCAGCCCAAGGATGTAAGTCCCGCATCAGGTGTTTGTGTTTGTTGCAGGCTTTTCCTCCTTTCCTTTTCGTTTTGTGTATTATGTGCCGCGATTTCCATTGATTTTGATGCAGCTGGAAATGTCAGGCTAAGTTCCCTCTTTTTTTCACGGCATACAATAAGATGCGATTGACGCGCTTACTGAGGGGCGACATGAATGCACAACAAAGGATGAGGTATCTGAGGGAGCAGGACGTTGAGGCACAAAGCGAGCGCGCCTAGGTGGTCAATTGATGCCACCGATCCTAGCGTCACATCGGAACCGTCCATATGTGTAATGTGTAATGTGAAGTGTAATGTGAAGCTTCAGACTGCCGAGTCACGCGATGGCGAGAAGAAGCTGAAATGGGGCTCCGGCGGGAATCGATTTCTTACGTCGGTGGGGGGGACGACCGTGAAAACGGGACGAATGCCTTGCCTCTCTCGCGACTCGCCTTCGACGGTCGCGGAGCAGTTACGGTGTGGCCGCAATTTTCGAACGGCTTCTATATGAGCGGAACATAAGGTCTCTATTATCTTCACACTTCCGTTTTCGTCGATAGAGCCGGGCTGTAAGAGTTTAGTTCCCTCTCAGCACCCCTGGCTCACCAATTTCATACCTTCTTCGCAACCTAATTCATAGTCATAGAACTTGCATTTTTATTGCCATGTAACTGAATGAATACATGCCAAGTATACCTCACAGAACTTCTAAAAGGATGTCGGCCAAGCGACGCACAAAAATAAGAGAACCTGGGGAACGCAGAGACGGGGACGCGACCAATACTAATGTAGTGTACTTTCAAAATTGGCTGGGAGTAGGGTATATAACGTCTTAGACAGGTTTGGGGCGGTTTTGCTGCTCTAGCAGTCAATGGGAATACGTGGGCCCTTGACCTGGGTGGGCGGTATGGGGACATGTATTTCGAGCTCATCGCTTGAATCGCCCGGTGACGATCGCAAGCAAGATCGATACGATGATCCACGGCTGTGATCGCCGGAGGATGGTGAGGATGAAGCGGAGGACGTTGGGGCGTTTTAAGAGGATTGCTTGGGCGGTTGTGCGGGTGGTCAGCGCTTTGTTCGTTGGGAGTGATGATGATTCGGTGTGTTGTTCTGTGGTTGGTCTGGTGGAGACAGTAGCGATGGTATCGGATTGCATGTGCGCCGCTTTGGCTGCTATTGCAGTCACGGGCGAGATGGGAACGGATGCCGTCATCATGCGCTTGCGTGGAGACACCGGTGTAGTTTGGCAGCTTTTCGCCTTGCTAGTGATTACGTTCATCCTGCCCTTGCGTGCAGACACCGGTGTAGTTTGGCTGCTCGCGTCGCTATCGCTACCAGCCTGATAAAATCCACCCTCAGCCTCAGTCATAACCTCCGAAACATCCCGTTGAACTTCAATCCCCTTCAACATCTTGTTAGCCTTCCGCATGCCCACGGGTATCGCGTTGATGGTGACCATATTGACAACGCTTTTCGGCAACCATCCGCCCAGATCCCCATCGACAACCTGCACGACGCGGCACATCCGGTCGCGGCCTGCGGCGTCCGGCTCGACGAGTTGACCGGCGATGTGGGCGATCATGCGGACGTCGGCGGAGTTGGCGTGGAAGGAGGGGTGTGTGTTAATGGATTTGGAGACGTTGAGGTAGCGGCGCGGTGAGAGTTGTTTGTTGAACGAGACTACGAGGGCGCAGCGGGATTTGGTGGGCCATGCTGCTTTCGTGCGGAAGTACTACGGATCGAAACGGGATGTGGATTAGTCTCGCTGATCCATGCGTATGTGAGAGAACATGCACGCAAATCAATCTCCAAACCTACCTGAACGGTCGTTCTGTCAGAAACCTTTTCCACCACCCCAGCCTCGTCACACAGCTCATCCCACACAGGGCGCCGCGTGACATCCGCCAACAGATCAATCGCCTCCTCAGGCGTAGCCTCCAAATGCATAATGTACCGGAACAAGAACTGGCTGCCAACCCGTCGATGAATCTCGATCGAGAACTTGCCCCAACTCTGCGCAAGAATGGTCTCCCATGACTCAGGTGATCGTTTAGTATCGGCCAGCGAGATGAATTCCGCTTCGAGCGCTGGGAGCTGGCATATGTATGGGTCGTGGATATCGGCGATGGCGCTGTCGGCTGAGGAAACGTCGCTGGGTGCGCGTGCCAATCGCTTCTCGAGGTTTCTGACTGGGACAGGTGTAGAGCAGTCCGAAAGCTCTTCGGCGGCGGAGTCCTCGCTGAGTTCAACGCTGCTTTCGACTTTTGATGTAGCTTCCTCTACGGCCTCATCTTCTACTACCACTTCCCCTTCTTCATAGACTGATATATTTTCCTCCACGTCTTCTTCCTGCGATTCCACAACGTCACACTCCTCCTCTAAAAGCTTGCTGTCGAATTTGCTTTGCAGTTCTACAACTTCAGGTTGTGTGCTGCACACCTCGTCAATCTGGGACAGACTCTCCACGAGCGTAGGCACACCGAGCAAGCGAAACACTATGAGCGTAAGCAGCAGCAGGCATGTTGTAGCAGCGAGGTCAGGCAGCTGGCCCTTTGTTTCGTAGTTGACCGCTGCGGGAATGCTCACCGCTACCCCGAATATGAGGATGTTCACTACGAGACCCATGTTGGACATAGTGAGAAAAAAGAACCGAAGCCGGCTGGCGAAAGCGTGGGGGTTTTATGGGTGTTCGTCCGATCAATCGAGAGCGGACTGCGGGATACAAGGATGAACGGTGGTCGGATACAGTAAGAGTGCTGCAGTTGTGCGAGGGGAGATGTCACAGAGGGCATGTGGTGTGGAAATGCATGTGGGTTGTGTGAGGGCGCAGATGGATGGCCTGTCTGTGTGCCACTCGGGAGCTGTTTGTTACGTGATGCCATGGGGTTTCGACAGCTTTCCTCCTTTTTCTCGCAACTCCGCTCCTCGGACATTTTCCACTATTCCAATGCGAGCCTATGACTGTCCTTCTCTAAACGTACTTCGTCGGTCCGGTCAGGCTCGGTATTGGTCATCCACCTACTCGTCTCGGATCCCTCCCCTTTTTACCAGACGCATTCGAGCGCTTGCATGTGAAGTCATTGCATTCGACCATGAAGACAACCGAGGTGGAGCTCATATTCTGTTGCGTTCACGAGGGTATATGTACAATGTACGACGGGGACCACTATATCCCACTAAGCCGCGAAAGATATTCGAAGATACGCCCGCTCCGAATGAAAGGCTAGCTGTAAATTTGTTATTGGGCTCACCATTCAGCAAACGCTTGCCCCGTAGTGGTTCCCAGGTAGCTTTCTCGACGAATGTGATTTGGCAAGATTATGGTTTGTTACGGTTTGATGCGTTGCTTGTGCTGGGCTTGTTCTTTTGCCTGAGTGATTTTTTGCTGAGCCTCGCCTACACTGCCTCTTGTAATACCCAACTTTTGCCTTCATAGAGGAGAACCCTCCGGCGCATAGCCGGGGTAGGGAGTACATAACACTCTCCTCACGTTTGGAAACATATCCACAGGGCTGGATATCTTCCGCAGTCGACCCTCCCATCAAACTGATTTCGATCACATTCGGGAAGATCGCTGGGATATCAGGGGAAGTACGCGCGATGTTCGCAAGGCATGACGGGGGTTTTTTTTGACTCGAGAAGCACAAGTACGGTCCGGACGCTTCGATTCTTGCCCACATGTTGTAGTGTCCGTCAACGATATGTCAATGAAGAGGGGCTCCATCCCAGGCATAAATACGATGCTGGTCTCCATATGCTGGTCTGACTTCAAGATATGAGGGACCTACCCGGCGGCTCCAATCGCGAACTACTTAGGCACGCAAGGTGGGTCCCTATAGCTACGGCTTGACTGGCGCCGGTGGACTCTGTCGTAGAAAAGACACTAGCGAAAGGTGTGGGATGACATCTGAGTACCCTTACAACGCTATGCGGTGCTGCTCCTGTTGTCTTCCAAATGCTCCCTTCTGCGACACCCAGCGAAAACACCCCATACCTGAGCTGCAGCGGGTTCAGAATTCGGGCGCGGCGGCGGCACGGCAGCGGCACGGCAGCGGCACGGCCTTGCTCGGTGAGAAAGATAGATACTTGCCGGCGACCATCAAGTACTACCTGGTGCACCACCAAAAGCCTGCCACAAGCGACATTACGTCCTCGCGGTGACGGCTCGGGCGCCAGGTTTATATGCCAAGGCTGCCCCTTCAAAAGCTCTTCGGTGGATGACATCTCCACAACTCTCTATGTACAACAAAACGGCTACCCAGTGCCCAGCTTGGATTGACGGGGGCGAGGCTTGATCCTCGTCGTGGAGAGGTCGGAGTTGGGTGGGTGGTGATGACGCGTGGTAATGTCAAATCCAATGTGAGGAGAGGTCTCTCGCTCGGGTGTGGAGGGACCATCAAATCAAAGTCAAACCAGATTAAAAAGATAGATACTTGCCGGCGACCATCAGATATCCTAGCCTATACCATGTACCAAAAGCGACATTGTCCTCGCGCCGTTATTAGTGAACGGCATCGCAGGCGAGATCCACCTCTCAGATGTAACACAAGCCACATGCTAGCGGGCGGGAGTTCCGCGGTTCGGTAATCGAACGCCAAGCTTCCAAATAGAAGAAGTGCGTCACTATGGCCACATCTGAGAACATTCCATTTCCCCATCGGCGCCGCATCGGCGGACAATTGCAAATGTGGAGAGACGCATCTGTCGGCTATTTATATAGCTGGCCCCACCTTCCAGACATCCCCCTGTCCACGCCCAAACGCTCACTGAATACATCACCACCACACAAGAACAAAACCTCACGCCAAAAATGGGCTTCTTCGAAAACCTCTTCAGCTCCAACGACGCGCAAGACGCACACGCCCAAGTCTACGGCTGCGGCCAGATTAAGGAACACCACAAGTCCTCCTTCACACACGAGGTCATCGCCGGCGCCGCCGGGTTCGAGGCCATGAAGGCGTACGAGAAGCACGTCGCTCAGAATGGTGCCCCGCCCTCCCATGAGAAGATGAAGGAGCTGCTTGCGGGGTTTGCGGCTGCGGAGGTGGATAAGCAGTTTGAGACAAAGGGGATTGACTGGCTTGACAGGTAGGAAGCGAAAAGCCGTATTCCTTCCGAGAGCGAGCACATTATTGATTTGTTCCGCACATTTTCAATTCCGCGTTCTATAGGGACAAGGCCAAGAAACACGCCATCGCGCAAGCTCACAAGCTCGCCGACGAGCAATACGGTTCTGGGAACTTCCAGCCCACTGGGTACTTCCAGCAGCAAAACCAAGATGTGTACGCTTGAACCTCCAAAAGCGGAAAACTGTTACTTACGGCGTATATATCATAGTCTGCACCCAATTTATGAATCATTCCAAGTACAACATAGTTTTGCACGTTACGTATCTGAAAATATACTGTACATAGTTCATCGAATGCTGATGCCAGAATGTCTTTCCGCCCGGTTTCTCGTCGGTGGATAGATGGAACGTTTGTAGGATTGTACATGCTTGAAGCAACCGGATCCGATGAGTCTTTGCAGGCGCAGCTCGGCTACCGTCTGCATGAGCGCCACTGGCGTCGCGGACTGGGAAGTGAGGGAGCTCGGGAACTTCTGCGCTACGCTTTTGTCGACCTCGGCCTGGACCGCGTCACCGCTCAGACGATGGCTGTCAATGCTGCATCGCGCGCCACCATGCAGTCCATTGGCATGCGACTCGTACGTACCTTCCATCAGTCGTGGGACGATCCACTTCCCGGAACCGAATACGGCTAGGTGGAGTATGCTATTATCCGCGCCGAATGGATCAGTCGACAATCTCCTGCGTCCCATACTGAACTGTAAAAGAGAGTATTGAAGAGTCCTTCCGTAGGACGCGGCGCGTGCCTGATGGTGTAGCTGACCCAAATGTGATATAACTAGAGCTCGTGCCCGCTGCGACGCCGCGTGCAAAGAAGACCGCCGGTTGAGATCAAAGGGCAGGGAGGCCGTTGGCAGACGGTTTGTGATCTACTTATTCCTGGCGGCGGACACTTTGGGAATGCCGGGAAATGAACGTCGAGCAGTGAAATTCAGCCGGTGGCTTTTGTCCGCGAATGGCTGAACCTTGCTGCATCTGTGCTGCATTCATCCTGTCTCTCTGGCAGTGCTTGCACCCAGTTTGCATCAGCTCCGCATCCCGCAGTCTTCGTGTCCAAGAGAGTTCTTTATGATCCCAAGTTGCGTTGCTGCCCTCTCGGACTCAACTGATATGTGACTTCCAAGCCTGCGGATTCATCGGCAAGTCTGCGCAGCCCCCGCATTCTTTTGCGACCACTGCTCAACTCAGGTCTCTCAACCCAGGTCCATCCCAATTGAAAGCCCTGATGCGTTGCTTGATTGATAGTGAAAGGTGCTCGTCGCTCATCCTACTTCCTTGTCTTGAGGCAAGCTTTATCCCTCGCTGGCGATGTGTTCTGGTGTTTGTCTCGCTTCCGACGTCGATAAGTGCGTTGTCTGAGTGTGCCTGGGACGGTTGGAACAAGCCTCGCCAGCCCCGCGTCGCCTTTCTTATTGCGTTCCCATCGATTCATCTCTCAGAAGACTCTTCCGAAAGGCACCCATTTCAAAGCAAACGCACTTGCATATAAGGACACCACCCAAATAAGCACCACTCAGCCCGCAGCTTACAGCAACTCGCATACATACATACATATCAACCATGGCCGTCAAAGTTGGAATCAACGGTTTCGGACGTATCGGGCGTCTGGTCTTCCGCGCGTCTCTGAAATCGGAGGGCGTCGAGGTGAGAGATCGAGATCTTCGAGTCGTACAGGCCATCTAGAGACGATTCAGAAACCAAACCCGCAATATCTCCTGTCCAGGTCGTCTCCATCAATGACCCCTTCATCGATGTGGAATACATGGTGAGTAGCTACTATTATGTCGAAGCCTGTGTATGTCACATTCCGATGGCCTAACCTGCCATCGTGCCGTTCCCCCCAGGTCTACCTCCTTAAGTACGACTCCACCCACGGCCGCTTCAAGGGCACCGCCGAAGTCAAGGACGGCAAGCTCGTCGTGAACGGCAAGCCCGTCTTCGTGCACGCCGCCAAGAACCCCGAAGAGATCCCTTGGGGCAAAGATGGCGCCGAGTACGTTGTCGAGTCTACTGGCGTCTTCACCACCAAGGAGAAGGCTGGTTTGCACCTCAAGGGAGGGGCCAAGAAGGTCATTATCTCGGCGCCTTCCGCTGATGCTCCTATGTTCGTCATGGGTAAGATCGTGTTACTGCACATTATGCGAGTTCGAACCCCTTCATCTGACTAGTACACCCATCACAGGCGTGAACGAAGGCAAATACGACCCCTCCATCCAAGTCCTCTCCAACGCCTCCTGCACCACCAACTGCCTCGCGCCCCTCGCCAAAATCATCAACGAAAACTTCGGCATCAAAGAAGGCCTCATGTCCACCATCCACTCTGTCACCGCCACCCAAAAAACCGTCGACGGGCCCTCGGGCAAGGACTGGCGTGCAGGCCGTGGAGCCTCCCAGAACATCATCCCGGCCTCGACCGGCGCCGCCAAGGCCGTCGGAAAGGTCATCCCGGAGCTGAACGGCAAGCTCACCGGCATGTCGTTCCGTGTCTCCACGGCCGATGTCTCGGTGGTCGACTTGACCGTCAGCTTGGAGAAGCCGGCTACGTACCAGCAGATCGTGGATGCGGTGAAGAAGGCGGCGGATGGCCCGCTCAAGGGGATCATGGGATACACTGAGGACGAGGTTGTGTCCTCGGACTTCATTGGCGACACCCACTCCAGCATCTTTGATATCAAGGCTGGTATTGCCTTGAACGACACCTTTGTCAAGCTGGTCTCGTGGTACGACAACGGTGAGTACCTGAGATTTTCTGGATCTCCACTTTCTCTCCCGCGTCGGAAAGTATATATCTCTCCTCATCTCCATCGTCTCCCTCTCTCCCCCAATCTAGAATTCGGATACTCCATGCGCGTTGTCGACCTCATCAAGTACATCGCCGCCAAGGACAAGTCCGCCTAAACGCGCACCCCGCATTCTCAAACACCATCTTGGGCGGAGAACAGAAGAGGGTTCTGCACATCACGTTTTTCTGGAGCTTGAAATATATCCCTGCATGTTAAAACCTTTCTGAAAATATATCTTTGGAACACATCCGTCAACGCTGAAGGCATATCCCTCCATTCTTCGTTTATGTACATGCGAGGGAGGAGGTGCTTGTGTTACACCCGTACGCTGTGCCCGTCGGGGACCCAGCGCCTCACCCAATCTCATCCCCCCACCCCTCCAACTCCTTCAAAACAAAACGAGAAAAAACCATAAACAAGCCGCCCAATGTCAGACTTCATCGTGCCCCCAACCGCCCACATACCTCGATATCCACACTCTCCATCGCCACCCTACTCGCACCCGCGCTCCCCGGCCCGTCAGTCCCAGTTCCCCGCCCCACAGACGTGGTCGACGCCATGGACAGTAGCGGGACGGTGGGCGGGGGGAGGTGGGGTGTCATGTCAGCGAAGTAGTCTTCTTCTTCTTCTGGTTGTTGCTCTTCCAGTGTTGTTGTTGTTGTAGGTGGTGGGGCTGCTGATGTGGTGGTAGGGCCGACGGATGAAGTGGATGGTTCTGATTGGTGGGTTGTGCAGAGGTTGATGGCGTAGCGGGTACCGCAGCGTTGGATGCGGATTCTGTGGCGGGCGGTGTAGAAGGCGGGGTCGCGTCGTCTTTTCTCTTGCCGAGTTTCATGCCCCGGCCTTGGGGTGGTGGTGGTGTTGGGGCCGCGATGACGGTGCTGTCATCCACGGATGGGGTTGTTGGCGCCTCTGTTGGGGCCGGGGCAAAGGACTCCACTTTGGATGTGGTGTCGACAGGCTGCTCGCCAGTTTGCTGCACGGCGTCGGGGCCATCTTCCTCATCACTCCCCCAGTCTTCGTCCCACCCATCTTCGCCGTGGGCCGGTGCCGGTGCCGTATGTCCACCATTGACGTTGTTACCATGTCCATCAGCGACCGTTTCCGGTGCCGTCTGCTCCGTTTTGGGTGGAACCTCAGGCGCCGCCGCTCCTTTTGCCGGTGGTGGCGGTGGTGGCGGTGATGGAAGCCCGTCCTCCTCGTTAGCCGACCGTGGAGCTGAAGACGGCGACTCAGGTCCCCTCTCCTCAGCCTTCTCCTCCCGATCCCTGTCAACCCCATCCGTGACCGCCCCCGGCACAGGCAGAGGCCACTCCGGCCTAGTCCTCCGAACCGGACTCCCCACAGCCGCACTCACGCGTCTCACAGGGTGTACTCGCCCCGCTTCCCTTCCACTACCCTCCCTCCTCGGCCCGGTCCTCGCAAACACACCCCCACCCCTCTCCAACCTGTTTTTATACACCTTCCGTAATCGATTCACAACGGAGCTTTCGTCGCGTTTGCGCGCGATCGTCGGGGCGCGGTCGAGGAAGGTTGAGATGAGGGTTATGAGGTGGGAGACGGTGGGGGCGAGGGTGCGGCGGACGTCGCTGTTAAAACACAACATGTGTGAGCAGAAACGGGGTCAATTCGATTGACATGAAAGGTGCGGTCACACAACACAACGAAAACGCCAAACGAAGCCACAAAACCCATACCGATTTTCGTCCTTGATGAACGGCACACCCAACTCCACCGCCCTATACATCCACAAAACCATCTTCGACTCAACCACATCACCCCCATCACCCTCCTCGTTCGTCCCACCAACGACATCGCCCAACAGCCGCCGTGTGTAAAACTCAATCTTGAGTTTCGCAGGGAGGGCTTTGAGGACCAAATGGAAGGATTTGGTGAGGGAGGCTGTGGCCGTGCGGATGTCTTGCGTTGCCTGCCCGCGTCCAATCAATATCCGTTAGCTCCACTATATCGCAACGCAGAGCACGCAGAATGAATCACATGACACGATAGTACCTTTCCGAGCGCCTCCACCTCACAAAACCGTTTCCAAAGCCCCACAACGGCGTCCAGCGGCATCCACGCCCTTCCCATCCCATCCTCAGCCAACTCCGCCACGAGATGTTCACTCACGCACACGCTCAGTAGATGCGGAATCAAATATGTCTCCACCAAATACTGCGGGGTGTATCGCTCGCCCTCCCCTTCACCTCTCTGATGTGTGTCTTTCGGCGGTGGTTGCGGGGAAGGGTCGAGGGGGAGGGGCGGGAGGGTTGTGGATGTGGGTGTCCGGGAGAGGCGGGGTGGGGTGATGGTGGATGCGTCTGGGAGTGGGGAAGCGGTCTCGATGCGGATGTTCCAGTCGGCTGCTCCCGGGTGGAAGGCGGGTGTGGAGGGTGTGCGGTGGGGGGGTGGTCTGGGGAGAGGTTTATCGTCACCCGCCTTTTCTTTATGGTGTTTCACGTCTTGGAGGGATGGGAGGCGGGCTACGGGTGTTCGTTTTGTGTTTGCGGAGTTGGAATCTGAGCCGGTGCGCGAAAGGACGGGCTTTGGGGAGCTTGCGCCGGCGTGGGGTGGGATGCTGTCCAATCCGAGCTTTTCGGTCGCGAGGGAAAGCGCTTTGAGCGAGAGGAGGTAGACTGCGTCGTCTGCTTCGTCGAGGCCGAGGATAAGTTCGGGGATGAGGAGGGATTCGAGGTTGGTTGGCTGTTGGGTTAGGAGGTGGGTGAAGTAGCTGAGCAAAAGGAAGGAACGATGTGGGTCATTGGAATTTGCCCACACGATAGGAATACCGTAGAGTTCGCAACAAACATACCATTCAAACAGATCCAAAACCAACATCCTCGCGCTATAACTCCTGCTCCTCCACAGCCGTACAATAAACGGTAAAACCGTTTCCTTGTACGTTTCAATTGGGAGCAACCCCTGCGGTTCCTCAGAGTGATGATCGGTCCCATCCACATAGTGCAGGGGTGTGAAGAGTTGTTCGTACAGTCCTTGAGCGCCGGGCTCGGATGCGAATTCGGGGGTTAGAACGAGGGGAAGGACGTAGGAGATGGTTGTGTTGAGGGGTAGGGCTCGGAGCTCTGTTGGCAGATGTCTGTTTGGCGATGGATGTATCAGCAACGGCCCAAGGCACCTCATTTCCAGCCTCACGAAAAACCCACCTGAACCGCTCCTTCTTCACCTCAACCGGCACAACCCTAATCTCCTTCAAAAAGTTCTCCACAACATTGATGATCGGATTTCCCTCAAACCACTCACTCCGCACCACTTCACTGGCCCTCTTCCTCTCCGTCGGGTTCGCACTCGCCAACGCATCCGCAATCGCATGCAAGCCAGTCCAATCCACAAGATCCGTGCCGTCCTGATGTCCCGTATCACTGTCCGGCGACAGGAGTTTGAGTTGGATGAGTTCGGAGATGAGTCTGCCGAGGCAGTAGCAGTCTCGCGCGTCGGGTTGGATGCCCTCGGTCCGTGTTTGGGATGCGGCGGATTGGGTTGGGATTAAGGGCTGGGAGGAGGATGAGAGGGGCTGGTCTTCCGGTGGGATGTCTTGGGGTGGGAAATGGCGGTGGAGGTTGGGGAGAACGTTGGTGGTGATGGAGGTTGCGGGTTCGTTGAACGAGGTTAGGTATTCCATTCCGCCGAGGACCCATCGACGGCCGTTTGCAGAGTCTGTGACAAAGACCGAGTCGAGCTGGATGTTGTTGTGGGAGAGCATCTCGGAGTGGAGGAACTCGATCGTTTTGATCAGGTTGAAGAGTCCCATGCAGATCTCTTCCCCTGGCATCTCCATCAAGACCTGCTTAAGGGGTACGACATTCTCCGTGACATAGATTACGCAACTCTCGTCAACGACGCCGTCAATAAAACGGATGATCCCTGGATGTCGAATGGTTTTCAGTCTCTACATGGGTTCAAAAAGCGTCAGTTGATGTTGTTGAGCGAAAGACGGATGGTTGGGCGATGGTTGAAACGCGGAGGACGGTTCGTTGGGCGGATTGTTAGACGATACCGTGCTCGCTCCGATCGCGATAAGGAGATTGGGCTGCGGTGGGCGGAGCGGAGCTTGCTTCGCTCGCAAAAGATCTGACGCTCGCTGAGGCTCGCTGAGAGCCGTGGTTGAGAGAGTATTGCGCGTTGGCGCAGTGTGTCTCGCTCCGCTCGCGCTTTTCTCAAGTGTCACTGCGCCTCGCTTCGCTCGTCGCAGTCCGCAATCCCTCTGCCCGCCGCAGACATCGACATTGCTCGCTTTGCTCGCGGCATTGCTTCTTCGCGTTTTACCTGAACAGCTTTCCCTAGATGCGCTGCGTCGTCACCACCGGTCCCCCCTGCAGCATTCCTCTCATTCGTCGTCACCGCTGCCTGCTTCTTAGTCCAAGAAAACACGGTCACGGGTATCCCATTCGCTTTCGTTGTCGCCTTCCGAATAGTAAAAGCGGAAGTGGAAGGGTTGGAGATCGCATTGTGATCTCCCGGCGACGAAGGGAGAGTCGCCGCCGAGTCAATGGGCGGTGTTGTTCCGGCTGCAGGGGAGAAGAAATATGGGATTGAAGCCTGGTTGTGGAGGGTATAAGGAGCCAGGAATTTGGACTCGGTGGCACCCATTGCGATGTCGACGTCCGGGCGCGTTAAGATGCTGCGGGTTGATGACTTGTGACGCTTATTTCAACCACCACGGAGCACGAGCACAAGCCGGATGACGGAGGAAGAGACTGCCGTGCCGTGCGGTAGGAGCTTGTATCGAGTGCGAGGTGGCCGAGAGCCGTCGTCGTGGGGGGGGGGTAGATCTCAGCCTCCCCAGGTTCCCTTCCGTTCTGAGGGTCCCAAGTTGGGCAGTCGCGAGGAGGGGCGACTGACGGCAGCCGTTAGGGTTCTGACTCTTCTGAGGGAAGCGCCTCCTGCCGTCATCCGCATGTCCTTCTCGCCGCTTCCGTCTGCCCTCGCCCGCGCTTATATACACCTTCGCATAACACACTTCCGTTCCAGGCTACATAACACTGCACTGTAGCCGCTCCGGAACGCTCAAGGCTCTTTCGAGGCTCTTTACACCAGCCCCAACTGTCCGCCATTGCGTTTGAATTTCGCTTCCTGGCGCCATTGAAACACCGTCACGCGGCCAAGATGACTTCTTTTATGCCAATGGAGCAGCTTGTAGGCAAGTGGTCCACTCACAGCTTTGACCTCGAAGGAGAAGCGATGAGAACCTGCCGAGGCCATCCCCTTCGACACTTTCGCCATCTTCCGAACTGGCGTCACCCGGCTCTGAAACTAGCTCTGATACAGTAACTAATACCCGGTTATTCGCTTACAGACTCGGCATGTGACACCGACTGGTCAGAGCCAAACGTGCCTTTGATGCTGGAGATTTGCGATATCATCAATCAGAAAGGGAAAAGCTCGTGAGTATCTACAAACTGTCTGATTTCTGCGGCACTTTCGGGAAGTGTGACATCAAATCACGCTCAGAGTCTTGCAAGTGCGTCCTGTTCATTTGTTTCCTCGTCCTTGTGCGATTTAGGCCCAGAGAAGCGGCATTCGCGATAGTGCGGAATGTCAACAGAGGTGGAACACAGACTGCCATGCATGCATTATTGGTGAGTGCAACAAAAGTCAGATGAGCTCCATGACGGAACGTATCCTGTACGTCTATACTCATTCCTCAACCTCAGCTTTTGGACTACTGCACGAAAAACTGCGGGTATCCTTTCCACCTCATCATCGCCACGAAAGAGTTTCTGAACGAGCTCGTGAAACGGTTTCCGGAGCGTCCTACCGTACGTACATGGCTCAAGGAACCCAATATGACGGTCTACGATGCTCACTCATTTGCTTGCTTCTTACCCATAGACGACGAATAGCGTCCACCACCGCATCCTCGAACTCGTGCAAACATGGAACGCGACGCTATGTGTCACTTCGCGGTACAAGGAGGATTTCAAGCATATCAACGATATGTACCGATTACTGTCGTACAAGGGTATGTGATGCGATGCCATCATATCCGACTGATGTGGACGAGGCTGATATGATTGTGATTCGACTACAGGGTATAGGTTCCCGCCACTTTCGAAAGACGCCGCTGCAGCTCTCAACCCGACGAATGTACGTGAATCTTCAACTGCTGATGTCTGGAACACATGCATTTCATGGAATCACAATACGCTTTCTCCACCTCTATAGACTCTGCGGACACAAGAGGAGCTGGAGCAGGAGGATAAACTGGCGCAGGGTGCTGTGAGTACCACTTCCTTGAGAGATGGGGGAGATCGTGGGAAGGGAGTTCTCATTGAGGATTGTTGTAGAAACTACAAGAATTGCTGCGTCAGGGCACCCCCGCCGCGCTTGAGCAGGCGAACGATTTGATGAAAATCATGTCTGGCTACGTAAGTCCACCGTCTTCGCCCACTAAAGAAAACGCAAAAGAGTCCGCTAATCATCCGGCGTCGCACAGGACACAGAACGCATCCCCGACTACAAAAAACAAGCCGAAGAAGAACTCAACCGCATCGAACAGCGCGCTATCCTCCTCAACGACATCCTCACCCAGAAACAGCCCGAGGACCGCCATAAACACGATTCGACCATGGAGGAACTCCTGGGGAGCGCCAAAAGTGCGCAGAGCAGGATCCAGAAGTTGATTAGTGACGGGGATGATGATGAGCGGATGGGTGCGTTTCGATGAGCGTGAGGGGAGATGGGGTTGAAGGGGGCATGGGGACTGATGGGGGGTTATTTTTTTTTTTTTTGGCAGGACGGTTGCTCGAGACGAATGATCTCATTAATACGGTTATCAACAAACATGCGGATTTCAAGGCTGGGAAGCCGATACAGGGTGGCGATGCAAGGTATGGTTTTTCACCACCCTCCGTGTCATCGACACCCTCTTTTCCTGCAACGAAATGACATCCCACTTGTTTCAAAGACCCGCCCAGCCAAACACAACATCCCCGACCAAACCACCAGACACCGGCATCAGCCTCATCGACCTCGACGACTGGGGCGCACCGGGTCCCGCCGTCAGCCCGGGCGCCGCGGCGGGGTTGATGGCCGCGTCGACTGTTTCCAAACCCGCTGCTGCGCCGTCAGGCGGCGGCGGGTTTGGGAGTCTGATGGATGCATTGGGTGATTTGAACTTTTCGGTAAATGTCTTAATCCATGACTCGGTGCGTACCCGGGGGAATGTGGCCCTGACGGATGGGATATTGTGACTATTTGATAGACACCGACAACGCAAACCCCGCCCCTCCAAACCGCCGCCCCCTTCCCCCACCAGCAGCCCGCGTCCTACCTCGCCCAACCGGGCGTGCAGGGCTTCTCCACGCCCCCACAAGGTTTCTCCACCCCGCCACAAGGCTTCTCCACGCCCCCGCTGCAATCCAACGCCTTTTCGGGGCTGGGCGGTTTGGGCTTCCAACCACAACAACCGCAGCAAGGATTTGGTTCCCGCCCCCAACAACAGCCACAACAAGGACAGGGGAGTAATGCGTGGGGGACACCGACGGCCTTCCCGGGCACCCCGCCTGTGTATAATGTGCAGCAACAACAGCAGCCGCAGCAGCAGCAGAAGCCGGACCCGTTTGCGGGCGTGGATTTGTTTGGTAAGCTTGCTGGGATCCAAGGTTGGTTTGGTGGAAAAAAGTCGAGCGTTCGGGATGAACCCTCAGGTCCCGAGTCCCGTGCTTATGTATTCATTGATGGATTCCATGCTTGTTGTAGCAAGCACCTCGTCGGCCCCGGGAACCCCGCCCCCTGGTACCATCCCTGGAACGCCGCCCGTGCAGCAGCAGAGGAAGGAAGGTACGTCCCCCGCGTCTTAAGGAACCAACCGATCTTCCCCCACCCCAACTCATGCACCCACCTCGCCAGTCATGCTGCACGACAAAAACGGCCTCCAGATCAAATACCGCCTCCTCTGGAAAGGCAACGCGTGGGCCGCTACGGCCGTGTTCATCAACGTCACCCCGGTGCCGTTCACCGATCTGACGTTCCAGGTCGCTGCTCCCAAGGTACCGCTTGTCATATTCGCCGGTTTTTTTTCCCCCCCGCTGTTGGATGAGAAATTGATTTCGGTCATTTGCTCAGTCGATGACGTTACATATGGAAACGGCGTCGGGAACGCTTGTCCCGCCGTTGAACCAGGCGCAGGTCACCCAGGGCATGCATATCGTTAATCCCGGCAAGGTAAAAATCGTTGGCCTTCTCCCCCCCCCCCCCCCCCTCCACCTCCAACCTACCGCACCCCCCCCCCCCCCCCTTTTTTTTTCGGTTTTGGTAACGCATTGTGATTGGTTTGCAGGAACCCCTCCGTGTACGCTACAAGGTGCAGTACGCGGTCAACGGCGCCGTGGTAAATGAGGGTGGGGAGTATAATGAGGCTGCGCCTGTGTGAGGGATGAAGAACAAGGGGGGAGGGGGAAGATGGCATTGTGGTGAATGATAGGCGCCCGTGAATGGCGGATAGGGGAGGGTGTGTTTTTGGGGTGTGTAGTGAATCCCAAAATGAAATGGTGGTGCCCCCATGTTTCGCCCCCCTCGGAATGTCATGATCTCCCTTCACAATTCATTCATCCGGTCGAGGGGATCCCGAAATGTGGCGAGGATCGAAATGTGGAACCAGAATTTCTTTGTACAATTGTGCAGGATGGGGAAGATGAACTCCCAAACATGAAAAAGGAGGCTATGTGCAATGTGAGAAGCAGGCTCGCTCGTTGGCCGTTTAGATGACGGTCACTTTATGTATGCACGACGTGTACAGCCCGCCCACGTTCTTGGACCATTTATCTAGGCCGTTGTAGTGCAGTGTGTTCGTGGACCTGCCGAAATGCCAGGTGAGTAATCTGATTCTTACAGACCAAAGGGCGACACAAAAATGGACTTACTGTGAATGCAACTCGAGCCGCTGATTGACCTGGTCAATCCGGCCGTCGACTTTGCTGTCCAGGATCAGATTCACGAGGAGGTCTTCCACCTCGTCCGTTGATATATTCAGTTGCTGGTTACCAAAAGAAAGTCCACATCAATCTCTCAACATTCGCAGGACACGCTCACAGCAACCCCTACCTTAGACACAAAAGCAAGCTCAATCCTCGTATACGGCCTGATAAGCTCAATCAGCACCTGCGTGCGGATATTCTTAAGCACATCGTCGATGTAGGTGCGGATAAACGGGTCGCCGAGGATGGTGTCCTTGTTGGTGCGCAGGATCTTTTCGACCTCGGGCAGCTCCTTGCGCTGGTAGGCGTTGACCATGTCGGTCATGGCGACGATTTGTGGGTCGCTTTTGTAGGGTTTGGTTTCTTGGGAATCGAATGGGTTGATTTGGGACTCCATTAGCATGTTTGCTAGGACTAGGTATCTGTTTGTGACAGAATCGTTAGGTTCAAACAACAGGGCGGTGCACTCTCAGCGCACGACAGGGTCTGAAGTCTTCCCCACTTACTTTAGACACTGGATACGTTGTGGATCTCCTGCCTCATCATAGTTCTTGAACGCCTCGAAGAAATCCACTTGTGCTTTCTCCCACTCCTCTGTTGACGATGAGAGAACAGACATTAGTACCGTGCATACTCCCGGTGCACCGCAACAATCAGCGTTGCGCACGTACTTTCTCCCATGTGCATCTTGCCGCCACATTCGCGAATGACGCCTGCATAGGGTCATATACATGGTTAGCTGGCATGCGGGGGCGGAAGTGGCGCCTGAGAAATACACGATCACGAACCCATGATGCGAGGATGTGGAATGGCAGACTTGACGTGCAAGCATTGTTGGTATAGAGCCTGTTCCAGGGGGATAAGGGGCGGTTAGCTCTCCAAAAATCACATATACCCTCGTCGCTAGTCGTTGTTCAGCCTCCTACTTTCAGCTTCTTGTTGTTTTTCGTTTCGGTGTACATCTGGATTTCCAAGGCGAAAATCTCGAGGAGTAAGGTCCCCTTTTTCTGATCATCGGTTCCGTCGTCGTTTTGACATGATCGGTGGAGCTGCCTTAAGATCTGGAATGTCATGTGTGAATCAACCTGCCAATCTCACCATCACTTCAGGGCTCCTCCACGCCGTACCTTGTTCAGTCGTCCATATTCCTGCCGGTCTAACCACAGCTTTGCCAGCTTCAGATTCGTTTTGGTCCATAACCGCTGGAAGAAGGTTCCAGGCGTTAGGTTGTGCTCGAAGACCCTCGGTGAGAGTCGACGACATATCTCCCCTCCCGCAAATCACCTCATTCTTCGCCTCCTCCAACGTCGCCAACGTGACCGAGTAAAACTCTTCCAAAAACGCCATATCATTCGACACCGACACGAAATCGAGGATGTTGTTGATGCTCTTTTCGCTGTAGTTCCGTGTCACGGCGCTCTTGATGTATGTTATGAGCTCGTGGTAGTATTTCAATGTCTGCAGAGTGAGTGATTCGGAGTCAGATCGTGTGGGAAGCTTCGACGATGCCGATGCAATCGACCGCCTCTTCTCCTACCGCCTGGTAATCGCTCTGTAGGAACGATATCTTGACCATCTGCTTCAGCGCCTTGAACCCCCTGCCAACGCGATCGAGTAAGGACATCGCCAATGGTTTTCACATCTCAGCCTTGAGCGTACCATTCCCCCTTCTCCTCCTCCGCTGCCACGACCGCTCTAAATTCCTTCAATGCTGCCGCAGGGTCGTCCTCCTTGTGTCCTATATCCCTGGTGTCAGGCAAGATCACCACTTTCACATGCCCCGGACATGAGGTATACCCTTGGCGCTGTAGTATTTATTCTCGAGGTCGGCATCAGGCTCCTCTTCGTCTTCATCCTCGTAGTCAAAGTCAAAGTCTTCCTCTTCCTCGTCGTCATCGTGCTGAGATGGGGAAGCGGGAACTATAAGTAGGCATGTAAATGTAACGGGAGATCAGGGTGCTAAACTCTTCTACCATGAAATCGTCGTCGTCGGACATGTTGCTAGCAGTGAGTAATGAATGCCCTGATTGATTTGTGTATGTATATATAGCCTATGCGGGGCTGCGAGGATGTGTGGGTGTGTCTTTTGAGTTATGCCAACGAGTTGAATATGGACATGTCCTCTCCCGCACGGTGTCGCGCAGAGTTCCCACCTGCACTCTTTTTTCGCAAAAGCCCCCAGTTGGACTCCCGTGGGCAAACATGGGGAAGGCAAAGGCGAACAAGCAACGCAAACTATCAAAGAAGTCAACCACTGACAACCAGCAGGACGACGAGCAGTCCGCACAGGTCGCAATGCCGCACTCAATGGAACAAAAACCTACCCCAGCAGCGTCAGCACGAGCACCAGCACCAGCCGGTCTCGCCCAATTCGGCCAATTTAAAGTCCTGCCCATAACCATGCCCCCTCTCGCCGTCGCAACGGAACCCCTCACCTCCTTCACCACCACCACCCGCACCATCCCCACAACTCTCATCGAAGTAACCCACGAAATGTTCATACGAGCCCACGAGGGCAAAAAAGCCGACGACGCATTACCCGCCGGCCGGGCGCTGTTTGCGGTGAATGTGCCTGCGGACGCCTCCGAGAGGCATTTTGCGAGGCTGTTTAGGCGGTGTGGGAGGATCGAGCGGGTTGTATGGCATGACGAGAAACACGGGAACGGGAATGGAATAGGAGGCGTGCATAAGTCGGGGTCGAATGCGCATATCATATTCACGGACCGGGAGGCGGTCGCAAGGGCGGTGGGCATGAAAGCAAGACGGAGGGTATGGTCCGACGCTGCCGACGAAGCCGAAGAAGCGGGTGACGAATCCGTCACCACCGAAGCAGCGCCAGCCCTCCACGGCCTCTCCAAATGGCTGCACCAGCACGCCTTGGCACGACCCAACCTTGCCACCCTGCAACAAGAAACCGACACGACGCTCGTCGCCTTCGAAGACGCGGAAAGGGACGCCCGTCTCGCCGCCGAGAACAAACGCAACGTCCCCGACGAGGACGGCTTCGTGACCGTCGTCCGTGGCCGCGGGAAACGCAATGTGAACGTGGACGGTCAGGGCGCGAGCGTGACGGCTGCGCGGCCGGAGGAGGTCAAGAAACTCAAGCCGAAGAAGCTGGAGCTGGTTGACTTTTATCGGTTTCAGATGCGCGAGAGTAAACGGAATCGTGAGTAGCTGTGAATCCGCTTTTTCTTTTGGGTTTCCCTTCTCGGATTGTAACCATCCTTCTCCTCCCTCACAGAACTCGCGGACCTGCGCCGCAAATTCGAAGAAGACAAGCTACGCATTCAGGCCCTTAAAGCCAGCCGGCGCTTCAAGCCTTACTAGATATAGACTCCCACCCATGGTATATATTTTGTCCAATATATGCTTGCGTGCACTCCGGCGTAAGAATCCACGCACACTCCCATCTGCGCATCCTAGTCCCCATGGGTGTGTTGAAGCGCCTTTTAGGGGCGACATCTTTTGCATAGGTCTTTCCTAAACTATAACTTAATAACATGGAACTGTAAGAAAAAACCCCAATGGGAATGGTAGCACGGAACGCACAAGTAACAGATGACCATTGTATGTTCGTGTTACGAATACACATGCTAAACCCAAAAAAAGGCCCTCTACGCGATGGAAAAAGTGAGGGGCAGATGTATCAACGTCCCAATCGCAAAAGGTCAGCAAACACCCTTCCTCTCATCAGCCAACCTCCGCCTCCCTCCCATCCCGATCCGTCCGCCTCGCATCTTCCGTAGCACGCCTCCCCAGCCCACCCTCCCCCTCGTCCTCCTCCTCCCCATCAGCCGCCGGCACCTCCACCCAACTACATCTCCCCCGGCCAACATTCATCCTACACATCGTCAAAAACCTATCATAATCCAACGCCTCAGCAACATCCACAGACGACCGGGGGACGAACCACTCGAGAAAGAGGAAGAAGAGGTAGTCGACCGCGATGATCATGCAGGAGAGGATGCCGGCGACGGCGCCGCAGTCGTAGAATCTGCAAAACACATCATCACGCATGGGTGGGTGAACACGTGCTGAATCTGGACGGGCGATATGATACACCCATACCTATGGAACCGCTCCATAAGCGACACCTGCGGATCCACCATGATCAACTTATACACCATCTCGGTCCGCTCGGCGACGTCCGTCCAGTCGTACATCATCTTGACTTCCTCGTGGAAGCGCCAGGGGTCGGGGGGGTGGGTGCGCACGGTGGTGATGGCGTCTGCTAGGGAGGTTGACAATGCTGTCCAAAGAAAGTCCCAGAATGTGACAGAGTGTGAGACGAGGGACGGGGGGAAAAGTTTGAGTGATGTACGTACAATGAACCTCCGGGACGGCAAAGCGGACCATATGATCTGGCAGCACCTCGGGAACTCCGCCGACTTTTGTTGTTACCACCAGCAAGCTGCCGCGTATATCAACAAAGAAAATGTGTTATTTCGCATGCTCTCAGCCCCAAAGAGTAGCCCCCCAAAGCGACAGGCCATACCCGCAACAAGCCGCCTCAACAATAGCAATACAGAACGCCTCTGTCAACGACGTGTTGAGAAACACATGGCCTTGGACGAGAACCTGTTACGAATATGAAGATCGTGAGACATCAGAATTCGAGATGGCGCTGGAGGAACTGTATAGGCCGTGGAGAAAACTTACACTCCGCACTTGAGCATGCGATACGGCGCCAAGCATGCGCACCCGGTCTTGCAGGCCGAACTTTTCCCGCATCCGTTCTAGGTCGACGCGTTTCGGCCCATCGCCAGCTGCCATTAGACAATTTAGCGAAACCATGTTTATGAATGCATTTGAGGCGGCGAATGTGGAAGGGGATATGGGGACGGCAAGCACTTACCGATGAGGAAATCAACGTCGGGAAACTTGGAGCAGATCAGGGGCACGACCGAGACCAGCAGGTCGACGCCTTTACGGTACACGAGCCGACTCGCAACCACCACAGTGACTGAAAAATAACCGAATCAGCGACCCTTGATACATTGGTGAACGGATCTTGGAGACTTATTCACCATTCCCCGGCCGCCGCTTAGACACATCCGGCGTAAAATCAGCCGCAACGACCGCGTTCGGGATAACAGAGACGTTCAAAGGATCCAGACAGGCCCTCAACACCGTGTTTTCCTTGCTGAGAGGATGAGATTCATTTCCCCAACTCTACAATCCCCACACGAGAGAAGAACTAACCTCGTATGTGAGACGCAAATGACATGATCGATATCCGACAGCGTGAATTTCAGTAACTTGTTGGTGAGGATGCTGCTGGCGTCCTCGAACCCGAACAAAGAGTGGTCGGTGAAACAGGCGCTGATGCCCATTGTGCGCGCGTGCAGGATCGCTTCGTGGCACATTGCCGAGAAGGCCTGCGTGCATCAATCGCAAGGGTGAGTTCCTCCAAACGCGCAACCCATTGGCGGTTCCCCCCCATCTCACCCCATGCCCGTGCACAACATCAATCCGTTCCCTGACAACAATGTACCGAAACAGCGGAAAGAACCCGTACACGGTCGGCAGCGAGACCTGGTCCACCACCAGCCAGTGCGGGACGTGGTACACTTTGACGCCGGAAGTGAGGTAGCGGATGCCGACGCGTTGGCCGTAGTTGTGCGTTACGATAATCACCTGTCCTCATTCCATCGTTGCATTAGCCCTCTCTTTCTTGAATGAACCCCTCGGTTCGCTAATACGCTTTTCTCAAAGCCTTGCGAAAGACATCCACTCCCTACCTTATGCCCCCTCCGCACGAGCCGCTGCGACAAATGGTAGATATGCGCTTCCACGCCTCCCATATTCGGATAGAAAAAGTCGGAGACCATGCTATTTGGAATAGTCTCAGCCAGTCTGCCCAGAACCGTTCTTGGCTCTCCGAAGCGACACCCACCAGATATTGAGCGGCGCCATGGTTCTTCAGGCACCAAGCCTGCTGATACGGGGTGATGCGAGCGGCGCCCCTTGTTTCTCCTTCCCCTCCCTTCCACTGTTTCCCTCGTTGCGTTTCGCAAAAGGCTGCGATGATCTTAGAGCCCTTGCCAATGTTTCCGCCGGGCTGTGTTGTAAGTGAAATCCGATGCTTGTGGTTTGTCGATACCCTAGACGTTGCAGCCTCTATTGCGCAATATGAGGGCTATGTTATGGGTCTATGGCGGTGTGTTGGTGCAGTGCTATCTATGTATGAGCCCGGAAATCCAGCGGAAATCACCGTGTGGTTCTGGGATGTCGGACAAGCATTCAAATTCTGCTGAGACCCTGCGTCTTCCCCAGCTTCTCTTTTGCGAACCTCCCGCCCGGCAGCATCCCACTGCAAACCACTGGTCGCAGCACACACAGCACACACAGCACATACACTCAGTGCAGTCCAGTCAACTCCGTCGCTCCCAGCACCCTTACTCCCACTCCCACCCTCTCGCCTCATTTCACCCCACCCTTCTATTCAAAAATGAAACCCTACCAAAAATCCTTCCTCGCCTTCGCAATCCACCACAAAGTCCTCACCTTCGGCTCCTTCACCCTCAAATCCGGCCGCACATCCCCCTACTTCTTCAACGCCGGCCTCTTCAACACCGGCGCTGCCCTCGCCCAAATCGGCGAATTCTACGCAGCCGCCCTCGCCGACAACGCCTCCCTGCTGAACTACACCATCCTGTTCGGCCCGGCGTACAAGGGGATCCCGCTAGTGGCCGCCGCGGCGATCGCGATGTACAAGGGCCAGGGCACGGATGTGCCGTATGCGTTTAATCGGAAGGAGAAGAAGGATCACGGCGAAGGGGGGGTCATCGTCGGGTCGCCGCTGAAAAACGCACGGGTGGTCATCATCGACGACGTGATCACGGCCGGGACTGCGATCCGGGAATCCTTCGCTATCCTGCAGTCCGAGCAGGCGGTGTTGAGCGGGGTGTTGATTGCGTTGGATCGGAGGGAGAAGGGGAATGGGACCGAGTTGAGTGCCATTCAGCAGGTTGAGAGGGAGTATGGGGTTCCGGTGGTGGCGATTGTGACGCTGGATCATGTGGTGGAGTATTTGGAGGAGGTGGGGGGGTATGAGGCGCATGTGGAGAGTATTAAGAGGTATAGGCAGCAGTGGGGGATTTCTGCTTGATTTCGGGTGGGAGGGAAAGCAGAGGGATGTCTATGGGTCTGCTCGGGCGGCACGAGGGACGATGGACCTTTTGCTGTGCGAAAGCGATGTATTTATTGGGATTGGCAAAACACTGGATCATACTCAAGCCGTCGATGTTTGCAAGTTGGTTGCGAGATTAACAGTAATATTTGTGCTTGATGGTATGCAATACAAAAAGAGGGACCAAGTCAAAGCTTATACAAAACCACTTCCGCAACCCCATCCAACTCTCAACCCCACCTTTTTACTCCTCCAGCAACAACCGATGCGGCTGCTGCCCCTGATTAACCCGGCTAACCTTCAACACCATCTCATCCCCCACCTCACTAATCATCTTCAACGCATACACCAAGTCCTCAATCGTATGCGCCGCCGACAGACAAAACCTCACCCGCGATGTGATAATCGGCGTCGCGGGGTAACCCACCACCACCACCGCAATGCCCCTCTCGAGCATCGCGCGAGAGAAGGCCGGGATCTTGGCCGGGTGGAAGAGCAACAGCGGCACGACGGGCGAGTCGGCGTCACCGTAGACGATGAATCCCATTTTACGCAACTGGGCGGAAAAGAAACGGGCGTTCCTTGCCAACTGGGCCACACGACGCCGTCCCTCGGGTGCATGCGCGTCCCCCGCGATGATACGCATGGATGTGTGGATCTGTTGGAGGATGGGCGGGGTGATGGATTCGGCGTAGACGGAGGAGAAGGAGTGGAGGCGGATAATGTCGATTATGGCGCGGGAGGAGCAGATGTAACCGCCGGCTGCGCCGAAGGATTTGGTGAAGGTGCCCATGAGAATGTCGATGTCGAGGGGGTCGATGCCGAAGTAGTCGCAGACGCCGCGGCCGTTGGGGCCGAGGGCGCCGATGGAGTGGGCCTCGTCGACGTAGAGGTAGAACTGGGGGGAGGAGACAAGGAGTTGGTTATTACTCGTGTTCCATTGCACGCTCTAATGGCTGCCGAATGATACACACCTTATACTTCTTCTTGAGAGCCACAATCCCAGGCAAGTTGCAGATACTGCCCTCCATCGAGTACAACCCCTCAACAATAACCAAAATCTTCTTCCACGGCCTATGCGTCCGCGGCTGACCCTGTGCAATAGCCTGCCTCAACACCTTCTCCAAATCCTGCGGGTCATTATGCTTAAACGTCTTGATCGGCGCACCCGAGATCCTGCACCCGTAGATCAAACTCGCATGGTTCAGCTCGTCACTGATGATCAGGCAGCCCTTGGAGACCAGCGCGGGGATAGTGGTGGAGTTGGTCGCGAAACCCATGGATACGAGCATGGCGGCTTCGTGGCCGACGAAGCGTGCGACGAGGGCTTCGGTCTCGATGTGGAGGTCGGAAGTGCCGGCTTCGTTGCGGCTAGAGGAGGCGCCGACGCCGTATTTGCGGATGGTGGTTTCGACTTCGTCGGCGCAGGGGCCTTCGGCTTGTGCGAAACCGAGGTAGTTGTAGGAGGACAGGTTCAGTACTTCGTTGGTGTTGCCGGTGAGCCTGGGAAAAAGGGTGGACGTGGGATTAGCCAACGTGATCTCTACGACAAAACAGTGCTTCTCAGTCCTCAAATGCATATACATACTTGAAGGTTTTGTTAAAGTCATCGCTCGTACGCTCTAGAAGCGTCACCGTCCTACCGGGGACATTTGTGATGGGACGGTTGAACACATCCCTAATCCTCCTGTACAGCCTCCGCTGGTAGAACGTGTCAAACCCAGAGTTCAAGGCCGCAAACCCATCGCGCGTGCTCAAATGCGCATACTCCTCCTTCCTAAACCTCATCCCAAAGAAATCGCGGATGTGGCCAAAAATAATCAAGAAGAAGTACGACATGTACGTCGTCATGAGCACACCGTACGGCGTCTCCTCGAGCAAGTGCTCCGAGGCATGGGCATCCGAGGGACTCTTCTCATGCGCAAAGATATCATCGAATTTGCCTACAGCCGCCGTGGCGACGTTCTTCTTTTCGGAAGTTTTGTGCCCTTTGCTGTTGAACACGGGTGTTCCAGGGTCGGCGGCCGGAGCGGCAGCTACTTCGTGGAGCAACAGGTCCTCGATAGAAGCGTCATCGAGGACGGAGTACAGCGTGTCGTGGCTGTAGTTGTCCACCTTGGACAGCAAGTCCGCCGACGAGACGGGAGGCCGGGACGAATCGAAATGGGCACGCTTTCCTTTGCCCATTTTGGTGCCGTTTTTATGCGAAAGTATCGGAATGGTATGGGAGCGGTCTTTTGTGAGTGCCGTCGCCGTTCTGTCGCCGGTCAGCTTATGAAGCTACTCAACGCCGGGGAATGCAAGGCTATACACGATACAAGACCGATGTATGTACAGTCCGTGAGAACTCGAAACTCCGCACACGGGCTGAATTGCAAGCGGGGAACGGGCGGAATGTCGCGCGTTAGCGGGCCGGCTTGTCTTTTTTCCCACGGGCAGGCGTTTCAGGGGCACCCCAGTAGTGTGGACGCTGTACTGTACAGGAAGTCCACAAAAAAAAGCGCCGGAGTCAAGCGAAGCGGCTCCGTATGTAGATAGTTCGCTGATACGGGGGGGGTATCTATTGACCTTTACACATCCATGATAACTGTACAAGGGGTCGCCGGATATATATCTATAATATATAACATGGGAGCTGGGCGGGTGGGCGCCTGTTGATGCGTGGGCGTGGGAGGTTGTTCCTTGCGGCCAAAGGCAACGCATTTCTCAGAGGGGCGTTGGAAGTAAGCAAAAATTTACGTGGATCGGGAACCACACGGCTTTGAGGGAGGGCGAGGCAGGCGCGTGGAACCTGTCAGTCAGTCAGGCAGTCAGTCCAGTCTCGGTCCGTCCACGCGTTGAACTCGCTCTCTCCTCTCCCGCGGTCCCCCTTCATGAGGGAGATCCGAGGGAGAACTATCCGGGGTTCCACGGCGCACCCTATGCACCCTGGTGTTTCATTCCGCCCTCGTATATTTGCGCCCCATCCAGGACTGGCAGGCTTCTCTATCGCAGCTACTATCCACGCACCTCCTCCATGGAAAAAGAACTCGCGCCCGGTCACGTGCATTGACGATATTCGACAGCGTGAGGTGTGGCGTGCATTTCAGCCCGACTCAGCCCTTGGCGGACTTCCTGGAATCCTGGCAGGGTGCTCTCTGCCCCTGGACGCTTACTCACTTGGCGTGATGCCCTTCCTATCCTGCTTCCTTCCGCAATATGCAGCTCCGTTGAAAGGTACTATTGTGTCCGTGTTCTTTCCCAATTGGCGGATACTTAGAAAAGGTTCAGTATTGAGTAAAAATTCCAAAGATGGTTGTCCGCATTAGAATTCGAATTCAACGCCGCCGGACCGAGCTACGCCTACCCAGTTCCAAAGGGTCCCGAGTAGTAGTGCTAGTCAAGTTTAAGCTATGTACTGTACAACGAGCCGGGACCTCATTCATTCTTGGAATCCGGCGCAAACCTCGGAGAGCCGGACCGAGCCGCGAGCGGGAAACAGGAAATGAGCGCAATCACAGAGAAATACATTGTCCACTGCGACGTATGATGTGGTTGCCGTTAAATTTCCACAATTTGCGAGTATTTGGTGTCTGCAGAACGAGACACTAACCCCATTTGATTCTTGGCGCTTTCAAAATGCTAATCCTCATACCACTCTCAACATCAACAATCCTCCTCCTCCTCCTCACCTTATCCCTACCCACAAGCGCAACCGTGACCCCCATCCTCACAACAACCTTCCAGCCCGCCACCAACGTCCCCTCCGTCCAAAACATCGACTTCCCGCTGCACACCCACACCTACAACGCAACTAGTTTCCTCAATACCGCCATCTTCCACCCGGCCGACTCGCCATTGGGACCATGCAGGATCAAAACTTACAATGTGACGTATTTACCCGACCCGATAACGGGGGCAGTGGTGCCCGTGCTGGATCCGACGACGGGGATGGATCCAGTCATTGGGTTTTTTGATGTGAGGGATTTGTTGGCGGCGGGGTGTGGGCGGTATGGGGCTGTTGCATGGGTAGGGGACTTAATGTTTTTTGGGGGGTGTGGGGAGGTGGATCTTGGTGCGAGAGGGAGGGATGGATCGATTGCCTGGGTCTCACCTCTCATCGTAACTTGGGCTCCGTGAGCAGGCCAACGGATGGCATCAAACATGCCCCAATGGAACCAGCATCGCCGAGCTACTCGCCACCCCAGGCATCCTGCCCTGCTCCGCTCCCTCCACGCGCCCGCAAGTTGCGCTGTACATGCAGTTAGGGCCGGTGAGTTCGGGTAGGGCTTTGCGCAAAGCAAAAGACCTTATAATCAATCAACGGTGTCTGACTGGGACTTCTTGTGACTGTTACAGGTCCATAAACAGTGCTGCCCAGACCCCGTCTTCGCCCGTGCCAGCAGCTGGTACGGCTTCACATATGAGGTCAGTCATCAGTGCAGTTCAAAGTCCGAGCCGAAAGGACACGATTTATGCGAATCTCAATATGCCCCATGACCGTAGGAAAGCGCCTCCCTGGTCCCCGAGACGGGGCTCGACTACCAAACCTTCGCCTCCTTCGCGCTCAACAACGTCTTGACGTATCAGGTCGATTCCGGTAAGGTTTCCCCATTCAAACGCTCGTCATCCAACATCAACCACTCGCACACCATACCGATGCTCTTGATTGATCCAGACGGCGCCCTGGAGTACATGACACCCTACATGCAATCCCGCGGCATGGATATATACATGTGTGCGCGGCTCGGTATCAGTCTCTCGTTTCTTCTTTTCGAAGCTATGTATGTGCGTGGCACCACAAGGGGGAAGGATTTGCGGGAATGCTGGGGTTTGTCTTGACTTTTGGCGATGTTCATAGGACGATGGGACTGACGTTGTATAAGGAGGGGTTTTCGTTTAATTTGAAGGTTGGTCGGTCTGGCTTTTTTTTTTTGGTAGATACTGGAGGCAGCCGTCTTACTTTTTTTTTGGCAGTGGGGCATTTACGCTGGGATCTTCTCATGGACCGCATGTACGTCCACTCCTGTTTCTCTTCATTCACACTCCACGTATTAGAACCGCCCAATAATCCAACGCAATCCAGGCGTAGTCGCATTCCACATCCAATTCGTAACCGTCCGCGCACACAGCTACGAGCTGCCGCTGTCCGGGACGGGACAGTACCTGGTTTATCAATGGTGAGTGATCACATCGGAATTTCTACTATTAGAGTTTACAGGGATCTGACGCTAACTTTGCGTTCTCATACTGCAGCGTCGGCTTCGTATGCGGCTACGAAGCGCTAAGTCTAATGTTACTAAAATGGATGCAGGTGGGAATCACCCCGTCGATCCCTTTGCACCACGGAGATCTTCTCATGCGGGTCTCATCACCACCCCTACCACCCCGCAGATCACAACCGACGCGGGAATGCAAACCTCCCCGCTTCGCACGTTCGCAACCAAGGCGTACAGGTACGGGGGTGTAAGAAATCACCGGAGATCAACTGGGGTAGACGAGCTAAACATGTGAATGTTGGGATTAGGTACTTCGTCATCGCATCCATGGTCTGGTTCCCGCCGCTCATGAGCACGTACACGGGGCGGCTGATTACGGCTAAAACGTTGGAGGATCTTGAGGTGTTTTACAAGGTGCGTCTCTTCCTCATCCGCTCCCCCCCATCCGCGCCTGTCTATCAACCCACCAAAATCACCCCTCGTCTTATTTCATCCCCCCCGTCGGTCGCCCTCCGCTTTCCCCCCGCTAGTTCAACGCAACCAACCTCTACTCGATGTTCACCTGCCTCGTCATCCACGCCCTGGGCATCCTCTACTCCGGCCACAGACTCTCCTCAACCCTCGACAAAGGGCGCCAGATGGTCGCGTCGACACCGGGGATCTCGACAGTCGGTGGTGGAGCGGGGAGGAGCAATCCGGATTTTGGGAAGATAGGGAGAAGGAGGAGGAAGGGGGGTGTTACGGCGACGATCAGGAATTTGATGTTGGCTACTGTTGTTGGGTAGGTTTTTGGTACGGGTTTGGGAGGGTTTGGGCGACTGGGTTGCATGCCCGGGGATGGGGGTTGGATGCAGCGGAGGGGATACGCATGCTGCCTTCGCTTTGACCTCGTTTTTTTTTTTGTTTGCAACACCCCATCACATTCGACATCACAGATGGCTGCTCCTCTCCCTCAACGCCCTCCTGGACGGCATCCTGGGGCTCAGCTCCAAATACGGTCTGTGGAGTTTCATGTGGTATGACCTGGTACGTTGCTACACTCCCCAAGTCCACGCCCTCGTTCGTTTTCTCGACCCTTTTGTTTTTCTCATCTGTGTGCCTCTAAAAACCGTGCACGAGCTCATGACCACCCCCCACACAGAATTTCGCGTGGATAGCAGGCGCCTCCTACCGCGCCATGTCCGCCGGGCTCATCGAATCCGCGCTCACCTCCCGGTCCCGGCCAGCGACGATGCAGCGCTCGAGTCAGGCTGTGACAAAAGGGAAATCAATGGAGACGAGAGCCGAGCGGGGGACTGTTGAGATGAACGACGACGGTGCGCTCGAGTCAGGCGTTGAGCGAAGGGAAATCGATGCAGACGAGAGCCGAGCGGGGGACTGTTGAGATGGACGAAGAGGGTGCGCTCGAGTCAGGCGTTGAGCAAAGGGAAATCGATGGAGACGAGAGCCGAGCGGGGGACTGTTGAGATGGACGACGAGGTTGCGCTCGAGTCGGGCGGTGGGGATGCGATGATTTGATCGCTTTATTGTCGGATGTGATTTATGGCCGATTTGGGGATGCCGGTGAACTTGGGCCAGATGAGGAGTGATGGCGGATCGAGCCAGGTCGTTGGGGAGCGGAATATACCTTTTTGACCACGTCCCTCTCAACGCCAGTTCGGTTGATGCGCCCTGCACTATGCCCCTCTGCCTGCGCTGGCCCGTCGGGGAAAAGCAAGAGGGTGGGATCTGCATGAGAATAGATTCGATCCCCCTTTCATGCTGTATAGTAGGGCGACTTGGCGAGTTCAGTGCAGTGGTAGATGGTAGACATTGGTTCGTTCACAAATCATCATTTGCAGAAGGCAGACAATGTGCAAAAGCCTTAGAATGGATCTTCTCTTCAGCGCATGTATGTATTAAATTACGGAGAACTGTAGGTATGCAGTATACACGCATCAGCCTGAGTGTGTGGTTGCGAGGGTCTAAGATAGGATGGGTGGGAGTGGAGTGCACAGGACGGGAGCAGGTGTGGGTCTCAACCCTCCTGGGGCGGCTGTACATATACGGAGGCGGTGTGTTGTGTTGACGTGCGGGGTTGGCTGGTATCGCAGCGAGGGATCGTTGGGAAGGCGAGGCACATACGATTCGCGTTGCGTACACATGTCGGTCGCAAAGACGGCGGGGCGTGGTGTTGGATTCCGCGCAACGCGGCCCGGGCATCGTCTGGTGCGGTTGATGTGGATGTTTCCCATTTTCAGGATCGAGCGGCAATAGATATCTGCGCCTCGTCGCCGGGCCATTGCATCAACATCGCTTCCTTATTCCCTGTTCGACTGCTGTTCCACGCGCGTTGGAGGTGGCGCCCGATGCTCCGATTGAGCCCTCCGGGCCTTTCACCATCAATTCCTGATTCGCAGCCGACGTCCGTACGTAGGTTGGGGCACCGCTCTCATGGGAAATGCTGCTCTACATTGCACTGTTGCGAGTCCAACCAGACGGTCAGACAATACGCAGCACAGCATGCAGCGATCCTCACCGCCCAGTCCGCACCGCCTCAACATCCCCACCTTGCTTGACATGTCCCTCCGCGTCCGTACAAGCTTCCCCAACTTTCTCATCTCTCCTTGCTACCTCCAACACCGCCGGTGACGACGATGGTGATGATGATGGCGGTACACGTTCCTCCAACTCCGCCTGGCGGTCAAGCGTAAACGGCGATGACGCCGGGGAAATCGTGTCGGGCGCCGTGGGCGGAGACGGGTACGGGTTCGCGACGGGTGGTGGGTGCGTCAAGCCCAGCTGCATCGTTGTGCGAGGTGGAAGTGATGGTGATATTGATGGAGTGCGCGCGGGACTCGGTGATAACGGTGTCATCGATGCAGGACTTGGTATAACATCGACGGCAGGTGCGTCGGAACTCGCGATATCTTCCACAGCATCATATATCGCGAGTTCAAAGTCTGCCCATCGTTCGGCCTCTGAATTAGCAGTTCCGGTGGCCGCGGCCGTTTTCCGAAGTTCTTGGAGGAGAGCGACGTGGTGCTGCCACACGTGTGGTGTGACCGCCTTCCTGCAGTCTGCCATCAAGGGTGCGAATGCCGACAGCGTTGCGCCCGATGAATGTGTCACGCTGTCTGTTGCCGATGATGCAGAGGGGACAGAAGGCGGTGAAACGAGACCATTCGTAACCAACTGGCGGTAGTAAGCCATCGCGGCGGTCCACAACTGTCTCGCGCAACAAGCTTTAACGGCAATCAAGTAACTATGTTGATTCGGCATCGCGGCGTCCTCCCGCATCAGCGCGACACAATAATCGAAGACCTCTGCAACGTCGTTGGCTGTGCGGACGGTCCGCAGAGCGAGAGCGGCATTGAGCATCTGATTGTGCGCGTACGTGGAGAATCTGTATCCCGCGGCGCGCAGACGGGTGATGAGCGTCTCAGCGATGTGGAGGGATGTAGTGGGATCGTCGAGGTGGGCGGCCGTGAAGATGAGCTGACTGAGGAAAGGCATATCGAGTTTGATGTTCTGCGCTTCGATGTCGTCCAGGAGTGTTTGGATGTGGGTTGCGGCACTGTTGGCAGGCATCCTTGGCGGGACTGGGGAGGAGATAGTAGCGGATGATGATGACGATGCCGCCTGCGGCTGATTAGCATGTGCGACAGCGTAAAGATAGCTTTGACAGACCCGCACGTCGATATCGATGCCACTCTGTGCCATTTCCTCCCATAATGAGCGCACGAGGGCAAAATCATGTCTGCACAAGTAGATGAGCTGGGTATAAGCGGCCACGTCCGGCTGGAGTCCCAGGTCCTTGAGGTCGTAAAACGCCTTGACGGCAGAGTCGGGGTCCCCGTTCCGCGCAAACGCCGCTAAGAACGCCCCGAGGAGGTATGGATCCTTTACGAACGCGTCTCCATGCCATTTGACCTTGCGCATCTGCTCCACTACCTGAGTTGCGGATTTAAAGTCGTTGCGGGCAAGGTATCCGTTGATAACCTTCGTCAGCAGGTATCGGTTCGGTGTCAGATCGTTACATGTCATGAGTTGGAGGATGTATTCGGCCGCTACGGTGTCTCCGGCCGCTAGATAACCCTGCGCGAGCGATCCGTAAATGCCTGCGTCCGGTTTGACATTGTGCCGTGCCATGTCTTCGAAAACCAGCCGAGCCTCAACCACAAGTCGATGCTTAACAAAATAGTTGATGACTACGCTGAAGAAGATGACGTCCGGTTTCAAATCCACCTCGAGACTGCGCACATAAAATGTCTGGTTGAAGACTTGGTAGACGAGAGGATCGAATCTCCCTGCCTCGCGCAACGACGCTTGCAAAAGGATCGTAATCGTCGCTATGGTGGGTTTCAAACCCCGTCGCTTCTGTTCCTTTATACAATTCCTCCGGTTTTCTGGGTCCGACCGTACGGAACTCAACAGAGAGCCAAAATCCCGGCTATCCGGAGTTAAGCCTCGCCGTCGCATATCGGCAAATATGCGGACTGCCCCGTCTGCTGAACGCGCACGTGATGCGCATATAAGAAGCTGAGAGTAGGCCGAAGGCGAGAGAAGCTCATCGTGTCCATGCATCAAAAGCGTCTCGTAGAGCAGAAGCGCACCCTTGAAATCTTTCCGCCTCTTATGGTATTGAAAGAGAATTGCTGCCGTTTCCGGATGCGCGGCGAATACGCCCGTCTCCAACATGTGCAAGACGAGTCTGTCCAGCTCGCCCAGTCGCGTATCCTTCCACAATGCGTAGTATATCGCGACCCATGTGGGCAGTGAGGGTTCCCCAAACCCTTTTCGCCCCAGTTTCTCCATGACCCTGAATATGTCTTCTATAGGCCTCCGCAGCCCGGTGACATATACGAGCAACATATGAAAACATCCTTCATACGGTGTAAACTCCACTCGACGCATAAATAAAAGCACCTTGTAGATCCGCCGCGCCGCCATTGCCGGGTTGGGATGCTCTCGTAGTAAGGCTATCAGTCCCACTAGGGTATTCCATTGCCGTTGCCGTACAGCTACTTCCATAGAGCGCCCAGCCGGACTCGAATTTCCATCACCCTGCATTCCGGTCGATTGTGATGCTGTGCGAAACTCTGAGGCTATCCGTCCAAACAACTTCCAGGCATGGCGCTCCGACGGGTTTTTTTGTCTCAAATATAGCGCAAGAGCAGTCCAAGCGTCCGGCAAGTTAGCGCCGGTTACGGTTGCCGCATGCTCGACAAGAATCGGTTTCGAGTCAGAACGACGCCCTTTCGCCTCCGATCTAAGCGTTCGCGCTTCCGAGGCTGGTAAGGCATTCGGTCTCGGCAAGTCATGAAAGTGTCGATGCTGCAAACATGTCGGGGACTGCTCACTGCGAGGCCGGGTCCTCCGAGATCGCCCGCACTCAGCAGATTTCCCGGATGCTAAGATTCCCTTCTGCAGCAGCCTCCGCTCCCGCTCAACGACCCCAGCGTTGTTGTACGCCGACGACCACATTTCACGCAATCGCAAACATTGCTCGCCCATGATGGCGACGCGACCCGAGCGGGTGAGGTAAGGGTATCTGCGACGGATGGAAGGACACAAAGAAAAACAAGAGTTGGCGGAAAAAATTTTACGGACGCTGTCGAACGTCGCTATAGGCAGCAAGCGGTAGTAAGGCGCCGCGAAGCTCATGAAGGGGTGCGAAGGACCGCCGACAGTATGCCCGTCCTGCCGGCGCCCTTAGCGTCGAGTGGCGTGGGTCGACGGAGGATACGGATTTGGCCGCTGCGCGTGAGATGTGGGACGGATTTGAGCGAGAACTGAGCGTGCATCAATGAAGAGACTACTCGAGAGACAACAGGTAGCCCGGTGATGCCATAGGCGAGCGGGACCAAAAATGGACCGTATCGGCAGGATGTGGCCGATCTGACGGCCGATGTTTCGTAGTAGAACCCCGTGTCAACTAGAGTGCGTCGACTGACTCGTGCCGGTTGTAGCAAGGCAAGTTCTTTCGAGGGTAGGTGATCCGAATCGCTGCCCAAGATGTCGAGTGGAAAAAAGTGCGTGGGAAAAAGGCCAGTCCACGAAAAACGAGCTTATTTTTTTGTCCGCATGCGAAGGGCCTACTTGTCGGAAGAAAGGGACTGCACCAGGACAGACGACCTTTCCCAATATAGCACGCCGCTGTCCTTCGCTGAAGGGGTTAGCGATCCTCCTGCGTCTAGCTGCCTACCTACTGCTAGCTTCTGCTGCGTGATGCCTGTGCTTTCTCCGACGACCTGCACTGAGAAAGCCCAGCAAGCGACCGAAGATTCAAGTCCCGCGCCCACGTGACTCTCATTTAAACAGCTGTTCTGCTAAAACTGTTGACGCCACTGTCGAAGTTTTGTCGATATCTGGGGTCCGTCATGAGGAACGGGAGAGGAGTGACAACGAGCCGAAGTCTGATCCCAGATACTGAGAGCCCAACAAAGCACAGATTTGGGACCCGCTAGTGGTATGAGCATATGCGGGGATGGTGACCGCAATGCAAAACAACATCGACGACGAAGTATGGTAGTACCCGCGACCATGTGCTTATTCGAAGAGTCAAGAATGCCATAAGTAATCACCGAGGATAAAGTGAAGAGTACGATAGCATTGACCCACAAATCTGGTTGAATATGCCTGTACAGAAACGCCATAAATCCCTGCTTCCCCGCCTCCAATTCCATATCGAGCGCCAGACCCGCATCGTCCATTGACCTCCCCATTCGCACCCCTCCTCTCCCTCCAAACCGCCTCCTCAACCATGCCAACCCCGTACGCCTCCCTAGCTGGATAAGCGGGCGCGGCACATTCTTCTTGCTCGGTTGGTCCCATTCCATAGCGGCCGTGTCATCATCGTGATGAAATCATACCCATCCTCACCCGGGATCCTTGTAGTGCAAGCTTGATGCCATTTTCTCCAGGTACGCTTCTGTCGAGGTGGAGTTCAAAAGGTGGGCGGCGAAGCTCTCCGGTGATTCCAATAATCTGTCGGAATCATTATTGTCGCAAACAAGCTTGCAGGGATTGTCGGAATAATTGGCTTTGAGAGTGCTTCGTCACATCAAACTTGTATGTCTGTATAGCTGCTCCTGCAGTTGGCCGTAGGGTACTTGTATCTTCTTTCTCCTTGTGTGAACCAAGTGCAGGCGGCAAAGAGTGTAAAGTTCGGAGTACGACATGGGACAGGTCTCGCGGCGGAATACCTGAAAAACAATTCTATGCGTCTCCAACTCGCTTTCGCAAATGAATACTTTTCGTCCTTTGCGTCGGGGTGATTGATTTCCATGTGTTCTTGCAGTTGGCCCTTGGACACCAAACTTTGCGTCTGTATTCCTTTCAAGTGCTGATTGACGCATCTCCGGAAATTTCGACTCCCCAGGCCACAGCCAGACGGTGGAGGCCCTGAAAACGGTCTCTCGTAGGAATACTCGAACATGACTTTCGAGTGCTTATTCACATCGCTTTCAGAGCTGAGTAGGCATTTCACCGGGTATGGGTATGTGTGCGGCATGGTGCAGATCCCTGATGTTGCTAGGATGTTCGGAGCTTCGGAGCTTTGGATGCGTAAGAATATGGTGCGTTTTCTGTCATGCCCGGTTTCAGAGACCCGCCAAATTCTGATCGCCTTGCCACAGTTGGGGAGTTGGGCATGGGAATGATCTCTCGTCCGATGTCTCCCCATCAGTGCATATTTACGGGCTTTTGACAGTCTTAAAGGTCCCTGCGGCCTGCCAGGTAGACCTTCGAAATGGTGTCGAAGTCTTTCTCGCTGGTACTACTGACAACTGATGTTCGGATCCGTTTGGAGAGCTTCGAACGACACCTTTGTGCAGTCTCCAGAAGCCCTACCGGTCTCTGGCAAGCCAGGCAAGCAGATCTCGAGACTCTCATCTTATCATACCTCACGTGGCGGCGTTATTCTTAGGTAAACGTAAAGCGCTAGGTTTCTACCGCAGACGTGTTGGCTTGTATTCGTCCATGTATTTCATACATTCGACGTTCTTTTGCTGAATGTCTAGGCAAAGCATGTGTATCCATCAGTTTGTCAGTTGCCGGATCGATACCTTCAGTATTACCTTTCCGTTGGGGCGTCTCCAGGAGGGCGGGATGTCTGGGCAAAGCAAGTGTTTCCATTGGTCGGGTAGCACCTCGCCTGAAATCCTCACTTTCAGGTCTGCAGTATGCACGGATACCGATAAAGTGGGTGCGTGAGGGAGAGGATAACCTCGCGCTCGTCTCCTCGCGTTTTACTTCTGCTCCGTCGTTTGTGCTGCCGTGCCGTCTGGGATGGAGTGCGTCATTTCGAGTGCACTTCATATGGGTTTGACTTGACATGAATGGTACGCTGCCGGTGGGATTTTGCGTCGTTTGTGAGATCTTTTGAATTCCCGGATCAACCAGGGCAAGTGTAGCTATCAGCAGTCCTGCCTAATATCCAAGCATCTCTCACTTCAGCGGCATTTCTTCCTACTCCGCGTAGGACGATTGGTCCTCCTAACGAGCAATAGCTCCTATTTTTTTCAGCTATCGAAACGCCCGAATCTGGTATTTTCAAATCTCCTGAGACATGGCTCGCAACCTTTCGGTGACACCGGAGCTTCGTGACGGCCCAGTAAACGGGTTATGTTGCCGCAATCTCCTGAGCCGACGCTATTTCCTCCTATGCTGCTATAATATGTGTGTGAACCCAATGCCGTCGACGACGCGCCACTTCTAAAATCCACCGGCGAGATTCTCCCATTGAAAATGTAATCGTCGTCCGTTTGAGCCCCTCGGACTTAAGTCCAAGCACAAGGGGGTCCGACCGACATGACGGGTTTCCAGAGCATCATGGGGCTGGAGGACCGAGTCGCGTGGCTGACTGGACGCACACAACGTTCCGAAATCTTCGGCGTGGGGTCTGATGGGGGCTGTTCGACGCTTGAAAAGAGTACGTCGCTGCGTGAGTGGCACATTCGTGGGCAATGCTGTGTCTTCTACTAATATGCAGAAAGTCACTGACAGATCTTGATGGCCATCGTCTGAAAGCGTCTCGGGCTCTCAGGGACCTCATTTCGGAACCAGGGCTACGTGGCTTAGACCTTACGTCATGCAATCATGGCTGAGGTCTCCCCGGCTGTCAGTCACGTTGTGTTCCTTCCTTCCATCGGCTCCGTTCTTCTCGGGAGCCAACCTTCGGTCAACGCAGGATGGCTCGACGGTGACTCGACCAACATGGATTCTCTCCGTGGATCAGACTCATCAGAGCCCTCATCACTGCCATGAAAACGAGACATTGGATGTGCCCCCATATCGCATCGTTGTGTTGATGTATGAATTTGAAGTCTCGTGATGTGCTGGCCAATAAGGAAAGAACGATGATGTCGGTGTGGAGCAAATCCTCCATACGACCGACGACTGACATCCGACTCCGTTGAGACCCGAATTCCGAGAGCCGAGGTCCAGTCCATGTTAGTACGAATTCCGCGATGCGTGAATGCCATTACGCAAGGCAAGTCATGGGGCCGCACATACGCACAGCATACCACTGTATAGTATATACTGTATGAATGAGGCCTCGGGAATGCATTCACGGGTGACGTTGTGTCTCCCACTTGCGAGATGCAGTCCGGTATTTCCTTGGCAAAGGACTACTCCAAAGACGGCCATGTTGGGTTTTTTCTGCTTTCTCAAGGAGCCTCCGCGGATATGGGTCGAAGCACTGCGCTTGGAGAGAAGCGTAAGGAACGTTGGTCGGATGGGTGGGTGAGCGAGCCTGCGAGGCGAGGGGGTCCTCCATTGGATAGTGTGTGGATGTGGAGGGGGACGCGTCGGAAGGGCTTGCAGGTGACGTCATGCGCAATGACGTGTCCCTCCCTCCCTCCCGTCACGCTCCTATTGCGAATTGAATTGAGAGTGGAGACAGGCGCTCGCAGCAGCAGCACGCAACCAACCAACGCAATTACGTCGCTTCGTGGAAGGGCTCGTCTCAGCTGGTCTCCCTTCCCCACTCTTGCGGCATTACGTGGCAGGGTCTGACATCTCACGGACAGGCCCTCGGAGGGTCGGCTCAGTCCCACTCCCAGATCCCCCTCCCCCGGATATAAAAGCAACGACCCTCCTCGGCTTCCGCTCCACTTCTCCTCATCAAACGCAACACAACAACACAACACAACACTCTCAAACCCCCCACCAAACCGAACCCAAAATCAAAATGTCTGCTCCATCCAAGACCCACGGAAACATCCAGGCCGCTACCGGCGCCGTCAAGGAAACCATCGGTGCTACCGTCGGAAACCAGTCTCTCCGCGCTGAGGGTGCTGCCCAGCGTGCGTCCGGAAACGCCGAAGTGGAAGGAGTCAAGGTTCGTGAAGATTCTAGTTCTCTCTCGGAAAGCACTGCGAACATCCTTCTCACATCGTTCCCCCTCTTTTCATCATCACAGGCCAAGAACTACGCCTCTGGAGCCGTTGACGGTGCCGTCGGTAACATCAAGAAGAACGTCGGCGACGCCGTCGGAAACCAGTCCCTCCACGCCAGGGGAGCCGGTCAGGAAGCTCACGGTGACGCCCAGAAGGCTTTGAACAAGTAAATGTTCAACGCTTAGTCGCCCAAAATACCACCCCACATCACATAGTCTTTTTGTGAAGCGCTGCTCTTCAACTTTTGGTTTTACACCCACCCGACTTGTATAAAATTTATCAACATGGCTTTTTGAGATCCTGAACGAAACAACACCTGTGCAGTGTCCTCTGTGTGCTTTAGTCTGCATGTGTGCTGTGCGAACTCGGCTTTGCGGAGAGTCTCTTCCCTCTGGACCCGTCTGTGATGTGAACTTGAGCAGTTGAACAGGCTCCTCCTTTCTTCTCCACGCGTTTCGCGTCCCGAAGTTGGAACATTGTCCATGTCCACCTACTAATTGTCCCCCGGTCGAGTGTCAACAACAACTGTGCGACGGAGAGGGTACCACTGCGTGTGTCGTTGACGAGCCTTGTGAAGCTACGTCGTCCTCTCAAGGGAAAGCGAGTCGGAAAACATACCGTGGACATCTTCCCAGCCCAGCATGCCACGTTCGCAATCACATTCCCCCACGACGAGCTCACGCGCCGGCGCCAACGATCGGCAGGATCCGGACAACGGAAGCCGGGTCCAAGAGGAGCATATAGCACGACAGCAGCAACAACAGCGGCAGGGAGGGAACACGAGCGGCCGATCGCGAAACGATGACCAGGACGAGGATAGTGATCACGAAGAGTCGCATCACCAAGGCGGCGAAGTATCCGAACTCCTACTAGGAGAAGAAGGCGACCTTGAAATTGAAGAAGAAGAGGAACCGTTCCTCGACGAAGCCTCCCTCGACGACGGACGCGTGACAATGTCCATGCCTATCCCCTCCCCCTCCTGGGACCGAGTCGTCGAGCCCGTATCGGAAGATCAGCACTCCGCCGCTGCGGAGTTGGTGGAGAAGGTTGCGGCCATTGGAATGCTGGAGGAGGAGGGCAAAGGTTCCCAAGGCTCGGATGTGAAAGGGAAGATGGAGAAACCGAAGAAGACGGCACTCTCGCAGTCGTCGGCGGGGAAGATGTTGAAGGCGAGGAGCGTGAGTATGGGTGTTATTGGGAAAGGTGCGTGTATCCATCCGTCTTCACAAACGCTGTAATGGAGTGATTATCTTAACTGGGTTCTAACATTTGTTGGGATTTCGATACAGACAAGGCATCAAATGCACCCCCGACCCGCTCAATCTCGTCCCGTAACGTCGTCTCATCATCCCACCAAAATCTGCCACCCTCCAACTCCACTACAACCCTCCTCCAACAAAGTAAACCTCGCTCTGCGTCTACGCGCAATACCGCAACCAGCAAACGCGTCCCAAGCCTCTCCAAAGAACTCAGCGGCCGGTCATCGCGCAACCCGTCCCCGCCGCGCCCGGCCGCCAAATCCCGGCCCGAGACGTTCGATGTTGGGAATGGGGAGGGTGATGATCCGGTGCTGATGGATATGGACCCGGATGCTAATGGATTTGCGGAGTCGGTTGATAAGTGGACGGGGTTGATGCGGAGAGCTATTGTGGTATGTTGGCGGGTGTCATCCAGCTCGAAAGCGACCCTGTGGGACGGCAACTGACATCACATCCTATCTTCATAGGCAGACTTCATGACCGCCAAATCGCAAATGCTCCGCCGCCAAACCCAGCTTATCAACCAAGCCAAAGCCGAGATCGCCGACCATCTCGCCGATGTCGAAAACAGGCTCAAGACCGCCGAGGCCTATATCGTCACCTGTGAGGCGAAAGCGGTCCGGTGCGAGAATCTGATGGACGTTTCTTTGGGGTATCTTTCCAAGAAGGTAATCTGAAGTTAAATCTTTGTAAGGATATCACATCCTCGATTTCTCACCCGCTTCCAATACCTTTAGCGCCTAATCTCGCAAACAGGCCTATTCTTTGCACGCTGGCGCCTGAAATACGCGGAAGAGCGGCGGTCGCGGATGGTCATGCGGCTCGCTGTGCAGCACCATCGAAGAGCGGTTGCGAGGAAGTTGTTGTTGGGGTGGAAGGAGATTGCGGGGACGACGTGGCGGAGGACTGTTGAGAGGAGGGTTAAGGTATGTTACCAGGATTTTGAGGAGTCTGAGAATGGGAATAAAGAGTCTTTGAGCGATGGATATTGATTGACTCGGTGTTGTTTGTAGATGGAAGCGGAGAAAGCAATGGAATCGCTCGCTGGCGAGTACGATAAGCGGATCGCACACGTAAGTCCCTCCCGTACTCTTGCTCTCCCACATTCCAGATCTCTCACACCCCCATCTCCCCATCAGCTGGAACGCAACCTCACAGAAGTCAACAGCCGCCTGGCTATCTCCGAATCGGCGCGCGCGGTGCAGGAAGAAGAGATGAAGAAGGCGTTCATGAGGGGTGTTTGTGCGCTTAATATGGAGGCTATGAGTATGTTTAGGCATCCCGACGGGGGGGAGGGGGATACTTTTCTTGCCAATGCGAAGGGGCAGGGGAAGAATCTTGATGGTGGTACTGGAGCAAGTTATCCACCAGCCCCACCACCCCCGCAAAATACATGGGAGGCGCAACAACTGCCCCCACCCGCACACTCACGACCAACGACTGCCCCCCACCCACCGACCACAACCCGCGAACGACAACATACAAACACGACCGCGGAGGACTTGACCCCGCAACCGCACCCTTTCCGCCAACCGCACCCTTCCGCCTCCCTCTCCACCACCAATAACACCAACACCCTCCCAACACACCACCAATACCAATCCGTAGCCCGCTCCGCTAAACAACTCATGACCTCCTTCGCGCACCCGCCTCCCCTTCCCCACCACCAACAATATACGGTATCACAACAACAACAACAACAACAGCAGCAGCAGCAGCCGCAACGACAGGAACGCAAAGAAACGGCAAGGGGATCGGCGTTCGTCACCCGTCACCCGTTTTACGATCCGGTTGCAAGGGCTGGCGCGGGTGCGGGTGCGGCTGGAGCCGGGGGAGCGTTTGGGTTGGGGAGGGTTCAGAGATGAATGGTGGGGCACTCTTTGTGGGAGGGGTAAGGAGGGGGAACGATATCTGATTCGGAAAACGGGTCGGCTGCCCATGGTTTGATGGGTCTAATCTTTCTTGGAGTGAATAACGATCATGTACAGATGGCAGTGGGCCCAGGTTTGGCCACAGGAGGGTGATACGGAAACGGCTGGTGCCGCACGGGAAATGGGTTGAGGGGTGTATATTTTTTTGGAATGAATAACGAGCATACAAATGGAGTGCTTTGCAAGCGAAGCCTGTTTCACGCAAAGGGGAAAAATCCCACTGTTTGAACGGAAGTGCTTTGCCGCATGATCTTCGATGCGGTGGACGCAGATTGGAAGGGTCATGGGAAGTGGGCGGGTGCAGGCCTTTGGGTTCGGTGCGTACATTGGGGATGGAGGGAGGTCTGAGTGTTCACGGGTCGGGTGGGAGAGGGCGACCCGTCTGATTCCGCCGTCGTCCAGCTGGATGCGCGCGGGGCCTGGGGCTACGGAACAAGATTGGTCGCCGGGGGGTGAATGCCCACCCTGGGACCATGATTCGATCGTCCACCTCGTCCATGGTGCTTTCTGAACAAAACGTGTGATCGCATAGATCTGTGCTTGGGGCTGCAAAAAGGCGCCAATGGCTCCGATGGATTCCACCTCGTCAGTGATCTTGTAGGCCCGCGAAACTGGCGCTTGAGGAACAGTCGAGGACCGTCGCCCAACTGGATGTGCGAAGGCGCGTCCAGACGTCGCGGATCACGGCGCAGATGGAAGGCGTCCCCATGCAGATCCGCCCGCATAGGGGCGGAGCCAATTTCTTCCGCACACAACGTGGTCTTGCTAAATGCCACGAATGCTCGTTAGTATATTGGGATGGTTGCCTTCGGGTTTCCAGCCGGGCGGCACGGACCAGATGTCCGAGTAGCCTCAAGACGACGTTTTTGTGCTCTTCTTGTTACTCTTGCAGATGACAGATGCTCGCTCTCCGTTTGATGTTCTCCGGAGAACCACCCGAAAGCCTGCGACGAAACTGGAGAGTTCGCTCCTCTTCTTGCGTAGATATTCGTTACCTCCGCGGCCGGGCTCTTGTGGATGGCTGTCCTGCGCCGTTCAATTAAGGGTTTGTTGAGGGCTGCCTGACCCTCAATAAAGCACGTTGTGTGCTGCTCGAGTGGTCGGATGTTAGTGGAGCGGAGTGTTGGCTTTTTTGCTTTGCTAATCACGAAATGACAGTTTTTGTACGATTCACACGCCGAATTACTGACAGGATAAATGACGACAAGATCACTTTTTCCCTCTTTTGAAGCAGGAAGCGTGCCGCAAGAGATGTGACATTGAGCGAGTGATGTACGCATTACAACGTAAGCTCTATACTCCCCGGGTCTATGCTCTTTGCATTGTTGCTGATATTCCAGATAGCGGCCGCCCACATAAACTCTCGAAACCGGCCAGTCATGAATCCGTAACGGATGTCGCCACTTTTGAGGGCATGGCGTTCGATGCAGTGAGGACTCAGGAGGAAGTTCTTACGAAATGAGTTCCTCAAAGTCATGCATTAGACGCTTGAGAGGCTTGCACCTGGCCGTGTCTTACACAGTGTATCACAGACGACGTAGGGAATCCGTATTCGCGTATTCCTTCCGTGATACAGTATGTCCCCCAGACGATTGGGATGGGACATGGTACCTGAGAGGAAAGGTTGTATCGTATCACATATACCACCTCGAATCATATGGGTCGCGGTTGACAAGCACATGCCCGGGGGTCTATCACTCCTTTGCGGTAACCCGGGTTATGCCCTCGCCCGCCAAAGGGCATGGATAGAATCATTGTTCAATGCACATCGTACAGAATCCGTCCTTGCCTATGGATCCCCCCCTTGCGAAAACGGGGTGCCTTCGCAGTTACTGTAAGGCGTTGCGGCATGTTGCGACGCGTTTCTCTGCGGGTCGGGAGGCATGTCACGCCAATGAGGAAGTTGAAGGGCGCAATTGCAGGCCGCACAAGGCAACATACTTTGGAAGGCCTCTGAGCAAAGAATACCGTTGCCTTTGAAGAGATGGCAGTTCCTTCTGCGGCAGTCCTTCGGCTCTTCCGCGGCAGTCCTTCGGCACTAAATCTTGAAACCCGCCTCTCATTTGACGCCTCTCACCCACCACCCTCCGCCCTCCGCTCCGCCAGTTTCACCCATCCCCCCATCTCATTCGACCGCGCCTCCTTCACCGGCCCCTCCTTCTCCCCCGAAGAGTTTCTCGGAGACCGGCGACATATAGCCCTCGATGAGCTGAAAAAGGAGTTACAGCAGTCGTTGCGGGATCTGAAGACCGAGTTGGTGGAACTCATTAACTTGGACTATGCGGACTTTATTGACTTGTCGACGAAGCTGGTGGGCGTGGATGAGATGATTTCGGGGCTGGGGGGGCCCTTGGAGAAGATTGAGGGGAGTGTGCAGGTACCGTTTTCAGTTCATGGCGTTGCATGCGTCGGGAACTCAGAGGATGACGCGCGTGAGAAGATGATCTCTGACTTATGACATTACGCAGGCAGTCAGGGATGCTTTGAACGATGGGATATCACAGCTGGAGGAGGAGTTGGAGAACAGAGCTGAGTTGAGGGAAAAGAAGGTCTGCATCTGTGGCGGGTTTCTCGAGCACGGTCTATGAACGAGTTTGCTCGCGATGTCAGTCTTACACTCGTTTCAAGTAGGTCTACCTCCAACTATTCGTCAACATTCATGAATCGCTGGAGAAGCTGGATGGCCTGTTAAAGATGTCAAACGAGGGGCATCCTCGAGACGGCGATGGCAATGAAGAGGCGCTGGCGGAAGGAAAGCTGATCGAACGTGTTGCAAACGAGTACACGCAGCTGCGGTATCTGATATCGCGGGCGAGCAAGACTCCTTTTGTGCAGAAGATTGATAAGGTTTGCTTTCATGGCCCTTCGAATGCAACAAAGCTGAGCGATGCTGATATCTACTTCACGTCGCATCAGCGTGTAGCGCACATCAAAGACACGCTCACTCAAAGTCTCTCAAGATCGCTCAAGCTCTCGTACGAGCGAGTCATGTCCCCCAACAGCACAGCCGTCGCGGAAAACGACCTCTCCCAAATCCTCCGCACATACGTCTCAGTCGACCGAGCAGACGAAGCCGAGCAGATCTTTAGCGAATCCGTCATGGCCCCATTCCTTGACAAAGTTGTCAACAGGCAAAATCTCGTCCTTGAGACGCGGACCGGTGCCACGCCCAAGACGGATATTGCGTCGGCGAGGAACCCGCTGGAGAATATGTATGACGCGATCTTGGCGTTTGTGGCGAAGGATTGTGCGAAAGTTGTCGCAGTCACGACGAAGGCGTTTCATGGGACGAAAGCGAATCTGCATGTGGACAGCATCTGGGTTGCTGTCGCGACGGCGATTATGAAGAAGATTCCCTTTATTTTCAATCCGGGAATTCCGGAGGTGTTCCATAAGGTGTGTGAGGGTTCCCTTGCGAGGGAATAACGCACCATGCTCAACCGTTCATCCCGCCATCACAGAACTACAGCTGTACCATTCACTTCGTATCGGAGATGGAATCCCTCTGCAAAACATCTGACGTCCTGGGCCGATTCCGCGCCCATTCAATCACCTCAGACTTCCTGAAGCGGTGGCAACTGCCGGTATACTTCCAAATCCGGTTTCGCGAAATCGCCACAGATTTCGAGGACGCGACCACGGCCACGGACGACCTCAATGCTAACGTCAACGTTTCAGAAGGCCTGATCATGACACCCAGCAGTGCCTTGATGATATGCATCAACCTCTGCTGGGACCCATCCGTCTACCTACCTGGACTAGCGCATCGATTTTGGAAACTGACGTTGCAATTGGTTGCACGTTACGTTATTTGGGTCAAGGAAACGCTTCAGCTCGATATTAGTGCAAATCCGGTTGAAGCGCCGGATGTGGCCACTTCACCGACGCCTGGTGGTCGGGTATCGACGAGCACTGCTTTCCCTGCCGAACAGCAGAGTTTGAAAACATACATGTACTTTTATAATGATTTGAGGAATATCATCTCGCAGGTATGCGTGTACAATGAAGCCCGTTACAATCATTACCCCTCCTCACTTATTTGCTCTTGCTCCTAGGTTGCAAACACTTTCAATGACGTGATCCGCACAAGAATACCGGGAGGAAGTCGGACGGAGCAGGTCCTGCAAGGTAGGAATTTGGCATGTGCATCTACTTTTCCTCCCGAAGTTCCAACTAATCACGATATTCTTCTTATACAGACTCGTTACGAGAATCATTATCACCACTGCAGGACATGCTACCGCTTCTGACGCAACGAGTATGCCAAGTGCTGGTCCAACGCTGCTTTGAGCCTCTGTATGATAACGTACAAGCCATTACCCGGCAGTATCGCGCTACCAACAAGGAGGTGTGTATAGGACTGACGTGCGCGTTCATGAAGGGTACACTATTGGTTGTGTTGAACTCGAAGTTTACAGCCGCCAAGCAAAGCCTCGTACTTCATCCCGACAATCTTTACGCCGATGTTGGCGTTTTTCGAGGAAAATGGGAACCTGGCAAACTCGGTCGCCACGTCGGAGTGGACGGCAAATGTCGTCGATAACGTTACATCGAAGTGAGCTGAGTGTTGCCTTCTTGGGGCACGCCTCCCGTAAACTGCCATTCGATGTCCCTGACCAAACTCTACCGCATCTTCTCCCACCACAGATACGCCGCAACCCTCGCCAAGCTCGTTTCTGACAACAAATGGTTCGAAGATTACAACCGCCGCATGAAAAAATCCAGCCGGCTGCGGCCCACAACCGCCGCGGGCGAAAACGCCATGAGCGACGGTGACAAGATCCGGTTGCAGTTGTACTTGGACGTCGAGCAGTATATCACGGAGGTGAGGACCTTAGCAAAGCTCTTACTAATCTGTTTTGGCGTGTGGTGTTGCGGGAAGTTTGCGAGATCCGAGGAGATTCGTGTCTCATGCCATAGTCTGTGCAGATACAAGGTCTTGGCGTTAATCCCGCGACGTTGGAATCGGGCCGGGAGTTGCGGCAGATTACAGATCCTTTTGCAGAGGTGCGTGCCAAAACAGTCACATATAGCCGGTCCGGAACAGCGCTGCGCATGGCTAACGAACAAAGTCACATTGCATTCTAGTTATTGAAAAAGTGATGCCCAAGTGTTTATGAACGCTCTATGTAGTCTGTAGGTTGGCATGTAATTGTAGCTCGAGGATAAGGCTTGCGCATCTCCCGCAATGTACGGGGTGCATACAACGTATGTCGTAACTTCGAAGCGCTAGCGGAACACAGGCATGCCATCACGATGCGTGCGCTGTTCGCTTCCGGAGTGTGCAGCCTGTGCATACATTCATTTACAGACTTCGTTTCGCACAAGGAGTAGACCCATCTGAATGATTTTGGGCACTGCACAGACTTGTCTTCGGACTGGCCCAGCATTATAAGGGAGGATTCGATCCGAAAAAGTCCGATGCTTTATGATTGATTCATGTCATCTCCGATGAGACGTTCTTTATCGAATTCTTTAAGCTTATTCGTCTTTATGTGGTCCATTGCATTCACAGTGAGTTGAGCAATTCCTGGTATGAACTATACTGTACTAGATGCCGCTCATGTCAATGATATGTTCGGTCGGCCATAGAAAGAGGAGATTGGCCGTAGGCGCTTCCCGGACAGTCGAGGGCCTCGGGCCACGGGACAGAATTTGTGGGAGGGTGAAGACCCATCCTGGAGGCGGTGGTGGTACAATTGGGCGGTGGTCCTCCCAGATGCCACCGAATGCTGCTTCGTAAATTGGGATGAAGCCGTTGGGCTTCCAGCCGGCGACACGCACCAGATTGCTGTCCGAGTAACACGACGCTATCACCGGCAGGCTCTCCCACAACACCCTTTTTGTGCTCTTCTTGTTACTCTTGCGGAGGGCAGATGCTCGCCTAGTGACCGTATGGACTTGTGATCCAGTTGTTGTAGCTAGCTCGTGCTTGTAGTAGACTTGTAACGGTCTGGGATCGGGCAAGACACTCGTTCGGCGAGCCTTCGTCCAATAGCGTCGATAACGGGCTTGATTCGATTAATCATTTGGTGCTCTTCTGAAAACCGCCCGAAGCTTGCGACGAAACTCAAGGATACGCTCCTCTTGCTCGCGTAGATGCTCATTCATTTCCCAGCCGACGACGTAAACATGGCTGTGCTACAGCGCGGCGAATGCGAATGCGTGTGAATGATACGAGAATGAGCCGGTTGCATGCCGGTTTGCAACTGGGGCCGACACGGGTTCCCGGTCTCGACCGTCGGCGGTATCTCACGAGACACGCCAAAGCCCAAGGCGCCACCACCAGCAAATGATCCCCCAATCCCTGTGGTGCTGGCAGCGGTGAAGCTAGCGGTCTGAAGTCCCAGACCCGACGGGAGACCGGGTTCCCGTGCCGGCCCTTGGTTGCCGCCTTCATATGGTGGTGCTTGCCCGCCGACGGAGCTCGCTAGCTGGTTTGCCCTCTTGAACAGTGTAATCAGCTCGAAGATGTTCTCGGTGAAAATCACCGCCGCAGACGCAAGGAAGATGGCTGGTACGACTGTCAGGTCTTCATAAGCTGAGGAAATGACGGAAAATTATGGTCACTGTGATGTTGAGATGAGTCCGTTGCTTTCACGAATAACGGGAAAGGGCTAGATAGGGACGACGCTCGAGATGGTTTGCTTACTGTCGCGCACGAGAGGCAGAACGATCAGAATAAGGCATGCTAGGCATCCGACGATCATGCAAACATTGTTGGCATATAGCAAGAAAAGTAGCGTTTTGTTCGCTCCGTGCTCCTTCGTGGTATTGTCTAACTTGCGGAGCTTGGTGTTCCACGAAGAACATCTGCGTGAGTATGTGGCATAACTCCCACAAAGAAGATCACACCAGGCTGCTTACCGTTCGGCCAAAAAGCGATGTACCAACGACGAAGTATAAACCGGGTGTGATCGAATTGAAAAACCAGAAGTATAACGGCACACGGTGGTGGCCGTCCCGTGTCTGCCCGAGAAGACCAATGGTAGTGGTCGTAATGACAATCAAGACCTGGCGGCGGGTCAGATGGTCGTAGGAGAAGAGTGTGGGGGGTAATAGGGAATAAGCGAGTTAGTGAGGCGATCAAGCGGAGAGAACGGTGATTGGGAGCTGGAAAGGATACACAAAGTCGGGTAAGGTAGTCTCGATCGACTTACCGCTGCCGCCGTGCTAGCAGCCACCATCTTGCGCTTCCGCGCTTTGTCCATAATGACAGTGGAGAAGCGAAACGACGCCGACACGAAGACGGCCCCAGACTGAATCTGTCCAAGGACAATTAACACACATATATATGTGTTTTCACGAGCGAGTAGGTCCAGGGGTGCCAGGGTTCTGGAATGGAAATATATCATGAGCAGGGGTAGTGACACACGGCCGAGCCGATTGTATAGGATTTCATCCCCAGTTTTTAGTACTTACTTCGCCCATGTCATCACGCAAACCGTAGCAACACTACCGAGCGACGAGAGAAAGAGGGCCGCCGATCGACCATCGAGAATGTTTAGCACACGCCAGATAGCCAGGAGGATGGCTGGGAAAGAGCGGGGTCAAGAATGTATGTGTAGAGTAAAAACATAAAATGCCCTGCAGACAAACAGTCTGCGGAAAACAAGGGATCCTCACATGTGAGCGCTAGGGGCCACATCGCGCCCACGATCATGCCTGGGGGTCCGTATTGTCCTAAGGAACGGCGCAAAAGTGAGTATCGAAGTGGCAGATGTAGAGGTTGCAAGAATTAGATGGGGTGAGCATCTTACCTGCGATCAGATTCATGTACGGCACTGCCACTGCCGCCTTTGTGCGAGTTTGCCGCAATCGCAATGGTTTAGTGGGGGAATAGAGAATGTGGGCAACCACAGTACGACGGGGGAAAGGGGACCAGGTATGGATTGAGAATCGGAAGTGAGAGATGAAGTGAGCCGGCCGTTCTCCCGAGTGCGATTCCTCAATGCTTCCCCATCCCCAAGACCGTCGTCTCACACCCAGGGTACACTGAATTGAGAGAGACGCACCTGGACTCGAGGATTTTGCGCACAGAGCGCCAAGATGGTGGCATTTCCCAAACACGAAACGCAGTCCATTTCTGACTGGGGTTGTGCAGCTGACGGGGGAAGAGAAGTTCACACAAACTTGCTATACTAACGACGTTAGATTCCGAGAAAAATCTCAGAAGAACAAGGAGCAGCTGAGAGCAGCTGGGGAAGAGAAAGCGGTTGGGCGAAAGATCGAGCAGTTGAAGATGGCGCTGTTGGAGAAAATGGAGCGAATGGATTTCAGTTGGGACCATGCAATGCACACTGTGGGCGTAAGATATGAGACCCACCCGAGGGAGCCTGCATTCTAGTTAGGGTATAGCCGTAGTTGGCTTGATGGCGCACTGTTTAGCTTCAAGCAGTTAACATGTCGTTAATAAGCCTCATCTCGACATTTGGTGGTCGTTTCCATGTGCCCATAGCATAGTTGAGGCGTGTTCGCGGGAAGCGAGGCGCTATTTCGGTTTGCGTTTGGTGGCGAGCTTAGCGATCTGTTCCAAAGAATTCGGTTGTGAATTAAGGTTAAAACGTGGCAGACGATGCCAGGCGTCGCACTTAGCTCAGTTTTCAGTCTGACAGGGCTCCGAAAGTCCTGTCGAATTGCTGTCCATATTGCTTACATAAAGCGGAGTTGGAGTGGAAGCTCTCACGCGTCGGCAGGCGTGTCCTCAGCATAAACGGACAACCAAGGAGGCAGAATTTTTGGCTAAGGGGTGCAAGCTCGCCCGCCATTTAAAGTCACTATTCCCCCCTTACGCCGTTTACTTCGTGGGCAGTCTCCAGGTCATCAACGCCTCTGGTCATCGCACCGCGAGTACAGTCTGCTCAGCTGAAGGAGGAATGCGCCCCCAAGGTATGTCCGGCAAAAAAAGGGATCTCCTTCATCAGTGGAGGATCTGCAGAGGGAGGAAGTGGACTCCAAGCGGCACGGCTGGGTGACAAGAGCTTTACAATTGATCCTCTTTAGTAGTAATTTCTCAAGCCCCGACACGCTATGTCACAGCACGGCCCGCATTCACCATTTCCTACAGCGCGACCAACGCGGAGGCGAGTCGCATAAAGGCGATGCACTAGGTAACAGGCGCGCCATCTAAAACTAAGGGAGGTGATGGTAAACTAGTCGCATCTATGTACCTGCTCGGCTTTGGAATAGCTTTGATGCCCGGCGGCGGGTTGATGATGTCAAAATCCAACCCACAGTGGGAACTTGAGACAATGAAGATAACCGCATCGGAAAACATGGTACCATCGCTGTGAGCTGAGGAGAGCTCGCTGACATTTCGGGAAAGGCTGAGTCAAGCAAGTTGAAGTTACTTTCTACGCAAAGTATACACTCCGCCGATACAAAGATAATAGCAGCACCTAACCGGACTTCGACGCCGAGGACCTTACCTGGGAGCATGCTATGCGCCGTGTGGTCTATTGTACGCAGGGTTTGTGCGATGCACGCCGCGATTTGCGGGTGTGCAGTGGATTCTTGCCGAGTACTCTCTTGCGTTGCAAGCATCGACATCCAGAGTGGAGTGCCACACACTTCGTAGCCTTTGCGAAAATGCGTTCGCATCTTGTACGGCGGTTGCTGGCGCTAGATCATTTATAGCTTGGGTCCATGGGCATGATCGTTGGAGCGATGTGGCCGTTGGCTCTTACAGGTGAGGATGTCATATCCTGTTACCTTTCCAACTCCTCGCAAGCCCCGAAATCGTCTTTCCACTGCTTTTTTTCAGTGGAAAAATTGGTCTCCAGGCATGTTCCCAGGCATGGTCCAATTCGGGGAGTTCTCAATATCTTCGACGAACGTTCGATGGCACTTCATTTTCGTTTCTCTCCTGCCTCATTACGAGGACCATCACGACGGCATGAAGGACAACTGGTTGATGAATCTCACCGAGAGCGATTGAAATATCACAGCACAAGTCGCCTGTCCTCCGTACCTCACTCAGACGGTTCATATGTCATATAATACCGTACACTGTTCCGTTCGGGTTCGTGAATACACACTTCCTCAGTCTGTGGGACATAATCGAACATCCTCTAACAACCAGATTGCTGGACGCCGCTATTCCCGAAGTGCATGCCCTTCATTCCCTCCTCGTCGAATCCCACGGGCGACAAAAAAGCCAGAAACGCAGAAAGCGGAAAAGCTCCGCTCGGTGACATCACATTGACAGCGCGTCGCCTTTCGACATTTTCGACAGTGCCCTTCATTTTGGAGTATTTTCCGTCATGACAACTCGCCATGCTGGTTGCACTGCCCCGTCGGCTTGTATTGATTCCCGGAGTTATTGCCAGGGATAACCCCCCAATACCTGAGGATGACTTTATGTTCGGGCTGCATATGGGCGGCTAATGCGGTATTGCGCGTGGGGAGCCAAGCCACATGCATCCCTGAATGAAGGGATGATCTTCCCCCCGTTTATTGCGACGCTCTATTATGGAAAGTTGCGGAAAAGCAATGGTGAAGGGTTACGAGTACATAAAGCGCTTGGGTTTGTCTTCGGGCGTAGAGAGCTGAATGTCTACATCTCTGGAATCAAACCTCGAGCGAAGAATACTTTTAACTGGGCCATCTGATCTACGTGGAGACCAACAACCAATCACAAACCCCAAACCTCAACAACTAAACCTCGCAAAGATGTTCCTCTTCGGTGGAACCAGCCAAAGCAAAAACGACATCACCGACAACGGCAACTCGGTGATCGGCTCCAAAATCGCCGAACTCACCCAACACCACGGCAACACCGATACCTTCTCCAACCCGCCCGCCCCCGAAGACGTCGGACATCCCTCAACCATCCCGCAACGTGAAAAGAACACCCCCGCCGAACACCTCCACGACTGGCCCAACTGGCGGCACGAGAACGCGACGCAATCGGCCGCGGACGTGAAGGATGCGCGCGCGAAGGATCATTTCGAGAGGGATATGCAGGGGTATGAGGTTATGAACAACAATGTGGGCACGACGGTGGATCGTATTAACGAGGGGAGGGACCCTGGGGAGGGCGGCGATTGGCATGCGGATAGGGGGTTGAGCTTTGTGGAGCCGCAGAAGGTTACCAATGCGAAGAAGGGCGAGGCTTGAGGTTGAGAAATTGTTTGTCGTTGTTGCTTGCCGATCCGTTCCTATCGTCAACTAGGTCGTCAACTAGGTCGACTCCACCGCATACACTGGAACGGTGCGATGCAGCATCTTACCTTCGGCGAGGGCTTTTAGTCCTTACACCTTTCGAGTGGAAATTCTTATGTATACATTTTCAATATCATTTTTGGAGAAACACATGTCACATCTTCTGCATGCTTCGCGCATTCTTCTTGAAATTGAATGAACAACACCTTCAGAGAGAGGTCCTTGGCTTGCAGATTGCTCCTTTAACTTGTAGAGCTTTGATTCTGCAAACATAGATCCATACGAAAGGAGAGCACCAGCACCTCAGCTGTACCCCTATCGAACATTGCCTTTAGATTCTGGTGTGCTGTGATATCATATTCTATGTACAGGTGGGATAACGTAGGAGCGTACGTCAAGCCGAAGGAAAGGTCCCCAAAAAAAGAATTTCACATGGTAACGAGTAACAACGGCTTCAGTTGCCAGTCCAGTTGCTTCCCCCTAAACCTCCTCATCCCCACCCACAACATTCAAAAACACATCATCCAACCCCCGCTGACTCAACCCCCAATCCACCACCCCCTGCAGCCGCGTAACAGCCGCCATCACCCTCGACACCATCCCCGGCGCCGGCACAAACACCCACGCCGCGCTCGCGCCCCCAACGCCCACAACACCCACATCCACCAGCCGTTGAAACCACGGCGCGCGAGCAAGGATCCGCTGCTCGATCGTCGCGATCGCGCCGTCCAGCGCGCGTTTGGCGTCGCACGTGACAAACAACTTATACCCGGACCCGTACAGCTTCTTCAACCGCAGCTGGGGCCCGATACAGGTGAGCGTGCCGCGGGACATGATACCCAGCCGTTGGCAACATGTTTCGGCTTCCTCCATGGAGTGCGTGGTGAGCACGATGGTAGGCTGTTGCGGCGCGCGCCGGGCGGCGTCGATGACGTCCCATACCACACGGCGGACTTCGGGGTCGAGACCCGTGGTGGGTTCATCAAGGAAGACGACGCGGGGGCTGCCGATGAGTGCGATAGCGATGGACAATCGCCGTTTTTCACCGCCGCTGAGTCCGTTCACGAGCCGGGATTCGTATTGTTGGAGTTTGACCTGTTCCAGCACGCTGCGGGTAACGCGCGACTCTTCGGAGGGTGACACGCCTTTCAGACGCGCGTAGAAGAGGAGGTGGTCCAGGACGCTGAGTTCGGGCCACAGCAGGTCGAACTGCGGACAGACCCCGATGAGACGATAAACATGGTCGATATCCGTGGTGATGTCGTAGCCGCCGACGTACGCGGTCCCGCGGGTCGGGGTGTACAGCCCAGTGAGGATGGAGATCAGCGTGGTTTTCCCCGCACCGTTGGGACCGAGCAGGCCAAACACCTCTGAGGGTTCCAACGCCATGTGGATGTCGTGCAATGCGATTTTGGCACCTAGGCCGTGTCGTGGTTTGTAGGCCTTGTGCAGGCCGCGGATGACGAGCGGGCAGTCCGGTGAATATGCGTTGGTTTCGACGCGGACTCGTTCGGCGCGCACGTCGTCGTCTTCCCGCTCTTGTTCCTTGTCCTTGACTTCTCCCGTTTTCGGCTGTGTACGCTGTATGGTAGCGAAGGAGGAAGGAATTGACGGAGATTGTCGCTTTTTTCCAAAGAGGCTGCTGATGGGATAGTGCCACTTTTTGGGCACGCCAAACTCCGACGGTAGTACGGCGGTCAGGTACTGCGTTATCAGCACGAGGAACACCGTCTCGGCGGCCATGAAGACCATGGCGGTGAACACCTCATCACCAGGTTTGAGCTGCCTGAACGTGTACGGCTAGGAATTTCAATCAAAACACTAGAGTCAGAACGCTGGATCCAGAACCGACCACAAAAGATGTCAACTGTTTTTCACACTCCCTCCAAACTCACCCTCTTCCCCGGCGTAGAAGCGGCGTCATTCAACACATCGAGCGAGCGATAGAACGCAAACGGGGGCCATATGAAAAAGATGGACAAGACCTCTGTCGAGATCTGGTTGGCGGCGATGGAGGTGATGACGCCGCAGAGGATAATGAAGAATGTGATCACTGTGGTAGGGGACGAAGACAGTTGATAAAAAAACAAGAAAATGACGCCCCAATGCCTCCAAAGAGACCCTGCACATAAAGAAACTTACAGAGCGCATTCTGACTCCGATTGAAAAAACTCGCAAAAAACAGCGCCAGGGCAACCTGCACAGCGCCCCACAACAACAACAGCACAACCAGCACCAGCGCATTCGTCTTTGTAAACATCTCCAGACCCGTCGCGGCGCCCGAGGCAAGGAAGATGCCGGCCGAGATGATGTATAGCACGAAGAAGGTGAGGTATTGGGAGATTAGGTAGAGCTGGGGGCGGAGGCCGTTCTGCGATTGGGAGTGGGAAGGCGGTGTGAGTAGATCGAGTCAAGACAAAGGAGGTGCGGACACCCGCAAACAGATTGAGACTATAAGGCTGCGTACCATCCGCATCATAATCAAAACCCTATTCTCCTTCTCCCTCACAAGCACCAGCGTAAAAATCGGCACCAAGAACGACAACCCAAACGGAAACAACACCCGTCCAATACTCTTACTGATACTCAAATCAATGCCCCCACTCGACACCGTCGGAAACTGCCGCGTGCCCTGCGTGATCACCGCGTCCCCCAGGTTCGGGTTACTCGTCCTCAATATCGCGTTCGACAACTGGGAAAGCTGCAAAAGTTGGCGGCGGCCGGGGGTGGGGAAGACCGCGGTAGCAGCTAAGCGATTATCGGAACCGATCCCGAGCGTATATGCGTATTTTTTGAGTGTGTGGTCGATGGTGGTGAAGAGGATGGAGGCGTAGGGCATGTCGGCGAGGATGCGGTTGAGTTTGAGGAGGAATTTTGCAACGTCGAGGGAGTTGCGGTTGGAGGTGAGGATGGCGGATTCGTCGATTGTGGTGAGGTTGGATGTGACGCGTTCGAGACGGGCGCGGATTTGAGCGTTGAGTTGGGATGAGAGGGATGCAGTGGTGGTAGGCCCCGCTGTATTGATGCTTTCGAAGTAGGGGACCTGTTGTAATCCGCCGATGGAGCGAGTGTCTACGTCGAAATCGACAAACCATCGCGGCTCGATCGTGTCGAGCATTCCGTTCGCTGTCGTGCCCGGGTTGAACATGGACGCCGGTGGGGCTCCCGCTATGGAAGCCGGTATATCCGTCAAATTCTTCAACGCAGGCTGCATAGGCGCTGTCCCGACCAACTGCGCACTGACGCCCGGCGCGACGCCGACAAGGGCCCAGGGCCGCATCTGCGTCTGAAGGAACTGCGGACCCATACTGATAGCCTGGTTGGCTTCCGGGGCGTTGACGAGAATGTCCGGGCGGAAAAGGTCCAGCCACCCGCGAGCAATCTCGTTGACGTACCCTGCGTCCTTATTCGCATATGTATTCCCATCTTTGATCTTCAGCGACGGCCGCGCGTACGGGTCCGTGGAGCTGCGTGGGTATCCCTCCCCAAACCAATTGACGCACGGGATGGTTGAGAAGACCGCCTGCGCGCCCAACTGTGTCAACGCGCTCACGTCCGCGTCCACGGTGACCAACTGCAGCAGGTTGAAGAAATTGGCATGTTTCGTTATCCTGGTGGTCCCAGGCACCTCCTTCGCCTGTGTCAGCTTTATCCCCTCCGCTGCGCCCAGGTTGAAGATGGGCCATGCCTGTTCATTGATACTCGGCAGATTCGAGCAGTACACAACGTCAAACGGCGTGACCTGATTCCTCACGATAGAGCGCACAATCATCCCCACCAGCGCCGATGTGAAGACCATAGCGAACGGACACAGCGCAATGCAACACACGTTTGTGAACCATTGTCGCCGCTGGAAACTGACGGCTTTGCGGACCAGCGCGCGGACCTGGTAGCTCCGTCGCACGGGGTCCACGCGAGGCGATGAGTCGCTGATGGTCAACGCTCCCAGGACCGGTTTCTGCGGGTATGCTGATGGTTTCTTCATGCCGGCGGGAGAGCCGGCGGGTATGGGTTGCGCCATGGAATCGATGCTGGCATCAAGAAGCGGGTCTGTGCTCATGGAGCGGCTCAGGTTCATGTTCTTTTCGGATGGTGGGGTGCTGGGTTCCGGGTGAACCTGCTGCGGCTGTTGAGGCCGTTGCGCGCGAGGTGGGCGTGACTGTATGGGTGATGTGGGTGCAGAAGCCGGCATGTCTCTCGCGCGACCATGGATCGATCGCCCGTTCCGTAGTGGTTCCATGGGGTATGCATCGACGACCGGCGCAGAGTGCTGATTCCCCCATCCCTGTCCACGAAGATCGTCTGTACGCAACGCCGGTGAGGACATGGACCGCATCATCGCGTTCGGTCCATATTCTGGTGGGTACCCGGGCCTCGCTCCTGCCATTAACATCGGGACAGGACCCTTGGCCCATCCTCCCTGTTGCTGTTGCTGCTGCTGCTGCTGCTGCTGCTGATAGTGCTGATGATGTTGCGGCTGCGGATACGAGTTCTGCCATACAGGCTGCGGTGGCGGCCTCGCATCCCCATAGGGCCGATAAAACCCCGGCGGTGGCGGCGGCTGCGCGACATCCTCATAAAACACCACATCCTCCTCCTCCGGCCGGCGTGGGCGCTGTCGCCACTGCTGCTGCTGCTCGCGTTGGCGGCGGCGGTTGCGCTCTTGTTCGCGGTACTCTTCCATCTCAGCTGGGTTGGCTGCTGCTGGGCCTGGGTTGCTGCCGTCGCGTCGAGGTTGTCTCGCATCGTCCACCGACCGCCAGTGCCCTTGCCCTCCTTGATGATGAGGATGCTGCTGCTGCTGCTGATATTGCTCCATCGGTATAGGCCCCGGCGCATACCCACCACCGCCATAACCCATCCCGTCATTCACCCCCCTCCCTCTCGCCTCCGGATAGTCATCTACATTGAACGGCCGCTGAAATTGCTGCGGCTGCTCCTCTCTCTGGCGGTCCGACCGCTGCCGTTGTGGTCGAGGACTTCCCTCGGGCTGCTGTATTTGCTGGTGCTGCTCGTACGCATGCTGGCCGCTTTGCTGCTGTTGGTATTGCTGCTGCTGCTGTTGCTGCTGCTGTGGCGGCGGGTAGTTGGTTCGACTAGGGTCGTCGTATAAACGCGACATTGCCCCCAACTTATCAGCGTGGCTCTCTCTACTCTAAAGCCCCGGCACTAAGGTGACACTGCGGATGCGTGATGAGTGCAGTGAGAACTCTCTCTCTCTGTCTCTCTGTATCGCTCGCTCTATGCCTCTGTGGTTGTGGTTGTGGGGGGGGGGGGGGGGGGGGGTATCTGGGGTCTATTTGCGACAGTGACTTTGGCAGTAGTTGCGATGACCTCTATTTCCGCTGAGGCCGATCAAGCCATTATCATTGCCGTTCAAACAAGCCGTTGGAGGCCCAAATGAGGCGCTCCCCAATTGCCAATGGCCAGTTCATCGCGTAAGCCGCAAGACTCCTTGAAACATCCAACCCACTCTGAAACGCCACCTGCTTTCGAACTGTAGTAAAACACTCGCGGCCGTTTGAAACCGTTCACAACCGTTCCGAGCACTTGAGAGAGGATGGTTAGAAGTGGGTAACTCGTGCTAAATGTGAGTAACTCGGGTTAGGGTTAGCTTATTCTGGAGGTGAGCTACCCACATTTAGCACGAGTTACCCATTCTTAGTCACGCCCGGCCTGCCCAAGTCCGTGTGGTAAGCACACCTCATATGATTCATTATATACAAAAGGACAAGGGAGAGTACAGATCCCGTTCAGAGTAAACAGAAGAACGAGGGGTGGAATGAGTGTTGATCAAAGCGGATATGTATGTGTGGGGGAAAAGAAGTGAAAGATGAATGTTGAAAGGAGGGAAATTGATGGGGCAGAAGTCGTCTAACACCAATACGCCGTAAAACTCTACATACGCAAGTTCAAGTCCAGTCCCACTCCCTACCGCCTGCCATATCCCTGCTCCCTCGGATGCTCCGCCTCCCGGTACTCCCCATACTCCGGCGCTCCACCCGCATAGCTCCCATACGCATAGTCAGAGTACACCGACTGATGGTGAGCTGGCCGCCCACTACCACCCGTGTATCCCTCGCTCCGTTGATCGTATCCGTAATCGTCCTCGTCGTGACCGCCGTTGTGATGACGGTCGTCGTGGATTTCGTGCGCGAGGTGTGACGACGGTGGGGGGATGGCGTATCGGTCGACGTTGGATCCCGCCGCCGATAAGGGTGCTGGGACTGCTGAGCCGGGTGCGCTACCGCTACCTGCGCCGGATGAGTTGGCGTAGTATGGCGATGGCGAGCGGGTCTGCTGCTGGGGGGTCATGCTGCGGTAGTATCCCGGGTGTTGGCCTGGGTGGGGCTGTGGATGCGGGTGATGCGCATAGTTGTTGTTCATGGGCGGTGCAAACCCACTTCCCGCCGCTGACACAGGTGGCCCTCCCGCGTTCCCACCACTGTAATGGCTCGCAGGTTGACTACCTCCATACTCCGACGCCATATCCGCCTGATCGTACATCGAATCCCCCACCCGAATCTCCTGCACGGGCTGGCCACCGTATCCAGCCCCACTCCCGGGCGCATTGTGCGCCAGCGCACGAACGTACGGGTTGGGCATGGGCGGTAACGGCGACGGCTGACGACGGCCATACGCTTGCGAGCCGTGCAGGCTACTGCTGCCGCCATTACTCCCGCCGTACGCGCTTCCGGGCCCTGGCGGCGGGGGTAAGGCCGCGTAGCTCTGGTCGTACAGTGCGGTCCCCATGTCGCCGCGGTAGAGCGTGCTGCCCGAGTCGTTGTAGCCGGAGGAGGAGTAGTTGGCGTTGGACATGACGTCCAGGTCGACGGTCGGGAGCGTCGGGCGGGGCCCAGAGGACTTGCCGTACTTTTTCAGGTCGTCTTCTTCCTTTTTGCGGGCTGCCTCGGCGCGCTTGCGGGACTTTTTCTTGAGGATCTCGTCGATTCTGATGAGGATGTGCGGGAACAGGGAAGATGAAAGAATGGCGGTGTTTAGAAGGTTGTCTCCAAGAATCGGAAGCATAATGATTTTTCAACGGGTAACAGACGCATTTCTCCAACGGCCCCAACCGAGCTACAGCTCAACTTACCTCTTGTCCACTTTATGGCAACAATATTCCTTCAGATTCCCACGAATCTTCATCAACAGCGGGATATAAATGAGAGCAGCGACAATCGTCATCAGGAACGAGATGGACCAGATCAACACCGTGATCATGGACGTCCAGATCAACGGCGTCCGAATGAAAGACGGGGAAGTAGTCTTCCACGCGGATGCACTGATGAGGATGTAATTGGCGGAGATTGTGAAGGCATTCATGGTCGAAAGGTTCTTCCTGTTCTTGAAGACGCAGGGGACGTTGGGATTTTCCGATTCGCAAAAGCCGCGAAAATCCGCATTGACGACTTTCGGATCCGTATAGTAATTCATGGTTTGTGAAAACACCTCCCAGATGAGCAAGAAGTTGAGGAATTGACGAGGGAAATCGGAAAGCAAGAGACGTTTCCAGCCGCGGAAGGTGAAGAAGACCCAGAACGCCAGCTCATCGATCATCCGCCTCGTGCCTTCGATAGTCGTGAAGAGGCAGAAGTGGCCGTACGATCGAACGACATAGTACCTGTCGAATGGAGTGCCCCATGTCAGCCATCTACTCTGCGCTTCATCCCATTGTCTGGCACAAAAAACAACGTACCTATAAGCGACGGTATTCGTAAACGCATACGAGATATCCTTCGACTTTACAATGGCCATCCCCTTCTTCCACTCCCACGCCAACAACAAGTACGATAGCACAGTCGTCGACAAAATCAGCGCAAACCGAATATGCCCCTCGATCGGGAAATCCAAAAAGTTCTGCGTATCCTTGAGCGGCGCACAGGGGTCGGCATCCGGGTCACCAAGGAAATTGGCGGCGGACGCACAGGCCTGGTGGCCCTTCGAGGTAATGACGTTTGTGATGAGCAGGATGACGGTTCCCAGATCCAACATGTAGAGAAGGACGGATTTGAGTGTCATGACGAAGACGAAGGAGTAGCGGACTTGGGACCAGAGCGAGTTGTCGACAAAGTCTTCGACGTCGAGGAGGTCGAATTTGTGGTCTTCGATTTGCTCGCGCTTCCACTTTGCGCTGCCGCAGCACGACATGGTGGGCGAAGTTGATTGGTGCTGATTGTGAGTGCGATGTAATGTCGAGGGGAGTGCGGAGGCCTGTTCCTAGCCCCGTTTTGACGTGGGTAGGAAGCGCTCGACTCCACCGTCTATCTTCAAAGTCCTATCTATGTCAAGCTCGCTCTCAGCTCCGTCCAGAAAGTGAAAAACCGCAGAGAAGAATGTCTACGGAGTCGGAAATGGAAGCAAATGTGTCCTTTGTCCGTCTTCCCTTTCCTCTATGGAACAGAAACTCCCCACAGACGTCTAAAACCCTGTACTACACGGTTCACACAACCCTTTGCTCGTTCCTTCGTAAGGGTGGGGCCAGGGAATGAGCGGGTGTCTCCTGTTCCTTTTTGGTCCGCGAGGGAAGATCGAAGTGGAATGTGTTTTGTCTCTTATTTAGAGGGGGGGTGTTTGAGAAGGCGACCAGTGATCAGTGCGCCGCTGGGCGTTCCTGTTGATAGTAACTTTTGCGCAAGATAGACGGACGTGGGATCGGCGTTCTTAACCGTTTTTGCGTTCTTCCCTCTTATGCGGATCCGCTTTTGCCAGCCGTATTTTATCGCCCGGCGCAGTGAGAGAACGGAACCATCACCCCGGGTCGCGGCAAAACCAACCAGGGAGAATCCTCGGGCGGCAACCTCCGTGGCTGAACTCAATCAAGCCTAGCTACCATCCGCTTTGTGCGACGACGAGGAACGGTGAGTATAGCGTGCTATCACGGGACTCCGCTGCTGCTGTCAACAGTGCACATAACCGCAGACATTATGAGGACGAATACAGAGCGCGAAGATATCCATTGGATGGTATGTATGTGTGTATGTATGTATGTACAAGGGTATATACGAAGAATTGGAGGGGAAAGGCCGGGGAAAAAGGTACATGTACATATGCGCAGAACGAATAACAAGGAAGAAAAACGGGATTGCAACACAATGTCCGAGAGGCGATACGTCCGTTGAATCTCAGATATCTAAAGGGGGGAAAGGGAGGGGATGTACAAAGGGGTATACGAAACGGAAATGGAAAGGGGCGGAGCATTACGCCGTGGAGGAGATGCTTCGTTGTCCCGGCTTGAACAGCAAGGCATGCGATGTCCGAGTCACTCTTTTCCTTTGTTCCGGCGGAGGTCCAGAGACGGACGACATCGGATGCTACACAGGTTTCCTCAATGCTGTTCCATGGCCCCGCCCCAATGCTGCCGCGCGGACCACGCTGGCGGTGCTTGCCACGGCAACGTAGGCACCGTCTCGTCTTCATTCGCAACCACGCCAATCGGCAGAACCGGCGGTACCTTGACATCCGCACCGGCGCGATGACGTGCAGCCACATCCGGCTTGGTAATAAAGTTCTCCTGCGACAGCGTATCGCAGTCGAGGATCTCATCGTCCTGCGAATCGCTGTAATACGACGAGTCGCTTTCAAAAACGAACATGTCGTAAAAGTCGTAGAAAGAGGATGGGTTCCGGCCGTGCTGATGCGAGTTATGACTGGGGTTGGGTAGGCGTTGATGCGGACGGCGAGAGGATGCTCTCGTGCTGCCGCTGTGCTTGCTGGCTTTGTCGCTTGTAACCACGCTCACGGACGATGCTGTGGCTGCCGTTTCCGGGCGGGTGGTTGGGGACGGGTACTCCATCTCACCCAAACCCGCTGCGGCTCGGATCGCGATACGCCATACGGAATCCTTGGCAGCCATCGAGGCGACGGAATCCGGCCCAGTGTGGTCGGGCGGACCTGCGGATGGGTAGACGGAACTGACGTCGAGACTTTCGGGTAGTTCTTCCGCGTTTTCAGCGTCGTCGCAGTCGTCGTCATCATGCTCTTCGATCTTATAGCCTGGAGCCATGCGCGACCGTGGCTGCATGCCGTCTCCGCGGGACCTCCGATCGGCGAGAGTGAAGCGGGCATCTCTTGTGGTAGGTCTCCATCGGTCTTTGGATTCCGGGGTGAAGATCACGGACAACGACCATGCGGCGGCGTTGAAAAATCCTTGACTTCCAAGGAAGAAGGCTTGGATGTAGACCAGCCACGCCGGAGGTGGATTGTCGCTCGCAAAGGCAACAGCCCGGAAAATCAATGACCTAAAGTGCGTGGGAAGTTTAGCAAGGTGCTCTGAATAAAGCCTTCGTACTCCATAGACAAAGACCATATGCTTACCAGGACCAAACAGAAACATAGACGATCGTCACCATATAGATGCGAATCAAACTCGCCCGCTTCCGGGAAAGGACTTTACGCGTCGTGGCGGCAAGCTGGTTGGATTTCCCCCTGTTTCGCAAGCGCATGGTGGCAAAGACGATGGCAAAGGTGGCAAATATGAAGCTGGCTATGAGAGGGACGTAGAACAGGAGACGGTAGGGACTCTGTTTGCCCATGATCCAGCATGTGCCGTCCTGTGAGAGTCGTGGGAAAATCATGATGAGTACACGAAAGTTATACGATGAGAAGTCTCAGTAATCGCCATTACCTCTGTGAAGCCGATCTGCCGTTTAACCGCCAGGACGACCGCCGAGAGAATGCAATAGCCCCAAACCACGCAATGATATTGTACGGTCCAGAGACGTGGCTTGTGCCTCCGGGGCTTGTATAGCAGGAAGAATAGATTGAGCGAAACAACGCCGTTCCTATGGAGAATAAAAGCGGTCAGTTAACTCGGCATTCTATTAGCTTTCACGGATGTACGTCCTACTCACCATAACACCGTCGAGAGCGCAAAAAACTGCCCGGCATGTCCACTCAACTCGCACAGCACCGTCCCAGTAGCCGATTTCGCTTGATCCCCAAACAAAGAGTAAAACCCAGCCCCGACAAACTTTGCCGCAAACCCAAAATCGCACACAGCCATGATCGCTACGACTTTCAAACTGGGCGTACGGAGGTCCTTGCGGCGGAAGTAGGACCGGATAACGAAGAGGGAGCCGAGCATGGAAGCGCAGGCGGTGACGATGAAGAGAATGTTGAGCTTGGTGGCATCGACTGTGTCGCTCCCATCGGTTGGTTGGATGACAGAAGGAGGTGCGGCGACCACTGGGTCACCTGAGACGACTGACATTTCGAGAATTCCGGCAGCTCCTGGGAAGGAAAGGTTAGCCGGTGTCAGTCTGGAACGACCAGGAAGAGGAAGCTGCCTGCGGCGAACGTTACCTGCTTTTATTCTATTTCTGTACTTCGGGTCCAAAGGTGGATGTTCCACGATCGGCAGCAGTCTGCTGTCAGCCTATCTAGGAATTCACTCTGCGTGTGGCCGAACCAGGTCCTTGAAGCGATTGCTTGAAGTCGACGGGAGAGGTGGCTGATACAGGCGACGATGACTTTCCCAGACGTGTCCGTGGAAGAACAAGCAAGATGGAGAGAGACGAGCAGGTCCTGGATGAACCTTCCCGTTTTGACCTTTCACATTGGAGATCACTTTTTCCCACGCTCCCCACTGACAGGGTCACATCAGGAGGGAAGCCCGAATGCCAGCGCAGCCGAGGGTCAAATGCAAAAGTTCCAGACCTCCTCCTCCAGAGTCCAGAGTCCAAGGTGCCCTTTTCCCGCCGGCGCTCAAGAAGCGCGTGCAATAAGTTAATAACCTTCCACAGGTGACAGCAATGACAGTTTGTGCTTGTGCGACTTGCGCGCCTGCGGTCATTTTGGGAGTCGCCATGTGTCATACAACAACAACCGTTCTCCGCGAAATTTGGCCATAAGTTCTCACTTCCATCCAGCCTCGTCTGCGACGGATGGTTAGAAATCGCAGGGTTTATCGCAGACAGTTCAGCCCCCAGTCCCTATTCCATCCAGGAAGGGACTTCGCCACCGCATCCGAGTTCCTTCCCTGATCAACCCCTCGAGGACCGCTATATATACATACAGCGGACGAAACGTCAAAGATGGAGGATGAATACAGTACGTATAGATGCAGCACATAGTTTCATCAACATTTCCTGTGAGGTTGGGTCGGCACACATGAATCTGGAGTTCCAAAATGAGGGGAGGCGATCGAGACGTGCAGGGGATGTGCCTCGGGCAAACCAGCCACGGCAAGATATTGGGCGGGTGACAGGAGAAAAGTGGGGCGAAAATAGTGAAGAAAACAAGCGAACGCAGAACGACTGAGGAATCGCTTTACTCGCACAGAGGTGCGGCCTCGATCCCGGGGGTCGCGATGCTGGGTACAGCGGCATCTGGGAAAGCAACATAGGGACGGTCGAATGCTTATACCCCGGCACGAACGACGAAGTGAATGTGTACATGACTGTCCGAAGATCAGGCTGCTTCCCATCACATGGACATTGAGAATCGACGCAAAAACCGCAAACGCACGTCGACCATAAGGTGGGAAAATACGGAAAGAACGCGTGCGTATCGTTGTTTTGACATCCGAAGCTTCTACGTTAAGATACTCCACGAACGTCATAGAGTAGTTTTGTCTCCTGCACCTATGCAAAGGCAACCCACGTGGTTCTTCCATGTCTTCCGTTCTGTTTTGTGTTTGTGGAGAGGAAGGCCGGCTTCCAGAAAAAAAGGCAAACAAAGGGCCTTGGACAGCGCGTCAACAAGGAGCTCCTTCCGGGATGTTTAGCTTTCGGCGTATGCAGTTCATTACCCTTCGTTGTATGTACCTGTAGTTGCAAGATAAACGTTTCGTGTTGGAACTTGCGCAAACAGGCAGACGATGTTGCATGATTCCGCTGTCCCAAGCGATTCACACAGGCGCAACTGATCTTGACCGGCACGCGAATACATTGCATCGCGCGCTCCCACAGCAATGGATGGGCATATTGATGCAGAAGAGGGCGTTGGTGTTGGCATGACTGTTGACGGTGTCCGGCATGTTTGGGAAGATGGAGGGCCAGAGGAGGAAATTTGAATCGCTTGAGGACTTCTGGGCGAGATGACGGTGTTGGAGTTGGAGTTGAAGGAGCGCGACTGAGGCAGAAGCGGAGGAGAACTGACAGGCCGAGGAAAGAGGATTGCGTGCGAGAAGGAAGGTATAAGTAGTGGCATTTGCGATGAGAGGACGATGGGAAGTGTACTGTGTACTTGAAATACGTAGCATATGTCACGCTTAGGGTTGATGTCTCGTACAGTAGGATGCCAAAACGGACGTTACGACGGGCGCGTCGAAATTGACGGCATTTGGGCTACTACCTAGGTTAGTAGGCTGGCCGGCCCCCGGTCAACCACGCAATGGCTAGGCGGCAGCCGGTGACTTCTGCTGGCCACAAAGATTTATTGACCGCGTCCATGCCGTCCTAACGTCCGTTTTGGCATCCTACTGTATGAGGGGCTCTTCAAGCTCTTCATCTCGGCGACGAGTGCACACTTTCCGGCGAAGCTCAGCATCTCACATTTGCGCAGTTGACCCAAGCGTGGGCAGTACATACATTATGCGGTATCTGCAAGCCTAGTTGATCTATTCGCTATTCGGAGCTATAATAAAATAGGATACGAAAACAGAGTATCTCGCAGTATGGTCTGTGTATACAAAATGCTCTATGGAAATCGTGAATGAGAGAGTACGCCGCACCACAGGCCCTCACCCCACATACGACGGTAACGTCTCCATAATCGCCCCCGGCCTCCCTGTCCCTGCCGGCTCCTCAACCAGATATACATAACAGGGTCCTTATGATCGTCCGTCTTATGCGCATGCGTGCTGGTCAAAACGGCCCCCTTCCGCTCGAAAAATTCGAACACATCCATTATCCTCGGTGACTCATATGGCGGTCTGCCAGTTTTGACAAGCAGGCGGCGCCAGCCGGTGGGGCCGTTGTTGCCTGTGCGGACATTGGGCGGTAATTGCGAGACGTTGTAGGTCGGGGCGAGGAAGGGGAGCGTGTTGGGGTGGCAGCGGATGAAGATGTTTCGCTGGTTTTGATGTTCGAGGATTTGGATATATGGCATTGTGGGGCGATTTGGAGTGCGGTTGATGAGGATGCGGCTGGATTCGGCGGACGGTGGATGGATGGGGTGCACGCCGGGTTTGAGGAAGGCCGTCTTCCAGAAAATAAGGCAAACAAAGGGCCTTGGGAGCGCGGCAACAAGGAGCTCCTGGATTGGCTTCCGGGATGTTTAGACCGTCTTGCATCATTTCGAGCCGCGCCTAATGTAGCGTCTAATCAAAAAGGACCAAACCCGCGCCTCCACATCCAATTGCGAGAAGAGACTGCCGCAGCCCTTCTCCAGCCTTCCCAACCCTCCAACGCTTTCCTGCCACAACCACATCCCCCATCTTACGGCTACCCACAAACACCCACCGCCCATCCCACCCCTCACATCGCACCGCACTCTCCCACCCAGCACAAACTAGAACCCTCCATCCGCTATGTCGTGGCAACAGTACGTCGACTCCAACCTCGTCGGAACGGGCAAGATCGCCCGCGCCGCCATCTACGGCCTCGACGGATCCCTCTGGGCTACTACTCAGGGTTTCAGCGTGAGTACACAGAGCACACATGCAGTCTTGGAAATATGGAGGGAGCGTGAGATGCTTGGGTGACATTTGGGAGGCAGCTCCTTCCCTTCATCAGGGTGGTTGGGGCGGCGTGGATTGTGTCGGGCTTCAGTCGCGAGGTTCAAGATGGCGTGAGAAAATCGCAGATGGGGACGTCAAGTCTCTCAACACCCTCGTCATTGCGCTCGACTCACCTCCTCCAAACATAATACTGAACCATCTGTAACTCCTTCTCTCCGTCTGTTTCACTCATACAGCCCGCCGCCCCCGAAGTCGCTGCCTTGACCAAGGGTTTCACGGACGCATCCGGGCTTCGCGCCTCGGGTATACACTTGGCTGGCGTAAAGTACTTTACTCTGCGAGCCGATGACCGTGCTATTTACGGTAAACAGGTAATTTTTAGGGGGTTCTTACGAGGGTGCCCTTTCGTGTCAATTTGTTTCCTTGGGCGAGTGGGGCTAAGGCGGACGAGGCCTTGGGAATGGCGAGGCTGGGTTGTCGATACTTGTTAAGGGAAGAGGGATCCATCTCTGATGCGCATGAACCAAATGATTCGTGTGGGAAGAACACGGTCTTTCTTCACATCCTTCTGACTCCGACCATTCCTTTCATTGCCCGACTCACCATAAAATAGGGACAAAACGGCGTCTGCGTCGCCAAGACGAAGCAAGCCATCATCATTGGTGTCTACGAAAGTCCCGTGCAAGCCGGTGAGGCGAACAAGGTTGTGGAAGGTCTCGCGGACTACTTGATCGGTGTCAACTACGTACGTCTTTCTTGCATTATGTTCGGCGGATGCCATAGCGGTGCATTGGGAATTCGCTCTGACATCTTCGCGTTTTTTTGCCTTCTGACAGTAATCGAATTGAATTGAGGCACGGAAAGACGAAACAACAACTCCACAGCCAAAAAAGAAAGTATGAAGTTTTAGAATCCCCTCCCCCAACTACCCGCGCGAAACGACGAACCCCCTCGCGCCAGCTCCCTGCGCTTGGATGGTCAGATGGGACACCTAGCGAATGTGGGGGTCTACTGAGAGGCATCTGACCCTTTTGAAGAAGTAGTAATACACGTATTGTCCGTTTGATTTGCGGGGGTGGGTTTCGGGGGTTTTAAAATGACCATGCACATTCCGAAAAACACATGCGCAAGAGGATAAGATGGAAGCGCCGCTATTCTAGTCTGTGTGGTATCCCTTTGCCAAAGGGATGTGAAACGCGACAGGTAACAGAAAAAGGATAGACAGGTACTCGTGCCCATGGTCGCGCGTTGCTAGCTCCCTGGGCAAGTCTTCAGACGTGCCTCAGGATCGCGCCCCGCAAGCCAGAGGTTGCATATTACAGTACGTAGTATATGCTACCTGGGCACGAGTAGGGTGGCTATGACTGAGGCACCGTCCTCTCTCACCGGCACACCCCAAAACACGCTCTCAACTCGACCACAAAGTCCATGACCCTAACAGCCCTTAATACCTCCAATCAAACGCCACCTTCTCCCCGCCCTCAACCCTACAAACCTCCTCCCACTCCTTCTTCGGCACCAGTCTGTCCACCTCCTTCAAAAACGCGTCAAGCGTGCACATCGTCGTATCTGTGCCGCGGTGAGCATTTGCAGGGGCGCAGGCGGGGAGTGTTAAGGGTAGGCCGTTGTAGAGGAGGCGGATGTAGTGGGCGGGTGGGGTGGACGGGTTGGTGGAGGGGGATGTGAATGGAGAGGGGGAAGGGGCGGGTGAGGAGGAGTTTTTAAGCCAGTTCCAGGCGGATCGGAACGGGGATGTGCGCTGTGGGAGCGGGGTGAGTTCTTCGAAGAGTTCTATATTTATCTGTGCGGGATGTGGCAGGGCCGTGAAGTATGGAATGTGTGTGTCAGTCAATACTCTAACTTCCTCCCGAGGGAGCAAGAAAAGGAAGGGCACGCACCATGGCACCGAACGTGGGGTATTTGCCGTCCCAGGCTTTTAGGGCGGTGAGGATCGGACCGACGGTGCTGTGAACGGGGAACAGAGATGGGCCAGGGTTGTGAGAAGAGAGAGGATACGCCACAATGTCACCCCACACGCTCTTCCCACACAGAACGAAGAAGAGTTGCCGTACAGACGATCCCCATAAACAGTCACCCCATACATACGTATCATGCGCACTAAAAACCGCCATCTTCACCGCTCCCTCCCCTCCCTCAACCGCCTCCAAGATCTTCCCCCTCAAATCCCCCAAACACCACCCAATCCCCATCCCGGCACGCTTCTCATCCTCATAAATCCCAATCCACTGCCGGGTCGTCATCTCATGCATCTCCCTCATCATCTCGTCCGTCACGCCTGCAGGTAGCGGAATGTCGTGCGCGCGCATGCAGGTGAATGTATCTTCCAGCGCGTGGATTTGGAAGAGGTGTGGTTTGGCGGGGTCGGTGCCGAGGAAGCCAAGTTTTTGGATCAAGGGGGCGGTTTGGGCGGAGAGTTGGGCGCCTAGGGTTTTTCGGAAGGCTTTGGAAGCCAGGTTGAGGGCGCTGCATGAGTGCGAGGGGTAGAGCGTTTCCCCCTTCGCCGAGCGCACATGGATGGTGAGATCCTCCGCGCTTTCGCCCACGCGTGATGAAGTCGGATGCAGGCCGTGGAGGAGGTACTGCAGCGACTCGATCGTGCGGGGGTAGTCTGTGCTGCGAAGGTATACGTCGCGGTGGTAATCGCCGTCCAGCCGGCCCGAGAACAATCCCAAACGCTCGATGTAGTGTTTTCGAAGATTTTCCCCGCTTGTTTGCATGGTTTGTTTACCTTTATCTGTCAGTTGGCCCGTGAAACATGTCCCGTCGGCTGTTAGCTGGGTTTTGAGGGCTTTGGCGGTGGAGAGACGGTCGATGGTGTGATGCGCCGGTTCGAGGACGACGTTTTTGAACTGGGGTGGAAGTGACTCGGATAGTGGTGTTCCCGGATTGTCTTCATCCCTCCCTTCGAAACCTGCATCACCGTTTTTGGATAGAAGGTCGGATGTGGCGGCGTGGAAGGCGTGCAGCAGCGGTTTGGTGTGGCATAGCCGCCATGTTCCTTCTGGTTGTGCTTTTGGGAAGAAGTTTGTCGCTGTTGATCTCTCACCTACAGCACATACACCCGCGCGTGAGGTGTGAGATGGGTCACTGACGGTGAAAGTGGGGAGAACACATACCGTGGCGGTGGATGATCTCCACGAACTTCAGCTTCAAGTCTGGTGGATAGAGGGCGGTGAGAGAGGGATCGTCTGGGAAGGGCATTATGGCAGATGGGCGAAAGTGGAAGGTTGGCAGATGTTGCAGACCTCCACTTCGAGGTTGAAGCCTCTCATAACCCCACTTTCCAGCAGACTTTCCAGCTCCTTTCCCCACAGTCCCGTTCAACCTCAGACATACCCCACGCTTCCCGCTCTCACAGCGACAACGACAATGCGCTCCTTCGTCACCCTCCTCCTCTCCTTGCCTGCCCTCGCCGCCGCCCAGTTCGCTACAGACTGCGGTGACGCTACCCAGGTATGTCCCCTTTCTCTCGTGTCCTTCACAGTGCCATCTTGCTCACGATGGAAGGCTTCTTATAGGCCAAATTCAACCGCTGCGTCTCGAATGTGATTTCAGTAGAAGCCATGGTATGGGGCCAGCTAACCCCTGGAACGACCTTAGAGAACGCTTGCAATGACGTTCGTAAGAACGAAGCGGTTTACAATTGTTGTTTGTGCGAGAGTTACACCGTGGTCCACAGAACGTGGTAAGTTGTGTGGAAGAGAAAGGGAAGGCTTTAGATTTGGTCGGCGGTCCAACAGCAGAGAGGGAGGGATTTGGTTTGGGTCTGCGGGAGCCTGAGCGTAGGTAGAGCCGACCAGAGCGAACGCCAAAGCGAGCGCGAGCGGAGCGAGTTCCTTGCCCTTCAGGCGTAACTCCGGACACTCAAGCGGCTTCGATCGCCTTCGCAGCGAAGCGAGATCCTTGCGCCAAAGGCGCAATACCCTCAAACACGGCATATAGCGAGCGTCGACGAATGTTGGATCTTTTTGCGAGAGAAGCGAGCCACGCGAGAAGGGTATTTGAATTACCCATCAACCATCTTTTGGTCATACCTTTAGCATCCCATGTCTCACATTTTGGCCTTTATCACTAGCTACAACCCATACTGCATGGCATCCCCTTCCATCTCTACCATCCAGCAACAAGCCGCTCAATACTGCAACGCCTGCCCGCCCGAAGAAGCCGCTCGACACTGCAACACCACGTGCCCCGTGCCCGGAAAAAACACTGTCCGCCGCACAACCACCCTTCCATTCCCCACTCTCTCCGGGACTCTCTCTGCGGTTCCCACCGTTTCCCCCTCCGCTACCGCTGCCGCAGGGTCTATGACATCTACCCCCGCTCCGGCTGCAACTGGCGCGGCTAAGAACGGAGGTGCTGCCAATGTCGCTGGACTCGGGGGTGCCGTCTTTGGTGGTGTCGTCGGTCTCTTGATGGCTTGAACGACTCAAGCTGACCCAGACCCTGCCCTCATGCGCAGATGAACCTCTGAAGGGTTTTGCTACTATACTAATGTTACTTTTGTGCGGTATAGAACGGATTGGACTTGAATAGGCGTACATCGTACATACGGACATAGGACCGTTGAAGATACATCACCTTCATAGACCCACATTACATAGTTCCTCTACATAGGCGTATATTAGACCCTTTACATCCTTTCTGTGCCAGATGCAGTCCTAATAGACATAGGTTTTTGGTATCGTGTTTGAACCTCTTCACGATCCGGGCACCGGAACCGGTCGGCAGGATGAAGTGTGATTGGCGTGCTCTTTCCTCTGGAACTTCGCGGACTCGGAACACCTTCTGCAATGCGCCATCCCCAGTCTGATACAACGATGGCCGGAGAGACGTGCGGAAGGCTTTGATAGGACATTACTATCGTATTTGCACCATCGGCGACGGTTTCACTTGGTTTCCGTCATGGCTTACCTTTATGAATCGAGGTCCTCAGCTATGGTTTAGGCCTACGAAAACTATTTCTAGGTGTCGGGAAACAGAAATCCTTCATCTTCGTAAACGCCATATCGCTCTTCACAGGTCGGAAGACCATGGTTTGCGAGAGGCCGCGCGGAGATGTCGGAGTTGGAGGAAGCGCGTGTCATCACCGGCGGAGACTCGGAGACCCGGCGGAGGTTGGCAGATGCCGCTTAGCGGAGAGACCAAACACGAGGGCATGGGACGACATCACAGTCGAGTCTGAGTCGACGGCAGGGTACTTAGTCAGGTTCACCACGGAAGCAAGCATAGCTCGGCAGCAATTCGGCGTATCGTACAGTACCTTAGAATTCAGAAACTGTAGCAGTTTAGTATAGTAGAACGCAATGTCCGTCTTCACACCAGCCATTGACACCCAGGCCTTCGCCGCCACTTCTCTGGCAACGACCGTCCTTCTCGTCAAGTTCTTGTAAGTCCGTCCAGGTTGCCAGTTTGCCTAATACTCCTACTGATTCTCCCCCTCCGCACTTCCGACAGGATGACCGTTGGTATCCAAGGCGGCCACCGGTTCAAGGCTGGCTCCCGACCCCCAGAAGATGCCAAGCTGGGCTTGGCCAGCAAGATTGGCAAGGGTGTTGTGCAGAACTATGGCGTGGGTGAGGCGGATAAGAATGATGACCCGAAGGTTAAGAAGGCCAAGTGAGTGCCGTTTTGCGTTGGGTAGTTACGCGGTGGAAGGAGTCCGCTGATGGCTCGGAACTTGCAGGATGGACAGTCTACGATGGAACAGAATCGTCATGAACGATCTTGAGAACATTCCTTTTGGACTGATCGCTGCATGGTCGTCTCTGCTGGCGCCTTTCAGCGCCAAAGTGCACACGGTGTTGGTGTTGGGATTCGCTGCTGCTCGGTGAGTGGAGATGTTACGCAGATGTTTGATGGTCGGGGTTAGGGCCTTACAGACAGTCTCTCTATCCCCCCCATAGTGTCTTCCACACGATCGTGTACGCAAAGGAACTCCAGGTTCGTTAACTTTGTCAAACGCCATCAAAAAATCCTCATGAGCGCTAACGCTGTACCTTGTATCTCATAGCCTCATCGCGGAGCGGCGTGGGGAGCTGGCTGGGTGTTCATTTTCGGTCTCGCCGCGAATGGCCTCCTTGGGGCTCTTTCTCTGCTCGCAAAGTAAGCTGTCCAACGAATGATTTGGCTTCCCATAATCTGGAGGTCCATATCACAAGGTTGGACGGACCGTTCAACCTTGCAATGTTGCGGCGGAGCCATACTGGGCTCAGGAGCGAGTCGGTGTGGAATATAGAAGAACCTTCATTGCACTGCACCTGGGCATGCAAATGCTCAGCCGATTAAGCAGCATATAATCGCATATTAATACACACCCTATTGCATTTCCATCAAGAACACCACGAAACAAATTGGCTCTTGCTTTGGGGAGAAAAGATTTGGAAGTCATCGAAGTAGCTGACGATTACCCCCGTATATGGGACGGGAAGAATGGATATGGCCTCCTGCAAGATGGGGTCTCTTTGTCTGCAAGGGTATGAAGTGGACCGTGGGAAACAAACAAGGCTGGAGAGAACTACTCTGAGAACTGCTCATCCAAGCTGTTTCAAACGCGTCGATTCTGGAGCAATTCTGCAGCGGCTCCTGTCTTCCTCGCTGCTTCCCTGTTCCAGCCTGCTCCGACAGACATTTGGACAGCGACTTCTCAAATTGAAGAGGCTGCAGACTTGCTCTCTACCACACGCTCTCTCGCAAAAGCCGCTCAACCATGCCCCCCTCAGGAACGAAAACCAACAACACGCCGCCCCGCGCCCCGGCCGGCACAAAAGACAAAAAGTGCATCGACGCTCTTACTGCCCTCGTGAGCCGCTACCAAAGCATATCCATCCGCGACGTTCTGGAGGCGCCCGAAATCACGGACAAGTTCGGCCATCTCCTGCCTGATCAAGTCGCTGTGAGGCGCGTGGTGAACAGGAAGGTTGTCGCGCACGTCAAGGTAGTGGGGAATAACCCTGTTTTTGTGCCGGGCGTGGAAGAGGAGCCGAAATCTGTTCAAGCGGGTGTTGCACCTGCGGCGTCCAAACCTACGGCTGCGAGCGTTGTGGAGGACGAGGAGGACGAAGAGGAAGAGGACGAAGAGGAAAAGCAAAATATAGTCGCGCTTCCTCGCGATCCTCTAGAACTACGTTCCACAGAGAGTGGCAGCGGAACTACTCCCATAGTGGAAAACGGTTTCACTGGGAAACCTTTTCGTTTCGTGCTGAACGAGGGCGACCACTCGGCTGGGACAGATCTGCATGCCTTTTTTGCGGGCGGTCGCGCGTTGCATAAGGATGTGCGATTGGAGGGTGTGCTTTTGGGCCAGGACGAAACCGCGCATACTCCTCAATACGGTGCTATTGGATCTACTGTACCCGACGAGTCTCGGCGTACGGACGCTGACACGATGCAATGCGACGATGGGATACTTGTTGGTGATGGAGGTGCCAGCCATCGTGTATACCTCAACACGCATGCTCCGTTCTGTTTGTTAGCGGTTGGCGTGCAAGGGTCCGGCAAATCGCACAGTATCGCGACCGTCGTGGAATCCAGCATGCTGCATATGCCGCCGTTCATCGAAGCCGAGCCGCAAGTTACGACCATGGTCTTCCACTACGACCAGTCCCAGGACAACTACTGCGAGCTGCATACCCTCACCAGGCGCCATAGAGACGCACCAACATGCATACCGGTCGTGTCGCGGATGATCATCCTCGTTTCGCCGTCTTACTACGCCCAACGCAAGGAGTACTACAAGAACGTCCCGAACTGCGAGGTGTTCCCACTCCTGTTCAGCTGGGCCGACCTGGACGCCGCACAAATCAAGCAGCTGATGCGTTTAGAAGTCGACGGCAATGTGCCGCTTTACATGGCATCTATCCTCGACATGCTGCGGAAGATGCAAAAGAAAGGCACCTACCCCACCTACGCGTCGTTCAAGGCCGAACTCACAAAAATGGATTTGACTGGCCAGCAGAGTTCCCCTCTGACCATGCGCCTCCAAGTCCTAGAATCCTTCCTCACCGATTCTCCCGAAAACAAAAACTTCTCACGCCTCGACTTCACGGCGACGCTCAACTCTCCACTCAAAGAAACCCCACTGATCATTGTCGACCTCACCGACCCGCTGCTCACGCCCCCTGAAGCCAACAGCATCTTCCAGGTCCTGTTCACCAAGTTCGTGACCACTCCTACGAAAGCCGGGAAGCTTGCTGTGTTTGACGAGGCGCATAAATATATCTCTGCGTCATCGGCGTCGACGCCCCAAGATGGACTTAGTGCTGCGCTCGTGTCTGCGGTGCGACAGATGCGTCACCATGGCTTGCGCGTGGCGATCTCGACGCAGAACCCGAAAGGTCTGCCTGGCGAATTGCTTGATCTCGTTTCCGTTGCTCTTATTCACCGGTACTGTGTCTCAACTAAAGTTCTTATCGCGTCCGGTTGTTCCCAATCTTAATCCCTGATCCCTCTTCTCTCACTAGGTTCCACTCTCGAGACTGGTTCGACCACCTCCGCCACAAACTGCCCCTCACACCCGACCTCTTCGACCACATCATGGCCCTGCGCACCGGCGAAGCACTCATCTTCAGCCCGCGCTGGGCACCCTCATTGCGACCCCGCGGCTGCAGCATTAAGATTCCAACAGGCGTCGGCGCGCATGTAAGACAAGTGGCGATGCGAGAAAGGATTACGGCGGATGGCGGGGTGTCGAAGGTTGCGTTGAGGGCGGGGTAGGGTGTGTGGGGGTTTCTGCTAGTGTCTTATTGAGATGAGATGGGTAGAAGTATTTGGATGCTGGATGTCCTATTATCAGATACCCTGGCGTTGTAGACATCATAGGCTCGTGACATTTCGTATACCCCTCCCCACGTTTCTTCTATGTGTTCTCAGCTTAGCATTCCGTGTTGGAACAACAACTGATACCCGTTGCATAAACCCTGCGTATGGGTTTCGTGTGATCACTGAGGCGCATTCTGGAATCCCCATATCCACAATCAACGGTATCATATTACGACGAGAGTCCCAAAACTATGTAAAACCAAAAGAATGTAGTCTTAAAAGATGCAGATAAATAATCCAGAATGGGAGGATTAAAATGCGGAGGCAGCTCGGTCTATGCGCATTTTGAGTTTCTCGTTCTCTTTCTCAAATCTGTGAGGCGAAAGAAGGGCGGGCGAGATGTAATTATCTGGTTGTGCTTGTAGACGTTGAATGAAAGAGGGGACGCATACCTTAGTGCACGATCGCGGTACTCGTTGGCTTCTCTTTCAGCGCGGCGCTTTGACAATTGCAGGTTGCTCTCGGAGGTTTCCTATAAGCGCGAGACAAGGAGTTGAGTGAGTATGAGGACATCCACTGTATTGACATCCAAATCATCAATGCGTACCAATTCCTCAAGCTGAGACTTCATTCTCTTCAGTTTCTGTTCCCATTTGTCCGTTTCCTCCTCATACCGCTGCTTCTGTTTGTCTCGCTCCCCAAGCTGGAACTGCAGCTCACGAATAACCCGATCGGTCTTTCTAGCGTTCTTCTGAATCTCCAACTTCTCCTTCGTCTCGTTGTCGAGTTGCGTGCTCAACTCCTCTACGCGGGCTTCGAGACGACGTGATGATCCGGCGTCGCGCGATAAGGCGGTCGCTTCCAAGTCCAGAACGCGCGAGTTGAGCTCTTTGATCGTTCTCTCCAGACCGAGTTTTTCTTTCTCCAGCGCCAATGCGTTGTCGCGCTCTTTGGCCAAGTCGGCCGTCGCCTCCTGAGCTAAGGATTCCGCGCGTCGCACTCGGTCGTCTGCAGATCGTGACATCTCCTCAAGTTCATCGAGACGATCACGCAAGTCAGTGTTGTTCTGATCTAGCGCCTGCATGGATCTTTGCATTTCGAGCTTGCCACGTGCAGTAACCTCGTGCTTCTCGGCGATCTCCTCGAGACGGGCCTCCAAGCCTTTCTTCTGCTTCTCCAACTGCGTCGATTTGGTTTCGGCATCTTCGAGATTGGATCGCAGGTCACGGACTTGACCGAGAAGTGACGTGATTTGGTTCTGCAAGTCATCGTGCGTGTTCATGCTGTCGTTATACGCGCGGTTGATGTCGTCGAACTTGGCTTCCAAGCGCTCGCGGTCCTTCTTCCAGTTAGCGGCAGACCTCAGCTCCTCTTCCAGGCGGTTGGACACGCTTTCGAGCTCGGATTCCAGATCTTTGTTGGTGGATTTGAGGTTGACAGAGTTGGATTTTTCGATCTCCAGTTCAGTCATCAGCTGCTTGACCTCCTTTTGGTACTTCTTACGGGTCTGTTCCACGGCGCCTTCTCGCTCGTCCAGCTCCTTGCGTTGTCTGTCGTGCAGCGCTTCAAGCTCCTCTTGCAATTTGCGCTTCACAACCGCGAGATCCGCCAGCTCGTGGGAGTCCTCCTCCATCTTTTCCTGCAGATCAATGATTTGTTCCTCCAGACTTCGGGCCTTGTCCTCCGCCAGCTTCCGCTCGCTGAGGGCTTCACGGAGGCTTTCTTCAAGCTCTCCAATCTGCAGGCGGAAGGCACTCTCATTTTTCTCCGCTTTGATCCTTGCCAACTCAGCCGTCTCGAGCTTCGTCAGAGTCTGCTCCGCGCGCGCCCGATGCAGCGAAAGGGACTCCTGCATGTCATTCGACTTTGCGATCTCCGCCTCCAGTTTCAGTTCCAACTCTTTTAGCTCAGCGGTGAGCTTACGCCTGCCCGCCGCCTCTTCGCCTTTCTGAAGTACTTCCGCCTCCAGTTGACTCTTAAGCTCATCCACATCGGTCTGCAAGAGTTTACGCTGCTTCTCGAGATTAGCGATCTCCTTGTTTTTGTCTTCAAGCTCTTGCGAGGTAAGTCGCTGGGCAGCCAGGAGCGCTCGCCTCGACTCCTCAAGCTTCTCAATCTTTCCGTCGGTGTCTTCCCGGGCGCGCGATCTCAGCGCTTCGAGCTCGGAGGAGCTGGTGAGTTTCGCGGCCTCCAAAGCAGCCCGAGCCTCAGTCTCCTCTTCCAACTTGATCTGCAACCGCTGCAGCTCCTTCTCCAGCCGCTTCTTGGTCTCGCTCAACGCCGATTTGCTGTCATCTCCACCCTCAAGCTCGTTGTGAAGCTCGTCCGCTTTGCGCTCAAGCTGCTTGCGGTTGCGCTCGCTGGTCTCCAGCTGCCCCTCGAGCCGCTCGATCTCGGATTGCAAGGAGTTGGCCTTCTTCTCATACCGCTGACTGAGCTCCTCAAAGTTCTTCCGCGCGCGCTCCTCATCGCCGAGCTTGAGGGTCAGTTCTCGTAATTGCGCTTCGGTCTTCGTTTTGGCTTTTTGCAAATCGGTTTGACCTTTTACGGAGTTTTCGGCCCGGGACATGAGCTCTTCCACTTGTTCCTCGAGCTTCTTCTTCCCCTTCAGCAGCTCGTTCTTGAGGTTCATGCTCTCATCCAATTGGTCTCCGAGGGAGTTGACCTCCCGCATCAGCATGCGGCGCGTCTCCTCCATCTGCGTGTCCTTGGCCATGATGTCGAGCTCCATCCGCTTCCGGTACTCGCTGAATTGAACCTCCAGGGAGAGTCTGGCCTCCTCCACCTTTTTGCGGATACCCTCCTCTTCCTCAAGCTGCACCTGCAACTCATCGATCCGAGACTGCAGCCTGCGCTGCGACTTTTCGAGCTCATGAACGTTCTTCCCGCCATCGCCAATCTCGTCGATGAGCGCTTTGAGTTCCGACTCGAGCTCATGCTTGCCCTTCTGCACGGTGGCAATCTGGTGGTTGCGTTCATCAAGCTCCAACTGCAACGCATCAATCGTGCTCTGCAGTTTGCGCGAGTTGGACTCCACCACATCCTTTGACCTACGCTCGGTCTCGAGGGTAAGGTTCGTAGCGCTCAGCTGAGCCTCGACCTGCTTCAGCAACCGCTCGGCGTTACGGGCAGAGTTGTGCTCGCGCTCAATCTCGATCTTCAGGTCCTCGGTTTCCGCTGTGAGACGAGCTTTGGTTTTTTCGAGGTTAGTGGCATTGCGCTCAAGGTCGTCGTACCGCGCCTGCAGTTCCGAAAGCTCCTTCTGCAGTTTGCTTCGAGCCTCGTCGAGCTCCGCCGTGCGCCCGTGCACGTCCTTTGTATAACGTTCCTTGAGCGCGTCCAGTTCACTGCCTTTAGCGGCCAAACGCTTGGAGAGGTCCGCCTTAAGCGTCTCCTCCTCATCTAGCCTAGCCTGCAGATCAGCAAGCTCCATCGTGGTTTTCTTCTTCTGCGAGTCCAGCTGAGTCCTCTTCTTAACCTCCTCCTCAAGATCATCACGCAGCGCATCCGCCTGTTTCTGGACACTATTCTTCTCGCGCTCCAACCGACTAACATTGGCCTCGCTTTCATCCAACCGAGCCTGCAAAACGCTGACTTGCCGCTCTAACGCTTCCTTCTGCGTCTTGGCATCAAACAGCGCGTTCTCGGTCTCCTGCCCTTGCGCACGGGCTTGCTGCAATTCGCCGTCGAGTTGGCGTTTGCTCTTGTCTAGACGCGTCCGTGCTTCTTCGCTGCGTTCGAGCTCTTCTTTAACGTTCGCGAGCTCCTTCTCGAGGGTGCCTTTAGCGCGGCCAACATTGGCGGCGTCCCCGCGAACACCGTCGAGCTCAACCCGCAACTTGTCGATGTTCTGCTGCGTCTTCTTGCGCGTGTCTTCCAACTCGGCTTGTGAGGCAGCCAGCTGCGTTTTGATATCCTGCACCTCCGCCTCGCGCAACCGTCGCAGCTCGGACTGCTTGGTCTCCTCGGTGCCTTTGGCCTCCATCATGTGATGCAGCGACTCCAGCTCCTCCTCCAGCTTCTTACGCTGCTTGTTCAGCTTCTCCCGCTCGCTCTTCTCATTCTCCAAATCGCCTTTCGCGGAATCGAGCTTGAGCTGCAGATCGCGTCGCTGCTTGTCCGTCGTGTCCTTGGCCTCCGTCTCGGCCGACAACCTGCTGTTAAGATCCGTGATATCCGCCTCCCGCTTTTTTATGATCCCTTCCAACTCAGCACGGGCCCGCTGCAAATCCTGAATAGTCTCCTGCGCCGCCCTCAGCTCAGCCTCAAGCGACCCACGACGGTGGTCAAGTTTCTGCAGATCATCCGACTCCTGCTCGAGCTTCTGCTCCAGCTCCGCTATCTGCGACTTGAATTTCGTGTGCTGACGATGCAAATCCGACTCGTTCTCGCCGGCACTCTCCAGCTGCCGCTGCAGCTCGGCGTACTGGTTCTCGAGAGATTTACGATCGGTTTCGAGTTTCTGCACGCGTGCGGACTCGTTCTTGACTTCCTCTTCCAGTTGCGCGATGCGGGACTCGCGCGCCTGCTTGTCCTTTTCCAACCGGTCGACGTTGCCGCGTTCCTGTTCGAGTAGGGTTTCGAGGTTCTTGAGCGCCGTCTCCAACTTCTTCTTGGCCTTGCCCAAATCATCATTCGCCACCTCCCGATCCTCCAACAACGCCGCCGTCTCCTTAAGCTGCTCTGACAACGCCGCCTCCCGCTCCTGCACCCTCGTAAGGATCTCCGCCTGGTTAGCCGCCGCATTCTTCTCATCAATGAGGAGACCCTCCAACCGTTTCAGATCAGCGTCCAGAGCCCCGCGAGCAACCTCCAACTTTGCGCGTTCCTCCTGCTCCTTCCGGGCTTTCTCCTCCCACTCCTTTGCAGCCTCCTCGCGTTTGCGCATCTCCTCGTCGACACGGGTGACCCCGAGCAACGGCTTGACCTTCGTGTAGAGGCGCCACCACGCCCATTCGCGCAGCGTCACGTAGATCCGAGCGTTCTTCTGAATGATCCGGATCGCACGGAACTGGTCCAACCGCTTCTTGTACAGTTTGCGGGCGAGATAGCCGCGCATGACGGCTTGCACGCGGGTGACGATCTTGGATAACTGCACGTCGCGGCGGTTCTCGAGATCGGCGAGGACTCCCGCGCGGAAGAACACTTTGCTGCTGCCGACGCGGTACTGGTTCTTGTCCAGTGCCAGCGTTTCGAGGAGCAGTTGCGCCGCTTGGCGACCGTCCATGAACCCGCGCGGGATAAGCCCGGGGGCGAGGATCTCGTACCGTTGTCTGAAATCCGCAAACGGCAACCTGTTGGGGAACCCCGCGCGGCAGATGCGGATTCCTTCAAGCACACCGTTACAGCGCAATTGGTGAAGGACCTGGTTGGCGTCCAATTTCCCCGCCCGTTTCTCTTCATTCGGGATGATACAACGCACGAAATGGGGTTCGGTCGAGTACAGCGTCGTCATCAGCGAGCTGAGATGTTCCTTATGCCGTTGCGCGACCGTGCGGAAGGCGCCTTTCTTTGTAACTCCGCGCGTCTTGGCATTATCCTCGGCCTCCCCAATATACTCCGCAAACAGGTTCGCGATGTTCTTATCGGACGAGCTGGCCAGCAGCCGGGTGATGTTCTCGTTCAACGGGTCTTTGTTCTTGTCGAGCCAGTAGGACGTGTTGTACTCCACCTTCCCCGCATAATGGTTCAGAATAAACCCCTGGTTGAACCGCGGGGTCTCGTATTTGGTGCTCTTCCCCTTCCACAGCCCATTCAGCTTTTCGATGAATGTCTTATCAGTGGCTTTGGGCATCACGCACTCTTCGTCCAAGCAAGAAAGGATTCCGATGGGCGAGGTCTTTTCGATGAGGTCGATGGTGGGTTGGAGGTCGAGCCCGAAGTCGATGAATTTCCATTCGATGCCTTCGCGTTGGTACTCTTCTTGTTCGAGGATGAACATGTGGTGGTTGAAGAATTGTTGGAGCTTTTCGTTGGTGTAGTTGATGCAGAGTTGTTCGAAGCTGTTGTTCTGGTGGTTACGCACGGGTGTTAATATCACTGGTCTCCCTTCAAATCATTCCGATAGTCGAATGTGAAACTAACCTCGAAAATCTCAAACCCAGCAATATCCAAAACCCCAATAAAGCTCGCCTTACTGGTCGAGCTAAAAATCGCCGCATTAATCCGCTCAACAAGCTTCCCAAACATCCGCTCATACAACGACCTCGACAGCGCCTCAATCGAGTACAAAACCTGCTCCACATTCCGGGCCTGTGTCACCCAATCCCTGCCGGCCTTGATCTTCGGCTTCAAGAGCGCTTTCACGAAATCGGCGACGGGGACGCCAAGGACGTGACAGACGCGTTCGCAGACGGATTGGGCGGCCTCGCCGTGGAGTTGGGCCTGGTCTTCCCGATCATTGTAAGCGGTGATGTTTCCCATGTGGAGGATGGCTGCGAGCACACGGAAGAGATCGTTCTGTTCTTCCGGTTTGATTTTCATGACGTCGAAGGAGTCTTGGAGGGTTTTGAAGTCGGCTTTGTCGTCCACGCCTTCGATGTTGTGGTTTGAGCCCTTTGTGAAGCGGTAGTCGCCTAGACTGCCATTGAGGAGTAAAGGGCCTTTGATGTCGTCCCCCGCGCCTTTGAGGAGCTGGTAAAAGATGTGGTAGTTGCGCTCCTTAGAGGTCTGATGGGTAACCCTGGATTTCTCCAGGAGGTACCAATCGATGTTTGCGCCCGCGATCTGGCCAGAGGGGCTGAACTCGATGCGGATGAATTTGCCGAACCGGGAGGAGTTGTTGTTGCGGATGGTTTGGGCGTTCCCGAAGGATTCGAGGATCGGGTTGGCTTGGAGGATTTGTTGTTCGAGGAGACCGAGGGATCTGCCGCTGCCGGAGGCGTTGGCGATCGAGGCAAGGTATTGGATGACCTTTTTGGTGTTTTCGGTCTTACCGGCGCCGGACTCTCCACTGTCGGGTTTATCGAAGAGTCAACACTCTCATTCACAAACAATCTGGTCACACCATCAGTCCTCTTACGTGATCAAAATCGATTGATTCTCTCTCTCCTTCGTCATATCATGGTACGCAGCATCCGAGATCGCAAAGATATGCGGCGGCAATTCGGCTCTCTTCTTTCCCTTGTACGCTTTCACAAGCTCATCGGTGTATAAAGGAAGCCGCTTGTACGGGTTGACGGCTACCAAGAACAGACCCGAGTACGTCTGTGGGATGCAGATGTCAGGTTGTGACGATGATGGCTGAGGAGAGGTATTAGACTCACGTAGATCAGGTTCGAAAGGTATCGCAAGCGCAGGTTGTGCACGACAGATGCTTCGTTGAGGTAAGTCAAGTCAGCCATGTCTTCGGCCTTGTCGAATTTGGGAGGGTTCATCTTCTCGGTATCGTTGATGTTGACATCCCGTTTCTACATCAATGGCGCGGAATGGAGACATCAGCAACTACAAGATTGAATCCCGCCCATGAGACCCTGACAGCTTACCGTCCCGTTGTTCAAATCAATCGTCACCGTCTCGCCGTTCTCGGCCGTGATATGACCCGCAATGTATCCTTCGTCCTTATCCGCGACCCAGACCCACTTCTTTTCGGCCCATTGGGCCTGCGCGAGCGCATCTGCGCCGAGGCCTTGGGGTGCTTGGGCCATCAGTGGATGATTTTGTTATTTCGGAACTGTGGGGGTATTGGATACTGCGTTGGGGAATATGGGTGAAGGTCGGTGTAATGGGCAGGCTGAGTACTGGTCGCTTGCTAGAGTATCCAATGGAAGCAACGAGTGTACCTCAAAAACCCTATGCCTGAAGTGAATATCTCCAAGAAGTTTTATAACAAGAATTGGAGTTGAGCATCCACCGAGGTCAAGATTTTCGAGAAAAGTTTACGCCTCCTTCCTCGGCCAGCGCATCGACTGCGTGTCTTCCTCGCGTATGTACGCCTCCAAAATGTCGCGTGGGTATGTGAAGTGTTGGAATCACCCAGAAAGGGCCAAGCTAACGTGGCTCAAGAAAAGTAGCGTTTTAAGAAGAAGCGTAAATACGGGCGGCCTCTCTTCGCAGGGCGGCAGTGTTTGGTGCTGCTTGGAGTTGGGTCAGATGTTGGGTGTGGGGCATGGTGGTCGGGATAACTGTCAGGTCGCGTCCCACGTAATCAGCAGGCGGCGAACGAGAACGCTTCTCACACCTTCAGCGCTATTCTACCCAGGGCTCCAGCACTTCCCGCCATGCCCGCAGCCTTCTCAAACACCAACACCAACACCGGCAGCTCCTGCTCTGTTCCCGCCGAGGGCAACGCCGTCATTGGGAAGGACGGGCTACCCCTTCGCAACGGAGTCACAGACTCGCTCGCAGAAGATTGCGCGCAAAAGTCGGGGACGACCCCCAAGTGCTGCAACAAGGAACCATCAGTCGAAAGCACCCTAGGCGCCATCTTTTCGGTCGTCTTGGGCTCGTCGTGCTGCATTATCCCTTTGACCTTGGACATGGCTTCGGTGTCTTTTTCAGGGTTAGCTTTCAGTGATCTCTGGGGCCGCGTACGCTGACAGTGGTTCAATGAACCAACACACTTTCTATTCTCTAGGTTGGGCTATCTAACCGCATATCAACCCTTATTCCGCGCGATTACCATCATCATTCTCGTCAGTAATGTCTGGCGATATGGCACTACCCGACGGACGATTTTGACTATCGCATTTTGCCTGCTTGTCAGTTTTGGTCCTCAGCTCCTATCCGCCTCCACGACGCTTTCAAATGGTAGCCGTTCAGCTGAAGTTGACCCACCAGCATCCGCACCGGCACCGCCAATATCACCATTCGAAAAGGAACGTCTGTGCTTCCGCGTGGATGGGATGCGTTGCGGATCGTGTGCAGCACGCATCGAGAAAGCTGTAGTGGGGTCAACCTTTAGCGAGGTTGACAGCGCTACTGTGGACCTCGGAGCGCGGACACTCGTTGCGACCATGCGGAAACCCAGGGTCGGTGATCTGGACCATGCACAGAGGCTGTTTCACGAAGAGGGGATCAAGCGGCTCGTACAAGGTCTGGACTCCGCATATAAGGTGGAATACGTGAAGGATTGCGAGTTTGAGAAGCGTTCGTGATGAGAAGCGTTCGTGACGAGCGAGAGTCTGCTCTCCACCCTGTGTGCGGTAGATCGTAGATCATAGATATGCTTTGTTGGCAGACATCCACATGTATCCATGAAGTATGACGAGACGGTAAAGCGTTGATGAACGGTTTACCAGTGAGCATAGTAATATCTGCGTGTGCACTCCAATAATGAGTCCGTCTGCAATGGCAGAGAAGAGTAGTGAGTACTGTGATGAACTTCCAAGTGCGGGAAGAACGCAGCGAGAAAAAGCAAAAAAAAGGGGAGGGGTGAGGGCCGAGCGAGCGTGATGTGCGGAATGACCATCATGTGCAGCGCGCCCGTGTTACGTTTGGGCATCAACGACCTCCCTCACGGCGCTCTTATTCCCCTCCCCCTGCTGAACCCATCCATCCCCTTCCGTCCAGTCAACCCCACAACTCCCCCACAGACAGGCAACAACAGGTCCACCATGCCAGCAGCTGCCTCAAACGTGTCCCGGGCAGCAGCCTTGCGCTTGGCCAGAGTCTCCGCTGTCAACCAGGTACGAAACACCACCTGGTCGGTGTGAAATCCAAAAGTTTCAACCTAACGTCTTCCCACGCCATAGACGAGAGCATTGCACTCATGCGCTTTCCGTGTGGCTTCGCTGTCGTCACGGGCCGCCGTTCCACGGATGGTGAGTTCGGCGCTGTCTTACATGTTTCGAAATGCCGGAAGACGAAGGAGTCCGTGGGCAGTGGAAATTGACACACTCCGCTATGTAGGCTCTTCACCTGGCTTCGCCCGCAGCACCACGGATAGCTCTCGGTCGGCGCGCCTTCCATGCGGCGGTTGCGTCTCGAAAGGATATTCCGTTCTTGTTGGCCGATATTGGAGAGGGAATCACGGAGTGTGAGCTCATCCAATGGTGAGTGAGATTGACAAGCGTATCTCTTCGGCCACTTGAAAGGGAAACTCAACCGAAAGGGGGATATAGGTTCGTGAAGGAGGGCGACAAAGTGGAACAGTTCTCGCCAATCTGTGAGGTTCAATCCGACAAAGCCGCTGTCGAGATTTCCTCCCGCTACGACGGTGTCGTCAAAAAGCTCTACTACAAAACCGGCGACGTCGCCAAAGTCGGAGCACCTCTAGTCGACATCACCACTGACGAGGCCGACACCGACGCCGTCCCGGGAACCGCCGAGCTCAACGCACCTGAAGCCGTGCTTCCTGCCACGCAGGTCGCTCAGGAAGCCGCGGCGGGTGGTAGGGCCCGTACCGACCGCGATATGGAGGAGTCCTGGCTGTTGACGACACCCGCTGTGAGGAGGATTGCGAGGGAGCACAGCATCGACTTGGTGAAGGTGACTGGGACGGGACCGAGTGGACGGGTGTTGAAGGGAGATGTGTTGGCGTTTATTAGTGGAACCAGCAAGCCACGTGCCGGTGAGTACTGTGGACGGTCATCACTAGTTTGGGAATGTTGAATAGATAGGCTGACGAGTATTTCATCCTAGCAGAGACCGCCGCACCCCCATCCGCGGCAACGGCACCGTCATCCGCACCAGCGAAGCCTGCCGCACCCCGCGTCATCATCCCCGCCGGTGAAGACAAAGTCGTCCCCCTCGGCCCGATACAAAAAGCCATGTTCAAATCAATGACCAAATCCCTCGAGATCCCTCACTTTGGCTTCTCGGAAGAGATCATTCTCAACGCCGCCTCCAAGCATCGCGAGGACATCAATCACTACCTCAAGAATAACAACAACGAAGAATACCCCTTCAAGAAGATTTCGTACATGCCCATCTTCATGAAGGCGCTATCCATGGCGCTGGTGGAGTTCCCGATCTTGAACGCTCGTTTGATCAATGCGGATCAGGTGTCGACTGCTCAGTTGCAGTACCGGGCGGCGCATAACATTGGGATTGCCATGGACACGCCACAGGGGTGAGTTTTGGGAAACTTTGCCATTTTGTCTGAGGTTCTCATGGTTACACGCCTGAATCTAACGTTTTGCTCATCTTCAAACCCAGCCTGATCGTCCCCAACGTCAAAAACGTCGAATCCAAATCAGTCCTCGACATCGCCTCGGACCTCGAACGCCTAAAGGAATCCGGTCGCAAAGGCGCCATCTCCCCCTCGGACCTCAAAGACGGCACCATCACCCTCTCCAACGTCGGCAACATCGGCGGTACCCTCCTGCACCCCGTCCTCGTCTCGTCGGAACTCTGCATCGGCGCGATCGGGCGCACGCAGCGTTTGCCGAGGTTCGAAACGGTTGTGGATCCGGTCACGGGACGGGAGACGGAGCGGGTGGTTGCGAAGGAGGTGTTGAATGTGAGCTTCAATGCGGATCATAGGGTCATTGATGGGGCGACGGTGGCCCGGTTTGTGCAGCTGTGGAAGACGTATTTGGAGCAGCCGGCTGTCATGACTGCGTCGATGCGTTGAGAGGATTGGAGAAGCGTTAGAGAGGCACACCGATATGCTTTGGCTTTGACTTGATGGCTGAGCTGACCCTTTCTGCGAATCGCTGATACGGAGGATTTTGGACTACATTCCGCCTCTTCCACCACTTTTTTTTTATTGATAACGCTCGGCGCATATGGCATGGCATGGCGCTACATGGACGGAGCAGTGGTCTTCGCGCATCGAAGAACACTCTCCCATCCTATCCCATACACTTCATTCCTACACATTCATTACACGACTGCTAGGCTTTAGGCGTAGATCTGTAGATTGGCTGATGGGAAAGTCTAGAGCCTCTGTTCAATGCTGTATAACGAAATGAATAGTAAACACATCTCCCTAAACACCTACGATTCTAACTTGAACGAAGTCGGCCCCGTCCCCACCGGATCCGTCCCCAACACCACAACCCCATTCGTCCCACCACACGTCCCATCGCCCCCCGCGGCCTCCGCCGCCAACGCGCGTTCAGCAAACTCCACCTCCCTAGCGCGCCTCCTCAACGGCTCCGTCTGCCTCTCAAACCCATTCTCCCTCGCCCTCCTCAACCGCTCCTCATAGAACCCCCTCAACTCCCGATCCTGGTCATCCAACCGCCTCCGCATGTTTCGTCGGACAGAGTTGACCTGCAGCACGACCAGCGTGCCGGAGAGGATGGCTGCGAGGACGATGAGCGCGGCGAGCCGGCCGTTGGACATGTACAGCGGGGTCGTGTTCCCGGCCGGGTGGGAGTGCGCGAAGGGAAAGTCGGGGTCGTTGGCCGTCGACCAGTGTGGGGGCGTGTAATTCGAATCGAACGGGTTGGAACTGAACGGATTGCCGCCGCCGCTGCCGCCGCCGCGGGAAAACGGCCGCCCACCCTGTGACTGTGACCCCCTCGGTGATGACGAGGTAGAGGATTCGTAGATGAAGGGAGCCCGCACACCCCCATCCCATTGTCGCCGTTTCTCTGGGTCGCTTAGGATCTCATACGCGCGTACAGCTCTGAGGAACTCCTCTTTTTCGTTCGTTTCGGCCCTCGCGCTTACGCGTGCTTTCGTCCGCGGTGCCGTCGGATCCGTGCTACTCGTCCCGGCTGTACCAGCGACGGCGAGACGGTCCGGGTGGAGCTCGAAGACTGTTTTGTAGTATGCTTTTTTGATTTGGGCGCGGGTGGCTGACGCGGGGATGTGGAGGGTTTGGTAGGGGCAGAATGTGGATGAGGTGGCGCGCGGGTGGGCGGTAGTGTGGAGAGGGTGGGTGAAGGGCGGGGGGTAGAGGAAGGAAAGGGTGGGGAAGTGGGAGGGTGGTGGGGGATGGCGGTGCAGGTGATGCAGCCCGGCGGCGGGGCGGAGCCGGGGTAATGGTGGACGGGCTGGACAGGGCATTTCGTGTCGAACTTGTTCGCTGGCTGGCTGGCTGGGCGGGCCACTGTTGTTGTAGTGGTGGTTCTGCCGGCGCCAACTTGGGAAAGTGGGTGTCGTCGGCGGTGGAAGATGCAGCCTGATTAAACCGATGATGGAGCGGAAAAAACGAAGGGAGACGAGCGACGCGTTCATGTCCATGTCCCAGAGGATTCAGGCCACCACGCGCGAGGAAGCAACAACAAGAAGGCGAAAGGCCTCCCACCGCTCGTCAAGGTTGATGCTTAGCCGGTCTGCCCGTTGGCTTCTTGGATTGGTAGGAGGCAGGGTCATCCGCACTGTCGTTTGCAAACCTCCTGATGGTGTTCTTAGCAGTGCTTAAACAGACTCCCTGCTCTCTGGCTATCTCTCGTTTGTTTTTCCCAGCCCTGTGCAGCGCAACTATGGCTGCCCTCTTCTGTGGAGTGAGAGGTTTGCCCATTTCCGTCGTTGTTGTCAAGATTCCAGCCTTCCCCTCTCGCCATGTCCGCCGATGTCCGCCATTCTGGCTGTTGGCTGGCTGTTGGCTGCAGTCCATGGATGTGTGCGCTTTGTGACACGTGACACTCAATTGAATTCAATCGAGAGGCTGTTATACAGTAAGTACTCCGCGTGGGAATTGCGAGGGACACCCTTGGGAAAAGGCATCCGCGTCCCATGTCAAACTGCTGTATATACAGTATACTGTATGTAACAGCAAGTCAATCCATCATCAAAGGATTCTTAACGCCCACGACTCTTGTTCCGCCCCTCCCTCGTTCTCTCTCACACGAGGAAGCTGCCTGCCCAGAGCTGCCCAGTGACCTCCCTCCTTCATACATACTGTATACACATGGAAACTCGCATATCCCCGTCGTCCCGAGGCTATTCTTCTGCTTGGGGTGTACCGTGTAATATGTATGGCAGGCACTCTTGCGGACGCCGTAATAACAGGAAGCGCGTGACGGGGCCACCTTGCCAACGCCCGTCTGTGCTTCGGCGGAATCCTCACTTTCCTACCTTCACCACCGGCCGGCGCATTATGTGAGAGGGACTCATCAATAGCAGCGCACGGCAAGAGAGCGACATGCCTCACTCGAAAGAAGAACAGGCGGCGGTTGGGCGCCCCGCAGCCGCTGATCTCTCGGAGGGCGAGAAGTTATAAGACAGCATGCCCATCCGCATTCCCCGCGAACCCATCTTGAGAGCCCGCGCCACTCGACCCAGACCACCATGTCAGCAGCGACCGTAGTCCTCGCCACACTAGGCGTCCTCATCTTCGCAGCTCTTCTCTTCGCAGGGCTCGGCAACCTCGCGCGACGAAGGTTGAGGAGTCTCATGGCGCCCGTGTATCCCGTCTCTAACACGCCGACGTTGAAGCCTGGCGAGGAAAAGAAGCCCGGCGTGCTTTATGTGCATATGCCGGATATACGGCCTTGGGGGCATCCGAATGCTAGTCCGTTTTCTCGTAAGTTGAGCCATATGCAACCTCTGAAAATGGGGTAGACTCCCTAATCCCATATTCTTCTAGTGAAGCTGGAAACGTGGCTGCTTATGGCCAAGATTCCCTATGTGGTGATCCGCGGCTTCGACCTCAAAGCAGCGCCAAAGGGCAAGATCCCATTCATTGAGATGGACGGCATCAAAATGGGAGATTCGGAGCTGAGTATGTTGGTCACGCAAACATGTGGGGATGAACGTTCTTTTGCTGACATGGAACAATGTGCAGTCATCCAGTTCCTCCAAACAAGATTCCCTGACCATCAGGTTGTTGGAGATCTAACGCTCACGCCTGAACAACTTGCGCAGGGCCATGCGTTCAACCGAATGGTCTCGGAGCACACCGTCGCATGGTACGTGCGCGTCACATGTTCGCTCCGGCTAAGTAACCCTACCAACCATCCCACACACATCCCCACAGCATGGGCCAATCTCGCAACGTCGACAACATCCACGACACCCTCCGCGCATATACCGGCCTCTCAGGTCCTCTCCCACTCGCCCTTAAATTCATCGCGCGCCTGATCCGCCGCGGCACTGCAAAGAAGCTCGCGAACCAGGGACTGGGCCGACATTCGGCTCAGGAGATATATGCGATTGGGTGCAGGGATTTGAAGGTACTTGTCTTCCACGCGTTTGCGTATCAATGCATACACATGGGTTACTCACTGGTTGACCGCATGGAATACAGGCCATAGCAGACTTCCTGGGAACCAAACGATTTATGCTCGGCGACCAGCCCACATCCGTCGACGCCTCCGTCTTTGCCATCCTCGCATCCATCATGTGGATCCCCGTCGAATTCCCGATGAAGACCTATGCATACAAGGAACTGCCTGTGCTCGACCAGTACCTATGGCGTGTGAGGTACGTGAGCATTTCTTTTCTGGCTGCGTATGTGTGCCTCTTTCGTTCTGATCTGACTTCTGGGGTGCGTATAGGAAAGCGGTCTGGGGAGAGACGCTTGAGCCGTGGTATACGGGAGGCGAGGCGGCGGTAAAGATGTATGAGAGGTTAGGGTTTGAGCCTGGAGCGGTGTAGAGTCCACCATCTTTCTTTCTTGACGTAGTCTTCCGATATTGTGGGTTGTTTAGCAACGCTGTTTTTTTGTCAGGGATGAGTCTGGTTTAGTGTAGACTTTCAAGCAACAGTCAGATGTCGGTATTTGGTTGTAGCATACATGGTAGCATGCAGCATAAATGGTAGTGCGGGGCACCACAACTGTGCCACTGATTTACGTCATGAGAGCGCTCTGTCAAAAACCCAAGCGCTCACACTCCCGTATCGCGTCTGCCACCCCACTCGGCTCTCGACGTCGGTGTGGTTCTAGATCTAGCTTGTCGTCGCGTATATGCACTTCAAACCGAGAACCCGTGTTGTGTGTGTGTCGTCGGCCAGATCGTCAATTGACGGGATTCTGACAGTTCAGTCGTTGCAAAATGACAGACTCCCCCATTCATTCTTACATCGAACTTGACGGTCGGGTCAGGCTTTTTGTTCTTAGTATCGCAACAGCTACATTACGTCCCATCATCACAGGAGCGTCCGTCGTTCGAGCAGAAAACAAAGCGCTACGGCAAACATGTCACACCAAGAGGTTTGGGAAATTCCATTTGCCCTCGCCGACTACTTGGAAGTATCTCGTTGAGTGTGAACAGGTCCACTGGCTTGTTCCGGATGTTGGGCCACCCCCCGCTGCCAAGGCTCCGTCCTATTTTATATATCGGATCACTGCAAGGGTCGTTTCATCCCGAAAAAGCATCTTGGCCATCTTGGCCCTGGACGACTTGAAAGTCACGTGAGGGAAAGAGGTGCGCTGGTGGATGTGGAAACGGCAGAAGTCAGCATGAATTCATTCATGCTTTGCCCCAGCAGCCATGAATGTGGGTGTGGGTCCGGAGTACTGTATACCGTACATAAGTAGTACATTGGGCGAGCAGTTACGCGCGGTGGTAGCTGGTGATGTGGTCTGCCGAGGAGCTGTTCGTGGTCGCGCGCGTAACTGCATGCTCACTACGTTGCTCACGTAGCAGCCCGGAAACAGGCCGAAAATGCGAGTTGGAACTTGGTCGCTTTGAAGGCTATCATCACTGATCATACTCGTGCCAAGGTAGCATATACTAATATAACCCTAACCCTAATATGCAACCATCTGGCTCGCCGGGCGCGATCCTGAGCCACGTCTGAAGCCTTTGGCGGGCCCCAGGGAGCTAGCAACGCGCGACCATGGGCACGAACGAGTACGACGGCGTCGACGGGTTGCTGAGCCTCTATGTGCAACCAAGAAGTCAGGCTATGCTCGGAACGATGTGTCCTGGGCGTCGTACCCACTGGTGTATAAATAGGGAGAGCCCGGGAGCCCCAGTACGCACCCCCCCTTTGTCTTCCCTTTTCTTGCCGTTTACTTACGCCTGCATCGAAGTCAGCCGAGGCCAAAGCGAGCCATACCCAACAAGGCGGAAGCGTAAGTCGAATCTCCTCCGCCGCTGGTCGCCCGAAGGCGGACTCCTAACCTTCATGCACTTTTGAATGACGCAATGCAGTTCTCGGTATCTGCTTATATCCCCGAAAATAAGCATCACATTGTCGGTCGCACCTGGTCCGAGAACAACCGTCATATATGCTGTATCCCATTCCACACTGAGCGCATCCATACGAAAGGAGCCTTCATGATCTTGGTACGCCATCGCAACGCCAAAACGCGATGGGGCAAGCATACCGCGGCGCCAGTCCTTGCTCCATTCGAACCGACGACTCTTGGAAGGATGGGACCGGTGAAAGGATACGACCGCGCGTTGTTTGAGAAGATCTATCAGGAGCGTTGTTACATTGCAGTGAACGGGGAGCAGATGGACGCCGATGTCGGAGACTATGAGGTCCTCGAATTGACATTTTAACGTTTCTGTTAACTTCATCGTTCTGAGTCAATCGATCCATGCAGAAACGAGATACGAGAGTTTCATCGCTTCCCTTTTCTGTGAGCCTCGGGAAGAATTTGGGCAAAACAATAGTTGTTTTTGGAAACTCCAGCGCACAGAATCTGCCAGATTGGCTTCCCATTTGCGTTTGTCCGGCTTCACATCTACAGAACCTCCCGAATTTTGCATAGACACCGCCGGCTTCAGTTCGTACAACGACCTCCACCCTTTCCAAGCTCAAATCTCCGCAGCGGAGGCACCTTACCCTAACCCTAACCCTAACCCTAACCCTAAGCTCCCGGTCGTGCCTCGTCGTGAACAAACCCATCCCTCCTGCTTTCCAGATGGAAAAAACTGTCAGTAAAGTGACAGCACCGCGAAACGCTGGGACTCTGGCGGGACGCGTCTGGGACGCGTTGGATGTGCTTCTTTCTCGACGCAAGCGAAGGACGGCCTTGGAACACCAACAACACTTCCAACTTCCAGGTACATATACAGAGCACCCCTTGACTGTGGCCGAAGAACGATAACGTTTTGGACAGCACATACGGAGTTCGCCACGTATACACCTCCCGGACCACTGGATCACTCCCATAGGAGTGGTCTTCGAGCTATCTTAGTCCCCATGCGGCGAAAAGCTGAAAGGACCCACGCCATCGCAAAGGAAGCACCCACCTCAAGTACAAGAAGAACCTCCGGACAGGACTGCTCAGGTGGGCCACCATGGCTTCCATCATGCCTCCCGCTCGAGACAAGTATCTATCTGATAGGTGCCCTCTGGTCCCGCAACAGCAAGAACGTTCAAGCTCTAATCTAACAGGGAGCGGACATATCTCAAGTCGATGCGGTCTTGAGCGGAAACGACCTGGACGCGCTCGGGTTGGTTATGGGAAAATGGAATTTCCGGCAACCTAGCAAAAATGATATCCGCCCTCCTCGAAGCGGGGTTATCATAGATCCGAATAATGCACTGGCAGAGCCGGCGATCTTGAGTCAATCACAGTCGTGTTAGACGCAGGTGCCGATGTCAACCAAGTTTCTCCGCGCTCCGCCAACAACGCCCGCCCTAACATGATCAAATATCTGCTCAGAAAAGGCATGAACGCCAACCCATGCCTTGCTTTCGCTAGCTTCATAACATGCGGATCCTTCTTGATGCCGGAGCAGATATACATCGCGACGACAAGACGATTGCTGTAGCAGCTCAAAAGGCTTGCCACGGTTCTCCAGCGATCTTCAATTTCATTCGGAACGATTCGGACCCGCCGGACGCTTCCAAAAGGCGCTAGTGCATCAAGTGCGCCTGGATCTGGACGCACCTAGGCTGCTGATCGAGCTCGGTGCATACATCAACCTATACCACGGAATCCCGCTGAGTCACGCCTGTCTCAATCGCCAACTGCACACAATCCAACTCCTGCTGGAGTCCAGCACCGATCCCCAACACCCTATTGACGGGCACCGAACTTCGCATTTGGCATGATCCCGCTCTGATCGACGTCACGCTGTGGAACCTGGACGTGGATATTCTGGAGTTGCTACTGGATGCGGGTGGAAATGCACAGATTTGCGGTCCACATGCGCTCCGGAATGCGCTTTCGGTGGATTCCATGCTATTCTCCACCAACCGCGTTTGCCTGTTGCGGGACTACGGAGTTATGTTCCCTGACGACTCTGTATGCCACATTCGGGTCGTCGATATCGCAAAACTTCTTGTCGAAAGGACAGCCCATCCGGACTACGTCAATTTCAGAGACGGTGCCCCACTGATAGCCGCGTGCGGGAATGAGTACAGCAACACCCAGGAAATGGTCAGGTATCTCTTGATCCAAGCCGCCAACCCGAACGCCACGGGCGGCCAATCCCATCGCCCCATCTTCTGCGCCGGAAACAACTGCGTCAAGCAAGGTCCGTCTCCTCGTCCCTGCCGGCGCAGAGTTCGCACCCCTCCCCTACGAACCCGACCGCCTCTCGACCCCCGTCTCTGTCAACTCCTGTCGCAAGACCTGGTCTTTGAGGAGCTGCTCCCGTCACTCGTTAAAGCCAATTTCCCTTTCGATTCATGGAGCTGTGATCGCATCTGTGAGGATCTTGCCCCGGGGGAGGGGTTGACTGGGTTTATGGGGGACTGGTCCCGTCGGGTTGCGAGCGGATGTGACGGGGGTGGATTTGGGGAGGGGGAATTAGCGTGCGTTGGGAGGTCGGTTTTGCTGAGGAGGTTGGGATTGGCGTTGCATCATGTACGGCGTTCCCTTTCCTTTCAGAGACCTATTAATGTGATGGCGTAGGCTATAGACCTCGTTTCCCACGTTTTGGTACCCATATCATGCTCTGTCATTTGTTCTGTCGAAACATGCTGTAGCTGACTCGCTGTTTTGTCGCATGCGCTCGAACAGCCGGTGCCTGATCGTCCGTGGCCAGTCCCTTCAGGGACTGCTTCTGCAGTGCGGAAGTTCAGCTAGTCATCGCACTTTGACAATCCTGCCATTCATGCGTTTTTTGGTGAGTCGTCCATCCATCTCTTCATGTTCTCCTTGCATGGATTCGTTGTTTTAGCATCTCGTGGCATATAAAAGCCAGCGTGCGCTCCGCAACCGCACCTATGTGCATCATGCACGCCAAAGCAGTGCGTTTCATGTTTCTTGCACAAACTTTCAAGTCACAACAGGCATCACGTCTCAAATCAACAGCACAGGATTACGTTCTCATTCTCTATATACAATTATTTACAAAGGGTACCAAAGGGTCACTAACCCCCGTCCCTAACTAGGAAATGGAGAACGACGATGTATTAGTGTCAGGGATGTAGGATGGGAAGCTGTGGGATGTAGTGATGATATTTACCTTGTCATGCGGCCGCGGGCGCGATTCCCGTCTCCGTCTCGCCGACGACTCCCCCCGCCCACCGAAACTTCCGCCGTCCGAACTACGAACGTCAAATCAACGAGTTCAGCAACGCGGTCACCGTACAATGATAAGTGAAGCAGTCAATCAGCTTTACCTTGGTGCGTAAGGCTTTCGCCAAACGCCGCCACTTCGGAGGCGGGGTGTAGGCTGGCGCGGGGTCCAAGAACGCCCCGGCCGCCGTCGCCACCCACACGTCCTGGGTAACGGCGTCGAGGTCGGCGGTCTCCTGCCTCCAGCAGGCAAACCACGCCCGGTTCTCCTCCTGAAGGAGGGCCCGCTCCTTCTCGAGGAGGGACTTCTCCTCCAGGTGGGAGGCCCGGAGCGCGGCCGTTTCATGGAGGAGGAGAGCCGTCTCCTCGTCCTGTGAGGCGGAAGTAAGGAGGAGAGGGGGAGATGCAGGGTTAGGTGTGTGTTCGATGGATGTGTGATGCGAGAGCAAAGCGATGGATAGTTACCTTCTTCTGATGAGCATCAAGTAAAGAATCGCACGGAAGATGGAAAGGAAGAAGTTTTGAAAGAAGTAAGCAACAATCCAAAGCAATGACTCTTAGCGACGGATGAGCAGGCAAGCAGCAACTAACCTCAAGGACCGACTTCAACGCGCCCGCAATGGCGCCGACCTGCCGCAGGGACAGGGTATCGTCCCAGTGGCCCGGGCCATTGGGCACCAGTGGCGCCCGAAGGAGACACTGGTGGAGAGGCGGGCAGCCCTCACGGAGGAGCTGCGCCGAGAGGCGGGAGAGGTCGGGGGGCTGGTAGCACCCCCGCGCGCTCTTCTTGGTGGTGGTGGTGGGGAACGAAGTCCCTGCAGGAGGGATGACGAAGAAGAATGTGGAATGTGAGCGTTGCTACCTCTGAATCCGGCACGCCGCACCACAAGCCAGAGAAGAATCGCAAACGGAAACCTACCAAGGACAGAGTTGACCACCGTGAGGTCGTCCGGGAGCGACCTCCGGAAGTCCCGTGGGATGCCAAGCCACGGGACACCGGGGGTCGGCGTCGACCGAACGACCTTACCGGTCGCAGGCGCCGGGGCAGACGTAGCGCTATGGAGGTCCGTAGCGGAGAGGGAAAAGAGAGTTGAGGCCGAAGCCTGGACTGCGTCCATCTTGGTGATCGGCCGAAGATGGGGGTTGATGGTTGGTGGTTGGCGGTTGGTGGTGGCTTCTGCTGGTGGTGGCAGATGCGGTCTTTGGGTTGCAAGTTGGGGAGAAAAGAGGGAGGGGACGGGGGCCGCTCGACCGGCTTTTATGTGCGTGCCAGCGAGAGCCTGAAGAGCCCCCCGTCCCCTCCCTCTTTTCCCCAACTCCCCAACTCGCAAAGGCGAGGCATTTTCGCCCTATCCTGAAAGCAACCGAGACGCCATTGAACATTGCATTCCACCATATGGAGATTTTCTTCGACAACTCCGCTCTGCTCCGCCCTGCTCAGCCCTGCTCCGCCCTGCCATCTTGTTTACGGTCGACAAAATCACGCAGAGGATTCCACCATACGGAGATTTTCTTCGACAACTCCGCCCTGCCACTTTGTTTGCGGTCGACAAGATCACGCAGATAAGGACAGCAAGCATTTAGGGAACGAGTCGTGCCTCTCGCAGATAAGGACAGCAAAGTATTCAGGGAACGAGTCGTGCTTCTCATAGGCTACCCTCTGGGACGCCTTTCTTTGTCGCAAAACCTCTTCCTGAGAACTCCGCCCTGCCACTTTGTTTACGGTCGACAAGATCACGCAGATAAGGGCAGTAAGCATTCAGGGAACGAGTCGTGCCTCTCGCAGATAAGGACAGCAAGTATTCAGGGAACGAGTCGTGCCTCTCATAGACCACCCTCTGGGACGCCTTTCTTTGTCGCAAAACCTCTTCCTCAGATGCGCAAATGAGAGCGAGATGTGACCATTTGGCCTGATTCTCCAGTTAGAAGGAGGGTCTGCTGGAAGAATATTCCTCAGTCTGTACATGTATGTAGTTAGCAGGATATGTGAGCTCTGTGCAGTCTAGTCAGTAGCGAATCCATCGACGTCAGAACTCTTGATAGATTGTGGGACGTTGGGAGTTGTTGGTTGCGGGCGGAGTTCTCGGTGTGGCGCAGGGGCGCGCTGTCGATTGTGCGACCGGGCCCTGTCCTTCGCACGACTTGCCGACTTGCTCCGACTCGGGAACTGCGAACCCCAGGAACTGCAGGCAGGCAGGCACGCAACATGGACACTCCGAACAAGGCCCAAAAAGCAAGGCCGGACTCTGAAGGCGGGTAGACAGCGATAGAGACAGATACGGTTAGATACATGGGTAGCACCCTTCTGTGCTACTGTACTGCTACCGTAGCCTTCACAAAGTCCATCGGCAACGCAACAAATGCTCGCTAGCACACCTTTAGCGTCCGCCGCTGCCCCACACCGAAACTACACCTGGTGTGTAGTCGGAGCTGGCCCTGCGGGTATAGCAGCCGTTGGAAAGCTCCTCGACAACGGCGTCAACGCCACCGATATCGCTTGGGTCGATCCCAAATTCGACGTTGGCCTTTGTGGGCGCAAATGGCGGTCCGTATGGAGCAATACCTCTGTCGCTACCTTTACTCGCTTCCTTGAGGCCTCTCCCGCATTCGGCTACGACAAGTGTGAGACCCAGTTGGCACTGCACCAGATGGACGCCTCTGAAACGTGCCAGCTCGGCGCGATGGTCGAGCCTTTGCAATGTGTTACCGCGACTCTCATGCGCAAGGTTTTTTGCTTTCACGACTTTGTGGTCACGGTCGAACGGTCTGGAGCAACAGATGACTGGCTGATGGAGCTGGACAGTGGCAGCACCTTGACTTCCACGAACGTCATCCTCGCCATTGGATCAAAACCTCGCACCATGTCCTCAGGCGACGTTCCCATCCTTCCCGTCGAACACGCCTTGTGTATCGAAACCCTCTGCACAAAAGTTAAACCCACGGACAACGTCGCCGTTTTCGGTTCCTCGCACTCGGCCATCATGATCGTTCGGGACCTCCTAGCGTGTGGTGTCTCTAACGTTGTCAACTTCTACCAAAGTCCATTGATCTACGCTGTGTTCTACCCGGACGGCACTATCCTCCACGACAACACGGGCCTAAAAGGCAAGACGGCCGAATGGGCGAAAGCGAACCTCGAGCACGGCAATCTGCCTACCAACATCCAACGTTACCAATCCACGCCACAAAATATCGAAAAGTACCTCCCCACCTGCACAAAAGTCGTCTACGCTATTGGGTTCCAGCAGGAAACCATAAGCGTCAAAGGTATCCCTAATCCGATCCCGTACGACAACAAAACCGGCATCATTGCTCCTGGACTGTACGGCGTCGGCATAGCGTTCCCTGAACTGGGAACGGACGCGGCGGGGAATATGGAACTGAAAGTGGGCATGTGGAAATTTATGGATTACCTCTCCCGTGTCGTGCCAAAGTGGGTTGCTGCGACCGCGCTATAGAGAACGCTTGGTAAAACGCGGACGGGATGTACATATGTATATAGCATAGAATCTTTCATCGACCATCCCTCCCTCCCACCGTAGCTTTCAGTCATAGCACTCGATAGCTCAAAAGAGATAAGGGTTAGGGTTTAGGCAAGTGCATTTGTGGCGAATGAAAACTTCCGGCAAATGGCCCTCCTGCGTAAAGTCGAGGGAGGAGGATGCATCACTGTGCATTGGAGCGTTTTCAACCCCGGCGCGTGCGTGCTCTGCCGATGAACGTTTGGCGGGGAAAGATTCACAGCACATACCCAGGTCACGCACGAGCTGGGTGGACTCGGATAGTTGCTCCCTTCCCGCGATTTGGGACCACCGCAACGGGCAAAGGGCTTCAACTCAATTCCCCGTTCGTGTACGAATTTACTTGACGACGACACATATATTAATTCTAAGAGCCAGCTCAATCTGTCTACAGGTCTTATAGATGTGGTCTATGCGTATCAGAGGTATATCGTCTATCGTCAATGGTATAATCTAAGGGGTTGACACAAAGTCCTATAGATTCCGGATCTACCAGATCTTGCACCTGTTGGCGGGGTTCAGGGGAGTACCAGCCTTGCACTGGAACGCCTGAGCGAACTCGGGGGTGTTGGCGACAGTTCCCGCAACACGGAACCTGGCAGGAGCGTGGGCGTCGGAAGCGACGGCGGCGAAGAGGGCCTCGGGACGGATGTTCTGGCACCATACTTGGGCGAAGGAGAGGAAGAAGAGCTGCTCGGGAGTGTTGGTGATTCCAGGGAGGAGCTGGTTGCGGGCTGCGCCCTCCGCGGATTTGTATTCCTTGGTCCATGCGGCGTACGACTGGGCGATGCCTCCGTTGTCAGCGAGGTTCTCGCCGAGGGTCTGCGCGCCGTCGACGTTGGCCTTCTCGCCGTCGGGTCCGGTGACTTGGAAAGCAGAGTACTGGTCCTTGAAGCAGACGGCCTTCTGTTCGAACTCAGCCGCGGTGGTGTTGGTCCACCAGTCTTCAACCGCTCCGTTGCCGCCGTAGTGACGGCCGTTGTCGTCAAAGCCGTGGGTCAATTCGTGTCCAATGACCATCCCGATACCACCTAGGAGAGGAAAGAAACGAGAGTTGAGTGATATAAAGGCGGCGTCAGATTGTCAGAAGCGAGGGCAACATACCGTAGTTCAAGTAGTCCGGAACACCGGCTCCGTAGAAGGGACGCTGAAGGATACCTGCAGGGAAGACGATTTCATTCATAGGAGGGTTGTAGTAGGCATTAACGGTGGGAGGGGTCATGTCGAAAGCGGTACGGTCGGCGGGCTTCAAAATGGCAGCGAGCTGCTGTGCGGCCTTCCACCTGTTGATGTCGATGACGGAGTTGACGTAAGAGTTTCCGACCTTGAGCGCCTTGTACTTCTGGGCAAGCTTCTTGGGCTGCATGACGATGTCTGCGTAACCAATCTTCTTGAAAACAGCCTGGGCCTTCTCCAACGCCTTAGCGCGAGTAGCGGGGTCCAGCCAGTCGATGTTGGGCAGGTTAGCCTCGAAAGTGCCGACGATGTTTTCAATCATGATCGAGGCCTGCTGCTTGCTGTCTCCACCGAAAGCCTTAGCGATGAACAGACGGCCGGAGAGCTCACCGACGGAAGCATCCACTTTCTTGATACACGTTTGCCATCTCGCGGGCTCCTCCTTGGCCACCTTGCCGATCTTCTGCAGGTAGTCGCGGAAGATATCGCGAAGAGCCTTGGCGCCGGTGTCCTGGTTGTTGAGAGTATAACGGAAGAAAATCGAGTCTTCGACGACGCTAGCGGGGGTGGCGCTGAGAACTTCGCCCAGCTTGACGAAGTAGTCGACGCTGTTGACGATAAGCTTCGTGTTCTCGTTGATGAGATCGCCGAACGCCTTCTTGGGGAAGAGGGACTGCAGGTACGTGGTCCAGGGCAGCGCCTTGCTGAGGTTGTTGAACTGCTCGAGAGTGTAGGGGTTGTTGGACAAGATGGGATCGTAGATAACGTCCTCTTCTTGCGAAATGTCGGCCAACTTCTTCTCGAAATCGACGACGGCGGCCGCACGGGTAGCAAAGCTAGTCTTTCCGGCGGGCAACAAGGCGGTGAGAACGGCTTCAGTGGTGTTCTGAAGGCGGGAAACTTGGACGGTGTTGTTGTAATATTCCCTGGCGGGGAACAACAGGTCGGGCTGGATCAAAGTAATGACCAGCTGGTCGGGGTTCTTTAAGTTGATAGAGAACGGAGATTAGTTAGGTCGTGCAATCAGATCTTATACGGAGTGCAGAAGGCAATACAAGCTAAACGTACCAAGGGGTTGTTTCCGATGTACAAGTTCGCGACAGCGTTGGTGCCTTGTTGCGCCAAGTACGCAAGAGCTTTGGCGGTCTTGGTGGCGTCTAACTTGTCGCTGTTATCACCCAAGGCCAAGTGCCCGCTGAGGTTCTTCAAAGCGTCTTTGATGGGCTTGAGTCCATCCTTCTCGATCTTCTCAGTGTCCATGCAAAGCTTGTACAGCTTCTGAGGAATGTTGAAGTTGTGGCGGTCGGCGGCCTGATCACAGGAAGAAACATTCACGGGAGTGTAAGGAGCTTCCAATGCGGAGCGGAGGATTTGCAGGTTGGCTTCGTTCAGGTCGTCGAAGGTTCCAATGCGGGTTTTGGCGGCCGGAATGGGGTGGTTCTTGATCCAACCACCGCAGGAGTACTGGTAGAAGTCCTGTGTACGGGCGGGAAGAGAGATGATGGTGGTGGTAAGCGAAAGAAATGCGCACTCTGTGACGCAGTTATTCTTCGAACCATACCGTGCAAGGGTCAGCAGTCGTGTCCATAGCGCTGGAGATCTGCTTGGCAGCCTCCGCGCAAAGCGGAGTGTCGCAAACCGAAGCATCTGCGGCCGCGGCAGCCGCCGAGGAAGCGGCCGACAGGATGGCAGCAGCCGTGGTGATTTGTCCAAAGAAGCGCATTTTCGACGATGGGGGTTGCGGAAGGGAAGGAAGGGAGCCGGCCATGTCCCTCTTTTTATATAATCCCGAATCGGAAGAGCGAGTGCCGGCAATGCCCAGGTTGGACCGCTATCTCCACTGATTCTCCAGGGCCGCACAAGCTTCCAAATGTAATAAAGGCGACGGGCGTCACTATACCGCCTACTACCGACATTGATGGATCATGGATGGGCGGCGGCGTCCAGCAGGTCACGGTGCTCACCAGCAACCGCCGCGTGGTCGCCCAGTGCCCGCCGACGATCCTCATCAGAACGGTATTAGCTTAAAATCCAATAACCGAAGTTCTCGACATGCCGGTACTACTACGTGTCAAGTTTGTGGAATATCGGTGCATATTTGATCGGAGGGTGGGCGGAAGCAGAATTTTCGTCGTTCGAATGGATCCCAAACTTTGCCAATTCCTGGTGCAGAAGTGGGCAAGTCGCTCGGGACAACGCGGCAACCAATTAACCACTCGCCTCTTGGGGTAACCCTAACCCTACGGAATTGCTAAAACGACAGTCATATGCACGACTTTTTGGGTAACTAACCTACCATAACAACATCGACATCGACGCCGACGTTACGACCATGGCGGCGGTCACGGGAATCACCAAGTTGTTGGCCGAAGGTGGAGGAGGAGGGCGATATCGATACCCATAGCGTGCGGACTGCGGCGGTGGGGCTGTGATCTGATCTCCTCTCCGCCGGAGGGGGAAAGCGAAGCTAGTGACTCCTGTACACACTACGAGCGGCACCGACGACTATACCCAATCGATCATGTATCGTTCTCAACGATGAGCTGGACATGGATGTACTGTTCGCGTCACAACAAGAATTCTTCCTGTCGGAGGGGCATTGGGCTCCCTTGGCGTGGTATTTACCGCCAGCAAGGCCAGCCGTAAATTGCTAGCTTGATTTTTGGTGGGTGGCATTCTGCCATTGCTTTTGTGGTCCCTTGCTTGCTCAACATGGAAAGCAGAGCAGAAGCGTGCCGGTGGCGCCGCCGTAAAACGCCAGCCCCACGCCATGCCCATTCAGTTGGTATTATGCCCATGCCACGCCGTTAAACGCCGGCATAGGAGCCGTTGATCTTTCTTGTCGTAAAAGGGGATCGCAACTGTACAGAGAGAATCTATACTTAAATTTCCAACAATATATGTTTTCCTATTACATTGGTGTGTCCGGCTGGGACAAAGTTTCACCGATTCAACGATTTCCTATGTGATCATCAATTCTCTCCCCGTGAAGACCCGGTACACCTTCCCTCGACCTCCTCCCAACACTTTCTCGGAGATCCATTGACACCGCAGTGGAGAGCGGTCCTCCCCTTAGCAACACTTCTGCTGTTGCGCAAGCTGCTGCAACAAATCCGCGTTACGAGCTTCCCTCTGGATTTGCCCGTCTGCTAATTCACCCGCTGCTCAAGATCCGTAACCTGTGTCGCCAGGCGCGCTCTCTTTCACAGCTTGTTTGCGTTCCGCTTTCGAAAGATTCGCTTGTGTTGGTGAGGTGTCGTCTGTGTGGCGTCCGGGCAGGGTTTCTCCTCTCGCTACAAGGCTTCGAACCGTTCCTGGTCCGATGAAGACGACCCTCACCTGGAGAACGGTAATCAAGCCCCCGGCCGCGACTCCGGTCTATCCATCTCGGCTGGACCACTCCTCGGCCTCGCACAGTCGGTTTGGGAAGGTGGCGAGGGGGGGGCGGGGGGAGGGGGGGGGGGAGGGGGGGGGGGCGCCTCTGGGTCCATGACATCTTCGCAGTGGTTTGGTCCACCGGTCGGTGACATACCCGCAAACGGCGCCTCCTGAAAGACCGCAAGTGAGCTATCTGAGCGCACAGAAGGGCACAAAATTGAACGCTTACCCCCCCGTCACAGTATGCGAAGATGGTTGGCGCATGCGGGCCCCCCCACGCAGCAGAGCAGCTACCATCTACCTGAGCTCCGCCGTGTCCTTCCGCTCGCACTCCAGCGCAGCTTCTACTTCCATTTTCTCGAAACGCAGGTCCTTGGCCTCCTCAAGCAGAGTCTCTACTTTACGCCGGGATCGTAGCAGTTGAATCTGGAGGTCATTGACCTGGGCAGAATTGAAGACTTTCAAAGCGTCTTTGGAGTTTTTCCTCATGGGACGCTTTGAGAGTCTTCAAGTCTTCCTCTTGCTTCTTGAGGGTGGTCTCCTACTCATTTCGCAGGTCCAGTAGTTTTGCGCATTTGGCATGTTTGGCATCGAGATCTGTCGCCGCCTGCCGGAGCTCCCTCGCAAAGCATTTGACGAGGTCGCTGACCAGGTTGCTTTCCACGTTGCTGTCCTCAGCTATGGCCTTAGGTCCTGGGAATCCATGACGTTGGAGATTAGTCTTCTGGTAACATATGGAAACTAAAAAAGTGATAATGATGACAAGTACCTCCCCTTCTCCACTACCCCCGTTTCCCTTTCCCTTCCCGCGCCCGCGCCCGCGCCCGCCGGTGGAAGTGGTCGTTGCTGTGATTGAGCCTGGTTTTGGAGCTGGTCAGTGGGTGTGGGGAAAAAAAGGGGTGGTGAGAAGAAAGGGGGGCTTACCAGCGTCCGCAATGAGCGGTACTTCTTCCCTATCTGCAGCGCGTGTTCGGCTTCTGGTTTACATGCCGTGCCTGCTTCTGGGAGGCGGAACGTCTTCCCTATCTCCAGCGCGTGATCCGCTTCTGGTTGTCATGTCGTGCCTGCTGCTGGTTGGCAGCCTGAAAAAAGCGGGTCGAAAAGCCGTTTACCCTTGGCCATACCATCTTTCTGCCCTCACGCTTCACCTTTGCCCTTCGCCCTTCACTCTTCGCCGTTGGTCTTCATGTTCTCCTTCTCGGCGGTGGCGGTGGCGTGCTTGCGTGCCTCTGTCTCTTGCTAATCTTTCCAAAGCAGCTCTCTGAGACCCTCGCCGAATGCGCCGGCTATGAATGGATGGAGGCTGACGTGAGTTCTAAGATCGATAGAGCGACACCTGTAAAAGCGACGACGTTTTTACACTTACGCGCTCTGTCCATCTTCCTTTTGACGTGGTGGGGGATGGGTTTGGGGATGGTGGAGGTGGAGGTGGAGGTGGGCGTAGAGGTGGAGGTGGAGGTGCCGGCGGGGTCATCTGCTGGTGGACAGGGGTCGTGTAAGCGCAACGGAACGTTTGTGGATTGGGCCACCAACAACATCGTAACATCGTGGCATCGTAACATTTCATTCCTTCCGTACCGTCCTGCTTGGCGATCCAGTCGGCTGTCGGCGGCTATTTCGCATCCCTGGACACAATCGGACTTGCCGGTCGTGACGCGCCTGCTTCTTCAACTTCTCGTTCGCGCGTTGCTTGATTCTGTTCTTCCCATGACGATAGGATGTGGAGGAATGTATCTGGTGAGCCCGTGCTGACGAGAGATTCGAACGTTTGTGCTGGGGTCGGTTTGCAAATACTCGAAGAACACGCTCTCTTTCCAAACCCACCCGATAACTCCCGATAACTCTCGATAGTGTGTGTCCGCCACTTACCCGCCAATTACCAGCCAATTACCAGCAGACTGCCAACCAGCGGAACGTCTCCCTATCTCCAGCGCGTGATCCGCTTCTGGTTTTCATGCCGTGCCTGCTACTGGGAGGCGGCACGTCTTCCCTTCCCAGCAGCAGGGCTTCCCTATCTCCAACGGGTGATCCGGCTCTGATTGTGATGCGGGCCATCTGCTGTGAGATCGATGAAGAGGGAGGAATAGGGAATGAGAATGTTTTTTCGGAAGATGATCTCGAGAATGTCCGAGGGGTATGTCCGAGGGGCATGTCCGAATCACAGCTACATGCATACAGCAACTCAGGCTCACTCAGTCACTCACCTGAGAAGAATGCGAAGAATGCGAGAGGAAGAAGAAGAACGGTTCCGGCGAAGGAAGAAGGTTGCGCTCGGGAGTCCCGCTGGGATGCCATCTGCCGGGGGGTATTTATACAGCGCTCGAGATCAGACGGGGGGGGCGACGGGACGGCACAAAGGACGGGACGGATGTCGCCAAGGCGGAGGGATACGGGGGGACGGGGGGGAAATCACATGAAATCCTCGTATACGTACGGTACATATACACGTATCATATGCCCCCCGGATCCGGATCATATGAAATCAGGTGCAATTGGCAGCATTCGCCCCCCGTCTTGCCCGTCGTGCCCGTCCCCCGTCGCTCGCTGAGCCATGATTCGTAATTCGCTCCGTTGCCATGTCAACTTGTGACCCCCCCAACATATAGTAAGCTTCCGAAACGAGTCGAGGTCAATCAAAGCATCCATCTCGCTCAAGTCATTTTTCTCCGTAGCACTCTGAGAGGTATGCTTATCCTGTGTGAACGAGGTCAGTCAGGTTGGCCAAGCTGGCTGAGTTAAGGTGCACGTTGAACCGTTGTTGAGATTTACCCATCTTCCTTCGTCCTCGCACCCACCATCTTCCATAGTCTACCCCTGAATCGACGCGCGAGCAATCGAAGCCCGAGGAATGCGGAGCGAGCCGGCTTGCGAATAGGGGGGCGAGGATGGAACCGGGACTAACAAGCATCGCCCAAGGGTGGGCCAGACGGGCAGGGAGCATTTGGGCATTGGGGGGTCTGGGGAAAGGAGAAAACGAGGTGGAAGCCGAGGTCAACTGAATAACGAGCTCCCTTTCATCAGCATTTGGGGCTGCGCACCGGCCATCATATGAACATAGGTGAAGACTTGAGTCATTGACGTCCCGGTATTTCTAGCTGATAGTATGATAGTAGATTTGCGCTAGGGCGCCATCTGATCGTGGACCCTGGGGACGGAAAGGCATACCAAGTTCTGACGCGCAGCAGTAATCAGCAAGTCTAATCGCCGACAGACAACTCGACTGGTAGGTTGTAGAGTGCGACTACTTAGTGGCTGAAAACGGCCGCCGACCTTGGCTGACACCCATCCGCGGCGTGCCCGCCATTGGGGAGCTGATGAAGACTGAGGACAGAAATTCGCCGCCTGACGAAAGTGGTGGATGGCGACTCCGAGGATGGAGACGGCGGCGTGAATGCAGCGTAGATGGATGCAAATGGTGCCTCCTTCCTGCATATGTCACCCCTTCGGCCATGAATCCGGGGTTCACTGTAGGTTGTCGGCGGCAACATCAGATCGACAGGTCGTCGCCGTCGCTGACATCCCATCGGCAGGTAGAAAAATGGACAGGACGGGAGTAGGCGGGAATATCATTCGTGAAGGCCAACGAGGAAAGCTTCTGGTCAAGCCCGTTTTCCAGCTACAGACCCTCCGCGGCAAGGTCTTCAAATGTCTCTCGGACAGCCTCATCTCGTGATCGACTACACCAGCCTTCGGCTGATAGCCGTGGACGTTGTGTCGACCGACGTAAGCCCAGCCTGCGCCGTCCACCTTGACCTCTCCACCGATAGCGGCGTCCACGGCGAGCTCCAGCAGCGTAGCCTGGAGCTCGTCCGTGATACATATTCCTAACGGGGGATTCTCCACAGGCACGGATACCACCTTCGTCACGCCTGAGCAGCTCCTGAGAGGGGCGGCTTCTTATACACGCACGCGAACAGCCTTGACAGGTAATCCTTGAACGTCTCTATCGCGCCTGGTGCTGCGGCACTATCGGCGTTCCCGACACAGCTCAACATGCAACCCATGACAAACACAAACCTCCTCACGAAGATCTGATACGGCGCCGGCGCAACGTTCAAATACTCAAGCACTTATCGGTCGTCGTTGATCTCCTGCTCGACGCAGAGCTGCTCGATGGTGGGGAGGAGGGATAAGAGCAGGGTTAGGAGCCTGTGCAGGGGGATGACACGACACCACCGGGGGAGACGTCGCTGCCGACGTCAAGACGGGAGAGTGAGGTAGATAACTCTACTTGTCTACCAAATATCCACCCTTCGCAGTGTGAACTACCGTACCCCATGATATGACAATGTGCTCTAGCAAGGTTCTAAAAGCGGTGCCTCGACCGTAAGGTCAGGGTTAGGGTAGAAAATTTGATTGAAATCTTTGCACGCGTTGAGCGTGCAAGCTATTCTTCAAGCGCCCCGAGATACTTCTTGGCTGTAGATGCGCTCCACGCCTCGCGTTCACCGGTATGTCCTTTCCTCCTCGGGAGCGTCAGGATAATTCCATCACGTATTTTCCCTCAGTCCCTAAGCCCGTTTCCGTGGCTGTGGTTTCGCTGGATAGTAGTAGATAGGGACAGTGGGAATCTCGTTAATCCATTCATGCGCGTCACTAATAAGATGACGAGGCATTTAGCTACCTTAGGAGAGTCATAGTTACTCCCGTGCCAACCACAGTTCCATCTACAATCCCAACAATTCTAATGTTCGATGGGCCAAATCATGTATTGACGGATTGCTATAATTCTCATATTATATAATATTATATATGCCATTGTTTCGCCGAGTATTTGCCGTTATGGCACGGTTCGAAATAAATGACAGAATGCCACTCTTCTGCGGCGCAGCTTCCTCCTGCATTGGAGAGGCCGCGTGGGAGGCCGAAAACCAGGTGTGGAGAGTGGAAGTCAGGCAAGCCCGGCAAAGGCATTGGCGGGCACAGCTGGCTCTCAGAACCGCTTCAACCTGCGGACAAGCGGGTCATAACCGTAAGAACCTGCCGAGAAGCACACTCCTGATATGTTCTGTTCACTTGTAAGCTTCCCGCTTTCTTATTTGACTGCATTCTCCAGGTTTCGGAGCATCTTTCCTTTATGTAGGGCTTTTGCATCCTTCTGTGGGAACCCTAAAAAGAAACCCTTCAAAGTTGGGGTAGTCGATGGGTGCGAGCGACGGGGATCGACGGCACTGTGGCAATTTGCGAAATTCGAAAGACGCGGGGCATAACAGCAAATGTACTCGGCGAAGCCATGGGTATATTAACAAATTTCTCTATTCATACACAACGCGAGAACTAACAGACGAATCCTTCTCGGCGGTGGCGGTGGCGAGCTGCCGAGTCTCTTCCTGCGCTTTCCGAAGGTCCTCTCTGAGCCTCTTGCCGGGTGCGCCAGCTATAACGGGCTGATGTGAGTTCCAAGTCCTCCGTATTAAACTCCAACCACCACTGTAGGGACATACAAAAGCATCCCTTGTTTTCATACTTACGCGCTCTATCCAACCTCTTAAACGTCTTCGCCCGTGCCCGCACCTTCGATAGACCTTTCTTCGGCTTGTTGTAGCATCGGTCGATGGGTTTGATGGGGTGGGGCACGGGTTTCGGGATGGTGGAGGTGGGGGTGGAGATGGAGGTGGAGGTGGAGGTGGAGGTGGAGGTGGAGGTGGAGGTGGAGGTGGAGGCGGAGGCGGAGGCGGCGGTGCCGGCGGGGTCCTCTGCTGGACGGACAAGGGGTCGTGTAAGCGCACCACAACATCGTTAACATAGCATCCTAACATTTCATTCCTTACCGCTCTCCTTCGCGATCCAGTCCGCGACCTTTTCGCAGCGCTTGACGTACTCGGGCATGCGTTGGAAACGCCGGTCGCGGCGCGCCTGCTTCTTCAGCTTCTCGTTGGCGCGTTGCTTCACTCTGTTCTTTCCCATGATGGTTAGGGTTAGGGTTAGGATTGGGAGAAAGGTATCTGGTGAGCTTGTGTCGACGAGAGATTCGATCGTTTGTGCTGGGGTTGGTTTGCGAATCGGAAACTCGAAGAACACGCTCTCTTTATATACCCAGCGAAGTGTAGCTTGGCGAAGGAGGGGATGGTACAGTGCACGTCGTCGAATTGGACTCGACTTTCGTCGCCATTCCACGGGAGCCCACCACCTATGCTGTCGTCGTCCCACCATCCATCCCTCGTGTCAGCACGCCATCGTCGTCGTTCATCGTCGTTCATCCCGACCCCATCCAACGCACAAATGCGCGTCGCCATCACCTCGCGTCGCAACCCCTTCAGACACCGACCGCGTTTCCCGCCTACTCCAGAGACCTTGTGCATACCACGACGCATTAACAAAACACAACCATCCCCAGACCATCGTCGCCAAGTCACAGAACATCATGGAGCCTTCCAGCCCGCCAATTGCTCATGAATCATCGGAATCATCTGAAATGCGGCATTTGAAATGCGGAGCATGCAATTCCTGCTCTGGGGATGGTTGTGTTCTGTATACCGTAATGCGTTGTAAGACGCACGTTCATGGTGCCACATAACCAGGGGTAGCTACCCCCGCGCGTAACTGCTCTTTCGGCCACCCGCTGTATTTCGTGCACCATCTGGATATCCATAGCAAAGGGGGAGGAAAAGAACCAGCGTTTGAGGGACGCGTGCAGGGTGTCCGGAAACGCGTCCTCCAACATTCGTCCGCGTCCACCGACCCTGGGGCTCAAGACCACCACTCGTATGCTGCTATCACTATTCGACATCACGGCACCCCAGGGCAAGCCCAAAGGTATGACTGGGTATGACTGGGTATGGCGTACGTGATAAACTGTATCCTGACTACGTACTTCTGTTTCTTCCCCCTTCGAATCCATGGTACACGTAGAACGCGATGCAATCTCCAAAATCATATGATTGCAAATAAGAATTGACTGTATATACAGTAGGTGGCCATTGCCCGGGTACGACGGAACAAAAGTCGCCGGCCTGCCTACACACCCGAAGAAGCACGCAAATTGACGGCAGCCGGTCGTTGATTTTTGGGTTCCATAAACATGCGCAGAACCCGTCGTACCCAGATACACCTGGCCTCCTGTATATGACCCGTCTGTCCGGAAACGCGTCGGACTGTCAAGGGATCTCGTACAGTACTTCACGCGCTTCTGTTTCGAATCCATGGGAAGAACGCGATGCAAATCAATCTCGTTCGAATCCAGGGGACATCTAGAACGCGATGATCACAAATGGATGTCAATACACGTTGCGACATCCTCGAGTCGATTGGGCCGTGATGATTCACAAAGGCCAAGCAAAGGCCCAGGGACGAACTGAAAGGAATGAACAAAGGGCAGTGCAGAGACCCTCATTCTCTTCACGCGCGGATTGCGGGCATTTAGCATGACTGTGCCACCTTTTTTGGCTGGCTATAGCGCTCTGTCGGCTGCGAGATAGAGCGAGCAACCCCCGCCCGCCGTCTATAAAAGCCCACCCACCTCGGCATTCCTTCCTCATTTCTCCCCAGGCCAACTTTACCGACGTGGGAATCCTTTCGCTATAAGCTGCCCATTGCCGTCGACTGAGGTTTATACCGAGGCGGCCCCTGCATAGAGGTAGAGGAAACCCGCACACCTGATACGTCAGAGTGGACTCTTGCTTCGCGCCAATCGGAACGTCGACGTGGTTGGCCTACTCCTACCCACAATCGATATGAAGGTACTTTAAAGTCATACTCCCGATCATCTCTGGGCTCATCGGCTCATTCGCGTCTTCTTCCCGCAGGTTCCATATCGCACACGATAAGATCACGGCTTCGAATCTCACACCCCAAGCTTTCGTTCCGCCGCCAAGGTACGGCCTAGGTCTCCGAGTCATAGTCGCGATCGTCGCTGGGCTCACCGGCTCATCCACGTCTTCGTTCCGCAGGTTCCATATCGCACACGACAAGATCTGAGATTGGAAGCTCACACCCCAAGCTTTCTGTCCGCCGCCAAGGTACGGCCTAGGTCTCCAAGTCATAGTCGCGATCGTCGCTGGGCTCACCGGCTCATCCACGTCTTCGTTCCGCAGGTTCCATATCGCACACGACAAGATCACGGCGTCGATTCTCACACGACAAGATCACGGCTTCGATTCTCACACCCCAAGCTTTGTGTTCGCCGCCAAGGTACGGACAAGCTCCTTCAAGCCGGTCTCTCACTCGTCGCCTCCAGTCTCTCATTCGTCGGCTGATCGTTTCTCCATCTCAGCTTCATCGGACTCACCCGAGCCGTAAGTCCTTCTGTGATTTGCTGTTTACTAGACCTTCTCTTTTCTCTTTTGAAGGCGGGAACCCATACTGGACAGCCTTCTCGTGGCGGTTCCTGTTGAGTACCCGGCTTTTAGTCGGCGAAACCAATGGTCCAGTCGAACGCCTACAAAGCCGCGCAATTGTCGTGATGTTATACTACGTTTTCCTACATTGTGTATCTATAAATCTGTACTTGAAATACAAAGATTCCTTTCTCGTCTACGTACTGTACATTTGTTCTCAAACATGCTTCGGATTCAGACCTGTCGGAAGCAGGGTAGTGAAAACGTGTAGCAATTCCAAATCCAATGTGTTGGGTGGAGAAGTTCGGACGTGTTGTGAACACACCTGCGGTCTACCGACATGTCGCCTTTTGCAGGTAATGTAAGCTCTTATTTGGTTACCCACCAACATTGTTCGCTCACAAATGCGATACACAATTAGGAGCCCAACCCGGCCAATTCAGCAAAGCGAGACTGGCTTCGATGTGCAGGGGCCTGCAGCCGAGGAGGGTGGTTCCATCGTCGCTGTTTTATGGACACTGTGCCGAAGAAGCCTGTTTGGTGGTGCCACGAGTGCAAACCCTCGTACCGACAGCAGGTTAAGGCTTGGAGGGCCACTGAACAGCTACAGACCGAGGCTTCCTTGGCTTTATACCCAGCCCCTGCTAGCGACACTGGGAAACACAGCGCCAACGATGACGAACCAGCCCTTTGTGAGTCCAAACAGCAGGTGCGATGGCGGCAGGTCAGAGCACTCCGGTGCTGCGAGGAGGTCCTGACGAGATGGAAGGGGGGATGGCTGCTGTCGTCGCAAATAAAGGGAAGAAGCGGTCATATGGATCTCGCCCATCGAGCCGACGAGAAATCTTCGACCAGCTTATTCTCGATAAGCGAGATGGAAAACGACCCTCGTTTTCGCAAATTGGTGTTACCCAGCGACACACCTATGGTCGCCCAACCACACTTCGATTGCCTCCACTTTCCTTTCCAACTCTCGATGCTCGTGCGATCAGTCTTGGAGTCAAGCTTCCACCGAGGGCAATCGAGTGGTTTGCTAGCAAGGAAACTGAGATAGTTCTTGCTCACTGTCCTCGTCGCACTGCAGGTTGCTTCCATCTCGTTCCTCCCGACGCAGCACTCCAGAGGCCTCCGACTTTCATTGACTGCGACACGGTCATATATGGTCTCGATGAGAAAAACAACTACGAAATTCTTGCAGTTCATATACCTGATGCTCTTTCCTCCGAAGCGACGGTGGCAATGTGCGACGTTTATCACCGATGGATCGAACAAGCGAAACCCAACTCGCAGCCCCACAGGCATCGTGTAAGTGTGCGATTCAACCAGGAGCGATCGGGTACCCATCCGAAGCAGGGAACGGCGAAGTTCGGGCCTGCCATTCAGGTGTTTGGAAAGCACGAGGCAGCAGCAGCGTCAGTCCTCTTGGTGAGATCGCTAGGCCCAATGCCGAAAGGTAAGTTGCCTTCCGAATGGTCATCGTGTCCGAGAAATCTAACACCTCATAGATCCGAGGGTGCTAGGGAGGTTCACGAAGCCTATCGCAGCCTCGGTATTGCTGAACTTATCCATGCGAAAGCCTGGATCATAGCTCCTACTGAGTATTCTGCCAACCGATCGGCCATTGCGAAGCTTTCTTGGAAGATACGTCGCAACTCCCTATCAACGATTGCTGGTCGACACACACCCCAATCGTTCTCACAGGTGAGTAGATCGGTACAATTATTCCGATTTCCCAAGATCGTCAATACTTTTTATAGATCATGTTACTAAACCAAAGGTCTATGATTCACCTAATTCCAAATGTGAATCAAATAATGAATGAATCTCAGCACGCGTAAAGATGGTTGTAGGAACTCGACCGCCGATTGTCATTACGATGTGGAGGACCGAGGCTTCACAGCACAATACACCTGCGGTGACTTCGACAATGGTGGAGACCTTGAGCTCATCGACATTGGCTACATTTTGAAGCACCGGCCTGGGACACTTACCCTCTTTTGACCTGATATCCTTCATCATTCGGTCACCGATTACGACACTGACGATCGCTTTGTTCACTCAATGTTCATGCAGACAAAGGTGTTTCATACGAGTGGATTGTAATATAATCAGGAAATCAATGTCTGTTATTATTGAATGTCATCGTGAGTTCGCTTTCGAGGCGGTACTGATTACACTGGCTACTTTCAACTGTTCGGCCTACGATATCGCTATCTACTCGATGGAATGATGGTACAGGGGTGTAAGGCAATGCTGTGGCATCGGCATTTGCGCGTTTTTTTGCATCGGAAGTCGCCGATCGGGTTTGGGAACATGTTTTCCCAATGTTGCACTCGCCGAGGCGTTGGAGGATCGAGGCTCATCGGGCTCTACAAAAGTCGCTATCATTCAGAGGGTGAGTCCAATCGGTATCTTTTACGAAACACATTTAAAGCTAGGGGCCATTCTTACGAGCGAAAGGTGTATTGCAAGGATCTCCTATATTCGTTATATCACTATTACAGCCCATCCCTAATCGCTCTCACTCTCACCCTCCTCCCGGCTACTACAATCCTCACACTCGCCGCCGTCCGTCTCGCTGTCACTGTCACTCTCCACCGGCCGAGCCCGCTTTTTGCTCCCCTCTCCGATCCACGGATCGCGATGTTTCCATCGCCAAACATCCGCATCAACCCAGCGAACGCGTTGCGAGATTTTCTCCCCCCCTGATTTGAGCTTCTTATTGAGCCGGCGGCGGTAACCGTTCTCGTGGTCACTAACGACGATGACTCCGTTTCGGTCGACGGTCTCCATGAACCCAGCTTTCATCACTCGGGGCTTGCGAGAGGTAGAGGTGCCGACAACCGTCTCGATGCCGGCCTTCTGATCGAGGATGACTTTAGCAAGGCGCTCTTTGTCCAGCCTGTAGCGGTATCAACTGCGTCGATGGGAGCATCGTTGAGCGTTGTTAGATTCGCTAACGTTGTGTTCAAAAAGCCCAGCGGGAACATCATGCTGAAAGGTTATTGGGTAGGTACATACACGAGTGGCAGACCCAGCGGCTAACTGGTGGGAAAATAAATCGAAGGTACCTCTATAGTCGGTCGCTTCAAAGTGTCTTCTTTTATCAAGGAAAAGCACCGAGGTCCGTTTTCAGATTCTGAAATTGTTTTCTGCGACGTTCTGTGTGTGTTCACCGCACTGTCGGGAACGTGGGCGTGTTGGGCCGTTTGTGTGTAATGGGCGGTGAGCCTTCAACAGACGCGCGCGAGCGTGAGTTTTTCTACAGAGCTCTCCGGTCGAGTCTCGCGTCGCCACATTCAAGCCTTGTATATCATTTCTATGCACGCATCACAGCAAACCTCGCAGACAGCTCTTCCTTTTTTCTAGCAACCTCTGCATCATCTTTGTCCGTGACCGTCCACGCCGATAAGGGGAGATGGGCCCAATTTGAAAGCGATTCCCGGCCGCGCCCGTCGTTCATGAGAGCAAAGTAAAACTCCTCTTTGGCTTTCGACGTTATCATCCCTGAGGCAAAACCCTTCAAGTTGTATATCACAGCGAATTGTGCTCCCAGGGAGAGAAGATGTTGCACAACTTCCAGTTTGCAAGCCCAAAACGCAGAGTTCAAGCCGCTGTCTATCCACAGCTGACGGTTCGGATTGTCATCACCGCCCCAGCTCAGGAGAAGGTCCAGGTACTCAATGTTTTCTGAAGCTGAGACGGATGCTGTTTCACAGGCAGATTTGAATGCGTCCAATAGATCCATGCCATGGTGATGCAGGAGCCTTGTCACAGCAATGTTCAGTGCACGACCGGCGCAGGCGGCTACGGGGGTTATATGCTGTCCGCCGGCCAACATCTTTTTGATGAACTCCAGATCGGTAGTTTCAACAGCTTTTTCGGATGTTGGACGAAAGTTGCTGGTAAACAAGTACGAGAGTTCTGGCTTACTGGATGCCCCCTAGGAGATTAAATAAAGAATAAGCAAAAATGATGTAATATTCCCTCCAGGCGCATTCTTTAATGCAGACAGGAAGTCTTGCCTCGAGGAGATAGTTCACTATCTCAGATTTATTTGCTCGGTATGCTTCATCGACCGGAGTGTAGACGTCGCCGCCATAAAATCTCGAGGCGTTAGGGCCGTTGAATAATTTCTCCTGAACCGCCCATCGCACAATGTCAATGTTGCCGGACCTCGCGGCATAAAGCAGAGGGTTGCCCCATGTAGGGACTACGCCGTGGGCATGTATCCATTTCGCCAATGAAAGCAGGTCCCACCTCATCGCTTGCAGCAGCACGGTGTGGTTATAAAAGCTATTTGGTATCCAGGTGCCGCCTTGCAAGTCTAGCTTCTTCACATCCTCCAAGATGGCAAAGAAGAACGGGGATCCTCCGGAGGATGATTGCTGAGGTTCTGTGATGACAGTCTCGTCCGGACGCAAGAACGGATAGAAGACCGGCCCCAAATCGTTGATGCCGGAATCCTCAAAGTCGGGAAAAAACCCTGTTGGCGGCACGCGCGCATTGAACATGGAAAAAAGAATCGAACTACGCACTCTACCCGATGCATCGCGAGTCCGGTTGCACATGACGGCGACCAAGGCCGCGTAGTGGCGGGGACGCACAGCAGCCCTAAGAGTGCGGCACGAGGAAGTGAAGGCGAGGAACGTGAGCAGGTCGACGAGAAAGCCAGCCACCTGCGAGAGCACGATTGAAGGTAGTCGTGCCAGGGAAAGCTCGGACATTCTTGGTGAGATCGTCGCATACGCTGGTAAAGATAAAGTGACCACCAACGTCGGGTTTGATTGTGAGAGATCACTTCTGCGTCGTTGTTCTATGCTGCGCACGTCCACTGTTTTGACTTTGAAGCGCAGATTGCAGTGATGACCGCCAAGAGTGCCAAGAGTCTGGATTCTGGATTCTGGACTTTCTGCAAGTCCGATTCAACTCACCTTTCTGGACGACGCGCAACACCGACTTCAGTTGGCCTATCCGTACATACTGTAGGTACCCCGAATCCAACCGGCCCGGACAGTGTTCCTCTCTCATCACATTCCCGTGGACATGTACAGTATGTCGGCCAAAATGAGACTGGCGGCGGCGGTCGTCATACCAACAGCTCCCGTCTACAATCAGTCTTGCTGCAACCTTCCTTCTCACTGCGCCCCGTTGCCCCAGACTTATGTCGCCCATGCCGTTGCACGCAACCCCGCAACCGGCGTTGAACGCCGCGCCACCCTCTCGATCGACGCTCCACCCGGTTCAGCCGTCCGCATCAGTGACGGAGCCGAGCCGCCACCGCCACCCCTGCCGCGCGGCTACAACACCGGGGCGGAACTGGAGGCGGTTGTCACCACGCTGGGCATTACAAAGAGCCGCAATTCCCTCGATCACATCGTCTTCCTCGGCCTGCTGGCCGGCATCTGGGTGGCCTTTGCTGGAATGTTTGCGCAGCAGGTCGCTGGCGGCGTTCCGGCGGACATACGGGCGTCCTGGCCGGTGCTCCCAAAGTTGCTGCTCGGTGCCACATTTCCCATCGGGATCGTCTTCATCGTGCTCTTCGGAGGGGAGCTTTTCACCGGAAACACAATGATCATGGTAGTCGCACGGCTCAACCGCAAGGTGACAAATAGAGACGTCCTGGTCAATTGGATCGTCGTGTTCGGCGCCAACTTCGCAGCCTGCGCCCTAACTGCCTACCTGCTGGGCTACTTGACCGACCTGTTCGAACCGGAACCGTTTCGCTCCTATGTGATTGCGATCGCCACTCGCAAAGTTCAGCTGCCCTTCTACAAGGCGTTTCTGATGGGCATACCAGCAAACGCACTCGTCTGTCTATCATTCTTTCTAGGCCTTGCCGCACGCGACGTCACCGGGAAGATTCTGGGACTTTACCTGCCGATCGCTACGTTCGCCGCCACGGGCTGGGAGCACTGCGTTGCCAATATGTACTACATTCCCATTGGTTGGATGTATGGCGCTCCGGTCACCACCGGCAGCATGCTTGCCAACATCTTCAGTGTTGCTTTGGGGAACATAGTGGGCGGGGGTCTCCTGATCGGAGGAAGCGAATTTTACATGTACCATTGGCACCGCTCCAGCGAGCCCGAGAGGCACTCTGGAAAGTGGGGCAAGTCAGGCAAGGACAGGAGGGACGACATTGTGATCCTCGAGGTCCATGAAGGGGTCCATGACCATGCCAGGCCTGCATCCGAGGCCCCTCCGATTTCCGACCTCATCGTGTGAAAATGCACTCTCTCACATCAAAGACGTAATCGCGACGCCGCTGGAAAGGCCGCAAAAAATCCCCATGCTGCGAGGACGCCACACAAGAGTTAACCGGAGATGAATATCATTGAAACCCACTAGCACGTCTCTATCGGTCCCTGCACCTCCTCCAACTAGTTAGCCCGCAGATTCCAGTTGCCCCAGTGCAGCGTGTTTCTTAAATGTCTTGAAATGGTTACACATACATCCAAGCTAAGAACAATAATTCACAGGCTCCTTAAAGCATCCTCACTCCGTCTCCTTACAGAGCCCTGCGCGGTGCGACGGACGCCTTTGCTTCACAGAGAAATCTGTCGCGCTACTCCCGGGTCCACAGATCCTGAAAGAGCAAACCGAAAGATTTCGCAGTCAGCCCGGGTTCCGAGCTATCGTTGCAATTTTCTCTTACTCGCGGAGAGACAAAAGAGCCTGCACACGTACCTTCACCCACAAAACATTTCCGCTCAAACTCCGTCTGCCGCGTTCGAAGGCAGCGACCGCTTCGTCGGCATTGCTGGCCGTTTCTGGTTCAAGCGCGGGAACCGGTTTGTTGTCCAGGACGTGGTTGAACAGAAACATCCAGTTGATTGCGGAGACAACCTGCACAAAATTTCAGGTTGAGGCTTTGCGCCCTCTGGCGCGTCGTATGCTCACCGTGAAGTAATCCTCATTAACATTCTGCCGAGCCGCTCGCGACAGGCGCTCGCGCAATTTCGGGTTCGTCACCAAGGCGTGCAGGCGCTCCACGACTTGCTCGACGTTGCCAACCGGGACGAGGAACCCCGTTTTTTCATCAATGATCTGATGGGGGATTCCACCAGCGGCATAGGCGACAACCGGAACGCCTCGTAGGTACCATGTGGTCAAATGAACGCCTCACTTCATGAGGAGCCGTAAATCCCGCTCACCTTTCTGCAACGCCTCAGTCACTTTCACCTCAAATCCTGGCAAGGATAACGTGAGATCAGCTTCGTCATTGATTCGCGAGTAAGCGAAAGCCCACTTGCTCACCTTCTCTGGTGGAGAGCTGCAATGCGACAAGAGCGCCTCGCAAAAGGCAATTGAGCATTTGATCCGATGGCGGGAGGCAGGCGGGTACAATGTCGTCTACTATATTCTCAAACTCGGTGTTCGCTAAGGTACCGAGCACCTGTTCAAAAACCAGATTGCCATCGGGGTCGTCGATAGATCCGTGACCCGCGAGGATAAGCTGAGGGGTAAGCGCGATTGGAACATTTTCGGCCTCGAGGCGAAGACGGAGGGCGCGGTAGGCCCGCAGGACGTCCGGGATTCCCTTGCTAGGATCGAAGCGCGCAATCTGAACAATGTACGGACGCTCGCCAAATTCTGCTCCGCGACCCACGGCGTCGGTGGCGATCCGGTTGAAAAGCGATTGGTAGTAGGTCAAAGCCTCGGGATCAAGCTCCTTGTTGAGACCGTCTGCTCCCATTGGCTTTAGTGCTGAATCATCACAACTCTTCGAACGAGAGGGAAGACGCGCTACCTAACATGTCCGTGCACGCAGGCATCATCAACAACTTGGTCCTCGGAACGATTTTTGGCACGAAACTCGCGACGGGGTGCGATATGAACAGATCCGCATGCTGAATGAAACCCCACAGGTACTGCCACACATGGTGCTGCTCGGTCTTTGGGTCGTCCGCGAGGTGAGAAGCAATTTCGATGTGACTTCTGTAAATGATTTTGCAGCGTGGATTCAGGCGCTTGATGGCCGGAATGATACCGCACGCTGGAAGCTGGATGAGAGGCGTTTTGACCGTTGGGGTACGCCATTGGCAGCTTACGTTGGGGATCATCGATAACAATGACATCCGATTCTTTCAGCGGTCCATCGGCCCAGTACCGTTTCACATTCTCGTTGCACCACTAGTCGTGACACGATGGGAGCGGACGTATTAGTAACGAACAGGCCAGACTCCAGCAGTGAGATTTCCACGAACGTGCACAAATAACGCCTTGTCCTTGTCGGTCAGTTCGGTGCCTGAGGGTGCAACACCCTGCAGAACGTTATGGAACTTGCGTTTGGTAATTTCGAAAATGGCTGGATTTGGCTTCATCACAAACCACTTAACGTCGAGGTCTGTCAGGCCGAAGAGCCGGAGGAGCGCGTGACGCATAAGCGCAACTACACAGTCCATGCACATTAGCCTTTGAGTGCGTTGGTGAAGAATGCCCCCCGACGGGATTGCCTACCCCCGCCACCCTGGCTTGTCGAACTGAAAAACGCGATCTTGACGCGCCGCTTTTCCGTCTTTCCGACGAGGTCTTTGAAGACCGTCCATGTGTGGGCGGTGACCGTACGTTGGTAGTCAACCGCGTCGGCAAGGCGAATGCTGCCATCGCCATCAATCTCCACCTTGTGAACCAGGTTACTGAATGAAACCCGGCGAGGCCCTGAGCGGAGAACACCAGCACGTACCATGTGTCTATAGCCGACCACGATTCGAGGGATGTTACCCGAAAAGTGCGGGTTAAGGTAGATTTGGGCCTTCCGGGCAGCCGAGCACGCCCGTTCGTCGAGACTGACGCCTCGCGTGTTCACAAAGACGGGAAGAACGTCCAGCTCAAACCACAGCTTGGCATGCAGACGCAGCAGTCTGGATGCAACGTGGGTCCACAGCAGAAAGCTCTTGCCGGCCGCCTCTTGGATGTTGTGTCCTTTCGGGGCTCCGATTCCCGCCGCCATGATCTTGTATCGGTGAGACGCGGCGTATGCCTTGAGCCATGCCAGTATGGCGGTTTCCATCCGGGTGAGGTAGTCTTTGCTAACAAAGTCGGCGATGTCAGCCATCGCTACTCTTCCGACATCGCTTGTGGAGTCAACGGGCGGTGTCGGCTGGTCCGTGTCGGAAATTTCGTGAAAGCCCTGTGTGTCGGCCATAATCTGGGTTGTGAAGTCCACTTCATCTGAAGATGGAACGGATCGTCAGGTTGCGGTGTGAACCACCTCGCACCGCTTCGCGGACACTCGCTATCCACAGTCAACTTACAGAAACCGTCGTGCACGTAGATGGAGAACGCGGGAGTGGGAAAAACGGGATGGATTTCGATGCCTACATAGACGCCCTGCGGCACGGCTAACGCAGGCAAGAGGCGGGGACGCTTCGTGGAAGGGATTGAGAGTGCGCGGGCGCGCGGGACGGAGGAGTCGGAGTGGGTGGCCATCGAAAGACAAAGCAAGCCGGGAGCGGGTGAGTCGAGAGCGAGAGAAAGACACGTACTGTACAGGTACTATTTTTTATAGACCTGGGGGTCAGGGTGGTGAACAGAAAAGCAAGGAAATTGGAACCGGCCGGGATGTGAGGAGCCCCTAACCCTAACCCATAGTACACCGAACGTGGCGCAGGTCAAGAATCAAAATGATCGCGTCGCAGATGTGGCGCCGATCCGAGATCCACCACGGGTTTCTCAGGAGTGTGGGGCAAGCCACAATGACTGCCGGGAGTCTGGATTCTGGAATGTGGGCTTTCTGGACGCAACGCCTGGTGGTGCCGTCCGATGAAAATTGTACAATTGTACTATAACCCGCCTCCCGCTTGCAGAACGGGGCCACCCACACATGCCAGCATCACCCTCGCACCCACCGCGTCACCCTCCCTGTCTTGGGGGAGCCCCCGACCCCAGCGCAAGCGGCTCTATCCCCAAGACTCCGGGCTCCTCCTCTTCAGCCACGTTCTTCCTGGATCCCAACTCTGGTTTGATAGTCGCCGCTGATCGGAACACTCGAGGCCTGTTGGGCGTCGACGAAGCTTCCATCATCGGTCAGGGTTTCGGGTCGTTTGTTCAGGACGCTGGTGGTCGACCTTGGAATTATGAGGTTAGGTTGCGGTGCGGATCTGCACGGAGCCGCACGGAGCGGGAGACTAACTCTCGAAATTCTCGAAGGAGATTATGCGCATGCTGACAAGAGGGGAAGGTTCTTCTACGCCTCCTGCGTCACATACTGAGGCCGGTGCCCAGGAAACGTGCCGTTCCAATAATCATCACTCTGGACTCTCGCAGCTTCTTACTTCGAATAGCGCCACCCTATCCGCAGAATGCGCTGGAAAGGCAAAAGTACCCGTCAGTGTGTCCTGGTCAGTGATGGATATTCCTGGAAAGGATGCGATCAGAGTCCTTCTTGCCAAAGTCGAGAATCTCAGGGGACTCGCTGACAAAAGTGAGAAGATTTTGGAGGCCGTTTTTGCTACGTGTAAGCTGTGATCCCTTGAGCCGTAGACCATTTACATTCCTAAATCGAGCATTGCGGCCGGCCATCTTCAGCTCTCTCATCGCGGACATTAACAACCTGTTTCTTCCTCACAGCGCTGAAATGCATCATCGTCATCTCTGCCGAAGGAAGCATACAGCTATTTTCGTCGGCTGCTGAAAAGCTATTCCAGTACTCGGAACACGAGATCCGCGGCAAGAACATAAATATATTGATGCCCTCTCCTTTGCGTGAACGTAAGCGGCGCGGATGTGGTTGCACAGTTTTTTTGATCTACTCGCCTGATAATGGTGTACTTTCACATACGAGTAGTTCATGACGGCTACTTGAAAAATAAGGATCACGCACATCGTCGGTCCGTCATTGGCACTACAAGGGAGGTTTTAGCTCAGCGACGGGATGGGGTCTGTTTTCCGATCGAACTGAGTGTGTCTGAGATGCGGATCGGGGACCGACTGTTCTATACCGGTATCCTTCATGATCTCTCCGAGACCAGGCGTGCGGCAGCAGAACGAGAAAAGAATGCGGCCCTATTGACCTCGGTGATCAATTCTACCGTCGACGCGGTGTGTGTGATTGATAGGCAAGTGTTCTTTCCAGCGCAATGCCCGTCATGTCTTTTGTCCATTTGAGATGTATTTTTCATAACTGTTCTCATGATCGTATGCAGCCAAGGGATACTGGAATTGTTTAATCCGGCGGCCGAAAAAATATGGGGGTATCCTGCAGACGAGGTGTTGGGCAAACACGTCGGCCTGTTGGTACCGAACCTATCCCACGGTGGGAAGCGCCTGAGGAGTCAAGTGATATCTGCGTTCAATCCCCTGATCCTGTTTTTGCCTCTCTGAAGTTCACGATGGGCAATTTTCTGCCTATATGGAAGCAGACCAGGCGCAAGTTCCTGGAACCTCTCGCGAGGCCTCTGCACAGCGGAAGGATGGAACAATTTTTCCCTGCGACCTGGCAATAAGCGACTTTCACGTCGCGGGGGAACGCAAATTCACCGCTGTAATTCGTGACATTAGTGATCGCCAGACTGCCCAGCGACGGATCATAGAACAGGCCAATCAGCTCGCTGTCATGGTGAAAATAAGCGAGCGCGCTCGGTTGCGTTTCTTGGGGACGATGTCGCACGGTAAACCCCGCCCCACTCCAATCTCACCTGACCTTGAATTGCATTGACATTCCTATGTTATCTGTTAAAAGAACTCCGCACACCGCTCACTGCCATCATTGCCAACGCCGATCTTATCCTTGACAATAAGCTCACCGATGACCAAAGCCATTGTATGGTCGCTATTCAAGCGGCAGGAATATCCCTCCTCAAATCCGTGAACAGTATCCTGATGCATATTGAACTGGATACTACAAATCAACCAAGTATTCCGGTTGCGACCTCTGCATTTGTTCATTTCGACTTGAACGCTCTTTTGGACGAGACAGTTCAGTGTTATGCGGTGGAAGCTGCCAAAGCGGGCTTAGACTTGATGCTTCTGATATCAGCTCCAGTCCCGGCTGCGGTGATCGGTGATCCATGGAAACTGCGGCAAATTCTGGACAATTTGCTGTCCAACGCCGTCAAGTTCGCAAGTGGACCGGGAGGCTGGATAGTCGTGGCGCTTGATGTTGTCAAGAAGGAACTGGACAGTGTGGATCTCAGCCTTCAAGTTCAGGACAATGGATGTGGAATACCGGAGGATCAGACCAAACTTATATGGGAGGCATTCATGCAAGTTGACGCAACTGACACTCGGCGCTTTGATGGTGTTGGCATCGGCCTTCCCATGTCAAAGCAGCTCGCAGCGTTGATATCGGGCACACTAACCGTAGAATCGTCGATCTCGCCGGACGATCATGGATCTACGTTCAGTCTGGAATTCACAGTATCGCTGGCGTTCCCGCCTGTAGTTCCTGTGTGGTTGCCCGGGCTTCGCGGCCTGGTCATACATCCGCGGCGCATGGTCTGCGACGTCCTCTTGTCGCATCTAGCGTCGAGGGGGCTAAAGGTCTTGGGGCTGGCTAATCCTGAGGCAGCCGTGGATGTTATTGCGGCATCCGCAACCTCGAAAACCAAATTCGACTTTGTTATTGCTGACGAGGCCGTAGTCATGAGCTCTCCGGCGCTCGCTGCTGTCTTAAAAGAGTTTCCGGCAGGTGTCGGAATTTTGGCTGCTCCGACAATATCGTTCGAACGCTCATCACCTTTACAAGACGTGGAAGGCTTTCGCGGTGCCCGCTGGCTCAAGCTTCCTTTGGGACCAGCGATGCTAAAACAGTTCCTAGCGAGATCCATACCAGGGTTGAGCATGTCGGCGGATGACCTTTCACCGGCAGGGAAGAGTCCAGGCGTGATTGAGAAACCTCTCGATGGACCTGGACCTTTAAAGACGGAAGTTATTCGGCCACACGCAGACCCGCCAACTGAAGGGCGCATAGGTGCAACGCATGCAATCACCCACGTTCGTGAAAGGCCCCACGCGCTGGTTGCCGAGGACAATACGGTAATTTAGCCTGCTCCCTTCCCCCGGGGCTCATGAAACTCACTGGAGGTAAGTGGGGCTAAACCCTACCTTTCGTTTTTCCATTAGATCAACCAACGTATCATGCGTCAACACCTGAAGAAGCTCAATGTTACATGCGACATAGCCAGTGATGGCGTTGAGGCTGTTTCGCAGTACACCAGCAATCCGTCCGCATTTGATATCATCTTGCTCGACCTGAACATGCCGAAAATGTCCGGAATCGAGGCGGCAGCCCTTATTCGGCAATGGGAGATCGCGAATTTACTACGCAGGGTAAGGTGACAAACGCACGGAGACGCAAAGTTTGCCTCTCCGTGTCTGTGCTTGATTTGGTTCAATGGACATGCAATATCTGACAAGTGAGCAATTCCGGTCTATCACTTTGCTACGTAGATACCCATCACTGTCGTTAGTGCCAACGCGTACTTGCAGGACGATTGCGTTGGGCTCATGGACGACTTTGTGCCCAAGCCGTTTGCACGAGCAGATCTGCGGCGGACATTGCTGCGTTACTGTGAGGGGTACGAGGAACTTGGTGAAAGTCCGGCGGCAACGTTAGCAGGAAAGAAGGAAAGTGAAGAGCGAGCGTAGGAGACATGTACTGTACGTAGACAAGCATAGCGAATACAATCAACATGCACCGATCTTGAAGGTCCTACTCTTAGCCGGCTACTCCCAAATGTACAATAGGGTTGGGAAAGAATAAACTTCTATTGCTCGAACACAAATAGCTGGGCGGCGCAATCTCTACATCAGGGTTCTCCGGGAAGCATGGAATGCCCGACCTTCTCTTCCGTGCCCTGTCAACAACGTTCACTTGCGAACACTCATACGTTTCGGATGATCCTCCCCTGCGAAAGTCGCACCCCACCGGGGGACACTATGTTTTCCTCACGGCCGTGATCAACATCGCAGAGGTCCTTCAACTTGGAAACAAGTTCCGAGACGACGATCGGCTTGGAAAGGAAAGCGTTCTGCGCATGGCGAACGAAAAGGGGAGGAAGATCGTCATCAGGAGTGGCCATTTGCACGACAGCGAAGGAAGATCCGCAGGGCAGGGCAATCCCTCTCTTCCGCATGAAATGAAGACGCGGCGAGGGGATAGCCCAATGAGAAAGGGGCGTTCAAAAGTACTAACTCACCATGCCGATCTTGAAACACTCCCTCCGTTCCGCTGCCCCACGTTCCGCGGTTACTGCGATGATGGGCACTCCGCACCCGAGAACTTCTCTGAGATGACGGGATGCGTCGGTCCCGGACATGTTGGGCATCCTGAGATCGCAGAGAATGACGTCCCAGTCCTTGCCAGGGTGTCGGGAGGCATACATGTTGATGAGTTCGATGCCATCGGATGCGAGGTCCACGGTGCAATTTAGTTTGCGCAGGATTTGTCTAGCGACTTTTTGGCAGAGCGGGTTGTCCTCGGCGACGATGACGCGGAGGTTCAAGGGTTGGTAAACGTCACGAGGTGTGGATACGACGGAGAAGGACGGCTCGGACCGATTGCCGGACGAAGTGGTGTTGGTCTCGGAAGCCCGACTGGACACGGACGTCAGCGGCATGCGGCTGTGGTGCGGTAGCGGTTGATGGAGTTGCAGATGTTGATGGTGTAGCAGGTGTTGATGCTGCTGCAGGTGTTGATGCTGGTGCCCTTGATGTGGTCGCTGGAGTTGGTCGAGGTGTTGCTGAGAACCGTTGAATGGTTCCTGGATTGTCCCCGCGGTCAGTGACTCTCGGCTTCTTACAATGGCAGCATCGTAGGGGCCGTGACCGTGGGCTCCTGCTCGTCCGCTTCCCGCATGAGGCTGCAGATCGGACTGCGGGCATGGATTGAGGAAGGACCTTGAAAGGGAGTTGAGATTGTCAAAACCATGTCCGGACGGGAGAATCCGGTCAGGCGCCACCACGTTCGAGGTGTTGTTCCGCATTATGCTTTCGATGGCTGCCTGGGACTGACGCACCACCGCGTCTATTGCACTCCTCGCCGCGCCTTGCTCCGGGTATCCATTCAGATTCAGTGTCGTGAAGGCTCGGTGCACGGGGTGGGAGGGGTGAAAGTTGACCGGGGAAATCGTGTGCAAATCGTCATTGGAGACCGGTGGCGCGCATTCTGATAGAGCATACGCGTCGGCCGGTGTCTTATCGGTGGCGGTCACGCCTTCCATCCACCGCTCGACGCTATCGATCTCCTTCCGTCCATGAACCCCTGCGCGACGTTGTAATTCCGAATGTTCTGACCCTATCGTCGATGGCGGCGAGCGGATGCCGTTGATCCCGCCCGTCGTTGGGTCGGGCACTACCCTCAAGGGTAGTTTAAACCAAAAGACCGCGCCGCCCGCACCTTTTCTTTCATCCACTGTTTCCAGCCCGATCACCCCTCCCATCGCCTCGACCAGCATCTTGCAAGTGTTCAGTCCTAACCCAGATCCTCCGGTTCCCAGCGGGCCTTGGAACTCGCCGATACCCCGTCCGGCGTGCGCGTCCTTCTTCCAATACTTCTGAAAAACATGGGGAGCGTCTTCTTTGGAGACACCGGAACCGGTGTCCACCACACTGAAGCGGAAAGGCATGCCCTCTGGATCCGTTCTATCGTACTTGACGGAAACTGGGTTGAAACAGGGGACGAAGCGTGCCCGGGTAAGCGAACGACGGGCAGAGAAACACAAAAGGGGGAGGCATCGTCGGCATCGTGCATACCTGTGATGAAGCCTTTCCGAGTGAACCGCATTGAGTTGGAGATCAGGTTCATCAGGACCCGCTTGAACGACACAGGATCCCCCATCACAAATTTCGGAACCGTCGACGCTATTGCAGAGTGCCACGCCAGGGACAAGAGCACGTCCCTGTCGTACAATAGGACCGCCAGCCGCTTGATGACATTCTCGATCTCGGCTTTCAGGTCGAAGACCTCGGACTTGACTTGGATCACGGGCATACCATGTTTGAACTTGACCGCATCCATGATGTTGTCCAGCATGTTGCATAGCTCGTCACCGGACGACAGGATGGTGTCCACGAAATCGACTTGCTCCTCATCCAGAGTTGTCATCGACAGGAGCTGGACGGTGCCGAGCAGGGCTTGCATGGGCGTGCGGATATCGTGGGCGAACGCGTGGAGAAAATCATCCTTGGCAGCCGCAGCGCTTTCCGCGGCGTCTATCTGAGCCCTCAGCCAGGCCTCCTCTGTTTTCCGCTTCGTGTCGTCTCGGATGAAACACCGGGTATGATGAAAACTTCCGTCAGGGTGGTAGTTCACGTTGCTGTCGATCAGAACATCTTTGATGGTACCATCTTTGTGGCGTATGCGGACGGGGACGTCGTGGATGGCACTCCCAGAACCTAACTGCTTGAAGATTTCAAGCACGACCGCTTCATCTGGACAGAAGTCCATGATCTGGCGACCGAAGTATTCTTCCTTCGTGTATCCAAGGAAGTTCAACTGGAAATGATGAAATCAGCGTCCGTTCAGCCAAGTCCGCTGTAACCGATCACGCGCGACGTATACCTCGGTCTTATTGGCCCAGAGCACGATCCCTTCCGCGCTCAACCAGTGCAAGGCAATGGGTGCGTTCTCAAAGAAGTCCTCAAATTCGGCAGCACGCGAGATATCCCGCACAGGTCCGTCGACCGCACGACCAATGAGGACAAGGGAAGAGGTCCCTGGATGCAGGCTAATGGTCCAGTCGTAAGTGGCATACTTGGGCATGCCTTCCGTCACCCGCAGCGTCTGGAAACGAGCACGGACGGGCTGCGGATGCGACGCGGATACTGCTCCAGTCACCTGTCGAAAGGTAGTCAAAAGCGATACAACGGCTTGAACATCGTCGGGGTGCACGAAGTTTTGCGTGAAAGACCTGTTTTCGACACGGCCGGGATGGAGTGGGAGCGGCGGGTGAGCAAAAAGAATGAACAAAAGGAGAATATCGGCCGTTCGCGTCGCAAAGACCGACGTTGTACATACCTCCGGTGGAATGCTCCCGAGGATATTTCTCTTGCGAACGCATCGTTGGTGAACTCTATCCTATGGTCGTTCGACGATAGCACGACGATGGGATCTCCGCAAACCGCAAGCCAGTCCTGACTGGGAACGGTGGGAGCTGCGGTGGCCTTCGTTGGCTGGGAGGTTGAACAAGCGGAAGGCGGGGTCTCTACTGCTGCTCCGACCAGACCTGTGTCTGCGCTCGGCGAGCGGCTACTGCTGCGACTACGGTTGTTGGCGACGTCCATATTGAGGGAGGAAGCAAATCGATCCCGCTTGCATTGTGTTCGCTCGAACGAGAAGCTTGCAGGGTTAACTATCTATTATTGGATATGAGTGATAGGTTCTGTACGTAGACAAACACAGACTCTGAGCGGCAGTGCGCACCATGAGTCCCGTACGTTTATTAACAAGCCTTCTGGAATTCGACGACTGCGCCCCCCGGACGTGTTGATTCCCTTGCACAGCCCTTGCACCCTACGCGACGTTGCAAGTCAAGAAAGCTTTTGCGCCTGGCCGGTACACTCTTCCTCCTCTTCAAACAACAGTGAGCATCTCTCAACTCCCAGAATCGCCTGCACTTGCGTTCCCTCACCGACCATTCTGTTCGCATTCTCTTCGACAGCTTCGCCATGGCCACTGCGACAAATATCGACCCCATCCGAACGGCGTACCTGGCAGCCAAGATCCCATATGCGAAGTCCGGTGCAGCAACTAAGAACCGCCAAGATGAGTACCAGCCTATCCGATCTCTGAACTACAAGATCTACGACGCTTTGCATACTGTCACGGCTACGGAGGGCGGCATGGTCGCAACGGCCGTACGGCAAGCCTGTGAGGGAGGAAAGGCCTTACGTAACCAAGTGCACGCGGTCGATATATTGTTCGAAACCATCAAGATCTTCCTTACGACGTGCAAGGCCATAGGCGGAGCTACTCCTCGGTCGTCCGGACGCACCACTCCAGCAAGTAGGCAATCGTCTTCGCCCGCATCCCCGGGTTCGCCGAAAAGGTCATCGCGCCGCACGCCGTCCGTCCGCTCCTCTCCCCTCGGTATGCGAAAGCTCAAAAAATGCGCTGGATACGCTTCGGAACACGGACTCGTCGGTGAAGCGGGACGGTGTTTTGAAAGTGGAGGCGTTGGAGAGGGACGGGTACCGCTGTGTATATTCGGCTTACATGTCGGAAGCCGCGCCTTCGGAGGAGGCGGCGGCCAACCCTAACGCTGCGATGGAGTATACAGAAGGAGCACACATCGTTCCTTTCTCCATTCAAAAAGTCCGGGTATGTGTCCTGTAGCGCCACTTTAAGTTAGGTGGAATAGAAGCTTATCTGATAACGCATTCTAGGGAGCAGGCCAACATCTCGAAACGGCTTTGAACCTCTTCGGCCATCCCGGCATGGATCTGGGGAAAGTCGACGTCTTGCCGAACATTATCACTTTGTGGACTTCGGCCCATCAAAATTTTGGGAAATTCAACTGGATGGTGGACACGTCGACGACCGCGGATAATGCGATCGTGTACACGATTGCCCATCTGGCTCGCACGGGTAGTAGAGTGCGGCAAATGGCAAACGCGCTGCAAACGGTCGTGGATGGCGATACATTGCTTCTAGATGGGAAGCACGCTCAAAGACCTGACCCGCGATACTTCGATCTTCATGCGAAGATAGGCCGCGTTCTCCACGCCAGCGGGTTCGGGGGAATTGTGGAAAAGTTTTTAAGAGACAACGAGGACGAAGGCGCCGTCACTGTGCCCGTCATACAGTCCGTAAAACACGTCAACGAGTTTCTCAGCGAGAACGATTGGGTCGTTCCGGGCCATCAAGAGGAGTGACGAGATGCCTCCCCCAAATTCCGTTTGGATAGTCGGCGGGATCGTTCGTGAGGCCCACGTTTCGGTACAGTCGGTCGTTGCTTACAGTGGCTGCTACAGTAGGCTGCCAGATATCTGGTTACGACGGGTTGTTGAGCCTCCATGTGCAACCCAGAAGTCACCGGCGAGATGTCAGTCCTGCCCTGGGCTAGCGGTCGTGCTGAAAGGATTTGCATGGGGGTCGGCAACTTGAGCCGGTGGCTATGACCGGAATGATGTGTCCTTGGGGCGTCGTAACCAGATATCTGGCAGCCTACTGTAGCCTAAGGCAGCCTAAGTGATCCTCTGGCTCTGCAAGATCTTCATAGATGAGGACGGTCGCGATGGCTTCCAGATCGCCATTAGCCGCTGGCATTGTGCGTGTGCGTCCCGAAAACGCTGTAGTTGCGCCATTAGTCCCGAGAGCAGGGAAGGCAGCGTTCTCATCGAGTTTTGCGCGGGACCGGTTTGATGTGATGGCTCTACCGCCTGCGCTGCGATGTTTGTCGAGAATTCAATAGCCGTCCTTTGAAGATATTGCCGGTAGTGTCGTAGACAGCCAAAGTTTGCGTGCTCTGGGGAAGGATGCACGTTTGCAAGTACGCTCTGACTTCTGTCGTGTTGTTCTTGACATTAAACCTAATCAGCCTGTCGGAACCGATATCTTTGTTCATGTTCAATGTGACCAAAAATGACCCTTGGTCTGGAAGCTTTTCCGCAGCCTCTTGTTACGTCAAGGCTGGCTGCGCTTCCTCGCGAACAGGATAGGTTGTCGCTCGAACGTCGCCCGAGGAGACGGTCGGCGTGTTTGGGGACCCAGACAACGGGAATGGATCGGGTTGCGAAAAGCACACCCCCTCACAGAGCTGGCGAGCGGAATAAGCTGGCCAGCTGATTAATCAGCGATTCGTAAATTAATGCCACATGGACGTGGTTCCGTCGCAAGCGATGCGCTGCCACTTTGCCAGACTGCACAGGATGTTGGTGATTGACCTTGTTGAACGCAGCCACCTTGTGTGTAGGATCAACCACCAAGGTGTTCACCTCGTCAACATGCATGCGCCGGAAAGCGTACAAAGGTCGGTTGTTAATTGTCGTCAAGTGATCGCGGCAGGAAACTGCCACCACAGTCGGAACCTCTGCATGTTGGTGATGTCGTCGTCTACGGAACGGCCATCGCAGAAGGTTGGGCTGATTGTTGCTTGGCGGGCGTGCAGTGCAGTCGGCGCAACTACTTTCATTTCCAAGGTAGAATTTCTAACGCATGACGTCGAGGGACAGAATAGGTGCGCAGGTCAGCCCTTCGGCCCTTCGGCCCTAGCATAAACAATGCGCGTAATGAAGGGAGATCGACGACCGTCTCCTGCCCTTCAGGTGTTGGACACAATGAGCTCGCAGCACAACAAGGGTAAACTGATACACAGATACTATACCTGTACATCATTTAACGATCAATACATTAGCGGTTCATCGGCGATTCAGTACATCTCGGTCCATCAGGGTTAGGCCATCATGGATAGCAAAATTGAATCGACCGCCATGTGCACTGCAACCCCACCCGAAGGGGAAGACATCCCCGAGGCAGCCGCTGAAGCCTTTCTTCAAAGTGCCATCGCTGGCGGCACTACGCATGTGCTTGTCTTGGACATGTTTGATCCGGATGGCGAGGATAAATGGGATCTCCACATGTCACACAACTTCAACGACATTACAGGCTCCTGGATAGGATGGACACTACTTCTGAGGAACCCGGAAGATTGCATTGTGGGCCGCACTTACCAGCACTACTTTAACCCGTAGTGGTCTTAATTACCTGCCGAACAAATTCAGCATTGTCTGTAATTCACTGTCGTGTAAATGACGACACTTAGGGTTAGGGTTAGGGTTAGGGTTACATGGTGAGGCCGTGGGATGTGGGAAAGGAAAATGTTCCCGTACAGCGTTGCACCAATAATGAAAAACATTCCTAGAAGTGTGCTGGAGAATCCTTTTCAAAACCCCAGACAACCCTTGACTAAAGCTTTTGAGGAAAATGCACAAAACCCCATTTGGGACAACTTGTCATTATTAAAACCCCGCAGGGAGTGGGAAAGTGATAACCCTTTTTGCAAAGAAGCCTGCATAGAGGCCTCCAAAGCCAGCTGCAAATTCCTGGATCAAAGCATTGAGAACTGAAGGCGCACCTGTCTCTCACACTTCCCACACCCTATAAGGTGCTCACAGGGTGTTCTCCAGTTGGTCATGACAACTGTAGGTTTTGTCAAAGTGATCGTATGGGGTTGAGCCATTAACTGAAGAGAGTCGTCAAGGGCTTTGAATTAGCCCTTTGCAAAACCCTAGACAACCCTTGACTAAAACTTTTGAGGAAAATGCACAAAACCCCATTTGAGACCACATGCGACCAGTAAAAGTCCGCAGGGAGCGAGAAAGTGATAACCCTCTTTGCAAAGAAGCCTGCATAGAGGCCTCCAAAGCCAGCTGCAAATTCCTGGATCAAAGCATTGAGAACTGAAGGCGCACCTGTCTCCCACACTTCCCACACCCTATAAGGTGCTCACAGGGTGTTCTCCAGTTGGTCATGACAACTGTAGGTTTTGTCAAAGTGATCGTATGGGGTTGAGCCATTAACTGAAGAGA